GAGAGATTCTATTTTTTCCGAGTAACCACTTCTGTCTCAATCCATCTCTTCTTTCAGGAAATAATTTGAACACGCCAACAAAAAGCCCCGTTCTGCATCCACTCTTCATTAATTTTTACGTCAGTCGTTGTTTTCCCGAATGGACTTGCATGTGGTAAAAGAGGCTATCGGTTCTCCAGAAATAGCCTCCCAAGAATACTTGCAATACACAAGTGGCGGCACAATTTCTTTTGAAAAAAGCGCTGAGTTGCATGCGAGAAGTTCCATTTACTTTTCTGCGTTGGACACTTTCAACCGGAGGACTCACGACTGAAAAGGCCTTCAAAAACATCTTTGTCGGCACTCGCTGCCCAAAAACGTTTGGACAAAACAACAAAAGCCAGAAGCTTCTATTTTGGGCATATGCCTTGGAGACCATGAAACTATTTGGTTTGAGCGGAAACGTTCCCAAAAGTCAAGTTCAGGCTTTTGTTAACGGCGTCAAAAAGCGAGTAATTGTTGAGACTTGGTTTTTGGTAAAGTGTATGGTTTCTTTGAAGCCGTAAAATGTTTAATACAACCTTTGGAAAAACTTTTCTTCAAGTTTCCTGCCGCATTCGCTTTACTAACAAAAAAAGTTTATTTAATTACGAAATTTTTTTGGAAAAATCGGTCTGAATATTCCAATTTACACTTCAGAAAAAAATTAAGGGAAACTCAATCAAAAAGTTATCTGCTTTTTCAGAAAAATTAGGCTCAAGATCTCAAAATAACAACTTACTGTTTTTCTGGACAACGAAAGTTATTTTATTGAGTTTGAGAAAGTCGATCAAGTCGGGTCAGGAGTTCCATTTGATATATTTAGTACTGGCCAGTTTCTTTTGAACTTCAGAATGCCGAATAAACATGCCTTTTTTGTGAGAAAACAACTGTTTTCAAATTCTTCCGAAGTAATTTTGAAATAACCATGTGGGCGAAAGAATTAAGCTTCAACTTCAGTTTGGCTTTGTTTTCTCTGTGATTGTGAAGTCCTGTTATTTTATCCAAGCTACCTTTCACACCCACACCTGATCCCTTCATTTTCAATTTGATAGCCTTCAAATGATTCATGCCCGTTCCTTCTTCGCATTTTTTGGAAGGATATGTGAAGTTTGATGATATTTCATTAATGTCGAAACCACTAAACCCTCTGGCTCCCATCAACAGAAAGATGTTTACCAACACGCTCCTGTAAGCTAATTTCACCGCCCACACCTGTACACTTTTGGTTTCATCAAATAAGTTTTGCAATATTCACGCACTGATTCTTCTGCACTTTTGATCGCGCGATTGGAAAACTCCTTGGAAGAGATGTAAATAAATCTTTTTGAGAAAAATTGATTCATGAGTATCTTGCATCAGTATAAAAAAATGCGCAGGAACGCTCAACTCAAAAACAAACTGAATTACTCATTTTTCCAATCAAGGATGATTTTTCGAACCGCGAACTACAATGGAATGCCTAAATTCGCGACAGTTGCGCTTAAATGGGAATTCCCAGTTATCAGTCACTCTTTTCGATATTTTTCCTGATTTCATACCTCTCTTCTTCTGTTAATCCTAGTCATTTTTTCATTCTTGAATGAATGTTTTTGCGTCATCCTCTACTCATTCTTCACCAAAAAAAGGAAAAAAAAAGATATGTTCGCAAGACATCTTATGGATTAGCTCGCCAATTACATGTTATCTCTTTTTGTTGAGTCTTATTGCTCATCGAGACATTTTTTCTAATTTTCTTCTTCCGCAAGGAATTAGACGGAGGTTGGGAGAAAAAGACATTTTTGTCTAAATCAGAAGGGTTCCGCATGTGCTAGATTCTATTTACATTTAGCCGACGTCCAAATTTTTCGCTTATTTCTTCGAAAAACTGTACCCTATGAAAATTTCTTTGAGGACTTTTCAACTCGTTGGGCTTCCTGCTCGTCGCAAAATCTGCCCTGGGGGCCGATTCTAAATTCTCGCGATATAGAAAAACTCTCCGTTTTTGCAATCCAAGTTTTTTAAAAAGTTTTCTTGCGATTCTACGATGTGCGGCTTGAAGTTCTTGGCTTTTTCAACTTTTTCTAAAATTCTCTGATTGCTTTAGATGATTTTCCAGGAACTGCATAATTTTGAAAATATTCTTCCGCTTCAAAATATGTTAACTGAGAGACTCAATCATTAACAAGAAGAAACCTTAAGTTGGTGCCTTTTTCAAATTTTTAACACTTTATTATCAAAACTTCATTTAGTAACCGTAAGTTTTTCTGATTAAGGTACTAAAACCCTTCAAAAAAAATTGAATTTTTCTGTTTTTCAAAAGACCTTCCTATGAACTCCTGGCATCCATTTTTCAGTCCTCGAAGACATTTTCAGGAACCCGATATCAACCCAACGCAGTAGATGTTATCTCAAATGTGTAGGGTTCCATTCTCCAATTGATGCCTCTTTCGAAGCAAAAAAAGGAAGTTGGGAATTGCTTTGAAAACGACTCCCCAATGAAATAAGAAAGGGAAAGTTTCAAGGAAGCCAGTTTCTGATGGAACTCGATGTTGAATTTGCTCACAAGAGCAATACTTGGCGGAATCTTCGGGTCAACCCATCGTTGTGCATGCGTTTATTCGCGTCGGCTGATGGCTTTTCTGTCCTCGGGGGACAAATTTCGGTCTTTTGCTAGCCGCCGGCAGCTCTCTTTTTGGTCGGTCTGAAAATTCTCGGATGTATGTTGATGCTTGCTTTTTTATTTTGTTTTTCGTTTTTTGTAGGCTGTTATATTAGCAGCTCCTTTCAATATTTTTCTGGCTCGAAATGAAAAAAAAAACCGACGGCAAGTTTTTGACTTCTGAATTCATACTAAAACTTTTGAAAGAGACTTTGAAGTTTAAAATTTTCTTTTTTACTCAATTATTAACTCAGGCTTTTTCAAAGGCTTCACGGTAACACTGAAAACATCAAAAGAGATTTAGTATACTTTCCGTCAGAGGTTTCCAAACTCTCTGAAATGTCCTTCGCTTTGAAATAATCCTATCAACCCTTTGAAGGCTTCTTGAGACGTTTGATTTCATAGAAAAGCTATACGAGGAACTGCGAGGAACGCCAATCTCCGCCCACTATTTCCTTGTGAGAATCACAACGTCTTGCTGTACTCGTGAGGGTGGTAATTTCTATTTCTCATAATGAAGTCTGAGAGACCTTCCCTTCAAGATTTTCGCACGGTCTTGGAAGCCTAAATTTGTTTCTTGAATCACTGCGTAATTAATAAATCTCTGACTACCTACATGATCTGAACCCATGGCCTTCTAGCCGTTCAACTCGAAGATATGTTCCAGCACACGTGCTCCTCAGTATTATATTACTTCAGGCTCATCGCTCCTCCTCAATCTCTGCATTCTCAATCTTTTTTTTCCTATGAGGACCTCTTATTGCCCAAATATGTTTTGGCCTCGCTCAAATCGTTTTATTAAGAATTTGGCAAGTTTTCCATCAGGCTTTTTAAACCACCGTAAGAAAGTTTTTAGTTCAGGAATTTACATGAATTCAAACGTTTAAAATATGTACCCGAAAAACATTCAGATGAGCTCTCAAAAATGATGATATCCTTTATTTCATCCGCCAGGAATAGAGAAACATCAAAGCGGGTAATTATGACAGTCTGTTTTTGTTAGTTCAAATTGAAGTTGGTAATTATTTTATTTTCAATGATTCGACTTAGTGGGAATGAACTAAGTTTTGTTTTTGCCATCGCCCTGGCGCACTTGCCAATTGCCAATTTTCCGACGTGATCCAATATCCGGGCAGTTAACGAGCCTCTACTCACTTCTAAAAAAAGGAAAAGTAGTTTGAAAGAGCCGTGTTCCTTTGACTTCCAGATGGTATCAAGTTCTGAACAGTTGTCTTTCGGGAAGCTGAATATTCTCTTTTCAAAGCAACTGTTAAGCGAAATAAAATACGTTTTTTCAACTCTCGAATATGTTCTTTGAGACTTCCTTGATCATCTTCGAGCTTTTTATAATTTTTCCAGAAGCCCTACTATGCGTTTGTAGCATCAAGCATCATCCATCCTTTTTCTCCCGACGATAAATTCCAATTATTAGAACAATTTCAAATTGGAGAGTAGTCTCAAAACCTAGCCGTTCTTTCGTTCAGTTCGAAAAAAGGTTTAAAAAGATGCATGAAAAGGTGCATTTTTGATCAGCTCCTCAGGCGAATTTCCTACGTCTTTTTTATTTCTGTTGTTCAAAGCCCCGTTTCTTCTATGCTTTTATGTTCCCATTAAAATACTATTGTCGTGGAATTAATTTTTCATTGTTTCTTAAATATGCTAGTTGTTTTTCTGCGCTCTTCAGTTCTCTCGTCAGCTTTTTTCGTTCCAGGGTTTTGCGTCTCCAATTGAATCAATTAATGGCATTGTCTTGAAACAACAAAAAAGTATCGGGATAAGCATAGATCTTGCAAAGAAGAGGCTGAACAGTTTTTTGACGTTTTTTTCAGTTTTCAAGAGAACAAAAAAGGTTTTGCTTGATGAAATTCAATGAAGTTCAAGATTTTTGAAATAGAACAAAGTGAAAATTCAGTTTGCGATTTTTTTCACCTAAAGTTCGATTTTGCAGTTACGAGAGATTCAGGCTTTTTTGCCTGCTGACTTTTCCCGATTTTTCATAATCAAAATTTTTATGTGCTGTTGAAAGATCAAAGCCCTGTTATAAAGTCATTCATTAAAACTATCTTCCTTTCAAAAATCGAAATCCTTTTTACAACTTCCAAAAACCAAAAAAATTCCACCAAAATATCGAATGCAGTTATGCAAATGGAAGTTCGATGCCAAAGGTCTCATCTCCATTTCTAGCGTGGCAGGAATGTCCACCTCATTTGTTTAAACATTCTCGTCAGAAGCCTTTCTTGCATTCCGAGCATTTGAGCACGGGAGAAAATGTATTCGCCGAGCGTAATCGTTTAAACAGCCCTTTTCCTTGTCGACATCCGCGTCACTTTGCAGGCCACTGATGGACGAAGTCCAATGGCCGCTGTTGCTGCTCTTTTCGTTGCTCATCTTACTGGCTCTGTTCGGTAACCTGCTGGTTTGCGCCGCCATCCTGTGGGACCGGCCACTGAGGCGGCAGCCGGAGAACCTTTTTCTCGTCTCCCTCGCCGTCTCCGATCTGCTTGTATCTGTTCTGGTACGTTTTTTACTCCGGTCATTCTGAGTCGGTGAACACATGAAAATGAAAAAAAAAAACTTTTGTATCGGTCTGCCAACTTTCAAACCTAAGCCAGATGATTCGGAATTGTCAAGTTTCCGATAAAAAGAAGTTGAGAGCTATACTTTGAATAGCATTTGATTTTTTTCGGAAATAAGAAATTTAGAAAAAAATATAATTTTTTTTAAATTTATTTTTTTCTATTTCGGAATCACACTTTCTTTAAAATTGACCCTTTTTGACTAAAAATTTCTATAAAAAAATTGTGTAAGGTGGGATTCTGTCCGAATTTTATTTTCAGTCGTGGGTTAGGGGGAAAAACAAAGCATTAAATTTTACTTGGTACATCCGGTATAAAAATTTTTTCTCAAAAACCGTTTTGAAAAGACTTTTATTTCGTTCAAATAACCATCGCTATCTCTTTCAAAAAAATTTCGAAGCTCCGAAACGCCATTCAAAAAAAAGCCATTTTACAAAATTCTCACATTATCTCTGCTTCATTTCTAACCAGAAAAAAAAACGTAAATCAAATAACTTGAGGCTTATTATACTTTGATGTCTTCGTAACAGATCCCTTGTTTGTCATCGACACAGAGACATCACCAAACTTGTTGTGCTTTGAGACGTCTTACTCGATTTCGCGTGTTCAGAGGACACATTTTGATACGAAAACATTTTTTGGAAGCACTTGAGACGATTTGAGTTTTTAATAAATTTGATTTGACTTCGGCCGTTCCGTTTTAAGATTGCGTTTTAGTTGTTTTCGCCTAAACCCAAAGCCACTTTTTGTTGTTGTCGTCAGCGTTTCGACTAAAATAATTTCCAAATCTTTCTTTCGGGAAGTTGCTTCTTGGACGACTTTATTCTAGTCTAGCCAATTTTTCAAACGAACCAAAGGACGAATAACATAAGAGGACACTCCTCACGAAAAATTATGAAAAATTCTAGTGGATATTGTTATTACACCTCCTACGATTATGAAAAAGTTACCTTTTATTTTGTCCAGAACATTGTGAGAGCGCTCTTATTTCTGTTAGGAGAGGATACTCAAGAAAAACAGATAAATTTTTCTCGGTTGACGGCAGTGTTCCGGTCAGTGGAAAAAAAAGGCTCCGAAGAAGTATTCCCGGGCTGGAATCTAATTTGGCACATTGTCGTGCAAAGGCATTACCGCCGGTTCATCGCAGCCGCACAGGGGTTTTTCGAATTTTCATTGCTCCTTTTCGGACTCCAACTGGGACGGCCGCTTGATTAAATTGTTCGTTGTCTCCTCGATCGTGCTCTGTCGACGGCGCCTGGGTGTCTGCTAAAAGAAGAACTGAAACTCGCGGGCACAAAAATGTGGTCAAATTTAGAAAATTGAAAAAAGCTTTTATAAACATACGCTTGTCTAGCTTGTGAAAAAAGAAAATCGAGGTGATCGAAAATTTTAAATTTCCCAATTCGACACATTCCGAGTTTCGAGAAAAAAAAAAACAATCAAGCAAAGTATTTTCATTCTCGGAGCTTTTCAAAAAGTTCACTTTAAGCTCAAATGTATGCATGAAATGTTTTTTGGGACATGTGCATTCGCGACGAATTGCATTTCCAGTGATTCTCCAGGGTTCTCAAGTGCGAAAGAACGAGAAGCTCAACAATTGCCGTTTTGTAGCCGTAATCAAATTTCGTCAGGAATCTGCCTTCACGCCTCACTTTCGATGGGAATGTCAAAAAGCCCACCCAGAAGGCGTTACTCAGAAATCAATGAGAATATGGGTGAAAAGATGAATTCGGGGGAGAAATTCAAAACATTTACTAAATGAGCATTCAACAATGAGTTCCGCTGTTTAGGTGTCTCTATCTCTCTCAGACATATTAGCAAGAACTTCCTTGTGCTAGCAGTAGAAGATTGGATATCCTGCTCACCTGAAAACTCTCGTAACAGTTGACTGAAAGCTTCAGAGGGAGAAAAGTTTAGTGAAGGTTCTGCTTTCTCCTCATTAAAACCCGAAATAATCATTTATATCGACCTTTTTTTTCTTATAGAAGTGGATTGGGTGATTTTTGTAAACTGTTTTTCTATTTTAAATTTGGAAAGAATACTGCAGACTTCCGTGTTTCCTTCGTTTTCTCAAGTAGGCGCAGAACTTCTTAACTGAAAATGAAACTGAAAATTTCTCATTTTTCCGTAAAAAGTCGATAGGTTTTTCCGCCGATTCAACTTCTGACAAATGTATTGAAAACTTAAATGAAAAAAAGAAAAAAAATTTATAATTAATCTGATTCTCCTATAGGTGATGATGTGCGCTGCGGCAAGCGATTTGCTGGGATACTGGCCCTTCGGACAGATTTATTGTCAGTTCTGGGTCAGCTTCGACATCACCTGCTGCACGGCGTCTATTTTGAATCTATGTGCCATTTCTTTAGACAGGTATTGGCACATCAGTCGACCTATGGTCTACGTCAGGTTTCTCTCTTTTCAAGTTCCAATAAATAATTTTCTTCAGATACTGTAACCGTCGCCGTATTTACTATGCAATCGTTGTTGTGTGGCTTGTTTCTGCCGCCATTGGCGCCGCACCTCTGGGCTTTGGTTTCGGCTCCAAAGTCACCATACATAAGTGAGTAACTTCAGGAGACCAACTTTGGTCCTTTGCCGCTTGAAATTCATCAAATAATGTTGTGCAATCCATCTCGAGATGTATGAACTGTTGTTCTCAATTTTATTTTGGCGAAAACCACTTGAAAACTTAATTTAGGCGTTTTCATTAAACAAATAACCCAAAAAAACTTCGAAAACATCAAGGAGAGTTTTGAACTTTCAAAAAACTTCTATATTTCTTAATTATGCCCTGAGGCTAAGTATGTTCCTTTTTATTCAGAAATTCGCGATACGAAAATGATGATTGCAGTTTGAATCTATTTTTGCATCCAAGAAGACTATAGAATAAAAAAAGGGGAATTTATGGGAACCTTTTTTACAGTGAAACCAAAATGGCAAGATGCGAAATGAGACTTCCGATGCTCTACGCCATTTCGAGTTCGTTGCTCTCGTTCTTCGTGCCCGCTGCAGTTATGGTTCTACTGTACACAAAACTGTACTTGTATGCTCGGAAACACGTGCGGAGCATCAAAACGCAGCTCCAGCAAGCGACTTCCTTCTTGATCATGCAGCTGGCGTCCGAAAAAATCCGCGAGGTTGGCCAAGTTTGACAGGCGTGGGCTTTTTTTGAGTTGATTCACATTCGCTTTCACCCTAACCAAAAATCTGCTTACACTGAATCTAACAGCTTTTGGAAGCCTTTGAGTTGCACACTGACCAACCTCCCTTGCCAGCGAGTGATTTATAATGTTCTGACGAGAGCTTCTAGAGATTAGCTCCCCCGCAAGAAAAGTTTGGAGAGAAATCCCGCATGAGTAGCATGGCCGTACCACCGTGCTTGACAGGTAACTGCCGCAACTCTAAAGGGCGAGGCGTTGCTGCCGCCGTCGTCGACGCCAGTTCGATCTGCCCGTCGGAGTCCCAAACCGCCTTCCAAGACCGTCGAACACCACTACGAGCTGCCTGAGTCGCCGGTTTCACACTACTACAAGGTTCATTCAGTGAGTTGCACTCCGGTGACAACGGTGTTGAAATTTTATGAAGGGTAGACAGCCTAGCCAGAACCATCAGGGAAAAATTCAGCATTTTCTCTTCTTCGCAGAAAAAAATGCTACGACCAATTTTTTTCTGAATCTTATTTCTTCAGAACAGTAAAAAAACTGTAGCGCTTTTTTTCTGAGCAGAATCATATCAAAAAAAGTTTTCTCTTACTCATCATAAGAATATCAAAAAAAAAAACTCTCAAGATCGATAGAACGTCTTTCTCAAATTCTAATCAATCATGGCATAATTTGAAGGCTAGTAAGTCAAAAAGCTGTTTGGATAATTTATTTCAATTTTTTCAAACATCTTTTAACTATAATTTTTCAAAACTAGCCCATAATTTCTCATTCTCATCATTTGAAACAAAGAAAAAATTTCACTGAAGAGAGCCCGGAGTTTTCGAGTGGCCTTGTTGTTGAGTAAAGATGTCGTGCGCCACCCCTAAACAGAGCACTTTTTCAGACACGATTTGAAACAACCACGGTTTTCTGGTATAGGAGAAGTTAACAAAACTTTCCCTTTTCCGCGACTTCTCATAACACTAACCATTTCAATGCTCACAGCCCGAGATAACAAAACGAACGAGATTTAATCGAATAATTAAAAATTAACAAGTTTGATGGCTCTCGCGAGAAAAAATAACGCTACAAAATAACGCTTATATATGCTGTGCTTTTTGTTATATTGGTTTGTCGGGTGACGTTTGATAGTGTTCTAGTGAACTGCCTTATGAGAAAAAAATCCAATAAAAAGTGAAAAAAACATTAAAGTTTAAAAAAAGGATTGATTGGGGTTTTTTTCAAAGTAAAAAAACTTGAAAAAAATTTTTGACTTGAGCCAATTTACAGTCGAGGATTGTGGAAGTAGAGTCCCTTAAAAGAAGAAGTTCATAAAGTTTTTCTTCAAAGCTCTACACAAAAATTTTAACTACGAGTTCAAGTGGCAAAAATTTTAACTACGAGTTCAAGTGGCAAAAATTCAAATCCGTCTCAAAAAGTTATGAAATACACTTTCTTTGAAGAGTAATAACTTTAAAATAAAGATTAGAGGAATTGAATCATTTTTTATTGAGCTATCAAAACGATCCCGACAAACATCGCATGACCTGTCGCTCTCCGAACTTTTGGAACATACCTTTTCAGATGCGCTCAACGGTTCTCTCGAAGCTGCATTTTCTGTGTCCCAACTGCATAGCTCCAAAGACGACGAGAGAATCTCAGCCTTCAAATAACAATAATAGAAACAACGTCAGCGACCAGAAAGCCAGGTATTTGAACTCATGAAAAAAAATGGACACCATTCATTCAGACTGACTTTGGGTGTGATTATGGGAACGTTTTTGGTGTGCTGGTTACCATTCTTCCTCGTCAACATCGCAAGATCTTTCTCCCCCAACTCCTTCAGTCAAAACTCTATTTTGGTATGCCAAGCTCTGAATGAATACAATTTTCAAAATTTGCAGGCCGTTACTTGGCTCGGATATGCCAACTCGGCGGCAAATCCACTCATTTACAGTATTTTCAATCGTGATTTCCGTAGAGCCTTCAAAAAGATTATTGTCAACATTTTCCACTGCCGAGAAGAACAGGATCTCAACAAGTCTATGTGAGCCAAAAAAAAAAGGTTCAAGAAACATAAATCCATGAATTTCTTGAAGCTCTTCACGATATGCCGTTCCGGAAGTGGAAAGGCGCCGTTCCTGTACCAAGTCTTCTGAATCCAACCACGAGAACAACAATGAGCAGCCGACGCGACTTGTCGTTCTCACGACATCTGCAGGATCTGCCATCACCGAAGAGTAGCTCGACAGTCTCGTTTATCATGACAGCCGTTAGCTCGGTTTCCTGCTAAAGCAGCACTTCTTGATGTCATGAGCTGGTCTCTGGCTAGCTTTACCCTCGACCAATCTATCGAGCCATTTTTAAGTGGCTTCCAATATTTCTTGATCTATCGCTAGCTTGGCCAATAACTTCTTTTTCAATAATTTTACAAATCCCCAAAATGACGAAAAGTGTTATTTTTGACCCGATCCTGAGCTCAATTTTCTTCTTTGTTGTTGTGTGCTACGTTCCTATCATTCATTTAGCTCTGAAAGTCACATCAAAAAGCTTTCTCTTTTTTAATTTAATCTGACTTAATGAGCTGAACAAATATTAAGAAAATGGGCACGACTCCTTTTTCCGGGTTCCCACTATCCTTTTCATCTCATAGTAATTCAGTATTCTCTTTCAAACCATTTGTATGTTCTGAAAGCTTGGGTGCAAACTTTCCATTGTATTACCTATCTGTGATTTTCCCTTTATCGAAAAAATGGCATTTGTAAATATCACACCATCTGATAGTATCACCTTTCAAATAACTCTTTGTCAGACTATCGGCTCTTTTCTATCCAAACGTGTATCTCCTGCAATATTCTTCCGAAAACTATCAAGACGTAGTGTTCAGAACTGATCCTTAGAAATGAGGTAGACGGGGTAACGATGCTTGTTGTGGCCTGTTCGACGGTTCCGCTCGGTTACTTTTTATCTCCACTATTCATTTTTCGCTGTGATACCGTTTGATTTCTGTGTGTCAACCGTTTTTAGGCTGTTTCAACCTTGCTTTTATTGACTTTTTTTTTCTTTTTTTTGTCAATAAAATATTTTTGAACATGTATGGATTGAAGTTTTATCAATTGAGAAATAATGGAAATAATATTGCAAGAAAAATAAAATCATGAAGTGATGACAATTTTCAAAATGAAACTATTCGCAACTTTCAATTCTAACCGTTTTTATGTTATTACAAATTTATAATCTCATTGTACCCTTTCAGACATATCATTGAAGAAACGAAGGAAAAGTAGAAAAAAATGATTGTAAAGGCGAGCGTTTTTGTTCTTAAACGGCTGTTACAGAAGGGTTGAAACCGTCTTTACAGGCTTTCCTTCTCCGAATAACACTTTGAATGTGGTGTCTGAAAAATGAATGAGCTAAAATTAAAAGGGAGGTCAACCTTATTTCCGGATTGAAAGAGTAGTAAAGGACGATTCGAACGGCCGACGAGAGAGTGACCAAGGTCGACGCAAGGTCGCAAGCTTTCACGTAATACTCGTTGAAGTTGCCGTCCGGGTCCTAAGAAATTTCAGAAATAGGGCATCCATCGTTTCCGAATTCTCTCACAATGACGAATTCTGGATAGAAAGTCTCCGTGTAGAGCAAAGCAATGTTCATCGCGCTACAGGCCAAATAAGTTCCTAGGATCCAACCGGCGGTTCGCGTCGCATATCGGAGCTTCCGATTTTGCTCTCTTCTTTCTTGATCGGCTGCCATTCGCGAAATAAGCGACTGAAAAGAGGAAGTTTATTGAAATCAGCACAAAATGTCTTTGAGGATCCGTAAGCTTTAGTTGGGGAGAAGTGCGAACTTTCGTCGAGGTTTCAGAAATAGCTTTCTAATCGACACAGTTTTCTTATTTTGAGAAGAGATGGCACTAAACCAACAGTCTTAACGGCTCATAATGGCTAATAATTCGAAGGCCTCATTCCGAAACTTGGGAGGAAAAACTTTTTGTCTTAAAACGGTTCTAATCCTTTAATTTTGTTTTATTCAGCTGGATTTATATTGGCTTTAGGTCTTCATACTGATGAAAAAATCTCTAAGGTCACTAAGGTTAGGTCATTTCTGTTCAGCATTTGAAGAAAAAAATTTGAAGATATGAAAAAGATTATGGTTTTCAATTTTCAAAATATTCCTAAAAAAATTTTGAGAATTAATTTTTTTGATCGAATTTGATTTATTATAACTAAAAAAACTGAAGTTTTTTTGCAAAACACTCAATCGAAAAAAAGTTTCGGAATTTTTGCTTTTATAGGATAGCGTAAAAAAAGCATCTCCCTATTTGATGTATACTTCAACTTTTTTTTTAAACTTTTAAAAAAGTTCAAAATTTTCTCATCGACTGCAGCTGAGAATTCAAAACGTGTGCCACAACTACTTGAAGAAATTTTCAAGTAGGCTTCCGTGAGCTTTGAAGCAAAGAATTCAAATTTTGGCTAAAGAACCGTGAAAAATTTGTTTTTTCAACTTTTTTCGCAGAAATTTTTCACTGAGATTTTTTTTTTGGGAAAATTTGAGATTCTTGAATGTTTTCTGAGAATCGGAAGCGTTTCAAATACTTAAAACTTCAGTGAAGTTCTCAAGAGTTCTAATAAGTATTTCAAAAAAACTTTTTAAGTAGCCAAAATATACACATTTCCCTTTTTTCAACCAATTTGGTCCACAAAAATTGAGAAACTAGCCGAAAAAATTTGAGAAGGAGAATTGACTTCCTGCTGTTGCTGATTACTCCTTTTGGCACGGTTTGTTTTCCGGCAGAGCTCTCGGAGCAAAACAGCGTGCAGAGCCAGAAGCATCACAAACACGATACCAGTGTTATAATTCTGAATTCGGGTACTCAGAGAAAGTAGTTTTCTTTCGAGCTCACGTTGTAAAATCCTTCGTAGGCTCTCCAGAACTCTCGGTACTCACTGTCCATTTCTATCCATTTGCTCTGGAAAAAGTCGCAATCTTCGCTTTGGCCCATCCGGTGAGTGAAAAGAGTGTTTCCTCGTAAAACAATCGACGAAATGAGGATGATGACACAAACTCGAACTCGAACTGTGAACGCAGATCTGAGAAAGTTTTTTTTATTCACTTTTCGTATTTGCTTTGAAGTGCCTCTGGTCTTCTCTGGAGCACGTGAGAAAGTTAGATGACCTTCGGACGAACTTGTCAAGACATCCTTGGACGCGTGCATTTCTTAAAATATACTTTTGTTCTGAATTTTTAACCATTTCGTTGTTTGTGCGGGCGTGCGAAATGATGCTAGGCCCCCAAAAAAATTAATTAAATGTTTCTGGTTGTTTTCGCGTGTGGCCGTCTGTGCGGAGAGCGTTAACATTGGCCCTGGCGTGAAAGATCTGTCATAAAAAATTGCACGACCTTTATGTCTAAAACAACTGTCCCAATTAGTTTTCATTTCTCTCCGTTTCGAAACTTTGAGCTGTGAGAAAAAAAAGATAAAACGGCTGATTTTTTCCTCCACATGATTAAAAAGAGACCAAAAATAATTATAAAGAGCCTACTTGGCGTCACGAATCATAACGAGAAGAACTTTGTCAGCACTGTTGGCAAGTATGGTGTATGGTATTGCTGCCTGCACGACTTTGCTCATGGTTAGAGATACGACGTTAGAATCCAAGACTGCGGTGTAAAGAAACTCTGAAATGTTAAAATTTAATTGCTAAATAAAGAAACCTCACCTATCCGGTACATTGTAGCAATATAGGCAAAGAAAAAACAGTAAATGTAGAGAGAACAGAGCATTGCATCGAGAAAGGCAAGAAACGTTTGAAAAGGATACGTTCTGACGATATTTCGAGATATAAGGACGTAGAGCAAGAAAGTGTTGAGCGCCAGCCCGATAGCAGAAACCGCTGTGCCGAGACTGAAAAAAATATAAAGTTATTTTTTTCCGTTCCAATTACAGTTCTGCTCATAAGTGCAGCTCATTTAAATGCAAGGCTCCATTCTGAAATTTTTGTCTGCCGTCAGTTCTAAGCGCCCCGCAGTTTTGGCTTAACTTCAAATTTGGTCCCTCTACTGCGAGACATATATTTTGTGGGCGAAACTTCACTCTGAGCCCTCTCTCCTTCTTAAATGTTGCCTGCGTACTAAGTCGGCGACGTTTTTGTAGTTTTGTGGGCGGCATCGTTTGTAGGCATTTTGTTGCCTTCATTCTCAGAAAATAACACAAAAAAAATCCTCGAATAAAATCACTTGAAATGTCCAAGCTTTGGTCGCTTATAATGACGATATTTCACAAATTCAATGCAGGAAGCAAAACAAATTTCACTAATTTCCACCAAGTGTGGGCTCCGGAAACGTTTATTTTTCATCTCGTCGAATGTCCGAATTTGAGTCACTATGGTTGGATATAGAAACGACTTGGAAATGAGTTTTACGGATCATCGGCGCAAAATATTTCGCCGCCGAAGTCCTTTTGGCACGTGTGGAACCCAGAGCTTACTTTCTCTACTCGGCACGCGCCTCTTGGCTGAGCCCCGCTGGCGGAAACTTCCTTAGAAGCTCAAAATAACAGCAAAGAGACAAGAGTTCGAAGCCGTCCCATTCATTATCCACTTCTTGACTCATTTTATTTTTGCTTTGAAAATATGCAAGCTTCGGAAAACTTCTTTTCAAATATCTCGAAAAACGTTTTGTGATGCGTTTCCTACAAGCTGTCGTGTTGCCAGGAAAAAAGACCTATTTCAAAATTCCCCATTTTGGTGAAAAAGTTCGTGTGGTGGTGGCGACGTCAACACAAAAAAGGTCGTCTGAAATCTAGCGCCACTTCAAAATGTGATAAACTGCCGTTTTTTCTAATCTCAAATTTAGCGCTTCTCTCTCTCTTTTTTGCTCAAGGAAAGCCAGAAATCTCTATACAAGCTGCAAAGGCGTGTATACTAAGACGGTACTAACAAAAAGATTTCCTCATTTTTTTCTATTGTTTTAGGACGCTAGGAAGAAACAATCATGAAGGCTCCTCTTGAAAATTGAGTGCTTATTGAAGAAGTTCATGGGGAATGCTTGAAGGGTGAAGACAATTGCACTTATTAAGAGCAATAATTGAATACAATGCACGAAAAAATTAAAGACAACTGCAAGAAAGGGCTCTTCCTTCTCTGATTCACAAGTTTGCTACACGTTACCAACTTTGGCAGGAGTCAAAAACAAAGGCTCGGGAAATTGAAAAACACACCGACTTCGTATTCATTCCTTTTTTTTCGGTTTTTTGAGTAGTTCAAAGGGATTGAAATGAGGGAAAATAAACTTCCGATTCAAGTCGAAGTTTCAGTTTGTCTTGCTCAGCTTCCACTGTGGTGGTATATTTTCATAAAATGATATTTATCGTATTGATATCACTATCAGCTAAAAATGTGGGCGAATTTGTGAACACATGTCCAGTGAATTTTATAAAAGAGCAACCAGCTATTTTCCGCAGATAATAATGTTTGAATTCAGAACCGAAAATGAGAGTTGTGACCCACCTGATGTACCGCATTTCGTATGAAGTATCACAGCTGATTTCCGTGTCATTTGTCGTGTCATTCATTAACAGTAAATTCCCTTCGATGATGATGTCCTCCATGGTCTTTTTACCTTAACCAATTTATTATCTTTTGAACTTGGTCTTTTTGTTCAAATCCCTTTGAGAACATAGCATAACAGAGCAATAGAAAACATAATTAGAATGCTGAAGCTCTAAATAGACTCATTCGACATTTTAACCGGCATCTCGGAATAAATGAGTTATTGGGGAAATTCGAATGAAAATAAAAAATATCCCGTCAATCTTACCAATTCAGATGAGCAGATTTTCAAATTTCCACGCAAAAATAATTAGAAAAAAATTAGAATAAATTGTTTCGGGTCTTTTTTTTTAGCTCTTTACACTTTCAAAAATTTCGATTTGCTTCCTTTCAGTTTGAAAACTTCTTCAATTCTATTACGAAATCAATAGTAAAAGAATTTTGTTACATCAACTCCTCTGGGAGCCTAATTTTTCATCCAAAGCATTTTAAAAATTTTCCTAGCCAAAAAAACCTTTCCATGCGACAAAGAATTCAAGTTTGGTTTGGTGCCTTGTGCAGAAAAGAATGGAAATGAAGAAATAAAAAACGTTTCATGGTGGAAATAAAGCGGAAGCAAAAGTTGGTTGAAACCACCCCTCCAGCCGTCCTTCTGCTAATCTTCAGGTCTAAACCTTCCAAACCAAAGTGAGCCGCCGTTCGACAACTTTCTGTTAGGAAATCATGTCAACATCTATTTTTTATCATACCACAGGAGAGAAAACTCGGTACCACAAATGTTTAATTTTTGTTAATGTTATATGAAAAGGTTTTTTTGTAAGTTTCCAATGAGCAGTTCTAAAGTAAAGGAAACAAGGTTCTGTAAAGGAAAATTTTCACATGTTTCTTATATTTCGAATCTAGCGTTTCGCATATGCAAATAACCACAAGAAACAACGAGAATCCATTCTGAAGCAAGTCTGAAATATCCGATTTCTTCACGTTCGTAGTGAGCCAGATGATTACTTGCTTCCATTTTTATGATAAAGGTTTTGGAAAAAAAAGCAAAGAGCAAAAGGTGAAATGAAGGATGCCGAACGGGAGAAGGAGCAGAAGCCTACCGCCAAGCCGTGGGTTTCTCCCATGGGCGGGGCTCCAGTAGTATGTTGGTAGGCGTGGCACAAAATAGTTTGATTTTCTCATCCACTCTCGAAAATTGATCTCTTTCTCCGTGAAAATCGAAAGTGGCCAAGATGATAATTTTTGGATGACGTCAGAATGTCAAAATACTTTATTCTGGATAAGTACAGCTCCATCTGTGGGAATTTTCATGAAAAGGTATCTTTTTTCCAGGGAAATTTTTCATGCGCATCATTTAATGTGGTCTGTTCAAAGAACATAAAAAAAGAGCGAACGTCTGCAATTGCAAAATGGGATCGCGACATATTGCAACATATTCGTTCAGCAATTTCCGTAAATGAAGGGACGGCCTCTCTTTTTCGGCTTGTTTATGGGGTTGCTAACCAGCTTAGTCTTTTGATACAAGCCGAAGCTTTGTGTTTCTGGTGTTGAAGTCTGTGTTTAGAAGATGCCCAGTGTTTAATAACCTCGCAAGACATTTGCAAGAAATTTCTCATATTTTTTCGAAAAACGACATTTAATGCAAAGAATGACGTTTTCCGTACGAATTCGATGTAAGCTGAATTATCTCCTAGTCCAAAGGAGTTAGCGTAGCATACAAATTCTAATTCCTAGATCTTCTCAATCTCGAAAAACTGCTGCAAGGGAAGCTGACCGCTTTTGATCGCACAATTGCAGTTGGTTTTCCAGTTATGCTAAAATGGGAAACTGGAATCGAGAAAATCTTTGTACCTGAGGAACATAACAACATGGTTGCAGGTAGCATTTAATGCCAGCACGCTCAAAATCTAAATTTGTCGACAGTAATTTTTCTCCCGATGCCTTTTTGTGTGGAGGAAACTCTACAACGCCAACCGATTTTCTACTTTCAGCCTCGCATCTGGGAGAAGACTCTCAAGGTATCCAAGAAAAAGAAGGATATCAAACGAGCATCGTAAGATTAAGCAGATTCTTTTGCGAGATAATCAAAAGAGGTTCGGTGATTTCGAATCATCCGTCAAACAAAACAATCAAAGACCTGAAACAAACATAAACGGATGTAAGAGGACGCATGGCGCTTGTTTCAGAAGAACTAGCGCTAGGGCCGGCAAATTAGTTCGCCCTCGGCGATCGACAATTTTCCGTGTGTCTCAAAAGAACGAATCCCTGCTCTTAATCATATTGTCACCAGAGGATCCAGTGTGAACGAGGAGAAACTCAGCACTTTGCAACTTCGCAACAGTTAGTTCCGTTGAGTGCCATGTGCCCTTCCTAGACTCCCTTTGAGCAACTTGCTCATCCCGGCCAATTGAAATTCAAACCAATTTTTCCGTTTTGGAAAAGCCACATAGTTGGAATGGCATCGAAAAATGTGAAAGAGTTCTGAAAGAAAAGTTGAAAATTGGTAATTTTGTGCGCAAAGATCAGAACTGGGTGGATATTAAGAATCGATCAGCATCTTTGAGAACGTCAGCAAACTGTGTCTACGGAACGTGAAATTTTTGTTACCGTACATGGCTAAAAATTGGAGAAAACATTTGGAGAAAGCAGGAAGAAGAGAAATGCAAAAAAAAAATAGAAAAAAACTCGTCCTGCGTTGGCCGAAATCACGTTATTTTATATTTCGGAGTCTTGGTTTCAGAAAAGTTTAAGAACTCTAAAAACTTTATGCCTGGAAACAAGAATGTAGAAGACTTTCGAGAAACATACAGAGAATCTAAAAGTAGATGCACACCGAGCAGAAAATGAGATCAATTATTTTAGCTGAAAAACATTCTCCGCCTTGACCTTGTCCAATTCCGCACCCTCAGGGCATGCGGCCTTCTAGCACGGTGTCCCGCCATTAACAAAAGTTTGAACCTCAATTTACATTTTTCTGGGTGAATGGTTAAGCTTTTCCATTTTGCCGTCATTTCCTTCTCAAAACTCCCACACTGGTGAACTTTTTTGAACTTTTCTGCTTTGCGTGACTTCCGAATCATTTTTTTGAAATCAAGCTAAGTTATTTATTAGTCCATACGTAAATTATGCATACAGTGCTAAATAAATATGACAAAATGTTTGACGTGGAATGAAATAAATATAAGAAAGATTTTCAAGTGCAAAATAAACTCTGATACCGCAATTTAGTTGAGAGAAATGGAGATTAAGTCGGAATGGCTACGAAACCCAGAAGGCTTGGCATCAAAGCAAACGAACTTTCGGGCTGATAACCAAGTTGATTCATAAATTGCTTGTTTCGAGAAGCGTAAATAACTGACTTTACAAAATACACAGTCAAATGGCGTAAGAATAACTAATACTCTTATTGCAATAAATTAAAAAAACAAGGGCTAAAAACCAATAAAAACTATAAAATACCACGACAAATGCACAACTTTTCTAGAAACAAATTATTGCTAAATAATCATCGGGAACAAAGTTGAAGTGAATGGAGCATTGAAGATTCGAAAACGAGATAGAAAATTTGGCACAAGGTCTCATAAGTGGTACAGTAAATTATTTGAGAAGAATAGTCTTGTTGGGCGGAGTTGTCTTGCAGGAAGTCGGGGAAAGATTTCCAGGACTTCGAGGACAAAAATTAACATCGAGTTTCGTAAAGACCAGATCGGCCGATGTATCGTACCCATTTGATGACGTCATGGTCAGAGTAATTGAGCTTTGGTTCGAAGACTTTGAGGTAGCGCACCTTCAAGCCAGAAGGAGCAAACGGCACCTGGAACCGGTCGAGTGTTAAGTTTCTCACGTTTCAGTTGCCTGGTTTCGCGAAAGGCAATAATTTTATTTATTATGCATCGAAGCTTATGATTTTCCAGTTTGAGCTTGTCGATGGGTTCAAAAACTTCATGAATACGCAACCACTGTTTTGACGTAAATTTAAATTGAAGACAAAAATAACTTTTTTTTTTTTGACAGCTCCAGAGAGGTTCATCAGTTTTACAAAAAAACGGGGCTCAAAAGAGTTTTACAGCCATATTTTGCAAGAGCTGAAACTTACTTTACTACCTTCTATGAATATTCTTTTGACAACAGACCTCTCAAACTTTCCAGTGAGACCCTCTTTTTTTTTAAATTTTAGAACATTTACCTCGAAATTCATGCTAACAGGGGGACGATTCCACTTTTTCTTCTCAACACTTCCCGTGGACAGAAGATCAATTTCAGCCGAAATCTGACTTTCCTTCATGCCTGCCATACGTTTGATCCTGAGAAAGTGGAGTTTTGGCTGCTCTTCCATAAAAATTCTTCTTACTTCCAAACGATGGCGTTTTCTCCAGCCTTGTACTTGGCCTTGCCTTTCATGCAAATCAGCTGGACTCCAGAAGTGTTCGGCGGCGTCGGAATACGGACTTCAATTTTTTGAGCTAGCAGAGACGGTTTGAAGTTGGATTTCACGACAACCTAATTAACAAAAAGGTTTTAAATTTTCTGTGAACAGTCCGCCTACTTTCACTTCCATTTTGTTTCTCGACACTTCGCGAACAAGTGGAATGACACGGAATGGCAGTTGAATGTCCTTAGTGGTTCGATACCTGGAATGAAACATTGAAAAAAAAAATCTTATTTTTTTAAACGGTTGATTTTGAGCGAATTTAAGCTCTCACTTTGAACTTTGATAGAAAACATTTCTTGTCGGCAACTAGTTGAACACTACCTAATTTTCACTTTAACCTGCCTCAAAATTACCTAATTTTTACTCTAATTGATTAACTCAGCAGACTATCGACTTTTTTTATACAAGTTTACGTTTCAAGCTCTTTTTTTATTTGAAACTTTCAAGCCCCTCAATTTTATTTCAACTTTACCTTCTTTTCAAAATTTTAGGTTTTGAAAAAGCAGAAGGAATTTGAATTATCGATTTCCACATACTTTTCACGTTTTACAAAACTTCTCTTCAAATTGCGTCATTTTGATAACCTCCCTTACCTCATCAATTCATATTCGCCATCGGGAGGAATGAACGAAATGGCATGTTCCGTGTCGAACTTTGTCAACTTGACGCATTGATGAAACTGACAGTCGTCGATTGCAACGGCGGCGCGACCTCTGCAAAATCTATCTCGATGAAGGACGTTTGTACAAAGCGAACGATTTGTTTGGGTCCTCGGTGCCAGTTTTTGATTTGCCTTCGATTGTGATCTTGTCGTTGATTCCGAATTTACACTCTGGCATGCCGCTTAAGTACGATTTCATCGCGACTTTCCCCGCTACATGCGCCGAAAGAACTTGTCCTGAAAATGATATTTTTACAATGGGGAAAAAGTTTTTTAATGTTTTTCATTATTTTTTTAATATCAAAAATTACTACACCTGAGTTAAAAAAAACTCTTTCATCAAGAAAGCTCAAAATTATAAACAAAAAATTTTAGATTCGAGAAAATTTGGTGATTTGTTTAAAAAGTTCGAAGATTGAAGTTTCATTATTTTTGATGCGGTTGTGAATTTTAAAAAAAATTTTCCATTTTACGTGCTCGATCTGAACTCACGAAGGAAACTTTGAGAAACGTTTCTTAACACCCTCCACTGATCTATGCTCACTATAAAAAAATGTGCCGGTCCCTGGAGTTTCAGAAAAAAAGTTCGATTTTTTTATACATTTTTTTACTTCATGCGAAAAAAAGAATTTTTCTAATTTGAAAGCATAATTTTTTTTCAGAAAAAAATCAAGTTTTTGAACCCTTTTTCAGACGTTTCATTATTTTTTCAACCAGAACAAACTGATTTTATTGAACTAGATCGGTCATCAATATTGGCTGAACTTTTGAGTTCAGATCCAGAAAGAGAGCCCGCAGATGGTAATTTCAGTCTCATTCAAAATTCTCATTTTTCTCCACCCTCACCTTGCTGGCTCATGAGAAGATTCACGTATTCGATGACATCGAGGAAAAGCTCGTTGCGTCGGTATTTAATTCCCTCACGTCTCCAGCCAATTTGCCCGGTCACTTGAGACGTGATTTGCGACTGCTCTTCTTTGGTCTGAAGTTCTCCTGATACACATTTAAGAGTAGATGAATGTCATTTCTAGCACTACTTCTCAACCAGAACTGAATTTTCTAAGGTCCAACACAAGCCACAGAACAAATTCACAACGTCTATTCACTCTCTCACAACATGACACTTACCACGGGTATTGGAACGTCCTGCAGAAAATAAATATGGAAAATTCGTTTAGAATTAATGAGAAAAAATTACCGCAGTTCGGACTCCTTGCTGAGTGATGAACGTCTTCAGAACTCCAGGATCTGTGTTCTGGGGGTACCCAAAGTCGAGAATCTCTGCAAGATTTTTCATCATGATTCTAATTCAAAATAGAAAAGATAAGCTGCAAGAAACCCACCATCGAGCAGTTCGTAGATTAACACAAAGTTATTTTTGACGTTTTCTTCGTTGAGCTTTCCAAAATAGGACTGCATCGTGTCCGCAAAGCGTTTTAGAAACTGAAAAAAAAACGATAAAATTAAAAAAAAATTACTACGAGAACCTCAAAAACCATAGCTGCGTTGACATTTTGGCGGGTTACGGCACAAATCCACACGTTTCCTCGTTTCACGTGGAAAAATGACGTTCGTGCCATATTTGTGACCGGAGACCGCACCTGTAGCTTTGAATTATTGTATTTTATTATTGAAAACTAGACAAAGTTTTAAGTCAAACGGTTGGAAAGATCTTGAAAGCAAATTGACTTTTCCCAGAACAGAGAGAAAATCAGATTTGGCTTCTCAAAAATCTTTTTTTCCTCAATTTTTGAAAAAAATTTTTATTTCACTCTTACAGTGAATTCATGGAAATTTTGAAATTCCTTTCAGAAAAATTTTGAGTGAAACAGTATTCCAGAATAGTGATAAAACTTGAAAAAAATGTTGAATATTTTGCTCAATCCTCGTTTCGTGTGCTTAATTTTTTTCTTTTTTTAGGAAAAAGGTTATGTACACTTTCAAAAAAATTGCAAAAAAACAATAAATAGCAAGATTAATAAACAAAAAAATGATAAAAAAATTTTTTTATTTTCATTTGTTAAAAAGCGTCAAAAAAATCGAAAAACAATTGTTGTGTTACCAAAATTTTTCCAGAATTAATTATTGCTGAACATTTTTTTAACAAATATTATTTTTTTTGTAACTTTCGCTACAAAACGAGCACTTCTTTACATTTGTTTAAATGATTAAATTGACTATAAGAACGTGTTTCCAAGATAAACGCAGTAAAAAATTTAAATAATCTACCTGCTGTCGGGCATGGATAACATTGACTCGAAACGCGTCAACAGCGTTCCTCCTTAAAAACATATTTGACTTTTTTTAGTTTCAAATGAATTTCTGAAAAAAATTCGGAAATAAATACTCACGTAACGTCATCTCGATAAATACGCGAGATGAGGACTTCGCCTTTGTGATTGTAGACGAATAAGCCCCCAATCATGGACGACCTGTAAATATTTCAATTCTTAAATGTAAGAAAAACAAAAAAGCCACAATTGTACAATTTAAATGAATTTGAGGTCTGTCAGAAAATAAAAGTTTCAATGGAACTTCAGGAAAATTTGAAAAATTTTATCTTATCGATATAATCTCAAAAATTTGAAAAAAAGAAAAATGATTGAGGAAGGTTGAATTTTTTTATTTGTTTTAAAGCCAAATAATTAGAATAATTAAGTTTTGAAACATATGGACGATAGAGTGGCTGTTTAAGAAAAAAAGAACGATTCGATCAGGTTGACTTCGAAAATTCTGAACTTTTTCAAATAGATACAGTTTTTCAAAAAAAGTTTTTCGACCAAAAAGAACTCTTTTTTTACTTGAAATTATAAGAAAAAAACCAAAAGATAAAGCGAATCAATAAAAAAATATTCCGACCAAAAAAATGTGGGTATGGGAAAAAAAGAGCGGAAACCTTACGGGGCGAGAACAAGTGTTCGCCTTCTTTTTTTGCTCTTCTCCGCTCTTTTTGCCTTTTTTTCGACAGAAAAAAATAGCCACAAAGTGAGATATGAGAATAGAGAAATTTTTTTAACATGATAGATAAAACTTTCGGATTAAAGAGAGGTTCAAGAATTAATTTTGGAACTAAAAATTGAAGTTGAAGCAACTTAAGACGTTCAGAGGAGAATTTCAAGAAAAGACTGAAGCGAATCGAGGCGAAGCCGTTGTTTTCCGATATTATTGGGCGCAAGGCTTCGCTCTCTCGTCCGCGATTCAGACTTTGGACAAGGAACCGCGACGCATGGCTAGCAGAGCGTCGCGGTTAGCCGTGACGTCGGATGGTTAGCGAGAGAGCGGGAATGTCGGTCCCTTTTCCCGCCAATCTTCTTTTTTCCTGCTCACACTCTCACGAGCTCACGTCTTCCGCTGCTCCTTGAGGTTCAATAACCTCTGATTGGTTTCTTTTTTCGCGATTGTGTTTTTTTTTGGCGTTCGTTTTTGTTTCGCGCGACTCAAATTGCATGTTAGAAATGCATTGTATAAATCAAACCTTATGCGACACTTTCGTCTGAGAAACAAGTGAATTGAGCTTAATTGTCTAATTATTTTGGACGTTCGAAACGAAACCTATAATTTTCATATTTCAAGAAAAAAATGGTGAATTGCAATAACCAAAAGAGTGTTCTAAAAACAAATGAAAGCATTTATCAAACAATAATTGAATCTTGGCTTGTATCTAAAAAAATAATGGACACATCGATCAAAACCGGAAAACTTTAATTATGATAAAACGAATTGTTTTGAATAGAGAATATAGAAAAAAGTGAGAAAATCGAAAAAGCTTATGAAAATAGTTACAAGCGACGAATCTCTCCTCCTCGTGTCGTTATAAATTGCGCGCACGTTATCACGGAATCACCAATTACCGTATTACTTGTTGTTCTTAAAAAAATTCTTCCCATCGCAAAACTGTTTTTGACTAAAATTGTATAGAAAACAAACTGAATTTTGAAAGTCCAAACAACGGAATTCGAGATGATTCGTGCCGCGAGTGGGCTTTTGACTTTGCTGTTTTCGCTCGGCCATATTGCCTCAAACTGGCTCCTTTGCACAACACAATTGTTCAAGTATTCACTTTTATTCTTACCGTTTTTTGTATTTTATTTTGTTTGAGGTGGCTCTTCTTATATATTTTTTGGTTTGAGTGATTCGATGTCCCTTTTTTTCGTTAAACGATGCCTTTTAAAAAAACGCAACATTCGGAAAACAGGAAGTCATATGATCTACAGAATTTTTATGTCATGGTTCCGACAACCTTGTTACTTTAGTTGAATTCGGGCCGTTTTCTGTGTTGGTTGTTTCAAAGTTTTACGGCGATTTTATTTTTATTGCGTCTAAAAGGTTACTTATTGCTATCGAAATATGCAAACACCGCGGAAAACGTTGAGTTTTCTTTTCATGGCCTTTTTTTGCTCACCGGTTCGCGTGACTAATGATGACGTTCTGGTTTCCCGTTTCTTTTATGGTTTTTTGTACTGTTTCCCAAAGAGATCTTGAATAGTTTTTAAACTTTTGAACAAATAGAAAAAACTTATTTTTTAAGTTTCGTGAACCAAATTATCATTGAATTGAACAGACCCTGTGTATTATTTCAACATTTAGTATCAGCCTTTTCTGCTGAAAATCGATCCAAAATATGCATCTGTATGTTGGGGAAATTCTCACAAGTCGACAAACGCCTTTGATGTTTGCCGTGGGACGGGTTTCCAAATCGGCTGCGATTGATTGAATGACCCCTCGAAGCCACATTTGTCGCATCTGCTTCCCATAGTCATCATAGATCGGCTCCCAATTTTTATCAAGGCTTCACATCCACTCTGATAGCATCAAAATATCTTTGTTTACACTGTTTTCGGCGATTTTCGGTTTTGGCTCACGAGCCTCCGGCGCACGTTTCGTTCAGCCGTCTGCTGCTGACTTTCCCGTTATTGTGGGAATGTATCCGAGAGTTCATGTAAAGTATTTAGACATTTTTTTTTTTTGAAAACCTTCACTGCTTTTAAGGTTCCAGTAAGTAATATTTTCATGTTTTTAATAAATTCGAACACTTTCTGAAGAGTTATCCTCATTATATGAAAAAGAAGAAATTTTTTGCAATAAATCTTGCTTTCGATTTAGTGAGCTTCAAATTCCGCAAAATACGAGAATTATGACAAAAAAGCATTTTTTGGATGGAAAACGCCCTTGGTGACCAAAATAAAAGTTATACTTTTCTCTTTAGCTGGAGTTTGTTGAAGCGTGAGACAATAGCAAGTTGTCTGAAGACCTGCGAGATCTTGACAGGAACATTCCCCATTTTACAAAAACTATTTTTACCCGAGAATTCCTTTCTTTCGTCTTTATCGAAATTGAATCTCACCATGCAGATTGTAATATTTTTTTCAAACCTGCCGACTTGTCCTTCTTCGTTGCCTTGCGGAAAATTTTCAAAAGAGAACACGAGCGTCGCATGCAGCAACGCCGTCTGCTCGTCTATTCTGTCCCGCTTTTTCCTATACAAACTTTCTTTAGAGATTTTTTTCTGCTGTATTATTCTGTTTTTTTTCTTTTTGGGAATTCTTCGTGCTACTTCTCGTTTAATTGACATTCTGAAAACTTGAACGTTTCATATGAATTCGGTATTCATGGAAAGAAGTAAGTCCGGAGAGCGAACTTATTAGTTCATTCGAGTGGTAATAAGAGCCTTCGAAAAGTCACGCAGTGGATTCATCCGGTGCAAACACGTGTCGAAATATCAAACGAAGTCCCTCATTTATTATGCTCAGTTGCCGAAACGACAAAAAAGGAACGCGCCATGTCGTTTTTCTTCCTCGTCCTCACCCCATAGTCAGTATCTCTTCAAAGTACGAGAACCAGCTTTCGTCGCAAGACGCACTTAACAAATCGAATTGAATCAAATCTTTAGTATAGCCAACACAATTATTCCATTTTCCGGAGCGTTTTAGAGAGACAGGTGGTTGAGCGTCTTCTTTGAAAGCCATTTCCTCCTTCTTTCCCAATTTTGAATGTCGCTCGCTTCATTAGATCGGTGCCTAAGGCTGGTGTCACGTATTTGAGAACCTAATTAATTTTTGTGCCCCAACCAACCAGAAATCACACGAAACTTCTAGTTTAATTTTGAAAAGAACTATTTAGCCTAGATTTCTATTTCAGATAAAAAAAACCTGAAATACGAGTTTTCCACATTTTTTTCCACACCATATTAATTCATGACCGTAAAATGGTATGCAAAAAAAAATATGATAGCTTAGGTAATCCAAACATTTTAGGTAAACGCAAAACGTCTCAATTTGATAATACAATTTTCTTTTCTTACATGTAATCAAACGCTTCGAAAAAAAATGAATAAAAGATAGCGAATTCATTTTTTTCAAAATAACTTTTTAATGTCATATGAAAATATTTCGATCTGTTTTGTTTTTGGGATTTATCTGAACAAAAACAGGATGTCCCTCGTTTTTTCTCGTCACTATACGTTGTTTTGTGCATACACCGAAACGCCACGTTGCGGAAATATGCTCGATACCTTCACGTTTCGCTGCCTCTTTTTTTTCCCCTTTTTTGAACTTGTATGCTCTCTTTGTGATATCCATGAGGAATTAAAAGCAAATATTGCTGGAAATTGTGTTTTTTTGCAAATTATCCAAACACAGTCCATAGCGAAATGTTATTTTGTGGAGCTTTCGCTTGCTATCAGCAGACGACTTATCGGTGACTCCGCTCCTTTGTTTGAAATTCAATCAATGCAAAGTTGTCCGTAATCCCTGTTCCCTGTCGTTTCGTGTCATTATTGAAAAAACAGACGATGAATAGTTATACGGTTTCTGGGAGCAAAAAATGAGAACTGAGTTGAGTTGATTTTTTTTTTTGACAGAGAAGTTAAAATCTCTTTTTTCAGCTGCATAATTGCTGAGTTCACACTTTTTTTCTTGATAGTTGACTACACTATCTATAGTTACCAGATAATTTATAGGAACTTTTCCGCCTTCAACATTTTATTCTGGCGTTGCGATGAAGATTCATTTGTCAGGAAGATTTGGTCAATTCTAATAAAAAAAGTAAAAACATTTTTTTCCGCTTTGTTTTTCAAGAAAGTCTTTCTTTATGGAAGGAGAAATAGTCACTTTTCTGAAGTTTTGCAAAGCTATAAATTTGATGTACTCCTAATAAAAAAAAGGAAGTTACCTCCAGCCGCCAATAGTTGCTTAAACATGTTTTCAGACAGGACTTTTTCAAAAAAGTTATTAATGTCAAAAAGCGGCAACGATTAGTCATTTCCGCATTCACTCTTTCCACTTAAAGTTCTCTGACATTGCGTTTGATATTTGTTCCGTGGTATATCAAAACTTTCGATGAATTTTCTCACAGAAGACAATTTCTCTGACAACATTGCTCAACAATTTTTCGATTTCTCCTGTTTTCTAGAAAGATTTTGTGTACACAACGAAGGGAGACGGTTCTAAAGATAGTTCTTATCGATTCATGTGTTCCACGACCACTGCTCGGTACCCGGTTGCGCGAAAAAGATAAGTGACAGACATTTTTAAGATGCTGTATTTTTAATGTAGTTAGTTTATTTTATTTTGTGTGTCATCCATTTACATTTGGATTTTGAAGAGTTTGCACAGCGCTGTGTAGCAAATTTCAAAAGATGACGCAAATACAAGGTAAATAGTATAATGGTTGTCGACATTTGTTTTTGGAAGAAAAAAATCCCAAATTTTACTGTATTAAAAAAATTCTTCTGCTTTTAATTAGAAACCTGACGTCTTTTTTTCGGAATTATACTGAGACGTCTTGAAAGGCCAAGAATCAAGCTATGAACAAAACTTTTCCTTTTTCCAACCTATTGAATGAAAAGTCAAACAAGAGAACTATCTACCATTTACCTACACAGTTATTTTTTTTAAATTTTTTTCAAATTTACCTCTTACTTTCAAAAAACATGTACCTCGCAAATTTTTGACTACACTTTAGCTCAATAGGATTAACTCGAATTGTAAATTCGGAACCGTATTACTCATTCAAGAGAATGGTAAGCGTGTAGCGCACACATTTGGACACCACCAATTAGCCGCCACTAGTCCGATTTGCGCCGTCTCTCTCCTTTTTTCCTGTTTCGTTTCCCGTCGTCACTCCATTTGTGTTGAAACCGAGAAGTATTTCCACGTTTTTTAGAGATGCAATCTCTCCGGAAGCTCATGAACAAGCCGCGACCCGACGATTGGGCTCCTCTCGCAAAGTTTTACTACGCAGACGAGACATTGAACGATATCGGTTTGCTTTCCCATAACATTCTTTTAGAACGAGAGTTTTCTCGATTCTGAGAAGAAAAATGTATCATCGTTGTAGCCTGTTCCTAGGAATTCTTGTCTCCTTCAATTTAGATAAGAGACAAAGTTTTTTGTTTTCAAATAATCCAGACTTTTGAACGGATAAAAAAACCAATCATGTATGTTCTACTTCAGTGCTTTATATGCTATTCAAGAGAGTCGCAACAAAATTTGTTATTCTCGCTGAAATTTCATTCGAAAACCAAAGTTTCAGCAAGCGAGTTGGACTCATTCGATGGTCGGAGAGATCCTGAGCGTTGCAACGGCTTGGTAAATAAACTACGGGTGGCGCAAGACCGGGTTTTACATATTATTGGTTAGTTTCAGAGCAAAATTTTCAAAAACAAGCCATTTTTTTAGGGGAAATGTTAGTGATTTTGTATCCACGCGAATCTGACAGGGCGTGTCGCGACTTCCGCGTCAAATTTCCAGACGATATTGTTCACGACACACTCCCAGGGCAGCTTTGGTTTGGGGCCGAGGTTGGGAAAATCTGAAAAAGATTAGGGGAACTCATGAAATTTTACAGTGCTTGGCAGCTGGATCGAATATCATCGATCACGAAGCCGAGTCCGATCACATCCGACCACTTGCTAAAGAGCTGACTAGGCATTTAGACCACTTGCGAGATTTGTTAAAGGTTCATTGAGTTTGAAAAAAACCTAAACAAATCTTCATTTCCAGGACCAATCACTGCGAGACCCTTCTGCCTATACCGCAACTATTAAGGATAGTTTGTTAAAGTTTGACAAACTTTTCGCGGATTTTGAGTATCAGTAAGTTCAACTTTGAGAGTATGAGGTGTAGTTCATTTTTCAGATATGTGTCCGCGATGGTTCCTGTCAAGTCCGTGAAAGAGCACGACTCCCAACTTGATGTCGCTGTTCTCTTCTCCGAAGTTCTTCACCGGGCAATAGCCAAGAATCTGATCACTCAAGATCAAATCGACTATTGCGATCCTTCGGTCATGATTGCAATCCCTCGCCTTGGAATTGTCTGGTATGGAAAAATAAAAAATAGTGGATTTTGATAATGATTTCAGGGGACTTCTCTACTATCCTGACGGAGCTTTGAACGTTGAGGGACCCCAGGAGAATCTTTCTGAAATGTTCAGACCTTTTTACTCGCTTTTGATCAAAATCAGAAACCTCCTTCAAATCTTGTCACAAAACGAGCTCATCAAGGTTAGTTATTATCTTTTTTTTTTCACAACTCAAACATTTCTCAAGGATGCTTTGATTATTTTAATTTCTCTACAACACACAAAAAGGATTTTTAGGTGGAGCACGTCCTGTGCAAAGGAGAGTCGAACGCTCCTGAAGTTCATACTGGAGCTCTGACGATGAGCGACTACCGTGCCAACGAGGAGAGCAAGAAACGAAGCGGCTGGATCGGCAAGCCTTCCTCGAGCAACTTGAAAGACATCCTGTCTTCCCTCTCCGCAGAAGTCGTCGCCGAATCACCATCTCCTTCTGGCGAGGCTTCTGAAGAGAGTTCTGACGAAAACGTAGAAGACGAGGAAAGCGTTGATGACGAAGAAGAAGAGGATTCCTGCTCCGAACAAGATGAGCCGTTGGAAGGGTTTGTTGTACTCGTTTTGTTCTATAAATTTATCATAACCTTTTTTAAGGTTTCCGCCCGATCCGAAAAACCTACGCCAACGTTTCCGCTCATCGGACGATCTTGTGCACAGGTACTGAGTAATTTTATCTCCTAACAGAAAATCAACAAACAACATTTTCAGACTGTTCGTTTGCATCGCAGGCGTAGCAGACCAATTGCAAACAAACTACTCGAGCGAGGTCCGCAAAGTGCTGAAAATGATTCTGCAGCCAAGCGAAGTTATCCCTGTTTATGAGGTTTTGATCAAATTTCTAAAATAAAAAGTTTTGTTGTCTTCTTTATCTTGGTAAATGTCAGAATGATGGAATATTTTATAGGTCAGTGCTCAAATGGCAGTCGGACCTGAAGGAGAAGAAGAAACGGGTATTGAGGTGCAAGAATCTCTTCCACTGCCAGCTTTCATTGGTCAGTTTTTTTGGATTTTTTTGGATGGATTTTTGATGAAACTGAATCTGTTTTTTTCAAAAAGTAAAAAGCGGGAATTCGAAATTTGAAAAAGGACAAATACTGAGATAATGAAAAAAATGAATTTAATAAAAATCATGCCCAAAAAATAAACAAGAATCAAAACAGATTAGGAATGAAATTTACACAAATCAAGCTGAATTCTTGAATAAAAATAACATTTTTCTGAAACTCAGCTGCATAAGTAATCTTCTGCAAAAAAATAAATTACAAAAAAAGTTCTTTTTCTAATCTTCATGGTTTATTGGACTTGATGTGCCGAATTACACTGAGATATTGCTCTTTTCATAATCCGCGAAACCTCTGCAAGTTTTCAATATAGCGACTACCAAAATGGCTTCATTTATCCAAAAATATCTTTTTTTAATTCTGAAGTGCAGGAACTATGAAGTGTGGTCCAAAGAATGAAGACCAAATATATTAAAAATTGATATGAATAGGAATGGGGAAGTAGTATTGACTTAAAGCGTAATGACGGCAATTATGGTGTTTCTAGACCCACCCAAAAAAAAATTTGCGCGAAAAGTTTGGAACTTGAAGTTGACTATTAATCCATATTGCGCCTCAGTAGACAGGTCTATCTAATTTTTAAGCAGCGTTTTGATCTCGAAGTGAAAAATCTTGAAAATGAAACGCTTCAGGTGTTCGATGGGTTCCCGACGAGGATTGCGAGCAATGTACCGCCTGCTCACTGCCGTTCACAGTTGTACGTCGGCGACACCACTGTCGGAATTGCGGACGAATTTTCTGCCATCGCTGCTCTTCTCACTCCATTTGCATCCCAGAACTTGGTTACGATCGAAAAGTATGTTTTCAAAAATAAAAATTCATATTTTGGATCGCTTAATCATGCCTAGCCAAAGATGCAAAAAAAAAATTGAAAAATATGATCGTCTCATTAATAAATGACAATAGTTTTAGTAAACCAAACTGTTTCAGGCAACAAATATTTGAGGTTCTTATTGTATAATGAGCATATTTTGCCTAACTTTCAAAAGAAATGAAAAGCTTCTAGTAACGCTTTTGCAACGATTTGATTTCTAGAATGGCGGCTTGAAAAAAAAACTTGAAAGCAGAATCAGAGTCAAAATATTTTAGTAAGTTTAACATTGAATTTTTCAAGGTTCGCGTGTGCAACCTGTGCTATCTCCATCGCGTGAATCCTTTCGGATGCGTTGGCTCCAGTACTCCTGACGCCAATCCAGCCACAGCTCCTCCTACCTCAAGCTGAAATTTTCTTCCATATCTGTACAGTTCTGTAAAAACTTCGGCCTTTTAGTTCTTCACTCTATTCATTTTTCTCATAGCCGACATATCATATCCCCCCGAAACAACGCCTTAAACTCCTTCCGATCATTACGAGAAATCTAGAAACATTGATTCATTTTTTGTACCATACATATATATACATATATAGTCGAGTACAACGCAGTGACAAAAACTTGGTCATTACGCAGCTATTTGAAGCGTTCTAAATGCGGGTGTTAATCTTTTAACGCTTTTCATTAATAAAAAAAATAAGGTAGTATTTTGCCACTGTTTTCTGTTATTCTGTAGTAGTTGGTGACTGCCGTTGTGCCTTCCGAATTTGCCGATACAGAATGTTTTTCTAGTCCTGGGTTTTTTTCATTGATGTGGGAGTGCAAGGCTTTATGAGTATTTCTATTTTCACGCTAGCTCGAAACTCCTTTTATCCTCTGTTTTGTGATCTTGAACTCGGTGATTTCTTTTGTACTTTCTTATATTTTTTTTTCTAACTCCCCGTGTGATTTTTACTGTTCCAATGGTTTTGATAAGCGTTTACAGGTTGTGAGAAGAATCTTAGTCATCGTTGCTTCCTCGAGAAATTGTGATTTTCTTTCGTCTTCCACTTTTAATGCTATTGTTCTGTTTTCTGCTAATTCTTACTGTTAAAATCCTGTGAATTTATTTCGATGAAGTCGCTGTCATAGATATCCATCCTCCCTGTTTAGAGCATTCATGCTCACTCTTCGTTTTTTGGTGAAACCGTTTAAATGAGTGGGTAGCTTTTCGTACTGAATCTTTTTTGTGCAGAGCAGTCCCACTGAAATAAATATTTTGAAACTTCAAATATTTTTTTTCATGTTGCATAAGATTACCGTTTCTGACTGGCAGCAAAATTTTCTAAAGCCGGTTTTTTTCTCGTAGATCCATCTCCACAGCATCGTTTATAATTTATCACCAATTGGTACTTTCTTGGTATAAACTAGACTTCGAAGCAAAGAAATATTATTATCCGGGAGAGTATGCAGTTTTCTGATATAAAGAAGCTAAAGTTCAGCTGCGCAAGTTTCGGCTCGCAATTTCCCGTGCGCGAGGCCTCGTTTTCCGCTATTCTTTAGCTTCTTTAGTGATTTTCCCGTCGGAATCTCTCCTCTCTCACTTCTGAATTTTTTTTTCATGCATCCGTGCGTCAAGAAATATTCCATGACTTATTTCTATTGTCCCTTTGCTATTAAATGAAAATATATGTGGGTTTAGCCAAAAAGTCATTCAAAATAATTCAATCCATTTATTATTGTGAAGCTTTTTCTTGGATTTATTTTATTGAGAAAGCTGCGCGACTTCCTATTTTCGGTTCGTAGCTTGGAAAAAAAAAATGGCGTGGACTCAAAAACATATCTAATAACCGGCGAGGATCAATATTATAACTCTCTATTCAGTCTTACATCTCTTTTTTGCAATTTTCGTTGGCACGCCTTCTGCCTAAAAGAGCTAATTTGAAGTTAGCGCGAGATGGCGGAATCGAGTGGAGGCCGAGGATTCGCACCGTCCATCTCGTCTCGCAGCTCCACTTTTCATTATCCGCGCCCTTTAGCCCCGCCTCCGGCCTTTGTTTAGTTACGTTCGTTTTTCTCGTAATTTTGATCTTTGTTCTCCGTCTGTCTTTTTTCATTAAGTTATTTTTGGCCCAAAAGTATATCCTTCAATCTTAGCGAATCCCAACGAGAAAAAAGTAAAATAGTCTTTCAAGAACTATCTTGGAAAGGCTTTCTGTTCCTTAGTTGATTTTTAAAATTGCCTAGTTGAAAATGAACGCCTAAGAAAAATGCGCACTTGAAGTCAAACAAAAACATCTGTTTATTTCATTTTTCCACTTCAAGAATTTTCTTTATAGAATGCACAAAAATGCTCTCAAAAAAACGAGAATAAAAAAACTAATTCTATAAAAATCAGGAACTGGTGATTAACTGAGACTCTAAGAAAGGAAAATCTAAAAACATAGTTTTTATGAAACTCCTTCAGAATTTCTTTCAAGCTTCAACCTTGGAATTTGAAGACTCTACAGCTTTTTTGCTCATAGCGCAGCTTTTCTGACCGTACTGAAACAGTGGAGAAATTTTTTTATAATGATTCATGAAGGTCATCGCGTAGGCGCAGACTTGTTCTGCGCCATTTGGGTTTAGCTTTAACTGCTGCTCTTAATCGAACTGTTTTCCATTTTTGAAGTTTCTGTCGTAACGACATTTCTGATCAAATTTTGAGTTAAAAAAGGCCAATTCTGGCTCCGAGATCTGAGCCCGAGCTCGTCAGCCGACCACGACGTGTATGGATGGCAACTTGACACCCTCTTCCGCAGCCGCACCGGTTTTCCCTTTTTCGTCTTCTCTTGTCTTTTCCGCTCAATCTGTTCCTTGAGGTTCTCCATTGCATACTTAGTTAGATTAACCCATTTGTAGGAAATCCTCCTCGAAGGACTCTTACATACGTTTCTTTTTGCAATATGAGAGGATCTGCGCTGTTTCGGAATGTACTCACTAATTGATTTGTCGTTGGAGAAAAAAAAACCCTTCATAGATTTTTCTCGACTTTTGCGAGAATTACGCAGTTTCGAAAGGCTCGAAGTTTTTTTTTCAAATTTTGAAACTGCCAAGTTTTCGGAAGTTTTCGTTGTTTCAACAGCAGCAAATTGAATCAAATCAATGACAAGATTCAATATTTTCGATGGCGAACAAAGCCTGCTGAAAGAATCGACTTTGGTTGTTCTTCATAGTATCAATTTCGCGAGGGTTTTTCAAGTAAGGATGTATGAAGAGTTCTCAGGCACTTTACTCCTTTTCCGTTCCGCTCGCTGCGCATTTCTCTTTGAAAAACTAGGAAATTCGTCATGAACAGAGGCACTACCTTCACAAAGCCGCTAGCTCAAAAGGTTGATTGATACGTGGAAAACTCACCGACGAAGAGGATGTTATGATAGCAGTTTTCAAGAAAGAAAAAAACGTTCGGTGTGCGTCATATTTGTCACTCAGTCACAAAAATAAAGGAAAGGGTGCTAATTGGGCGGAAGGCCGAGCTGAGAACTTGGAAAAGACCAACCTTCAACGATTTGTCCTTTTCTTCGCAAAGCTTTCAAACGGCTCTTTTTTCTCTCTCGGAATGCGTTGTCAAGAACTTCTTCTACATTTTTCGCTCTTTTCAATTGCTCTCTGCAATAATTTTCCCAGCTATGTTTTTTTTCTGAAGCTTTCCCTTGAATAACTGGAGAATAACTTCTGTTTCACTCATTATGTCTTTTTGTATCCAGTGCTCTGATCGACCTTTTTTCATGTAATTTCTTGTCTTTGATGCGTTTTATAGGCTTGAAACGCAATGCCGGAGTACAAGCTCACATATTTCAACATGATGGGAAGAGCAGAGCCAGCAAGGTTGATTTTCGCCTACGCTGGTGTTGCGTTCGTCGATGAACGGATTGAACGTCGCGATTGGCCTAACATGAAGCCTAGTTAGAACTGTTTCCTGTTTCGAGATCATTTCAGCTTTCAGACATGCCGCATGGGCAGCTGCCGGTTCTTCACGTGGATGGGAAACGACTGGCGCAGAGTCGAACTATAGAGCGTTATCTGGCAAAAGTATTCGGTAAAATTTATGCGCATCTACTTAGCTCTACAAGGAAATGATATTGGGTGGGAGCACAAAAAAACATTCTTCATCAGGTCTCGACGGCCAAGATGAATGGGAAACGGCGAAAATGGATGAGCTCGTGTCGGCCGTCGAAGATCTTCTCAACCACATTAATCCTTGGTTCAAAGAGCAAGATAACGCCAAAAAGGTCATTTTTCTCCATACAAGACATTCAAAAAACTGCCAGTTTGAGGTCGAGATATTCAAGGCGCTCTGTGACTCGGAAATATTGCCATTCATCGCGCGATTCGAAGCACTTCTTCTTGAGAACAAAACTGGTTATTTCGTGGGAGACACGGTTTTTTTATATTCAGAGTTTAACAACTATAAGCAGTTTTTTCAGCTTTCCTATGCCGATCTGGCCATCTTCCACATCTTCTGGTTCCTCAACACCAAAATACTGCCGGGATCTTTGAGAAAATATCCGAAATTGCACGAATTCGTAGAGAGGACGGCGGCTATACCACGTATCAAGCAATGGATGGCCAAACGCCCAAGAACGGAAGCCTAAACGACTCAAATGCACTCCAAGCTTGAATAATGATCCGCCAAAAAAGAAACTGAGAGAATTCCTTCCCAAACTTTCACTATTCTGTTTGACTTTGTGCTTTCTTGGCATCGATTGTGAGCGAAAACAACATTCTGTTTTATTCTTTCACAGACATATATTTTTCATTTCCATGAAAAAAAATATTGTAGTCCATTTCACAGGACTTTAATTTTTTTGTTTTTTTCCTTTTTTAATATTTTGGGCGCATTGAGATTGTGTAAATTCAAGTGGGGGAATGTGATGAATAAAAAGAAATAATTTATTTTTTTATTTTTTTATAGTCAATGAAATGATAAATTGGTAGAGAAAGAAAGAGAACTGCAAACAAGTGAAAGACATTTTTTTCAAAATTTTGTTTGCGTTCGAAAGATCCGCTCAAATGCTTCAAATTTCATATTACCAGGTTGAGAAAGAACTCAAATATATGTACAAATAGGTTGCAATGGCACTTAAAAGACTACACGGAGGGTGAAAGCAACATTTAGAAGCCGTCAGGGAAAGGATACCGCAAATGGACAAAGTCGTGGTAAAACATTTTCACGACATATTCCATCAAGAAAGGATTTGAACGCAATCTGAAAATTGCTATTCTTCGAAAACTTTCCAGATAGCTGTACCTATTCTCGTAAAAAGTCCTTGCTGGTGACTCTGCCGTCGTATGGGAAGTTCTGCGGTTTGCGGTCAACTCGTCTCTTATAAAACTCAAGGAATCTTCGGGCACCTTAAAGAAAACCATGAGAACTTTTCCGAGTTGAATAAAATGTTACTCCTTGCTTCCTAGCAATTTTAAACAAATCGGACATTAATTGCTCACTGGGGTCGCTTGAGTATCTTATGAATTCGTATTGAGCACGTAAATTTTTCAAATTGCATCGCCTGTAACTGGAATGTTAGAGTTGTCCGTTTTTTTCCAAGAAGTTTTCAAAGCATATAAAAATACCAATTTTGAGGATAAAAATGACGATCTTCGATAGTGTTGGGAACGTGCTTTTTCCTGTTTATTGCCATGAATTTCCGATATTCCGCTGTTATAAAACACGTTAAGTTCTTGTCACAGCCGTTGCAAGGGTTTTTGCCTTTAGGTGCTCTGAAAATGTCTCGGATTAAAATACTTTTAAGAGCTTTTCTTCACGACTTGTAAGTTATTTTGAAAAACGCAGGTTGAATGAAAATTCTATTCAATTCTCTTGAATACGAAAACGTCAAACCACTTTCTAATTTCCGATATTGTGATGCTCTCACAAAAACATTTCCTGCAAAACAACCTGATGCATCGGTCCACATATCCAGATACGAAGCGTTCTACAGGATCACGAGTTATCATGGAGACACTCCAATTGCTGAATTTGAAAGCTTTCGCAACAGAGAATACACTGTTGTACGTGTTCTCAGACTGACACAAACTGAAATTTAAAAAGTGAATGTTAGAAAACGCTCAAAAAAGCTCACTTATATTTTTGCCATTCGTTCAATTTTTTGACCTGAGTAGCTCTGGAATATTTCGTTCTATTGTATAAATAGCACATGATGGACGTCATAACAGTCGACATGCTTTTATGGACCACGCAATGAGCCATCTTGAATTTTGGCGCAACCTGAAAATCCATTCTTTTTCCTGATGATACTAGAATATAGTTTACTCGGATTCTAGCTTCAAAATTAGCAAAAGGACGAACACATAGTGACGTTTCTCTGCAGAGCTCATGAGCCGTTTTATTGTTGTTTCTCGAAGGAATTATCTGGGAATTCAAGTCTTAAATTAACCGAGTTGAAATACCTCCGAGTTCTGAGAAATTAAGTCGTCCATAATGTACAAAATTTGCTCGGATTCATTCTGGTACTCCTTGAACGTTTTGTAGCGAATTTGCATTTCAGTAGTCAAATTGTAGGCTTGAGATAACTTTTTGCCGTTATTGACAAAGAGATTGTGATAAATTAGGACCACACAAAAAATAATAGAGAAGCCACCAACGACGTAGCGACACAACGAAGGAATCATTGAATGAAATTTCGACCAAACTCTAGTTTTGAAACAGTTTTATAAAGTTCATAGAGTGGGCGTACTTTTTTTTCAACTCTCATTATTTTCTTCCTATAATTTTCAAATTCACGAGGAATATCTGTTTCACGTACGCTGAAACCCACCAATCGGATTTTGTAGGCGTTTTTGCCTTTCAATGGAATAGTTTTGGCCCCATAGATCAGCGTATAGATCAACATCAGCTCTTCGCAAAAGTGAGCCATTGAAACAAGTCGTACGGAAAACTCACGTGTTGATATTTAAAAATAAGTGCAAAACGAAATTCGATGCAAAATTAATATTTCCTCCAAAGAGCACATTAAGCTTGCCGCAGGCAATAAACTTGCGTTCGAAAGATATTTGCACGTTTCTGAGCTCAGAAGTTTCTTAGCTTTAGTCGTAACCGACGCTTTTCTTTCATGCTACAACCAACTCAAAAATGTAGACAAGGCCTGCTTTTACATTTTTATACTTATATATAAACCCTGTCACACTTTTTATTACCAAGCGACAAAGAGTTTTCTGTCAATAAGGCTTCAGTAAATGTGAAAAATTTGAACCACTCAAAAAATTTAATTGATGACATTCATCCTGGCTTCCAACCTGTTTGTTCTCATTTTCTTAACTTTTCGTTTGGTTTTCAAAAAAATATTGCTCCCGGTGAGGATCGAACTCACGACCTTCAGATTATGAGACTGACGCGCTGCCTACTGCGCTACGGAAGCTCTGGCTAGCCGCTTCTCTCTCCTTTTCCTTTATCCTCTGCCATACGCACGTGGTTAGGCAGCTGCAGTGCTGAAGTTTCATTTGACATTAATGTTTCAACAAAAAAAAGCTTCAAAAAGCTTCTGTCAATGATCTTTGGAAAATGAAATTTGTCTTTCAAAGAAACCACAACTTTAAAATAAACACAATTCTAATCAAGTTTCTCAAGGCACAACGAAAACTGTGAAATATGAGAAATGTATATTTTTTCGTAATCGTTTATGGTCGGAAATAGGCCTTCGAGAGCTTTAGCAAAACTATTTGAGGTTATGATTGGATGGAAATTTCTAAAAATTGTTGAAATTTCAGTTTTTTCCGTTCCGTGAAACTGGAAAATACAACTAAATCTACCACAAAATAGGAGTTCCGAAACCAGCCGTGATACAAGACCGTCAGAAAAGATTAAAAAAAAAGACGTTTTGGCAACAACTTTCTTATAGGGACTTCAACCTCCCTTAAAGTTTTTGAAGCTGTGTTTTTTTCCTGCAAACTAAAACTTTATCAGAGTGTTTGGAATAACAGTCATCGCAACTCCAGAAAGTTTCAGAAAGATTAAACTCCTTACAGGAGCGTTGGGACCGGAACCGCGCTTTTCCGTATCTTTTCTGACGGTGCTTTAAGTAAATAAGTCCCAGGAATTTTTAAGTCATAATATGTCAAAATTTGCCATTTTTTCAAAAAAAAAAAATGCAGTTTGTACACCAAGACAAGCCATTAAGTGCGTCATCAAGTACGAAGCCACAGCGAGTTTTTACCTTGGCTGTCGGCACATGTGCTCTGCTTTTTTTTCCCGAATCAAACCGTGTGGCGCAGGGCTCGCGGAGCTGCTCATTGTGTGATTGTATTAAATAATGACGCTTTTGCAATAAAGCCGAAGTTTGGTTGTAGGCATGGTCTATCGGCAACCCGAAGGACTTGATGGCTTTCGTTCCAATCAAATCGTTGAACGACAGCTGGCCGGCAGTCTCTGAGCGCCACCGCATTGTCCGCAGGTATCCAACTTTCTCAAGTACAGCAGAAGTTGTAGTTTTGAAATTCCTCTCGAATTAATGAGCTTCTTGGCTTCCGGGGCTAAGAGAAACGAGAGAGCCTTTCACACTTCGAAGCCCTTCTCACGTTTTGCTCATCGTTTTTTTCAACTTTCCTTGGCCGCTGTTAGTTGACACATGATATGTTTCAGCAGTTTCCCAAGTGCAACAAATCCTCCGTTCTTTTACGAGTCGCAGATTAAAAGATTCTCATTATTGAATATATCGGATAATTTATTCAATAATTTCAAAACTTTCATATAAAGTGTGTTATTTTGAGCTGAACTGATTTATAATCTCTTTTTTTTTAAATTATGAAATCAAAGATGTTTCATCATAGTTTGAGTGAATTTTAAAATGGCCGTCCTAGTTTCGCTTACCCTATACCCTTTTTTTCATGTTCCTTTTTTTATCTTTTTCAACCTTCAGCGTTTTTAGTCTAAGCTTTTCATTTCCTCAGACTCTTAGTTTACTATTGGATTCTGCGGATTGTGTAGTTTATAAAAGCGACTTTCCTGTTCTATTAGCCATTTCTCAAAACATAATGAATTTGCTTTATCCACAACAGAGTGACGATAGCTTTGTGATTAATCCTGTTAACGACAAGCGTTTTTTTTTCAAGAGCAGTTGCTTCGTGAACTTCAACTTCCTCAAGCCAAAAAAAAAATTCGAGTCATTTGTCTGAACCTCACAAAACTGATTTTGAATGTTGAAAAATTGCCTTCTCCATCCGATGGCCAAAAGTGTTGCGAATTCGGACATATATGGAAAAATGTAGGAAGAGACCCAATGGGACTTCGATATCTCAAGTTTAATCAAAAAACTTGCCTAGGACGTTCTTTTTTTCATCTGCTTGCGAGAAGTTTCATTCAGTCTACCTATGAATCGGAAAAAATCATTTTACTGTTTCAGTCAATGTCGTGGGATAATAAAATTCCTGAAACGACACAAACGCCGAAACCGCCGAAAAGGAGCGTCGGTCTGCAAGTGACTCCCAGGTTAGGCTTTTCATTGAAGACTTGTATTTTTTTGCAGATTCACTTCTATTTATCGCGTAAGCAGTTTGAGAAAACCAGATGACAAAATATTTCGACGTCGTTATGAGCACATTGAAATATTTAAGGTAAGCATCTGTTTTACACGGTTAAATAACTAAATAATAGGAATTTTTACAAAAAAAAAAGAAGCACTTGCTTCATTATTTCAATTCATGCTTTTTTATAGCAAAAATGTATCAGCTTACAATTTTCAGCAAGTCTTCACCTTACACGGCTTCCGTGACATTATTCTGTGCAGTAGAAAAGTTCGCTGTTTCTGGATTTTTGCTCTGACGGTCACTTGTTACTTGGCGCTTCATCATTCTGGGAAAATCTTAGAACGCTTCAATGGCATCAACATAATGACCAATCTTTTCACAAAACAGTCACGTTAGTTCCTTGTAATATTAAAAAAACTAACCATACATTTCAGAGGGGCTGCGACTGCCCGACTTGATCATTTGCCCTTTCAACCGCTTTAACAAATCCGTTTTCGAAACATACGAAATACATAGCAAACTAGCGCAGTATATTGAGCTGTCTTATGCCTCTCCGCAAGTTTTGCGAATACAAAAACAGAAAATCTTGGGCATCGGTCGTGATTATGACGCTCTGGACGACGAATTGCAATTAGTTCTGCAGAAAAACAATTTGACGCTCACAAAGCTCATGGAACTGGCAAGCTTCTGCTGGCTTATAAATGTTGATAACTCGTATTATCGCAGGGACAGATGCCTTGCGAATCGATTGTTGATGACCCGGAACACTGCAAAAACGTCATGTATTCCGATTCAATCAACGGTAGATGTTACCGATTTCCTGGAGTCGTCCAGGCAAGTACAAAATATATTTTAAAAATCTCTTTGATTTCCCAGGAAACTAGCGGATTTGGCCAAGGGATGAGAATAACTATAGTTCTCCCTTTACACGACTACCATTACGCAGTTAACCAAATACCTTGCGACGGATTTATGATCAAACTAGCCAATGAAAACGGTGGCATAGATCATGCAGTGCAAAACGTTCATCCAGGTTAGGTTCCGTCACCTTCTCCGTTCAAAACGTATTTCACAGGCGTTTACTTGAGCTTGCCAGTTTCACTTCATAAGAAGGAATACACAAATGTGCCGAAAAAGTACGATTGTCGGGATGGCCTTTCGGACAACTACAACGTTGTTTATTGCATGGAAGTAGGCTCCAGCCAAGTTCCTCCTTTAAGAATCGTTACAGTCGTGTTTGACCTCAGAAGCAGAATCCCATTGCAAATGTTCACCTGCCGGAGCCACAATGAAGATGTTCCCAGAGAAAGTGTGCACAGCAAAGGAGTTGTGGACTTGTTTTGCTGAAGTTTATTTCAAAAACTTAACAGCTAGAGAAGACGTAAGAACTTCAGTATTGATAAAGGTCTTGGGTTATTTTTAGACATGTGATAAGCAGTGTTTTCAAAACTGCAACCAATGGAAGTACATCGTGACGCCTTCAACTTCTCCTCTTTCAGAAGTGGCGGTTTGTTACCAATGTTCAAACTTGATTCCTGCCATCATCAGCTTTCAGGTGAGAGCCATTGGCGGGACTGAAGAGGATATTGAAAAACTGCGTCGAAGCGTCGTTATTGATTTTTACTATACCCAACTGGAGTATGACGTCACGCAGCATACAGAAGAAATCACAATGTCTTCTTTACTTGCTCAAGTTGGCGGTTTTTCCACTTTTTATTGCTTCGGTAATCAACAAATTTCAGGACAAATTTCTCTTTTCACGGGTCTGTCGCTTGTCTCTTTTTTACAGTTCTTTATTTACTCTTTTCTGATTCTTTATGATTTGTAAGAAAACTTCAAATCGCCTTGAAAATTTAACTTTTTCAGGATTTACAACCGAATCGTGCGAAATATCAAAAAAAGCGCACCATCTTCATCAAGAAGGCTTGCACTCTGAACTGGAGTTCCAAGATGAATGGACTCTGTCAGAACAAATATCACATTTATAATCTATTTTCATTCATTTGTTAAAAATATTTTTTTCAAAACGAGTCATTCATTACGTGGTATTCCTAATTTCCATCGTGGTGCCTTTTATTTGTTGTGCGTTCATTTCAAACTCGGTGATTAGTCTGAAAAACAAATTATTTTGGTTCTTCTCGTTCCATTTGGTTCCATTCCATATTTCAAACTCTCATTAAAAACTTAAAATTTATCATAAACCTTTTTTTCTTTTTAATTGTTTGATGATGTCATAAAAAAAGGACCGAATAAAAATGTCGTGCTCTTTTTTAGAAGAATGAACGTCGTTTGTAACGGCTCCGGAAGTTTGCTCTTTATCAACAGGCCATCCATATCATTAACTTTGTCCGCAATCAAGGTTCTGAAAACAATTTTTGGGATGATCAGAAATCCATCAACTTTGATGAAGGATTTAAAAATAGGCTTCCGTCGCAGAATTATGAACTTATATAAAAGATGCAAAAGGCATTGGAAGAAGTATTGTGAAGAAAGTTACTCAATCTGTCTAAAAAAAGGTTCAACATCAAATGTCTGCATGTCTGAACGTCGAAAGAAAAAGAGTAATCTTCTCTAGGACTTCTATCCATTTTTGTTGAGCAGACCTGTGGTTCCCAACTTTCTGACCAGACTTATTTCATCATATTTCAGATAAAAATTTGAGCTTTATCAGCGAAAAATCTTCAGTTTCTCGAAAAAAAAAAATTCATTGAAAAAATCGTAATTTTCAAACTTTGTACGAGAACGGCTCTTTCAGGATCCGCTTAATTGCACCGTTGCGAAGGTTTTGCGCGCAACGAAGAATGATAGCGAGCGAAACGTTTCGCCGATTATCAGATTGTATTACAAGCCTTGAATGGATGGATGCCGCACGGGAGGACCGTGCCGTGTGCGTGGCGCACAGATAACGCCACTCGTGGCGGCTGACGCCAATTGATCACCGCTTTTCTTATGTCTTTTCACTGCTCAACCGTTTCTTCTGATTGGAAATTTTGGAAGATAATTTCAATGTTATAAAATTACTGAAAAGGATGTTTCAGAAAACTTTAATTGGAAGTTATGGCAAGCCAACATTCTACTGAAAGTCTGTGAAATTTTCTCTGTTTCTGAAGAGCACGACGTATAAAAGCTCGATAAATTTCATTTCCAACTCACTTTCTCTCACAGTTTGCAACTAATATTTTTCGCTGAACAACTATTTTTTTCTTTTTCATCGTCTTCCTATTCATCCTGAGATGATATAAACATCAGTTTGGAGAAAAAAAATTCCAGGCTTGCATTTTAACGTGGGAAAAAACCGTACTTTCCCTTCTCAGACGCGATCTTGAATTTTTCCCTATAACATTTTCATGTCTATTTTTCAATTTCTTATTTTCGAATTCCTATCAAACAAGTCACTCCTAAGGTCTTAGCGCCACAGTGATAAGCTGGCGCCTCGAATAGTCTTTTGCCTTGACATCTAATCAATATCATTGCTGCGTCGGCTCGACAATACCTGAAAACTATTACAAAGCTCAGCAAACAGAATAATAAAATGTTATTGATCGTTCCGCGTGCGCCACGCTATTGCCCTTTTCGGGAAATTATCATGTTCTGAGCGACTGTGAGAAAAAACACACGAAATGGCAAATTTTTTTCTCCCTCAGGCATGTCGCGCGCTGGTTCTGCAAGCATCAACTTGGACGACATCTTCGGAGCTGTCACTACTTCCCCAGCCTACGTTAATGTTCCGGCTGAGGCGAATGTAGGGTTGGAAAGGCTTTTCATGGTGACAGTATTAATTTTAGCACGAGGTGCCGCCGGAGCCTAGAAGCCGTGTGACAACCGCAGCTTCGTATGCAACAGAATCTTCCAAAGCCTCCACAGTGAAAGAAGTGCCGGTTAGCTCAAAAAAACCGCGAGAAATGATGTTAATTTTCGAATGCAAGTTCAGGTTGCGGTGACTGCTGTCTCACACGCAGCAGCTCATTATGATGAGCCACCTAGTCACAGGAATAGCATTTCTCACAAGAACACTGTTGGAGCTGATTCTCTTCTTGATCATGTGAGTTCCAAAAAAATCGGTCGAATAGGTTTGCTATTTATATGAGAACTTCTGATTCGTAATCAGGCTTTTTTTTGGATCCCAAAAATTTCATGAGAAAAATGTCAGTGCAAGCTAGAAAACATTTAAAAAAATTTTAGGTTTTCGCTGCCGTGACTCTACCTCCTGTGGAACTAGGAAGCCGGCCACAGTCTTACCAACAACGTCACCAGGAGGTCGACTACGCCATCCGCCATCTGGACGACGCTCTCGACGGAGAAGACAGCGCCGTCGAGTCGGAGTCGCTGGTCAGCGAGCCCGCCTACAAGGCGCCGTCCTCCCACGTCTCCTCGCGTCACTCGGCGATTCCTCAAAACCACAGCAGCTACTACTCGTCCAGCGTCGTTTCCAACCAGAACGGCAGCTCGCATGTAAGCCGCGTTATCAGTAGCTCTTTAAAAAAATGGCCTTGTTTAGAGAGTTGCTAGCCGGGTTGCTGATGAGCTCGTGAAGCTCATCTTCAACGAGTTGTTTGTTAGACATTATGACGAATATGTACGCTTTTCCACGTTACTTTCATTTTGCATGTTTCTGGGGAAAAGGGCGCATGGTTTTTTGTTTGCTTTCCTACGTCATTTTGAAAACAATAAATTATGTCCGTTTTTGCATTGCGTACTCTATAAAACTCGTTATTAAAAATATCAAACTGGGAAAGGTAGTGTCCACAGTAAATGAATTAATTTGAAATCTAGAAAAGTTTTCTTACCATTTTATTAAGTTTGAATTTCACGTTTTCGAACATGAAAATCAAAATAAGTAAAATCCTTTTCAAATCGAAAGGAGGTTATTAAAGTGCTAGATAGCCTTCTGTAAATTTATTTCTTCCCCATTTGCACGTTTTTCCCTTCAGATAAGGCACATTTCAATCCTACTTTTCTAGCTATCGAAATCTCCAAGCGAATCATGTTCTTCTGACAATCAGTTATTTCAGTACAATCCGCCAGGCCGTGAGGACCCACTTCCGGACTACGACGACAACGAATTGTATGACAAGTTTGAAAGCAACAAAAACTATCCTCCATCGAAAGCAGGTAAAATTTCATATAATCAGCCAAAAAAGCTTTAATTATATGTTACAATCCAAAAAAAAATTAGAAAAAATGTGTACACTTTTCGACAAACTTCCATCCATCAGAAAAAGCTTCTACCAATTTTCTCGGAACTATATTTACGGGCTTTGAAAACTGACTCAGCAGCGCCTCCCATGACGCATGCTCCATATACTGCAAAAAAACTAACACCAGCAAAACATTCCAGGACAATTCCGAGGGCGTACCAACACTCTTGATAGCTCCGTTTCATTCGCAGAATCGCGAGTTGGTGGCTTCGACGTTCACGACGAGCACGATCAATACACGGTTAGTTGATGAAATTGATCAGTAAAAAATATCCGTCATTTTAGGGATCTGATATTAATCTGAGCCACAACGAGGTCGCCTACGACCGTCCTCAGCCAAAATCTGTGAGTTCCCAAATATAAATCAAAAAATAAACCCAATCTGAAGGCTGCCAGCAGCTTGGTCTCTCAAAATTCGCGTTCGACGGTTCACACTGGAGGAACCTACAAACTATCGCAACTCAACCGAGAACTCGAAGAGGCTCGTTACCGTCAGCACGACCTTTCTCATAAGGTTTTCTTGTTTTATTTAAGAAATATAAACCCGAAATTTAGAGAATGAAAATGAAAAATCTTTCATGTTTTCTGTAGTAATGATGTGCCGTTGAAAAATGCTGAAATAAACATATTTCTGGGCGTATTTGAAAATGGGAAAACTTGAACCTTATGATAAGCTCTCCGGACATCTTTGCACTTCTTATCATAATGCAAAACTGATAACGGGTAAAAAACCTCGCAAATTCAGGTAGAAAGAGAACAGGCCGAAATCGACCGGCTCCGTCAACAAAATTTGGCCAAAGAAGCAGCTTTCAAGGTATAACTTCGGGAATCCATAGAACTACATAAACCTTTTTTTTCAAGGTTCACCGCATCGGAATGAACGGCCAGCAGCCGAATTTCGCTCAAAACTACCAAAAAAATCAACTTCCTCGTCAACACAGCGTGGGAAGCGGTGTGAGCTACCACGGTCCGGCTACCATTTCTTCGCGATCAACTAGTGAGTTTTCAGTTAGCCTTCATCTAGAATCGACTTCACGTCCAAAAAAATTCATATTTTCGTTCAGAGAGCGTTGATTCGAGCATCTATGAAGAAGAACCGGCGCGCACAAGCCCAATCGCTGCCCGCCAAAAGGCAGCTGGAGAATTTGTGAGAGCTGTAAAATGAAAATGATAACTTTAATGTGTACAGGTTGCACGAGTCGGTAAATTCGAGCTGATCGTTCCTCAGTTCCGTATTGTTGGCAATTTTTCGAAGAACAATCGCATCAACAAGGTCATTGTCGGTGGAGACGCGGCTGCAACGGATGATGACAAGGTTGGGTCTTCCCAATCCAGCTAAAAATCTTAAAAAGAATATCATTATAATTATGATACGTTCCATCAATTCAAATGATTCAGCTGCATAGAAATGTATCCATTTTGATGAATGATGCTTGACAATTTTTCCCTGATTCGAACTTTCGGAAACTGAGCTGACAGTGAATATATGTTCAGACCATTCTTCTCTTCGGCCCAGTCGGATCAGGAAAAACTTCTGTCATCAACAGCTGTCTCAACTATTTGTACGACGTTAAAAAAGAAAACGAGTTCCGGTGAGAAAAAAAGTCTTCCAAACTCAGCAAGGCCAAATTCTGCAGCTTTGTACTCGATGAGGAAGTTCATCACACTACTGGACTCACGGCTTACGTGTTCAACAACACTGTGCTGCAATACAACGTAACTATTGTGGACACTCCTGGGGTTGTCAACAAGGAGGGAAATCGTACAGTTTCGACCCTTATCAAGCAATGGTTCGAACAGGTTTGATCTCCTTTTCTTGAAACATGAAATCCCCGAAAGATCGAAAATCAAGCTTTTCGAGGAACTTTTACAAAAGGAATTATTTTAGGAGTTGCTGCAAGCTCACGCCTTCCGTATGGATGCCATTTCAATTGTGCTCAACCATGATGAAAAATCTCTTGACTGGCCTTTTATTTACGAACTGGCGGCAGTGAAAAAAATGTTCGGCGATGATCTCAAGACAAATGTTCTTCCCATCATCACGAACTCTGAAGTCAGTTCTTTCAAGTGTCCTTTAGAACTCTCTTTTATGCTCCGACTGGCCTAAAAAGCTGAAATTTTTGCTCCGACTGACCTAAAAAGCCGTTTGCAGGTCTTACCTCAGCCGCGTGCCATCACTTCCTTGGCCAGAGCAAACATTGCTTTCTTGGAGTATTACAAGGTATTCGAATAATATAACCTGTTGAAAACTTTGAATTTAGGTGAATAACTTGGGTTTCATGCCGGAAGCTAAAGGAATTTCAAAACTCCAACACAATTTATTCTTCACTCACGGCATTGCGTCTCTGGAAGCCCTGTTCCAGGTAGAGCCACAATAATCTGAAAAACCGCTAATAATTATGAACTGAAGGATCTCCAAGAGCTTGTCCACCCGTTGGTTGCCATCCTCCGTCACTCCCAAGGCAAGAAGGTCGAACCTGCTCCAGTCCTCAGCCATGCTACTCTCTATTAATTTAACAAAGAATTTTCAAGCCCTGACCACATTATCATCTTTTTGAATTCCCGATGTGTTAATCCCGTTACTAAATTTTCACAATTGATAAAGGTATCTGTGATAAAAAAATAATAAATCATTTTGACGTCCTTTTTATTTTCGTTCACGAAAAACTCAAACTCTTTTTTTAATTTCAATCTCTGCTGAATCATGGAATATTGAAGAGCTGTTTGTCGGTTTGCGAAACTGCTGTTGATCGAAAACTGTTCATAGAGCATCGTGTCTTTTTTTTATAGAAGTATTAGACGAATTTCAAGCGTTTTAACAATCAGCTGCTAGAAACAGTACGGCCCCCCAGTTTGCCCAGGGCTGGGGCATGTCGGATTAAATTTCAGACGAGAGTGGAAATGAAGGCCAACCACTCGAAAGGTAGAAATGAGCTGAAAAGGAAGAATCGGTAGTATCAAATAGATTTCTATTCTTTGTTATGCGTCAGAAGGTTCGAGCAAATGCACTTGAAAATGATTTTTAATTGAAAAAAACTGCTATGTATAAGTTCGAAATCCGTCCAAATCAAAATCAGAACGGAGAGCCCATGACAATATATTTTTTCGGAGTAAGATTCAAATCAGCCATTTGAGCGCAGAAAATCTGCGAACGGCTCATCAGAACAGAATAATCTCATCTTTGGAAGAAAAAGCAGAATCTCTATGTTAAACTTCTCGAAATGCTTTGAACATAACTTTTCTTAATATCATACTAAATATTATTCATCGGTGCTGATTCTTGACTTTTTTTGTGTGTTTGCCTGTTGTTTTTTTTTCTTCAAATTCGATCAAATGAAGAACAAGGCTCGTGGAAAGTTTGTACTTTTCCATTGTCTCACTCTCGGTTTTTAAAAATCTCTTTGAATATAATGAAATGCTATCAAGAAATTCACGAAATACAAACTTTTTTTCTTGTTATCCTAAGGACTTCTTGAAAAACTGAAAGGATTTACTCACAATGTTGTCACCAATTTTTAATATATAAATCCCAGATTCAAAGAGAATGGATTCAGAAAAAAATACAATACTATCATTTTTCATTACGACTCTCATACATCATAACGTTCTGTCCTTTTCCGATTTCCATCCGCTCCTGCAAAAAAAAAATGATCCGAGCTCAGCTTCTTATCAATCTGCATAAGTGGACAAATCTGCTTCAAAGAGAAGGAGACTTTTTTGATAGTTTTCATTGTGAATTCAACAAATTTCACGAATGTTTGTATAACTTCAAACGTCGCTCCACCCGTTATGCTCAAAGTGAAGTTCGTAAAATCTGTCATTTTCTTAATAAAATCAGATACAAAAATAAAATTGGAACTGTTTGAATTGGCGCCTTTCCGTAGATTCGCAGGCAAAAGTGAGAAAAGAGAGCACAGACACATGGAAAAACATGATCGATAGTCAGCGGAGCGCACTTATAAATCTGGCTTTTTTTGTGATAACATTTATTTCGTTGTTTACCACTCTTATTTTTTTTGATGTATTTGTTTCCCTTCGGGTATAATTTTCTCTTTCAAGTTTATAAACGTTTACAGAATGTCTCTGAACACTTCACACACGCCAGATGGCCGAGGGGTTCTCATCTACAACGGAGAAATGTATTGCGCAACGTATGACTCAGCATTTAAATGATAATTCCAGGATATTACTTTACACTTCTGATGTGAAAGTAAAGTTCGAAAACTTCTCCGACCCTATTTTCAAAGGAGGAAAGTCCGGAGCACTCTACCTCACTTCTCATAGGGTTCGTTGGTTTTATCGCCTAGTTTTTTTTCAACTTCGTTTACTATTCAGCCTTTCATTTTCTTGTTTCAGATCATTTTCATGAACTCCAAGAACGAAGCCGTCAAGTCGTTCGCCATGCCGTTCCACTCTCTGAGAAACGTCAAGTTAGAACAACCACTGCTTGGAGCCAATTATTTGAAGGTTTTTTTTTCTTCCTCGGTTTCGAAGAAAATATCTTTGCAGGGAGAAGTTGAAGCTCTGCCTGGTGGGAATTTCGAGGGGATCATCGAATGGCGACTTTCGTTTCCAAAAGGAGGCTGCATTGATTTTGGACAAGCACTTCTGAGAGCCGCTGATATGGGTTTCTAAAATGATACATATTTTTTTGTAAAAAATGTTCTCAGCTTCGAAAGCACGACCATTTGCTGCTCCTCCAAGCTACGCACCAGCTCCGCAATCTTACTACTCAGCTCCGCCGAACTATTACATTTCCGGTGGAAACTACAACGGCTTCCAGGCTCCGACGCATGCTTTCCCAGAACAACCGCCAGGTGAACTTTTTTTCACATTAAAAAGACTTGAATTGCTTCAAAAACTTTCTGATTTTTTTCAAAGTTTCAAATTTTAATTTTAATTTTTGCTTTCTCAAACAAGCTTTTTGTCTTTTTCAAAAAAATTAATAAGTGCGTTTTGAAATTATTGCATTTTCGAGAACTTGGAGAATTTTTGTGGAGAGATTCGAGGAATTTGGGTAACAAAAAAATACTTCAAAATGGAATGAAATCAAAATGAGAGTTTCAGGACTACCTGTTTCATAAGAGCTTCAGCAAATTCGAATAATGACATAATTAAATTCAAAGAAGATACAGTACTGGCCATAAAGGTATTTCAAAGTGGTTATTCGAGCATAACTTCTTTGAAAGTGGTTCAAATGACTTGAAACTTTGCACAGATTTTAAATAGCTACTCAGTAACTTTTTCCAGTAAGAAAAACTCATTTGCTAGAGTCAGACAGGATTTAAGAGCAAAAAACCAAAAATCGTGAAAATGAAGATTTTTCTCTTGAGATTCAAAAAATCATATCTTCAAAGAAACGTCGATTTTGAATCAGAAACTTTTTGTCCCGGTAAAACAAGTCTTCGGCATTCCAAAAAACCTAATCAGGCCCTTACCAACCCGATAGTAAGAGCGTAGTGACTTTTTCTTCGGAAGGCCCTTGCGTTTTGACGCCTCGTAATTCAAATGGACTATACAAGGTCATTTTTTTGCTTGAGAACACCCTGTTTCATGTTGAAAAAAACTTCAAAAACACCCTCAAGAATAGTTTTACACTGGTTTCTTAATCTTTCTCACTTTATCCTCTCTTTAGAACTCACTAACTTCACTAGGTCTGATTTTTGAAACCTCTGATTTGAAGCGGTTATGCTCGTTTTTTTCAAAAATCAGAACATTCTCGATTTCTCATGTCAGATTCCAAAGCTTTTTTTAAAAACCTTGATAAATAAAAAAATAAAAAAAGGCCCACTGTGTTTTTGCTTACTTATTCAAAAAGATATAGTGAGTTATAATGAGTTTCTCAAAGTTCTCAAAACCTCGTTTCAGCAAGTGTTGCTTAGAAGGCTCTAAATCTTGTGAAAAAAATGATAAAAAAACCTCTTTTTTTTCATGTTTTTTTGAATGTTTTACATCATGAGATAAATTTTTAAGTCCTCTTTCTAGCTCTCAGATCAAAGATAGGCACTGTAAAAAGTTTCTTTAAATTTTATGGGAAAATAAGTTTTTGGTCTTTTGAAATTACTGCTTCAGCAAAAAAATTAGCAGTCTTCAGGAAGTAGGAGACTGCAATTTAGCCATTATTTATTTTCGAATTCACGATTGAAAAGCGATTGATCAGATTAAAACTGCTTTGAATGCCCGAAAGTCCAGAAAAACTGTTCAAATCAGAGGTTTCAAAATTAGACCAAGTGAAGTTAGCGAGTTCTGGAGAGAGTATAAAGTGAGAAAGCTGAAGACATCAGTGTAAAACTCTTCTTGAGGGTGTTTTGAAGTTTTTCAACATGAAACAGGGTGTTCTCAAGCAAAAATGACCTTGTATAGTCCATTTGAATGAGGAGGCGTCAAAACGCATAGGCTTTCCAAAAAAAAAGTTACTACGCTCTTACTATCGGGTTGGTAAGGGGCTAATTAGGTTTTTTGGAAAGCCGAAGACTTGTTTTACCGGGGAAAAAAGTTTCTGATTCAAAATCGACGTTTCTTTGAAGATATGATTTTTTGAATCTCAAGAGAAAAATCTTCATTTTCACGACTTTTGGTTTTTTGCTCTCAAATATTGTCTGACTCGAGCAAATGAGTTCTTTTCTTGGGAAAAAGTTTGTACGTAGCTATTTGAAATTTGTGCGAAGTTTCAAGTCATTGGAGCCACTTTCAAAGAAGTTATGCTCGAATAACCACTTTGAAATACCTTTATGGCCAGTACTGTATGTTTTCAGCTGGAAACGTGTTCATGTACGAAAGTCCACCTCCGTACCCGGGAATCGCTGGCCAAACGGCTCCTTTCCCAGCCGGCGGCCTTCAGTTCGCCGGCGGACTTCCCAATCAGCATCCATCGGCTCCACGTTACGAGAACGTTCCTCATCTCCCTCCTGCTCAGCCTCCTTCCTACACTCCTTATGCTGAAGCTCCACCACTTCCCGAAAAGCATTAATTTTTTTTCATGAGCATGATAATTGTTGCTTTGAAAACGCTGTGCCTCCCGGTGATCGATATTCCCATGATCACTTTTGCTTTACCTATGATTCCGCTATGTGACGATAATTTATTCTTGTATAATAAACTCAAATAAATACTTGAAAATTTTTGTCAAAAAGTGAAATCGTATACTTCATTCATTTCATTTCTTTTATGTGGTCGTGTGCTATTACTGTCTTTTTAGTGAAGTGTTTGCAGATATGAATAGGCTCTGGAATTGTGGAAAGAGATAAAAAATGCATATGTTTTTGATACTATAAATGAGCAATAATCGTTTCGAAGGCCTGAAATTAAATTAATAAGTTTTTTTGGAAACAGCGATGTAATTTAAATTTTTCTTGTTCACTTGTTTCTGGAATCAAACCGTATTTCAAAAACTTTTTTTCAAGGCATGAAAGAAAAACTTGGAAAGTGCCTTCCATTGACTTTTTAATTCTTTGTACCATAATTAATTTGGAAGATATCAACTCTCCCTATCAAAAGGCAGCTGATCTCTATCCATCTTAAGCTCTCTCTTCATTTTCAAAATTTATTGAACAGAAAATTGAACATAAAAACAAATATCGTGATTTTTCATTATTTCGCAACTGTGTGTCTGACGCGGCGATTGATAACCAGCACAGCGGACAAAACAGGTAAAAAGTCGTGGTATGAAGACGGAAAGGTTTTTAGGTCATCCATTAAAAAGCTCGGCCGCCAAGTCTGAAAAAAACAATCTTCAAAACCTCGCAATCTTTTCCTCAGTGTTTGAGCACATGCCAACCAAGATATAGGCAACATAATAGTGCGTAGAAGCTGAGTTAACGCCAGAACTTGTTATTGCAAACCAAACCTGTCGAACCTATTGGAGTACGAGTAATTCCCACGGCTCAAAGACGACGACAGGTTGAGTTCTTTCTCACGGCGAGAAGCCCAGGTGGCAGGTGAGAGCCAGTACTAAAGGAGATCATTTCCAGTTTCAAGGGGAGACTGTTACGGTACCTTTGAGAGAGTTCCCACGGTCATGCATCTCTTTTTGTACATATCCACTGCGTCATCTACTGGCATGTATCTGAACTTTTGAGGTGGCAAAATTAGTATATTTTATGTGTAACTTTCTTGTCAATTATTTGTTTTCAGGCATTCGGAAGTTATTGAAAGTTCATAAAGAGATGTAAATATCCGCAATAAACTTTCTGTTTTAACTAGTCGCAAACCAATAAGCGAGAAACTATGGCTTTGAGGCCCTGTTGAAATTACTGGGCAAAGGATATGATAGTAAGTTTCTAGACACTGTTTAAGATGTTAAAATTTCAGTTTACAGGGTTTAAGTGAGTCCGACTTGCTAAAAGAAAAGTTAGGCAGTAGAATATTCATTCGCTCAGATTAAGAATCGTTTTTTTTCAAATTCATGAGGCTTACAACTGAGAAGAACAAAAAAAAAAGAAGAAAAAAAACAACACAAAAAAATTTGCTTTACCGAACGTAGCTCCGAGAAGGAGCAACTGGCTTCTCAAGTTTGTAGTTGTAGTCCGGTCGGGTGAAAAGTCCTGTGTTGTAGGTGTTCAATCGGCCCTCGAGCCATCTTTTCGTTCCCATGTCACGAACACCGGCATGGCGAGAGTAAACCTGAAGTCTTACTTTCTTAAAAATATAGGTGCTACAAGCTCTGTTTGGACGTTTTTTTCTCATTTTCAGATCACTTTTTTCAAACGTAAGCTAAAAAAATATTTCATCGACTTTTCACAATTTGAACTTACCGACTCCGATTGAGTCAACGTTCCCAAGGCGGTGTCTGTGTTTCCATAACTGTACCGGACATACGGATATCTCAAAATTCAGCAATTTTATTTTTTCAGACTGAAAATACGTACTTGTCAGTGAAGTGAGGAGTACTTCTCTGCACTCCAACATTGTGGAGAGGTGGCGTCTTGGTCAGAGCCGTCGCCGCCAAGGATCGTCCGAACAACGAAGATCCTGAAAAAAAAAGTTTTTTCACACGCTATTGGAAATAAATTATTTCGGAACGAAGTAACAAAAGTTGATTTTTTTCGGGATGGTGCGTGCATTTTCAGAAAATGCTCTTCGGAAGTTTAGTTGAATTTTCGTAAAAATTTTGGCTCCGTGCTAAAAATGCAGAAGAAACAAATCTCGTACTTGAGACATAAAAATTCAGGCAGGAAAGTCTCGAACGAGATCTCCTTCCAGACCTTCAGAGAATTTTTAAACTAATTGATTAGAGAGTTAAAGTAGAAACTGAAATTGAATCATCTACAAAAAAAATTGTTCTGATGTTTACCGTTATCCAATCGATTCAATCAAATAAATCAAAATGAGATCTTTGAGAAACGACAAAGAAAAAAAACACGCACACGCAAACGTCGCCCACGTTGTAAACTGGGTTATTTTAACGCGATCCGCGAACTGAGCAAAAATTTCTCCGAGAAAAAGCTGCCCTCTCGACGAAACAGTGTTGCTACACAAAGGTTTCCAGCGATTCCCAGGATAACGTGGGCGGAAAAATCTCTCAGCCGTTGCAAAAAACGAGGCAGATAGCTTTTCGGCTATTATCCGGGTTTTATTGATAGTATAATGCAAAAAATGAGGTACTTTTGTATGTGCGTGTTTCTTTCTCAGTTGAACAAACGGCTAAGAAAACCTTTACTAAATCAAACCATAACCCGACGTGTCACAATAGAAGCTGTAAAATAGTTCTACTCGAGAAGTGTTAGTTGAAAGTTACAATAAACTTGACAGCAGAGGAGTTCTGATTTTTTTATAGGAAATCATGTTATTTTTGATAACTGTTTGATTCGAAAAGATATGAAACATCAAACAATTTTTTTCAAAGGAAAAAAATATTTTAATTAGAAAAAAAGAAGAAATGAACATGCAGACCGTTTATTTCTCGCCTCGTAGGAAAAAGCTATGAACCCTATTGAGAAACTGGCAAAAAGTCTAAGACATCAGAAATCAATGATACAAGAATGAAATGTATAAAGTAAGGCGTATGAAAAGCTGTTCAAAAGACATTTATTTGATTTATGGAAAAAAAAGAAACAGTGAACACACAAGGAGTTCATTCGTTCTAACCACATGTTTGTTAATAGCTAGTTCACACCCCTGGTATTAATTTTGTTATCGATTTCCACTGACTTGAGCTCCCATCCATGAGAATAAGTGAAGATCACAACAATAATAATGCTAAGATGAGTACGCGAGCATAGATCCCTCTTTCATGAGAATCTTTATGTTGAGACTCTCAAGTCTGTGATGGATTATTCGATCAAAAGGCTGCGTTATGCTCAAGTCATGAAAAGGCAAAAGAAGAGACCGACGACGCCGATGGCGACGCCGACAGCCAGAAACGTGGATTCGAGGCCTGTCAGGCCATTTTGCCTACCGCATTTGTTGAGCGATCGAGCCATGTAGCCGCCGCCATATCCGTACTCGGGACGCGTGAACCGCGAAGTCGACGAAGAACGAGGCAAGGAGACCCCAGAGAATGAGTTCGACCTGCAGAACTTGGAGTTTGGAAGTGGGATATACATGATCAAAGTAAATGAGCTTCTGAGTATCTTATCGATAGTTGATTTTTCTAACTACTCAAGACTGCAATGACACACAAGCTATCCCCATAAATTATATTTAAAAACGGTCAAACTTCATTTTTTGCATCAAAGAGCAAATGGAATTCCTGACTTTCCTGATTTTGGTGGAACCTCGCCGAAAACAGTTATGGCGAACATTTGAACGCTAACCAAAGTCTTGAAAATATTGCGGCCGGTTCACTCACCCACTCAAAGCTCGAGAGGCAACGGTTTTTGTACAATCGACCGAGAACTCGGAGAAATGAAAACCTTTTCACGGCGCTGGATCTGACGTCACTACGAGAGCGGGTGAGCGGCGAGATATGGTGAAAAGAAGGAGAAGTGAGCAGTTCCATTTCGATCGTCTGAAGTCAATTCAATCTCATACTCTATTCACTGTCAGCTTGACGGATAGAAGAAGAAGTCCTCAACAGCGGAAAATTTTTTTTTAATTCGAAAATCTTTTGCTGAACTTGATGAGATATTTATTCAATATAGTATCGAGGCATAGGTGAATGAACTTGAGGGCAACATCGGACAAGATTATATACTTTGAAGTATTTTCTCAGCTTCAGGACTGCTAGTTGAGTAACATGCAAGTCCCAGTCATGATTTCAATTAAAAATAAAGACTTGATCACAGAGAAACAACGGCGGCGCGATGGTGACGAAAACAAATGAAAAAGAGCAAGAGTGTTGTATAGCCGAAGAACGAAGGTGCCCATTGGCAATATTACAGCACCTCGACGCGGGTTGGACGTAAAAAAAGAATGCGGGCATGGATTTCAGTATTAAGTTGGGATCCTCTCTGAAATGTAGATAAGTACATGCAATGAAATTGGAGTTTAACACGAAATTATGAACTACTTTTCCATTGTTTTTCCTTGAGGTTTTGTAGTTCAATTTGAACATAAAGTAGAAAGGTGAGCGAAAAATTTAATATTTTCTCATGGTTTCAATCCTAGATCAATTTCTTTTCGGATAAATTTAACAAGGGAATGTTTTTTGGCTTCCGGTTGAACTTTAAACAAAAATTGGCTAAAATGCACTTGATGGCCACCTGATTCCAGAACAAGAATAATATTTGTCGCAATTGAACTTTTTCCCAAACTATGAAGCTTCAAAATACCGAAACAAGGCTTTTTTTCATAATTTGTGTATTTTACTTGAAGGTTTTCAACTCGAGAAGAGGCTCTATTGCAAGAAATTTTTTTTCTCTTTTTTTATTCAGCAAAAGTTTCGCCGGGGTTTAAAAAACGTTCCCTTGTGAGAAAAATGAAGTTTATGATATGAACTCCAATTCTTTCGAAGTGGGAAAAGAGATCTTGGGGCTTAACATTCTTCAATAAGCCAGTTTTTTTCGCTATGATCAGAAACAAGAAGGGTGTTGGTGTTTTTAATTTGTAGAAAATCCTTGTGAAACCATCGTCAACTATCCTTCGAGAAAAACTCCGAGTGCCATTTCTTCCTGTACGGAAACAGTAACTGTTCTTCGCTTCCAGTAACTTCATCTGAAAAATTTCTATTCTCATTTTTTGCTCTGACCGCCTTGGCGAGATAGATTTTTTCATGAATTTCACTTAAATAACGCAGAACGTTGGGCCATCATTCGTTTCAAAATCTACAGCTTTCTCTTTTTTTTAACTCATGAGTTCTTCTGAAAACTAAAAAGACGTATTGAAGGAACATTCATGACACTTTGGCAACTGCACTTCTTGCATTTTTTCTATTCATGGTATTTTGCAGAGCCAATTCGAGAAACTTAACCAAGTCTCCGATTCAAATTAAAAATTTGGCGTTCATGCAGAACTAGTTGGTCAAGAATGAAAAGTTCTTGTTTTTCAGCCGCCGTCACGAGAGACTACGACAGCTTTCATCTCCATCTTTTGCGATAATGAGGTACGAGCTGATAAAACAAAAACGATATGCCTCTTATCTTTATTGAGTTTCTAAAATGTCTATTCTATCCGAGTTTTCTCTCTCTCTGTCCTGTTCATTTGGCTTGTTTTAGAGTCTAGTTTACTTTGAATCCATGCTTTAAAAGGCTCTCAAAATGTGGAGCGGCAAGTGGCTTCCATTCTCAAAACTATTAACATTTTCAGTGAACGGCGATGGTTGCGGACAACCACTATCCTCACAAAGACGAGCTCACCGTCACTCAACGGGAAAAAATCAAAGAGCTCCGTACCAGGGCTCAGGACATCCTTGCTCTGTAAGAAACTTTTCAAGATCGTGTAAAATTCCTTTTTTAGCTATCCCGAATATGATACGGATTTCTCAATGCTCCGTTGGCTCATGGGATGGGATTATAACATTGGTTAGTCTCAATTGATCGAGTCATCAGGAACGGAAAATTGCAGATGTTATCCTGCCGAAGATGAGACATGCAGTGAACACCTTGATCGGATTGCGCCTCCACAAACAGAAATTGATGGAAAGAGAGCAAGTCAATGAGTTCATCAGATCGCTGTCCAATGCAACGGAGTTCTTCCCAGGTATTCTTATTGTGCTGAAACATCTTTGCCGTGTTTTGTCAAAATTAATTATTGTCATAAAACGATTTCAGGTGGCCTCATGAGCCAAACGGATAGAGGAGACGTTGTGTACATGCAAGCCGTCGCGAAGGTTTCTATCAAAATCCGGAAGTAAGACAAAAAAAGTTTCCAGTGCCACCCTAAAACATTGGTTAAAGCCGGTTCCGTGTCCGAGCTCTACCGTCTTTCAATTGCCGAAACAGAAATGGCTTTTAAACTTGTCCGGTAATTTTTCATCGAAATGAGAAATGACCTCTTCACTTTGTAGACGAGCGGAAGAGACGACAGGAAGGAAGCTTGGAGTGGTCATCATCATGGATTTGGACGGTTTCAGCATGGATTTGCTTTACACTCCTACTCTCAAAATCTACTTGAACTTGCTGACTCTCATGCAGGTTTTTTTCCTTAAAATAAACGCTGATAAGCAACGTTTTCCAGGAAATTTTCCCGGACTTTGCTCGACGAATCTTCTTAATCAACTGCCCCATGATGATGTCCACCGTGTACGCGATGATCTCGCCAGTTTTGTCGGTTCAGACCAGAGAAAAGGTGAATAAACTTTCTGAACCTTTTAAAAGTGATCATGTTTAAAGGTGCGCTTCTTGGACAAAGAATGGAAGAAGTTCCTTGCTGAAGAAGTTGGCTCAGCTCATCTTTTCCCTCACTGGGGCGGAGAGAAAAAAGCTTCGATTCCGACGGGAGACGTGCGGATGGGTGGAAAAGTTCCGGAAAAAATTTGGTGAGCTTTTATTTCAGAAGTTCAAATTAAAAACTTGTCTTGCAGGTACAAAGCCGACAGTCATCCACTAGAGGCAGGAAAAACGAAAGTCAATGTTGGAGCTCGATCTCGTCAGGAGGTTGGTAGATCTTCAAATTCACCACATCCGTCTCGATTCAGATCAAAATGGCTGGACAAAAGGGAAAGAAATTCCGATGGCTTTGGACGAGTTCCGGCGACATTGATTTCAGCATTGAGAAAGATGGAAAAACGGCAAGCAATTTTCTTTTTGAGCACCATATTCACTGATATCTTTCAGATTTACCCTGTTTTCCGGTCCATCACCGACTATCATCCAGAAATTGGCAGTTTCGATTGCGAACACGACGAAGAGCACGTTTTCGTGTTCAGCAATGCTCACGGCAAAATTTTCAGTAAGGATGTGAAATACAAAATTGTCTTGGAATGATCGTTTTTGTTACTGTTTTGTACTATAATTACTACGGTTACTTGTTTGAGTAGATTTTCCAAAAAGCTCGAATTTCCACTGAAAACTGTAAACTTTGTTCACTTGCGGTCTTTTCCATGCATTTGACGATTTCCGCATTTTTTGATTGCTCCGCATCTGTGATAGTCACGTGTTGCATCAGTCTTATCAGTTGTTGAACCGCTCCGGAGCGACCTTATCTTCTTTTGAAGAAGTCCATAAAGCTGTCGTTAAAAAATTAGCTTCTGTTATGACCACATTTTGATTGAAGCATGGAATTAAAAAATTACGACAGAAAAAAAAACACGAAAAATCTCGCTATAACATGCTTTGAGTCTACAGTTCCCTAAGAGAAAGACTGTGATGTGAATTTTCAAAGAAGACAAATGAACTTGATGAAAGTATCCGCGAACTAACTGGCGGCATCCGCCTTTCTTTTCATTAACCGGGTCATTTGAAAAGATTCGCTTTCATTCGATACTCCTAGGTGGCGCAATCGCTTTTCGGAGACTTTTCAACCCAGCACGACCGTCTCAGCACCTATCACATCCCCATAAATTATCTTCTTTTTTCGGTTTGGCTAATTGTTTCTACAGAAAATAGTTCGAAGTCTTCGTGCGAGCCATTTGGGAAAGTTTTGAGATAATTTTACTGGTAGACGATCAGAAGGACCAATTTTTTTGGTTTTTTTGTGAAGCGCCAGAAGATTTCAGTATATTCATATACATATGTAAATCTATGCACTATATCAAAAGTTGCGTTTTTCAAAACTTCAAATCTGTTTCCGTCGGAAAATTTGTTTTTTTTTCTCAATTTTACCAGTGAAGCTCCGTTCTAAGACACCTTGAAATTTCGGCTTTGATAGGCAAAACGAAGAACTTTCCTGCTGAAGTGGAAATTGTCGAATATACATGATCATCATTTTTTGGTTGATGGAAGATCTAATTTGATCTCCATATTAAACGAGAATTGAATGAAGCTTCTTTGTAGTTGACGACTTTTTTTTTAGATAAAGCTGTCTCGATCGAACAAAACCTGATAAACTTGATAAAATCCCATGAATGAATTTTTCAGCCACCTCTATTTTTGCTGGAAATCTCTTTGAATCCTCAGCCTGACGTTAATCAATCACAGCTTTTTTTTTCTCCTGACAGCAGTAAGAGTGAGAAGAGAAAGCGGAGTTGGAGTCTATCCGAACCTCCGTGGGTTGTCCCAAATCGCGTCCGCACTCTGATTCTCCTTATCAGCGGGAGATGATGTTTACGTGGATCTGACCGCGTTCCTCCAAGTCCGAGACGACTCAGCGCTCGTCGCCGCCCAGCTTGGCTTGTCTGCAGCAGGAGTTGTTACTTAAAGTCTCGATCCAGTCCCAGCCGGCTTTTTTCTTACATTTCTTGCATTCCGCTGAGATCCGTCTCTCCGGTTTTTGGCTTGTTTTTTTTTCTTTTTGCACCTAGAAGAGCATCTTTTAATTGAGAATAGATGTTCCAATACATTGAAGGAGCTTACGTTACCGTGATATTATTTTAAGTTTGAGCTAGCCCTTGGTGAATTTTTTTTATTTCCTAATGTTTTTCCTGGCTATGTCGCCTTTCCCATAAGCTCCTACTTTCAAACTTGTGGTTGCTAGTAAAATGAATAAGTTTTTTTCGGGCACAATAATTCTTTGATCGGCACTGACCGAGAGTGATATAGTGTGTTTCAAAAAAATGAACAAAAAGTTTTTAATGAACTTCCGGACGTGTGACGAGATTCAATATTTAAAAAAATTCTCTTCAATTTTTTTATTTTTGGGTTTTTCTGTTCAAATCTTCAAATTATTTCCCGACTTTTGAAATTCGTCCAAATAGAAATAGTTTTTCCGCTTTGCAAATCATCCATTTTTTTTCAGCTTCACATGACTTTTTGAGTGCTTCAATCTTTCCAAAAATGAGACATGAAGCCAAAACCCAGATTCTTGACTTCGGATCTTTTAACGGATGGAACGTTCCGATTTCTCTGTTTTTTATCTTGCCTTCCTTTAGACAATATCTTTTGGGACATCTTCGGCCTTTTTTGCAATACTTTCTGCACTTATATAAATCCTTTGAAAAGGTCTTCCCTGTTTGACTGTTTGTTTCTTTCTTCTCACGAAGCTAATTGATGTTTTAAAGATGTTGCTCGCCGTTGCGCTAGCGTTAATAACAACAGCAACGGCCAAGAATGTCTTCGTCTCTTCACCTTTCGATAATTTTCGGATAGAATGTCCCAAGCGGGTGAGTCTGATTGGCTACTTGTTGTTCTGTCCTGGTTCTTGAGCTGCAGCTCAATTGTTTTTCAGGCCGCTGCTACTGAACTTTCGGTGAGAATGGTTGAGTCGGTCGGCCAAAAACGTCAAGATGTCGTTTTCGACTTATCTTGTGAGACTATTGAGCAGGTGAAAAAGAAGGTTCAAGTTTTTGAAATAAACAAGATTACAGCTTTATCCTTGGGTGAACATCCCTGTGGGAATCTCGGAAATCGAACGAGAAGATTGTCGCTATTCTGAGATGATCGATCCAATTCTGGACGATAACACAACTTATTCGTGTGCCTCACGTGAATACATGGCTGGCATCACTCGTCTAAGTGACACACGGTTTTATTTCTCCACATTGGGTCAGAAGTCATCAGAGATCTCTTCAGAATCCAAGTCATGTGCTGTCGATTGCGATCTAGAGACGAGTTCAATTGCGGCGAAACGACTTTCAACAAACCGATTGGTCTAACGCGTAGCACTGTTATTGAGTTAGTATTATGAACCGCTAACTTAACCCAAGACTCCATAATAATTTTCTCATATTTATTTGGAAGCTAGTGAAGATAACTTCAGCAAAAAGGAAAACGTAAATTTTTCGTTATTATTTTTCCCCAGTCTGAAAGTGCATAGAGTGTTTTTTATACCTTTCCTTGCAGATTTAGATTCCTCGAATAAATCAAAAACGTTCTTTGCAATATTATACTTGGACATAACCTTTTCTGTTCTAGATTATTAATATAAAAGCAGTATGGCTGAACTTTTCAGACACGACGGACAGCTGATAAACGCCATTCGAGTCCACCTTCGGCAGTACGTTGTTCGTTTTTGTGATCTCGCTCCACGTTCAATTCGTGAGTGCGAATGTCATTGAACCTAAATTCATAAAAAACGTTTACAGCTGATATTTTCTCTGATGAAAAGATTAAAAGCACGACAAGAGCTCCCACTACAGTCGACCAGTCGGCAAATGTGTCACGGCAAAAACATGATCCGATGTACTTGAAGTAGTACAGCACATAAAAATTTTTCGGGCTTTCAGGAAAATCGAAAAATCACAAAAAGCGGAGATTCCTGTGGTCCAACAGCAGAAGCCTGAAGAAGACTTTGTCTTGCAAGCTTCAACAGAAGGTCCAACAGAACCTCCAGTTGTTCGTGCTCCGAAGAAGCGCGTACGAGTTGAAACAGTCAAGACAGAAAGCGCTGAAGTTCCGACGCTCCCTCTTCTGGAGATTTCTGACGCAGTCCACAGAGACGCCGTCACAGCGCCAGAAAATGTTCATTTAGAGCAAACTTTGCCACAACCTCCTCCACGACAATTCACTCGTCACCGTCAAATTCCTGTAAGTTTTTCAAAAAATGTTTTTGCGAGACATTTTTCGATACATGACGCTTTACTACCGATTGAGACGAAAAAAGAAAAAAAAACCCCGATTTTTTTTATTTGAGATGAAACAAGTATAAATCGGAAAACTTCTCCTTCATCTCGAAAATCAATAAGTGTGAAGCTCTAAAAAAAAGAATCATTTTCAATTTTTCTTTTCAGAAAGCCGTTCCCGTCTCACTACCTGCAGCTGCTCCAGAACCAAGAGAGCCAATGGTTTCGCAAGAAGCGATTCTGAAGCCAGAGCCTCCTGTACATCAACAGCCTCAGCTTGTCAGCGGCCAACTTGTCGACGATATTATCAGGTTGCTTGAATCCTAGGAACAACTCTAATCTTGATGCAGAAAAATTGCAAGCGCTCAATCAGAACAGAAAGCAGCCCTTATCTTCCAGCAATCAGTGAATGAACTACTGCAGAGTGCAAATGAAAAACCTATCGGTATCATGAAATTCTATAAAATGGTCTTCATTTGCATTTTTCTCAGAGAAGCCAACAACCAATGAACCTGAGATTGTGACTGATGGACCCCCAGCTGCTACACCTCCATCTGAAATGGGTATTTTTGAACAAGATGCACTGGAAATTTAGAAAAACGTTCAGACCTATCGAAAATAACGTTCTCTAATGATGACTTTCCGAAGCCAAACGCTCAGCCTTCGGGAGGCGCGTTCCGCCCGCGGTACTTGAAAGAGCTTCTTGTAAGTTCCAAATGGAAGAACCAGTAACTTCAGTGTAGGCGAAATTATTTTATTTTATCATTAAACCATGATAGATCTTTTTCTGTGCATAAAAAGAATGAAAGCCAAGCAAAATGTGTAAACTCCATTTGTTTGCCTCTTCCTGAAAAATGGTTTTGCAGCCGTTACGACGAGATTTGAGAGGAGAGAAGTTCTCGCCGCTTCAGATGATCAACGCCGATGGCCACCGTCGTTCTCCAATCCGCACCCATCGTCCTCACGTTGTAAGCTTGGATGAAACTGACATCTCTGAATGAGTGGCTTCTGCTTCTGCTTCGCACCTCCCGCCACTTCAAAAGTTATCTTCCCTTAAAATGGACGGCTTTCTTGCCTTGGTTTGATACGTGTTCCTTGGATCTTTGTTTTATGTCTGCAATAAACGTGTGCGTACCCGCTTTGTTTTGCTTTGCACAAGCTGCCGTTTTGCACTCGAAAGGTGACGTCGTGTCAATGAATCCGAGCTAATTTAGGATATTTGGTCTTCTGAAGAAGAAGAAGAGGAGGAAATGAGCCAAGTTAACGAATCTGCCGAACGTTCTGTGGAGGCTGAGACAACGACCACAGCTCGTCCCAGAAGGGTCTGGCTTGTTTCTCACCCATTATGAAGAATTTGATGAGTTTCAAGGAAAAAAGAAACCAATAAAAAAATCAATAAAAATTCGAAATTTCCCGCACTTATAGTTTTCGCTTTTTAAATTTTGGTAATTTTAGATAGTGAAGAAAATAATCAAAAAAGTGATAAGAGCTCATCGCTCCACTGTCACATCGACGACGACAACTACAGCTGCCCCTCCTACTACCAAGCACTTGTCGAGCGAATTCTTTACATCCATAGAAGATGAGCTCTCGCGAGAAAACTTGGAAGATCACTTCACAAAGTGAGCCCTAAGCAAGAAACAAACAAATATTTTCGCCGTTTAGACATTCTCGTAGATTCGGAATGACGACGACGCCGTCCGCTAGAAGAGATCTACCAGCTCGTCGCAAAGCCGCCGAAAACAGAGTTGACCAGCACGACAACGCTCGGGAAGTCGACGAAGAGACGCTTATTTCTCCTTTCGAAGATCTTCCTCCAACTGAAACTACCACGCACAGAGTAAGTTGAGCACAGCTGAAAAAAAATACGCTATTTAAAACTTTTTATATGAGGATATCTCATCTTAAAGTTTAGAGTTCAATTCAACTTTATTAGAGATTGAACATCCTTTTGTTCTAGGTTTTTGCGATCTCATTGGCCTGTTTTTCTTGGTTCATCAATTCAAACAGAGTGTTTTCGCAATTTTAATTCTTAAAAAATATTACTAGGCGCGTGGGCTCCTTGCAATTACGGCTTTTTCAACATCGACATAACTCTTCATTTTTTTTTCTGAAAAAGACGTCAGAGTTTCAGCCTTCGATCTCTCACGCGAAATCAAAGAATAGACCTCTTCCCAAGGTTGATTTCCAAGAAGATGAAGATATTGAGGAAGTCATAAGCAAGGTTAGTTTTCCTCCTTTTATGAAGCAAACAAGTCAAGATGACCTTATTAGCCCCTCTTATGTCATCGGGCATACGGTGTCTTTTAATTAAATCCTCTTTGTTTAAGCGCTATTTATAGTCTTTATTAAACTTCTGAGCGCTTGCTAATTAGATCGAAGTTTAATGAAAGCGAAATCAGCTTTTTTCAGCTTTCTGTGCGAAAACCTGAGATCCGAAGAGCGCCCATTCGCAACAGTGTTGCAGAGGCTCAATTTGGCGAAAAAGAAGAAAGAAGTGAGAAAATTAATGTTTTTCATCATTTTTTCGAGTGTAGATCAGATTGAAAACGATCGCACTATGGAGCGAGTTCAATTGGACAAAGATGGCGTAAAAACGCACATACCTCAAAATGAAGAGCCAATCTGTAAGTGTCAACCTTTTAAACCAGTAATCGTCGAGTTTTTAAGTGATGACGACTTTGAAAATTTCGAAAAATCTGGATCCGGAGGAAAGCAATTCTGAAGACGACGATAGAAAAGTTGATCTTCAAGGTTCTTTTCTTTTTTGACCCTCTCCAAATCAAATTTTCAGATATCGGTTTAGTTCCCATGGACTCTCCAAAGTCCGAAGAAAGTGAGAAAAATGTAAGTTCCCACTCTCAACCGTCTATCCTTGCAAATCGTGCGAAAAACCTGAAGCAGTAATTTTCTCAAGCTGTAACTCCAAATTATGTTTCTGCTTTTTTATAATTTTCAACGACGTAGGCCTTGAATTAATTTTTTGTGTCTGTAATTACATACAGGAAGCTCACGTTTATTTCACATGAAAAATGGAGATTAGTTCAAAATTGCTGAGAAGCAAATTATTGCCAGTGCATCGTAGTATAATGGTGAGTAGGAGAAAAATGAGGCAAAATCAACATGTGAGCACGAAATAAGGAAGAAAATTTGAATTGCGCAGTGTTTTTAAACTTACATACGTAGAAGCCAGCCTTAATTGGATATAGAAGAAGTTGCAAGCATAATAATAAAAAAGAAGAAAGTGAGCCACTCATCATCGCAGAGAATCCAAATATATCTTGTAGCGGAGGAGGAAATGTGCCAGCAAATAAATATTAATCATTAGCCAAACTCTTCCAAACAAGAAGTCACGTAGGATGTTGACAACTTTTTTCTCAGTATATCTAATATGGATCCAAAAAATGAGATTAGGACTGGAATGTACTTTGGAACATTCTCTCGGAGTTTTTCACAGCTATCAGTATTTGAAGTTCATGAGAAACTGTAATTAAAGTTTTTTTATTCTTGTGCGTTGAGTGAGCTTGAGAGAAAACAAAGTGAAGAAAGGTGGAAAGTCTGGAAACTTATTTAAAGTAATATACTCTTCCAGGAACTGATAACTGAAGAAACAACACGACCGCCGGCCACGACAACCACCGTATATGACCCCTCAAACTTCTACAGAACGCCACGGCCGAAGCCAGCCAAAAAGGAGAAAAGTGAGTGGGCGACTCGTTGGTAACGCAAATTACTCTGATGCACATTACCATTATGGGATGGACCTTGGAGCAAATGGCTTCAACGGCCAGCAAATGGAAACAAGCCATTGCTGCCGAATATCTAATCAAACGAGGATTTACTGCGTGGGAGGGCGCCGAAAAACTTCTTTTTTCTTCGAACCTCTCCAGAAAAATATTTAAATTTCGAGGCAAATTTGAAATATAACCTTGCAGAAACTTCAAAAAAACCTAAATTTTTTTATTCTTCAAAGTTTTGCAGTTGGACTTCTGACGTAGATGAATTTTTAATAAAATCGTGCCAGTTTCCGTTTTTTTAGATTTCTCTTGAACTCCTGGGCATCATGAAAAAAGTTGCAGCTTTTCATTCGTGTCGTTCTCTTGATTCCATTTCGAACTCTTAACTCTTTTCAATAAATTATTCATAAGATTTTCTGCGCGTTCACTTAGTTTCCGAGACTTTTGAACTCTTTCACAATAACAAGAAGTCGGCGTTATTATTCCAAAGTGCTAAAATTCTGTGTGCATTTCTATTGAGATTCGAATTAGCGCAACAAACTGAAAGACATAGTTTTTCTTCCTGCTGAAAAAACAAAATGGCGCGAATAGGCAAAAATGGCGGTTATCAAATCACATATTTCGTACAAGTAACAGAGAAAATTGCAGCGTTTCCCTAACAGCTGTTATTTCGAAAAGAGAAAATGCCGCTCTTTGCATTATAAATTGAGAGAAGATTCTGAACCTCAAGGAAAAGTAAGAGCAATTTCACGAGATACAGTTTCAGTCCTACGGTTCTGCTCGAAGGAGTTGGCTCTACGTGACCAGTCGAACATGGTGATCGCCTGTGGCTTGGATGCCGACGTCTGGGTTCCTAGCCGGTGTCCTCAAAATGCCGACTGCTTCCCTTCCCACGACAGTCTCTACCGTATCTGCTGTCCTGTGCACCATGGCTGAACCTTTTGAAGTTCTTTCAAATCACTGATTTCTGATTGTTCCACATTGTTACGTTGTATGTAAATATCTAATAAAAACCTGGCGTCAGCAGTTTTCTTCTCTGAACCAATTAATTTTCTAATCGAGACGCACAAAGAATTACGAACTATTCTTAATTGGTGATTATTAAACCTTGTCAAAACAAGCGCGTCAGAGCCGTAGAACGTCAAAAATCGTTCTGTACAAAGATTGAAACCCTAGAGAAAAAGCCGCGTTTTTCTTGTTATCGTGGAAATAAATTTCCAAACGCAAATCGTTAGACGAGGCAAATATTGAAGGTCAATCTCGCACAAAGTTGGCTTTCTTTCGTACTATTATTGGCTGTCCAAATTGGGTTTGAATTGAATAAAGTAACTCAAACACCTGCTAGCTTCGAGCGCAAAAATCCTTTTTCTTCAGCATACTTAGCAACGCTTTGGATGTTTGAAAATAACCTACGAAAATTTCATATTATAATTTTTCGAAGTTTACTTCAAAAGTGATGAAACTGAGAAAATCTATTTCATGGAACACGCATTAAGGATCAAAATCCGTAGTTTTGAATGGATTCATGAGCAGATTTGCTGTTCTTCGCGGTCAAAAGGATTACGTGGAGAGTTAAAAATAAGCTCCGGGAGATTAACTTTAGATTCGCGAAAGTTGGCCTGCCACGAAACGTTGCTATTATAAGAGCTATTTAAGGTTTCTTTGACCAGGAAACTTCATTCGGCATGCATCGCCTGCTTTCCCACCCTCGCATTCAACATTTCACGTCGTCATTTCCCAAACTGCGGCGAAACAGATCTGAAGCCGTTTCGGGCCGACTCGTCGCTTCGGAATAGCTCAAGCTTATATTCTATCTTTCTCTTTCATATGCTGCTTTTTACATTGAGAGAGAACGGGGCTTAAGAACAAATTCCATTTCCGGATTGCTCTGACTAAGTTCAATATCTTTAATATCTATAAGTTGGGCGGATAGCTTCATTTTTTTCAAACGATTAAAGGGATGATGAACAAGTACCACGTGACTTTCAGGTCAAATTAAACGCCGAAATTGCTAAATCCGTAAAATGAGAACCTCTCAACCAGATTAATACTATTTCAGTTGCAAATACGGACTTCGATTCCAAGAAACAAGCTTTGATAACATTGAAAATCAAAAAAAATTTACTTAGTTTGGAATGAGAAGTTTTTCGGAACATAATCAAGCTTTAAAGCCTATTTATTGGCGACTCGTGAAAGAAGCTTCCCGTAAATTGAGAAGGGAAAATCTCGTGTTTTGCGGAGGTTTGTAAACAGCCTTTTCCCCTATTCATTTGGTATATCATTTTGTTTGTTTATGTTTACAGCTTCAGCTTATCACGAATTATAATTTCTTCGAACGAATAATTTATCAGCAAATTCTTTTTTTTTGTTTCAAATCTGTCTTGCTGCTGATTTCGATGTGGTAATTTTCAAACCCCAAAACTTTTGAAGTATCACTTTTATTGCAAGGAAAAACAAAGTACACGCCTAAAACCCATGGCAAAAAATACATGAGTGGACAGTTTCAAAAAATCGATGTTTCTAAGATATCACAAAAGTAGTTCCGCGAATTTAACACGGCACCGGTGGCGTAATGCTTGAATGACAGGGTAGCGAAGCTAGACAAGAATAGGAAAAGCGTCATAGAAAGGAGCGGGAAACCAGCGGAAATGAACTCTGACGATATGGTGAGTGCAATCGAGAAACACCGGGAGCAAAACCCGCAAAAACGTTACTAGCTGTACAACTAATCATGAAATGAAGTTCGAAGCGGTTGGAAAAGTTTCTCACATATAACTTCTTTTCCAATAAACAAAAAAAAGGTTTACGGAACAATAATCAACTAGTTAAACTAGGATTCAAGAGATCGGGAAGCAGATGCAAAGAATCGGATTCGAAGATGGATTCAAAAGAGCCTTGGTTTCACGAATGGCCTGGGTGGGGATATGGTCAACGACGTTCCTGGTCTGACAGAGCATGACACGCATCTTCATGCCCTCGTTGAGAACCGACTGCGAAGAACCATGGCTCGAAGTGGAAGACGTCGAATTGCGGCGACCAGTCGCCTGCACGTGGTGGAGGCAACTGAACTTGTGCGTAGCACGTTTCAGAGCCTCCAAAGCCTGCGAACAGTCACCGTCCATATTGCGGACGAGGCACAGAACGCGACTCTTGGCGATCAGATGCTTCCAGGTCAGGATTCCGAGGGTCATCAGAGCAATATCAGTTTGCGGTAGCCCATCTTCGAACAGCTCGTTAGGAATATGAGCCATTTCGAAGTATTCAAGGTTCACTTTGCCGTCGAATTTGGCGAGGTAGAGCTTGGTACCGCCATCCGAAGAACTGGCAATGTGTGAACTGAGCACGAAGTCGTAGTAGCAGATGCCGTTGGCAGAAGACTCGCAGACAAGGTCGGAGGCATTGATGTCGAATAGGCCTGACTCTTCGGCTAGTTCGATGATGGACTTTCGAGGTTCGACCGTAAGGAGCATTTTGTAAGGAGAAGGCGGCTTGCTGGAGCTGAGAGACATGTGTATGAACGCGGTAAGGTCTGGCTGGGGGCGGCGCCTGAGTGCCGCTTCGCCCCGCCCCCTCGTCCTCCGACCACGCGTTCCTTCCCTCTTGATTAGCTTATCACAATTATCCTGCAGTGAAAATTGATGACGTCTTAAAAAACGAGGTTCTTAGAATAAAAACTTGCAAAAGGAGTTTTATTGCGCGAATAACATGATTCATTTTCAACTCGTCCTGAAATTGAAAAAAAATGAGTTCAAAAAGTTTGGTGATTTTATTCAATTTAGGATTTCAAGAATTTAGTTGCTTCATAAGATCTTTAAGAACCATATAAAAATTAAATTGAGTCACAGCTGCGATTTTTCCTTTTTTTTAAACATTTAGTATGTTTTTTTGAAATTGCAGCTGAAACGAAGTCTAGCGTTGACACAGAAATGTGCGATTATTCTATTTTTTTTTCCTGTTTCGGAGGTGCAATCACAAATTTCCTTAACGTCATTCTCAGAGTTCTGAGAAACAAGTCATCAAAAAAGCTTAAACGTAGGTAAAACTTGTTCTGGCTACAAAATACAAATTGTGCAGAAATATTCGGCCTCTTAAATTTCTTAATACTCAAACATATGCGACACAAAAGTGCACTAAAAATAGAGCCTACACTCATAATCATCTAATTCTTGCCAATTTTGAATCCTTGAGAACGTTTATATGCTTCAAAATGTTTTGTGCATGCCACCCACATGTGCAAATACGACAGTGGAAAAATATGACTGAGGGTCTTTAATTTCAAGTCAACTCGATTGTTCTGGAAGAGACGTGGAGACACCAGACGGAGCAGAAAAGAAAGAGCATCGGTTTCGTTGTTGATTTGGGCATGGAAAAAAACGCGTCATGAATGACGAGAGCCTGGAGTCGGAAGAAAAAACGAGTCGACCTGAAATGACCCGCATGCAAAACAGGAGCTCAAAACGGCAATTCAATTACGGAGGAGTCGGTTAAGTATACACACTTTGACCTTTTTTCAATGTTTACTTTTTCCATGGAGCCCTGGGGCGTTTGAGTACCGAGCGTAGGTTCGGTTTGACACTTACAGTATGCTGTTGCAACATTTCCAAGGGGCCTTTTTTGATACATTCCTGATTCTGAGCCTTTTTCGAAAAAAATTTCTCAATTAATGAGAAACAGAACGTAAAACTGTCATCAATTTTCCACTAGAAAGACCAATTATTTTAACCGATTCTAGCAGTAAAAGTTTCAGTACTTTCAAATAAGCTAAATAAACTGTAATGAACGTTTCTATAAGGATATTTATTACTTCAACTTTTTCTTTGGAAAACATTTCTTCGTAACATTTAACCTTATCATTCTAAATGTGAGCTAATCTCATTATTTCATTCATCAATACCCATTTTTGTACCCTTCGAGGTTTGAACAAGAAAATTTCTCGAAAAGATAATAACCGTTTGAGCAATAGACAGGTCTATTTGCGTCACAAGGGTGTGAGATTCCCATGTTTCAGCTTACCCAGCAGTACGAATGCGGAACCTCAAATCTTCGAAAAAGTAGTTTGACTTTTCGGCATGAGAAAGTAGCATTTGGCCAAGTTTTTTAGAAAATGAGAAAGCAAATCGTGGGAAATCATACTTCTACCTTTCGAACAAATTTTAAAGAATCGAGTTCTTTTGCTGATCTTCTCACAGTTCTGACATACTTCAAGCCCAGAGTATTTTGTAAAATACCATCTGTGGAAAATGTTATAGCGATGTTTGTGGAGAACTTTCAACATTTCTTCGACAGCAACATGACAAGTTGTACGAGTAACTTGCTTATAGCACTAATATTTTCTCGTGCTCTTCCTCGAGATTTTTCAGCGCCACCCGGGTTATTTATGGCTCGCATTCAGTTCTGTCAAGACTTTTCCGGCTTCCGCATCGGAATCGTGACGCAATCATGGGATTCCTCGAGTTGTCCGAAATGTCTTTTATTTGGTTGAAGTTTGGCGGGATTTGAACTGCTCCCAATTGTTTCAAGATAAAATTTTCGAACCATATAACACTTGATTATCATATTTTTTTTGTTTGGATACAAAGAACACAACCTGAAAGCTTAAAGTTTGAAGGTAGGTCTAATTTTAAGCTTAAAAATCGTGGAGTGGTTGCATATTATCAAAAGCTACGATTGAAGTGAAAAGTTTTTTGAGCTGAAAATTTTTAAATTCTTTAAAAGTTGCTCAAAATAAACGCATTAACCAACGAAAGTCTTTCGAAAACGTGGTTGAACATCTAAGTTAGGCTTCTCTGACAGCAGATTGCCCCAAGGCTTTCTTGAATCTTCGACCTTGGTAGCTTTGACGTACTTACTTGTAAAAAAATATATCCTATTTGCGTGGTGAGCGGCTTAATATTATCTTCGAAGGATTGCTCAAAGTTACTCCTACGCCGGTAGGCTAGATATATTAACAGTTAATCCTATGGATTAAGATTTTTTATAGAGTTCATCAAACAAACAAAAAACATTCACTGCCTCTGTACAATATTATTGAGATCTCGGGTTATAACTTTTCGGAGATCACCTGCAAACAAATTTGTCCTCTATGAAATTTTTTGGAGAAGTTGCAAAGCCATTTTTGAACTTACCAAGTTGTTTTCCAAGAGTAAAATTTTGCTGAAAGCAAATAACGCTTTTAACTATTCGGAAAGAATAAACAAGTCGACATCAGCTGCACCATCCCAGGTGAATTTCCTTGATCCACAAGATGTATGTTCGCACCAGCAATAATATTTATGTTCGTGTAAAACCGTTGACTGAATTTTAAGGCATTAAGGAATGGGCTTTTGTGGTTTGTGGCCTTTTAGATTTTTGGAGCCGGTCACAGCTGCGAATCGTATTTGGCTAGCCGCTTACGGTACTGCTGGAATCGCAAGACAGCGTATCTGGAAGTTGAAATGAGTTGACACAATTGCTGAGCGTTTTACCCCAAATAGTCAAAATCGATAGTCGAATACTGAGATTGGACCAAAGCCCAGAGTGCCCAGAAAAGATGAGAGGCCTGAAAATGTGTCGTCGTGAAAAGAAGACCTATCTTCACAATTTAACTAGGAGTTCAAAGATTTTTGAGAAAATCTTTAGTATGGATTCTTTCATTTTTTGAACGATTCAAAGGCCAACATTTTTTTTGCTATGCAAACGATCGAAAAATGCGGATTAAAGAAAAGACAACAAAAATCGTTTCGAATGCTGAACTTGTGTTTTTATCTTTTTGAAGGTGTCCAGGGGAGCTTAGAGATGGCAGTACGTTGATACGACTCATTACTCAACTCAGAATCGTCGAAGGTTTTCAGAACGTTCCAAGCATGATTTATAACTGGCTACTGCTCTTCTAGTTTTTTGCACGCGAGTACTGAGCCGCGACTTTTAGAGAAGAAGCAAGCGCTAATAATAGCGTTCGTACTAGTCGGCGTTGGCGACTACACGACGTTTTGAAATGCGGGACGCGAGATTTACGGTGGCAGATTTGTCTTTTTGCATTTTCCCGCTGGATGGCCTCTAAATGAAGGTTGAATATTAGGTTAAAGAGCTTTCATCTGTGATTTGCTTATAAATGGGAAGTAAGTACGACTTTGAGCATGCTGTACTGAAGTCTCGGAATCAAAATGTTTTGGGCGTTTGAGTATAATTCGTTCAAAATCGCTTTTTGTGCCTTAAAGACTCACCATACCGAAACTTCAAAATAAATGATATTTTCCCAGTTATATGTTTATAAAATACTAGGTACTTATTTTTGACCAAAGAAAACTGGCCCTAGATTAGACGTTTCCAAAAGACTTTTCCAAACTCTAAAGTCCTCCAAAGCGGCTCAAAAAATGAGTGCTATCTAAAAATCACGTCATGAGAACTGAGCAAACGACGTTCAAAAAAGTCGCAGAGAACTTTTGAGGGCACTCAATTCCCAAATGGACAGTTAAAGCGTGGGTGAGCAAAAAACGCGAGTGTTCCGTCCATTTTTCAACCAAACTCATCTCATTTTCCAATTTTAGGGATTGGAACGATGAAGCGTTCTAACTTTTCTTCTTATGAGGTTCAGATAAACCAAGCTTTTTGAGGGGTCAAGGGAATTATAGCAAAATTGGTCGTAAAAATAAATCTCACTAGTTAGCCTTTTTTGTAGGAAATTCTTGTCCTCAACCAATATCGGCCAAAAATGTATCAAATCCCGAAAGTCTTTATCCATTAGATTTTGATCTGTATTTTTCAAAGTCTACTGAACCTTCAGAAAAACATAATGTGGATGGTGTCAAAAAATGATGTCATTTCATAAAATGAGTATTTTAAATTTCCGCAGGACCTCGTTTGCATAACAATTGGCTCACGTCTCATAAAATGTTGTTGGCGAAAATTTTCGGAAATTAAAAACGAATTGACGTCAGTAAAAAATGAGAGAGAGTGCAATAGGTTTTAGTTTTTGCTTCAAATAGGAAAAACAAGTAATTATTCACAGAAGTACGCAATAGAACCTTGTAAAAACAAGTCACGCTCATGCTGAAAATTGGAATTTATGGTTTTTTTTCTGTTTTAACATTTACTTTTGAAAAAGAAAAGAGAACTAACAGCTTCGAAAAGAGGGGTTCGGGCTATCATTTCGCGTAGTCGTTTCTCGTCGGCTACCTCATGTCGCGCTTTCAGATAATCATACAAGAAGACAAGTTTCTGTGCCTTATCAGGGCACAAATCGTAGTTTGGATCGGTGACACCTGAAGACGACAATTAGAAAGTAGTTCAATTAAATTTACTGAATTGATTGTACATGATATAATTTTTTTCCTTGATAAGTTCGATTTAAAAAATTGTGATCTAAAGAGTTAAGATCAAGATTGAAATCGAGATTTCCATACCATGAACACGAATTTTCGGATAATTCTGATTTATAAATAAAAAGCTGCCCTGTATCAAATTCCCAAAACTTTTAGAAGATCTTGAAAGAAATTTTGGAGACATAGGCGTAGTATCTTCTTTCTTATAAACTAAAAATAAAATTTTTTTTCACAAATCAGAAATTATTTGATCGAAATACCCACCAGCGTGCTCACAGAAATGATTCGCCAGATCAAAGAGTTCGAAGTTTGTCGACGCGTATTCGTAGTCGATAAAATTGATAGCCCCTAGTGAGAAGCGATTTCGAGAATAGGAAACTCAGAGTCTTACCAGCTTTGTTCATAACAATATTGTGTACGAGAAGATCATTATGACAGAAAGCCAGTTTCTCGTTTAGAAGTTTTATTTTTTCCTCTAGAGAGTCGATCAAGGAGCATAGATCCTCTGTGAATTCCGTGTCAAAAACTTTCTGAAAAATTGATATTCAATATGTTCATAGTTGTACTACCAAATAAATTTTAGACTGGAAAAAAAGCTTCAGAATGGAAAACACCCGTTCACGGAAGCTACTGTGAGGTTCTAGACTTATTATCTTACTTGTTTTTCTTCATCCTCGAAATTTTCTTTCAAAGCTTTGCGAAACTGTCGCATCTTGGGAAAAAGAGAAGCCTCATTGCTGTGTGGAACGGTCATATGCAACTGTGCGATTTTGCGAGCAATTGATCTCAAAAATAAAGATTATTGCAAATAAAAACCTCTTTTACCTTTGTATTTTTGGATCTCTTAGTTGTTGCACTTCTAAAGTGTCTCCTTCGAGATATCCACAAACAAGCCCATTTTTGAAATGAGCAAACAAAGGAGCCGCCATTTTAAATTTAGCTAGTTTTTTCCACGATTCCAGTTCAGCTTTCCTGCAAATAGTCCATCACCCAATGTGGTAAAAAGAAGCAAGAAATGATTTCAAACAAAGGAAATATTCTAAAAAAACTTCAGAGCTTGAAGTTCACACTACACTCACAAAAATGTAACACAAACCTGTCTATGATTTGTTCTGTGTTTTTGCCAAATACACGGAAAATCAATTGTTCTGCAGGGTCAACGTAAACGGCAAATATTTTGTTGGTGATACCAGCTGTGTAAACCTAAATATGAAAAGTAACTGAATGGTTAAACGAAAAAAGGCAACTTTGAACTGGATAGACTTTTCCGGCCAGTCTGGCCTGATTTGCTTCAAAATTGCGATGGCAGAAGCCTCGCACTCCTTGGAGTTGAGCAGAGAGAGTTCTTCATCGATGACAGGAACGGCTTCCATTTTCTGAACATTGAAATTTAAAAAATCCCAATTGAGGTTGGAAACATTTAGAAACAATGAGAAATTCAGCCGCTGCAAAAATATAAGAGTGAGAGAGAAGGGAAAGTAATGACTCATAATGCAAAAATAACTTGACAAAAATTCTCTTCTTTTAAAAAAAAAAAAGAGTAAAGAAACGATCTTTTCTAGACAATTTAGAAATTCTTGTTTAAAATTCTGAAGGTTATTTAGAAGAATTTTGAAACTGTAAGTGTAATTATGAAAATAACCTGTAGTTGGAAAACAAAGTAAGAGTACGCAAGTGCAACGTGACCAACTGGTGGCCGAAATGACACTACGACTGGCAACGTCGCTTGATTTCTTATCACCAGTTGGTTATTGTGAGATAGGTTTTGGTCTTTACTACCTGATAACGTTTTATGAAGAAATTTTTCCCATTTCGTTTTTTTTTATAAGTTTAAGCTTTTCAAAAGGAACCAGGATACAGAACAACACGAATGTTTGTTTAATCAAGAAACTCTTTTAAAATCTGAGGACAGCTTTGACCATTACAAAATTCGCACTTTGAAAAATTTTTAAAAATTTTGCACAAAAAGAAGTTACAATAAAATGTTCATTTTTTTGCTATTTGCATGCGATCAAACGTTAAATAAAAATAAACTTGATTGGACAAGTCGAATTTGAATCGCCTTTCCTGAACCTTGATTGCAGAAAGGTTTTTTTGTAATCAAACCACACAGAAAAATGTATTGTCCTAAAAAAAATCCTCATTAAAAGTTGATTTTTTTTTCCAACAATCGAATGCTTTAAAAAAATAGTTCTAACAAAAAAATATTACTGCCTCCTCAAACAATAAATGGCTTAAAAAAACACTGAAAAAAGAAGGTTTCCATAATCGTCACCTTCTTCTTTGCTCAGAATCTGTTCCAGAAGCTGTGAGACTGCGACCAGCAAACTATGTTAGAAGGGAGAGAACTTTGAACAAAATGCAAACGCCTAGAAGATTTTGAGAACAAAATCGGCGTGTTGGGAATTGGTTTCTTTCATCAAAAAAATTCTCTGCTGGATGACATCCGGCGAATTTTCCAAACTTTTCTAGAATTCCACATTATTTTAGATTGAAGCGATAAGAAAAAGAAGCATAATTTTTTATTATTGCCCTAAGAGGAAAATAGCATCTTATAGGTTTTAGACATCTCAACAACTAAATAAACCGTAGAGATGCGATTTGACGCATTTCGTCGCCTATTGGAGAGCTTTTTTGCCGCGAAATTCGATGTTTCAAACTTTGACCCATCTGCCGCAACGATGGACGTCTAACGGCCCGAAAGAGCAAGGAAAAAAGAGTTTTATGTGGAATATGCGTTTCGTCTTTGCCTACCCAGTCTTTGCGCGTTTAAACGTAGATGGGCCGTAAGAAATGGGGTCTGAGGTGAAAACAATACCTTATGGAGTTTTATATCGGTGTACTCGAAAAAACACATAGATGAGTACTTTTGGAGAAAAAAGCGATTTCATTCTCCCGCCATTTCATTTTTAAATTGATTCCCACAATGTTTTCATAGCAGCCGTGCACGCAAAGTTGCGGACGTGTCTTGAAAAATTATTATTCTTATTTTTTTATAACTAAATGGAAAAAAAGTTCCAAACACAATCTTCAAGTCTGAAAAACCTATTGAATGAAAAAAACACACACCGATAAAAAAATAAATGCAAAAATACAGATTTCCTGATTAAAAAAACTTCAAAAAAATCATATCTATCGACACGAGAGCATTTGCAATCACAAAATCAAAACTAAGCAAAAAAATAGAAATTTCCTTGTCCATGGAGCAAATTTACTGCAAAACGCGCTGCTGGTGTCATTCTTATTTCTGTGCAACCGCTTCGCATTAAACATTTCTGGAAACCCTGAAATGAGAAATGAGAAAATTTTATCTCGAGAGTTCGGCAATGGAGCATAGGCAGACACACACTTGCAAAAAAATCTTGCGCAGAGAGGAACCAACGCAGCTGTTCGCAGTTCCTATCGCACAGTCTCTTTACTGCAAAAAAAGAGGTGTTTACGAGAATTCAAAAATTTTGGTAGAAATCAGCTCTTGTTAGTCACAATTAATACATTACTATAATTTTTGAAAAAAATCAATAATATTGATTTTTTTAAAATGATTTTAAAGAAAAATTGATCTTGAAATTCTTTTTCTCCATCTGTCGTCAGTGGCCTGTAATTTAAAAAAATATGATTTTTTTGCTAACTTTCTCTCAAATCGGGCTGAGTTTGCCACCGAATATTGGCTGAAACTAGGGGTGAATGGACTTTTCCATTTTCAGTGCGTAAATTTGCACATTTTTTTCTTGTTTAAGTCAAAGATGTAATCAACTAGACGTTCAACTAGCGCTTTTCATGCAATATCGAACATGCGCATTTTGGGAGCTGGAAGTCTAACGGGTAGTTGATCGAGTTGAAAGCATAATCTTACGGTCATTCGCTTTTTTTTAGCTCAGTTCATTTAGTTTGACGAGCGCAGAAAACAGCGGATGTTGTGTTGAAGCCTAAGACCGTGCTCTAGGTGGGAGTCTCGGCATGAGAATAACCACAGAAGAGTGAGAAGTGTACTAGGAAATTTCAAATTTCTTATACAAATGACGCGTTTTTTCAACTTCTGGTACATTCTTTCAAAAAAAATGAAATAATTTGTAGACCGTGAGGATAATTTTGAAATTAGGCGTTCCTAAAAAACAGTGATATGAATTTCGCGATATTTATTTCATGTTTGCGTGTACTCTAATGTTTTGTACGCAATAGGCGCACATCTGTTAGATGTAGAGCAGGCAAACAAACATGAGAGACCTGCCGAACGCGCTGCGGTTCGACGCGTGTCGCCTTTCCTTTGATATCCTCATGCCGTGTTCAAAGTGTTTTCCGCGCTATGCAAAATTATCTCGTGCTATCCAAAGTTGTTTTTTTATTTCCTGACGTCTCTTTTGCATTCAGCGAATCACTTTAAACACGGCATCAACTTAGCGGAATCTTGCCGTTTTAAGATCTGGACTAGTTTTGGTACCGTGTTCAAAGTAATTTTAGTCGTTTTCTCGGTAAGTTTCACGCGCGGATATGGAGTTTTCGTAGGAAATGCCTGAATAACCGCAAAACTTTGAGTTCGCGCGTGGAAGTTATAGTAAAAATGCATATTCTAGCGATATTTTGTTGTAAGATTCCTTTTTTCTGCGCCTGTCCGGAGTAGCAATTCTGCCTGTTTCCCGAAATCATTTTGAACACGGCATGGTGGGAGACTTTTTTTTTGCATTTCTGAAAAAGCTGTTAGCTCCATTAAAGAAATCGTGAACTTTTTCCATACGTTGCTGAAAACTTCCGTAATATTTTCGATTTATTGAAGTCAGAATTGCGTAATACATTTCTAGTAAGAAAAAAGAGTGCAAAAGAATGAAAAAGATTTTCGACAGATTATGACATTTGTTCCGTTGCAAAAGACGTCCAAAATCTTTTTTTTTTTCTTAGTCATCCGTCTGCGATATGCAAAACATTGTGTTTTTCGCAAATCAGCGGTCATTTTCCGCCGATTGTTTCGTGCTTTTTGTGAACAGATCGTATCAGATCGTTTTTTTTTTTGTCACGCCTTCCGTCATTTCTCTTATTTCGTCGGTTCTTGGGCTGCTCATCATTTTCGACCATTTGTTCTATTTTAATCTCACTCTCTTGGATTGTTCTTTCATTGAAAAAAAAGGAAATTCATCATAGCATAAAAAAATTTTTTTCAAAAATGCAGAACTCCTATTCTGAAGAGCGTGTTTTCACGAAACAAATTATGGGTTTCATTTTAGACATTTTTGCAATAAATTTTTATTTCTTCACAGAAATTTTCTCCGATATCCAAAGAAATTTCTTTATTCTGATACCCTTTTTTCTTCTTTCAGATTTTTGAAACTCGTTAAAATGATGACAAAAATCAAACAGGTTTAACGATCTTTTGACGAGATATTTCTATCACATCAATGTAGGACGTATTAGACTCAACTCACAAAAAATTTTATAAATCACTCCATTCAGACTATACCCTTTTTCGAAGCGTTTCGATTTTTCAGCCGTTTGAGCAACTTTCTCGAGCGTATCTCAAAAAATGACGAATGTCCCAAAAACCAGTACATCTCTGTCTCGAGATCAAAGGGCTCAGAACTGAGACCAAGATTTGCGGGCGCGCGAAAAAAAGGTGCCATCACGCGTGCGCGCGGCAGACCGTTGCCGCCCCGCAAATTTCGCGGCTCGCGTGATTTTATCGATATGCCAAAGCCGATATGCATCTGTGTTTTTCTCTAAGCGCTCTTGTTGAATCATCGTTTTCGGAATCTGCAGAAAATGTTCGTCTCGTTATGTTTTTTTCTTTTCGCGAGGCCTTTTGCCATTACATACTTTGAACTCAGTTTTGAAGATTTTTCGCTATGCCTTGCCATCAACTTAACGAAGGCTTCAAAAATGGCCCGCGTCCTGAAGAAAAGCAACATGAGTCTCAAACGAATATTGGATTTGGTGTTTCCGCAGAAGTCCGTTTGTCAAACACATTTAATTTTCTAACCAACATATTTAGACCTGTTCCAATAATTCTTGCAATGCGACTGTCGGTCAAACTAAAATATCAGTCACGACTTTGGCAGGATGCGGAAAGAGTCTTACGGTTTGTCATTTACTCCAAACTTGAAAAAAAAAATTTCGAAAAGAGTTAAAAGTCCAGAGATGTCCCAAAGTAAATTGAACGCTAAAAAATAGAAGAAAGATACTGATAGAGATGAAAAAATAGTTTTTTATTCAAAAAAAGTTCGAAATGCAAAAACTCTCAAAAATTACATCTTCCAGTAACTCAAAAAAAATGAAAAAACTCTCACACTTTTATTTGTGAATCAAAATAAAATTTAAGGTGATCTCGACGCGATTGGCTATGACGTCAGATGAGCCTCACTCGGAGTCCGACTTCCTCTTGAATAATGACAACCGCCAAGAAGCTGGAACAGTTCAGACCACGGTTAGTGAACTTTGGTAAATAAAGGTTTTTTAATGTTTAAGGGTCATTTTGACAAAATTGTTGCCACTGCGTCTAAGCTCCATATTAAGTCTGAAGGTTTGCTCGACGTCCAGAACGAGAAGGAGACCGGTCCAAAGAACACTGTAAGTAGAAACGATTGCGTCTAACTTTCTATGGATATATGTTACAAGTCAATAACTTTCTATTCAGGCGGAGAGAAAGCGTGTCAGCCGCCCTCCTCACCGCTACAGACGCAATCGCGCGTTTCCACGACGTAAGAAAACTTAAAAATTTAAATTTAACTTACGGTTTTCAGCTCCGACTCCGCACCCTATTGCAAAAATTACGATGAAGAAGTAGCTTTCATTCTAAGACACCCAACTGGATAGCTCGACTCTCAATTAACTCTTCAACGTTCAATTTCTACATTCTTCCAGCAATATTTTTTCATTCACCAGAGTTTTCTAATCCTAACACATTTATTTTCGTAGTACATCGTTTTACCCTTTTCATGTCAATATTGTCCATTTTTTATGAATCGATCTCCAACGCTTCATAAGAACACCGTCCTTAACTTACGAATTTTCTAATAATAACATTTAATCTTCCAATAATAACGCATGTATTCTTTTTGTATTAAAACTTAGATTTATCATAAAATATTTATTCTTGCAATTTTTTACCAGCAAAAAATGAAAGGAAAATTTGAAGATCGAGCTATGAAAACTACATTATAAACCGAAATCGGGTTCGGTTTATGTTTTATTTTTTGTTTTTTGTTTTTTCTTTGCAGAGGTAAATCTTTCAATTGGCCGAGGCTGCCATAAAGTGTATAGCTGATTCACGGCTGCCTTGAGCCATCGAGAAAAGGGTCCTGCCGCGAAAAGCGACAATGCCCTGGTTGGTGGAGAGTGAAGACAGGCCACGCTTTTTTGCGTCCCAAGCTAGCCGTGAATCGTCTCTACATGGCTCCCGTGCCCAAGCCCCACCATCACCACCGTGCCCGTACCAGAGAAACTGAGGAGTCTACTTGTAGAAGAACAAGGCGAAGGACCGTCAGACCAGGCTTTCAATTCAATCAACTATACGTTTTGACTTTTTTGGCTCCAAAGACGGTGTTAGTGCCGCTCAAAAAGATCAATTTTTTTCACCGCCTAATCGATTCCATCTGGTTTATGAATCAACGAATTTCTTATTATTCACGCATGTATTTTTTTTATTCGAAATCTAGATTAATCATAAAATATTTATTCATGCAATGTTTTACCAGCAAATAATAAAAGGCAAATTTGAAGATCAAGCTTATGAAAACTACATTATAAATCGAAATCGCGTTTCGTTTATTTCTTTACAATGAAGCACATTGACAGGAGATTCAGTTAGGGACGTCCCACTGCTTGACATTGGCGTCCTGACCGACGGAAAGAATACGTTTGTCGCTCAGCCACGCGATCCCGTTTACAGGCGACATTGTGTGGGCCCCTGTAAAGTAAATGGTTTCAAAACTTGAGCTCAATTCTTCTTCAAAACAAAAAGTTTATGGAGGATTTTTTCTTACCGCGGATGATGACAGGATGTTCGCCACTGTGCTTCAGGCTCCAGACGATGATGTGAGTGTCAAGTCCGCCCGTGGCCAAACGAGTGCTGTCTGGTGACCAGGCCACGCAGTTAACCTTTAAAATCTTTCATAATGCCTTAATATGGTTGTCAGGACTACCTTAGCACTGTGGAAGGTCCACTCTTTCTCAGAAGCCGTCACAAAGTCTTTGGAAACAGAATAAGGAACGACCTGAACTTCTCTATAATCTTAACTCTTTGACAAGACAAACTTTGCGCCCGCTGTCAGTTACTGCCAAGTACTCGCCGTTGGGTGAGAAGGCTACGGAGGTGATTGGAGCGCTGTGAGTAAGGACTTTCTTTTCAGCGAGGTTCGTGCCCGAAAGACTGTAGATGTGCACTTTTGCGTCCTGAACAGAAAATAATTGTGACCAATTCAGTCAAGATGCTTACTTGTCCTCCAACGGCAACCAGAGATTTGTCGGCCGAGATTGAAACGGAAGAAGAGGAAAATCCGATGGGAACTTCAGCGACTTGCTTACCGTTCTGAAAAGAAATCATAATTTCTTACTGTAACTTCTTCAGAAAGAGCTCAAAGTTGATTGAAAAACAAAAATTACCTGGAACAAGACAATATGCTTGTAACAAGCCACTACCGCCACGGAGCCATCTGGAGTCGAAGCCAATCCAAGTGGCTGCGACGCTAACTTCACAGAAGACGATCGAACAGCTTCTGAAGCCATTTTTTGCGTTGTTCAATACGGAAACTACCACTTACCAACGTTATCGTCGGTGATTGGGGTCACTTGTAATGTGTCATCCCAGCCGACACTGAAGAGCTCGTTCTTGTTTGAGAAACTCAGTCCAACAACCTAAACATTCTATTTTCTTAAAGTTTAAACTTTATAGCCTGACTTGAGATTTGTGAAGGACAGGCCGGATTCGTTTCGATGCTCCAGACGCGATTTCCCAGCGAGCTGAATTGTAAACTCCATATAAGAAAGTTTACTGAGTTCTTACTAGTATTTCCTTCAAAATCAGATGTGAAAAGATATTTGTAATCAGAACTGACAGCCAAAGCGGTGATTGGCTTGTTATGACCGTGGCGAACCTCAAAATAAAAACATTCTGAAAAATCAAAGGAGAGATAAAAACCGTATCTACAGCTCCTAATTCAGGATTGATGAAGCTTAGAAAACCGCTGAGCGAGACGGAAACCAAAACCTTCTTTGTCCATTGAATGCCAAGCTGCTGATCTTCGACTCCATTTCCAAAATTGACAGTTCTAGAAACAAGAAGTTTTCAAACATTTCCTGCGAGGACAACAACTTTTCTAGCGATTTCGCAGGAACGTTCCAGATTTTGACAGTTTTGTCTCCAGAAGCCGTCGCGATGCGTTGGTTATCGTGAGACCAGGCCAATCCGAAAACTCCTCCAGAATGAGCCGCACCCTGAACTTCTACACTTTATTTGAATGTGTGAAAATTTCAACCGTGGAGACAGAGGGGTCGGTCAACTCGCCCACTAAACTTCCTTCTGACCCTTCGAAGAGAAGAACCTGGAAACTCTTCTAAAAACTTGGAAATTTCAGATTCCTACCTTTCCGTCAGCTCCAGCAGACGCAAACAGAGCTCCATCTGGGCTGTAGCGTGTGACATGCACGAATCTCGAGTGTTCGTGGAAGGTCTGTCAATCAATAAATCAAAACCTTCTCCAACATATCTTCTCACCGTCTTGAACTTGAAAGGAGGTCCTTCGAACAGGGCGATTGTGTTGTCTTCAGAGCCGGAGATGATGCGGTAGGGTCTCTAGAACCATAGATATAAATTATCAAAGTCCAGGGGTGTTTCCTAACCGTTGGACGGAAATCAACGCTGCTCATCGGACGGCTTTGACCGGAGAGATTGCCGTTTGAGGTGCCGGTGTCGAAAAGGAAAACATGGCCAAATCTAAAGAAAATAGTTGATGAAAACAATGACGGAAGGGACTTTGAACCTTTCTTTTCCTTCTCCAACAGCGGCGATACGTTTGCTGTCGTCGTTCCAGGCAATGTCTCGAACTGGACCCGAGAAAACCTGGAGAAACGTTTTTATTCTGGCTCCTCTAACCATTATTTTTAAATTCTACGATCTTACAGGCTTTTTGATAAGTTCATCTTTTTTTCAATTTTTTTCATTTCAAAATGAAAAACTCGAACTTTTTGCAAACCTTTTTCAAATATTTCCAAAAAAGTTCAAATACAAACTTGATATGTCGCCTTCAAAATATGCGTCGAGTTAACCGTATCCCAAATTCGAACGTTGCCGTGATTATCTCCAGAAGCTACATAGAAACTGAAAATTCCTTGTGAACACAGAATTATAAATAAAAAATACCCGCTAGGACTCATTTTAGCGACGGTAGTAGCTATGGGATGCTCAGTGTAAATGTCCGCTTCAGTTAGATTATCCACTGGGACGATGTACACGGAATTGCTGTTGCAGTAGAGGATTTTCTCGCCATTTGGGCTAGCACCTGTAACATTTGATTAGTACAAAATTAATTCAAAAAATTGAAAAATTGCATTTTTTTAATATTTTTTTGTGCTATCAATTGATGAACGGTTTTGGTACGTTTCTGAAAAATATCAGATCACTCCATTGAGAAGTTGAAAAAGTCTGGGCACTCAAAATATGGCGGAAAATATAAAATCGAATCATCTCACATCAATCCAAACATTTTTTTATTCAAAATGAGAAGCAGAATAAAAAAATAGAATTTAACAATTTTTTTGAATGAAACTTATAGAACCTAAAATTTTTCAAAATGCTGTAAACACAAAAACCAACCCAAAACAGTTGGAAGACCGCGCGTAGTTTTCGGCAACGAAGCGAACACCGGACCGCGAGTAAACTCTTCACCGCTCATAATTTTTTGGACGGCTTCCACCTGTAACTACGTTTCTAAAAGACGAACAAGAACGAAAAAGTTAAGGGAAAGTTAAAACAATGGAGCGAGCAACCGAAATAATACCACATTCAAATGAGAACGCGCCCAGCGAAAGAGCGCACTTTCCGATGTAGGTCAACCATAAACTGCAGTGTAAATTTTGATCTGATGCAGTTCTCTTTCCATTATGAAATTTTTTTAATTTCATTTTTTTATTAAATTTATAATACTAATTATGATGTTTTTTTAGTTTCGAAAATGGATAGATACAACAAAACCGAAAAATTAACCGTTTTGGTGACAGGTCATTAAGCTTCGATTTAAAAAGTGAATCACAACGATTACAAAAGCAGACCAATTTTTTAAACATTAAAAATTGATCAAAAAACATAAAACAAAAAAAAAAAGCTATAAAACCGCCGAAAGTGAAAAAATATCTCACAACCGGAAGAAGTATAAGAAATAAAGCTTTAGAAAAAAAGGTCAGAAAAAAAGGTCATTCTTTCTCAAAAATTCTATTTAGGTTTTCTATTTAAAAAGTAAAAAAAGTAACAAAAAGGACAGCAAAATTGAAATTGCAGCTGTTGAGGATCTTCGAACACGGATCAGAGGCTTTGGGACGCCAGGCAGTGAAGAATCAGTCAATAGTTGGGAGGTCGAGCCCCCGCACGACCAAACAACCGGCGTAAATTCCCTCAGGCTCTTCCTAGCCCAACCAATGAGCAAAATATAGATCTATGTGAATCAGAAAAACAGTTTTCGATGCTTGAAAAATTATAAGAATGAAGATGATTACTCTATATTTTGAAAATATGCTTTTGACAAGGTTCATTCTTAAAAGAAGTGTTTTTCTTTTTTCGAGAAATTTTCAGTTCATTTTTTTGAGTGGTTTCAAAAAATAAATGATCGAATTTTGACTTTAAAAAAAAGATTCTAAATGATTTTTCGAGATTTTATTCAACATCCAACACATTTTCTGTTTTTTAAAAGCTCTTTTTGAGTTTCGGCACAAAAAAATAAACTCCAGATGTGCTCCCAATTTTTGAGACTTAGAAAAGAGTGCTGTACACTCCACTAGGTTAACCGTTGGCTTAGGAAAAAAAATACTACAAGAGAATTTGAACCTCTTATTTTGCACATCTATCGTAACTTCTCTGAAAACTCTGTTCAAAAGTTACCTCTACCTGATGATACATGATCTAATTTTTTCCTACTCTGTAATTTTACAATCTTTCTTCTTATTCTTAACAATTTAATAATTTTCTGACTTGAGAGAAAAAAAACTTTTGATGGTTATTGATAAAAAGCATCAAAATAGTGAGCATTTGGGGAATGCAGAGCAGCTCCAAGATGAATAATAAAAGGAAACGCAGCACCGGCGAGAAACGTGGCGCCGCGAATGACTCAGCACTGCTCGTCTCTCCGAAACCTCCGCACCTTTCTACCTCCCATCGGGTCACTCCAAACAATGCCCAGACGCGCAAAGTCATTTCTTGGTTTTAGGTCAATCCAGTCTTTCGATACAAAAAATTGGTCTTTTTTGCATTTCCAACGGTTCAGACTGTTCTTCTCAAGATTTTGAACGTGCAAAACCTTTGATGGTTGAACAATTTTTCAACCTTTCAACGTGGAAAAAGGATGTAAAGTTTTTTGAAGTTCCAGTTAAGCGTTTTTTGTACTCAACAAGGCTAAAAAAAATCCAACAACCTTCAAGGAGCGGAAAAATTCCAGTTGCACCAATATAATCAATGAATTGATAAAGTTCCTTCCTCAACGCCAAAGCACACTTTAGAAATCTTATTTGTCTTCGATTACCGACTTTTAAGTAATTGTACTTTAACTAAAAACTTTTACACTGAATCAATTTATATAATAATCAGCAAAAAGCTATAAAAAGGCACACAATTATAAAGACAAGAAGAGGTGAAAAAGAAAAAGTTCATTGGTCCTTGTTCCGGATGTTCTTCTGGAAATCGGCGACGCGTTGTTTGTGAATGCCGAGCATGACGAAGGGAACGAACAACTGCTTGAACAGCCAGAAAGACAGCAGCGAGCCAAACGCTATCTGCAAAACTCGAAAGTTGAGAGTTCCTGTGTTTCGATGCAACTCAAAAGTTTCACTGAATTTTCATTCATAGCCATGTCGGATCACAAGTTTAGTTGAAAAGTCCAAACCGAGACTTTTCTTTGTTAAAACCGAACCACGGATAGTTTTTTTGGATTTGTCTTTGGTCTTTTTGTTTCAAAAAGACTCAGAGAAATAGAAAGTACCCGACAAACTTTTTCATGGTGATAAAAAAATTAATTTCGAAAAATTTTTTTGTTTTAATTGTGCTCCATAGCGAAATTATCACCTGAATATCGTGCTGAACGCAGCCCGTGAGGATTTCCCAGCGTCCGATCGCGGCCACAGCCTGTCTGGCAAAACTTTCTGGCGTGACGACAAATATGTCATTGGCCTCCGCGACTTCGTACGAAGCGACCTTTGTAGCCACCAGCATAGGAACCAAGCACTGAAACTTCCGATTTCGATTGTTTTCAGCAAGATTCCCGTGGATTTTAAATATGCATCGAATCATAAAATTCGATTCAAAATATTGAAATAATGAACTTTAAAACCAAGACGGTTTCACTGTTTCTGAATAGACTTTCTATTTAATGACCGATTCTTTGATCTTTCTAGCGGGAAACCCACTAGAATGAGTCGAAATTTTTTTATGACCTGGTTCAGAATGTAGTTCAAAAAGTATGTCATCAAAAACTGAAGCAATTTTTTTGCACTCTCTAAACCGCTCAAGGACGTATTAGGCAGAAAAAAGCCTGCAAACGTTGCAGAGCCACCTTCAGCCCCTCTGATCCCTTGTTTAAGCGAAAAATTGAACTGAGTGGGCCCTGCTCCATTTTAGTTTCGATCTTTTCTCTCACCTGAATTTTAACGTTAGAGCTGCGGAACTCGTCGGACAAGGCGTCAGAAAAAAAGGAAATTGCAGCTTTGCTTGCAGGGTAAGAGCTAATGTAGGGCAATGGACGCCAACCCTGCAATCCACCGAGTTTCAGATTTAGTTCCGTCTAATTTGACTGACCGTCATGGAAGACACGTTGACGACACAGCCTTTGTTGCGTTTGATCATACCAGGAAGTATCAGCTCAATCATCTGAAAATTCTGTTTTATTTCAGTCCATCCAAAATCTGAAAATATCGATTTCAAAATAGGTCACCTTCACAGACGACATGAGGTTGACCCTGAGGATTTTTGAAGCGAGGCCTTCTGGCTGCTCGACGAGATTACCCACTTGCTCCGGAGCGATACCAGCGCAATTGACTGAAAATCAAGACGAGTTGATTATTACGATGAAAAATCATAACACAATTCATTTTGTGTTGACTCCCCTCCATAATTTCAAGACTATTCCCATAATTACGTTTTTTGTTTTGATTCGAAGCACAAATGGATAATTCATTCAAAGAAGACATTTGGAATCTTTGAAAAACGAAAACATCGCCAGACGCGTGGGACAAGTCCTTTTTTTATCATTTGAAATTAATTCAGAAACGACTTTAGAATCATAGAAAATATTCGAATTTTATCAAAAACACTGCGTCAAAGATGACGGCAGATCCAGGAATGAAAAATTTGAATCCTTCTAGAAATGAATTTTTGAGAGCTCAGTTCTGACTTTCAGTAGAAGAAGAAGAGCTTACTAAGAATGCTGACGTTTTCCTGCGACAAATCAGAAGGCAAGTTTTCGTACGAGGTGCTTTCAAAGTCGAAGACGTGGATTTTGACCTCAGCGTCGTATTTCTTTCCTGAATAAATTTTCTTCTTTCAAAATAATTGAAAAAGACAAACTCAGTTCTTCGGCGGTTTTTTGCAGTTTTTTCTCATTTCTTCCCAGGAGATAAAATCGGCGAATTCCTCTCGAACGAGCGAGTTCCTCGGTGTAGGCTTTGCCGATGCCGTCCGTGCCACCCGTTACAACTGCAAAAATTCCACTTAAATTGAAGGCCTTGCTTTTTTTTTTGCAGGCTTTGGGAATTTCGCGATATTTTTGAAAACGAGAAAAATATATGCTATTTTTGGGTTTATATCAACAGAGAAACGCTTACCGGTCCAGCCGTCTTTGAGATGGTCCAAACTGTACACCGGGGTCACGAAGTGCACCAAAAACGACTTCAATAAAACTGTCGAGAACTTCAATAACCGGAAAACGATGTAAGAGCTGACACTAAGTTTGAATAAGTTCCAAACGAATTCTAGCATCTGAAAAGTTCATTTTTAAAACAAAAAAAAAAATTAGTACAATTTGATTCGATCGAAAATTGCGACGGAATAAGAAAAGTAGCATAGCAGAAAAGATGGAATAATATTAAAGTAATTGTTTTCAAAAAGTACTTGGAAACGAAAACTCATATTTTCCACCAAAAAGAATCAAAACCGTTGATTCCATTTATTTTCTCCTTTCACTGAAGAGATCTTAACAGTTGTGATAAAGGTTTGAAAGAACGAAAGTGCAGAAAACATCAGGAAACACCAGAGAGGATCAACGTCCTGAGCACAAAACTGTGAGGGAAACAACTGGCTGCGGCAATCGAATCGATGAGGAAAGGACGTCGAATGGTCGAGCGGACCATCAAGGTCGCTTTCCCGCGCCTGACATACTTTGACAAAGTTTTGACCTCTCGATTTCTATCTCCTTATCGGACACATTCCAAAAGGAAATTTTGACCCGGGTGAGTCCATTATTAACGTTTTTTAGCCAACTGGTTTTTTTGCTGTCATCATGAAGTTTTGAAATTTTTGCTGATCCTTTGAGCAGCTTCGAAGTGTATATTCTTTGCACGGATAATCTCGGCTGAAAATTTTCAGAAATGTTTTAATTCGAGTTTTAAAAAATTTTGTTTGGCGAAATCAAAAAAAGTTGAACTTTTGATTTTGAAAATATTCGGATATTCTGAATGAAAGTTTTCATGTGATTCATAGTTCATGTTCCTAAGCATAATCGTCTTGCAGGAACTTCGTTCTCGTCCATTTGAAAAAAATTGCTCTTTCTACATCAGGCCCTTGGACGAATGACATTACAAATGAAAGAAATGCAAATTATTCAATTTTTTTAAGAATGATGTTATTGCAAATATGACGTGTTTTTTTGTCAATTTTAACTTTGAATTAACCAGTTTTACTCATAATATTTTATTCTCGTCAGGTAGAATTCACAGGCAAAAAATGTACAAAATTTTTACAGATATCGAAAGAAATGGCTTGAAGTGAATGAAAAATGAAAGAAAAAAACCGGTGTTCACAAATGTTTTTATGAGGGAAAATAGATACTTTGATCACAATCATCAATTTCTTCGCGTGTTGATATTTCGTGTAAGGCAATGGTTGGCAATTTTTTTGGTTAGTTGGCTAGTTTTTTTCAGATGGCATATTCTGGGAACTCTTCTTGTAACCGGACGATGGCATCTTCCCAGCAGGCTTTCGTTCGTTCAGCCAGAATCTTCAAAAAAAATTTTGAACTTCTCGAAAAATTAAAAGATGATCAACAAATACAGTTACAAAAAGTAGCAGCTCACCTTATTACGAGTGAATTGGTCAGCTTCGCTTCCTGCAGGCTTGACGCTCAGCATGACACAAGCGATGAAAGGAAGGTGAAGAGCGTGTGCGATGAAACTTCGCTTATATGCTCGGAAAAACTGAAATATGAGTTGAAAACACGTTTCAATTGCTGCTTCAAACCTGGTTGTAAGTCATTTTCAGCAATTTTTGCGAATTGGAAGCGGCATTTTGCAGTTTTTCAAAGTACAGCGGGAGATATTTTTGTTCAGCCAGTCGTCTCACGGGTCCGTTGCAGCAGAAAGCCAGCAAATGGCCGAAGTCTTCTCCGATGCTTCCTAAAACGTACAATTATACCATTTGTATTTCGAAAATTTTAATAATACCTGTATGGATGTTCTGCCAATCGATAACAGCGCCCAGTTCATTTGAAACTTGGTCTTTTTTGCCATTGGAGGAAGGCTTCCACATAAGGTTGTAAAACCAAAGGTCGCCATGGCACAGCACGTCTCCGAGGCCTATAATCAGTAAATTACTTTTTTTCTCAGATTATAACGAGTACCGATATCACGATGAGAGTCTCTGAGAGAGTGAATGAAGAATTGTCGATTTTCGTAGATCGGCCGAAGTTTCTCGAAAAGAGGAACCAGGCATGAGTTGCGGGATACGTAGAGCTGTACGATGTCAGTCATTGACGAGACGGTGTCAATGAGCTCCATCGGGTAAGGAAACTTTTGACTCCTTGAAAAATAAACTTCATACTCTGGTTTTCGAAATGAGGTCTACCATGAGTCCTTCATGTCTAGAGAGAACAAATGGAGTGCTTGGAGTTGAGACCCAACAGATTCCAACTGTTTCATGTTCAGAGATTCGTAGTAGGGAACGCTGCTCATTGTCTTCAGATCTTCCATCACAATTGCTCCTCTTTGTTTTCCGAGAACCTGAATTTTTTATTGAAAAATTTTCACCAAATTGGATATTTACCCAAGTTTGTTGATGGTAGATTTTTGGAACTCGCAGATTCGGAATCGTCTCCATGTTGTAAAAATCGATTTCGCGGTTAAAGAACATTTTGAGTCCCCATATGAATTTCTCGTCTGCGCCGTCCGGTATCTTTTGGCCGGTCGTTCTTTCCAAAGCTTTCTTGATTTTCCCAGTTTCCGGAATTTTCACAATCACCTAGAAATAAAGTTTGAAAAATTATTTTCTTCAACTTTTTACCTGAAGAGGACATGGCTGATTAAATTTTACACGAAACACTTGAGACACAAAACCGTCCGTTGACAGTTGACTTGTCTCCGCCTAAAATTTTGGGATTGATTTGAGGTTTCTCGTTAGATGGTCAACCTTGAAATATTTGCTCTCGTCGATTCTGTCCCCTAGGCTGTTTAGAAGCCAACGCATGGTCAAGCCGTGTCGACCGATGGGAACCGTAGAATAAAAATCATCTGAATTCTTATTTATAAAGCTTCTCTTGAGCAATGTAATACCTTTGATTTTTCTGCCGTAAGTCTGTTGATGAGCGATCTTGCAAGGGAAGGCATTGAAAGGTCCCTGAAATTTTAAAATGAGCAAGTCTGAAAGAATAAGAGGTTTTACCTGTCCGACAGTTCCAAGGGCTGTTCTTCTCCTTTTCTTGGCTTGATCATACAGGAAAACTTGTTCGTCAGAGCAGTACTCGTCGTTCTGTGAAGTCGACATACTTTCTGAAAAAGGATTCAGTGAGGGAAGTATTCGGAGGAATGAAACGACAGCATGAGATGTTACAGAAGGAAGTTCAAACAGTCAAAGTTGGAAGAAAAACCAGAGGAATGCCTACGATTTCTCGACTTGACACCTCCTTTTATAGTATCCCAGCTACTTCCCTCTCCGCCCAAGGAGATTTGAAAAGCATCTGCATTGCAACTAGCAAAAAGAGGCGGAGTCCGGAGCTTCTCTGACTCATGACGTTCTATCGGTCAACCCGACGATTATCCGTGTTAGCCGATTTGAGGGGCAATGAGTAGTCCCAGCCAGGAACAAACTTTTTTGCAAATCTTATCAGAGTTGTAATTAAAATCCGATGTTGCAATACTAATTCGAGATCTTTCTCTCTTGTGATCTGCGATGTCCGCAACACAAAAAATATCATTTGACGCGATGGATTTCTGGCAAAGCTCACAAGATGCTTGGCGTTTAATCAGGCTTTTGTTCTGGAAAGGCCCGTTCGCCTTTCCAAGATTAGCCTGCGGGTCTGTTTTGAGCAGGCTGTAGGCGGTTTCATGGCGTGGGATCACGTGCCAAATTTCAACCGATTTCATTTCCTGATTTGTGTTTCTCAATTATTTGACAAGTGCAAAAAGAAGCAGGAAGAATAAGATACATTTCCTCTTTCTCGTGATCTGGTGAGTAATGATAAACACGGCTGATTGAGGGTGTAATCCCAAAATTTCATTGGCGTTTTTTCTGATTCACAATCACGCCAGCAATGTAAATGAAATCTTATCGAAATCTTTTGATAGGATTAAATAATTGGTTTTCAGCTCTGAAAAAAACTATGACTGAAAAAGCGACCGAGTTTCTCAGATTTGAGTCCATCTGAAGTTTTTCATCAAATTCCTTTTTGATTCAGTTGATTCTGATCTCTGAGGGTTGTCTGATTGTACTTCATTTATTGTAAATGAAAAAAAAACTTTTTTATCGAGATTGAAACCTTATCAGGTTTTTTTCAACTGGAAAGGTAAATATTCCACAAATTCGAGGAAATTCAAAAGTTATACCGAATCAAATCTTTATTGGAAAAACTGGAATACACATCCACTTTTGAGGAATTTTTTTTTTCCGTTCTCTCTTTTTTTTTGGAAAGAAAACAAATTAAAAGTGAAATCTCTTTCAATGCGGAGAAATTTTTGTTTTTTTGCTATTCACTCATGAAACAATTTCGAAATCAAATGATGAATGCTCAAGCCAGGTTTATCGTAATTCCTATTGAAATATCGAGATTAGGAGGATTCGAAAAATATTCATCCCGGCTTTATTTTCGATTGAATGGAAACCACTTTCCAAATGGGCAAAATCCTCCACATTTTTAACAAATTTTTTTTTTCATTCTTTTAATAATTTCTGTTTCTAGTCAAAGAACACAAGAGTCTTTTTTTTCGAAAGTTTTTTGCACAACGATTACAAATCTGAAGTTTGCAAGTTGAATTGTAATAAAGTACATCGCTGCCCTTCAATTTGAAGTATGAATACCGCAGTTTTTTGCGGATGTTGGCCCTAGCTTTCATTCATAATTAAGGGTGAGCTTCTCTTCAATTTATATGAAAAAAACGACGTGAATTTTAATGAGAGTGATGGTTCAAAATACGAAAAGTTCCTTCCTTTTCCGTAGTGATAATCTTCTCGAAATTGTAGTTTGCTCAAAGGAAATCCGATTTCCCGCAGCGAAGCAGTTTATAATACATGTGATTAGAAGAAGATTGGTTGACGAAAAAAATCAAAAAGGAAAAAAACTAGGTCTACTGTACTCTACACTTAAAAGAAATCACTGAGTTCAGTCTCAAAAATTAATTAAGTGATAACCTGAAAATTGCTGAACTAAGAAGTTTACATTAATCTTTAGACTAAAAACGAACACAATGGATATGTTAAAAGTTGGAAGAATAAATCAGAAAGTTATAAAAAAAGTTAAAAAAATTTTTTTTTGAGGTAAGTATTGTAAATTGTCGAAGACTTATTTAAAAAAGGCCTGCTATTTTATTTTTACTCCAATTGTATTCAGTTCCCTTCTGAAATAAGCAGCTGGAGTACTGCCTTCAAAAAAAACGATAATGGGATTCTATTGATATTGGTAATCTCGAAAGTTTTTTTATTTTCATTTTTCACCATCCAAAGTCATACGATTTTTGCTGCATAAATGTAACAGCAGCGCAGAATTTCGAACTCCGTTAGAACGAACTGCTCAGCAAGCGTACGGTCTGTATACGGAAGAGCATATGTTCTCGCTGAGATTCCCATGTGCTTGAAGCAGCTCTCACAGTGCGCATATCTCTTCAACATCTCCAAACTTACATGTTTGCTTGCGCGGGTTGGAAGTGTGCAGCCCTTTTGCTGTCATTGTCCCCCAATACGGTCATGAGCCAAGTTGCGCTTCTTCTCTGCCTCATTATTGGCCACTTTGCCAGGTAATGCTTCCATCAAAACTTGTTTGTAGGACCGAGAATCAGTATGGATTAATCTCCTTTCTAAAGAAGTACTCGTTTTGAAAAATTAAATTGTTTTTTTGCTTTTTTTATGGATTTTAAATTCAGACAATCAGCTCTGGCTAGCAAAAAAATTCATTGCTTTCACGATTTTTTTAATGAAAAAAACATTTAAATTAGAGTGACAGGAGTACGGCAGTAGTTTTTTTGGAACTACCTCTTGATTGAACTTTATGAGTGATTTTGAGCTTATACTTTTTTTTCTCTCAGATACTCAATAATAACTTCAAATCGAAACCATAAAATAATGTGATTCCGCTTACGACTCCATACGAAATTTTCACAAAATAAAAGACTTAAATATTTCCTAGAAGCTCGAAGTAACTTTTCTTTGAAAACTACCCACTTAGTTTCTCCACGCAACGCATATTTCGAGTTCTCGGATAAACAATTTCTAAAAAATGGCTCCTATGGTTCCGAGAATTATTTTTCATATCATCGTCTCATCTTCTTTTGATCTTTGTGTTTAATTCTCAGGCTGCATAAATTTTCATTTTCGAAAATTGTGTGTCCGATTGAATTCTTCGAAAAAGAAGAAAACTGGAAGACATTTTTCGGAGAAAGTCTTTGGCATAACGGAAATTTTCTTAAAACATCGTTGTTTTGCAATGGAAAGAGCCGAAGTTGTTGGCGGATCTCTGAAGCTGGTCATTTCTCGAATTCTGCAAAGGAAATAGCAATTCCTCAGAGAACGGAGATGATCTCACAATGACGATCCTCAACAATCGGGATTTCGCACAGAGTGGGAACTTAATGCTTGAATTATGCTGGCCGCTAAAACAAGGAAGTCTGCTCAAACATCGAACTTTTGATTCATTCCACTGTCTTGAGTTTGAAGAGACTAAATTTTGATTGAAAGATTGAAATTAATGCAACCATGAGTTCTAAACTTATATTGTAAAATAGAAAAATTGATCGATTACAGGAAAAAATAATAAACAAGAGTGTAAGCTTGAGCTGCAATACATTTTCACCGCCTTCTAAAACTTTGCAGATTCACAAAAGTCTTTGTGCTTTGTTTAGTACACGCTTTGTAACCTAGGCTGTAATTCCTTCCGCCCTCGATTCATTCTGAACTAAAATCCTTGAGGATAATCGAGGATTCGCTTCAAAAACTCATAGCGCGTATTAAATGTTGCTGCACACTTACGTTTATCATTTTTCAATCTCATTCAGTGAAGAGATATTTTTGACTTTACTGATGGAATGCGGGAGCTAGAGAAATGAAAGCCGAGGGATTTCTGACGATGAAAATTTGCTGCAACAAACTTTTACAGATTAACTATTTATTATTTGAAACGATGAGAGTAGGTTGCATTCAAGTACTACTTGTATTTGGAACAAAAAGTATAATAAAATCATAAAAATTAAAAATTTTTTTTTGATATGGTATTTTTTAAAATCAGAAAAATATTTCCTATTTGAGAAAAAGTGTTGTCACGATTTTGACCAATCTTTCGGAGAAGTAGCATTGGATTTTTTGAATTGAATGGAAAAAAGTTCAGAAGCTCCGAAAGAGCTTATTTAATTAAGGAGACTATGGAGATTTTGAAAAGTTATCAAAAAAATACAACTATTGCTCCAGTAAAATAACGTTCCATGTATAATCAACCTTAAAAGATATCAAACTGACAATCGTGAAGTCTTTTGAAACGACTTGGAATTTTTCAGCTGTAGTTCTTGTTTTTCAAAACTTTCTTTTTCAGCGCAACTTCGGCGCTCAACCTGACTCAGTTGACCGGCGGCTGCAAGTGCAAGCCGAAGTTGGAGCCTGTCTGCGTCCGAGAAGGCCTTTATCAGTACACCTACTCCAACAAATGCGTGTACAAGTGTGTGCAGTCGAGAAAAGGTTATTATTCAACTTTTCTCTTGTCAATCTGAAAAGTTATTTTTTTTTCTCCGAATACTGAAAAGCTTAGTTTAGTCAAAAATTTATAAAGATGCCTTTTGATTTAAAAAACAACAAATATTTTCTCATAAATCTCTCTGATTTTTTTTTTACTCTCCATTCTCCCTGAGGATGACGAAAGCGTTGAAAAAAAGAGATTTCAATGAAAAAAATTGGAAGTAGAAGTGAAAAAAAGCCTTCTTTTTTTGGAAGTGTTAGACATCTTTTTTTAGTTCCATTTTGATGAGAGAAATTTTTGAAACCTGGAATTCTAAAGAACTCCACGCGTTAACTGAAAAAAATTAGATTAGGGAAATTACATTGCTTTTTGCAGATGTGGCTCTATTATACGAAGGCGCTTGCTGTGCTGCCAAGCATTGTGGTATGTTCGAGTCGCCGGTGTGTAGCGAAAGCGGACAGGTATTATTGAAAAAGAACTGAAACCCTTTTTTTTATTCAAACGACTATTTATTAAGAAATTGCTCATAAAAAAATTTCCGTGAAGCTTCCTGAGGAATGTGAAATTTTTTTCAAGAATAAAATATCCAACTTTTATGAGTTTTGAACTTTTTTTAGATGTTCAAGTCCATCTGCGACTTCGAAGAAGTTCAATGCGTAGAGCATCGAAAATTCAAGAAACATTTGGTAATGGATACAACTCATGAAAAGTAGGTCAATCGACATTAAAATTATAAATAAATGAGTCAAGGTGCTCCTGCATTCTTCCATGTCCTCAGGAATGGAATCCTGTTTGTGATTCTAAAGGAAAAACTCATGCCAACTTCTGCACTTTTCTCAACTCGAAATGCTATCATAAGCAGCAGTAAGTTTATCCAATCTTTCGACACCGTGGGAAATTTGAAAAACATGAATTAAATATAAAACAATCAAATCTTCTTCTTGCAACTGTACGAAAAATTCTCACCCGGAAGAAAAATTGTACCAATGAAATACGATCTGGTTTATGATGGGTTTCAGGTTGATTTACTGATCGATCTAAAAACATTATCTAATTTGTAAATTATTCGATTTCAACATTGTCCCCAATATCTTTTCAGACTGAACCAGTCATTAGAAGTGGACTATTCGGGCACTTGTTGTGACGACATTTGCTCAGTTGGTAGGTCCTTAGCATCCAAAAACAGTGACGTCGATGACTTTTAAGGATTTTCCTCGCTGACCGTCTGCGATTCCGATGGCAACACCCACACGGATTTGTGCTCATTTTACGTGGTGAGTCGAAAATCTTTGCGTAGGGAGTAGGAGAATCAAAATATTTTATTCTTGTTTTTGTTTCAATTGAAAAATGACCAGGCGCCCTGCCAAAAACAAACCAAGCGGATTATCGGACCTTTTGCTTGGATTTTCAGGAGCAATGCCGACAGAAACGACGTGGGAGCTCTAAAGTTCTGAAGATCGCAGGCGTTGGTTCTTGCAAGCCGAAACACCCTCTTTTCCGAACTTTCGATTATTTTGTCAACCGGTTTCCCAATTACCATTCACCCATTTTTTTCAGTGATATCAATTGAAGAATCAAATAAACATACACTAAACAATAAAAACAAAAATTGATGTTTTTCTTCTCATTCTATAAAAATCAAATGCATGAAGGTTATTATAAATTCTGCAATTTTCAAACATCCGTCCTGTCGAAATTTTTTTGTGGAAAAATCTTTTTTTCAATTTGGAAAAATCCAGAAAGTGATATTTGTTCATAATTATGAAAAAAAGCAACGCCTGTGCTTTTTGAGTCTTTCTAAAAAGATTGCCAATATTGTTAAACTAATGAAATTTTTGTTTTCAACCAAGTCATTTCAAATTCAAGAAGCTCACGAAAATTTCAATATGATCCGTTTTTGGCTTTTTCCGAAGCCCACGCTGCATTAAACTTCCATTTTTTTGATGCTTCGTTATTATGATGCATTACTGATGTTGGGTGGGATCAAAAGCTTATCTAGATTGTAAAAAATCTTTATTTTCACAAATCGGCGTAAATATTGATATTTCAGAAATTGAGACACCGGTAAGCATAAAGCAGAAAGTCGTAATGAATGGAAAATGGGAAAAAAAAATAACGCCCTCATTGGGATCTTTGGAACACAAGTTTTAGATGCACAGAAAGTTTTTTTAGATTTTGAGAAACTTAATCTGAAATTGACAAAATTGACGCAAGAGCTGTGAGCTTCACTCCTAAATTGACGCAAAAGATGTTGGTATTGTGAAATTATGATCTGGGAAGAGCAAAAACCCGTGGGAGGGGAGTCTTTGCAATTTCTTTTTTGTTTCCGCTTAGTTGCAAGGACAGATGAGAGAAAAATTCAACATATTCATATGAAAGTTATTTAAAGTTTAAAGAGCATCAGAATAAGATAAATTGAAATACAGAGTTTTTTAGAATGCTGTGAGTTCAAGAAAATTTCAAAGCGCTATATCACACTAGTAGAATTATGACAAAATTGGTCTGCACTGAATATATTAGTGCTGAAAAGCCAAGCGAGAAGGTCGTTGCTTTTTACAAGTAAGGAAAAGAACATATATGAGTTTGAGCAGAATTGGATGTGACTTCAGAATTGCATCACAGGGAGCTCCGTCAAAATTGCTCAAATCACATTTCTTTTGTTTTATCAATTATACAGGGTCGATTTCCACGCCATCGATGTCCACGGAGTTGTACTGGACTATTTTTGGGCTTTTTGGCGATGTTTCGAGATGATGTCGCAGATTTCTTTGTACACCTGAAAAATCGATCTTTTTTTAAACTTTTAAAGTTCAATAAATTTAACTTCTGGGCTCGGAATCTTGGTTGCAAAAGAACAGCACACTTTTTCAATCTGTTCTTTTTAATTCTATCCGCCATGATCCATTCTAAAAAATTCGAATGAAAATAGAATCAGGTTTTCATAATTTTGTCACCAACAGAGTCGAAAGCCTGGCACAAAAGATAGAAAAGTCAAAAGTTCGAAATTTTGGACAAAAATGTGAAAAAAAGGAAAAATTCTCATTTCGACGCCTCTTTTCCGTAGACATCTCTTTTTGAATCGTACCAAACCCACTGTAATTCATGAAATAGATAATGATGAACCTTATCAATATCTCCGGTGGTCAACAAGCCCATCGTTTGGTTCACGTCGCTGGCGTGAATTTCCAACCAGATGATGTTCCTTTTGATTTGCCGCCGGTTCTGCTGAATATTTGGCATAACGCAAAAACGGCAAAGTTCTCTTTTTGATTTTTTTTTTCAAAACTTTTTCATGAAAAATTTCTAATTTTAGAATGAAGTAGCAAGAAAGTTTGTATAAAAAAGTTGCGGATTCCCAACGGTTTAGCTTTTTTCGATTCTGATTCATTCATAGGGAAGGTTTAAAACAAAAAAAGCGGATTGAAAGTGAAGCTTAAACTTTGTACGATAGCATCTGCAAACTTTTTTTATGGAGCACGAAGTCTATTCTGATAATGGTAGAGTTTTTAAAAAAATCGGATATTTTCTAGAATTGTTTTGACCTTATGTTTGAAATAAAATTTTTTTAAAGCGTGTGATATTCGAAAAAAAGTGATTAATTTCCAGTCAAAAAAACGGAAAAAAAGGAATACTCAGCCAACTTTTTTTGAGTGATACAGTGAAATTTCATTTGACTCCTTCTTTTGATAGAAAAATCCACATGAAAACAAAAAAAAGTCAGTGTCAAGAAAAAAATTCCAGCTGCTTACAAAAAAAACAGAGCAGAGTTGATATTCAAGGTTAGGTTCTTCACGGCCGGAGCAACCAGAAAACAAATTTTTTTTTGTTAAATACGAATCTAACGGCGGAATCCTTGCCAAGCAGAAAAATTTCCTTTTTTTTCGTGCTCTTAAAGTTAGCTATAGGTAGCAACTGGAAAAGGCAGAGCTGCAAAACGTCAAGCCGTCGTTAGAACGCCGCGATTCCCTCTCAAAAGATGAAAACCTCATCGGTGTAGGTTTTTCCTTTGCTCGTGTTCTGAATGTTCACGATGTCGACGCTGTACGCTCCTCCGTGGCGAGAGCAGTCGAACCGCCGCGGGCGGTAGCACACCGCTTCGTCTTGTATGTAAACGAGACCCCCTCGCCGTATCTGCAAGTCGTCATTTTTCTTCTGGGTTCTTTTGCTTCTCAATGCAATATGACCGTCATTAGGGTGCAAGAGCAAAAAAGGCTGCTTTATGGTGAACAACGTTCCAGAAAACAGGGCTCCATTTGCTTTTGAGATGCAAAAGTTCTCAAATCTCGCTGTAAAAAATTGCAAGCGATCCTGCATGAATCAACCTTGTTGATGCTATACAAATAATTTTTATGAGTTCTGTTAGTTGAAGCGGTTTCAACTGCATTCTAAGATTGAAGCTTATAAAATCATTTGTTAAAATTGTATCAAAAAAATCGAGTTAAGATAGAAATTTAGTTTGTATCACTTATCAATCTCAGCGATTTTTCCTTTTTGAAAAATACTTCAGTTATTAGCCTCATTTGAAGGCGTTATTTCAAAAGTACACATTTTCGCCGGCATCTCAAAATTTCATACGCTTCAACAGAACAAAAATTCGAATCCAAGAGAAAAATCTTCATTTTTCCGAGTATAAAAAAACGTTTCTGTTGGCCAAATAAAGCTTTTTACAGAACTTCTGTAGTGAAAAAAATAGTAGTTTCATAAAAATCGAACTTTTTCAGAATACCGGAGAAAAATTTAAAAACAAAAAGTTCAGTGGGAGCCTTATTCATACATTTTTTCGAAGTTGAACTTCTCAGCTTGTTTTTTTTTGGGTATGAGAATGTTAATAAATCATTCATGAATTCTTAAACTCATTTATTGAGAATTGAACAATTTTCCATGGTTTTCACTCTGAGTTAAGGACCAAACAGCAGCTCGAAACCTCACCTCAGAATGTGTGCCGTCGTCGAGGATGAGGCCGTCGACGTGCCACCGGTGCCTGACGGAAGGATCTGGGACTCCAGGATCACAGTGTCGGCCGAATATACAACCCATTCTATTGCATATCCCCTGAAAGACACTTCTCGTCAGTGTTCGCAGAAGGTAGGCGTTATGGACAAATGCGAGAAACGGTTCTTCAGCACGCGATCGTAAAAAGGAACAACGACTTGATTGCAGGCTTCTTCTTCTGAGCGTTCTCTCTTACGTGCTCATTTTTTCTCCGTTCAAGGGGTTTCTGCGTTGCTAAGCCTCAATTAAAAGATCATTCTGAACGGATTCTAAGGCTTCAATCTGAAACGGAAAAAAAAAGAAAAAAACTCGAAATGGGAAGCACACAGTATACCCGATGGAAAAAAGGAAGGCTATTTTGAGAGGACAAGATTAAATTTTTTGTTCTGAAACAGAAAGTTCTTGAGTTAACTAGACTCAAAAAAAAAACTATATGATTTGAAAAATGTTGAAAAAGGCTCAAAAAATTCACAGGGGGTTACCCAGAAACAGAAAGAAGGCCAGAAATTACGTCGCACAAACACATCCTCTCAGCCGGCGACTTGTGCAGAGCCCAAACTGAGAAGCAGCCGTAAAAGGCTCGGAGCACACCGAAATTTGATCGTTGTGCGAATTAAGCTCAAGATGACGAAATGCCTTTCGCACACATGCTCACCTATGCAGTTGCTTCGTTTCAGGAAAACAAAAGTCTTTCCAAATCAGTTTATCATTTTTATTGGCTATACTAGAATTATGAACACCTGGAAATGATTAAGTTACTTTTATTGGAAAGTCATAGATCATGACCCGACTGAACTAGGAGGAATTTATCGAAACCGAGCTGCGCTTGTTATTCGCAAGTCTTGTTTTCTCGGGAAATAAGAAATTTTTTAGCTGATTGCACAAAGAAGTTCATTTTTATTAAAAAATACTCCAAATTCTCGCATTTCTCGAATAGCTCGGGTAGGCAGTCTCAGTTGCGTCGCTTTGAACTTTTTCAATGAGCAGTTTTTTATGAATTTTTTACAAAAATAGCGTAGCAGTTAAGTTTCGAAAATTCGAGAAGTTCTTGTTCCTGCATGACTCTACCCTCAGTCTATTGAATTGGAAATTTCGTTAAGAAACTAATAGAAAAGATTCAAATGGCTCGACTGAAAAAAGGTTTATAGCAATGTTTTTCATTCATTTTTCGATTAAGAAAAGCAGAATGCTCACCTTAAAAATCGTTGAGAGTGGGGAGTCAAACTAAGAAGAGTAGGGAAGACGGAATAATTGGGCTGAAAGTGTTCTGACAGATGAAAATTTTATAAACACAGGGCGAAACGGAGAAGGAATGCTACAAACTCATTAAACTCTTGATTTCTACTTTTTTGTTCAAAATGAGTCATAATTTTTTGGAGTTCTCTTCCAGGTTGGTGGGAATTGTTTTTCTCATTTTATTCGACTTTTCATTCATTTCGAATGAGATTTAACCTCACTGAAAGACTTTTCGAAACACCTTTTTTGTACAAAACCTTCAAGCCTTTTTCTATAGTTTCACAAGACGGAAGTGAATAACTGATTAAATTATGAAACATTTTAGCTGAGGAAGCCTTGTTGCGGTTTGGGAGAGCGAACGCGTCTGGAGCGCCGAAAAAAAAGAAGAAAAAATAAGAGGAAGCTGGGCGGTGGCCGCACAAAGCCCAGAAGCACTAGATAAAATTATAGGAACAATAAGTTGTTCAGAAAATGGCGAATATGATGTCTGCGCAGATGTATCGTGGTTGTTCAGCGTGTCTCCAAATCAAATTACAAGGACGCTTGCGGTGAACAAGTGCTCAGGAGGCGAAAGAGCAGGCCTTGATTTGCGGCGCGGCTTCGTCTGTCGGCAAAGGTGACGAATGTCGGCCGAACGCTGGGAAAGACACCCAAAAACGGCACACCGGTAATGCATAGATGATGGCGTGGCAGGCGGAAGTCGACATTGACTTTCCGATTGCTGCCTGGTCTTTCCGACTATAACCTGTCACATTGTCTTTTATGGACCATTCATCAAGCTCTCCAATGTTCTATTTTTCCAATACACAAAACCGCAATTTAAGATCATGTCTTCGCAATGAAAGAATGTGAAAAGAAAATCACATTTTTGAGAGTGACGCGCTTGAAAATTGAGAAAAAAAAAATACGGAAAGGGAAAAATCGGCTAACTTTTTTGTATACCGTCGCAACCTAGTTTTCAATTTGCTTCATTCTCTTTCAAAACTACGATGAGGCTGTTTTTTCATTCATCCTAAAATAGAAGATGCTTCAAACCGTTTCAAATGAGATTCGGGATGAGATATAAATGACAAAACTTTTAAAAAGACTACCCAAGGGTCATAATTTGAACATAAGTTCTCAGAAACTCAATCAAAAAGCTTATCAGCTTTCCTAATGGTGCATCACAGATCTCTCAATATTTTTTGAAGACGAACCAACGTAGATAAAACGTATTTCGTTTTCTCCGAAAGTTGCTTGAAACAAGTCGTTAGTCTTGAGTTTTTCAAGAGAAAACTTATTAGTCCATGTCACGCTTATAGTGGAACAAAACTGGAAAGTCTATACATGAAAAAAAAACCTTTTTCTTGATGAAACTAGTTGGTAATACAATAAAACGAATATCCAAAAAAATATTGCGTGACGAAATATGGAATAGATAAAAGTCAGCATATTTCATAAAATGATGAATAATGAGGATGGCTTTATGATTCTCAACGTTTTTTGAAAAAAAAAAAATAAGCATTTACGAAAAAATGAAAAAGCTTCCTCGAGACCGTGCAGGTGAGAAACGGTATTGCAGAAATTTCCTATTGTTCAAAGTTTTGATTAATGAAATGATTTTGGGAAAAATAGCCCGTTTACCTCAAACGATAAAAGGGATCAAAATGAAGAACGACTCCCAAAAAAAGTCCAAAAAGAACAATTTCAAAAATTCATAGAAAGCAATCAACACGAAGTCCACGCTCTACGCACAAAATGCTGAGTTTTTCAGTTTCTCAAAAAAACATTTCTCCTTAAGGATAGAGTAGAAAAAAAGAAAGATTGAATTTCGATGATTAAAAATTCTAAAAAAAAACCAAAGAAGCCGGGAATGAAAAGATGAATTAAAAATTGCAAAAAGACCCGAAGTATCACTAATTCTTTCAAACAGAAGCCATCAGATACAAAATATGAAATACGAAAACAGAGCTACTTACGTAAGTTTCAGAATGCTGAAAATCTGCAGTTTGGACCTGAAATTTATGAAATTCCTGCGAAGCTGTCACTTATGCTTATCTCATTTTAATTTCGAAACAAGGCGAGAAAATTTTCATGACGTTTTTCTCAGATTTTTCCACACCGAAAAAATGTTTCACTTCAAGAAATATTACAACATCTTTGCGAAAATTACATAATCTAAAACAATCGTAACCAGGAAATCTTTTTGAAACGATTACTCGTCTGAACTTTCAAGTGCTCTGAAATTATACAACCTTCAATTTTCTTTGCATTTTGTTGTTTCCACGGTAAGTAGAAGAAAAAAATGTACGAAAAAGCACGTTTCTACGTCACTAATAAGTAAAAAAACTCGGAAAAAAATAAGACAGCCGTCCCAATCTTCCAAATTTTTTTTAAAAGATATCGGTTTGATAGACAAATAATATATCTTTAAAAAAATTTTTTTGAGCAACATCTAAAAAAATTCAAAAAGTTGAATCTACATGAAGCTATAAAAACAAAAAAATAATAGGAATTCTTTTTGAAAAAAATTTCCCAAGTACTTCTCTCCACGAAAAAAACGGATTGCAACGCCTAATTCGGACACCTGCGAAAAACAAACCAAAAAACTCAATAATTCATTTTTTCCAGAACTGGCAAACGACCCGTTACGATTGATATATTTCGTGTGTTTTCAAACGAGTTTGAAAAATTGTCGAAAATTTTCAGAGCTCGTTATTTTTGAGATTTATGTTGCCTTCAGGAAACCAGAAATTTGGAGAAAAGCGAAAATTATTGAAATCAAAACCAGAACATAAATTTTTTGGAAAAAATGAGAAAGAAGCTTTTTCCTACAGAAAGTAAAAGCGCAGTGAATTTGAATGGGCCAGAGAGCAAAGTTGAACAAATACTTTTTGAATATTGATTCGAAGAGCAAATCGAGTGGAAAATCACGTGCAAACAGCTCTATGGAAGGTCACGCATGCACGAGCAATTTTGGGAGGTCCATATTTTCCGCTCGGCACACCCAAAAATTGACATCATAGGGCTGTTGGAAGTCGGTTCGGGTTAGGTTGATGGGCCGTCGGGATTTGGACGCCCAAGAAAGTCAAAGCAACATGAAACGAGAGGTTTCCTGGAACAAGCTGAAGAACAAAAGCCAAGAGGCGATTCGGATTGAGGAGGTTGCAAGGTCGCCTTTTTGTTGCAAATTTCCGGTAGTTCTCCTGGGAAATGAACACTCGAGAAAATATTGGGACGATGAGGTCGTTGGGGTAAACCAAAACGAAACCAGTGGACAAATGACCTTCTATTAAAAACTTCCATTCACCGGATCGAAGTTTCGAGATCATTTTTGAACTTTTCAAAAAAAAAAAGATGGAATGGAAATTTTTCCGAAAAAGTCAAAGAGAAAAAATTCGTCCAAATTGAAACCAATATAAATTTCTGAGAACCTAAAGTAGAAGTTAAAATAAGCAGACAAGTGTATTTATCATATTTTGAGAAGAGCTTGTGAAAAATATCGTCAATTTTTCAAAATTCACTCGCCGAAAAATTCAGTAATACCTATTTTTCAATAACCTTCCACGAGCATGTGATCTGTCCTACATCGACAGAAATTAAAAAAAAAACTCTAAAAACACATTTTTGTAATTACAAAAGGGACAAAAAATTTTTCAAAGTGGTTTACTCGTTGCGAAAGGAATTGGAAGAAAGCATTTCAAAAAAACATGACCATAATTTTCGAAGAAATGACGTCAAAAGCAACTCCTATCAAGGTTCGACACGCGAAACTGTCCCACAAGCAAACGTTTCAGATAAGGGCTTCCGGAATTACAAAAAAAAATAATCAGAGTTCTGAGAGCATTGTTCAAAAATGTGTAAAGTTTTTAGGTTTTTTCTTCGATGTCAAAATAATAAACCAGCTGATCACAGGCGTCATTGGTGGTGGTGACTAATGACGCTGGAAAAAAAACTTATTTTGAGTTGAACTTTTTTTTCTTTTTGGAATTGCAAGGAAAAAACATTTTATTTGATGAGTTGAGCCTTCAAAAGGTCACTTTCGTCTCCGAAGTTTATCAGTCGAAAGTGAACAAAATCCTTCAGAATTGAAGCATAGAAGCGAAGAAAGTGCAGTAAACCGACTAATTGAAGAGTAGACAAAAGATGACGTTGAAAGCAAGCATAGTGCTGTGTTTTGGGATGCAAATTTTCCGGACAAATGGAAAGAAAACGGCACGGAGCCGCCACACGGAGCCCAAACGAGTGCTCATTTGAGCACGTTGGCTCGGCTAATGATTGGCCCTGACAAATGATCGTCTTATTTCACGTACTATGAGAAACTCCTGATTTTCATGCATTTCACTAATACTCCGATAACATCACTCTCAAAAAAAAATTTAGATTTTCTCCCCAATTGGTGGTAGTAAATTTATTAGAAACGAGAACAGAGTACGAAAAGATGAAACAATCCCGTTTTTCAAATAAGAAACTATAATTATGTTTTTGAAAAATTTCAAATGTCAAAAATAGAAAATTTCGGCTTCCCTTTTCAACACGTCTTCAAAAAAGGTTTCATATTTCTGGCGGAGGAAAATCAAAGAATGAAAGGACCAATGAGATCATGGAAACAAAATTGAGGTTCCATGGCAATACCTGAATAATGAGAACAGAATGATAAGTGGAAATAGATCGAAAGTTGCGCAAAAATTTCTGTCTTCCATTCGAAGGTTTCTTTGAAAGAAATAAGAAAGAAAATCTCAGCGAATCGGCCTTGAAAATATAATAACTATTGTTTCCGACAACGATAAAATCAAACCAAGAGTTCCAAAACAGGCGTGTTATATCAAGATGATAAAAAGACAGGATGAAGTATTCTTCAAGAAAGGTTCCTTTATCGTTTCCTCAATCAAAACCACGATGACTTGAAGTGATAACTTGAGCAAACATTACGAGTACGGAAAACAAGAATTTTCGCGCATGCAGAATTCAGATCATTTTTCTGCTCCGTTCAATTTTTTCTGAAATGCCAGATAAAACGGAAGTAGGAAACATTTGAACAACACTTCAAAGCTTCTCAAATGCCTCTAAAAAAAGTTTTGACCGTGTCTGAATTTATACTGTTCTCATTTTCTTTAGTTACTGTGTTACTGTATTTTCACCGATCCTTGAAATATTGGCTCAGTTCAGCCGTTAATTGAATGAAGAAAATCATATAAATCATGAGGCTCTACAAAACAGCCATCTTCATGATCAAACTATATACAAAAGCCGATTTTTTTGAAGTTTTGATTTTAGAAAAAAATTTCAGAGACCATGTTTAACAAAATGGGCAGAGTCAGCCGATTTGCCACCTTTTGGAAACTTCTGACTGGTCTACGCTCTCTTTTCTCCCACCAGCTGAGTCATGGAGACATGGAAAGAGCGCGTGAAAACAAGAGAGCGCCGAGAAAGAAAAAGTTACAATAATATCAATCTGAATCAAATCGTTAAGGCGTATTTTTTATTTCAATAACTGGCGAAAAATGTGATTTTTTTTTAAAGTTGAAGGTCAACCAGCTCGAAACGACGGTTTCAAGAAATATTATTATATTTTGCGCTGAGAGCATTTTAAAAGTCAATTAAACAATAGCTGCAGTTAAAATTACGTCCAGCCAGCCTCATGACTTTTTCTGTATTGTACATATCTCTCTGGAGATTATTATTGCTCTCAGACTTTTCTTTTCAAGGATTAAGATGATTAATCCCATTTCGAGATTACTTCAGTCTTCATCTATTTTTCAGAGGGGAACTTTTTTTTCTTCGCTCTAGAAAGGCGGAAGTTTGATCTTCACTCGAGAATACGGAACATGGGAAGCGACGCTAAGCGCGATGATGCAAGGAGCCGAAGCGATAAAATTCGTCGTTGGCTTGCTTTTCGTCTCATTTTGTCCCGTGAGTCGCGAATATTGCGCGGTATTCATTTGGGACTACGCGGTTCAGAGTCAAAAATTCAGGGAATAGTAGGAGAACTTTTCATTTCTTAGTTTTATCTTACACCCTAGTCGTTTCAAAAAGCAGAAAATGTTTTGGAGTTGCAGATGAATTTGTGTTTAATCTCCAACAGAGTTTTTTTGATCTTCAGATCATGAATTTCTCAAATTTTTCATTGTCTTGCCGCCATTCAATAGTGGGCTAAGAGTGAGTAAATTTAAAAATAGAAAAGATCCTAGGAACTTTCATCAAAATTATGCAATGTCTAAATTTTACTTTGAGATTACCTCTCATTTCAGTTTTCTTCAGTCTATGAGTATTGCAAAAAAATCAAAATCAAAAGAAAAACATTTTTCAACTTCAGTTTTCCGTTTCATCCCGTTATTCTCATCTTCCCGAGAAAAAAATGAATTTCGGAGCAGACTATATACAATCGAGATGACTTAGATCTACTCATTTCGTGGGAATAAAAAACCCGTGAAATCAAGAGAACAAGAAAAAGCATGAGAAAAAACGTCTGCGCACAAGAAGAAAAGAATTTTTGACGGCAGAATTGAACTCTTGGGCTTATCGAAAATGTAGGGAGAAGAAAGAGAATGTGTTTCCAATCCAGATTTAATTAACATCGTGAACTACGCAGCATTCGTATCAAAAAATCTAGAGAACTTTCAGCTAGATTGAAACGTTTCCATCTCAACTTCACAGTATTTTTAAAAAAATTCAAAGATGAGAAAAAAATAGGGAGGTATTATCATTGTTTTTTCCGGTCTATATGAAAACAGCTGAGTCTTTCAACAAAAGAGAGATGAAATAATGACAATGAAGTGGCAAAAGCGGCAGCTGGCGGCATGTTAAGGTGTGTTTGTCGCATGTTGTGGGTGAGCATCAGCATCCAATCACGCATTTCCACTTTCAAGACGCTCTTTACTCTCCCTCGACGTTTCGACCAGAAACTCGAGTGAATTTTTTTTCGTCCAAGCAGAACCTTTTTAGATAACGTTTGGCGAGTGAACGTGAAGGGAATAAAAAACTCTGAAAATATGGGTTCTTGGGAGATTACTCATTTTGTGAGAAAAAAAAAATTGAGTACATACATACAAACCAGGGATTTATTTTTCATGATTTCTTTACAATAAAAACAACACTTAATTTTTGAAAAGGCAAAAAAAGGTTGTTTGGGCTTGAACTTTATTGAAAAAAATTTTTTTGAGGCATCTTTTTAAAAATTCTGACAAAAATAGGGTTAGAAAAAAATGAACGAAAAAAAGCTCGGTTTTGCAAGAAAAAAGATCACAAAGTTATTTTAAGCACACTGTAATTATTCGGAAAAACTCAAACAAAAATTTTTTTCAGTTTTCTGAATGACTGTTGTTTTTTTCGATAATATTCAGGTATTTGTAAAATACACAAAATTGAACATTTAATGATCTCGGAAAACAGAAAATCTTATTTTTGCTCGGAAAAAATGAAAAATATCGAGCAAATTGAGCAAAAAGACTGGGAGGAAAAGCTATAAAAGAAAGCAACAAGACCCGATTGAAGTGATTTGTGGAGGTTTTGTTGCGTTGAACATCTGGTCCGTGTAGCTATGGCTCAAACATCTTTTTGCCCTCGGGAAATGTCACTTTCCTCAACCGCTATTATTTGAGCTTTTTATCAATCTGTATGAAAATTTTCATTTCAGCAAGATTTTCAGATAAACCTGAAAAATATTTCTTGAACCTGTTTGGAAGTTTTTTTTAAATTTTTTCGAATATCAGTTTTCATGGCTGTAGAACCTTGGTAGAGAAGCTTCAAAAAGACTTCTAACAGTCTTGAGAAATGAAAAAAATTTTTAGAACAAATCGGAGTCGGTCTAAAAATGAAAAAAAAAACTTGATTTGTTAAATATTTAGTTAAATCAAATCCGTAATTCAGTTTTCAGTTCTTGCAAATAAACCCTCATTCAGCACAGAAACTAACAAGATACAACTACAAAAACAAAAAAAGACCACAGACGAAAAACAACACCAAAGGAAAAATATTCCAAAAAAGTTGAAAAAGCTTTTCGAATAAGGAAGTGTCTAAATTCGACTACCTTTTGAAGTTGGCAAAAGGCAAAAAGTGAAAAAAGGAAGAAAGCATAAAGTCGCTCAAAGGTTTGGCCTTGAAAAGCTTTCTTTACTGAGAGATTCGTGCGGATGCATTTTCGCACGCGCCTGCATGCCAGAGTGCTTCTCAAATTTGTTTTTGGGAGTGTGAACTGCCCGTTCCTAGGCTGTACAAAAAAAACCTAGACAACTGGACTCTGGGAAAGTCGAGTAACCGGCGATATCGATGGAAAACTTTGAAGCCGCCGATTTCGAGTGGCAAGACTCAGAATTTCCCAAATTCCGTGTTTTCTCAATATTTTCTCACAGACCCAGATTTCTCATGTCGATTGAAGGGATTAAGTCAAATTAAACCTTCTCTTTTCAAAGAAAGTATACTCAGTCGAAACTTCTTTAGACACTGTGGAATCCCTGAACTCGGCAAAAATTCCAGTTGTGGTGCTTCCCTTGTGCTGGAAGTCATAATGGATTCATTTTCACTGGAAAATCTTATTTTACAGCAAGACGCAAATTCAAAAAAATATTCGAGTGATGCTTCTGAATAAAAAGCTACACATTATTTTTCTTGCTTTCCAAAGGTTTTTTTTATCGTTATGTCATTTCCTATCACGAAAAGGAAAAAAGGGACAAATTATATTTTTCTCATGACAGATGATATCTCAATATATTTTACGTTCTTCTTTTATTAAACTCATAAAAAAATATTTTATTTCAAATCCAATTTAGATATTTTTTTTCGGATGCCAAGACGTCACTGGAATTTTGTTTTAAAAAAACTTTTTCCAAACGCAAAAAAATCACCGCATTCTATTCAAGATACAATCGTCATCGATTCTTAAACAAAACAAAATATTTCATATATAAGAAAAATGAATGAGGACAAAATGATTCAGTTTCTTCTACAAACGGTTTCAAGATGAAGCTGTTGATTCCTCTTTTTGCTGTTCTGGTTTCCTTTGTGTATGCCAACTCCTATTCAACTTATTCAGAAGATATACAGGATATTAATCCGTTTTACTATGCGTAAGTGTTCCGAACGTAATAAAATAGTTTATTGTGGTAACCGAACAAAAAAATCTCAATTTTCATCGAGTAAAGTCGAAGTTTTCGATATACTGAAAAAAAACTGAAACTATGATTTCGCAGACCACCTGAACGTCATCACAAGAAACACCACGACAGCCACAGTGACAGCGACAAAGGCAGGTGGGATACCAAAAAAAAGTTTAATCACCGTAGGCTTGAATCATGGATGTTGGTCTTCATGAGAAATTACGCAAAAAACGTATTCGGACGTAATTTTTTCTAAGCTAGTTCAAAATTAATGAATTTCGAACTCAGAAGAAGACGCCACCACCGACACCGTGGCTACAGAAACGAAGGCTACGAAAACAACTACGACTACGGCAATCACAATGATTACGGTCATGGCAGCAACTACGGCAGCAACTACGGCAACAACCAGAACTACGCTCCTCCGGTCTACTCTCCTCCCGTCTTCTCTCCTCCTGTACCTCATCCTTACCGAGGACCCGCTGCCGCTGACGTTCCATCTGCCCCCGTAGCTACTCCGACTTCTTATTAGTTATATTGAATAAATTCTTTTGTAAAAAAATATAATCTCTGCAGTTGTTGAACAGAAATAAAAAGCATAAAAACAGTTGAATTTTTGCAAGACCCTTTTTTATTCGATAAAAAGGTTCTGAATAGAATTCATGTGAACATGCGAAGAAATTTCAAATTGATACTTTTTTTGCATGAAGAAAGTTTTTTTGAAGAAATCTAAAAAAATTAACTGGATCAAGTCACGTTTCTGTCTTATTTGTTAAACGTTAGTTTTTGGAAAAAAATGAAAAAAATACTGTTTCGAGTAGTTTTTGAAACGGTTTTTTTCAACAGAAGAGATCGTTTAGAGCTTTATGAAAAAAATAAGCAAGCTACAGATAAAATTTTTCACAGTAGTTCTTTCTTTTTTTTCATATAGAAGGAAGAAATGTTTCTATCATGAAAAAAAGGAAAGCGGGTCATTAAATGTGAGGAAAAATCTCAATGAGTACATTTTTGAAGATTTGTTCTTTTCAAAGCAGAACTGTACAAAACTCAATCCAGAAAAAAACCAAAAACAGTAAGCTTTGAGGAGAGCCGAATTTTCAATAATTTTGACTGTGAAACAGTAATTTGTGAGATTTTCAATACGTTTTTAAAAAAAGTTATAACTTCCGCAAATTCAGAAGGTTCCATTTCTAACCCTTGGCAGCGGAATATGTCTTTTTTTAAATATAAATCGTCATCGAATTCGAAACAAAACATAATGTTCATATAAAAACCGACACATTGTATTGAATATGCTGCCGCTTTTTGATCTTGTTTCCCGTTGTTCCGCTTTATTTTCGGTATGAAAGACCAAACTTTATTCAATCAAGTAAATGTTTCTTACCCGATGTTGTGTATGAATCAACGATGGTGATTATTCAGGGGAATGAAACATATAACACTTCTGCTTGCGGCTTTGTGCGCAGTTGCCTATGCAGCATCTTACGGAGTGAAACCTGAGCCTGAACCGTACTACAAAGAGTAAGTCATGCTATTTTTATGATCATTTCACGCTGTTTGCCGAAGTTTTTTTCATGAAAAGGTTTGACAAACTTGATTGAATTTTCAGGAAAAAATATGGAAAGGGAGGTTATGGACATTCACCCAAAAAACACCACAATTATGGAGATAGCTCTGATAGCGATAGCAGCAGTGAGGAGATCGGTCGTGGGTAAGGATCCCAATTTCGACTGAAACTGAAATGAAAGCTCAAAGAGAAGCTAATTTTATGAGGTTTTTGATTCTTATTGAGAGGGTGAATCAAGAAACTATTTAGCACGGAACATACAGTGCTGTCAAAAAAGATTTTTTCTTCATTCAAAAATATTTTTCCTCGTCGTTTCCTCGTATGAAGCTCGATCTTTTTGAAACTTTCTAAGCTGCATTTTTTTTGTGCGGACCGAAATCCCTTCAATGGGTTACAAGTAAAAGTCATCCCATCTCCAAAATGTTTCAGAAATGGTAAACTTCATGCAGGAAAGTTCTGATCAAAAAACTTATTTTTTCGCATTTTTTCTGACAGTACTATAAGTTAATAATTCATAAAGTAAGCCAAAAAGCACCTCTAAGAGAGTTTGGATTTTTAATGCGAAAAAAATATATTTTTCTATTCAAAAAAATCACGATTAAAGCTACGAAGAAAAATAAATTACATATATACCTCTCTGAATAGTTCAACCTACCACTTTTTCAGGCACCATTACGGGAAAAAGAAGCCTACAGCAACTGGTTACGGAAAAAAACCGCGAAAGACGTCCTATCCGTCAGGAAAATACCACCACTCGCCACCAGCCTATCACCCTCCAATGCAGTACCATCCTTACAATCCTCCACAACATAACCCCGCACCGTTTTCTCATCACGAACCACAATGGCCAGCTCCAGCTCCTCTTTCCGCTCCATGGTCAGCCCCCGTAACTCATAACGAGCCTCAGTGGCCGGCTCCAGCTCCTATTTCCGCTCCATGGTCAGCCCCCGGAGCTCATAACGAGCCTCAGTGGTCAGCTCCAGCTCCCCTTCCAGCTTCCCTTCCAGGACCGGCGTGGTCAGCACCAGCTGCTCCTCCGGCCACATCGTGGTCGGGTTCGGCGCCAGCGCCAGCTCCAGCCGAGTCTCCGTCTTGGTCCGCACAATCTCTTGCGTCGGCTCAAGCTCACGCTCCTGCTGCTTCAGAACCAGCCGTCGGGCATGTCGGTCCTGTTGGCCCTGTCAGTCCTTATCAGTCTCATCTCTACAACTGAATAAATCCATATGTAATAAATAATTTTTGTGAAAAGGAATGAAGACTTGTATGAACTATATTAAATTGGAGCTTAGTTTACAAAGAAAGTGATTTTGATTTGAGATATTGCTATCAAGTTATTGGAAGGTTATATTTTTTTAATAAAAAAAGCCCTCCAAGGAAGTTTATATTTTAAAAAAAAACAAAAAATGGTATTGCTGTTGCTCTTCATTTCCAAGTTGGCGGAGGTTTGCGTTGGTTCGTATTACTTTTCGTCGACTTTCGGACCGTTTTCGGCGTTTCAGAAGTGTCTCAAAAATAGGTTGAACACGTTTTCAGGTCGAGTCAAACTTTTCCCGTGGGTTTGAGCCTTTCTCGAAGCCGGTTTACTATTTCTCCGATTTTTGGCGTGCAGCTGCTTTTTCTTTCTTGAGGTTTGAGGCAGTGATTTTGAAGTCGCTTGGGATCGAACTGGAGAACGTTGTCTTCCTTGAGTGATTGCTAAATAAAGATCGTATTTACCCTAATGTAATTTTTTCAATTCATTGAGTTTTGATACATCTGTTTTTTTTTGTAATTTTGGAGATACGGGTTCTTTTTTCATTGTAACTCATCCAGCTTACAGCTACCTGAACTTTCTTCCGGTGGATCGAAAAGGTCCTCGCTTTCTTCATCTGTGTTGTTTTGAGGTTCCCTATTGGTACGGTTGGAGACGCTGGTAGCCATGCCTCCGGACAGGTGAGGAGCTGCGTGTTGCGGCATTTTCAATTGAACGCCTTGATCCGTCGCAACTAATGTCATGACGCTAGGAACTGCAGCGGCGCCTGGAAATGAATAAAATAAAAGATAATCTGGTACATTTTTGAAAAAACCTCTGTACTGCGGCATGTAGTGACCAATAGTTGGAGGATCATAAGATCGGCAGCACAGAACTTCTTTGACTCTCACCCAGACGTCATTGCACCAACAGAGCATCTGGAAACACTGATTGAAGAGTGAAAAGAGTTCAGCTTACTATTATAGGGCATAAAAGCGGGAAGATAAATTTCAACCAAGTAATGAGCGTATCGGTATCCTGAGCGACATCTAGAGCTTCTTCCAAGAATTCATGGCTGTTGTAAGTCTGAACACTTTTGATTACACCCAACTGATATTTCACTCACTTCATAAATGAAACAGAGAGTGACATAAGGTCCTTCGAGTAATATGAAAACGCAAACCAACAAAATCACCTGAATGTAAAGAATTGAAATTCAAAAACTTGAGAAAAGTACCAGTTTCGCTCTGCTTTTATGGTGTTGAACAGCTCGATTCTTCTTAATAAATTCTGCATATTCGTGTGATTGGAGCGGTATTGATGCAACAGTCTGAGACGGAAATTAAAAGTTATATTCAGAGCCTCAACCAACTTTTTTTCTCAGTATAGCGACTATGCAAACTAATGTCATAGCAAGGCATCCAAAGTAAAGAACTACCCTCGCAATAACATATCCCAGGGGACTGTCTCTGAAAACCGGTAGAATAAGATATGTTTCATTCTGTACTCTCACATGTCAACTCCACAAATATATCGATTTCGGAAAGCCTTAACGGGAACGAATGGGAAGAAAATAACAGAAGAAATCATCACAGAAACTACGAAAAGCAGTAATGTGATCACTGAAAACTTTCTTTTCGTTTCATCTACAAAGAAGATCTTACTAGCTATTTTGAGAACACTTAGTGGTTTTATCTGCTGGACAATTTGTTCTTGAACTAGAATCGCTCCAAAAGCTCTTTCAGCAGCCATCAACATCAAGAAAAGCAGTGTGTATAATTGGACAAACTGAAAAAAATAAATAATTATAGAAAAGTTCTCTCAGAACCTGTTGAGATGCTGCGTTGAAACTGCACCAGCGATCACCCATCGTCCAGGAACCGTTGGCGACAAAAAGAAGAGAAAAGAAAACGTTGAAAGTAAGGTCCCAAATGTTTATCAAGGCCAGATGACAGTACATAAGATAAATATTTTGCTGACGGAGAGCTTTGCTGAAACATCGAAAATAGTCTTTTAGAGAGGATCAGCTTGCCTGATTGCAACAGTCACCATGAAAATGGCGTTCAGAATGTATGAAGCGATTAGAAGAGCAGCTGAGATGTTTCAAACTACACAAAAACGGAGTTAACGGAAGCAAACCTATCAAAATTGCATTCGTTGTCCGTAAACTTGCAGATTGGGTTTCTTTCAAAGTCACAACGGCCAGAGTGTCTGCTTCAGGGACGTACTCGATGGTTGGAACCATTTCTTTGTTCCGCGCAGTGGAATCCAATCGGGTTAATCCTACCGTAGATTAGATTTACCGATGACTGAAAATAATACGTTGAAATAGGGACTAATCTAGAGTAAGGAACGTCGTGGCAACCCAAAGTAACTATGGCAACAGCTTCAGCGCCTAATCGCAGATCCTTTCTCTAATGCGCATTTTTGTTTGAACACGTGTTTGGAAACATTTCAGGTGACAAATCTAATATTCCTGCTTAACTTTTGGCAGTTTTGAGGTTTTTTATGCTATAAATTATATTACATTATTTTACCTTCTTTTTTTTGAATGAAAATTCAATGCAATTTTGGTCTACGTTTTTGGCCTCTATTTGCGATGAAATGAACAGCTTTCGTTTTTTTCATCCTATCAACGGATTAAGAGTTTCATTCATATTTTTAATCGATATTTATACTCGTTCTAGTTATTCAATCGCACTTCAGAAGTTTTTCAAAAGTTCATAGACTTGGCAAATCCTTTCTTTCTGAGAAAATTTACTTTCTAACAACCAAAGTTTTCGTAAGACTTTTATAATTTTTTCCGAGTGATGATGGTTTTTTTTTGAGGCGCGCCAAAGCGCAACAGGTTGTGTGCCTCTCTACGGTCCACAGGGTCACAAGTTCGATCTCCGACCCAACCAAGGGGTTTAAGAAATATTGGTAGTGGGAAACCACGATTTCAAAATCCGCAGCCGTCACACACAAGGACGGATATGTCACTCGAGCCAGTCCACTGATTATCAGTATAGGACCTCGGCTAATCGACTTGGGGCGCCGACGCCGCTCAAGCGGTACAAAGGCGTAGGAAGAAGAAAAAGATGGTTTTCTCATTTAAAAAAACCGTTATCAAGATAGCTACTAACTTTGATCGCTTGGACTCTTTTCACTGCTCTTTCCAAACTCTGGTCATTTCTTTTTGAAAATTTCGTAATAAAAAATGTTAAGTTTTCATATATCCTCCTTTTCTCAGTAAAAAAATTCCAAAACTTTCTGCTTTTTTTATTGCAAGTGCACTGTCAATTTATGAAATCATTTATAAGAAAAAAATAGGAAACATGGAGAATTTACAATAAAAAAAGAAACATTGATATTATAAGGGGTCTTCAAAAGTATGACCAAAATCGAGAACCGTACTCAACTCACATATTGATTGATAACTTCCTTGTAAGATTGGTTGGCAAAATAATAATAATGAGCAAAAACACCGATTGTTCGACGTACTCCAAGGGCAAATCAGAGGCAGAGAAATAACAGACTTCAAATTGTGACTGAAAAATTCACTTGTTTTCATTGTACAATGACGGAATTTACAAACTAATCAAAAATTGCAGTTGAACGAGATCTTGCTGAGTGTGTTTCTTAATTGCAGAGGAAAGTCGAAATCTTGAATGAGACTCCATTTAGAATAAAACTTGACAAAACTGTAGATAAAACATGACTGGCACCAGCAAATGTGATAAAGATGAAAAACGAATTCAAAGTGAATTATTGAGAGGGTCGTTGATTAAAAATATTACACGTTTTGATGACATGGGAATCGGGAGAGAGAACAGAATGTAGTATATTTTGCAGAAATTAATTGCTCAGGGTAATCACAGTTGGTCTTGCTTCAGGCCACGAGGCGCCGTTTTGAAACGAGAGGAAGTAGAACGACCAGAGTCTTCGAAGTCCTGCACAGCAGGACCAGATCGGCGTCCGGAAGTGTTGCTCCCTTGATTGAGAGCACTGGCGGAGACGCCCATACGGGGAACGGACTTTCGCGCTTTTGGCATGTCCGTGTCAGACACTTCAGCGTCTGCTTCTGATGACGCGCCTAAAAAAAATACTGTTTGACAGTTTTCAAAAGACAAGAATCTTTCAAAAGAACGACAAACAGTTGAGTATTTTCCTTTTTTTCAAACTTTATGAATGAAGAAATTTGAACGAGAAAATCAATTACCATCATCGTCCATCATTAAGGAAGATCGCTGGCTGTCGTCATCACGGTTCCCTTTCTGCGGGCGGATACCTAAAAAACGATTTTTGCAGTTTCGAGTTACACCTGCGCTGGCAACCGCTAATCGAAAAAAACCTACCATTAGTGCGATTGCGACTCGTCGGACGACCATTCACTCCAAAAACGGCGTTATCTGTCACGCAATCATAGGTGTCGTCACGAGGAGTGCCGCTCCGGTTGAGCTGTCTCCGAAAGGCTGCCTAAACCCTAATTATGAGGAAAATCAAGCTCCGGATTGACAAACGTCGTAGATACTAGGTGGTGGTGGACCAGACGGAGGAGGGGGAATAAAGTCCATCAAGGTCTGGCGAGGCGGCGTCCGACGTCCACGGTCCTTAATGCTTCCGTTGGTGCCATCAGAGGAGTGCAACTAAACAGAAAAAACACTCAAAACGGTTCAAACAAAATTTTTGCATGCAAGTGTTTGTTATCTATTTCTAACTTAGAAGGAAAATGAAAAAAACCGAGTTTTTGACTATCCTATCTTATCAAAGTACCTGAACGTAGCTCACATCAGTGTGAGGAGGGCTGTCGGATCTTTGACTCCCGTTGGTGTGAATCCCGCCGTTAATTGTCGCTCTGCCGTCCGACGTCCTGCTGGATCTTGACCGTCGTCCCGTTGTGTGATCAGCATATCTGTTGATTTTTTTTTTTGATTGACACAAGTTTCTTTCTTGAACGTCAGATCTGATTGCTGAGTTTAAAAATGAAAAAGCCTCAATTTTGATCTTCAGGAAGTTCAGGTCATACCTAGCAGGCGGAGCATTAGGAATAGGATTTGTTGGAATCGTCGGTCCATGCATTGCACTTTCAGACATCCAAGCCGGCTGTTGGTTTGACATTGTCAAAGTTGTCATGGCGTATGGTGACGGATCATCATGATACTGGAAAAAATTAATTATTTTTTTTCGTGATTTTCCTTCAAGTATAATGCTTCATACACACCTGGTTTCCATTAAACGTGGAGAGAGGGTTGGCTGGTCCGCCTACAAGTTGGGCGTAGTGATATTGGTGATCCTGCGTACTTCTCGTTGTGCCGTTGTAGTCTCCTCGAGCATAGAAGTCTTGGGCGTTCGGAGTCAGCGAGTAAAGAGCATGACCTCCGTTCCTGAGAAAATTTGCTTTCAGAATCCATCAGATGCTCAAAGTTACCTGTTGTTCAAAGTGAGGTGTCCATTGTTGCCATACATGACGGCTGGATCCCAGAATGAGCTTCCACTCAGCTGGTGCACGCCTCCGTCATTGATTTTGATGAAGTCGTGGTCCTGAAAAATGCAGTTTATATCATACTTTCCAGAGAAGTTGACATGATCTTGCAACTTATGAAAAACGAACCTTGCCGTCCGCCTTTCTTGTGCTTCGCAGAACAAAGAAGGCCACAATGATCACAATGATGATGAGGATCAGCGCTACCAGAATTACAACCGGGTACATTGAACGGTTGAGGAAACTGAAGAGGAAGGACTCAGGCTCATTTTGAGCCAAATGTTTCTCCAGCGTCTCTTGATCTGAAGTCAAAAGTTATTAAGGATTTTTCCTTTCCAACATACTCATGACAATAGTGTCTGTTCCGTGAGCAACGCCAACACCGGCGTTACTTCTGGAAGCAACTCGGATTTTGTAGGCCATGTTGGGAACGAGATGAAACAGGGTGACACTGGCTGCTCTTTCGTTTGTCGTGATGTTTCTATTGTTCTTCTGATCCTTTCCCATGATCACGATCTGTAAAACATATTATATATTTTGTTTGATATTTTGGTCTAACCTGGAATCCTTTCAGAATCCCGTTGATTCCTTCAGCTTTTTGGCGCCTTCCAAGAAATGCGAAGAGTTGTAAGATTGAGCATTCGGATGTGTACATCCTCTGGTGGCATTGATGGAGCTGAAAATTGACATTTTTTCATAAAAGCTGATTTCAGAAAAACTTTTAAACTGATAAAAAAATACTCACGCGCTTCAGCTGTCAAAGCGTCCATTGAGTTGCTGGGAGCTCCTTGCACACTTCGGTGGTAAGGAATCACGAAGAACTCGTAGTTGATGAAAGGCAAAAGTCCGCCGACGACGTAGGATTCTGTCGCAGCTCCAGTGACGTTCACGTATTGATCGTTTTGAGCTCTCGGAGGTCCTCTCCACTTGATGTAATAACCATCAACAAGGTCCTCGACTTTGCGTCGCTTCCAGAAAAGCCGCACAGCCGTTGAGTTGATTGTCTTGACCTGTAAAGAGGGGTCCGATTATCGCTGAGACAGATTTTGTTTTAACTCGTAGTTCAAAAAGTTGAAATCAAGCAAAAAAGTTTTTGCTTTGTTTAGCACAAGAGTTTTCTTGCATACTTTATGGACATTTACTGGCTGCTAAAGTCCCGATTTAAATGCTAGCAGAGTCTCAAAAAGCTCATGGAATTAATGAACCTTTCATAGAAATATATTATTTCAAGTTTATGGCCTGAAGCTCCAAAAATATTCTTTTCAAGATGATTTACCTCCTCGAGCTTGATCAGTTGCTCGGAAGTAAGCCTTTTGGCTGCCCTCTCAATATCGACGTCATCGCGGTTTCCGGAGCCATCTGAAATATATAAAGAACTCGGATGAGATGAAAGAGACTAATCCCACCGTCAGGCGGCTTTGCCATGGTGGTGACGAGGGCCGACGGAACACTCGGCGGTCCAATGCCCTTTTCGTTCTCGGCCCGGGTCAAGAACATGTAGGAGTGCGACGGCTGCAGGCCTTTCACGCGGAAAGTCGTCGTGGTCACAACGTCCGGTATATTGTACCATGTCTGAAAAGCACGAGTTTTATGAACATGTCAGATTTTATGTGAAATTAGGTAAACCACAAATTCTGTGTTTTTGTTAAATAATGACTATTTTACTCTGAACCTACCTATCTTTTCTGAAACTCTTTTCACAACCTTCAATATATTTTTTTTCAGATTTTCCAAAATTTACCTGTCCGATATCAGGACTGTAGTACTGGATGAAATATCCTACGATAGGTGTTGGACCTGTATTGCTTGGCGCTTTCCACTCCAGTTCAACCTAAAAATTAAATGACTATAGATTACGACGGCCAAAAGTTCAGTCACACCTCTTTGTCAGTGACATTCACAATTGTTGGCTGGGAAGGAGCTCCAGGAAAGTGCGACGGATCGAGCATTCGGATGATTGCGGCAGTGCTGGTGTGATCTAAAAATTACTCACTTGACTTTATCTCGTATTTTTCAAGGATGTTTGTTAATTTTTTTGAGAGAATTCATCGCTTGCCAAAAATTCAAACTTGAGGAAATTTTTTTTTAATTATGAGCTTCAGGCCTCTTTTCATATTTTTCGATTCAGTGAAAATTGAATTTTTCGAAGTCACCTTCCACAAAAAGCGGCGCAGACCACGTGGACTCTCCCTCATCATTTTTCGCCCGGCAAGTGTAGACTCCCGTATCAGATTTCCTGTAAAAGTACCCAATTAAGGTTTTTTTCGCTTTAGAATATTCTATTTCCCGTTCAATTAAAACTCTCAAGTAACAGACCTGAGTTCAGCAATGTGCAGGCTTCCTGTGGAGTGCTGACTGTAGCGGTTGTCCTTCATATCCAGAAGCTCATTCTCGCGAGTCCAACTTATTCTTGGGACTGGCTTTCCGCTGGCCTTGAATAATCTTCGATATTCAAAGAAGTTCCGATTTTCACGAACCTGACACGGCAAGATTGCCGAACTTCCAACTGGAAGCGTTTGGTTCTGATGTCCATGTTCTATGATAGGCGGCGGTCTTGCAGGGCTGTTCCCAGTGGCGGCTGAAAGCAATTTATCATTAGAAAGAAGAGGACTTCAGTTAGACCCCGTTCCTATTTTTGTCTAGAAGCGAACTCCGTCTTTTTCTGAGTTTTGCAAAGTTCGGTCGTATCAAAAAAGCTCATTTTTTGGTTTTTATCAACTTTCAAAGTCAGGCCTCAAAAGCCAATGCATACGAAACTCAATTTTTGTGGTAAAAAGGGTTTTGGCATTTGGAAAACCTTTTTTCAGTAACCTGAAATTTTTAAAATTTTGGAGCCTCATAAAGAAGTTCAAAAGTAGTTCAGTTATTTTCCAAAAGCTGAGAGCCGAAATAAAAACACCTTCTTTATAATCCGATTTCATGGCAAAATATATTGAAGAAAACACCCCAAAGCTCTTTTTCCAGTTCATTACAATTTACTTACGCGAGCAATCCGTCCCATTAACACACATCAACGCGGATGTGAGACTGAACACCGATCCGAAAATCATTTTTGCCGCCAGGCGGTCCCATAAGAACCGACGGCGGTTTGGATTATTCTGAAGAATCACGAAGTGTTTAAATAAATAGAGAACTAGAAAAAAATCAGTTCAAAAAAAAGAAGAGAAAAATCATACCATCACAAGGAAGCCAAAGCGCGAATCGCGTCTAACAGAAAATATGAAGAAAAGCGGGCGGACACCACGCCGAGGTGACATTTTATCGCGATAGATCAAAACAAAACAATCTTTTTTCGCCAAGTCTAATGGACCCATGAGAAAACATAAAACGTTTTCAAGTGATAAAATCTACAGATTTGAAGAAAAAAGAGAAGAGGATGGAGAAAGAAGACGGTGATTTGAGGCAATCAGGCGCGACAAGTTGATTTTGCGGCAGTAGGACAGAAGTTGGCATGTGTTGGGCGTGAATCTCAGTGAAATGACCACACGGACACACGCCTAGTTTCATTTTGCATCATTAAGCGAGACGTCGTTGGACCGATTTTCTCGTGGGGCTAATTTCCGCCACAAACATTTCAACTTCTAATTGGTTAGTTTTGGCTAAACGCAAAAAAAAGACTAAAAAGAAAAGAATAAGTTTTGACCTATCAAGTCCAAAGTTTCAGCACAGCTTCCAGCTAAAACATGGAGAATAATTGAATAAAATAAACTCGAAAATTAAATTTTTCTGACGAAAAATTAGATTTTCTGCTGACATTGCAAAGGTCAGGCGAAAAGAAGAAAAAACAATTCGCAAAATGTTCTTCAATTTCTCAAAAATTCGAGATCCTTTTTATTCTTTCTGTTTGTATAATGAGACTATTCCCAAAATTAGGATAGCGATAGATTCGAAAGTCTAGGAATAAAGAGGGAATTTTGAGCAGAAGTAAAATGAAGCTAACCGAACGGAAGGCAAAAAATGGCGTTGTGGATAAAGTTGTTTGGGACGGGAAGTAAAAGGCCGGAATAACGATATTCGCTGAGCAAATGGACACATGTCCTGAGGAAACAAGTGTGCGGAGGGACATTACATCTCGCGGCTACGATGCGGCGCAGGATGAAAGCGCCGAAGCCGCAAGCGCCACGGAAGACAAGTTTGCGGTTTCAGGACGGCCGTTCTTCACTTTTTGTCCGTTTTATGAGATTGATGTAACTTTGTTGCCACTACTATGGAATAAAATGTAAAGATTTTTTTTCAAAAAAGGTTAAAATAGCCGCGAACCTGAATTATACGAATTCCTTTAAGCTACGTTGAGAAATGAGAGAGGAGCATTGTGAAGAAATGGCGACACTTCACGCATTCAGATGCGAGAGCATGATAAAAGCGTGTGAAAAAAGCATTGGGGAAAGCCGAAAAATGTAGTCGGCTAAGCAAAATTCGCACCCGATGGCTTAATTAGCACAGCAGACAACAGCCGAAAACAACTATCCGCTTACTGGACGAAAATTTCCGCGTATGAATATTTTATAGGTGAAGAAAAAAGAAGATAACGTTGCGAGCAATTTTTGAAAAAAAATTTTTCTACAGACAGGAAGACCTTTATTCGCGAGTGAACGCGGAATGAGTCAGCAAATGTCAGCCGCAGTGGTTTGTAAACGACGAAAAGTCATTGGAATAGGATAACAATACGCCAAAAACTTGCAGATGCTAACCAGAATTGGAATGTTTCAAATGGCACAGCTGCGCGCCCTGGCCAAACCTCCGAAAAACTTGTTGCCCATTTAGCCGAGCTGTCAGTTTTTCGAAAGTTTTTTGCGACCCACCCAATCTATATTGAAGGGAATGCATCATTTGCATGCAAGCGTTCCCTCGAACCCGCGTCAATTTTTATATTACTTTAACCTATGATCGACCCGTCACAAAAAAAAGAACTCTGTTCAAAGTTGCTTAATCTGGACTTTTGGGTGAAAGCTCGGCGAGCAGTAATAAACTATGCGACGTCGTAAAACGGAAGAAAGCCCATCGGGAGAAAAAGGCGTTGCAAAAGAATAACAAATGGTCTGGCCGAGAGCTCCGAGTGAAATGCCGACGGCTGCAAGGTCAGTCGGCTCATGCCGAAAAGAGTAATTACTTGGCGCAAATATCCAAAGTAGATCCGGTGGCAAAACTCGCCGCGACTGTCACCAGAGTGTGACAATCGACACCTTCCATTTGTAGGCACAATATTCGCTCAGTAAGCCGTACGGTAATTGTTGTTTTCCTAGATGCGAACGTTATTTCCAGTCGAAAAGACGACGAAAACAATTTCTGGCAGTAATGTAACTTAAGGTATAGATAGTTATTTTCTATGGCTCTGGTTAAAGAAAAAAAAAGGTACAGAAAAAAAAACTTCAGTGCTTCTTTTTTAAAAAATAAATCAAACGGACCTGAAAATCTACAGTGGAAAGCTTAATAATGAGAATCCGAGTTTTTTAAAAATATTGAGGCGACCAAGATTCCTGGTAAAAAACAATGAAAACGTTTTTTCAGAAAGAAAGTTTGGATTAAAAAAAACAAAAAAAGTTACGAAAATAGTGAACGAAAAATAAACACTCGGAAAACACTTTTTCATTTCAATGAGTTAGCTGGAATTTAAAGGAGTTTCCAAATAATTTGAGTGTTAGACAAGAAAATTTCAATTTTCGGTAATAATCAGGTTTTAGACATAACTTCTACTCAGAAGATTTTTTTTTCACCATACAAAAAGTAGAAGATTTCTGATGTTTTCTATCAAAAACAACAGAAAGCTGTAACTGAGAGATGGAAGGAAAATTTTGAGAAGTCGAAAAAATAAAGGAATGACTCACCCATCTGTCTATTTTTGTTTTTCTTTCAGAAAAGCCATCAAAATTGAAAAACAAGACTCTTTAAGAAATCTTCCAAACTAAAGCTCAAAAATAGAAACTGGGAGAAACACGGACGTGCCTATCAATACAGAATTGTGCGCAGTGCATAAAAGGAGGCACGGGATAAGTGCTCGGAGGCGAAGAATCTCGAAGACAATGAGGCGCAACCACTGACAAATGGCATCCATCTGCTTCTCTGTCTTGGGATAATACGGTCGAAAAGCGACAAACTGTTGGTTGATAGATTGTAGCCTAATAAATCAAGCTCCGAGGGTGGCTAAATAATTTTGGACACCTTGCGTGAGAAATTGAGAAATTCTCGATAGAGTCGAGCTGGGCCTAGAAGCTTTTTTCGGAGTGGTACCGATTAGATAGGCTGACCTAGTCTACAAAAATGAGATGTCTTGCTTGTCTGCGTTTATTTCCTCCCTTGGAAGATTTGCAAAGGAAAAAAAATTTTGAAGAGAAAGCAAAAATCTTGAAAACCAAGAAAGTGCAGAGAGGCAGGAAAAGAGTAGTCTAGATAGTACTTTTAAAAAAGAAAAATCTAAAATTGGCATCAAATCCTTATCTCGTGATGTCTGCCTAACTCTGAGTCATCACGAGAAGCAAAAATAAACACTTTTTTTGATGGAGATATTCAAAAGAAAAAACATCATTCTTGTTTAAATTCATTATTTTTTTTCAAAATTTCGAAGGTTCTATCAGATTTATTCAAGATGGGGAATAAGAATAAAATTTCGATACCATTGAGAAGCCAAAAAATAAGAAATATAAACGATTACAAGTTTGCAAACCATTTTTCTTCATTATCGAGAAAAATCAACGTGAACCATCATTGCACTTCAAATTGGGATCATATAGAAAAGGAAATCTGCTTGACGAAGCCAATTTAGTGAATTCGGAGATACGAATGGCAGATGGGAAGACGCACAGCTGAACTTTTTCTCCAAACGAAAGATCCTTCGAGGCCGAATTTTTGTTGTAAAAATGGCAATCGGCCCATAAAATGTAACGACCCGGAAAATACGTTGGTTTTGGCGCATTTTCGACAGTTTTTGAGCACGGTTACGATTGCGGGGCCACAATAGAGCGTGTGGCTCGCCGCGTATGAATGGACGTCGGTCAAAACGTCTGTTCGATTTGTTTATGTTCACAAACGCCTCGCTATATCAACTATCGGATCGATAGGTGTTACGAGTCATGTTTATAAATATTCGTCGCTTCCCGTCGCTCTGACCAGGAATGTCATATCCTATTTTATTCTAAAGCTAGTTTTTGAGGGGATTTTTTTTCACTATGTCTCATTTTAACTTTCTTCATCGATAATTAAAAAAAACGTCGTCTCAGACTTTGAAGAGGTTATTTTAAATTTCGAAAAATTAGTTTTCACCTTGCCGAAACTCTTTTTTTATGATTTACAAAATTCTGAGAATTTTCAATATGCTCGGAAAAATCGGGTTTTGAGCGTCATTCAAGAGAACCTGACTTTTTTTCGGGTCTTTACAAAAATAAAAAAAGTTTTTAAATTTTCCCAGATATCCGATAAGAATATTAGATAAAATGGCCAAAAAGTTAAGATTCGAAGTTTCTGTAAGAGTGAATCGACTTCGGCGTCAATGAGGAATTTCATGAAAATATATGAATTAAATCAGAAAACTGCATTTGATACGCTACAGATTTGAAAAAAATTAAGCTTGTGGAGAAATTTTTTCCATATTCTTAAAACCTCGTTTTACTTCTCGGCAATCTTTTTTCTGAGGTCCAGAAATCTTCGATAAGTGAATCAAACCAAAAGTCATCTATGACAAATTTTTCCCTCCAACCTAAAATTTTTCGCGGCATCCCTGATTCCTGAGCTCACTCCTAATTTATTCAAAAACGCAACCAAGGAAACCGAGCTTTGGAGCTGTTTTCTTCTTCACCCATTGTTTTTTTTGCCATTTGTCAGCATTGTGACTAATTCAATTGGTCACTTGAAAGAGGGACGTACCTTTTGTAGTGACCTTCAGCAGCGCTTTGCTCAAAGAACTGCCCGCAGCGTTCATGCCAGCGCAGACGTACGCGCCTTCGTCCACGGGTCTGACGTCTTCAATCGTCAGGGTTCCACTGGCCGAAACTTTCATCCGACCATCCGCCGACACGTAGCTCGGGAATAGTAGATCCTGAAAAAAACTCATTTTTTTCAAGTCTGATCTGAGAAAAGAACTACTAAAATGCTAGAAAAAAGTTCAAATCGGCTCAGGAAATGACATACTTTGTAGAAGGTAGTGTCAGAGTTTCTTTGAATTATAGATAGTTTTCAAAAATCGGATTTTAACTCTATTGCGAAAGCGCAAAAATTCAACAGTTTTTACTTTACAGCTTAATAATCCTATCATTTTGTGGTAATCTATGAACAAAAACCCCTCCCCCAAAAAACTCACTTGATGGCCTTCTTTACTCCAAAAATAAGCTGGAATGGGCTGTCCGACAAGTACACACTCAAAATGAGCCGAACCACCAGCAGGCACAGATTGGTCGACGGGTTTCGTTTGGAACGTCGGAGGAGCCTGCAAAGTACAATCATAATTTTCCGTCGCTACATAGTATTCACAAAATCGTGGGTTTTGGAAGAGAATAATGTTCTTACCTGGACACGCAAGTGAGCGGAAGCTTCGATTTGTCCTGCAGGATTTCTGGCGTAGCACACGTATTCGCCTTCGTCTGTTGCTTGCACCCTGGAATCATATTGGTAAGTTGGATATTATTCACATTTTATCAAAGTTTGTTGTAATTTTCGATGACTGTGTGGTTCTGTATTGTTTAAACATTGGAGAGAATTTCAAAAGTGTAATCAAGAAAATTAACATTATGACTTTACTGTTTCCCTTTCTGAACTGATTTAACGCCTCAGGTTATAAAACTTCTTGCTCTTTGTACTTCCAAGTTTTTTTTTTCAATCTCTACTCCTATTCTCGGACTTCGCAAAACCCCTTTTTTCCTACAGTAATCATTACTCTCCTCTTTTCTCAACCTCAGCAAGAAACAGCACGATCCGAGGAAATCTAGTGTTTTCTTCGACATCCCAAAAGCGGTATTCAATCAAAAGGAGTATGACAAAACGGAGTCGGGTGTATAATCTGCGCGCAAACCGTTTGAGATAACATCTGCTGTCTCTACAGAATACGGTAACAAGCCGGGGTTGGTAGCGTTATTTACAACGTCTTATTGTTAGAGATAAAGTGAGGTCGGCTTCTTTTTAGATAAAAAGCCCGAGCAGCTGTGTACAGGAATTTTTCAGGAGATAGCATGGTTTTTTATTCTGAATTTCGTTGGTAAAGTACTGAAAATGGACAGATTGAGAATAGATCTTGATTATCAAGAAAGCGTACGGAAAAATTTAGAACTGGTTACTTTCTGGAAAATTCAAAGAAAGTTAACAAAAAAGTAAAAAGAAACTCTATTGATCTAAAAGGTAGCACTGTATTTGTAAGGAAATGACCAAAAACCTTTGAACATCGTTTCAAATAAACGAAAAACAATTTTCCCTTTTTTAAAGATTTTTCCGGTCTCAGCGACCTCTTGAAAGCGGACCAAGTTAGGAAAACATTGGGAAAGTCTTTCTTTATCCACCTGTTCAAAGCTGATTTTTATCATTCTCAGATAAGAAAAAATTTCGGACTTTATCAGTAGAAGAGTAAGATATATCATATACACAAAAACGAAGATCCCTTTTTTTTCCACGTCTCCCAATCTTCGTCTCGGACCAATCCATCGAGAATTTGACACTCATCCCTCCAATCATTATGTTTGGATATACTCGCCGATCGCAAGAAAATTTTGTAATTTGAGAAGAAAACGGACCTGTCGATCCGTAATCCCCGATTATCCTTGGCGATGTAGGCGCGCGCAATCGGCATCTGATCGTTCTTGCGTTTCCATGTTATTTGGGGCATCGGCTCGCCGGCGACGCGGCAGTCGAACAGCACCGAAGCGCCGACGTCCACAGTCATGTCTTTTGGCTCTTGCTGGAAATGTTCGAATGTATTATTGGCACTACAATGAGATAATCTAGTGACAAGATTGGTTCAAAAATAGGCTTTAAAAATTCAGATTGAAAATGTAAAACGTCCTTCTACACAAGCATTTTCAGAAACGGAAAAGTAAGCTAAAGTATTTTAAATTTGAAAACCACAACTTGGGCATGTTTCAGCCCATTTTCTCATTTTTAATTAAAAAACAAGGAGGAAAAGCAAAAAAATCAATACACAGAAGCTTGAGATTGTTCTTACCAAATAGTTCTCGCAGAGGGGATCCCTACAGAAATTTTTGGCTTATATAGACCAAAACTCCAAGGCTAAGGCTCTTGATTCTCAAACTTCATTTTTGAGTTGGTATTTCATGAGTTCCAAAAGCTGCTTATGATTCATCATTCCCAATTTCAATTTTTTCGATCGAGTGAAGTAACAACTTTTTTCCAACTTTTTCCTTCCACACCACTTTTTGCTTTCAAAGTTTAAAAACCCTGCATGAAACATTCTTTCTCTTGTTCGACTATCAGATATCACCTTTGGTTCGAATTTCGACATTTGCTCGTCGACCTAGTTTTTGTTTGCACTGAGTTATTTTTTGACGTTCAGGTTTTGTTTCAAGTATATCGAATTTCAAAGCTTTATCTTCAAAGATCAGCTCAAACAAAAAAAACTTACAAGGAACTTCGGCTTCTCGTAGACGCTTAACCTCGCAGGACTTGAGACTTTTTCTCCTACCATATTCGAGGCAACACATTGGAACGTACCCGAGTCTTCATGGCTTACCTGAAAATCGAAAAAGGGTTTTTTTTTTTTGAGAAAATCGTGGTTACCGGTTCAATAATGAGGTTCCCGTCAGGATGAAGAGTATAACGTGGCAAATCAGATATTCTAATTTCTTTGTCGTCTTTCCGCCAGCTGACCACAGGTTCGGGGAATCCGCGTGGTGGACTGCACTCCAAAACGGCTTTTTCTCCGGCTAGAGCCTGGAAAGGAAACTTTTTGTATTCCAAATTGTCAGAAAAAAACGCTGAATCTTTTAATATTTACTGATTTTTTTCAAATTATTTTTTTGTCTATTTTTTTCAGAAGCTAACTTTTTTTCGGAGCTCTTTTAAGAAAAAAATAAACGATATTCACGTCTTCTTTTTGAAAATCTTTCGTTGTGATAAGAACCGGAAAATAAGTTCCATCGTCCCTAGAGATGAGTCAAAGATAGAGAAAAGTTTGCTAATCAGCTCAAAATTGTTCAGGAAGAAAAAATCTCATTTTTGCTAGACATCCACTTCTTTCGCTTCCCAAAAAACACCTTCCCTCCTACTGCTTTCCCGAAAAAGATGTATAGCACCTGCACGGAGCGAACGCAAAAGGCTATTGTTTGGAGGAAGCGTTCAATGGAGCGCAAAAAAAGGGAGCGAAGGACACACCTGAACGGTTCGAGGCCGTGTTCGGAAGTCGTCGCGCAACATGGCCAGTTTCAGAGATCCTTCGTTGGATTTTGCCTCGCCGTGCTCGTTGGTCGCCACGCAGTAGTACGCGCCAGCGTCGCCATCTTTGCCGTTCTTGCCTGGAAATGAGAATTCATGAGATATTTTTTATGGATAATGAAGAAAATCGTTGAGTTTATTGATTCCTGGGAAAGGATTCATTGAATTCCTATGATTTTTGAAGGAGAAACTGGATAATCAAAACTTCAAAATTTTTTGAAGCTGAGAAAAATCTTACCTTACCAACTCATATGCAAATGAAGCAGCTCAGAAAGCAACTTTAAAAACTTTTGAAACAGAATTTTAATGACGACAATATTTGAATCTTCTTAGATCTAGAAAAAAATATGAGTAAAAAAACTTTTTTTCGACATTTGGAGCATTTACATAGATTAGAACGATAAAAATTGCCAAAAAACTCCTCACACTCCAATTCAATAAATTCCCAAGTACACAAACTTCTTCAATAGACAGTTTATTGAAAAGCAACATTTTCTCCGCAAAAAGCGCACTTGCGGCTTTTTTATTTTCGTATGGAGTCGCTCAGATCTTTTTCAAGCTTTTTGTGATCCTTTTTTAAAATACCGAGAAGTCCTGCATTTTTTATTTTTTCTGTTTCTCCCAATATTCTGAATCCAAAACATGTTCTTTTTCATATTCAAGTTCAATTGTCACAGTCCCTCAAAACAAGATGAAAAAGGAACAGACCGCTGTTCACTTTGAGCAAGAACAAAGCGCCGGTGTCGAGCACGATGCGATGACTGTTCACTTGTTGTTTGTTCGTTGTCACCGGCTGGCCGTCTTTGAACCTGCGACAAATCCATCACAACCTTCGTTTTATTAATCAGTGCAAACCATGTGATTTTTGCGCCTGGCGGTTTCGCCGCACAGTTGAGAGTAGCTGGCGATCCTCTTGAAACAACGACATCGATTGGGTGCTCGATTATAACCGGGACCAAAGTTTCAGTTTCTGGAAAAAGTTTCCTTCAATATCTCATAGTTCCAAGTCGGTTTAAAACTTTTTTTCAAGAGTTAGATCCTCTCAACATGAAATTTCCCTCAAATTTTTATTTTCAAAGTTTGTCCGACCATATTTCAGTAAAATCAAATTTTTACACATCGATATTGTTCACCACAAAGTACTAGATTTGCTGTTTGAGAGTTTGGAAATACTTTATGAGCCATATCTATCCATGGTTTTTTAAAAATCCGCAGGTGGCTGTTTTTTATAATTCGTACCGTGAGCAAAATAAGGCCGGAACCCTTTCATTTGGAGGATCGACCTCATATTTTGGAAGCCTCAATTATCTGCAGAAGCCCCATTTTCGAACGCGGAAAGCAATGAGATCTTATAAAAATTTGATTTGTTGTGTTCGCCAAGCTCGCTTCATTTGGTTTTGAAGAAAAAATTTTTAGAGTCTTCCAAGTCAAATTCAAAGAATTTTCAATGAATATCGTGAAATTCAGACTATTTCGTCTCTTTCAAGATTTTTAGTTACCAAATCTCTTTTATTTTTGAAAAATAGCCTTTCTGGCTTTTCCAAGACCCCTTGCCAAGGAAAATTCGATAAAACGGGGGAACGCCTGTTTGCTCGCGGTCAACACATATGGGAGCGCGCATGACCATCGCGGCCGCCTTTGATCCCACTCAGCCGCAATAAATCAGCTAATTACGACGGATTCGCAAGCTGAGAAGCTTCAACGTCTTGAAAAACTTCTAGATCAAGTTTCCTCCAAATTCCATTCATTCCAATCAAACACTTCCACGTTTCATGAAGTTTCTCAATAGGCACAGATACATATCTCTTCTCTCTGACGAGAGCGCCAATCAAGTAGTTTCCCTTTAGCATCCTCCAATTTCATTCCCGACCGGAAATGCGGCAACGGAATAAAACATGGAGGGCGCATGTTCCATTCGGATTCCAGCAGCTGGCCGCTGGAGGCAGATTGGTATGCAATTAGCAGGGCAAACACAAGAGCATGTACGACATGCAACCCGCACTCCATTCATCATTTTTCCCTGGGCTCTCATTTAGATTTCAAGGTGTGCGCACGCGAAATGCACTTCGTCAAGTGTGTCTCCAACTGAGGACACCTGGAAACAAAATCGGCGGTTTTAAAAATAAAAATTATTGAGAACACTTCTCACTATAGGAGAATAATTCTCTATAAGGAAGAGACGTGTGAAAACCCAGAAGTCACAAAAATTGAAGTTTCGAAATGTTTGAGAAAACAGCTATGCCCTACTGCGAAAAAACTTATTTGCAAACATTCTGAAATCGCGAAAATTTTTTAACCAAGTCTTCGGAAATCGAGAAAGTCTCAAAATGTCCTTTCAAACGTATCCCTTGTATACCGCTAGTTTGGCAGCCGAAGTGTATTTAAAAATCTACTGTAACGATAATAAAAACCTTCAAACTTGGATAATCGCGATTTCGTTATCACGAGAAAACATCGAGATGCAACTAAAATTAGTATTTAGACTGTATTCACAACCTTCCTAGCTACGCTCCAATTCGCAGAAGTATTATTCATGCCAAGTCCCTTTCTCCCAGCTAACACAAAGCGAAACCAAAATGGAATTTCCCAATACTCAGTGGTCAGTGCAAAATGCGTTCGGAAGAAGCAGAAGACAGCTCGGGCGAAAAAAGAAAAATGGCTTTTCCTAAAGCATGTTCCATTTTTCGGGCCCGACGTCGACAGCTCATTAATAAGAAGAGCCCGATGGTGTCCCCTGGGAGCCGTCCATGAATGCCTTTCAACACAACGCTCAACATATTTTACCGCCGTTCCCATCAGTTTCTATATGCAAATTTCATACCAACGTCGGATCACTCAAGCGTATGGAATAAATCGTTTTCCAACTTTCTCTTTTTAATCTTGCTCTCTGGAAGCCAATTTGTCACACAACGTATAGCTAGCAACGGAAAGTGCAAACAACTGTTCATCTTTTTGCACTAGCGCCGAGCGAACACCAAAATAAACTTTCGCAGTTCATCTTTGAAAAAAGTTCAAAGGTTTACTGGAGATTATCCAAGAATAAGGTACAATTTCAAAGGATCTTCTTTTGAGAAGAGTTATTTTTTAAAATTTGAAAGCATTTAAAAATGCTCCAGTATAAAAAAACTCAAAAAGTGAGTATCACCCCATTAAAAACATAATCAAGCCGTTTTAATATTTTTTCCAACGCTTTTGCTAGCACCAAGAAGCGAAAATCCGCATCAAAATCTGTTGCACAAAGATTTTTGTATATTTTCGTTTTTCCTCTGACTCTTCAACGACGTCTATTCGGAAAAAGGATGCCTATCAAAAAAATTAAAAACAACGGATTTAATTCACTGCTTTATCATTAACAATGCTACTTATGAAATTTTTGACGGTTTTTTTCTTAATGTATAAAATTTTTTGCTTTTAAAAAAATTAATGCGAGCGTTCTTGAGCACTGAACACATTTTGCAAGCCACCCAAAGACCTCCCATACTCTCCAGATGTTTCCTATTCCCTTCCGAACGCCCTGCAAGAACTACAGGTCACTTTCCGATGATTTGCATGTCGCCGAGCACGGCGAACCAATTTGTCAACCAAATGCACGGAGCAACGTGAAGTAAATCGTAATTCGTTGCAGACGGCGAAGCTCTCACTGAGGTCCTCTCCTCTTCATTTTCTCAACTCGAAACGACTACTATTGCCCTTTGTCTGTGGAGGACGTCCCGCCACGCGAGATGTGCAAGAATGGAATTACTCGAAAGGGAAGGCAACGAGAAAAAGGCGATGACACCGATGCCAGATGGCATGTCGCGGTAATCGAATCAGGCGTCGAGCGAGGCGTTGAGGTCCACGATTTGGCTCGATGAAGAGCCCACGGAACCCCAATTGCCAGCTTCATCCGCCGCGGACCCTCAATGACCAATTTTCTTTGAATCGCTTCCGAACCAAATGGGTTAGTGTCCTCTTCCTGTCTAATCTCAGTCCGAGAGGGCTGTTGCCATGGGACAGGACAAATTGAAACGATGCAAGAAATCACAGTTTTCTTGCAAAATTGCTTGCTCACGTCTTCAAAAAAAAGAGCCTGATAAAGAATAGTTGCGAATCAAAGAGCCTTTTCAAAGGTGACATCAGTTCATGCGAAAATTTCGCGCAATTAAGCAAGATTTTTCAAAAAAACAAAGCTGAAAAATCCAGTATATAGACGAGGAAAACACCTTCGATATACCTCATGAACCAACAGACAAAACACCTCCCACTGACATTATTATTTCCAAATTCTGAAAAACCGTTCACATAAAAAAGTGTTAGGAAACTGTCACTTCAAATAAAATTATTGTGAAAAAAACCCAGCATATTCTTCCCTCCAATTTTCAATCCTTGTGTGAGCTTCGCAGACCATACAAAATTATGTTCTCAAAAATATCAACCATCTAATTTTAAATATTCCACCTCCTCTTCCCTATTTTTCTAACAGCTCTTCTCTAGCTTTCCTGTTTTGGTCAACTGACCACCCCAATAAACAAACATTAGCAGGGCGTGAAAAATCCAATAAAAGTCTCACGAACCTTCAGCAAAAACGACGGTTTGTAGTTCGAACAAGTAGATGAGCAGGACGACAAATGATATTCGCATAATTTCCGTTATTGGCCGGCAAGAAATACGCCCGTCATTTAAAAAGGTTTTGAAAGGTGGAGGGGCGATGGGCGCGAGCACCTGAAAATTGAATTTAGGGGAAAAAAGGATAATTCGCGAACGAAAACAAACAAGGACGGTCAAAAAATTATTAAAATGTGCATAAACGTGAAGATAAAAGTGCGGAATAAGAGCCACGGGGAGAAGGTAAAACTTAATCTCTCTCATATCGAATGAGGAGTCTCAAAGAGTGCAATGGCGGATTCCCGCCACTGGCAAGATCAATAGGTCAACAGTATCAGTGGCGCGCTAACGGGTCAAAATCTTTTTCGTTTTAGACACGCGTATCAAAATACGCGTATTTGAAAAAATAAAAAAATGAATCGGCATGAAAATTATGTGAATTCCTTTTGCAAAATAAATTGAATATTTTCATTTTTTTTTTGAAATTAAAAAAAAATTTGTGATGATTTTTCAAGAAAAATTTTTTTCAAAGTCCGAATGAGTTTAAAAAAATGCAAAAATATGAAGGTGTAACTGATTTCAAATGAGATCCTTTCTTTTAACTCAAGGATTTCAAATTTCAAAGGAAAAAATAGAAAATGAATGAAAAATTGAATATAGCGCTTTTTGATGATTTTCAAAATCATTAGAAAAAAATTGGAATGAAGGCTAATAGGGAAAAATAATGAATAAATGTGGAAGAAGCTTTTAAAAATGGTGAAAATGAAGAAAAATAGTAAAACATTCAGAGTAAAATTATTTCTGCACATAATAAGAATAGCCGCGAAGCCTCCCCATGGAAAAACAACCGATTGAGCAAGGAAAAAAGTAATAAAGAAAGAAAACAAGAGACGAAGTGGGAGGAGGTCGGCGGCCACGCACGCGAAATTGGCTCAAGAAGAAGAAGAAAAGAGCCGAGTTGTGGCGAGTGCGCGCCCCTTGCATCGCTTAACACACTGAGCCCCAGCGGCGGCGTTTCCAAAGGCGTCATAACCGTATGCTAACGATTCGCTTCAAAAAACAACGTGGCTTGGAAAAAATTTCCACCCGGCTCGTCATATAATATTCGCATCGTTAATATGAGGCCAAGAGGCATCGCAAGGTCGAAATTTTTGGGGTGAGAAATAATATGATTCTTTCAATTTTTAGTTTTGTCATTTTGAAATCCTACAACTTGAGATATTAATTATGAATTTTGCCAAAGTAGTTAAAAGCTTGGCAAAAATATTTTTCCATTAAATGAAAAAAAAATAATTAAAACTGTTGTAGACCTTTTTTCTTTCAATTAGAATATAAATTGTAATGTGAAAATTTCACAGGATGTTATCGTAATTTCTTTTTCTAGACACGTTTTGAAAATTACCTTTCTATTTTTGTAAAACACAGAAATCCGAAAAAAATGATACTTTGCTTGTTGTATGGAGTACGACTTTTTCTATCAATATTTTCGTTATTCGTTACGTCTTCGGATTTAACTTTGAAGAAGATTCAAGTTCAGCAAATATAAACCATATTGAAGATTACTATCTTCTAAAAAAGACAAATCGCAAAAAAAAATTCGAAAAAAGGGTCAAAAAATTCTCGCCATTCATTTTTCTGACCACGGCTTTCTTGATATCATATCAGGATTTGACAACAGACCACACTCCTAAAATGAAGAAGACCAAATTTGTGAAGTCCACGACAAAAAGAGCCTGGCCAGACGTCCAGAGCTGCTCTCAAGGACATCTGAGCCACGTAATCGGGTCGATAATTGACGATAATTAGTGAAAACGTCGACGGACAACACTTGAAAACGGCTTAACAAGAGCGCCTGGAGCCCCAGAAAGAGCAAGAGCCCAAGTCGTTGGTAGGAAGAGGCACGCTTGGTGCGGTTAAGTAATTATTCCAGTTTGCGTTCATTAGGTCTATTGTCGCAAAAGGCACAACATCTGTCGCTTGTCTCGCGTGTCGGTGCCGTCCAGTTGTTAAAATGACAGACGACTTTGGAAAAAAAAATGACCTTAAATTGGGCAAGTAAGTGTTTTTCGGTTGGTGTACTTGAGAAAATCGGGTTTGGAGGTTTCTGCTTTCATAAATTATCCTTAGAAACACTAGAGTAGTCCCTAAAGGTTTTAGGGTTTGACCCCTTAGCCCCTAGAGCTCAGGTGGACCCTACAGAGTTTCGATTTCATTCAAAAAACGCTGATTTATTCAGTTTTTCCCATGGGAATGCTTCTCCGCTCAGAGATCATAACGACAATCCTAGCATGACCCTTATAGGTTCCACTAACTAAAACCCTTATCAGAACCATCTTCGCAAGGTCTAGTGGCCTCTATAGGGGTTGGTAAAGTGGTCCTTAGGGAAAACCCTCGAAAGGTTAGATTTGAAGTTGACTCCGCTGAAGTTTTAATAGATTTTAGAATTATTTTCGAAGATCTATCGATTTTTTTCACAATAAATCAATGAACAACTCGTAAAAATACTTCTTAAATTTGATTCTTGTACAGGAATAAAACTAAACTAAACTTTCCAGGAAAGTAGCTTCTTCTCGAACAGGAATTAAGACATCAAAAAGTCAAAGAAGGAAAAAAAAAAGTCGAGCTGACGGCGGCTGGATCTGACATAACTGCGCCGTCAGACACCTGTTGCCAGAACCCATTCCGTTTCGTTAGAATTCGCGCAGTTTAACACATTGTGAACGGCGCCGCAGTCCGGTTAGTTACCTTTTTAACTGCGAGTTATGAGCTTTTTCTCAGAAATAACTGCCGCTGACAAAGTACATAAAAAAGTGGTCGTTTCTACCTCTACTGAAACTTTCTGCAAATTAAGATCTGAAAATGAAGAATTTTTTACTATAAGAATTTTCTCTCGAAGTAAACTTCTCAGCAATTTGATAACTCGATCTCCAACACTTCATGTAAAAAGTGACATTTAAACTAATCGATACTTTCAGAACAAAATTACAAAAATGGTAGCGAATTTTAATTCGAAGCTTTTCTATCAAGGACCCAAAACAAGAAAAAAAAGACCAATAAATCAAAATAAAGACGTTTTTCAAAAAGTACAGCCGGACACAGAGCTCACTTCAAAATTTTGAGGCCAAATGTCCGGAAATAGCCCCATAAACTTGCTCATGAGTGAGTAAATTGGCGGAAAAGGACCCCAATAACGGAGAATATAAGCGGCGAGTGAAAAGGAGAGCGTTTTGGAGTTATCGAGCGTGCGGCGTGGGAACGAACGCTCACAGCCGACCTCAAATTGGTTCACCTTCGAAACGAAATTATGACGGAGAGCCAGTGGTCGCAGTTCATAGGTCACGAAAAAAATAGTGCAAAACTTCAAAAATGCATGAAAATATCTCGTTTTGCGCCATCTTTCATATTGATGGATGAGCTAAAAGTGCATCGAAAACGTGTTGATGATAGTCGGGGAGTGCATGAAAAATGTGAAAGGCTATATTTCATCTTGAAAATTTAGAATTGATACGGAATGTTCGAATAAGAGCAATATGCCTGAAATGGACTAAAACTAAAAATTTTTTTCAAGTTTTTTTAGAAGTCCCTTGAGTGTGATTTTAACTTTTCTGATAATTTTTTTTCGTGGCAAGAAAGCAAATTTTTTTGCTCTTTATTTTTTTCAATCCAAATCATTTGAGAGACTTTTTTGGATGGACATCTATATTTTAAGAAATTTTGGCTGATTACCTCAAAAATAAAACCTATACCTTGAAAAAAAGTGACCAATCCAAAAAAATAAAAAAATAAAATGTCAAGAATAATAGGTTATCACTTTTTTTCAGAAGGTTCGAGAATGACCATGGAAATAGTGTGAAATCCTAAAATTACACAATGAATCCATTTTTTGCAAGTCGAGGCGATGACGTCTTGTTAGAATAAATGAACGTCGTCTAGTTGTTTATCCGCGAGCAGATGCAAAGCGGCAACAATGAAGACTTGGCGCCTCCCAGACCGCCGGATTTAAATTGATGATGGCCCAGGGCAACAAATTGAATCGAATTGGCCCGTTCGTACATCATTCAGTGGGTGGGAAAACCTCGTAAGCCTCGAGGTCCAGGTGATGTGTCCGGCAGAAAGCGAAAAAAAGAAGGAATACGGGGAAATTGTACGAATTCTTAACAAGATGCGGTAGCGCATTGTTTCTCAAAAGAAAGGACGCTCCTGTGCTCCTCTTCTTTTTTCTTCTCATAGCATTCTGCAGGGCGCAAATCCTTTGAAGTACTAGAGTTGAGAGAGAACAAAGAAATTGGAATTTCGAATGAAAGAAGAGAGACAAAGTTGCTGTGTGATGAATAAAATAAACCCTGAAGATCGAAGAAGACGCTTGCAAAATTAACGCATTGGAGAAACTTTATTGCATTTTTTTTTCAACTTCATAACAATTTTTTTCTTTTTCTAGAAGTCTCCGCTTACAGCACCATTCACAGAAGGAAAATAGCTCTGAATTTAAATTACAAACTCTTCAGAAATCTTCATTTTTTTTCAACTTCCTCTGAGAAAAAAGTTTCTTATCAATGCCTGCAGGAAAAAAAAAACAGAAACAAAAAAAACCCGTCAGCTGTTGGAAAAAAAGGGTGCACTTCCTCTTTACTGCTAATGCATTTTCAAAGGCGCGAAATGACAAAAACTTGAAAAATGAAGAATTTTCTGATTTTTTGCCCAAGAAAATTTATTGAGCTCAGCTTTAAAACACTGCATTTAAAACAACTACCACAAGAACTCAAGAAAATAATTGACACCATATCAAAATTAGGAAGATCCAAATTTAACAGCCTTCAATTCAAAGAAAAACCCTCTATCAAAAATAATGGAAAGAGAAAAAGTTGTAAAAAAAAGCGGGAGATCAGATACAAAAAAAACGGAGCTCGGAAAGGTCTGAAGTGCAAAAGATGGACAAAAGCGCCAAGGCAACTGTCCAGCCGCGCAATTTAGCCGAGCGGAGGGCAGGAGCTGGACAATACGATCGATGGCCTGACGGAAGGAGGAGGGCGTTCCGTGCGCCTCCTGCTAGAACAATCAGTGCCTCGTAGTGGTACTCGTGCGTAGAAAGGAGTGGAGGACGCAGGCAGGTCGGGCCTCCAACCGACGCCAGGTTCGAGGCCGAATGAGGCTCGATAACTGATCTCCGCCAACAACCACTTGACGCAATCATGTCGCGCATTCATTTCATCCGTCGCTTCTTTATTCCCTCAAAGGAATTTTCATGATGAAACTATCCTATGAAAATATACATAATGTTATAGTTCATTCAAATGCAATTTGAAAAAAACATCCAGTGGTGCTTATTTATTAATTCATTTCGCTCAAACAAGTGCTTTTTAAAGGAATGACAAAAATTGAAAAAAAAAAAGTTTTAACGTCTTCTAATGAAATTCTCTACCATGCTGACAGGGACTAAAACCAAAATCTTTTCATTTTTTGATTGAAAGTTCCATAAATTGAACTAGGAAACAAACTAAAATATTCAAGTCGTTAGTTGGAAAAATAATGCGGATCATGAAAAAAAGGCACAGAAGTTATCAACATAAAATATTTTGAAGAAAAAAAGACTTTGTGAGGTGCGAAAAAAACTGGCTTCACTTGGACGAAGTTCTACTTTGGTCTACTTTTTAACAGGGTATGGAGATTTATTTGAAATTGTAGAATATTTTGTACTATACTTCAGCAACGTTTTTACTGACTTTTTTTAAATTTCAAACAGCCAAAAATGTTTTTTTGCCAGAAAAACCATTTTTCGCCTAGAAAATATTGTAATTGACCAGAAATAAACTTTGAGAGTAAAAGAGAGTAGAATGAAAGTTGTAATTGCCTCTTATTCTGCTCATTATGGACAATCGTACATGATAGCAATCAAAACTTCAAGTGTTCCTCTGCTTGCGCATCTTTATTGATTCCCCTTCAGAGGTTGAATTCGATAACAAACTGATAAGACAGTCATAATGTCGAAATTTGATGAGCAGTACTCTTTTTTTTTATGAAACAGTGACCCTTTAGATATTTAAGGTTCTTGTCGTATTTACTTCGTATAAAGGATTTTTTTCAATCAGTTTCCCGATTCAAAAAAAAACGTTAAGGTGGATTTGATTTAGGAACCTTCCCGGAAAACGCATCAATTATATATTTGGCAAGCCTCAGCAAAAGGAAGTGAAAAGCACGCTGAAAACTTCTCTTGGGTTACAAATTCGAAGTACCAGGATATTTAAAAATCGAGCTTTCATGGCTGAACTAAAAAAACTTGCACTTATGAAACTTCGTACGTAGGTTTTCCAGATTTTTTTATATAAGTATAAGAAATAAGAAATTGAAGTGAAGTATTTCAAAAAAAAGATTTTTCGAGACTCGTATTTGCAATAAACTGGTTTTCAGTATTTTTTCTCAAATTCTCACATCTTTTCTTTGACTAGGGAGGTCATTTTACTTTGCAGTTGGGATCCTCCTGCAAATTGGCCAGAAGCTCTTTGATGTATCAGAAGAAGATTCTAGAAGTCACAACTTGCACAACTTCCTCGTTTTCGGAAAAAGACGTTTCCAAGTCAAAAAAGCCCTCACAGCTCATAAAAATAGGCTATTTTGAGACTTTAGGCCAACCGCAAAGAAAAATGACCTCACCTGTGAAATGCATTTTTTTGAAAAAAAAAACTGAAAAAAATCTCTACTCAAATTTTCCGAACGGTCCTCGCTATTTTGGTGATATATCAAAATGAATTGTTAGAGGAAAGCAGATAATTTCCTGAAAATGAAAAACGGATCTGACAGTATGAAAAAAAGTGAAATATGAAGGTTCTCAGCAGGAATCGCTCAACATATACCAGCGAACGACTCGTCACGTCCTGAGTCCGCAAACGCGAGCGGACGTGCGCAAGGCCGTCTTCTCAGGAGCCTCGGCCCCATAAAGATCAAGCCAAGGTGGTGGCTTTCCCCAGATCTTAAACTTTAACGTGCCGAGGGCGGTTCGGAGCACTGGAAGTTTCTTTGATGGGAGAAGCTTATGTGTGGTTTCTTTGTATAAATTTGGTTGAAAAGTTTGGTTTCAAAAAAAAAGGTTCCGAAACTCGATTAGGAGGATTGTTTCTCATGGAAAAATTTGAATTCAATCAAGTGTTGCCCGATTTGAGAAAACATCGTTTAAGTCGTATTTTTTTAGAAACCTTCACGGAAAACGCTCTAGGAATGCTACAAAAATAACTCAAAGGCTGGATATACCATGATACCATAAGCCGAGTTAATGAACAGTGTCATAAGTCAAAAATATTGTGGACAGACATGAAAAGAGCAATATAAGCAATAGGAAAATTTTGTCAGGAAACAGGAGCTGAGCTTGTAAAGGAAGTAGCAGTTATAAAAATGTACAAAAATTTGGCCATCTGGTAAAAATCACCTTGCTTATCATTTTTTGAAGCTGCAAACATAGCCCAGTTAACTTTTCGACCTAAAATTCACAAGCTGGTGTACGGTTAGCGGTCCTTTATCGATATTCGAAAAAGTTCTGAAATGAAGCAAACAGGATATGCCAATAACTGCGCATCTGAAGATAGCGGATCTCGAAGCTTTGAGTACCAAACAAAAAAAAATTTGTGAGTTCTCTTAAATTTTTTGAAGCGAACTTCTGTTTCCTGGTCCTGTTGAGCAGTTCAAAGTTATAATGTGAAACAAAAAAGCCAGATTTTAGCGGATATCAGCGGAAAAGTAAAGCTAAGCTTTTGACTCCAGTATATACAACAACAAGTTCAAAAAAAGAAGTCTGCGAGACTATTGGTTTCAGCCGAAGCAATCTCAACCGTTCAGCTGGCAAAGAAGGAGAAACCAGTCGTCGAAGACGCAGGCAATACGACTTTTCCGAAAAGTGATATAAAATGCGACCGGAGCTGTTTTTGGACTACGACGCCTCAAAGGGCTATTCGGCCGCCAGGTTGTAAAAACAAACACGTATAGAAGTCATTGAACCTTGTCTATTTGGTTTGGACTGCGGTTGAACGTGCCAAATTCAAATTTCACTGTTTTCAAATCTTAACAATTTGATTAGAACTATCAAATATGTGTTTTTCGGATGTGCATGTGTTTGTTAAAGTTTCTTCGTGGAAAGAAAGAAGTTGGAGCTGTGTAACATGACGACTGATAATATTTCCTCATATTTTGAGAGACAATTGGCAGGAAAATGTCTTAGCAAAGAAGCCGCTCTGAAAACATTTTTTTCAAAATTTTTCACGGACAGAAATTCATTATTAACTTTTGGCTGTTTGAACACTGAAATCATGCTTTTTGGGGTACATATTTATGATATCATTTCAATATGACAGCATGTAAAAAACTGAGTATACTCTTTCCTAGTCACATCGTTCTGTAGCCGTGAGAGAAACTTCAAAAAGAGATCAGTTTCCGGATGATGAAACAACATGAGTAGATCAGGTCGAGAATACTTCAACCAGTTTTGTCAAAGATCAAATTATTTTTTTCGAAAAAAATTTCATTTATCCCAGGGGAGGTCAGTTCCATAATCGCATCAGAGGCTTCTAGGCTTTTTTTCAACTTTTTTTCAGAAGGATTTTCCCTGTTTTTTTAAGATTTAGCTCCCTTTTCAATTGTTGCAGGGCACGATTATCATGAAAAATGAATGATTTTTAGAATATTTCATTGGTTTTGTTTCATTTCCAGTTTTTTCGAAGCCGATTCGACCTCAAAAACTAAATTTTTTCTATTACAAAAGCTAATTGGAAACTGTTCTCGGAAGAAAATGGTTTTCAATGGTGGTTCATACCTTCTAAGGCTATAAATTATTTTGAAAATATTCAAAGCATCTTTTTTCCTCGAAGCATATCAAACAAGACAAGCGGACACTCTCTCCTGGACCAAACTCAAAGAGGAATGTAATTTCGAATAAATCGTAGCTGGCAGAACAGGACGCGCGTTGCATTACAATGCAATTTATTGGAGCAGCACCAGGGACGAGAGCCAAAACAAATAAAGTGCAAGATTACATGAGCTTTTAATCAGATCCTAGCAAGAGATCGACTACTAGCTTGAGGGGGAAAACATCTCTCAAGGAAGATGATTTTTCTAATCGCATGGACTTCTCTTAGAATTATATCAGGTTTCTTTCATTCGCTAAATAGTCGTTTCGATAGTTTTAATTGCCGTTCTCGAAACGCTTCAAACTTGAAAAAATCACCTCCATTTCAAAAATTTTTGAGAGGTTGCCTTTTTTTCTAATCATGAGAGAACTTCTTATTAAATTTCTAGGAGGAAGATCTGACGAAGAATGTATTGCAAAGACGAATTTCAGCCCAAAGTTGATTTAAAACGAGTACACAGACAAAAAAAAAACCTAATATGACCTTCGTCGGAGTTGGATTACGACAATTAGAGACCGTAGAATAGCAGTGAAAAACGAGAAAATTAACCTGTTTGAAGTATTTTATTCGGAAGGCAAATCTGGCATTGAAGAAATATAGATTCAAGTAAGAAATGAATGATGAAAAAAACATTCAAATCTCAGGCGAATATTAGGAAGTCCTGGGTAGGTGATCAACAGGAGGTTGAACAATGAATGGAAGCTAGAAGATTTTGGAAGGCCTTGGAAGGTATTTGGAAGGTAGCTGGAAGCTCTTTGAAAAGTTTAGAAAGAGAACCTGTCGAAAATCTTCTCGAAGCCTTCTGGAATGCTTTTAGAAGGCTTCCGGCAGGCATTTTTTAAAGAGAAGGTGTTGGAACTCTATGTGGAAGGCATTTGAATACTTCCTGGAAGCTTCCAAACGCCTTCCGATAAACCGAAAGCAAAAACTTCTTTTTTACCTGAGACCTCAAAATTCTTTATGAATCTCGAAATCCGCTTTTTGAATCGTAACCTCAACGATTGACTCTAGAAACATTTCAGTGAATTTATATTGACTCAACAACAATTCATAATTCTTTGAAAAATTAAAAAAACCGTGCAACCGTTTTGAAACTTTCCACCCGCCCGGAGTCAACTGCCTAGACACTTCAAAACAAAAACTTTCCCTTTGGACACCACCTATAGTTTAATTAACACTTGACATATCGCGAGAAAATTTCGAATGAAAGTTCTCAAGAATTTCCCTAAAGAAAAAAGATATTGGAGTCGTTGGTTGATTATCCCGATCGCCAGAAAAACATAGCGAAAGTGTCTTCTGCGTCAGAAATTATCTGTTAAAAAAGAGCGAAATCTCAAATTGTTGGGAGAGACTGGAAATGAGAAAGTAACAGGGCGGCCGCTCGACTTTGTTATAAAAGCGAAACTCTTGTTCTTGAAACTGGATATTGGCGTTCCTTGAGAATTTCATTTTTTTTGGTATTTATTAATTCTCTCATGCTCAAATTGTGATTTGCTTCAACTCATGATTTCGATTTCATTTCCGGATTGAGTAAAGGAAAATTTGTTTCTTTCTGGTCCCCTTCAAGATTTCTTTTTAAGAAGGAAAACTATTACCAAAGCAATTTGTAAGCGGTCGCCTATTTATTTCGATTGAAAATCCCGATTTTTATTCGACTCATTACATTCCATTTCAATCAAAGTGGATATGATTTCCGCGATCGTTGAGAAATATAAAAAAGAAGCAATTCGCACCCCGTGGAGCCTCCAGCAGTTGGCCTTTTTGCTGTCGGCGCCCACTGGTGGCCTACTTCAGACGCACCAAAATCCGGCAATTTACAGATGAACTCTTTGCTGTTTCTTCTTTTACACGCTTTCCTACTTTCGATTTTCGTCTGATATTCAAATATCGAGCTGCCATCATTTTAATTCAGAGAGTCTCATTTTTTTTCTCGCAATTCTCAGAAATCACTTCTTCAACGCTTAATCACAATCATATATCTTTGCTTAAAGGGAACCAGCTTGAGTGAATTGACTTTCACAGATGACAAATTTGCTTCTCTTGGGTTCTCTACTTTTCCTACTGTCCAGAGTTCTGCCTGTCACTTCCGTTCTGATAGTACACGAAGGAGGTTCTTGTGGCTATAATTCTATCCCTTCTCGGATGACAGTCGACAAAGAAGGAAGACCTGGTTTGTTCGATATCGAATAATCATTGCACAAGATTTTTCAGAAGTATCCTGTGATAAACCATCCTGTTTGAACTCAAAAGCTGGAGTTGTGGTAAAACTTCGTTTTTGGATTGGTCTCATATTTCTATTAATTTCAGCATTGTGACTCTTACAAAGAGACGGTTTGTGCTGAAGATTCTCAATATACAGCTGGTCTCATTGAAATTAACAATGGAACTCACAGAACGTTTTTACTTTCTCAGAAATTTTTATAACTTTTAAGTTCAGCCTAAAAACGGAATGTTGCTCCAATGATCAAATGATTCACGCTGAAGCAATAAAAAGCATTTTCATGGGTCCTGGAGAAACGTGAGGAATACTTGAGAAAATGACAGATTTTTTCAACTTTTCAGGTACACTGGAGGCTACGTCGAAAAAGATGGCCGTGTTGAAGGTTTTGACCTGATCAAAGAAGTCAGGAAGACCGTCAACGTTGAAAATGAGTTAGTGATCCGAAACATTTTTGTAAATTTTTTTATTTGCTTTGATAGGGTGCAATATATTCTAGCGATTTATCGCATACCATGCGGAATGGATTCTTCAGAACAAGGTAGGAATTTTGCTCTAGGAAGGTGCCTTCGTAATGAATAATTTCAGAAGATGTTGTTGCCAGGTTTTCTAGAAACAAGCGTCGGCTCCGATTTTATCCTGATGCGGCTTTCGATGATGGAATGTGAGATTTTTAAAAGGATCCTTACTGTTTTTTGATCTTTTTTTGTATAAATTATTAGGCTATGGTAGGGGTAAATATTATTCTTACTGTTTTAGAAGTTTTTTTGGCAACAATATTTGTCATTTTTTTCATTTTTTTCAAACCTTTGTCAATTAAAAATATTCAAAACTGAAGCAGAATAAATAATTTTGAGAAGTTCAAAAGTTTAACTCAAATCTTAGTAACGCGACAATTCTCAACTTTTTGCAATCGTGTCCAAGAATTTTCGATCTTTAAACGCTTATTTTGCGTTCATGCTTATGTATTTCTGTATTTTCAGTAAATGTTTTTTCTGTGGATTACCAAAAGTTAACATTTTTCTGACTCTCACTAAATTCGATTTTCAAAAATTTCTCGGAACCAAATTATAAAACCGTTCGAAAACAGTTTTCCAAGCCGAAAAACTTGAAACTACTTTGCAGCGGACGTCGACGAGCGTATTCTGCGCGAGGGAGATCGGCGTTCCGTTCTGCTCGGAGAAGGCCATCGAGTCTTCGGCGGAGGGCCATGTTCCGTCACAACGACGATTACTACGACTACGACTACGATTATCCTGTCATGAGGCGTCCGATGTATAGAAGGTCGTTGAACACAAATAGCGCTGTCAAAACTTATACGATTTCAGAAACCGCGTTCGATCGGAAGACCGTCTCTGGCCCGTCTACTACCCCAAGGCAAGAGCCTTGTCCGCCAATACCCAAATCGATGAGAATAAGGTCAGAAAAAAGTGGAAAAGTCAGATGAGTTCAAAATGAAATCAGGTTTTTGTTACACGGGGTCTTTGAAGCATAAGAGTCTTACGAGGAAAGTCAGTTTAGTTCAAATCACTTAAACTTTCTTATAAACTTTCCCATGTGTTCTGTGAAACCTAGAAATTAGCAACGCTTGAAGAGTGGTGAATTTGAAGTTCCAGTTTCTAGCCCGAATTAATGGAAAAAAACTGTTTGTTGCATCTTCAATGTAAGAGTACATGTGCAATCGACTTTCATTGAGTTAACTGTGTTTAAACGGCGACAGGAGCTGTGGCTTAGGCAGAGAAGTTGTGAATTGGCTCGTAGAACATCAGGTACAAGAAGATTAATGGAAAATGACCCTGAAATAGTTATTTTTTTGAAACTACGAAGTTATCAACTTTTTTACTCCCATGATCTTTATCTAGTACTGCGAGGATTTTCAGGTTAATTTTTGTTTATCAAGTTGAAAATGATGATGATAATGAAAAGAATGTTTTTTCATTTCCTTTGTTTCCAGATAGCCGATGAGCTCACTTCTCTTCCGGCCCCTGAAATTCGTCCAGAAGCTCGTTCAGCGAGCACCTACGCGGAAAATGCCGAGGTTTCTTTGTCAGCGCCAGGTCCCATCCCACCCCCTGATTCAAACTTTATAGACGTGAGTTATATGAAGAAAATCCTTTTGATGAGACGGAGTTTCAGACCGAAGTTGCACCTGCTGTTGATAATTATGCTGCAGGGAAAGCTCAACTACCTGGTGCGTGAAAGATAAAATCTTTTTTCAGTAGAGAAGATATGATTCAGTAGTCGTGGAAAGCTATGCGAGCCAGCCAGTTGCTCCTCCCAGCCTCAACAGTTTCGGCAACCTCAACAATCAACCTTCTCTCCTCCAGGCTTCATATCCGTCCTACCCATCCTACTCTTATCCCGCGTCTTACCCTTCCTATCCGTCATATTCATATCCATCTTACTATGTGAGTACTTTTTTCCTAATCTCCGAGATTGAGAATTTCATCTTTTGCCACTCTAAAACTTACTTCTCAGACACCGCCCAACCTCAATGCCATGTTAGGCGGAGGAAACTCGCCGTTCACTTGTTTTAGTGGGGATATGGAGGTTTGATTTCAGAGTGACATTTAGATATCATTAAGTATTCTTCAGGTTGAAACAGATCGCGGAAGCAAGTTAATTAAAGACTTGAAAGTCGGTGACATGGTTCTAAGTATGGACGAGTCGATGGCAAGTTCGACAGGTGGTATTTAAATACCTTGGAAGCTTGCAGGTGACCTTTGCGCCAATCATCATGTTTTTGCATAACGTATCGGACCAAGTCGCCGACTTCAATCATATTGAAACGGTTCGAAATCTTCTCAGTTGCTGAGTAAAACAAAAGTTTTAGGCTGGAGGAGACTCCTTGAAATTGACCGACGAACATCTGATATACATCAGCGAGTGCGCGCCCAACAAAGAAATGAAGTATTTTTGATATTCAAAGCATAATTTTTAAATAATGCTTGAGGATGAAATCGGCTAAAGACGTGAAGGTTGGGGACTGTGTTCACATCGCGAGCAAAGAAAACACCATCCGTCGACATCGAGTCGAGAGCGTGAAGAAAGTGAGATTTTTCTATTTGAAAAAGATACAGAGACCTGAAGAAATATAAAATTTCACGCAATTCCCATAACACGGACTGCAAACTTCGAATTGCTCCCTTTCTTGCTAATCGACTTTTTGAAAATGTAAAGTTAACTAATGAGCGGTCCTAGAGATAAAATATTATTTTATGAGCTTGTTGGAGCGTTTACTAAAATCATCTAATGATCAAGTTTTTTTTTTTCAAAGCTTCAGTTGTGATCTTTTAATGTAAGTTTTAAATTAAATCCCACGATTATGAGAGCTTCCAGGTGCGTCAAATTGGGATTTATTCACCTCTCACTTCTACTGGAGACATCATCGTAAACCGATTTTTGACGTCATGTCATTCCAATGTGGCTTTGAAGACGTTACAGCAGACTTTTTTCACCGTGTACAAGAAAACCACCGTTTGGTGGAAGAATCTATTCATCTCGAATCTCATGGATGAAGAAACAGACCTTCCATACGGCGTTGAAAGCCTCACCTCTGTTCTCGACTTGTTCATACCGAACAGTTTGTTGTAGATGACAATTTTCCTCTGTCTCAGTTAACCACAATTTATATGTTTCAAATCAACGTGTGGTCTCAGAAGTGCAATTCACATTATACCTATGTTTTTCATTGATTAATGAATAATTTCGTTGTAAAGTGTAAAAAGGGCAATGTTTTTATTCATACACTCACGCAAATCCTGAAAATACCCACTTTATCATGCATCGTATAGCTCTGATTTTCTCTGCGCAAGGTGATTTTCTAGACGCCAAGAAGTTTTTAACAAGTCTGCAACATACTGAAAAATTTTTAATCAAGAAGTTGGTTCCTTTCTGCTTTGCGGTCGAACGGGCTAGGCTTCCATAATAAGCTTGAGCTGCTGTCCTTTTCAACCTGTCTCCCTATTTCTGCAGAAACTCACCTTCGATTGCTAATAAGAAAGGTAAAATAAACGTTTTTTTTTATAAATCAAGTTTATCATAGGTACACACTTGTAAATAATATTTTGAATTACCCCTCCAATAAACACATAGGAATACACCATTCAGTATCAATGTAGAAAATCAACATTAAAATCCAAGTCAACTCAGATTTTTTTCTGCGAAATAGTTTGCAATAAAACCGCCTGAAAAACGTTCAGAATGACCTTAATGACAGGCCTTTTTCTGAAAAAAAGCTTATCATATCAATTAGAAAATGTGTAGAAAGAGAAAAAGTTTTTTTAAAGACCCACAAAGTGATTTTTTTGAGATAATTTTTTTGAAGAGAAGTAAGTTGAAAGAAAAAAACGTTATTTTGGGTTCCAATGAAGTTTATTAAATTTTTTTCGATTTGTGGAATTTTTTTCATAAACAATTGAAAAATAAAAAAAAATGAGCTCACTTTTCATGAAAAAGTTCTATCACTTCACTTCATCCTTCAAAAATTGATCGATGTTCTGGGTTTTCCGCTTCAGAATACGGAGATTAGAAAAAGAACAATCTGACAATTGACTACCTTTAGTAGAAATGCATTGAGAAAAACCCAAAACTTTGTTTTCCACAAACAGCTCAACCCTACTCTCAGGAGCTGGATCTCCATTATATTTTTTAACTTAGACACTGTTTTCAATCTTTTAGAATTCACCAAGTGGTACATTTATTTTTTGAGCAGTATCATCAGCCACCTAGTTCTTTCTGAGTATTTTTACACCTTAAAGTTTCAATACACCGAGAATTTTCAGGTGGTAAATGCCATTAGCGGCAAAAATTCTGCTAGTTCTGCTCATCAGTACACAAGTCTCAGCCATCGAAGAAATCGGCGCAGTTACTTTCTACAATGAGAACAGTTTGTTTATCAATACCATTTATCAATTTATTTTCTTTTGTTTTGCGATCTTTAAGACAGAACGTTCAGCTGATCGTGTCAGCCTGAATTTGAAAACAGTTATTTTTTTTTTCTTTTTTGGAAAAAGGTCACCGTCCAACCACCTGACTAGAGAGGAGGGCCGAGCGCCTTGCAAGGAGCGTGATGTCTTTAGATGACCGATGACCCTTGATGATCTCAAATTTAGACGATTTTCGTCTTTTTTCTTCTTCTGCATGAACCATGTGATAGAAGAGAACTTGATTTCTCATTTGCATGTATACTGTAAGAGTTAATGATCCCTACCTTTGGAGAGACGAAAATTCTGGCGGACAGTTTGATTTCGAAATGGAAATGAATGGTCGAAAACGATAACTCTTATTTAGGACCCATCAGAGTGGAGCTGACGCGAGAAAAAAGGATCAGCGACAGTAACATAAATGGACACATGCTGAAACAACCGCTTCTTCGTTTTGACCTCGTTTGGAAAAAGTTTGCGGGACGAAAAAGATTTGATCGAACTTTTTCTAATGAATTCTAATCCGACATTTTGTTAAATGGATGAATTTTGGGGGAAAAAAAATCGTTTTTATAAGTTCCTTATTTCACAATGGACATGTTTGTACAATTCGGAAGAGGCCTATTAAGATTTAATATAGTTTGATTAGTTGCTAGTTACTAGATCTTATTATCATATCAGTAAATTGAGGATTGTACTGTTTCTGGTAACTGGTTTGCGGGACGAGGATTGAGAACGGAATCCGATTGAGATTCATGCTTTATTAGGACGTTTTAGAGTTTACAAGCCTTGTTAGAATGTCACCATTTCGAAATATTTTGTGTTTTGTCAAGATAAAAAAGGAAAATGTCCACTTTCCTGGCTGGTTCTTTGTTTCTTTTGAACGTTCGGATTGTAATGTTAACGTTTTTCTTTCAAAGAGAATGAAGTAAAGATTTATTCTGGTGATTATGTGCAACCCGCAAAGTTATCAACAAAGAAAACAACTCAGATACACGGCATCGCCGGGTTTAACGTAAGGAGAACAGAAAAAATTGTCAAATGTGGCTCTGCTTGCAGAAAAAGCTCGTTGGACGATAAACAACGGAGAAAAGATTGCTCGGAGTTCAAAAGATCAGAGGTCGGTGATGCCGCTCCATGGGTCGCCGGAGCACGTCTGCTGAGCTGGGAAAGGAACGATGTGAAACATGCCAGACCACATCAAAGGGAGCACGAAGAAGCAGATCGACCTGGAACGTAGTTTTGAAATCTCATAAACATTTTTCTGAAATTTGAAACTACCGTAATTACGAAATAGTTCATTCCACGTCATGATACGAATACATCAAAGTTTGAATCAGCCGAGATTCTTAATCATTGAGAACCAATTTATTAAAAAGAAATCATTGCTTTTTGTGAACTGAGCTTCTGTTTTTAAAAACCGAGAAGTTTGTAAATTAAAGCTCACAAAAATGATATCAGACTATGTCTCAGCGGCTTCCGACAAGAAATGACCTCTCAAGTTTAAATTCCTGAAGAAACTGACATGATGAACCCAGTAGCCGTTGAAGCCAAAGTAGCCGCTTTCTTCTGCTCGTCAAAAACGGCCTCCAGACGCCTGGCAATTCTAGCCTTCTCCATGACGTTTGTCTGAAAAAACGTCGTTTTCAGAATAAACTCAAACTTGCGCAAAAATGGGCATGAAAGTGTCGGGAGAGTAGAAAAATGAAGAAAGAGGACGAGCTAATAGGCTGGAAAAAAAGAGGACAATGAAGTAAAGTTTCAAGTGTTACAGCGGGTGGCTTCTGGAGACGTTCGCTCGTGAAGAAGCGCCAACAACGTCGCTGGCCGTGCCCGCCGGCCATATGTTTCAAAGTTGCCGAAAATTCTCGCTTGGCCCGTCCTTGACCCACAACCGCCATATGATCCGCCCGACCAGCACGGCGTTCCTTTTTTGCTAGATTTTAGTTGATAAGCGTCTATGCCGCTTCAGAGATATTTCAGAGATGTAACATTAGAAAGATGTTTTCAGAACTGGAACGATTTTTACTATCTCTTCAGACTTTCCCGAAATTGACAAAAGGAAGTGTTTGACATTCGAATGCACATAACTTTATTGGTCAATGTTTTTCTCATTTGAAAAGTTTTGAATTGATCCCATCATTTGAAAAAATTTATGTGAACTCTAACCTCGTCAACAAAAAATTCTCCACCTCGGTCAAAATAAAAATAAACCGTTTGGAGAATAGACGTAATCAGCTCAAAAAATATATCCCCTCGTTTTTGAAGTTCTATAAAAATCGAAAATGTAGAATATACTGAAAAACTGGATCTGAGCAGTGTCTGAAAAAGAATAAGAGAAAGAAAAAATTTTAAAATTGATGCCTAAAGTTAAAAAATTCTCTCGCCAGAAGAAAATTGTGAAATTCTCGGGGAAACGGTAATGAGAGGCGAAACATCTATGGGACGGACCAGAACTGATTTCCATTTATAAATGTGCCGACCACGGGACCAACGAATACAATGACGAAAGAATCAGGTTCTCCAAAATTGAGAGGGACTCGATGGTCTTTCGAGCGACGAATCGACTCTATTCCAATGAAACAAAACAATCATGTAAGTGATGAAAATAAAAGACAGGAAGTTTTGGACGATCAGATGTGATTGGAAGGAAGTTGGAAACAAACCTATTCATCGAGAAATCAGAAGAAAACATGAAACTGTTGGAAAGGGCTGCTAAGCCGACGGGATTGTCTGGACAATAGGAAGAAGGAGATATCCGAAAGGGCGAGACGGCCTTTTACTTCTGACCCTTAAATGGAACAACCCATGGCCTTGACTTACATTACATATTCAACCTAGTTTTTCTGAAGAGAAATTCAGGACACATTTTCTTTTTATCATGAAAAAAAAACTGTTAAACTGTTTTAACTGCCAAAAATGAAAAAAATTTTTTTTCCTTTTGAATATCATAGACATTGATCACACGAAAAAATTCTTTGATACCAAAATTTTCATGGTCAGCCTTGAGAAGGGTATCTGCCCTTTTGAGCGCGGAGAACTTCTGAACTCTGAGAAAAATTACAGGTCTTCTTCGAAACATTTTCTAGGTCGAGATAAAAGAAACCAAGTTTCCAGGAATAAATGCATTTCTCGTCAAATATTTCAAACGTAACGTCCGTTTTATCAACAAGAGTGGGTCGACAACAACAACAAAAAAAAACAAATTGAAAGTTTGTGCGAGAGGGAAAAATCTGGGATGAACCTATCCTAAATGATTAATTTTCATGTTTTAAGATTGATGATTGAAAATAATTATAAAGGAAAAAAATTTCCTTTCGAAAAAAACTTTTTCCGTTCCCATATTTTGTTCAAATACCGTTTTGCTCGGACTTGAAAATGAAATCTTATTTTTAATTAACTTGCCCGTTACAAAAGTTTGGATACCAAGGCTGAAGTTTTGATTTATAATTTTAGTTCATTCATTTCACCCCGTAGAACTCACAAGAAAGGCGGCAGATTCAATAAAAAAGATTAAAAAAAGTTAACTGAGAGTTTAGTCCAATTTATTTACTTTTTTTAGAATAAAAACTTCAGAACGATTTCGTAAATGTATACTCAGGTTTTGAAAAGATGATAAAACTCATCAAAAAACGAAGAAAAAAATTCGCGTCTCATTCCGCAGCCTTTGCTTGTGGAAATTATTTTGATTAATTTCAAAACACTCTGATTCATCCATCATTTTCGATTACCTTTCTCTGAAATCAAAACAATCATTTTCAATGAAATAAAAAAGCGAGAAGAGAAGCACAAATCCGACCCAAAGATGGAAAAACTCGAGCAGATATCCAATTTGCAGCAGCCGCGTGTTGAAATTGAGTGTATTGTTGAAGTAGAGCGAACAGCTTGGAAGCTCTGACTTTGCATCGGAGTATTTTGAATCTCACTTGACACGTTTTCCTGACGGTTCAAATTTTCATGATTTATAGGGTTCATTCTGGAGCTTTGCGTGATTGCGTGCAGGCGTAGTTAGCTGCCTCCGCTTAATAGACTTGCCGGAAGACGTCAGTCCTCCAGTTGGTCGCTCCGCTTTCCGTCGCCTCCGACTTTGCTCATTTTGCTCTCTGGGCTTTCCAGCAGTTTCTAAGAATTTGATTTTGCGACAGTTTCAAGTGTTAAATATGCCTTAGTGACCATCAGCTCGCGGCAAAAAAGTCATTGAAAACCCACTTTTCTACCAAATTTTTGTGCTAAAAACGTTTCTAGTTGAGTTGTCGTTTGAATTCGATTATACTATATCTTTAAACTCCCATTTTTCCGGAAAAAACGACATATCAACTAATTTTTGTTATTTCGTTTCAAAATTCTACAAAAAATTGCTTTGTAATACCATTGCGTGAGCAGCTCTTCTTAACATCAATCGATTCATACATTTTTCAAAAATTTTTTTAGTAAAAAATCACTTTTTCTCTGTACAATGAGCCTTCCTCCAAAAGATTGGATTGAAGTTTTTTTTGAGAATATCATTTTTTAACTTTTGAACTAATTTGAAACTTCAAACATTTTTTTTCATCGAGATATGAGTTTCAAATTTTTTTTAATACTGTTTGTGATTCTACAAATTATTTTTTTAGATGAATTCCGCAGCGTCAATTGAAAATTGCGAAGAACCCCTGATAGAGCCTATACAATGGTGAGCATTTGAACCGTTTTCTGCTGTTTCGAGTCCTTTGGTTTCAGGGTTTTCTCACTGTTGGAGACAATTCTTTCTCTTGGAGGAATCGTGCTGAACATAGTCGTGACCCTCGTTACGCACAACGCCGTCCCGATGCCCTACTCACAAAGAAGAATGCTGGTTTATAGCTCTTCACTTTTTTCTCTGAATTTCCAACAAAGGTGTTTTTTTTTTCAGGCTTCAATTGCTGCAAACTATGCACTTCTAACAGGATTCCAGCTGACGCGGAACTTTTTTCTTTTCTTTGCAGTTCAAAAACCTTGTCTAAGTCAAGTTTGCAAGCTTTTCGCTTGGTTTTTAATTTCTATTTTTTCATTTTCAGGTGACAACAGTTTCATGCAAGTTTCAAGATTTCCCGCTCTTATTCTGTTACATTCACTGCGCCACAGCTACATTTTTGTTGACTCTGCATTCTCTATTTTTGAGAAAGTCAGCAAGTTGATTTTTACACCTTAGAAGTTGTTTTTCCAGATCCCCAAAGGACAAGAAAAGAATAACCTGCTCAGAATCATGTTCGGTTTGGCAGAGCGTTGTCATAGCTTTTTGTTTGGCTGTAACTTTGATTTTCACGGCCTTCGATGAAGATGAAGACAATACCGCTATGCTGAAGGTTGGAACCCAAATCGCTTAATTTTCTTTGGATTGAACTGTTTTAAAATGGGGTGAGCATGGAAGTTTTATTTTAAAATTACTGAAGTTTTTGCTCGACTGCTCAAAATTTTCTGTTTCAAATATTTAATTCAATATCATGTATATATATTTCTTAAAATTGTAGTAAATGTTGAATCTGAGTTCATGAGCCAAGAATTAATAGACCAGAACTTTTAGAGAATCGAATAGTTTTTGAGAAACAGTTTGCTCCAAAAATTATAGAAATTTGCTGATTCAGCTGTGAGCAACCAAAAATATGAAGACATTTCATTTTCGAAAATGACCTTTGCAGTTGCAACCCTGCAAAAAAAATGAATGAATGTAATTTTCAGTGCTCCGTTTTATTGGCCGTGAAAAACTCGACGCTGACTTTTTGGCTGCTGACACTTTTGATAATTCTGCATTCTGCTTCGTTTATATTCATTATGATTTCCTCACATCAACAAGACGAGAAGTTCAGAGAATCATTTTTGGGAGGAAAATATGTTTCATTCCAGCAAAACTTGGGTCGCCTTTACCATTTTTTCAATGAAAGAGCTCTTGAAAGTGGAAACGATTACGTGGCAAATGTCGCTCTTCTTTTCAGGCTGTGTCGTCTTGTATCGGCACGTCTTGAGAGACACCTGCGAAGAGGTTTTTCTTTCTGAGTACCTTCAAACGATAATTTAAACCTGATCAAATGAGAAATATGAAGTTTTCAGTGCTCTTACATGGTCCTTGAAGTGGCGTTTGTGATCGTACCACTTATCATTGCCCTGGCTCATCCTTTATTATTGATTTGGTGAGCACCTGATAACATTCGAAAGCCAATGTTTAGTCAAGGTATGTGCTCCCGATGAGAGACGCGGCCACCCGGACGTTTCCGATAATGTTGAACGTCCTTCCAGAGTACACTTTGGTACCGCCTCAAGTCCCATCGGCCAGCACTTCAATAAGTATGGAACAGACAAAGAATATTTAACATTTTCTTGGAATTTAAACTGTAAAAAGAACCGAATTTTCAACATTAACGCACTATTTTTTCTCATCCTGAAGACACCTCTTTTGTTGTTAGAAAACTTTCCTGAATCAACCAGGAATTAATAAAAAATTAATCGAAAAGACGTTTTTTTTTCGAACCACTGAGGTAATTTTTATTGTTCCAAACTGATGAAAGATGTGCGAAATTTGATTGAATTGCCATAGTTAATTCAAAAATTATGACTACGATTGAAATTCCAGCAATCGCAGTGAGTCCTCGAACAGAAGAAACGATGAGTTATGACGACCTCCGTGGGAAGGACGAAAGCACCAAAAGCGGTTCCAAAAGCTCAAAAAGCCCTCCGTCAGACGCGGAAGTTCCCGAATGTCTATAATAAAATATGTTTTCTGTTTTTTTTTTCTTGTTTTGTTTGAGACGCTTCTTCCTTGGCAACGTCCCATTTCCGTTTTATTTGTGTATTGTGAAACCGACGGAATATTTGATCACAGGAAGCGATCACGGGAAAGATGACGTTCCAAGGTTTGCTCTTCTTGAGAAGATAGCTCCAGAATCCTTCCGATGTTGTAAATGTTGGCGAGTTGAGAATGACGGTCGCTAAAATTTTTTTTATAATTTTTTTCTTCTTTTTCCGTTTACCTCAACAAAAAGCTGTAGATGGTGTCCCGCGTTTTGCTATCGAAATTCACCGGGAAGGATTCTGAGCTGCTCGTCGAACTCGGGAGGTTGCCTGGAACTCCAGTTCAGAAGAAGTTCAAGAAAGAAAATCTACTGGAATAGCTAGGAGAAGGCCTACTGGAAGTGGGCGAACGTCGATTGTTGTTGAGAATCTGATTCTGTTTGTGGATCAGCACGTCTCTTTCTCGAACAGCATTCTCCAGGTCGAGAATGCGCCGTTCAAACTAAAACTTTCTACTTCTTTTCTGGGAGGACCAATGAATTACCGTATCAGCAATTTTGGCGACGCTGGTGCTGTTCAAAATCAATTTCTGCTTGTTGAGCTCTCGTTGCAAGTCTTCAATTTCCAGCGACATTTGCGCTTCCTGAACATATGTCTTCAGGAATCGTTCTAAAGATCAGAAGACGTACATTTGCCAAAAACGTTTCCTTGTCGTCATTCTTCTGCTTGGCTTCTTTTGCTTCATTTATGGCTTTGTCCTTTTCTTTCGTGAGGTCATCAATTTTCTTCTCTTGTTGCTCGAGCTCATCTCTGGAAAAAATTGGTTCGGAATAGGAAAAAAGACTTTACCGAAGGTTTTCAACGATTTCCAGATGTCTTTGGATAGCCAGCCGTTTGGTCTCCAAATCTTCTTTCAGCTTTGAGTCGTCGAGATCCATTTTGGCAAGTTTTTCTTTTAGGTTTGCGATTTCTTCGTCTTTTTTCATCACGACTTCACAAAGTTCGTCGATCTCACTCGACATCTCCGTGTATTGCTGGAAAAGTGTAATGAAGCTATGGAATTCGCGAAGTTTCATACCTGCTCAGCTTCAACCTCGATCTCATCTATCGTATGATTGGCTTCTTCGAGCTGCTTCCGCAGATTTTCGATTTCATTACGCAATTCCTTAAAATATTACTTCTTGAAAAGTTTAAAAAAACGGTTTTTTTTTTCAAAACGGCTTATTTTTTGGAGTTTTGCTGGATTATTACAAATAAGGCAATCAGTGAAAAATAATTTTTGGATTGTTCGCTATCTCTTATTCAGTTCCGGCTGAAGATTTCGATCATGCAATGAAAATTTTTCAATCAATACTCGCATTCATTTAAAAAATTGCTCGAAAAAAATTAAAATTGAAAGGAAAAAAAAATTTTAGGTCATTTTCACATATCAAAAACTTTTTTTTTGGATTTAGTTGGATCACCTCAATGTTGGCCATGTGGAAGACTTCGAGCTGAGAGCGCAAATGTTCGTTCTCGTCCCTCAGTTGTTGCATAGCCCGGGGCAACCAATCGTGCACGTTTTCTTCCACCTGTAAAACTCCAAATGGTGCACGTGGAAATTGGAAGCAATCCAAACAAGGCAAACGCGGCCGAAATTTCGAAAACGCCCACTGACGCCAGTGATGTGATGAATGCGGCAAAGACAAAAGAGGCGCCAAATTTTGACAGAGCTGCCAGTGTAGTTTAGTCTCAAGTTCGAAAAAAAAGGCGGATTGCGAAATCTAAGAACTTTTCACTACTTACTTTTTCAGCATCAAAAGAATTTGAATCGAAATTGAACGGGTATAATTCAAACCTCTAAGCCTACAGGAGAAAGTTCGAGCATAAATTTGCGCGTATTTTATGCAAGCAAAGTGCAAAATAACCGGATTATCCAACGCATGGAAAACTTTTCAAGAGGTTTCAAATTGGTGCGAATACATATGAGATGGATTACGGGAATTTCGTGAAAAACGTGAATTTCGTGTTCTTTTTTTATATTACCACAAGAGAGGTTTTATTTTGATTGCTGGTTTTTTCGTAGCTGAAAAACTTTATGATGAATTGAACAAAAAACTCTTAGGAATCTCAATACTCAACTAAATTCCGATTTTTTAAGAACTGCCACATCAGAATACCAAGAAAAGACATTTCGAAAATCTTGAAAAAAAATTGGAAAAATTTTGAAGCCTTTGGAATGAAAAAAAAACTAGCGATATTCTTGCCACGTTGCAAAACTTATCAAGAAAAAAAAATGAAAACTTCCTTAACAGTGAGAAAAAATTCGGAAAAAATGGCTTCGTTTCACGAGCTGAACTGAACTTGGTACGAAAGTTGGTAAAGAACGAATAAATACAAGGAAAAGCAGGCAAACACGCGTGATTCGTGCATTCACTTCTGCATTTGTTCTCTTTTCATTCGGAGTTGGTTTCAGAGTAAAAAAAAAGACATGTTGGTTTTCCCACAATGTGTCAGCGGTTCTGAACGCCCGAAAGTACAACAAAGCGGACCGAGGCGAGAGGTGCAAAGCAAACATGTACAGCTATATGATATCATTGGGTGTTCTTTTTGAGGGTCTCTACTGAATAAACGGCAAGAATCTAAAAACTTGCTGGAACTAAATATTGCAGTTGAACTTTCTCATTACTTTCTGCGCTTCTGAGAAAATTTCGACAAGAAAGAAGAAAATGAAGGCAATTTCGCTAAATGAGCTTCAGAAACACGCCCAAAAAACTCAGGACAAGTTTCCAATTACACTTATTATGCTCATGTGAATAAATTTTCCTGCAATTTTAATTGCGATTTCGTCTGAAAAATTTTAAAAAAAGTTGAAGCTTTGGACTTCAAATTTAAAGTTCAGAAATAGTTGTGATGGAAACAGAATCGGAAAGTGCGGTCGATTTCATGCCCATCATGTGATCAAACAACAGCATCTGAACCCAAAACTTGTTTGCGGAAGCAAAAAAAGCGAAGAGATTATGAGTTAAAGCTTCAAACATAACTTCGTACTGTTTTAATCCCTTGTAAATTGAGAGGAATGACACTGTTAGGGTAAAGATGTATTGGATTGTTTTATGGGAAAAAGGGAAGGCAACTTGGTTTTGAGAAAATAATTAAGAAAATATTCATTAGAGCTTCGTAGAACATTTATGATAAGGGATTAACTTTACTGTTTCAGCCGAAAAAAATGAAATTTTTTTATGAATATTTTAATAAGTTCTGAACTCCAAATGGTCTAAACTTAACATCATTCATCTCTGTATCATCTTCCAAACAGAAATTCGTAATCAGCGTCGAGAAGTGCATTCATTACTTATATTTATATCAAAGCCGCACTGCTCGGTGATAAAAGTTTCCGGTAAGAAACCCGTGTTTTCTACATATTTTTTGCCATAATTCTTTTTTTTTCTATGTCTCCGAATTCTCAGCAAGCTTCTGATGATTCAAATGAACGGTTAAGGTCAAACTGCCCCAGTAACAAAGGCGCGCCCTAAGTTTTGATGGAACAAAAACAGTTCGAAAAGGGAAAAACCTTGAGACGGAGGTCCGAGGGCGTCTTCTCGGACAACAGCTGGTCCTTCGACGTCGTCCTCTCCGGATTGTCCTCAAGTGTGTGTGGTGGCCTACAAAACGCGCAAATGGGTGGTCTGCTTCGGCCGAGGGACAAAATGCAAAAACACGAATCGCACAAATCGAAGCCTCGCGAGGCCTCGAACATTTGGAAAGTTAGTGACCGTGAGTCAAGTAGTCATGGGTGTGTCTGTTCCCCGCCTTCTTTTGATCTTTCGTGGCCTCTTAGACCCAAACTTTCGACGCGAAACTCCCATCGGATTTCGGGAAAACTTACCAACTAATCGAATCAAACTGGTACTGGTTGTCGCCAACCGCTGTGTTTGAGAGTATTGGTCATGCAACAGAAAACATTTTTTATTCATTCAAAATGCATTCCAATACTTGGTTGAACATTCAAACCTCTACCGGAAAATGAACAAGAACGTCAAATTAGGTGAAAGTTACTCAAATCCTACAAAAAGGGTTCATATTTTTTCCAAGGAAACATTTTGAATATATCAGTTAATTTTTATACAAGTGTTTTCCAATTTCTGAAGGGAAGGATCAGACTAATAAATCTGAACTGAATCAGATCTTCGATAAGTCATTTCAACGCCCACACACCAATCGCTAGATCAGCCACACCCTTTTTAACTTTCCAAGTTTCGTTTTTTTAGTACGCTGATTGGTCAACAGACAAATTGAAGCATCAATTGAAAAAAAGGGGAAAAAAACGGGTAAAAATGAACTTTTTTTAAATTTTGTAGATACGATATTCACGCGTCTTGCAGACTTTTTTTAGGTTTCATTTTCCTTCAAATATATTCATCAAAAATTTTTCAAAATTTAATCCAACCCTCAACAAATAAAAACAAATCGGTAACAAAAATCATGAATAGAACTAAAAAAAAACGATCAAAATATACAAATAGCAAAAACTAAGACTTCTGTTTCTTTCTACACTTCAGATATTAACTCCAAAACTTCAAAAATAAAAATCAATGAAAGGACGACCGGTGAAGTTCCGTTCGAAAAGAGACTTACAATCAGTTGGAAAACGCACATTTTATCATAAACCCTGCCACACCCACAGAATGCGATAAATCACAAAATCGCATTAGGCGCGTCGTGTTCAGAGAAAGCGCAAAAAAAACGGTTTCGTTGTCACTTTTGATTTGTGCTAACAATTCACCCGAAGGCGTGCCCGAACGTTTTTTACAGTTTTTTTTTGTCTATGACTACTAGGCCTTGGTGGCAAAGATTCAAGAAACTTCATTTAAAACAGTTTCAGAATTTTTTCGGAGGAATCTCAGACATCCAGAAATGTCATTGTTGTTTTTTTGATTAGGTAAAAATTTTTTTATAAATAAAAAGATTCTAATTCAGATGGAGAAAACTTAGCTAAAGAAACTGGAAAATTTCAGTACAGAATCGCTTGTCCGGAATGACTTGCAATTGCTGTATTTTCTACGTCTTTTTTCGGGATTTATAGGTACCCAAAAATTGGAGGGAATATAACAATGGAGTGATCTAGAAGATGTGGACCCATTAAAATGCTCCAGACCAACCGAGTTTTACAAAGAAACTTTTACGTTAGATTGCTGTTATCCCTTGAAATGGGAGTCTGGTATTCTACGACTTGACTCAAACTTGTTCGAGCCTTCGGAAAACTCATCATTTTGATTGAATTATGAAAACCCCATCTACCGAATAATCAATCAAAAAACAATCGACGTACATTTTCTCGCTGCTGAGGTCACTGGCGCTGCCTGCGGGAGTCGAATAAGCCTCCCAGTCGGACGCTTCAGCCGACTGCAAATATTTTTGATAAGCACCCAACAGGCCAACCTTTGAAATTTCCTGTTTGTCTTAGGCTCTTTGCACCATTTTTTTTTATTGATGCTCAATGTTTTCCCGTGGAAGCTGCGTCGACCAAAACAGTTAGCCATTAGTATGTTTTGGTTTTCGAGCACTCTAACGCTTGAAAAATTAGTTTCTGTGAGTGATTGAAAACTGATTAATTGAAAATCACTATCCTCTTTTTTTCATCCAAAGTATTTTCTCAAACAGTCTATCATTCAAATATAATTGTCGAAAAAACTGAAAATCATTGAAAAATTTTTCCTCCTATTCGACTTACTCAGCAGTTTTTAAGAGCCAGAAACATCTAAGTGGCAATGAAACTGGTTTTTTCCCAACCCAGTGGTTACTAAATTCACTCAACCAAAAACGTTTTATGCGATTTTTTCCTAAATGCTAATTTCAGAGTGGCTTTCTCGAATGAAAAATAAATCAAAACAGGAAAAATTACTTTTGGTTCAAACTCCTGGTCGAAAAAAATCATCGAGGCTTCCATCGTTTCCTGTAGTTCCTCCTCAGGAATCGCTGTTTGCGGAAGAGTCATGCCTTTTCTGAAAAGAGTCTATTTGATTCAAATTCGAAAAAAAAGTTCTCGCAGTGACAGAAAACGGCAGAAAAAAAGAAAAAAGATACTTGCTAAGCCGCACTAAGAACCTAAACGTCGAAACTCACACAAAGAAACAATCTGAAACTTTTAACACGCCTTGATACGAAAAGCCGTTAGCAATGTCTGAATGATAAGGTTTGAGGGAAAGTGTCCTAGGAAAATACAATAAACTCCTCCGGAAAATTTAATCTTTGTTGAATTAAAAAATTGAATTAAATACTTTGAAATAATGAAATGGAAAGAAAACTTATACATGCGTTGGTTATTTTCCATAAGATTCACCGAACACAAAAAAGCGAGAAAAAAAATCAACGTGGGACTGTGGAGGCGCTTGGAGCGAGAAACATGGAATGAGAATGGCGAACAAGCTGCAGGGCAAACATGACGGCTTACATGATTGAACGCCAAATCTCGTCGCTAAATACCTTCCCAGCCCACGGAAATTACTAATTCAGACAGACTTCCGCTTGGGATGTGAAATGATAAAAATTTTGAAAAAATAGAATTGGCTCTGAACTCAAAAAAGTTGAAATGCTCGCATTTCGACTTAATCGTGAGTCTACAGATAACCTTGGATGACAAGACAAAGAACCTTTTTTCCAGAAAATCAGTTTCTTCTTTTGTAATTTCTCAGCTTCCAAAGTAATTGACTGAAAGATTTCGAAATTTTTAGAATTTCAGATATTCAAAGCTGAAGATTTGAGAGTGCATGAAAAATATTCATCTACACGACCCTTTAAGAGTATTCCAGTAAATACCAACCTCTCGCGTTTAAATTCAACAAAAAAAAAGAGAAATACTGAAAAAAAGGAGTAACTCCAAAATAAATTCGACTCTTTCTTGTTTGAAAAACATCGAAAACGGGAATTTTCTTCAAACCCCCATTCAGAATAAATCAACAGAACAAAACACGAAAAGCCATTCGTCGCACGTACGTTGGTTCCAAGACAACTTTTCAATGCCAAAATGACAAGTTTAGAAGCCGTGAGTATGAATTTTCCCAATGAATTATAGCAGGGAGGACGTGCAGAATTTCTTGAGTTTTCCACGTGAACTGAGTCAGTAAAACCTTCCTGGATACATCAAAAACAATTGAAAGGCAGAAAAAACGTTTGCTTGCCGTCAGCTTCAAAGGGAACATATGCGAATAAGGCAAACAGGTTTTTTTTCGGTCTGACGCAAGTGGCTTGGAACTTTTTATACTGATCACAATCATGATTGGCTTAGAACCGAATGAAAAAAGACGTAAACCGCGCACTTGGCGGGAAGATATGTGCTTGTAGGAAGTTCGCGTGCCTGAACGTCCATCGGAACTGATTTCGGAAAGTATCGTAGCGTGCCTAATCGAATGAGATTGCGTGGCAAACGTCTGCCGACCGGTTTCGCCGCAGACGCTTGCCGCGCGGAAGATTAACTTACAACTGGAGGTGCCAAAACGTGGTCGACCACAGCCGTCCAGTCATGCGTACGGCAGAAGAGAGATTATGGAAAAGGATAATCGGATCCTACAAGTTTATGGTTGTTCAAGAGTGGCATTGGAACGCATCAGTGTAGTCTGATTCACTAAAAATTCCTTCGCATCTCAATTTTCTCAAAGTTATATTCCACAGAAGACTCCATGGGCCAACTATAATGATGGCAAAACTGACTTGACAAATTTACTTGCGAAAAACGTCACTTTTCATAAAATAGATGAATAATTTCTGAGAAAATGGAGCAGTTACATAGACGAACGCTCTTTTTATAAGTGAGAATTTGCTTTTTAAAAAAACAGAAAGATTCAGAAAAAGGAAATAGCTTTTCACTATGTATCTACACTAAAGTTCTGTCATGGTGAGGTCTATATTCATCAATTTTTTTCTTTAATCTGACGCCAAAAAAAGAAAAAGTTGATTATACCAAAAAAATCGTTTATATTACACTCTATAGCTTAGGTGTCCTTATTTCTATGTCACTTGAATTTATAAGTTGAATTGTAATTTTGACCTTTTTAGAAAAACAAAAAAATTATAAAAAAAGCAAAAATCCTTTCAAAAGGCCATAGCTGAAAATTGACCTTTAGAAAAAAATTTTTTTCATTTCATTCTGTATTTTTTTGATGTCCAAACTCATCTGACAAAAAAACTGGAAAAAAAGTGCAAAATGAAAAAAATAAATTGAAACAAAAAAATTACAACAAACAGGAAAGAAAAATTCGAATGCATTTTGCAATTGAAACATTTTTTTCGATATAATCGTTTCACGAATTCAGCCAGTCAAGATCAACGCAAAAAAACAAGGAAAAATGAAAAGAAAAAAATTCCAACTAATAAGAAAAACAATAGGCTATTCAGTTGCTTTTTCGAAAACACTAGTCGTGAAGAATAGCATGAAAGATGAAGAAAAAAAAACTCTTTTTAGCCATCCGAATCTTCGAATTTGCAAATAAATAAAAGTAAGTGGGAAAAAACCAAATGATAGGTGAAATTAGAAAAAAATAGAAACGATAAAAAAATTGTACATATCTTAATTCATGATTTCTAATACAAATATTAATTTTTTTCATAAAAAAATTAAAATTCAGCTATAATTTATGAATCAGTTTTTTTGAATGAACTTAGTAACTCAAAAAAATAAAGTTTTACCGAACATTCAGCAAAAATGAAAGCGCTTGATTTTTTTCATGCGGAAAAATGAAACAAACTTTCATCATCTCAATATTTAGAATAATTTTTCAGAAGTCTTTGAACAATTTTGTGCGCAGCTAGTGGTAATTACACGTTAATCTCGCAGTAAAAAACTGTTACAAAATAGACTAGAAGTAAGACGTTGAGGTCATCTTCTCGTCCTGAGAATTGACCCCTGCTGCGTGCATGGTTGCCGCAACTGTACGGCCTCTCGCTTTTTTCCCGCCACTCGTTATCCGCTGCTCGCCCTTCCCGATCCAAAACTCTTATTGATTGTCTTGTCTTAGGGAGTTGAGACATGATTTGCCGCAAGAATAAGCCGAAACTCATCTTCTTTCTTGATCACCAAGGCTCTCCAACTTCGACCGACCATGGTGAGAATAATTTTGAGATGAATGAATAATTTTTGATTTTCAGAAGATATTGGGACATCCGTGGTCACTTCTGACCGGATTCCCAGAATTCTCGTTGTGAGAAGTTTTGACTTATTTTGTTTCATTTTCGCTATGGGCTCTTATCTTTTCGATTTCTTCTCCGACATTGCGGTGGGAATCGCGCATTTACACGCTGGTCGAGTGAGTTTCCATTATCCAAACCTTTTTTTTAATCATATTTCCTGGTTTTCAGATTGTTTCCGGATGCCTTGTAATACTTTTTTCTCTCTTACCTTCTTTCATTCTGAACATCGTGACATTCGTCTGGATTCTTGACGATGATGTTAGAATAAGTAGGAAACCTACGGACAAGCCTCGGCAAGAGACCACGAAATCTGAGAATTCCAAGTTTCTCTCTTTGTTTTCTGCTACAGTCTTGTGTGTTTGTCAGGTTTGTGAATTATATCCTGATTTTATTTTTTTTTCTTTAATTCTTCTCAGCTGGGTCCCTTATTCTGGTATTACAAAGCTTTTCATTATGGACAAGAGTTCAAGAAAAACAAAGACGAAACCGAAAAACGACGGTTGTTCTTTCGGATGGTGGAAGCTGAGCGAGATGCAACCTTACTGAGGTAACCCTTCAATTTTCGGTTTTCAATAAAATATTTTATTCAGATTCTTTGAAGCTTATCTTGAATCCGCACCGCAGTTAATCATTCAAGGAACAATGATAATTGATTTTTTGTGGATTCGTCACGCAACCGTTTCGCCTGCACCTTTGCCATTTTGGGGTAATTCAAATTTATTAATAGTTTTTTTTTCATCTTTTTACATTTCAGTTTATCTACAATGCGTCTCCATGATAATATCCGTTATCAGTATATCCTGGTCAATAATCGTTCAAAACCGGAGCGTGAGAATGGTTAGAGATGACAAAGTAAATATTTATCCACACGAAGCTGTCCTACAGGTTTTCTTTCAACCAAAAACAAAATACAAAACTTATTTCAGTTCCTGTGGCGGATTTCGACTGTTTTTTCGCGACTCCTTGTAATTTGTTTTGCCGTTTTATTCTTCAAGTCTTGCGTAATTCCAATGGTCGCCATTCATGTGTTAATGTCAATTATTCACGTATCAATGCTTCAGGTTCGGAACTTTTTCCGTTTGAAGTAGTTATCGAATTTTTTTTTGCAGTTCGTAGTTTTGGAAGGACTGTCAGGGTTGGAAATAGCTCTCGTGCTTATAAATGCGGCGATCCATGTTTTCACACCTTTCAACATGGCCGAAGGAGATACTCGTTTTCGATATTTTGCCGCATATTTGATTGAGTTCATAGAGATGCAAGTTTGTTATTTTCAAACTTTTTCCACAAAAAATTTTTTTTCTCAGATATTCTTTCTTCTACTGCCTCCATTCGCTTTGCTTTTCCCACATATCAGCTTTATCCGATGGATCGCCACGGGAACATTCGCCACTGGTACTATTTAATTGTTTTCCTTGACCCAATCTTTTTTTTAGGTCTTATTTTCATGATGATTTATTACAACTTCTTTCATCCAAACAGAAGAAGGCACAAACGTATTCCGCCGACGAATGAAGAAAAATGTGAAGAAGAAGTGGTCAATCTTGAGAACGACGAAGAAATACGGGATGAAGTGCCTAATAAGGATTTTGTTGAGCTTGTGCAAGAAAAATAAATTTTTTTTGAAGATGTTTGAAAGAAAGATTGGTAGAAAAACCTGGAGGTTAAGCCGGAAGAGGGGAAGTGATTGAACTGAGCATGCAGACGGCGTACTTGAAATGGAAGCTCTCACCCCAGGCGTTCATCGTCTTCCACCTTAACTTTTTTTGTCTTCAAATTTAACATGGTCAAATGATTTTTTATATTGCAGAGAAATCGCAAGTGTACGCATTCATCTTGATTTCATAGCAAACATAAAAGGCCTTACTTTTTTTTTGCAATAATTTAAACTATTTCTAGAGCTCACTTTCCGTTGGAGCACTTGGCGTAATACTGCAGATTAACTCCCATCGCGACAAGCTTGTTCTGAGCGAAAAAGTTCAATGGCAAAGATGAATTGGCACAAAAGAACAACGCCTTCCTACAGCCATGTTCGTCAGTCGTGTAGCTGAAAAAAGCTTCTAGCGAAGTTTCAATACTAAAACTCACTCTGCGCTCGCCAGGCTTTGGTTTGCGCCTCTCACTCCAACTGTGATATCTTCACAGCTGCCGCATTCTAAATGACTTCGCGTTAATATTAGAAAAATATCATATTAAACTTTTTGCCATAAAATATAACGACTGAAATCTCACCGGGTTCGTTGTAGTTATTATCATAGAAGTCGTGATAACTTCTGGATTCAGGATAATTAGCAGGCGAGTTTTGAGGATACTGATTCTGATAAGCGATCGTGATGACACAGAGTGAGAGTATCCAAAAATTGATGAACAGCATTTCTGCTCGTTTTTTGTTTGATTTCTGTCGTCCTTTTAAATATGGCAAATCGTCGAAAAACTGCAGATGCTTTTGAAGTTGTCAAATTCGTTTTGAAAACATTTTTTTTATGTGACTCAAACGTGAGGCATAAAAAAATGTGCAATAATTTTTTTTTGAGGGCAAAATCACAATATCAGAGGTGATAGATCTTTAATTGCGAAAAATTCAATTTCAAAGCGGATAATTTTGAATCTTTCAAGTTTGATAATAATTAGAGAGTTGAATGGTCCTAGCTATACAGACTTTTCTCAATTATTATTGTTAGAAAAGCGTTGCTTCACAAAAAAAAGATGAAAATTCGTCTTTTCTTTCATAAACCGTTTTTGAATTCTCTTTTGATTACCATGAATGAAAGAGACATAACTTAGTACCCACTCTGAAAACCACATTTTTCCCTTGTTTGGCATGCATTGGTTAGTTTTCTACTCTGGAAAGGTCTCACAGCAATTCTTGTTCGATCACATTGATGATATATTCCAATCTTTTCTTTTCAAAGAAAGCAACAGACTTTATTTTAAAAATCGTTTCGGCTAGAAAAGACCAGCGATAAATCCAGTTTGGAATGCACTTTCAGGGACCGCCGACAGGTGGTTTAGTCGTTGTTGTGGATGTGGTGCTGGTCGACGTTTCGGACGGCGGCTTCTTGCAGACGGCGCCCTTGAAGCGGACCCACTCGTGTTGAACTGTTCTCATTTTCCACCTGGAATATAATAATTGAAAAGTTCTCGAAAAGGTTGTAATTTCTAGGGTAATTCAAAAAAAAAAAGCTCACTTTTCATCATCACATTTAGCGTAAAACTGCATATTGATTCCCTCTCCGATAATTTCGTCGCTTGCAACCAACTGAAGCTTTGAAACAGTGTCCGAACACGTAATTAAAGCCCAGCGGCAACCTTTTTTGTCCAACATGTACCTTAAACATTTATTAAAAAAATTCGGTACTTTCTGAAGTTTTATGTTTTTTTATAGTTCCAATAAGATCAGACCTTTTATGTAGTTATGAGTTCAGTTGAATTAAATGAAAAGTTTGAATAACCAAAAGTACACAGTGGTCCTCACAAAACGGCTCTATAGCAATATTCTACCTTTTCCACAGCTTATTTGTCATTGCAATTCAACAAACCGATTTATATTCCAATAGATTTTTATCTCTGCCTGTTCTCTTTAAGGAGAATTTCAAAATGTTTTATCATTTTCATTAAAAATAACTATAGAAAATCTTCAGTCTTACTCACTCTGCAGTAGTGGCGCGGTCCCTGGGAAACCTTCTTCGCGTTTTGATGTCGTCGCACCTTCCACAGACCGGATCTGAGATCACCATTTCAAAAAATAAAGCAAATAGTTGAACAAACGTGGCTTGACTTCTTTTTTCGAGTACTTCCTATCATAGTCTTTTTTTCCATAATCCTTTTTGTCATAGTCTTTTTTTTCATGGTCTTTGTTTCGATATTCTTTTTTCCCATGATCATTTTTCTCGTATTTCTTCGGTTGGAAGCTCTTATTGTCATCACCATCGCTGCTGTCGTCGTTCTTCTTTCCGCGGTTTTTCTTGTGGTCTTGACGTCCAGAGCTCAACTCAACGTTGTTGTCATTGTCGTGTGTGCCAAATAGAGGATTGTACTGTTCAACGTCATAGTACTGAGGTCTGCCGTAGATGTTGGTACTGTAGCCGATCGCAAAAGCCGCAGAAAGCGACGCCAGAAGAAGTTCTAACGTCAGCTGCATTTGGATACATTTCAGCAAGGTTTGTTTCTTATAAATGCGGCAATTCGCTTTTTGTTTTTGTTTCAATGCGTTCAGGGAGCATTGAAGGGATTCAAACATTTTTCAGGCGATGACAAACTCAAAATTTAAAATGATTTCTAGATGTAGTTTAATGAGGCAGTCTGCTTTTTTTTTACGGTCCGGCTTCAAAAATTGAAGTGTTAAAGGCTTGAAGGGCTGAAACTATCAATCAAAGTTTTTATGGCTGTATATATGTAAAATCTACTCTAACATACAAAGCCGCCTTTATTGTTTTTCTATTGCAACTTCCTTCTTGTCAGTTTTTTGATATGGCTAACTAATGAAGGACACCACTGCTCATAAGTAACTTATCAGGTTGGCTGTTCAGAAAGGAGCGGTATCGTTGAAGTTTATTTTACTATATAGTTATCGATATAATGGATAAACCTTGAAGGGTTTTTTTCAATAACAGTTATAATCTGTCACCGACTTCCATGCGGAAAACCAATGTCCTTGTCGAATCCTAGCTTGGGAAGAAAACACGAATCGAGAAACTCAACGCTCCTTTTAAGCCGGCAAACCTAATTTTCAGATAAAATTGATAACATGATAGAAAACGGGGGAATACTTTCCGGTTCAGAGTGGAGGTCCACCGGCGGAGTCGTGCCCGGTGTTTGCGTGCGGAATTAAGAGAACAGAGAAAAAGCGCTAGAATTGGTGAGGCGAAACGGCTGGACGCGACGAAATAGCCGTGCGGAGGTGGAAGCGCCGGTCGGCCGTCCAGCGGCTTGTTCCGACGGAAAAAGGAGCTCCCGAAGACTGTAATTGTGAGAAACGCCGCGTGCTCAGTAGCCGTTAGCAGCTCGCACCAAGACACTGCTTTCGTCTCTACTCTTATGCCTAAGGTCGTTTTTTTGAACTTTATTTTGAATTTTAATCGTGCTTTTTTGATTTTTCTATCAAGCTGTAGTGCTGAACTATTAATATTCTTATATTGAGTCGATATAAACCAGATCAATTCTCGGACATGGTTTTTAATTATTTTTTCATCATATTTAATTTTGAAACAGTCTACCAGGTCCTGGTTTAAACTTACAATGAAAGATCGGATGATCCTTTTTTTGAAGATTAGGCGCGAAAAATCCAAAAATTTCGTATTACTTTTTGATGAGGACAGATTTGCGGGGATATTCACTTCAAATTTTGAAGAAAAGTAGAAGTCTAAAAACTCCTATTTGTTCAGTTATCTACTACGATAATGTAATAAGTTTAGAGGATATTACTAACTTTCGAAAGCCAGCAAAAAAAATTGCTGTTCGATATTCACTTTTTATCTCTCAAACGAAAAGGCTCGGCTCAAAAAAAAGCAATTTCTGAATATCCCAATATTTTTATCACGAAAAGAGTTAATCAAACCGCAAAAGACAATGATCAGCAACCCGGAAATGATTGGAAGCGAAGCACAAACAGAAGATGAACTTACCGTTACTGTGCCGCGTCCACCCAATGTTAATACCCAAGCAAAAGATGTTCGAACCTTCATTCTAAATGTCTGAACGGCGCTTGCAGCTCTTCTCCGACGCGGCGCCTCTCAACGTCATCGTTCGGAAGAGGTTTCAGAAGGCCCGTCACGCCTGTACGCCATCAAAGTGCGTCGCTCGTCTTATCTCCTTTTTTCCTATTCTCACATGGCTTCCCAATTATGATTGGTCTTTGTCTTTCTTTGGCGATTTATCTGGAGGTCTGACCATGGCTGTTTTCTCAGTACCCCAAGGTTTTTTTTTTCACTTTTTTTAAGAAATTCTCCCGCTTTCAGGAATCGCTCTTGCCAGTATAACAGGCGTCCCTCCGGTCTACGGGTTGTATACGGCTATTTTTCCATCTTTTTTGTATATATTTTTTGGTACTTCAAAACACAATGCGTTAGGTTTGTTCACAGTACCTTCAGGATTATGAGTTTCGTTTTCAGGAGGCTTCGCGGTGCTCTCACTTATGACTCATGGAGCTATCGAAAAAGTGATGCTCAGAACTGCCACAAGCTATAATGCCACGCAATATGTTAACCATACTGTGGATGAATTAGCGGCAGACAACGAGACCGCTATTTATAATGTGACTTTGATGCAGTGAGTTGAAGTCCTCCAGATAAAAAAAAAACTTGTTTCGAATTATGTTTTATATTTTTCTTGTGCTAAAATAATTTTTGTTTCACGGTCTTTTGGATTTGATACACACTCTGTTTCCACTTTTCCAAAATTCGCTTTAAAAACTTTCTGAATGATTTCCAAACATTTATTTTTTTCAAATCTTCTAGGCCGGAATGTTTCAGTTCAAAACTTTTAGAATGATTTATCTTTTAAAACAAAGTTTTTTTTCCCATTTAGCGCTCTTCGAACAGTTATACTCACATCTACCAGATGAACTCAAAATAGGTTTCATTTTGTCACAGCCAGCCCATCTTTACAGAATCTTGGGCAACGAAACGTCATTTCTTGAAGAAGTGACCATCGAGAAATGGACGGAAGGAGTGACTCCAGTAAAAAGAATTCACGTCGCGACGACCATCATTTTTTTGGCCGGAGTGATTCAGGTTTGTTTGCTGTGGTCCTTGCGCGAAGAAGAGCTCATTTGAGGTGCTGATGGGCGTTTTCCGGCTGCAGTACCTGACGTCACTTTTCTCGGAACAAGTCATGAGCGGCTTTGTCGTGGGCGGTGGCATCCATGTTTTTTTCGCTCAGATCGGAGACGTCCTCGGCATTAGGTTGCCTCGCAGATCTGGTCCCGGATACTTGTACTATGTCAGTACTCTGTAGAAAAAGAGAATTGATTTTATTTCTAAAAAAAGGAAAAAGTCACAGTTTTTTTGTTTCTCATCTTTTGTTCAAAACAACGAATAGTGCTCCAAAAAGTGCGCTTAGAGTGATAATTTGTCTTCATGCTGTTTGTTTTCAGAAGGGATGTTCTTGAAAAATCTATACCGCTCATGAAAAATTCACAATCTTTAAATGAAATATTCAGTGAATTCACTTTGAAGGAATTTTTTGTTGCAGATTAGACTACAAAATTCGCAAAATTGCATCATGAACTGTGAAAAATTCAAGTCAGAAAGCAAACTAGTGAACCTTATCAAAAAAATCGCAGTAAATTTTCAGAGGATTTGGGATTTAATCGAAGGACTCAACTCCATCCATTATCCCACACTGTCCATATCTCTGAGCTCATTCGCTTTTCTAGTCTTGGGCAAAGAATACATGGCCCCATGGCTGAGCACGGCTTTCAATTATCCAGTTCCTTTTGAACTTGTTCTAGTGAGTTTAACCTTTTTTGGCTCCCTATTGGAAAACAAACTTTGAAGGCAGTTGTCGGCATCACGGCCACGAATTATGCAGAACTTTCACGTCGACACAACATAAACGTCGTCGGAAATATCCCTACGGAGTGAGGAACGCTTGGAAATTTCCCTGCAAAGAAAAATTCAGATTTCCGCCGCCTGCACTTCCTCGATTTGATTTGATCCGACATATTGGGCCAAATGCCGCGGCGATTGCGATTACCGCAGTGGCCATTCATACTACGGTGGCTAAAGTGGTCGAGAAGCGTTACAAATACAAAATTAATCACGGACAGGTTTTTCGACTTCTTTTCAGAAAAAATATTCATCACTTTTTAGGAGTTATATGCATTGGGTTTTGTTGGAGTGCTGTCTTCTTTCTTCCCAGTATTTCCTGTGACATCAGGATTTGCGAGAAGCGTTGTCGGAGCCGCCGTCGGAGGTTCTACACAGGTCCCTGAAAATTCTCCTTCCAGTTCAAAGTCAATGACGGTTTTTAAGCTTACCTGTCTTTTCTCATCTCTCACCCTTCTTTCCGTCATCTTGTACATCGGGCCGGCTCTTGAATACCTGCCCAAGTGTATCCTGGCCACAATGATAATTGTCTCACAAAAAGGAATGTTTGCCAAGTTTTCTGAGCTGCGACAACTTTGGCCCGTTTTCAAGATTGACTTCGTAAGTTCCATAGATCAGAAATATCAACAAAATTTACCTTAAGGCTATTTGGATAATGAGTTTGGTTCTGACGGTTTGCTATGATATGGGCGAAGGACTATTGTTCTCCATATTTTTTTCGCCGTTTTCACAACGGTCGTGAGAAACCATTGGTTGGATTTTCAAATTTTCTTTCATAATTTTGAATTTTCTCAGGCCCAAATGGCACTTTTTGTCCCGGGATGATGAAACAGAAGGTTTCAAAGAAACTAAAAAGCGGGATTTGGACACCGTGCAAGGAAATGTATGCATATTTCGGATGGATGGCCCTCTAATTTTCACGAGTATTGATAGGTTCACGTTGGTAAGTTGATATAAAGGACAAAAAAGACAACTTGAAAAAAGAAGAGAAGCAAATTTATATTCTTCAGGCACTTTGGGATTGCGTCAAAAAGTGGGAACGATCAAAAGTCGAAACATTCGTAACTATCGAGCAGATGAACTCAGGGAAAGCAGAGTATATATTTGATTCAGTGAGTGTCTCACTTTGAAAAATGCCAGCAAACTTTTATTATGGCAGAACTTCAAAGCGGCTAGACGACGTTGGAAGCGCGAAAGAGGGAATGGCGATCGATGCAAACTTGTCATTGACTGTGGGGGATTCCCGTACGTTGACTATCTTGGACTATCAACTCTCAAAATGGTAGCACAGTCTTTGTAAAAACTGAAGTATATTATTTTTTGAGGTCTACTCCGACTTGATGGCAGCTGGAGTTCAAACCTACTTTGTCGTTTGCAAATGTAATTTGCATCCTTCAGATTCTAATCAACAAATTTTCAGCGGAAATGAAGAAGCTGTTGAAGGTGACAGATTTCTACACGGTTGTCGATACCAACAGAGTTTTCCACAAAGTTGATGATGCAGTGAAAGCCGCTGAGAAAAGGTGTTTATGTCTAAGAATCTTGGAGAGTTTTCGTTTTAGCGCCTCTCCTCCGCCTGCTCGCGAAACTTTGATGGCTTTGGCCAGTATCATGACGACGGATACTGTCCTGGCGGACGAAGAAAACGAAGAAATCGAGTCTGACAATATCGAAGTGCAAGAGAAGTTTGACGGTTCCATCAGTTCGAGCAGCGAATCTCTTGATTTGTGCACCCAAGAAAATAAAAAAAGTTCTGAAGAACTCCGTTCTTCATCTGAATCCCTTTCCGACGAGTATTGAACATTTTTTTCTGGTTGATTGCGTGTATTTTTGTCATATTCTAAGTTCCAAACTTTAAATTATAATAAAGATTATATTTTAACTCGAATATGGCAACAATCATCATTACTTTAGGTGTTCGTGGTTTCTGAACCGAAATAATTTCTATTCGGGTACCTGGTGGTCAATGTGATGCACAATGACAGCTAATTTACGCGCAAACAGGCTTTATCCTTTGAATTTGACAGGTTCGTTAGTGCAAATTTGGCAGCGTCTGCTGTGGCCAATTTCGCTACATCTTAATAGCGGTGAGCTTGAAAATGTGAGAATCGGACTTTTTCTGTAGAATAAAATTGCACTGTGAAGATAAGAATATACTTTTGATGGAAGTCTTTACGTGATTAAAAAAAAATAAAGCAGAAAAGTTGAAACGTCATGATATTACCAAAGTTATATTTTTTCGGTTCAAACGAACAGCCGCTCCGACAGTAACACAGAAACGTTGGCTGTGCGCATAACTAGACCAGTTATGGTCAGCCTCCGTATTATAGCGTGAAATTCTCATCGCAAGTGCATTTCACGCCGCCGAAGTGACCGAGAGCTTTTTTAATACCTTTCGTCGAATCGTACATTTTAGTTCTCCATGAAACGCGAGTATGGGTTTTTTCTCTCTTTTTCAACGAGCTTTTTGATCGCTCTGAAATCTTGTTGCTAGGTAATAGAGTGCGTTTTTATTGCTCCAATTAAAGAAGCTCACTTCTTTTATGAAACAGCTAGAATGAAGCTTTTCAAGATTCTTCTATATCAACTTGATGTCAAGCTGCCGATTCTATTTAAAAATCCTATCTCATTGAAAAACTCCGATTTTCGGCTTCAATTTTGCAAGAAAAGCTAATTATCAATCAAATTGACTCAATGTTTTTTCTGCGTTTTCTTCATTGGAGTTTTTTTTTGGCTATCGAGTTTTCCTGGCTTTTGAATTTCTCAATAGTCCACTTTCGCACTTCCCTACCTGTGGAGACTCTGAGTTGCTACCGATTCTCCGTGGCGACTGCCTTCATGAAACCTATAATTATTTTTAGTGCGAGGCAGTCGAAAGAAAGAAAATGGGCGCGATACTGCACTTTCTAAGAGCAATGAATAATGCGAACAATTTTAATCCTCTGCCACTTTGCAAAATTGGCTGTTAGAAAACAATTTTCTATAAAGATTTTTTCTTGTTTTTTTGGGAAGAAAAATGAAAGAGAGAATTTTTATTTTTGCAGTTGAACAAGATCGAAAGATGATACTTAGAAGTGTAGCCATTTATTCATTTCGTTCAGTTCGATTTGATGAGTATCCAATTTGTTTCCCACTACCCAGTGGTCAGTGACCACTGGATATCTTCGGTAAAGCTCTCAATTTTTTTTTTCCATTTTTTCCCCTGATTCTACTGACTCTTTGGATAACAAAGACTGTAGAGTTTAGAGAATTCGTGAAACAGGGAAAACAGAACAGATCTCTTTTTTGATGATGTCCTGTTTTTGAGCGTGTTCATAGTCAACTTTTGCCATTAACCAGCATGAAAATGTGAAAAAAAATGGGAGACAAATGATGGAGACACATTCAAAAAGCGACGAGCCATCAGCAGAACGTCATTTTCGTCAGTGTAACAAAGAGGTGCAAAGCATAACCACATGCACTTCATTTTTGCTCGGCCTTTTTGTCCCTTTTGAAGACATGCCACTTTGCACACATTCAGCGTCATGTTTAATTTTTTAGGCGGAAATATCTTTTTTTATGCTTTGATCTTTTTACCTGCTTCATTATAAAAATTATGCGTTTATCCTTATTTCGAATTGGGCGACGTTTGAAAGTTCATGTCGATGTGATATGATAGTGAAAGTTATCTGTCTTTTTCTTTTTCTTTTCTTCTGTTCAGCCTGTCAGAAAAAGCATGCGCTTGAATGATCGAGTGAAAATTTACACATTGAGCAAACCTTTTCATCATTTCTCTGCAATTTTCAGAAATTTTACAAAAACATTTTGATTTTTTTATTTTTTTATTTTTTTGAAAGGTCTTTTTCAAAGTCTTGTTTGCTTTTTTTAACAATGATACGCATTTGGCGGCATTTCACAGCCAAAAATGCAGTTAATTAGGCCAGACGGGGCACTTACGGGTCCGCTTGAGAGTTTCAAGTTCATTCGCACATTCCGCTGTCAAGGTTAATGGACATTCAACCTGGATAGCCCTGAATGAAACAAATTTTCGAAAAAAAAAAAATCGCATTTGCTTTTTCAAGAAGTCATGAATGTCTGTAAACCATCTTGAAGTAAGCTTTTTCTACTGTTTATGTTGAAATTGTGTAGTAAGATCAATTTCCAAACCAGTTAAAACTTTCAAGCATTCGATGAAGCCGAATTTTCTCTAATTATTCAATCAAGAAAATGAATATCGGAACGCCTAGACGCCGCTTTACACCTCGGATTTGATCTGAGGAGTTGGGTTTCCCGGCTCGCTGCGCGCCTTGTGGGATCTGGTCGGAATCGTACGGTGCAGATCGGCCGGAACGTCTTCGACCGCGCCCTTGAGATGATCGGCGAGCAATAAAACCGTCGTCTGTAATCGTATTTACCTCTCAGCCACCGCGAATATTGCAACCTTTTCCATGTTCTTGTACGCTTTTTTTATAGTTTCACGTGGTTTGTGAAGCTTTTGGGGGAAATTCGGTGCCTGGAACTATATTTTAAATTTTTTAAATGATGACTGAATTCATTTTTTTCTACAAACCCAGGCTTCTTCATCTAAAGTTTTTTTAGAGATTTCCGAAAATTCAACTTTTTTGCTAGTGTAAAGACTTTTTTTAATCAGCTGTGAGTGAATTGCATCTGATAAAAATTTGTTTGACTTTCCTTTTTTATCAATTGAAAGTTTTCCATCTGATTACTGCTCCAAAGAATTCATTTAGTGTTAGCTATCCAATCAAAGTTGCATCAGAAGGTCGCGCGCCGGAATTTTTGATTGAGTGCAAAAGTTTATCTCTCAATCGTAGTTGACCCTTCATGAGAGATCGCCATGTCGGCCGTCTAGCCTGTTTTTTTTTGCTATTGTTGCATTTTTCTGAGATTGTTTAAGATTTTACTCGTTTTTCTATTTGAGCAAAAAAAAAAGAAAGTTTCATTTTTTTTTTGAGCTTTTGCCTTTTCTTTGATGTCATTTTTTTTTTTGCTCTTTAAGCCCCTCTTTGAGAAGTGAGTGAGCCCACAGGCGTAAACGTTTCCATTATGTCTTTTGGGCGCGGCGTTAATTTGATTATCGTCCCTTGCGGGCACTAGCGCAAGATTAAAAGCAATCAACGAAGATCGGTGCGACGAAGCATTTGCATATGACTTCTGAATGATGCCGACACTTATCGAATTTTGGATTTCTTTGTGTTCGAATATTTTCTCCGATAGTTGGAGGGTTCGACCCACGGAATGTGACTACCAAGCAAAACTGTAGGCCTTTCAAAAATCTTAGGAGATTTTTGCTCCATTAATTCAATCATTAAAATAACCTAAAGATTTTGTGAAAATTTCGAATTTTGAATTTGTATACTGTTTGGAAGGGCTGACTGTCTTATGAAACAGAAAGAATTCCCAATGAAATCAATTTCCTTTGGAATGGATATGCAAACCAGTTCATTACATGTTTTCAACAGAAATAATTCTACTGATAATTGAAAAACCAGACAGAAGTTTTCTAACTTACTTTTAACCCTAGGTTGCAAAACTGCCATTTTTTAAAGAAGCAATTTTAACTTTTCTAAAAATATCCCTTTTTAGTTTGTGACAGTTTTTATTCAGAAAATAGCGTTTCATGTAGACAGTATTGCAGACTTCGGGTCCAACTTGAAAAAAAAAAACCATGAGCTTATAAGGAAAATACCCTATTTTTGGATCCTTTCCACCACTGAACATCTCAATAATCCAAAGGCAACAATTTACCTGATGATCATTAAACCTGGGATTGTTATGAGATGCGCGCGCATCACCGTATTTGACAGCTCGCGGTTAATGAGCGTAATGACTAACGAGAAGGTCAAAGGTGAGCCGCTGGAAGACCTCAAAATGTGTCCCGCGCACTCATTATCTGCATCCGGCATTGTCCACCAACTTTCAGCCTCTCCACTCGCCGCCGCTCCGTTTTCCATAGAAGTGACCCGGTTGGCTGAACTTGTGAGGCGCAGCTATCTTTTTCAAGTTGGTCTATAAATATTTTCATAAGAGTCTATTCCATTTGCGTTTTCATCTCACCTTTATCTTCGACTCAAATATTTTTTTAATACTCTTACAACCCTAGAGAATCCTATCCGAAGTGTTTCTTGAAACAAGAAAAATTGGCTGGTTGGACGGCGCCGCCCTCTTTAACAGCTTCAGTCCCAGGGGCAGCTTACGACGCTTATTAATTTTTCTCGCAACGTTTTTCTCTTTTTTTCGGCCCAAAAGATTTGGACTTGGGTTCTATCCGGCGCTTTCCTCATTGAATTTTTGGATGTTTGTGCGACGTTCGTGCAAATTATTTCTCGGATGATAGAAAAATGTATTCGAGAAGAAGATTTCCAGTTCTCTTTCGAGTAACTCCCACAACTAAGCCTCCAGAGTTGCTCCCGTGTTTCCAACTCGTTGATTTTCGTGAGAATGGCCTAAGGCGTATTATTATAATTATAATTTCAGGGTTTCTTGAGCTCCCTGGTGGCGAATTTGCTTTATAGTTGCTCTGCGAAAAATTTAGCTGGAGGTAATATTTTTACGGACGCCAAACTTGGTGGTCAAGTGAAAAAAAAATTTTCAGCATACTTTGCCAGGCGTCTTTTTTTAATCTTAAAAGAAACTTTCTCAAGTAACCGAACTTCTCGAAGAATAGGTTATTAGAAAGTCACCACAATTTGAACGTTTAGTATTTTTCTCAAACTTGCTTCAAAAAAACGGATCTAATCGCAGATCCCATGAGTTATTAGGCAAGCTTCAAACGGAAAAACATGCAAAGTACACTTGTAGAGCGTGTCGTTTTTTTTCCTCGAATGACGACCCAAAATTGCTCCGATTATTCATATGAATGGCTTTTGGCGCTCCAACGGATGACTTCAGCGCTGAGATCTTAGCGACGGATGACCTTGCCGGACGGTCTGCTGCCGCTAATCCTGCGTGTTGCGCTCTGAGTATAAACTGTTATTAATTTCCGGCCTTTTTGCTGACAGCTTCATCAAGTCATTTTTCCGCTCTTTGATTTTTTTTTCCAGACGTTATGATTGTTCTTGGATTGGTTGAAAACTTTCATTTTCTGTTTGTAGCATTAATGTTGTTTTTTTGGAGTCGGGTTTTAAAAAAAAATTGTGGCATCTCTTTTGGGAGCGCCAGTCACATAATCATCGTGTCTTTTCTTTTTGAAATGATTGGTGCGTAAATTCCTGTAACTAAATGACAAAAATTGCAAAAGTGTCCGGAAACTTGAGCTATTCTAATTTTGTTCTAATGAGATGAATACATGAAACACCAAACAAAAGTGAAAAAAATTTCAAGCCAAGTTCATTTAGGATAGAACTGACAAAAAAGACAGTTTCTTCCCAAAAAATTATTAATAAGTACACTAGCAACCTCTGACAGAAAGAGACGTTTTCAATGCATTCTGCCTTCCCATTTCCAAATTGATCTTTCTGAATATATTCTCTGAAAAATGACCTCTAGAGACTCCTAAGCGATGCGTCGGCGCTTTCAAACCCTCAAACACGTTTGCTCAACATGATGCTCATTGCGACAAAAATCGCGACTCTCGAGACGAAACGACTTCTTCTTTTTCGGCACACCGCCCTTTTTTTGGCTCACTTTCAATGCAGCTGCAATTTTCTGACCGCTTCCTTTAAACGTACGCTCTTTTTTGCGAGTCTCTAGATGGATTCGCTCAGAATCTGTCTTGCCCTATCAACAGCTGAGGCACATGTGCGCCTTTTTATTGCATCCAGACAACTTCATCTTCATCGAATTCGCAAAAAGTTCTGCAGGTGTCTCAGCTACGGATACTGTATCTGAAAGTTCATTCTTGAGCTGATTCGGAAGTCTGGAAACGTCAGAAAAGCTTTCAACATTCTGAAGACTCATTACGTATGATAGAAAGTTTGCCAATATAAGGGAGTCCGACCTTCAAAAAGCTCACCTTCGATGAAGCAAGCCTTGAGACTAGTAGAAAAAAGATCGAAAATCTAAGGGGACCGTTTTGTTTCTCTATAACCCATATCAATTTTTAAAATTTTCAGTTCAAATGTGATACTTTTGAATCATTCCAGGCACTTTTCAATGCTTTTTTTTTACGTTTGAGTAATTTTTATCAATTCAATTATATTTTCGAATCAAATGACTTCATAAGAAGCCTTTGCAAATTTATTTCAACAAACGATCCTCTTGTGATTTTTCAAGCCTTTGTCTCCTGAAATTTTATTCCACTCAAGTGGCATACAATCGCCGCATCTCGCCCTTATTGGGTGCACACGGCTCTTGGCTCCGCCTCTTCTGTCCAACGTAGGAAAAAGAAAAATCGTGGGTTACCGCGGACTGAATCTCGAGTGAGAAGAGTCCTTCGGGCATAATGGCAACATTTCGAGGTCGCCTATCCATACAAGGCGCCGACATTTGTCCTCAAATCCTTTTACCACATTTCCTTGTACCATTTATGTGTTGAACTGCGTTTCTCCTATTTTTTCTGGTTTTTTTTTTTGTCGACGTATTTCTGTTTGAATCATTTTTGAACTGACAAGTCTCCAACGACTATTTTGCTTAATATCGAGAAAACTTTCTGAAACAACTTTAAAAAATAATTGGGTTTTGCCATTTACCTTAGTTCAATAGGACACAGTTGCTTCATCAAAAATAACGCAAACAATTTAAAAATTATGTTTTATTTTCTCCTCTTTATTTTTTTCATTCTCTTCGACTTTTTACAAAGTTTTAATGATCCCCAAGCCATTTCTGAGTTTCTACTCACTTTTGAAAAAAAATATTATCTTTACCCACTTTAAACTTCCAACTTTCCAAGCGGAAAACAAGAGCCACTTCAAAAAGTGAGTTCTCAAAAAAGAAAAGCGGTTCTCTCGGCTTGGCTCGTCTTCATAGGCCTACACATCTGTCGTTGAGTTATTGTATGCGGTCGGCAATGGCATATTGGGAGCCGAGATTTCAACCCAAACCGCTCGATGCCACACCCCAACGCCCTCTTTGTCTGAGATTTTAACGCGCCGAGACATCTTGCACCTGCCATCTTGCACAAGCGAGTCAGCACGTATTACTCATGTTTAGGAGTAATCCTTTTTTCTATGGGAATGTCTTTTTCCATTCGTACAGCTCGTAGATTCTAAAATTTTTCAAATTATATGATCTGAAAGGCTAGTGGTTTGATTCCCAATTCGAAAAGGTTCCCGAGAAAACAGGCTCAAATGTTTTTCAAAGTTCTTCGGAGACCCAATCTGAACTTCTTTTCATTTTGCGAGAATTGATGACTTTAATATACTTTCTTCGATTTCATCAAAATCTTGAGAATCGCTGCTTTAGATTTTCTGGTAAAATTTTGGAGGGTATCCTGAAAGTCACAGCCTTGAAAATCTAGTATTTGAAATTGAAGTCTCAAAACATTTCCGTGTACATTTCAGTCGCTACTGACATCTACAACTTGACTTTTATTTTGAGCGCCTTCAGGGCTTATTCGTTTATGGTGTTGTGAGATTTCGGGTGCAGCCGATGCTCTGATTGAGCATCTCTCGGCAATTAGTTTTCGGGAGTAGGAGGTTGTGTTCATTTCTGGGGTCATGCTCCCATATCCGGTCGTTCTCCGACTCGAGTAGCCGCCACTTCTCGCTCATCTTTTAACTCCACTTCGTTTTTTCTTGGGTTAAAGCTTGAATTTTTCTAGATACATTCATTTCTTTGAGTATGGAAATTTTTGAGGGCTTTGAGAAAATATGACCGGCTTTCCGTTTTTTTTCGAAATTTCTTCTGTTTTGAACTTTAGCTTGGTAGCATTTGATGATATTTATTCATGTTTCAATGTCAATCTGATTGTAGTGATGACTCTGCAAAACGTGGAAAATTTTTTTTTGAGGTTTTAAGCAAGAAAAAAGAACAAATAGGGAGAAACTTCAAAGAAATATATTTCTTAAAAGAAGTTTAAAAAAACCTGAAACTGGAATTTCCCATATTTAATGCTATCACCAGAGATGAAGACATGACAAATTTCTATTTTTAAAAAAGCTCAGCAAACTTGATGCATTTTTCTCGAAAAAGTATCAAGAATGGCCCCATCGGTTTCGAAATGAAAGTTATTGGAAAGCTTTTTCCCAAGAAAAAGGTCAACATTTTTCGTTTCCAAGAAAAAGCCACCTTCACTTTGTGAATGCCTATTTTTCTGACTCACCAGCTCGAGAGGACGTACAGTCATAGCCGGAAGGGCAAAACCCGCAAGTTATTTTGGTGTTTCACACTTTCTCCTTTATCTATACTCCTAAAACATGTTTCACGAGCAACTCACGCAATTGATAGTATCAAACAACTGCAAGCGAGCGTTGCGAATCTTGTTCATCAACACGCACAAAGCATATGTCTGGTGCATTGGCAGCAGCTTTTTTTTCTCGCTAACTTTTTTGCACCGTGTGCCTTGATTCCAGCCGCCAAATGCACAATATATTACACCCTTCAATCTGAGATTGCATGTTGCGCGATGTTTTTCTTGTTCCGAACGTTCGACGCTTGACCACGCAAATCGTCGTCCCGCCTCCGTTTTATCCACCCGAGGCTTCAGTAGCTCCGCTGGTTTCCTGCGCGGACGTCGGCTCCGTCAGTAATCATATTTCTCTCGCAACTTTCGAGCCGTTTTTTCTCACTGAAATGAGCGATGTTCATCCATTCCTTAATAACTGAAACGTTTTAAAAATCAAATCTTTCCGATTTCGAGAACGATCTAATTTGTCGTATAGTACCTGAGCTTTCTCTACCGTTTTATAATATTGAAGTTGGTCGTAGGAAACCGAATCTTCAGTTGAAAATCAGCTTTTCTTTTTGGATTCAAGTAGTAGTTTTTTTTCTTTAGTTTTCCTTTTCAAAATTCGAGATTTAAGCTTTATGCTCGAAGTTCGAAATCAAAGAAAAAAACAGTCAGCAATCTTATAAAAACTAAAAAAATAAAAACCAAGCTCAATCTTGCTGTTTTTTTGTTTCTTTACAAAAAGTATACCATCTTCAGCCTCAATCAAGACCATATTATCAAAAGCTCTGTTTCAACTTCTCATTTCCATTTTTTTTGCAACCTGAAACCAAAGTTTTGATTGGTGCCAGGCATATCATGGTGATCGACTTTCAGTAGAAATAAACTGTTTTCCAAACGCCAAAAAACCGATTGAAATTCTACACCGAGTCGAAAAATCTGCTCAGTTTGGTTTGGCGTGGGTCATTCGATGGAACTGCCGCGTCGTGCGTGCTTGTGTCATCTGGGGCTCGTAAATGTTAGGAATTCATATAGGCCATAATTCGAGATGCGTGCCAAGCCATTGTCGTTATTCATTTTCACTGCTTTTTAGTCGTGTCCAATCATTGATAGGCGTTAGTGCTGTGAGTTAAATGCTGATAAGGCCCACGCCGTTGCGGTGGTCAGTAGCATTCTCTTGTTGTGTTCTCTTCCAAAATCCTTCCTTGTTATCTCGTTTTCTTCGACTTCTCAACGCCAATTCAAACCAAATTAAGGAAGTGTTTCAGAATGAGGAGCACGTTTCGGCCGTGCCTCGTTTTTTTCTTGGCTCTCTTTTACGCTTCCAATTCTCAAGACATCACGGTGAGAAGAATACTTGAAAGCTCTGTGGATAGAGCTATTTTCAGGTGAAAGAAGGAGAATCTTTGACTTTGCCGTGTCCCGCACACAACCTTGGTGGAGGAAGTATCTTATGGAAGAAAAACGATGAACTCATTGCCCTTGATGAAGATGTCTTGACCAGCGAAGGTGGATATGCAGTTATGCTGGAAGGCTCGGTAGGCTTTTTTTCTGGCTCTTTATGGAAAAAAGAAACGGAATTTACAGAACTCAAGCCTCATCATCAGCCGCATTGAGCCAATCAACTCGGCCAACTACTCCTGCGAACAAACTGATCCAGTGAAAGATCTGCCTCACCTCATCAAAAACTACCGCGTCAGAGTCAACGGTTAGTTTCGTTTATCATCAAAAAAGTATACAAATCGTTGGAAATTGCAACTGCGAAGCGATATCCTAAATGAATGAAACTGAAGCAAGGGTCACTCCGATTTGTCAAGCATTTCAATTGCGGCGTCGCCATTTTGAAACACTCGGTAAAATGGGTTTGCGCTTTTCAGCGACGATACCGCATAATTGGAGCCGCTTGATGGCACCCGTAGATATATTTGATGAGCGGGTGGAATGCGTCGGGCCGATATTAAACGGCCCGCGACAGAATCAATCGTAGTCTGACAAGACCAAAGCCATGGAGCCCAGTAACAGACCAATATCATTCTTTTTCAAAGATGACTATATCGAGCAAGTTTCACAGATATGCATCATTTCGAGATTAATCTAACCGAAAACCTTTTTCGTAAATTTTTTCCCTAATAAGCTTCGATAGGACACCAGTACAGTTAAAAGAAGCCCAGAAATTTTCTCAGAGAGTCTAGTACTTCAACTCAGTGCCAAATGGGTTTCGGGTTGTCAGAAGGCGAAGACACGCGAAAATCCTTGGCTTGCCGCTCGCTGTCCCTTCTTATCTTAAACGTTCATCGTTAACCCTTGCGAGTCGCCGGTTATTACTCATTCGTCATGGTGCAACGCGGCAGAAGAGCCGGCAGAAGCAAAACAGAAATTGACGGAGTTGATCAAAATGCAAAGTCATTTTCTGTCCTATGCGAAGAAATCAAAATTAAGCAAACGAGCGAATTTGAAGAAATAATCATTTGATGAAATTTCATGAAAGTCATTTGCTCAACTTTTTGACAGTAGGAGTTTCCAAAAGAGGACAAATGCAGTCTGTGGAACACTTTGGAACTATCACGATTTTCAGCTCCTCCAGTCATAGTCATCTCGCCGGATCACGCCGTCTACAACTTGCGAGTCGGAGAGAAAAACGTCGTTCTCCAATGCTACGTCAAAGAAGGAAATCCACCACCAACAGTCCAGTGGGCTCGTCAAGTTTGTTTTCTGAACCTCTTATTAAAAATTGATGGTATCAGCCGTACCTGTAAAGCTAACCTGGTAAACAATTTAATATTAATGAGCATCGGGACCAGTTGCTTCTGCAATCAGCCGCGCTTTCCAAATGATAATCCTATGTGGGCGATTCGGCGCCCAATTTGTAGACAGATTAACTGCACGTAGAATCTTCTAATTGGCGTTTGGACCCGCAGAAGAGTCAAATTTCTCTGAGAAGGATAACTAGCCGATTGACCCCTCACTGAATTAGCTCCGGTTTTATGACCGATTCGAGGACAGTCAGAATTGAAAGGAATATTCGACTGTAATTATAAAAAAAAGGATAGTTTCGAGAGTTTTTCTTTTTGCAGGATGGCCAGTTCCCGAACGACATCAAGAGGGAAGGAAAAGGAGCCAAACTCGTCATTCCAGTTGCTTCGAAATCACACTCCGGAAATTATTATTGCGAAGCGACAAATGTTGCTGGAAGCTGCAGAGTCGGAGTAGAGATCCTTGTGGACGGTTAGTTTTTTTTTGAAAGTTTGTGGGTCTTGGAAATTTTGATGTGATGTGCAGTGTACTTGAGATTTTTTGCGTGAGAATATCTGAATTTTGAATTGGGTAGGAGAAACAGCAAATCTACAGTAAAAATAGCTGCCTTGCTCTCTTAGAACCTTTTTTTTGAGTCGTATAGATGAGCGAAACGGGCGCCGTCCAATACATCTAATGAGTTTTTGTCGGATTTCCTATAAGTTTCTCGAGCAATGTGAGAATCAAGCCAGCCAACGTTTTTTGCTCTGTTTCGTAGGCTACAGCCTATTAATAATGTGGGCGACAGAGAAAAAAAATATCTGTGATGCTTTTTTTTTTGTTACATTGAGCGTGTTTGTGTGTCAGGGAGAGAAAAAGTTGATATACTACATGGCAGGACGATCTTTTAGTGCAAACACCGCCAAGCCATTTATCACTCTCAGAGACCACAAAAAAACACACATAAATCTTTGAACAGTTGCCAATTTGTATCCGTTTGATAGCTGATAATATGCTCGGAGGAACATGAGTTTTTGAGCAAAAGATTTAAGAGAATGATACAGCAGGATTCTTTAATTTTATTTTTTGAAGTCCTAGCTTATCCATGAACATTTTTCTGAATTTTTAAAAACATAAAAAATTTCATGGTTCTGAAATTTCTGATTTCTAGGCTCGAACATTTTTTAAGTCTTGTGCTAAAATCTTGAGAGCCTTGTGGCAAGATTAGCTTTTCCATTTCTGACAAGTATTTTCGTATGAACTATAGTTGCAGTTTCGAATCCCTTATAATTCCTAAAACTTCCAATCTTATTAAATTTTTTGAAAGTTCTGAACTTGCTTTGAGGTGTTTGATTAATTTTCCAGCTCTCATTTCAGATTCGGACACCGACGGCCCTGGACGTAAGTGCATTCGCCGTGTTCGTGCATGTGTTGTGATGTGCCCCACTTTACTGTTTCTGTGCTTTCCAAAACATTAAAACAAAGCGAAAAAGTTGGCCGCTGAGCCAACCGTTTCGCTTATTGTCTTGCGCGCCGCTGAAAAGATTGAGGCAGCTGGAAACGTGTCGGAAGACAAAAGATGCGTCGCTTCTTTTGCCGGCAGCTGCACGTCTATTCTCAGTCATAACTGTTGTTTAGGTTAGCTAGAAGGTCACGAACAGGGTTACAATAAACTTGAGAAGAAAAAGTTGTTTTTTTCTTTTCAGGAGTGGGAAATTCGGAGAAAGTATGGTTTCTTGAAGGGATGTTTTTTTCATTTTTTTTTTTTGATTATGTGACTAAAGTTTGAGAAACTCCAGCACAAACTTTCCAGAAAAAAATTAGAAAAAAAGTCTGTCAACAGCTTTTTTTGAAAAATAAAGCCTCGAATATCTTATTATGAAATTTAACTTTCAAGCTTTCTTTTTCAGAAAATCATAGTTTTTCAAGTAAAATTTTCAAAAACTCATTCTCAAACAAAACTGAGTTTTTCGGAAAATAAAAATCATGCTTTGAAGATGAGAAATAATTAACTTTATTTTGAAAATTTCCAGTCAAAATGTTTCAAGAATTCAATGATAACACTGTTAAAATTGAATCTTCGCTCGAAATTTTCATATTTGTGAATTCCAAGACCCGATTAAACGGAAAGTTTCTCGATCAAAGGATCGTGACGCATTTGTGAATAACTGTACACGCAATCTGTACAACTGAGCAAATCAAATCGGACAAAATCAATAAATAGATGACGTTGCAACAGATGGCTGACGACTCGAAAACGTTTGCCCTTGCTGGGAAAAAAAAGGGACCGTATCGCGCCATATGGAAGCATTTAGTATCAGCCATCACTCATGCCAACTCTTCCCAAAATCCGTTTCCAGCTGTGTTTGATCCATAATTATATCGCTCCTCACGCTATTTTTCGAATTTTGGAAAATTGTTGAGTAATTTCAGCTATTTTTGGGTTTTTCTTAAAAACCTCACTCAGCAATTTTCTCAAGCTTTCGTTTCACTAACTCAATCAAAAAATCGGAGAACGATGACTTTATAGAGCAACCATGGGTGAAAAATGAAGTTTCTTTCATTCCTGTACGCAAGAATGCCGACGTCAATCTTTCTTGCACTTACGATGGAACCCCCGTGCCGCAAGTGGAATGGTTTTTCAACGGATATAAACTGAATGTAAATTAAAAAGCAAAAAAAGAAACTTCCTTTTTTATTTAGATCGCTGAGGAACGTTTTAAGAAAACTGTCGAGTTTGCTCAGCGGATGAACGGGTACAGCAAAACTACGCTTGTGATTAAAGAAATCAATGTTGTAAGTTGAAAATTTCGGTTCTTTAAGGTTTAGGGAGGCACTTTTTGAAATTACCACAGGGTTCCTATTAATAAGGATAAAGAATGATAGCGTTGAATGAAACGGTTCAAAAATACTTTTTTTTTGCAGTTTTAGGAAAAAAATGAATTTTTTTTGATTTTTCGATTTTTTTTTCATCCTATATCTTATTGTAAGGGTCCTTCGAAAATAAGGAAAAGGACATTTTCTAATTGAAGGAAGCCTTTGGCGACTACGCGTGTCGCATCTCCAACAAACTGGGATCTGTGAAGGCGGTGGTCCACGTGAGCGGTAAGTGCACTCGCTGACATGAATAAAACACGGCGCGTTTTCGAGATTCGCGCTTATTTGTAAACCTGAGCGATCGGGCAAACACACCTATTATGAAGACCCCTTTCTTGTCCCGCCAAAACATTATGAGGCGGCAAAACGCAACAGGCGCGAATTTACATGCAGAATGAACTAGAAAATCAGTTAAGTCTCAAAAGAGGGAACGTAAAAAATTAGTCGCTCTCGATTTTAATTGAATATTTTCTTATATTCAGGAAAACCCGGGCCTCCCGAGCTTTCCGTCGACGGACCTGAACTTTCTTGGAAGGTTGAATCTGAAGAAAAGGTACCGTTTTTGACTTTGAATTTCAGTGCAAATTTATTCAGTCAGGTAAATTCTTTCAGAACCAAAAACCTTCAATACTTTCTGTGAGCTGACGTCTCAAAGTTTCAACTAAAGATACTAAGACATGATAAACCAAATTTTGAATTTTCATTTCCATATTCTCTTAGAGACCAAACTTTTTTTATAGTGAAAAAAATAATTTCGTGAAGCATCGGATTGAAGACCTCAATTAACACAAATAATTCAAAAAATGTTGCGCAACTTTGTGTTCAGGTGCTTGAGTACCGTTTCTGCTACCGATTCGAAAGAGAAGACACCTGGCAAGATGAGAAGTGCAAATCCATACGCACAACGAAAAGTTAGATTTTTTTTCCTTTTTATTTTGCAATCCAAAAAAAAATCTAGGCGACAACAAGGGAGGAAACAAATGGGAACACGACATTGATCTGACGCGTTACCTCGAGCCAAAGCAGAAGTACGAAATCCAGCTGCAAGCTCGCAATGCCATGGGTTGGGGATCCTACGCCAAGGATTATCTCAATGTTGAGATTCAATCTTTTGAGCAAGGTTTTCATTTCTTTTGAGTTTATTTGTATGAAAATCAGTTCATAAATTGAAAATAAGACATTATGAAAATACCATTAAAAAAATAAAACAAGAAAGATTAACCCTTAAACCCTATAAGTTGTCTTAATGAAGCACCTCTAAAAATGTGCCGAAACACAGATTTTTGCCTCGTTCTTATTGAAAAAAAATCATAATATTTTATTAATGATTTCATTACCTTCATCATATTTTATTAATGAAACGGGAGATAGAGTCAATAAGTATATTTCTTATATTCGGGAGTTCAGCATTTATAGTTCGTAATTACAACTTATTCGTTTTTTTTTTCAGCCAAGATCCAATCAGCTGCCACCTTGACGACGTCTCTGACCTTGGTGATCCCTGCCTTGTTGCTCGTCTTTTAGAAATCAGATCCATTCATAATTTCCAATTCACTTAAAAAGCCCAATGATTTGCCAAGCCTAGGAAGAGACGTTCCAATGCCATTTTGTTGTTACCTCTCCTCTCAGGAAAAAAATCTTTCACAATCTTCACAGACTTAATCTCTTATTAGTTATTTGTTTATGTATGTTATAGAATGTTTCGCATTTTGAAGATTTCTGTAAAACTATTCATCAACGGTCATAATCGCGATTCACGGCAAAACGACCGGTGAACGGCGGCCGTGTAGAGATGAGCTCCTACGTGCTGTCCTGTATTCTTTCACAACAATTCTCACTTCTGCTTCACTTTTAGACTACTTTTCTCTCTCGGGTGTGCAAAATAACTCGAAACAAACTGAACATAATTTAAATCGTCCCGAAAAAGATTTTTGTTCCTGAATTAATTTGCACCTATCCCGCATATTCTTGTTTACAGTTTTCATTGTTCGCATCTTTCGGGTGCACAGCTATTCAATTTTTGTTTCCTTTTTTGAACTTTGTGAGTCATGTTCTCAAGTTTTCAACTATCAACAGACGTTTTTATAAGATCGATTGTGAGATGAAGATTATCAATTAAAATAAATTTACAGGAAATCCTTGCAGATTTAATTCTTGCCTTGCGTGTCTCTAAAAATTAAAATAAAAGCACCGAGAATATATGATCCGAATTAGGTGGTTAAAAAAGAACACATAGTCAAAGAAGTCTTCTGATATGAACAATTTGCAAATTGTTGCATGTGGAAAAATTGCAATTATAGAGAACCTTTTCTCAGATGAGCAATTTTTTTCCGCTCCTGCATTTCCACGAGTGAAACTTTTTTTTTCGCGAACTACTTTCAACACCTCTAATAGAAAAACAAAAGATTTATTTTTTTAATACTGAACAAAAATTGAAAAAAACAGGCCGGTATAGATAGCATTTAACATATTATAGAATCAAACTTCAAAGCGTCCGTTCAGAAACATAATGGCGAATAGAGCTTGGAATGAGAAATGAAGAATTGTATGTTCATTAAATACACAAAAAAATGGCAGCGAGAAAAATATAGATTGAATGAAATAGGGACAATTGACCCGTTCGGAGAAGAAACCGTTGTTTTTTCAGTAGGAGAGGCACATATAAATAAATATTCGCTATATGACAAGACATTGGATGAAGTTTGAGGGCTTTACTTGAGAAGGTCGTAGAGGGTGTAGAGAGAGATGAAGATCACAAGCGCGTAGCTGGAGTAGTCGGCGTTATTGTCATCATAGTAGTCGTCGCCGAACCTGGAAGAACCCCGATTACAGAAGGAATGAAGCAGTTCCTTTCAAAATGAAATAAAAAAACTGACCATTTCTCTTCCTTCTCACTGCCGTCCTTGTCCTTCTTGTTCTTCTTGGAAGGACGATCCTCCTCATCTTCGTCTTCGACGAGCTTTCGGCCTTTTCCTTTCTTCGGCTTCTTGGTGACGTCTTCGACGTTGTCTTCGTTTTCTCCATCTCCGACGGTGTTGCGACCGCGGCCCTTCTTCGGCTTCTTGGGAACCTCATCCACGTCCTCCAAGCCTTCGTCGTCTTCTTTGTCCACGACGTTGCTTCTGTCCTTTTTGCGCGGCTTCTCGACCTTCTCCTCATCATTGTCATGAGAGATCCTCCCTCTGTTTCTCGAAACAACGACCTTCTTTTTGGGCTTCTCCTCATCTTCTTCCTCGACTTTAACCTGAGCCACAAACTCAATAACCATAGTTTTTTATTCACAACTCACAGATTTCTTTGGCATCAGAACCAGCTCGTCTTCATCAATGGGAGGCAGATCTTCATACTCATCATCATACACGAGCTCTTCTTCATCGGGAATGATTGTAGGTTTCGGAGCCGCCTTGAAGCGTCGGTTGACTGGCTGGAAATTCTTTTTTTTTTACCACCCTCCTCCAGGAATCATACCTGGTTCTTCATGTCATCAAAAGACTCAACGACGTCTTCAACATCTCGGATGAAGTCGCCAATTCTGTCGCTGTCCTCCTGAGACATAGATTTTGCTACGAAGGGATTTCTATTGAAACCTCAGAAAAAGTTCGACGGAGTCCAATTCGGTCGTCAACGTCGCTGACGAGGCCACTGATTTGGAGACGTCTCATAGGCATGGAGCCGCGATTTTCCAGATAATGGGCCAAAGACGGCTGAAAGCTTTTATCTGAACAAATACTTTTTTGGTCGACCTACGTTTTTCTTGACAAGGAAACTACGTCCTTCGTTTTGCTGGATGAGTGGAGAGCCATTTCCCATCATCATGTCATCTGAAAATTAATTCCGAATCCCAAAATAATGCCCAACGAACCAGTTAGGTTGCCTTTGATCACTTGCAGTGCAGAGAAGTCTGCCGACACGGAGCGGCCAAAACTGCACGCCTTGAACTCCGCCAAAAACGAATCCGAAGGTTTGCTCTGGAAGAAAGAAGACGGTTTCAGCAAAAGGACGATGAGTACCTCTACGAAGATGAGTGGGAGACCGGCGTTAGAAACGGCGCGCAGAGCTGTTCGGCTTCCAGGAAGACACAGAAGATAATGATTGAGGCCTTCGGACTGGAAAATTGAGATATCCGGATGAATAGAATTTAGAAACGCACGTCCTGGGAGACGCGCACAGCAATGAACTCGTTGCCGGTGAGGCCTTGACCATCGATGATGTACTCGCCATTCGACACCTGAATCAGCTCCGTGATTCGAACTCCATCCATCGAAAACGTACAACAATCAAGGTAGAGCAAGGACGATTTTCTGTGCAGTTGGTTTTTTCGGTGAAACACGGAGACTCGTTTGTGCACAGTGATTTCTGAAAAGCGGCAGTTGAAGATTTCTCACCATTATTTTGCTAAATACATAAATCAAAAACATCAAAAATTCAACCTTCTTTCGTGTTTTTTGAAATAAAAATGTACCTCAAGGTAGATCGGCAACCCATAAGCGAAGCCGAAGCTGGCCAACAGAATGAGGAGCTTCATGACGGAAATCTGACGACGTTCGAGACGACGGTTGATTGCTTGAATTTGAGGCGACCGTTCCACGCAATCGCAGAGCGAGAATGAGGCGACTGAGGTCCGCCAAGGCTCCGTCTCGCGAGTTCGCGGGCTTTGGCGCGCGCGCCCTTCCGTTAGGTCAACTTGCCCTCCTGAGTCAAAACTTTTGATTCTTTCCGTCAAGTCCATTTTCCTCATTTCTTTCAATTTTTTCTATTGTAATAAAAAAACCTAGTTATCGCCTAAATCAAATTCTTTTTTTAACTTATGATGATGAAAAAAGTTTTTCACCTTTTTTTTCTATTTTTCGCCCAGAAACATCAAACTTTTTTTGAGTTTTATATATGTGACGGATAAAAAGGAAAAGTTTTATTGAAACTTCAGAATGTGTAATGTTCAGCTGGAATTTCATTTTGATGCATTGGTCTTTTCCGTTTTAGTTAGAGAGTTTTCCGACTTTTTTTAAACTTTGCGTCTTGAAGTAACAATGGCGTTGGGGGAATAATAGATGAAGGAATTTGAGAATACAGAAATAATAAAAAAAGAAAAATTCAGAAATAATAGAATCAATAGTCTGATACGTTTAAATTAAAAATTCAAAGAATAAAACTAAACATTTGATAAGAGACGAAAGTTCGATAGAAGTTCGAATTATCGAGAAATTAACATTCGATTCGAAATAAATGGAGAGGAAAAAATTTGATAATTGATATAATACGGAAAAACAGAAAAAAAAAAAGAAAAAAACGTGGAAATACCTAATCGGTAAAAAAAATTGATAAATCAACCCTACACTGCGACTTCACAAATGCAATTCATTTCTGAACGTACGATTTTTGCGGCGTTTCCGTATGTTTAGGCTCGAAAAAGTTTCATACGGGTCCACTGGAAACATTTAAGGACCATTTCCCATTCTTACTGTTCATGAAAAAATAGAAAAACTTTGCGAATTTTCTAAAGGTTTTTATCTCTGACATCTAGGCTTTTTAACCCTGACTATATTTTAATTTGTTTTCCTTTGAAAACTTTTTCGAATAAAGGATACTCAACCTTAACTCAAAAACATTTTAATCAATTCTGATCTTTCTACAGTGTACGAATTCGAGAGAAAAAGGTTACTGGAGGCGAATTTCTGTGAGGTTGAGCAAGAAAAATAAACGAACGAGGAATTGAACATGTCTTGAGTTTCAGAGCAGAAGAACGAGTCCAACTTCGAAGATGTATAAATATGTTTGAAAAAAACGATATTTAAATGTTTGATAAGTTCTTATTTTTTTGAAATTACTCGATTCTTATCTTCATCTATCACGTTTCCAACGCCATCGTAACTTCAAGACGCAAAGTTTAAAAAAAGTTGTTTCGGAAAACTTTACAATAACTTTGACGAAATCAATGGATTCTAGAAGTAGATTGCAGCTGAAAATAAAAAATTAGAAATTTCATTAACGCGTTTTCTTCGGCGACAGAGGATTCAAAACTCAAGAAAAGTTTGATGTTCCTGAGCGAAAAATAGAGAAAAAAAAGTAAGAAAAAACTCTTTTGATCATCATAAATCAAAAGAAAGCTTTGATTTAGGCGATAACTAGGTTTTTATTAGGATGGAAAAAATTGAAAGAAATGAGGAAAATGGACTTGACGGAAAGAATCAAAAGTTTTGACTCAGGAGGGCAAGTTGACCTAACGGAAGGGCGCGCGCGCCAAAGCCCGCGAACTCGCGAGACGGAGCCTTGGCGGACCTCAGTCGCCTCATTCTCGCTCTGCGATTGCGTGGAACGGTCGCCTCAAATTCAAGCAATCAACCGTCGTCTCGAACGTCGTCAGATTTCCGTCATGAAGCTCCTCATTCTGTTGGCCAGCTTCGGCTTCGCTTATGGGTTGCCGATCTACCTTGAGGTACATTTTTATTTCAAAAAACACGAAAGAAGGTTGAATTTTTGATGTTTTTGATTTATGTATTTAGCAAAATAATGGTGAGAAATCTTCAACTGCCGCTTTTCAGAAATCACTGTGCACAAACGAGTCTCCGTGTTTCACCGAAAAAACCAACTGCACAGAAAATCGTCCTTGCTCTACCTTGATTGTTGTACGTTTTCGATGGATGGAGTTCGAATCACGGAGCTGATTCAGGTGTCGAATGGCGAGTACATCATCGATGGTCAAGGCCTCACCGGCAACGAGTTCATTGCTGTGCGCGTCTCCCAGGACGTGCGTTTCTAAATTCTATTCATCCGGATATCTCAATTTTCCAGTCCGAAGGCCTCAATCATTATCTTCTGTGTCTTCCTGGAAGCCGAACAGCTCTGCGCGCCGTTTCCAACGACGGTCTCCCACTCATCTTCGTAGAGGTACTCATCGTCCTTTTGCTGAAACCGTCTTCTTTTTTCCAGAGCAAGCCTTCGGATTCGTTTTTGGCGGAGTTCAAGGCGTGCAGTTTTGGCCGCTCCGTGTCGGCAGATTTCTCTGCACTGCAAGTGATTAAAGGCAACCTAACTGGTTCGTCAAGCATTATTTTGGGATTCGGAATTGATTTTCAGATGACATGATGATGGGAAATGGCTCTCCACTCATCCAGCAAAACGAAGGACGTAGTTTCCTTGTCAAGAAAAACGTAGGTCGACCAAAAAAGTATTTGTTCAGATAAAAGCTTTCAGCCGTCTTTGGCCCATTATCTGGAAAATCGTGGCTCTATGCCTATGAGACGTCTTCAAATCAGTGGCCTAATCAGCGACGTTGACGACCGAATTGGACTCCGTCGAACTTTTTCTGAGGTTTCAAATGAAATCCCTTCGTAGCAAAATCTATGTCTCAGGAGGACAGCGACAGAATTGGCGACTTCATCCGAGATGTTGAAGACGTCGTTGAGTCTTTTGATGACATGAAGAACCAGGTATGATTCCTGGAGGAGGGTGGTAAAAAAGAAAGAACTTCCAGCCAGTCAATCGACGCTTCAAGGCGGCTCCGAAACCTACAATCATTCCCGATGAAGAAGAGCTCGTGTATGATGATCAGTATGAAGATCTGCCTCCCATTGATGAAGACGAGCTGGTTCTGATGCCAAAGAAATCTGTTAGTTGTAAACAAAATAACTAGTTATTGATTTCTTGGCACAGGTCAAAGTCGAGGTAGAAGATGAGGAGAAGCCGAAAAAGAATGTCGTTGTTCCGAGAAATAGAGGAAGAATCTCGCATGACGAAGATGAGGAGAAGGTCGAGAAGCCGCGCAAAAAGGACAGAAGCAACGTCGTGGACAAAGAAGACGACGAAGGCTTGGAGGACGTGGATGAGGTTCCCAAGAAGCCGAAGAAGGGCCGCGGTCGCAACACCGTCGGAGATGGAGAAAACGAAGACAACGTCGAAGACGTCACCAAGAAGCCGAAGAAAGGAAAAGGCCGGAAGCTCGTCGAAGACGAAGATGAAGAGGAGCGTCGTTCCGAGAAGAACAAGAAGGACAAGGACGGCAGTGAGAAAGAAGAGAAATTGTCAGTTTTTCATTTAATTTCGAAAGGATCTTCTCCATTCCTTCTGTAATCAGGGTTCTTCCAGGTTCGGCGACGACTACTATGATGACAATAACGCCGATTACTCCAGCTACGCGCTTGTGATCTTCATCTCTCTCTACACCCTCTACGACCTTCTCAAGTAAAGCCCTCAAACTTCATCCCATGTCTTGTCATATAGCGAATATATATTTATTTGTGCCTCTCTTACTGAAAAAACTCTTCTCAGAACGGATCAATCATCCCAGCATAGTGCAAAGATCAATTTTCTGTAAATTTCTGTGTTTATCATAGATCTCATATCGACTGATTTTCTGCCTCGCTTTTTTTTTTAGTTACTCGTAGTTTGATTCCACATTGTTTACCTAAGTTTTATCGTATCATTTCATCTATATTAGCTTCTTTTTTAATAGCAAAAAAGTCGATAAGTATTTTTGTTAATACTATTTATTCCTGCATGCCCAAACGGTTTTTTTGTTCGTTTCGACATCTTGAATGAAATTGTTCGACTACAGAGGCCTCTGTTTCCAAAAGTGTTCCATGTGGTAAAGAAAAAAAAATGAGGAAACTATCGAGAACATTGTGTGTAGCTTTGCGTGGAGCGATCTTTGGATTCAAGTTTATCGAGTCCAAATTGTGTCACCACAGATCTGTTTCATGTGTCACATAAAACCGAAGGCTTCTCACAACGGTATAAGAACGGTGACAGTGAGTTGAAAGGGAAGAGACCGGTTCATTGAACCTTTTTCAACAGGAAGCGACGCTTGATGATTTATTACCTTGAGATATCGTCTAGTTTAGGATTATTTAGTGTTGTTTTCGAGAGAATTCGCGTTCTCTAATTTCACAGATCAACCTTGCAATTTATCTGATTCGTTCCTTCCGCAAAGGAGATTCTCATAAGAACTATTTAAGATTTAAGAAAAATTTTTTTCAACATGTAGAGAATTTTTTTTGAACTAAGTTTTTCGTCAAATTTTTTTCATAAGCAAGAGATAGATTAATTTTTTTAAAATTGCTTTTTACTCATGTTAAATGAAATAAATAAAGTTAATTGAAGCTATAATTATTTTGTTTCTTCACTAGGGAGGTCATTTTGCGGTTGGAATTTTTTTCTGCAAATTGGCTAGAACACTCCTTGAAGTACCACAAAAAGATTTTAAATATGTGCAACTTTCTCGTTTTTGGGAAAAAACGTCTAAAACTCAAAAAAGAATCCCCTAGAACTCATAAAATGAACTATTTTGAAACTTTAGGTCCTTAATTTTCGAAAACTAGATTTTTGGGCAAATTGATACTAACAGAATTTTTTTATACCAAACATCAGGAAGTGCTCTGGCGGATTTTTAGGAAACTCCCAACCGCAGAGGAAAATGACCTCCCCTGTCAGGAAAAATACTGAAAAAGAACATGGAACTCTTTTTTCTCAAAGATAAAACATCTAAAAAATTTTTGAACACCATTTGACAACAGAAAAATTTTAGGCAACCTTGCTTCAGAAAGTGGAAGCTCCGCACTCTCGAAAGCTCTTTTTCAGCGATTTTTAGAAGTTATCTGCAAAGTGAAATATTTTTTCTCGGTCTGTCTTGGTCTGTCGGGTATCCAAGTTTGACCGCCACTGTGAGTTCACTCTTCAAGTTCTCACAGAATGAAAATTTGACCTTCAATTCGAAATGATTTTCCTTAGAACTCTTTCTTCGAACTAGTTAACCCAATAAAAACTTTCCATTTTCACGGTGCCCTACTGCCAATTGAAAAAGTTGCACTCAAAGAAACAGTTTTTCTCGAAACTTGAAGACAGTTGAAGAAAATAGTTTATCTTGGCGCCGCACGACGCGTAAAAAAAGTAATTGGTCATCACAATAGACTTGGGCAAAAGGAAACTCGTCCCTGGCCTCTCGAAGAACTGCTGGTGTAAATGTTCAAAAAAGGGTTTTTGAGGCGGAGTCTTGGTTCAGTTTGAAGTCGACGGTCGGAGGCGACGGCACGGCGGGAGGGCACTCGGAAACAGAAGAAAGGTTTCAAGCCGTTTCTTCTCCTTCGGCACACCTTCTTCCGACCGCTAAACTTGAATCTCCCTTCTTGCGCTGATATCTTTTGATTCTTCATTGATTTACCAGCGGATCATGCGATTACCATTCGTCGTTTTTTTGTTTTCTCGACGCTTTTTGCAGGTTTGCGGATTTTTTTAATTTTAGGCGAAAAAAATGTTTTAGTTTTTTTTACGTAATAATGATAAAGAAAAATTCAAAAATATTTTTTTCAAACTGAAACAGAAATATTATGGATTTTTTTAAGCATTAACCTCAATAATTTTTTCATTTTTTTACGCCGAAAAATCAAACTTACGTACAAAAAAACTTCAAAAATCAATAATTTTTTTATAGTTCAGGAAAAAAATCAGAATGAATAAAAAAACAAATGAAAAAAACGAGAAGTAATAATTGGAAGATATATATATTTTTTTTCCGATTTTTTTCTTCTAATCTATTTAAAAAAACGGACTACAATTAAATTGGTTTTTTTATGCGAAAAATTATGAGAATGAAGTTCTAATTTTAAAAATTAGAAATTTGATACCCGTAGCAAGTAGGTCTTTAACTTTTTGACATGGTTTCATTTTTTTTGCCTTCCTGACCATCGAAACAAATGGGAAATTTTCTCTAACCGAATTTCGCTTTTTAAAATAAAGATTGGAAGGTTTTCAGTTGTTCTGAGTGCCCCATGTACATTTGTGGCCAATGGTCAACAGTTCACCTACGCAATCAGAGGAACCACAGTCCACTTCCGGGTCGTTCTCACCAACATTCCTCCGAATTCCAGCGGCTGGACGGCCGTTGCCTTCGGAAGCAGCATGGTTTGCGCTTTCCCCTCTAATTTTATTAGCAGTTTCAACACTCTTAATCTTCATTAACTTTTTATTCAGTTCTCTGGACTTGACGTTATCGTGATTCGTGTTTTGAACGGCCGTATCATTGTAACAGACGAGTTTGTTCGCGGATTCACAGCGCCTACCCCTGACAGAGTAGAAACTTTTTTCTGGACCGTTACAATGGATTTTTTCCAGGTGAACAATGTACAAGTCTACGGCACGCGTTTTGAGAACGGCGTGGTCATCGCGTCTTTCTCAAGGCCCATTTTCTCTTCGGATGGATCTGCAGATGCTTCCCTCTCCGGTTGTCAGCCATGGAAGGTTGGACGAAATTTTCTGGAACCGTTCATCAGATGAACCGAGTTTAGGGATATGCGAAAAATCAGAAAGCTCAAGAGTCTAGGTGTTTCGAGAACCTTTTTCTCCCACAAAATAACTAATCAAGATGGAGTTACAGTTTCAGACTATCTACTGGGCGCATATTCAAAACTTCAGCAAAAATATTTGAACAGTTAGAAGGCTGGAACATATTTTTTGAGGAGAAAACCCTGCATTAGTCAGAAATTGATTTCTTCGATTTTTTCAAAATGTTAATTATTACAAGATTCTCTCAAAAATTGCAAAATTTTTTTGAAATCTAGCTGGCACATTCAGATTGAATTTCGAAATTTCATTGCGCTGTAAGCAAAAAGTTTTAAGATCACAAGGAAAATCGCGTAACTAAACTTGCTGAAAAGTTAAAAATTCTTAATGCATTTGATTTTGGTCCCCTCAGTTCCCGAAATTTCCTTATTTTTAAGAGCAACGCTCTCCAATAAAAAGTGTAGCAACATTTTTTAAAGAGGAACTATTGTAAATTACAGTTTCAGAAGCTTTGGTTTAAAACGATTTTACGGCCCCCCCCCCCCCTCGTTATCAATTATTTTTAAGTGATAACTATTCTGGAAAATTTCAGTTTGCGCTAGGACTGAGTCGGATGAGCCCTCAGGGCCACTTGTTCCACCACTCTCGTACGCCGGTTCATCGTGTCGTTTGCCTCAACCAATGCACGGTTTAATGTCAATTGATGTCATTGATCTCCCAGTACCCAACTAAGCTTTTGCCTGATGCGTTCCTCTTACTTGGACGTAAATTTGCCATCACTTGGAATAAAACATTCTTACGCTTTTCGTGCGACGTGTTCTGTCTTTCTCGTGACCGTGCGGCGCAGATCAGCCCCCGAAAAATCGAGTTGGCATTGTTTGTTGAAAGTGACAATATTGTTTTTAGCATTAAACCCCTTCGTTGTAAGCCAGCTGATTCTGAACGGTTTCTCTAGGCCTCAACAATTTTCAGTTTTCGTAGCGCGAAAAACTGAGAGTTTTGCAGCTTCAGGAATACTGGATGTGCAAATTTCGCACTCCAAGATAGATATTTGCTTTGAAACTTGAAAAATTTCGACTGTCCAAAAAATTAAAAAGAAAATCAAGTTTTTCAAGACCTTGACGATAGAATCAAGGTTTCTACTTCCGGTTCAAAAATGGCCCCCACCCTCTCTATAAGTTCTGAATCGAGTTTCTGAAAGCCCTGTTTGAAAAACTTCCAATGAATTGAAGTAAGTCCAGTTTTCTCAAAATGACAACAAATATCTGGAAACTGAAAACTAAATTTGAAGTTCATCTTTTTTCGAAAATTTGAGACCTCTAGTGGCTCACACCTTGAGAAATTTTTTTGCCAGTTTGAAAAAATCTGAATTTATAATAAAACGACTCCTTTTATCAAGTCGGCGCTTTTAAATGACCATAAAAAGTTCCCAAACAGGTCAAAGCTGAATTATCTTTGCTGTATCAAGAAAACTTGCTGCTCAAAAATAGAAATTTTTAATCCGCAATTAGAAGCTATATCTGATATTTCTGGTAAAAAATAATCATAGAACTAATTAAAAATGAATAACCACCCGAAAGCGATAGGCAAATGACAATGGGCTAATTTCGAACTGAGATTGCTAAGATAAAGGGAAAAATTAATGAGAATCAGAATCAGAGATCCCAGGAAAAGAGGTGATGCTTGATGAGCATGTCGGTGACTCCTTGTTTCAGAGGCTCGTCGCCGTTTTTCTGATCCATTGATGACGTCACGACCGTCGAGAGGATACGTTTTTTGTGGCCGGTAAACATCTGAAGATCGGTTTACTGTTTCAAAAAAGAAAATCCAATTAACCCCGTTGCCATTTTTCTTCTTCTTCTTGTCGATTCCTTCGATTTCGAAGCACATTCCAAGATTGAAGGAGAACTGACTGAGCAGTCGGAGGTCGCATTTTATCTGTGAATTTCAAAATTGTCAATGGCAGAATAATTCCTTTGAGAAGTTAATATGCTTTTGAAGCTAACGCACAATATTTTTAAACTTTCTGATTATTTGCTAGATAGAACTTCAAAGCAGATTGATTCTAACGCAAGAAATATTTACTCGATTTCTGTTTCCATATTACGGTGGGTCAAAAATCAACCAAAAAAATGTTTTCTAGTCAGAATGAAGAAATTTCAGTGCACATCTCGGCAAATTCTGAGTTTTTATTGCTCCTAACATCAAATAAACTTCTCACCTGTCGCCATGCAGGAGATCGGATAAAAGCCCAACTGTGGTAATATTTATTCCTTATGTGTTCGTGACTGAAAGTCGCACATAAAAGCTCGAACCACAAATGCAGACACTGTTCATTCACACCAACCACCAACAAAGACCTGGAAATTGATATGACATTATATTAAACCGAATTTCTCAGAACCTCAGTTTCACATCTGGATGGGCTGAAGCAGCGTTGTGTGAATCGTTGACCATTTGAACAGAACGAAATAATAATTCTTCCGGGGTCAACAACTTTCCATCCTGGTCAAGGTTGAATGTGTTGCAAAGTGTTAGCCGAGAATAAACGGAGCTGAAGTTTTTTTCCACCGAGTAATAAGCGATGTCTTCTGTAAATCATAGCTCAATTTTGAGAAATCTTCTGATTTATATCAACCTAGAAATGACCAAGGATGATACGGAGTGCTAGGGTACAAAGCGCTTTCTCTGATCCCATGATCCATTATTTGTCGGAAACTATTCGCTAATCTTCCTAAAATGAAGAATTTGACACGCTCCTTCCAAAAAACTGCAAACCACGAATGTATTCTGTAACTTCCGGGGAAACCGCTTCGTCTCCATATATTGTGTAACTTTTGCCTCTCTCGTCAACGACCTGTACTTGAAACGTTCAGCGGACCTTTTAAAAACCAAGACCTCTACAAATTTCGCGGGAAACCAGCCTCTCAGTCCGTTGACTTCTCCGACCCAACAATGTTCATCTTTCTCGCTAATTATAGTGATGATATCATTCTTTCTGAAAAATGAAAAGATTAGAAATCAGGTCGTCGTTGAAACCGGAATCCCAATTCGTCTTCATCTTGTCTAGCAAAATCCAACAACGCACGGGCCCTTTTGTGTCCTTCACGTCTGCCTTTCAAATAGTTTTCAATATCTTTCGTATGGGATTCTGGGCTGTAGTCAGTCTGAATAGTCCAAAAACGATCATAGAATTGGGAGAAGTAGAACTGACCTGTGTGCACACGTTCATCTCCATTTTTTCATCGCAGCTTATGAAATATCGACAAATTTGAAGAACCGATTCTTTCAAATCAACGAGAATCTCCGTTTGGCGGACGTTTTTCATTTTTGGATCGCTGCTCATCTGCAATGTCACGTTTTGGGAAACAATGGGAAGCCGCATCCTGTGTAAGCCTTTTAGTTGTTTGACTGTCTAAATAGGGGGAGAGAGGGAAACATATCGACTGGTTTCAAACAATTATAAATTGTTCATTGGCATTTCAGCAATTGGCTTTTTCGGTATATCTTTATAACTTACTTCTTCTTTGTTGTGGAAAATTTGTTGGATTATTGACTTTGATCGAGTCAGTTTCCTGCGTTGCGTGGTCTGCTTTGGTAAATTCGTGTCAGTTGTTGTATTTACAATCATTCCCTGATCTGCCATCAAAATCGCCTGAAAAAAAAAGATTAACTTTTATACCATTCTCACTAAAACCTGGTGTTTTTTGCGCAGCTCACTGATGAGATGATCCGTGATTGTGAACTCAAACGACTCCATGTACTCCAGGACTTGATCAACATCATTAACCTGATCAAAAACTTCGTCACTTTTTTTTATTTTTGCTCACCGCATGTGGAATTTGACTGAGAGCGTTGAAAATGTCTGCTGAAGACTTGGTACTGTTCGCAATATCCACAATATAATCCTCTTTGATTTTCAATATTGAAACAATGACCTGAACTTTTTCAAATAACAAAAAAAATGTTTTTTTCACATACTCTGAACATAGTGACACTTCCGTAGTAAAAAATGAAGTCCCAAACACGTAAAAGAGTTAATGTCGGGAAAGACGTTCCGAAAAGAGTGAGTAGCCAATTCACGGTTAGAAGTGATATCTGAAGGATAAAACGTCATGAGGAAAAATCTTAAAGAACTCACTTCAACTTCGTAGTCATCCAAAGCTTTGTTCAAATCCGGGACGTGGCATTTCATCAAATGTCTAGCAACTCTTTCATCCGCCTACAAAAAATAGTAATTTGTCACGACTTGATGAGAATCAGAATGATAGCCTACCTGTAAGCCCAAAAGCGTCTGACTATAATAATTAGGGGGCAAAATGTCTTCAATCAAAGCTGTCATCATCCAAAAAGTGGTCTCTTCCGAACAATACAGTAACAGTGAGGCAACAATGACACCTCAAATTTGAAAACTGATTTTCATTATCACGACAAAAAAAACTCACCCATTCCTTGACAGTATCCGAGATCTGGGTATATGAATGCCACTGCTTTCAAGATGCGCCTCAAAGAGTCGACTCCTTTTTCGTTTTTCTTCCAAAAACAAATATTGGTCGGCATCGTCCGCAGCAGATCTCGTTCAATTTGAACTCCTACAAACATAGTGAGTTCAGATTATTTGTGAAAAGTTTTGCAACCTATTGACGGTTTGTCGAGAGCCGATTGCTTCAGAACTTCTTCATAACTGTAGCCCGCCTTCCTCTGTTTTGTAGTCGCTCCAGTCAACCTAGCCCAGAGAAAAGGTCGCATCGAGTGAGGTATGCCTTAAAATAAAACTAAGAGACAGAAATTTTATAGTTCTGACCTCCTTCTTTCAGAAGTTCTTCAAATTTATCGCCTCTCAACTCTTTCCCGTGAATATGCGACCACATCAACTCTTCTTTAACATCTTCGTGCATGTTTTGAAGCATCGAAATGAACTTCATCCTGTAAACTTTCAAACTAGGACTCTCAAAAAAATGAAAAGTCGGAAGTCCACTCACTTGTGTGAACCACTCTCAATATCCGTTGAAGAACAGGGTTCATTGTGATCTTCTTCTCCAGAGATTTCTTCTTTTCTCAAGTTTTCATCCTTTTTGCGGAAGCCAAACTCGTCGAAACTAAACTCTTTTTTTAGAAGATGAAAATAAATAGAAACTCACAATTCAATAGGATCTTCAATGAAAGGCGGAATCAAATGAGCATTAATTGCTGAGAGTGGAGATCCGTTTAGGGCAAAGAAAGATGAATGCACAGGTTGGTCAATCTGAAAGATTAATAGAAACATTTTTTTAGAAATGTTTCAACGTACTTCTTTAGTGGTTTCAACTACTTTCCGAGCAACTGGAAGGCCGTCGTCATCGTCAAACGATATCGCGTCCGCATATTTGGCGTCTTTTCCTGAAAAAAATGTAAAATGGACATTTTCTTTCGTAAAGTTATTAGAAATAGTTGAGTTTAAGCGTAAATTTCAATTTAAATAACGCACTTACGTGCTACCAATGAAAATAAACTTCCGTAATAGTTTTCGAAAAAAGATTTTTACTCATTCACCGCCAGCTTGAAAAAAATTTTTAGGAAACTTTTATTGATATAAAAACTTGAAAAATAGTTCTGAACCCTCAAAAATGGAAGTTGTTATTCAGAGCAGTTTTCATTTCCCAAAATTTTTCAATCTTAGATGAAACACGAGAATGAAAAAAAGTATTTTTTTGAAAAAAAGAAGAAGAAAAAAATTAGACTCGCCTTTTTTTTATACTTTGCCATGCAGAGACGCCAAAACTGGTATAAACAGAAACGACGAAAAAAGACAAGAAACCCTCTTGAATCGGAATTAACGTTGCGAGGGCGGCGAAGGAGAAGCTGGAGAGTCCAGACGGAGCAAAAAGTCCTTGCATGGCAGCCGCGCCGCAACCGCTCGCCCAAACATCGATAACGCCAGAGCCGGATGCCTGGAGGCGTTGTGGCCGTTAAAATGTTGTTTCCCAGTTTCTTTCGTATTTTTTCGATGATCGTGTTTTCATATTCCAGGTTTTTTCAAAAAAGTGAATGAAAGAAAAGCTTTAAACCAAGCTTTTTTCTGGAGAATTCTAATTTAATTTGGTAGTTGGCTTAAAGTGAAACATTCCATTTTGCCAAATTTTCAAAGAAAAAAACAGATTCAGATGTTTTAGACAGGTTTTCAAAAAATGGCATCGCTTCTGAACTAAAATTATATCAATATGACACTGAAGTCTGATGAGATTCCAGTAAATGTTGTAAGCTGTTAGAATGCAACAAAAGTGTTTATTTTTAAAAAAAATTTTCAACCCTCTCCTCAAGCAAAAAAAAAAAACAGTTATTTTCTTGAAATTCTAACAAAACCAAGTTTATTTTTACAAAATGTGCTTTATCAATTTAAAAAATGATGGATAGCCGTAAATTCAGCATCGAGCTGCTCAGAGAAATGATTCCAAAAACAAAGAAACAACGAAGAACAAAGACGAAATAATTCTAAACAGGAAATGACTAGAATGCCTGAACCGGAAGTAACTGTTCAACAACCAAAAAAAAAAACCCCTAGAACTGACTATTTGATAGGATAGACACTTATTAAACGATAATATCTGGGATACGTTATGCATATATTCTACTCGTAGAACTGAGATAATTCAGAAAACCAACAAAAACGAAAAAGACATGAGTATCATTTAAAAATAAAAAAATGTACAAAAAGAAAAAAAGGGAAGAAGGTATTATTTACTGAAAAGAAGGATATTGATTATTTCACAACTATTGAACATTTTGATCGGCGGACCGAAATAGTTGACTCCGGCGCTCACATAAACCCAAGTTTTTGTTTTTTCGTAGAAGTAGAGACCTCTGAAATTGAAGTTTAAAAAAGATTCTAGTTTTTCGAGTTTTTCAACAGTTTTTCTCACTTTTTCAAGGCTTCTAACTAAAAGCTGAAAATGAGCATAGAAGAACTTTTTTCTTTTTTCCAGGAGATTTCTGAAAACTGTTTCAAAAAGTATATTAAAAATAGATTCTGAAAGATTTCATATACAAAACTTTTTTCCCGAACTAAATACTTCTGAACTATTTCCTATCCATTCACTTCAGTAATAAAGGAGATCATTTCCAAACTCCGAAATAAAAATCGAAAAACCTCGCGAAAGCGTTGGCCAAGTACACAATAGGCACGAACAAATACATCTGGCCTCCGTGTGTGTGTCCTGAAAACGAAAAACTTCCCTTGGAAAATCATGAAATGATAAAACCTGAGAGGATGAGGTCAATGTTCCCGTTGGTCGTCTCGTTTCTCAAAGCCAGTTTTGCAGCATTCGGCTGATGAGCCAGTAACACGACTGTGTCATTCGAATTGCATTCAGATAAGGCTTTTTCGAGATCCATGCCGTGACCAGGAAAACTGAAAAAAAAATTCTGCTTTGAGAAAATAGTAGAAAGGGGGGAAAATCAAAAATTCAAAGAGAAAACTGTCTTCAGAAAAAAGTAACCAAGATCTAAATTCCAGTTCAGGGTGTTAAAGGTAACTTTTACTGTGGTTCGTGAAGTGGATTTTAAAAAAAGCGGAAGTTTTTACGTTTTTACTTCACTTTTATCATGGTTAAGAGAGCCACCCCGGAAAAATCTCAACTAAATCTTTGAATCTCAGAGAAGTGTCAAAACCAGTTTGCATTTTCAAAAACCATCCAGAAACGTTTTTGAATTTTTTTTTGTCCCACAAAGTGTCTCAAACTCACTGCGAACGAGCAGCATACAGGTCATCAGCTCCGGCAATGCACATTTTGTGGCCTTTGATCACTTTACGAATGCTCTGATTGTGCAAAATCTGAGAATTTCTGTATAAAAAACACAGTAAGTCACGGGAAAGACCGTGATGTTGCAAAGTCTCAGAAAGTCAAACCACTCGGCGACGTTTCCATGCATGTATTCGTGATTCCCTAAAAGAACTTTCCAATTTCAAATCAGGTCATTTGAATTTTTGATTTAGAAACAAAAATTTTCAAAAAAATTTTTCTCATTTTGAATCAAAAAGGCATTCCTCAAATTTTTTTATATGATTGATGAAAGATTCCAGTGCATTGAAAAAAATCATAACGAACGTCTGAAAAAAACATTCCCGAGAAAAATCAGAAAAAAACCTGAAATCGATGTGATTATACTTTTTTTCTTTAATGTCATCAATTTTTTTCAAAAATGTCAATATGACTAAGAAAAAAATCTAACCGGTGGCAAAAATAAACGCCATAAGGAGCATGAAGATGACAGAGAGGAGCTGCAGCATTGCCAAAATCGCGGACCATTCCATCGGCCAAATCACCGGCGATTGCAATAATATCTAAAAAAAACTCCGAATATATCTTCATTTTTTTAAGATCAAAAATTACCCGGCTTGAGTTTATTAGTCAGCTTGACGATAGTTTCCATGCGAGTTCTGCCGACCGACGGACCAATGTGGATGTCCGACAAAAGGGCGATCGAAATGTTCTCACTGCCATCGGAAAACTTCTGGAAAAAAAGTCGTGAAATAATGAATAAAATTGCTTTAGCTTACCCTCATTGGGATGTCCACATCGACATAAACGGGGTTCATTCTCGTGGAAACGAGTCCTCCAAACATGAAGAGCATTCCACAAACGAAGGCCAGCAAGATGTGGTAACTACGGCTGCGTCGCAAATACCTGAAACAGGATTGTCAAGAAAAAATGAAATTATCTTTTTTGTACCTTATCTAACGTTCTTATCTCCTTAACCTTCTTATCTTCCTAACCATCATTATTTTGAAAAAAAATTTTGTTATTCAAAGGTAGTATCAAAAGTTGAAAAAGTGGTCTCTATAGAGGTAAAATTAAGGTGGTTCCTATAGGAATTCAGGATCTGACCTCTTAGCCCCTAAAGCTCTAGTAGGACCTTTAGGAGACCTTTTTTTAGCCCAAAAACGTATGTTTATTCAGTTTTTCTTGTGAAAATGCTTCTTCGCATATAGTTCATAATAATTATCCACAAGTATGTTTCCTATGGTTGCCCCTATAGGAACCACTCTGAAGTTCCTAAGCATTGTCACAAGCTGAACCATTCCAACTGATCTAAATGTGAACATTTTCTTTTCTCTTCTCAAAGAAAAATTCTTTTCCTGATTAAACCCTCATTCCAATTTCCTTTTCTTTCTGCTTCAATTTCTTGGAAAAGTTTTAATTATTCCTCGACCGCCTTTTAAGACATCTTCGTGAAATTTTCCAAACCATCGTTGGATAATTTGGAAAATATCATGAAGATGTTATACATATATTAGTATACAACTCACATGTAGACGCTGTTGTTGAAAACACATTCGTGGAAAAACTGCATCGAGTAATAAATGAAATCGGCGAGAAGCAAGAAGAAGAAAACGTGCAGGAAAGCTGCCATCGCACTCAAGCAGACCAATGCGAAGAGGTTCGGCTCAGCTCCTGAAATTTATTATTTTCAAAGTTTCCTCTCCATTTCTTTATAAACGCTGATAACATCAGCGAAGATGGACCATCAAAGTATCAAAGTAAAGTAAGTAATATTGTTACAAATTGAACCGAACCAGCTCATTTTTGACCAAATTGTGAAAACCACTAACCTAGAAAGATGTAGTAGAAAAGAAATGATAGATGGCTGAGAACCAAGAACATGACGACAGCGGATCTGGCGACGTCGTGCATGCAAATTCTCCTCCAACGCCACCGGGCAGGCATCGGATGTTCGTGGTCCGACGGCAGAAGATCACTAAAAACAGTCTTTGAGTGAAATTATTGAAGAAGAACTCATAAAATTTAAAGTTTTTTTGAGTACAAAACTTCTCGTATTGACTTTGGAATGCGGTAATGAAAAAAACTTAAGCTGACCTTGGTATCATTATTTTTTTACGCTTGCTGGAAATTTTATAGAACCGTATTTTTCATTGAAAAATTATGATTTTTTTGCTTGGGAAAAACTTGAGGGTTCAGAAATAGGAATATAATTTTTTTCACAAACTCTTCTGGAAAAATAAATTTTTGATTCAACAAAAAAAGAAGTGGCTGAAAAATTTTTTTGATGATCATCACTTTTTTTAAAAATTTACTCGTTGTTCTCACGATTGCAGAAGATTTTTTTAGAGACCAATTTTAAAATATGAGCCAAGAAAGCTTGTTTAAAAAAACGCTACTTTTTGAAAATGGGTTATAATGAACTTCAAATTTACTATTTTTATAAAATTCTTTTTTTTTCAATTTTCCTCACTTCTCTCCTCATAAAACGAAAGGCTTATGCAAACACTCTCAAATTTGGGACTCCTCCTACTAAAATGAAAACGAAAGACAATAATCTAATCAAAAACCAACCAGACGGCGTGCGAGAGCCGGCTCCAGATGTACAATGAGCCAATCAACATGACGCATTCAGTTGTGACGATGGAATGGATACGAACGACGCGGTAGTAGGCAGCTCCTTTGGAGATGAATCGTAGAAGGATCATGAAGCCTTGCAGACAGAGCACCAAGAAGATAAAGGCATTCCTCGTCGTGACCCGCATTTCCGTCCGCTCGGCACAGTGGCTTGACCACTTCATTTTGAATATTTCGCAATGACGATAGCGAAGACAAAAACGAGCACGAGGTAAATGAAGGGAAACAAAGTGCGCAGGGAGAAGTGTTCATTGGTACTTGCAAAAAACTGGTTTTTCATGATATTCGTCATCAATGAAATACAGAACGAAGACACAAGTTGAAATTTAAACACCGTTTACAACTAAATAATTTTGAAATATACTATTGATGCAATTTTTTTGTAGTTTGTGCTTGAGTGAACTTCGCCAAACTTCCTGGATCGGTAAAAAAATTTTTCGAAGGAAAAATTTATTTTCGAGTGAACATGCGTAATAAAAATCTTGAAATGCTGGAATGCATTGGTTAGTAGCAAAAAGGCTCAAATGAACTTAAAGAATACCCGTTTTTGAGAAAAAATTCTTCTTGCAAAACTCCGTAAACTCGATGTGGAAAAGTCGCACGTTTCTGAAGACATAAATCAAAAAACGGAATACAAAGAAAAATAAGTTAAAAAAAAGAAAAGTCAAAAAAGAAGCAGTAGCAGCAAACTTTTGCGTAAATTGCGGCAGCCGGAGCCGTTATTTGGAGCTTTGTTTTACGACAGAGCGCGGTTATCAACTGGTGCGATAAGCTAATAAGCAAACAGGAAATGTACTTTAGACGTTTGTGTTATGATTTATGTTCTGAATCACTTGTATGACGTATTCGATGGATGAAATGGAAGGAATAGTATTCTAAATAGGAAAAAGAGCAAGGAAGGAAGGTTTCCGTAGTTTAGAAAAACTTAAAATGTTTCCTGTATTGATTGAAAGTATGTTTTAAAGTTTAATCAAAAATTGAAAAAAAGATGCGTCATTTTAAATAATAAAATTATATTTTTCAAACTTATAATCAAAAAAATTACGAGTAAAAACCAGTTCTCTTGACCGCTCTTCCATTAAAATAACGGGAAAAATGAATTAACCTTTGTTACCACAATTATCAAATCTTTAATAAACGGAATTTCAACGATTTGTGAACCAAAGCATGGAGGAATTTTTTTGTTTGTTGAAATTGTTTTTTAATATACTTTCAAAAAAAGAAACAATATTTTTTTCAATTCAAAAAGCCGGTTGGCGTTTTCCAATTGTCAACGATAAAAAAATGAACAAAAAAATAAATTTAGTGCCAATTTTCCAAACTCCAAAAAGAAGAGGCCAATTGAAGCGGAAAAAGTAAATTTACACTTTAAATTTGATTTATGCTAGCATAACTTGTCAAAAACGACTTCTGGTTTTTGATTTTTTTAATAAGTTGAATTCAAATTTCGAACATATGAAGACAAAAATTAATTTTATTTTCTCAACCATAAAAAAATATAAGTTTAGAAACGGGAATATTAAGCAGGACCTTTGCAAAAATAAGTTCACTTCATTTATTTTTTCAACGAATTAACTTTGATACACAATAAGATAATCGCAAAAATAGCTGCACAACACTTTTTTTCAGGTTCAATTATGAGATTTGCGGCGAAGCTGTTCTACACGGTTCCACCTTTCAGAAGCTTTTGGCACGCAAATTCCCGACAACTTGTTTTTTTTTTAGATTCTGTTTTCGTATTTTTGTCACTACGCTTTATTATTTTCCTGCCTTCTTTTCGTCATTTTGACATCATTCTTATTTTCCTCTATTTCTTAAGCAGAATTGAGAAGTTGTGAGTTGACTGCATTCTAATGGATTGACTAGAAATAAATTTGGAAAAAATTTTTTTTGCAGTTTTTCAAGCTTTTTTGATTCATCTTCTTTTACTTTTGGCTCTTCAATTTGTTCTATTCTGTGCAATTCGGATGTTACCATAAATAATGAAAAAGATTCTTTTCGCACTGAAATTTTTGGTTTGGACATTGGTCCGTCTGGAGAAACTCGTCTTTTTGAGAAAACTTCAGCTTTCGGATAGTAAAAAAATGACAAATCATCAGACGCTTTGACGGAAATATCATTCGAACGTCAAATAAAAAACAGCGATTTCGTACTACTTTGTTAGTACAAATGATTAATTGCCGGGAAGCGAATTGCTAATAAGCCAGTCAGGCAAATTTCATACGTTGTCTCGAAGATAATTGGTCTAATCTCAACGACTAAACGATGATGTGCGGGAGATGACACGCAGTAATCACGAACACAGACGTCGTCTATTTCGGCTCGTTTTCATTTGTTCCTGGAGCGGCTCCTTTGTGCATTTTTGACTTGAAAAAGCATGATTTCCCTCGGAAAGGCTAGATATTTTTTGTTGTCCACCGTCTCCTAAAAAGCGTCCATTTTGAACGAAGTATCTTTTTTTTATTCACTACGATAAAAATTCCTTACTTCCGCAGAACTTTCTACTGAATGATAAAAAAAGTTTTGAAGACCTAAATAATACAAAAAAAGTTATTTTTATTTGAACAAAAAAAGCCGGAGACCCCAAAAATCACACTTAAAGTTTATTTTTCTAAAAACAAATCGCGATATCAATGAAATCTCCAATCAATGGTCTTTTCTCTGAGCTCAAACTCGAAAATGTTCCCCGAGGAAGTCTGTGAAACGGCTGTCATGGAGGACTTGAGCGGAGCAATTGAACAAAATGAACGGTTCTCTGTGGGTACTCGTCGCGTCGGCGGCCCTCTGTTGTTTCATTTCTCCCGAGCTTCCATCAAATTTCCGCGTTTATCATTGATTGACTTTCTGATTGCGAGTTTAGTTTTTTTCTGGTGCGTCAAGTGAAGTTTTATAACTGATCAGAGCTGTGCACTGCAAATATACAAGCGCCCTTCCTAAGTTTTCCGTTTCTTCCCACTTTTTTTGGATGAGTTATGAAACTCCAAAATAAATCCAGACCATAACGAATTTCTATTTCAATCACTGATATCTTCCTTATCACGTTTTTCTTTTCAGTCCAAGTGTTTGAAAATTTTTATCCAACCAATAATCCTTGCCTTTTTTTTTGATTTTTCACAAGATCATCCGACAAACCATCAATTTTTCAAGATTTTATGTGTTAGACAGAACATCATGTGTATTTGGTCCAGAAAAACAAGGAAAGAGGTAAAGCACCTTTTCCATTTTGTCACGCGATGTCAAACCTGAAATTTTCCTTCCAAAAATTTTGCAAAACGCGATTTTTTTTTATTTGTTTTTTTTTTGTACTTGTCAGAAACTCAAGCAAAGTTTAATGAAATGAAAAGAGGTTTTAAACAGGAAAGTTAAAAATTAAAAATCCCACGCGCCTGTAATAAATGTGCCGAAAGATGAAAAAAGATTAATGCCAGGCGGCGAAATCGTAAAAACCTGAGAAATGCGAAACGTAGCCCATCTGGCAAAGTTGTGGACCATCAGTCGGATGTTGTATGCTCGACTTGAAAAGAAGCAACATTTAACGATCACAATTTTCGAAAAATGCCGGCGTACACCGTTCTCCTGAAGTATTTGAAACTCCCTACTTTTTTTTTCTTCTCATACTTTGCAGTCCGAGTATCAAATCCCAGTTCTACTCGATGCAAACCACTCAATTGTTACGTCCGTATCGCTGACAGTTGTTCTACTCGTAAAGACGGGAACAGCCCCTGTCTTGATGTTATAATGCATCGAAGGCTCATTCAAGAGGAATCCCTTCAAAATATAGTTTCTGTTCCTTTTTACATTTTGCACATAGATTGTTTTTCCTCAAAAGTTAAGGTACAAAAATGATCCTAATTTTTAAATAAGATTATTCTCCAGGTATCAACAGTGAAAAACAAATGGATATTGTTCAAGCCAATTAATAATATTTTTTTGATTTGCTACTTAAATTACCGTCTTTTCCACTTTCAGAAATCTTATAAATAAGTAGAAACTTCTTTCTCTAAACACCCATTTCAAATAATCTTCAAGTTTTTTTCTCATCTCCTCATATCTTTTGTTAACTTAAGTTATGAAGCGAGAATGTCTACTTCTAGAAACATTCACCGCTAAACCTACATTGACTCGAGTTCTTAAAGCTTCTGCTAATTTCTGATGTTAAACATTATTCTTTTCAAGAGATTAGAAACTTTTTCTATTAATGGGAACGTCTTATGGTTAAAATAAATCTTTAGCAACCCGAAAATTAGCTGAAAAATAAAAAAAAATCTTAAGGTTTTGAAATTAGATTTATTACTGCGTTTCGGAACTTTCCAGAATTTTAACCAAGATGTTTTATGATAATTTTGAAATTCCCAATCTCAAAAAATGAGTAAGTCTAACAGAACCCTGTGATATTGACGAACTTGTGAAGTTTATGACTTTTATAATATTTTCTACTACATTTTTCAAAAAGATTAGTGGTAAAAAACAGTATTTTTTAAAACTTGATTTATCGCTTTTTAAACTCCATTTTCAACAAGGAACCTTGGAAAGTCAACTTTTTCAACGATCGAAAATCTAGTAAACGCCTATAAATGATTGCTAATAAACTTTCTATTGCACTACATGTTTCTCGCATTTCTTTTCAGGGAATTTTCAGTTATTCTCAACTTTAAAAAGGTGTCTTTTCTCTCATTCCGACCCTGTTGAACTTTACGCTTGTAAAACTTCAAATTTTGTTCACAGAAATTTTATGCTAGCTTCACCGAAAATGAAGCACTTTATATTGAGACCGATTCTCATCCAGAAGGCGCTGGCTATGATGGTTGATTGGACTGTGATAGTAGTCTTCATTTCCACCCAAACCGTGTACGGACCCAAAACGACTTACGCGCCGCTGCATATTTGTGTGGCGGGGCTAAATTTTCAATAAGCGTGACTGATTTTTTATACCTTAGTTTAAATATACCGTACAGCCTTTTTTTCCGTTAAAGTTTCCAAGGACAGATAAACATAAAATTTTTCAACCGTGTGAAACGAACTTCTCCTTTGCCGCAATCAATACAAAATCAAGTTCTGTACGCTAAACGGTTATCAAAACTTTGATCTCATTAAAGTTCCCTCAAGTCATTTGCCTTTGTCTTTATTGTCGGGCTAAAAAACGGAAAAACGGAGCATAATACCCCGAGCTTGTTGACTTTGCACACAACGATCCCTTTCGCCACTGTATTGGCCGTTCCACTTCAATTTATTTTGATTGGTGGAAAAAATTGCCGTCTACGTCGGTTTTTCTGATTTGCCTTTGTGCTCTGCCCGTTCTTTCTTTTCTGAATATAAAATGATTGCCTTTAAGGTTTTCAGTTCTATTTTCCGTTTGAAGTACTATGTCCAAATTTTGGAAAAAAATAAAAAAAGAAATTCGACGCTTTTTCAAAAAAATTAGAAATTACACATGATTTTTTTATATTTCTAATTTCAGCTGCTCGCCTTTTTTTGTGGAATTTGGAATAGAAACACTTTTTTGTTGCGTACGTTTCTTTGTCCTCTCTGGACCCGAAACAGGAATGTGTGAAGTTGAGAGAAAAATGGATGTGCTCAAAAATACAAACAGGTCTTTGAAAAATTCAAAAATAGTGATTGAAAAATCTCAATTTGAAGCCTTCAAAGAGGAAATGAAAACTTGTTTCTTCACGCAGACTTTGGAGAGTTTTTTTTTATATTTTCCAGCTTTAAAAATAAGCGGAGGTGCAGATAAAATGAGTCATTCCTATAGGCTGCTCATATTTCATCAAGTCCCTGTGACTAAAATAAATCGGCGTCATGACTGTTTATTGAAACATTCAAAGTTTTTTGGAGCTATCTGAGGACATTTTTTTGGTTACATTGTGGATTATAATACTATATGGAAAAAAAACGTTCTCACAACAAAAAATCGATTATGAACGATTACGAACTTTCAATTAATCTCCAACAACGTGATGGAATCTTGAAAGTCGGTGAAATCAAAATCATAATGATATTTAATTTTGTTTCCGAACTTGATAAAAAAGCTTTTCGGAATCTTCTCTCATAGAATTTCAGTTGCAGATAGACCAGGTTGAATCCTTCGACTTCAAAAGAAAAATTGGATTTCTAACAGGATTTTTTCCTAGCCTGATTAGAATTATTCATCGTTAATTCTTTTAATGTTGGTGGGTTTAGTAATGATGGAAGCAAAGAGGGCTATCGTGGCAGTCATCACGATATTCCTGGCAATCGGCGGCCCGTACGTATCGAATAGCGTGTGAAAGCGTCTACGGATTGCACTGAACAAGCCCGTTTCGTATAAAGCTCTTCCAGTCAAACCCTTTTGTTTTCGTTTCTCCTCCACTTTGTACTACAGTTCTCCTATTTCACTCCGAGCTGTGAAATTTCCCCTTCCCCCTGCAAACGATTTATCCGAAAAACTGCCAAAATCCTGATTGGACAGCTGCGGTATTGTCCACAAGACTATTCTTGTCTATTGACCAAGCACTTTATTTCTAATTAAGAGTAGAAACAACAGCCACCAAACGGCATCCCACGTGAGAAAATCAAATTTAGAATCTCTCATCAGGTCCCACGCGCTCAATCTGGCTTTCACGCGGTTGCTCAAGAACAATGTCTATTTTAATGATCATTGTTTATTTTCACTGTTTTCTTTCATGTTTACGGCTTATTGAAGTTATCCGGAAGTTGAGCGTATTGATAAAAGTTCAACATGGATAGAAAAATTCAGAAAAACCCAAGGATCAGCAGATTTCAGTTCACTTACAAGGGAGGTCATTTTACCTTACGGTTTGTAATTTTCTACAAATTTCCTCTAACATTCTTTCAAGATATGGATGAAAATACCTTGTGAAAATTTTCAGAATTGCAAATTATAAGTTTTGAGACCAACTTTCCGAACTTGAACATCAACTATCTCAAAAACTAAAAGCTGGCATGGGTTGCAACTTTGATGGACCTTCATATAATTCTTCAGAGATCATTTGAGAAGAATTTGTAGAAAATTCCAAACCGTCGAATAAAATGATTTCCCGTGTTAGATCAAAGTTTAAACCATTTGAAATCAAAAATGACATACCATGAAGCTCAAAATTGATGAACAAGTTTTGAATATATTTATCAACTTTTTTTTCAGCTATTTTTTTATCTACTAGATTACAAACTACACTTTTTATAGAAAAAACTTAGGTTTCTGCGCTATGAATTCATTCACGGGGCGCGAATCTTCCTGCAAAAGCTCTCATTTTTACCTCAGTTGCTTCGAAAAATTGCTCTCTTTGAGCTGAATTTCAAATTCAAAATTCTTCGTCACCTTTCAGTCGCAGACCAAGTAAAAAAGGACTAGATTGCAAAATTATACTTTTTTATTTTAATGCATGTTCTCATTTTCAGTTTCGAATGAACTTTTCCATTTCCGAGGCTTTTACTTCTTTTTGCTTTAATGATACTAATATTTGGAGAAAGGCTTCTTCTTGGTTTTGATCCCATTTTTTTGGCTTGTTGTTGCTTTTTTCACGATTCGTGTTGCTTTTCGTAAGAAAAGAGCATTGAAAACACCCTGAGTAATTTCTCCACCTTGGTTGAATATTTTTCACGAACACCGTTGTTAGTATAGAAGGCGGTCCTTAAAGAGAAGCCCAATTTTGGAGATCATAGAGATCATCCCGTATCAAAGCTTTGTCTAACGGCGTACTCAAAAAAAATCCGCTTTTTTCTTCAAACAGAAACAATTTTTTTTTCCTCATTTTCCGTCGAAAGGTTTTCTCCATTTTTGTTTTCAGTGATAGTAACCCTGTCAAACAAAAGCTCCTCTAATTGAAGCCCTGACAAATTTCGCTTTTTCTCTTTCATCATTTTTTTTTCATTTGTGTCTGATAAAACGAGAAACCTTATCCGCCATAAAAATTCTCTGAGCTCAAAAAAGAGAATATAAAAAGAAACCATTTTTTTAATAATCACACTCTTCAATTCAGAATTTGAACAAAAGCCAAAATGGAAGGTTTCTTTCGGGCTCCGCCCCCACCTACGTTAAGCGTGAAAAATATTTCAGCTACTGCAAGGCCAGAAAAAAAGTTTGCTTTTCGGCAGTTAGCGAAACCCAATCCTCTGGGGCAAGCTGTTTTTAGTTTTGAATATAGGCTCCGTATGAAATTGATCAATTTGTATATTAGTGACCATTTAGATGTTTTTTATAAACAGTGAAATCGATTTGTAGTTCAAGGTTACTCGGAAAAATACGCATAGATGTACTAAGCTAAGGTACATAATTTTTTTCCATACTGTTGAATTCTTCAAATTTTTCTCGTATCTATTAATTGTGAACGTCACTCGAAATTTTTAAAAACAGTTAAATAGGATCGAATTTGTTGAAGCTTTCGCCAAGAAGCACATTTTTATCAGCGCGTGTTATCAGCCTGTGGCCTCGAGAACTACCTATGACGACACTTTTTGCATATTTCATTCTTTCTTGTTTTCTATCAAATCTTGAGATTTTTAGGCTACGTCTTTCATTATTTCCGAAGTTCTATTTGATTTTTCTTTTCGATTATTGTTTTTTGCCCGAAAACATTTAGTCGAGTTAACAATGTCAACTCAGAAAAAGAAGTTCTACTGAAAATGTGAACACGAAACTATTCCAAGTCTCCAATTTTTGCACAACCCTAGAATTAAACGTTCCCTTTTTGAGGGGAAAAAACTTGAGAAAATACTAGAAGCAATGCAAAATTTGGAAAACAATATGATTATCTCGTTTGCGTAATATTGGCTCTGAGAAGAAGCAAAAAAACTGGAGCAATCTGAAAAAAATAAAAATTATCATATTATTCGGGATTAATTTTGGGTAACTTTGAGTACAATTATCATTTTTTTTTTCATTGTACATTTTTGCTACTCTTTACAAATATCAAAAACAACAAACTTCTAATGAAAATAAATCGAAAAAGGTGCAAGTTTTCTTCAAAGCAACGAATCTCGTATTTCAAACGCACTTATAGGAAGTTCAAAAAAAAAAAAGCTTGTAAAGTTGAATTCTATTTTTCTTCACAGGCTCGAGGATCCAGTTTCAGGGGCGTCCGCCTTTCTCAGCCCATTTCTTATTGTTTTATCTACTTTCAATTTCGTTTCATCATTTTTTTGAAAGCTTCCTGTTTTGGTATTTCTCTCTCAAACTTCTCAATTAGAATTTGAGGAAAAAAACTAAAAAAATAAAACTTGATTTTTTTCACCACGAGATTTTTTTCAAATCAAAAAAATTTTTACGGAACAACAAAAACTGAAGAAGTTTTGATGACTTTCCTTCAAAAACTCATAAAAAAACGTCAAAAATACAAATGAAATCTTTCAGCGATCTTACTTAAGTTATTTTTTTAAAAAGTAAGATGTGACTTTGTTGGAAACTTCTTTGGCTTTTTCCGCCAATTTTTTTGAAATGGGTTGATAAGCGGAAATCTTGTCGGCAAAGTTTTATTCCTGCTTTTGATGTTTTTGTTCTTTTTTTCTATTTTTTTCTATTTTTTTCATTCATATTTTATGGTTTCCCACTACTCCTTTGGCTGAGGCTGACAAATCAGATTTTTTTTTATTTTCTAACCGCGAAATTTCAAGTCAAATTATTCAAGACTCGAAAAAATCCCACTATTTCAAATTTTCGCTTGACTGAATATGAATTTTTATTTCAGAAAACGGATTTTAAACACAGTTGATATCTCTGGGTTACAGGAAATAACGTTGAACTTCATATCTCTGAAGCTGAAGTTAAAAAAGGGACTGAGATATCGAAATTTCAAAGTTGAAACAATAAGTAGTTGACTAAAATGTCAAGGAAACCTCAATTTTTTCCTAAAATTAAAAAATTGTCAAATATTCTACACTTTCATATCCACTTGTTACAAACCTGAAATAGTTCGTTGGAACAACCTCATCTCGTTTTCTAGCCCCTGCAACCAGACAAAAACGCAATATATTGTCTTGTAGGCGTGGTCCAACGAACTGCGTCGACGCCTCCAGCGACCGCCCCTCGAACCTCATAACTCGGCGGCTTGCGACCGTACCTGCGATGCGAGAATGAAGGTGCAAGTGGACACGATCCTGGTGATTAGCGTCTACTCGGCGCTGGCCATCACCGGCCTCTTCGGCAACGTCTGGGTGTTGATGACAGTCTGGTCCCAGCTTCTCGGCTGCGGCAACACCCGCGGCAAGCCTTACAAGTCCGTGGTCCAGAACTCAGCCTACATCTACTTGCTGCTGCTTTCGATCGTCGATCTTATTACTCTGATATCAGTGCCCATCATTGTATCAGACATTTATGCCAACAGATTCCCTTTTGGCATTGCCCTGTGCAAGTTGATGTTTTTTTGCGAAGGAATCAACAAGACGTTGAGTCCGATGGTGCTGACAGCTCTTTCGGTGGACCGATTCATCGCCGTCTGCCATCCGACCCTGCACTGGATGCGCCAAACTCTATTTTCTACGCTGGTCATTGTTGTTTGTTTTCTGTTTTCACTGGTTTTCATCATTCCTATCATATCCAACGCCGCCATCAGCACGATGTCGGACCAGAACATGCATCAAGTCAACAAATGCGCTCTTGTCAGTCCCTTTCTCTTCGACCTGATGCACACCGTCGTGTGCTATCTGATGCCTCTTACTGCCATTTGTGGCGTTTACTTGGCGATCCTGCGGAAACTCTTCATCCATACGAGATTTTCGACTGTGGGACAAAAAACGAGCATTTCTTTATCTCGAGTCGTCAAATGCAGCGTCATGGTAGTGGCGTTCTACTTCATCTGCTGGACACCGTATTGGACGGCTCGAACCTACTATCTCCTCACACCAGGTAAGCTAATGCACCTTTAAGTCGATTTTTCGAAAAGAATGTTTTTTTATTGTTTTTCATTGAAGTTTTTGTTCTTGTCTGTGACTCTGGGAACTCTATTTTGTATAGCTCATTTTAACTTCTAAGCTCCAACCCCGCGCCGGTTTCACGGAATTTTTGAGTGAACTATCTTTCTTTCCTTCAAGTGGAAACCAGCTTGAAAATAAGGAACGTTAAAGTGCGCTTCGAGTGGACAGCTAATCTTGTGAAAAGCGGCCCGCATTTGCAAAAAGTTTTCTAGCCAACCCATTTTATGGAGGTTTCGCTACCTTCTCCGGATTTCAACCTTGAAAATAATATAAACAAATAAATGAAAACTTTTTCATTTGCATGATCAAAACTCTCGATCACAGGTTTTTTGAAAGTGTAACAAATCTCATAAACTCAGGAAATTTCGAGCTGAGAAGAAATTTATTTTTTTTCAGATCGTCATCAGATCGAAATCGAGGAGCCGGAACAACCCGGGATTTTCGACTCCACCATTTTCATAACGATTCGAGGGATCAAATTTGAGTTCGACGGACGGATATTCATAATGTACATGCTACATGCCCTTCCCTACTCACAAAGTGCTTTCAACTGGCTTTTCTACGCATTTCTCAACAGAAACCTTCGAAATTCCACGTTGCGATGCACCAACGGCACTCGTTCTGCTGGAACGAGCACCATAATGGAGAATGGGGGAGGGGTCACAGTTTCGACTGGATTCACACCGATTTGGAAGAATATCCAGCAGATGGGCACTCAGATCAAGTCTGCAGGCATCGACACTGGAAATGCTCTTCTCAAGATGTCGCCGTTCCGCGGTCGCTCTCGAATTCAATCCAGGCATGTTTTTTGTTGTTGGACAATTGACTTTTCTGTACGCAATCTGTGCTCCAGACAAAAGCAATTATTGATGAAGAAATCGCGTTAAGTAGCCTTTTTTCTTGTTTGGCTTGTCTAAAGAGCAAAACAATTAGTCTCTCTGACTTTAGAAAAAAAAAGTTTAGGAGTTCAACTTGTCTGGAGTACTCGAACCACCTGAGCCTGCCTCCGCAGGCCTCTCTCAGCACCTCGTTGCTGGACATCCCTCGACGACCGTCTTTGGTGCCACGGCAAGAACCTTCGCTTGTTGGAAAGGTAGAAGTCGATCGGATAAAATTCGTATATTTCGATTAAGGCGCTCTCTTTCAACAACTTGCCGCAGTACCACGTCATCGACCAGAAAGAAGACACTTCTCCCAGTGTCTCAGAAAGTTCTTCCGTTGAATGGCTGTGATCAAATGTTTTCTTTTAACGATCAAATGTTCCAAAAATGACAGCAGAAGCCCTGAGAATCAAGAAAAATTATTTGATTTGAATCCAACTGAAGTCATCTTTTAAGCACATGCAAGATCATGTGGAATAAATTGCGAGATTGCGTCGGTGGAACATGTGAATGAATAGATAATTGAAACCCAAAAGCTTCCTTTTTGATGCAAAAAATGAATCATTTTTCAACATTTGATCGTTCATTGTTTTGTTTTGAATTTTATCATGAATACTTGTGTAGGTGTTTCATATCCTTATTTCTTCTCATCTATTTTGACGTTGTCAGTTTGCAATCCGGTGTATTTTTGATTTTCTTTTTTTTCGATCCGTTTATGGGTTCAAAATTCTCTTTGAAGGGGTCCTACGACCAAAAACTATCCGTGTGTATGTACGTTGGTTGCCATACGATTTTGCATATTACATGGCCCTTCTGTCCGATTTTCTTACCGGTGACGGCTTAATGTCGATCAACTTGCCAAATATACACACTTCACCATGTATCTTCTTTTTCATGTCGTTTTTACTTGAATCTAGATGAAATTCCATGTGTCACGATCTCTTTTTTCGCTTGTATTTTTATGCAACAGAAAATATCGAATAAAATGCTTTTTATGCAAATCCTCAAACCATGCAAAAACAATATGTGATTTTCATGCAAATGGAATGTTCCACGGTCAAAAATCAGAAGCAGACTGTCTCCAGAATCGCAATAAGAAAAAAAACGACTGGACTGTTGGAGAATTTTCGGTATAGTCCTGAAAGTGTCATTGCGAAGGACTACTCGATTTCATGAAGGCTGCAAGAGATTTCTGAATGGAGAAAACAAGTCTCTGCCTCGTTCATTATCAACCAGTATTTGTTTAAGTATCAACTTACATCCCAACTATTCTTCATTTTCTGAGTTACATTATTTTGTGAGCCGCCTAGTTAGTTTTTCTCTTTCCAAAATTTCCAGGACACAGACAAGTTGTAGCGTAGAGTGACACCCACTTTCATCTTCATGATGAAGAAGCTTTCAATGAAGTTTTTTCCGAGAACTGCGATAGTCAGGCCGGTAATTCATCTCGCGAAGCTGAAACGGGAACGCTATTCTCAAATTAACGGGCCGAGATTTCTCATTACGGTAACTAAATTCATTAAAGAAGATGAACAGCTCAACCTTGCCGGATTCTCATTAAATCTCTTTTTCCTTTGTTTGCAGAACTGGTGGAGACAAAACCTGGAATAAAAGAAAGGAAGGAGGCCAATCGTTAATCTGATAAAAAAAAAAATTTTTTTGACGATTATGCTACGAAATTTTTTTGACTGAATTGAAGAAGTAAAGAGCCCGTCACAGTGAGCCGCGCTTTAGTTTTTTTAAATGTTTTCACAAAGAAATTCTTGAAGGCTGACTTCAATAATGACTTAGTCTAGAAAAAAACTACGGCATCTGACTAAAAAAATTTTCCAGAGTTAATTTTTCAATGCGTAGACTCTGAGAAAAAAACGTACTCAGGAAAAATTTGCTGATTCACAGACATTGTAAATCAAAAATTAATGAAGCAATATGCTGATGTACCCAGGACTTCGTATGCACATGGAGGTGTCCAAAAACGACAAAAGATCTGCACAAACAATTGGACGGGAATAACTCATTAGTTCTTTTCAGGGTGACGCAGGCAGACACAGTAGTTCCCCGAGCCTAGAAGTTCAGTCAGAAATGAAAAATATTCTTGAAAACCTGTGCATTTCAGAAGTGGCTTAAAAATAAGAATATATGCCGTGAAATTCAGATTATACTTTTTCAGATAATCGTTTTCAGAAAATTGAAATTTGTATTGGCTTTTGCGTGATCATTTTAAAATGCCCCATAAACTTAAATTTCTGAGAAATCCTATCAAGAATATCTCAAATGAAACAAAGCGATAAAGTAGCATCATGAAAAGAAGATAAGGTTTATGTCTCGAATGAAACCAGATAAGCTAGAGTTGGCAGTCATGGTTTGCGCCGGTTGCATTGCTTTTGCTGTTATTGTGGCCTCAATCGCCTATTATGGTTTGTTAGAGCTTGAAAATGTTTGCACATGACTTTGAAATTTTCAGTCTGGCGATGGGCTCTGGATCAGAAGCTGACCCAGCTTTCCAAACGAACGGTTGCGATCTCCGGCTGCGACTCTGGATTTGGGCATTTATTGGCGATTAAGTTAGTTTCGCTCGGAGTGCCAGTAATTGCTGGGTGCTACAGCTCAAAGGTAAATGGAGGCGATTATTCAGTTACCTCGGCATAGTGCTGCTGCTGATAAGAGAAAGGACATTGGCTAGAAATTTGTTGATATTCGAAGAATCATTTTCCCTTGTTAAAAGAGAAAACAGTAATGTAACTTAAGGGAGAAGAAGATCTCAAAAAAGCGGTCAGAAATTCGAAGCTACTTACAACTTTCCCTCTGGATGTCAGCAGTGACGACAGTGTGAAAAAGTTTGCGACTCAAGTTGGAGAGACTGTTGGCAAAAATGGTTCATATCTGTTTCCACTTATCACCTTTACCTGCTTCAGGTCTATGGGGAGTCGTCGCAAACGCTGGCGTGTTGGGAAATTCCGGACCTGATGATTGGCTCAACGCAAATGATTACATACAAGTAATTTCCATTTCTATATTACTATAATGAAAAAACTTCAGACGATGCAAGTTAACACATTCGGCGTCATGAGATTTATTCAAAACCTGAAGAAATATGTCAAAACCCAGAAGGGCAGGTATTTTCGAACCGTATGAATAGATTAATTTTTAATCATTGAGAGTCGTCATAATCTCTTCGATTTCTGGAAGAACGCCCAGGCCGACGGTTGGGCCATACTGTGTTTCCAAACATGCCGTAGAAGCGTACGCTGACGTCATCAGGTAAAGATTTGTTTTCAACAGAAAAAATATGAAAAATTTGTAGACACGAGCTATGTGACTTTGGAGTGAGCGTGCATCTATTGGAACCCGGTTTCTTCACTACAAATATCACTCAAACTGCAACTAAAGACTTGGACCAAGTTTATATTTTTTTTTATCACAATTTATCACCATTTGCAAAGTTTTTTTTCCTGAACTCGCCCTTGCTCGCAGCCTTAGAAGTAAACCTACAAGAGGTTTTGACAAAAATCATGTTTTCTTTTCTTAATTTGCTGATCACGCGAAACCGTTATCTCAAGTTCTTTCGAGCCTGCGATGACTGAAAAATTTGTTTTGAAGAAAAAAAAATAATAAAATGGAATTAAGGTCTGGGAACGGCTTGACGCTGAAACAAAGAAAGAATACGGAAAGCAATTCTTCGATGATTGTAAGAATTCAACTTTATATCTTCAGACAAGTAAAAAAGGAATTCAGACAAGGAATCGCGTTTCTCGCGACTGTCTCACTGTGCGGACGACTTGAACCCTGTCCTGGATGCCTACACTCACGCGTTGCTTGGAAAGTACCCGAAGACACGGTACTGGGTCGGCTGGGACACGATTCTCTTTTACATCCCACTAGCGACGTTACCAACTTTTGCTCAAGACGCTTTCATTCGATTCCAGAGAAGAAATAGACCCGTTCCTGAAGCTATGAAAAGGAATCACTGATTTTTCATTTTTCTCTTTTTGACTTCTTTTTCTGCTTTTTTCATAAATCCGCTTTATTATTTTTGCCATACCATGTTTCAATTTTCAGTTGAATAAATAATTTCTGTTCAATAATTCCGAGTTCTTTTTTCCAGTTTCATTTTCATCTTCTTCCAGGAAAGATTAAAAAAATCCCATTTCTTTCGATTTTTTTCCGATAAAATCCAGTTTTCTCTCCGAGTCTGTTTCCTATATTTTAGAATGATAACCCGAGCTCTGATGCAATCTCGACAAGTATCGATTGAAAAGTCTGAACAATCTTTTTTTCAGGTCTTTCTGCGAACTTCTTCAATCTGCATATCTACATTTTATTGTGATGGACTAACTTTGAGCAAAATCTCAACGACTATCTAAATAAATAATATTGAAGTTAACTGCTTTGCATCAAAGAATATTCAAATGCGGAGTTCAACGAATGACAGGAGCCACTGCGGACTCGGCAGCGCCGCAGCTGTTTGTTCCACGGGCCAGCTTGAAGAAACTGGAAATTAGTCATTGAAATGGAGAACAAGGAAACTTGAAAACAAAAAAAACGAATGAAAGATGCAATTAGGAAAGTTTTACCCGCTTGCTCCCCAATAGTTTCCCCAAGAGTTCTTGATGAGCCAGTAGTCGACTCCATTTTCGGTTCCGTAGCCAACGATAGTGACCGCATGGGATCCCAGAGACTTGTTCTGAAAAAAAACCAATTTCTATCTCAGTCTACGCTTGCCATTATTCAGATTATTCAGATATTTTTGAGTCCAGAACTTTTCTCATTTTTCAGTATACCTCTCATCATAATTTGAAAGAGCCTGGCCCAGCAAAATTGAAAATAATTCATCACTTCATGGTTTTTTTTCACGAAATCTGAGGAACAAAAAAAAACTCACAGCGCAATCTTCCGGTGTCGGCTTGTAAATGCCGGATCGGTAGTAGTACATAGATTTGACTACTTTCATTCCTAAACTCCCTATTATTGTTTTTTCAACCAGTTCTGTAATACCAATAGTCACTGGCCCGTTAGAAGCGACCCAATCAGCAATCTTTCCTTCATCCTTTGACAGCATACGGTAGTCATCGATAAAGATGCGCGTCTGAAAAGGTAAAGTTCACAAAGCAGACACCTTATCAATCAAAGAATGTTACAAAAAAAAAAATGAATCCTGTTTCACTGTTTGCATTTTCTAGAACTTTGTTCGAAAACATTGAACGAAACTGTTATTCATTGGTTCAACGCATAGGGGCAGTCAAAAACGGTCTTGTAGAGCTTTTCATAGCGAATTGAACGACGTACTCGAAAATCCACAATTGTGATTTCTTGTTAGGAAAAACGCGATTTTAATTTCTCCCTAAATATGCTGTGGTTCACAGAAAACTGTTTACAGTAGCCGTTCACGCAATGTTGCGGACGTGTCAACATATTTTGTGATGAATAACTAGATTTATTTTTGAAGCAGAAGTAATTCCCATGCTCTCTAAAGCGTCAAAAAAAGACACCAGTAAGACTAAAATTCAAAAATGATTGTACCTCGTTTTGTGGCAATTCGCAACTTTGACCCCGGGCGGCTTTGTAGGGATAAAGGTTCTCGCGAACTAGTCCTTCTGTTCTAATGAAACTGAACAGGAAAATGAGTTTCTGAGTGACAAGATCAGGATATCCTGACCTCATGGCATATGGACGATAGCCTCCGTTGCAACCTCCATTTCTGCTGTCGCAATCAACAAGCTGAAGGAGATAACCATCCATTTATTTGTTATTTTCCTCAAACCTGTTGCTCTGAGAGAGAAATCAGCTGATTTCTTTTGATAGCGTTGATTGACTCGACTGCAGCCACAGCTGCGAAAGCCCAGCATGAGCCACATTGACCTTAGAAGGCAACTTTTTGAAATTAAAACTAACATACTTAAAAAGGTCTTTCAACTTTCTTCTCCACTTTTTTCATTTGTGAGGCTTACGATGTTAGGTTTTTATATTGAACTTCACATAACAGATGTTTAATCTTTCTTCTATGAGCTCAATATCATTGCAAAAGGAGATTAATTGAAACTCATGCAATAAAAGTTTTGTATTCTTGTTTGGAGAGCTATACCTTGGTTCTTGACAGGGGTAACTTTGTTAGTTGTCCTCCAGTCGACAGATAAAGGCCGCTTGTAATTCGTTTCGCCTTCGAAACGAGCGCCTTCTTCAAAAATTTCGTGTTGGGAGTTTAGCAAAAACTGCAAATATCATGTTATTTTGAGAGTTCAACTCGTCGCGAACATGAGGAAAGAAAAGAAACACCAACCTTTTTCAGTTCTTGCTCCTCCAAATCAGCAAACTGGGTGATGTCGAAATCCACACCCGGCATCTCCTCTTCCATTTTCTTCAGTTCCTTCACAGTGTTTTTGAATACGTTGTAGCGGAAACGGTAGTTTTTGAACGGTCCGTAATCTTTGTTATATCTGTGTGTTTTTAAGTTAGTTTTCAAAAGCTTTTTTTCTCACTTTGCTACAAACTCCTGGAACAGTTGATTGGTATTATCTTCTTTCTTCTTCAGCTTTTCCGGCTCCTTGATTGTTCAGTTAATCACAAAATTAGGGGAAATAATAAAAAAAAACGATTTCACTGCTTCGCGTTTCCTTCAAGGTGATCCAAGCTTTTCCCGAATTGTTTAGTGTATTCCGCGCCAATATTTCACGATTTTTGTTATCCTCCTATTTACCGAATCGTCTCATTCAGGAGCGCGGCCAGTTCCTTTGCATGCGCTTTTCATTCGTTTTGAAATTTCGGTTAATTTGACAACGCAAGCAGGGATGAAGATCGCGCGCATGAAGGAAAAAGTTCTGTAGCTCAGAAAAAAAAACGAAGTTTTGACAAAATGAAGTGGAATGAGCTGCACGACATCTTTAGGTATTTCCCGAAGTTCACATTTCACAATCAACTACTTCATGTTTTTAGCTCATGACAAAGTCTTGCTCATAATTAAAAATCCCTTCAGTCTCAAAAATTTAATACCCTTCCTAGTAAAAAAGTGATCGAGTGAGGGAATTTTATCAGGTATGGCACATCAATTTTCTTTTTTCAACTCAACCATTTTTCAAACGTTCATTTCGAAGTTTTAATCCAATGTGAAAAATTTACAAACCGAAAGATGTGCCAATAAAAACAGCCCCGCTATGATAAAACAAAAATAGAGGAAGACGTACACGCGGTATTTCAGTGGAAACCTGAAAAGATTCTTTTGCGCACAAATATTTGAGTTCGAAGGAAAAGTTCAAAAAATTTACAGAGAAATAGTCGCAAAAAAAAACTTACGGCTCCAACTTTTGTAGGTCGATGTCTTTCATGAGTTCACATGATGGCTTCTTGACTTCGTTGAGGACCACGTATTGAGGAGACGGAGATGAAGATTTGACTTTGTTGGAACCGAGCATGGCTGTCGCTTAACCCACAGCACAGCACAAATGAGGAGAAACAGTATTTTTTCTTATCTTTTTTTGTTATCTTTTCCATGGTGCCCTCGCATTTTCAGTACGTTGATGACTTTACTTGACTACGTCTGAACCCGATAACTTATTTATTAACAAAGTTCTGAAATACGGTAGCATAGATATAATGCGTCGGGTTTTTGATCTTTGGTTTCGTTTTTTCTGTAAAAAGAAAAACGTGAGCGGATTTTTGAAAAAAGTAACTGGGAATGTAGGGTGAGCCTTCTTCCTTCGATTCATGTAAAATTTACTCCATTTACAAGTGCTTCAGCCGGGCGTCGCACAGAAAAGTGAAACGGGTTTGATATTTCCTTTTTTCATATATTTTGTAGACCGTTCGCACCACGTATCTTTTTTTGGAAAGCTGAAAGCTTACGGCAACTTTTCCATAAAAAGATCCTTGAAAAACGCACAAAACACTAAAAACAGTTGTTTGAGTTAATTTTCACGGACCTTTTTGAGAAAAATAGTTAAATCGTGAAAAACGCCTTTTATTATTAATCTGTGCTGTATAATTGGCTGTGGGCTATGACGGAGGGAAGCTCCCATCGTTGGCATTAACAGTTTGGCGCAGCGATAAGGCTGCTTCCTTTCGTTGCGAGGTCGAGGGTTCCCAGTTTTTTTTTTCGTGAAGAAGTTGACTTATTTCGAAACCTAGCAGCTTATCAATATCTCAATGCTACTTTCCGATTTTTTACAGTAAGATTGAGCGGTTTAACTTTTTTGTTTTTGACTCTTTTTATTCAAAAAGCCGGCAGATGTGAGGCTGAAATTAAAAAAAACCAAATTCCAGGAAAACCGAGCTGATGAAAAAATTAAATTATCAAGTGTAACGTTTTTATTGCGAAACATGAAGCGACTGAAGATCAGTGATTGGGAATCATCAATTGAGACCATAAGCGTAGATAATTGCAAGGAAATGACAATTAATCGCGATGAGCTCCTGTAATGGGCGTCAAGTGGAGGCGATTACCGCAAGGTTCCTGGTAAAGCATCCGCTTATTGCAACCTGCGTGCTCGTTAGGATCCGTCGACGAGCGCCCTCATCCAGAGCCAATCCTTCGGTCGGGTCCAGACGTTTGAAACAATAAGCATCTCCATTTGATCGGGATTTCCAGCAACAGAAACAAACACCTATGGTAGAGAAAAACATGCGGAAACCTGAAAACCTTTGCTTTCGAAAAAAATGTTTAAAAAAAGTTCAGTCACCGTGAGTAGGTTTGATTAAATTTCGGTGCCCGTTAAATGAGAACTATATGAACTTCAGATAAACAAACAAGAGTTCCCATCCAATTTTGAACTTTTTTGGTTCTTTAATTAGATCATCTGCAGCTCTATTTTAGTAAGTTCCTTGCTCTCCGCTTAAACTTACATGCTGTTTTTTCTGGGATCAAGTTTCAAGATTCTCTGGTTTCACAAAAAGACAGAATCTTGCTCCTATCTTCACATCAAACATGCCCTGCAAAGTGTCGAACAAAAAGGATTGGGGTCTGCGAATAATTACTATGGCACTCGGCGGAACTCAATTGTCGCCAATTTGAGCCAAAACACTGGCCGATCGCCTTTTTTTTCGTCGTTTAACTACATTTTTCCCCCCTGGGAAAAGAATTTTTGCGCGGTTTTGATACTGGAAGACGAGTAAACGCGGATTCCCTAAAGAGCACTTATGTATGGCGACATGAAGCATTGAATCGTGACCTCAGGGAAATCTTCACTCAGTCAATAAACGCGAAAACGTCTCTTATCACAATTCAAAAAGGCCTTGATTTTCTTAAGAAATAGATACTTTTTTTGTGCCTTTTGTAATTTTTTCTAGGAAATCTTTGAATACGGATTGACGTGTGTTCAGCTGATTTGCCAGTCATGTGAAGAACGGAAAAGTACACTTTTCATCGAACTTCCGCTTCAAAAAGTTTTTTGCAGGCTGTTGAAACTTGCGGTGGCAATAAATTGAGTAGTACACTCTCAGAGGGAAAAAAATTGAGGGGAGCCGAGATTCAGTTTTTGTTGTTGGACAGGCAGCCGAGAAACTGAAGTTTTTATTCATTTTCACAATTTCACTATTGACTTCTTACAGAGTTTTTCTTTTTAAGTAAACTTTCTTTCCCGGGTAAGAAGCTTTAATGAAAGAGCAGAGATTTCTGGATATTTCTGCACAATTAAGGTAAAAAAAACTCTCTTTCTCAAGCGCAAGAGTCGAAAAATACTAAGCCCATAGAGGATCTTCTACAAAATTAAAAAAAATGTCTTATATCTTTCAAAAACCCTAAAAGCAGAAAAAAAAATTTTTTCCGAATCTAAGATTTTTGAAACTTTTTGGAGGTGACTTCTGAAACTACAAGAAGCGTAAGCTCGAGTTCAAGAAGATCTACCAAGATCAGATTTTCAGTATTCTGAACTTCGGATAGAATAAATCCTGCACAACCGTGATAGCCGGAGCAGTAGCTCCGCCTCTTGGGCCCAGAGTGCAGAGGACACCCGCTGGGCGGCTGCCATTAGCTGAGGAGGCCGCTGGCGAAGAAGGCATTTGTAAACGCGTTCGTTCTTCTTTGTCGGTAGCCCTTCGGAGTGCTTTGAATATGCAAATTCAGTCACACAAGGCGGCCTTTCCATTTCCTTCTGAGGATTTAGTCGCCTTCTCCTTGTTTGGTGAGCCACCAGCGACTCTTTCATCCACTTCCTGTGATGTATATCATTGTCTGAGATCCTTTTTAGCTTGGCTGACCATCTCCACTTGTTCATTGCACTTCTCCAAGGAGTTTTCTGAAATTTTGTCTCTAGATTTGATATAATTCTCCAGTTTATTTTGTTTCAACACAGCCTTTTTCCGAGAATCGAAATTGATGAAACGATTCTTTTCTTTTAGATACGACCCTCATTAGCGGTCATTTCCTGGACACGAATATCTGGCATATTGCGTCGCTGGGGCTGATTATTAATTCCCGAAATGACCGCTCGTCTCACACCCTCCTCCGCTTCTCAAATCTCCAAATAGAGCCAACGAAGCGCTTGCCAGCCGTTCGCAGGATTTTCTTTTTCTAACTTATACTATGAGGCAACCAAGTTAGCTGCAGACAAAAATTTCCTTTTTTGAAGTTGATTTTCATTCCAATCGCCACACTTGGAACATAATGGCATTACTGCATCTTATTATTTCTTACCGACGCTTTAGTAATCATATGCAATTTTATTGTTCCCCCTCTTCTCACTGGTAAGAAAAAATGAGTCACAGACGGGCCCAGTCATTTAAAGAAGAAAAAAATTTTTATTGGAGTCAAAATTGTCAAATAACAAAAAAAAAACAATTTTTTCCCAAGCCCCTTCCTTCAACTTAATTTCGCAATATACAACAGATTAGAAATTCTTCCAGAGAACTTTTATTGCCGAATGGGAAGAGCAGCAGAAGTGTTCGGCTCTTTTTCCTGCTCTCAGCACTCATTCGAAATTTCTAACGAGCCAAAAAAAAACCGTTAAAGCACTTAGCGTCCGTAGTTCCTCAACACATCTGAAAATACTTTGAAGGGCTCCTCTGTTTTTCACGACATTTTTATCACTTGGCTTCCCTGCTGTACAAATCACATTTTGATGTCGGAGAACAGCATATGTTTCTCATAAAACGAAAAATAAGCCGGATGGGTGGCAGCGGTGGGAATTTTTGAGCTTCTTTCATATTACGGCGACTGCGTTAATTAATTAAAAAACCCTATTTTTTATCTCCTCATGATCTCTTTTTTTCTATTACCTGAAAAGATTTCAGAAAAATCAAGTTAAAATACCTTCATTTTCCCTTGCAAGGTATTTTCTCATCCAGTTTCCAAAAATTTTTTTACGATTGTTTGGAGAAGCTCCGACAAATATGGCTTCTCTCAAAAAATCATTGTCGTGCTTCGGAGATTTGTTTACAATATTGGCGAGTGTTCTGGCGACGCTCCCGCCTTCGTGCCAAAAGAGGAAGACTTCAGCCAACAGCCTCTTTTTCACACCATAAAGCTCTTCGATCTTTAGTTATCCTTTTTATTTTTAGCTGCCTCATCAACGAGTATTCAATCCAGTGAATGACGTTCTATTCTTTTTTACTTTCAATCTTGCCTTTGTGAATTTTTTCTCAGTTAGACTAATTGCAGGACGTTCATATCGCCTGAATAGTATGCAAAAAAGGTACGCCTTCTGCGCCCTTTTGTTGGTTATTTCTTCTTTGTTGGCTTCGGAAGAGGTCGAGGAAGAAGATGAAGGTGGGTTTATGATGAATTCACGGTCTTTTCTCACTCCGATCTCATTCTCTCCAAGTTTTATAAGTGTTGTATAGTGTAGAAACGATCTTTAACACTCCTTGTAGTATATATTTGTTACGCGGAGTGTTAAAGATCGTTTTTACACTATACAACAATAAGAAAGCCTTAGAGTACGCAATCCGTTTACAATCCGAGCGGCTTTGCTAATCTTTTTTGTCGGGAAGTCAAGAATTAAAGAGATCAGATGTAATCATTTCTGGCTACACGAACTCGTGATAAAGCTTTGCAAAATCTTATCAAAACATTTGCAAAGTGCAGGTGAAGGGCACGAACATCGAGGTTTACACTTGTTCCAGTAGATCTCAGCTCTCTGAACTTAATTCGAAGCGTTCTTCTCAAATTGCTATCGACGTTTAAATGAGAAAAAAAATGCGCTAAAAAAACAAGTGAAAAAAAATCTTCAAGTGTTTTGTTCGAAAAAGTCAAATTTGAGTATATTTTTCAAATTTTCTTCTTGAGTGAAGACAGAGATTCGTAAGACGTGCGAAACGCTAAATTCTCACGAAAAAAACTTGATCGACCCGCAAATCTCATTATTGTCAAGCTGCCTGAAAGCATGGAGGTTGCCTCAGGCTCTTGCACTTATTTCCAGCCATGTTTCGAATTTTTTTTTTTCAATTGCTTGTTTCAATAATCTGCAATTGAAAACAAGAAAATCTGATTTGAAACGGGTTCTGTTTGCAAGGAACTGGATGAAAAATGGAAAAAAATTTTTTTACTGAAACAGAACTATAAATTGAATATTCAGTTATGGCATGAGATTCATTGTGAAAAAAACTGAGAGAGTGCAGAATTAACGCAAAATAATCCATTTAAGGAATTTTTCCGAAATTGGAAGCCTGAAGCTTTCTTTGTGTTTGTAATTCTCACTCATCGAAAATTGCGGACTTGAAATACAGTATGACACTCGGACGAGCTTTGTTGATTTTTTTCCAAAGTGCCTTTTTTTCTAATTTTTCTTATTTCAACTCTTTATGATACAAAGGAAAGTTTTTGTCCTTAATGTATCACCTGAGGATTTCGCATTTGAATTTTTCTAAGTGGCCAAAATATTTTAGCTGGAAATTTATTATGGCGCATTTTTTCATGACTTTTGGTTTAGTCAGTTTTTAAAGCTCAATTTCAAGTTTGGCCTTTGAAGGGAATAGATCTGATTGCTGAAAAACTTTTTTTAAATTGGTTTGCTGTGATCTTTGTGAATAATTGGGAAATTGGGAATTTCAAACAAAACGATAATTATTCAAACTCCGAAACTTTTAAGAAACGGAATAAAGCTGAAATGTTTCAGAGAAGCCGCACGTTGCATGGGTTCCTATTGTCAAACGCGACAAGAACATTTCCGCCGCCATCGGCGAGTCTCTGACGGAAGTCGAGGAAGAAAAGCTTGAGCGCATTGGAAAAATGTTAGCGGTACGTTTTCCTCTTCCTTCTCTTTTCAAATTGATTCTGAATGAATAAAGCTTATAAAATTCGGAATTATAGTTCTTTTGGCTTTTTTTTCTTTTTATTGTAACTAAAGTTTTTTTTGTTTCAGGAATCGTATGACAAAATGGACCGCGACGCCAACGAAGGCGAAACCAAAATAAAAGAGAAAATCATCGGAAAAGCTACCAATGCCTCACCTGTCCATTTTGTATCATTTTTCTCTGTTTTCAGTTGTATCTTGCCATTTATGCGCTGATTTCCGTTGAAGAGATGATTGATTGTTTTGGGTGCAGAATTTCTAGTGAACATTTTTTTTTAGTATCAAGCTGCTCTAGGCTTTTCTTTTTGAGAAAAATCTTCCAAAATTTGATTTATGATAATTTTAACTATCCATGTTTTTTTGTTCCCAAGTTTCTGGTCAATAAGCAAAGCTCTCGATTATTTAACTTCACTGTTTCAAATCGTTTGTACTCGTCAGTTCTTCGTACTGCATTTTGGACTCATTATGGACACTAACAATATTTATAGATTTATCAAATATGGAGCTTCCCTATGACAACACTTTCGTGAATATGGGTAACAAATAAATGAGTTTTTCAACACTTCAGATTACCAAAAAAAAAAAATGGAAAAACAAGAGAAGAGGTAGTCGGTTAACTGTTTTGGCAACGAGGTTCGCACGCAAATTAAAAGACGTTTCGGAGACCGGTTTTCCAGGCCTCGTCCGTTTTTGCATTGCAACTCACAAATGTTGTTGGTTCTTCCCCCATTCGTCTCTATTTAGTCTACTCCAAAATGTGTCGCTTTGAGGAAAAAAAAACAGTTTCCCTGGAAGGAAAGTTTTTTCTCCGGGGTTTTTTTTGTGGCTTGAAACCAGCAAATTATGACAAAAATTTATTCTGCATCTCATATGGATTTCAGTCTATTCTGAAAAAAACCTTTTTCCCATTTTTGAGCTTGAAATGACGCAACATAAATTCGAAATCGCTTCAGAAAAAAACAAAAAGAATACTAAAAAAAACTCTTGGAGCAGCCGTTTGAGCTTCTTTACTGAAAAAGAAACGTTTTTGAACTTCCCAAAAGTCCATTAGCTTCAGAATCAAGAGTTTTTGGAAGTTTTTGAAACCTTTTTTTTTAGTTTCTGAGTTCTTTTTTTGTGTCTTTTGCGCGCGTTTTCACAAGCATCTTTTTGCGCATAACTTTGAAAAGTTATAGCGATTTTTTTCCAATCTAAAATTCATGGTAGATTCAAGTCATTCCTACTTTTTTTTCCATGACATTTCTATGACATATTTCTACGACAATTCTATGACATAACCTCTCCAAGTGACATGGACATTTCTCGAAAAAGAGCGGGAGCCCTTTCCATTAGTAAGGTCGCCGACATTTGCTTTGTTCTCTTTTTCGTCCATCCAACGAGCGTCGACGATCGCCCAATCAGATCAATAAATGCAAATTTATCGTTTTATTCTTATTGGCCGTGCCCTTCGTGGTGGGAAAGCAAAACCATGACGCTCCCTTGCACAAATTACGGCCTTGTGAATCTCCCCGTTTGCTGTTTCAAAATGTAACTGTAGCTTTTTCCGAATTTTCTTACTGTCAAGGGCAGGAATTTTTCTTCTTGAATTCATATTAATTTTCATCCAAACTATTTCTGAATTTATGAATTTTTAGTGGCACACTGAATGAAAACAAAAAGCAGAATTGAAAAAAACTGACTCAGAAAAATTTAATGAAGTACGGAAGTTCTTTATAAGCTAAACTGGCTGAAAAAAAATCCCAAAATTTGAGGGTTTATAAAATTATAAAAAAACCGGGCTTCGTTGAATTTTTTTCCTGAACAGAGTATTTTTTGATTGTTTATTTTTATTTTCCGTCAAAAAAAAAAGAGTTTTTAAGACTCAGAAATCTTGCGGCTTTGGCTCAAATCAGCAGTCTTCTTCGAATCTTTTTTTTATTAACATCTTAAGAAGAACCTTTAAGACGATTCAAATGTCTTGTTTTGCATACATTTTTTTGAATCCGACAAGAAAATATCTTTGAAAATTGACGCAAGTCAGAGGTGGATGAATTATGTTTGGTCTATTTTCAATAACGTCAAATGACCTTGAAAAAATGCAGACGCTACGATTTTGAGCTGATGAGAGCTTTTCACTCCTGAAACATACTCCACTTGAACTTTTTTATACTTAAGTACGATTTGACGTTTCAAATTATTCATGATTGAACAAAGAACTACAACTGTCTGGAAAATGCCTGAAAATAGAGCACGAATTTCACGAAGGCACTAACCGTATTAGAGGCGTACAGGCAGAGCGAAAGACCGCCCTCGGCCGCCGAGTGAGGGATTCGCCGCGCTCGGCAATTTTCACGCCAAGGACGTTCTCACAATCGGCCTACCCCTCTTCTACAGCGCTGCGATAAAATCATCCACTCCGACCTTCCCTCAGATCTTCCCTATCTATTCCAGTAATGCACCTACCAGTATTGATTTTTTATTTTGTTTTTTTGCCGTGTTTTTAAAGGATTAGGAATATATTTGAGGTTTCATACTGGAATCTTTCTAGAAGCTTGCTCTTCGAAGTTTTGAGAGTTAGGAGGTTGGCCGAAGTAGTCTAATCGAATCACGAATTCACAGTTTGACTTTTAAATGGATCAAAAAATGGTTCTGACGATTTTCTCAAACAGTGCTGCTCAGAGTTGCAAAGAAACTTCATAATGCACTCATCTTTTTTTCGTAAATGGAAAAATTTGTCTTTTTGACAATCATCAAAACCATTTATTTTGCATATTTTCAAAAAAAGAAAAAAATAATCTCAAAGTTTTTTTGGCGTCATTCAGAAACTCTATGTAGGTCCTGCACATACCCGGTAGAGACAGTAATTTTCCTTCGATCCTAAACTTGAAATCTTTTGGAACTGTCACTTTTTTCATCTTCAACCAAAGCTTTTGTATTCTGGCCTGACCGTTTTGTGAATAGACGCGACTCGAGGCGAATGCAAAATAGGACAGTTATGCATGTTTGTGTGTGTTGTATGGCTGCCATTCAAAGAGCTGACGGCTGAATGTGTGGTCAGTCACATTTCTTCTCAGCTTTCTCTGGCGAAAATTGAATGAAAAATGCAATTAAGATTCATTATCAGTTTATTCATTTCATAAATCAAAAAAAGAAAATTCTGCCCTTTATTCCAGTTCGAGCTTGCAAGTCTGGTTCCAAAACTTATTTCAATTTTCCAATTTTCCGTGGACAAAAAATGAGACAGAACATTTTTTTATAATTATGCAATTTCTGTCAATAAAATGGCAGAAAAACGATAATCTTTCAGATGAATAATGCAACCAGAAATAAACCAAAAATCAATCCGCGGAATATCGATCTTGAATTTCACACCCTTCTCTTAGCATAAACAAATTTTGATAGCAGTTTCGAATGTACAAAATTGTTTTTTCCGTACTCTTCTGCCTCTTGCGCTCTTTCATTCCTTAAAAACTTGGGTGAGCGTTGCAATGGCCATTCAGAAAATTCGAGCAGACGGCCGGCTGAGTGTTGCATCACATCTTCGAACCATCTCCTTCGAAAACATATCCCGGCTGCGTTGCAGCTTCCCATGGTTTCTTTTTTTCAAAACCATTTTCATTTGGGAATGTCTGTCTGCCTGAGAATGTCCATGTCTGAGAAATGCGATTTTGAGAAAACAAAAAAAACCTTTGATGAGAATACTTTTGAGTTACAGGAAGGTGTGTTAGGTGAAAATCGCAGATCTGCTCCTAACTTTTGTGGTAGATAGTCTTAGTTATGAGTGTTCCGAAAGGAAAAGAAATGTCTGCTAAGCGCCATAGAGTACTGAGAATTAGGCTGTCGAAAATGTACACAGCAGACTCAAAAACTGATTTTTTTCGGTTTTCCGATTTCTAAAACGTTTAATGTTATCCACAATATCATAAGAAACACGGGGAAGAAACTTTTCCCCCAAAAACCCAAAAAGGTTCGGTTTTGAGCCTTTACTGTAAATTTTTGACAAGCTGTTTTTAGGTATATTATCAGTTTTAGAACTAGACATTGTAGAATAATTGCACTACGCTGCTTTGAATAAAGTAAAAAAAAAAGAAAAAAAAGTTTATTTTCCAAAGAAATCAACAAAAAGTACTTTCTCTGTTATTTGGATACTGTATGTATGGCTCTGAAATGCATTTGGAACATTTCCCGAAGGCTTTCCAAAGAGATAGTTTAATGTTTCGTTGGACGTTCTGTACTGTGCGAGATTTTTTTTTATTTATCAGTCTTGTCGAAGAGTGTTATTTTTCACGCTTCCTGCGGATGAATCACTGTCTGTCTGCCGTCGCTGATCGGCGCCGTTAACAGTCCCTCACGATTGTTTTTCTTAAAAGCTCTTGCTCCTGCCCCTGACTTCTCTTGCTGAGAAAAGTTTCATCATTTTCCATCTATTCTCATTTTTTCCAAGATGAAATAAATCGAACTTTTCACAAGTCACCTTCAGCTTCCGAAACTAATAAACCAAAAAAAGAGCCGAAATGGCGAGGGAAATGAGTCAACATCAAAGGCGCGATTCAACGTCGTCTACTTTTACTATGCATTCCTTTCTTCAATCTGATTTTTTGTAGTCTTCACTAAAAATGTTTTCTATCTTATTTTTTCATGTTTTCGCTATTTGTAAACTTTTCTACAAATTGTAATTATGTTAATTTTCAGAATGCTCGGGGCAATTGCACCATACATCGGTCGAATCAGGTTTGTTGAGTTTGGTCAAGAGGGCTAGCCAAAATGGACCACTTGAATGGGTGAAAGATGAAAACTGTCAGAAATCGAAAATTTTACTTTCTTTTTTCTCTAGTTCTTTTCATTTTGAGCTGAAGATATTTTTTGCTTTTGAGGTTGGTCAAAATGGTCTTCGTTTTTTCAGCTTTAATCGACAAACGTTCGAAATTTTTAGTGAACGTCTCAGTCAAGAAAAGTGTCCAAAGAACTTCGAAAGATTATTCTTCAGAATCAGCAGTTCAAAAAATTTAAAATTTTGGGAGATTCTTCACGTACATTAAATGCATTCTTATTATCGAAAAAAAATTTTTTGATTATTTATAAACAACCTCTTTTTTTATCATATAATCCCTATTAAGAAGAAAATAAACTGATAGACCGATTCAAGCATATCTTTTGATGAAATATTGGCTTCATTCCAAAACCTCTATCCTTATGGAATTCCGACGGATTTCAGGCGATCGTACCAGTCGAACGACGTCGTCGACCGCTTGTCGTACCAATACACAGCGTTGTTGGTGGCTATTGGAGCCTTGACCCTTGCGGCCACGCAATACGTCGGCAAGCCCATTCAGGTTTTCGAACCTTAACTGCCGAAGTTAACGACCTTTCATTTCAGTGCTGGGTTCCTGCGCAGTTCACTGGCGCCTGGGAGAAGTAAGTTCGGAAGGCAGAAGAAATACTTGTTTAACTAATGGACAAGCAAACATTTTTTTTATTGATTTTATCTTTTCTGACCGTACTGTATCTTTGAAAAAGTGAGTGAACCAACATGATGCGAAACATTTTTTCAGGTACGCCGAAACGTACTGCTTCATCAAAGGAAGTTATTTTGTTCCGAACGATGAACACCCTGACGAAGACTTCGTCGCTCGTGACGAAGCTGTAAGTTCACTCGTTCTACTTGCAAATGATTGATCTGACAGGTCGTTGGCTACTATCAATGGGTCCCACTCATGCTCGCCGTCCAAGCTTTCATGTTCTACTTCCCTTGCTTCTTGTGGCAGGCCTTCAATCCTAGCTCTGGTTCTGAATGAAAATTCAATGCCAGCTTATTGTAAATTATTCAGGAATCAACGTTAAGGATGTATTGGAATCTGCAGCCAAGGTCAAGAAGAATGTCCGGACTTCTGAGCGCGAAAAGGAAGTCAGTAATTATTTTCGACTTTTTTTTTTTGAATACTGAAGCTTCACGTTTTCAGGTGTCCAAAGCGGCGTCTCACCTGATTGAAGCTCTCGAACTTCAAAGAGAACTCAAAACTGGTTGGATTTTTCCATTTTTTGCATTTTCAGAATAAAAATCCTTTCAGACGCTGGGTTTATCTCAAAAATGCGTAAATCTGGGAACTTCTTGTCGACCTTGTACCTTTTCACTAAGGTCCTCTACCTAGTCAACATATTCTGGCAGGTAAGGAGATCAATGCAAACATATAAAAATATTCAACTCAAACAATAACAATGCGTGAAAAAGACGCGACGAAACGAAGAAATAAATATTGCAGTTTCACATCTTCGCCGTCTTCTTGAACACTTCCAACTACTTCTGGGGATGGGACACCTTCATGGTGAGATTTGATTTTTTATGTTGGAAATGATGGGTTTTCTGAAAGTTATTTTGATTTGAAAGATTTATTTCTTCAAGTAATAAGTTTGATACATGACCAAGTTTGAATGGCACACAAAAAATCTTCTCGAAAGTTGAGATTTCTTGTTGGCGAAAAATAAAAGTCAAGAAAAAGTCAAAAAAAGTGTTCAGATGTCTAAAATTTGTGTTAAGATTGAATAAGAGTAAAAGCAAGCCGAGGACTTTTTCAAGAATTTTTTTATAAATTCATTGGATACCTAAAGACAGAAAAAAATCATCACTTACACACTTCAAATCCTAATCTTCAGCTAACATAGTGAAACAATTCTCAAATTTATTTTAAAAAAAGCCGGAAAATGATATCAAATAGTAGCTTCTAAAAAAGGTTGGAATAAATAAACGCGATATTTCAACTTGTGAGAGTCGAGACTGTAAAAAAACCGCACAATCAGTTTTTCAAGTAAAATAATGCGTGAGAGAAAAAAGAAAAAGGAAAAAATCAATTTTTTTCAGAACATTACTTCGGGAATCCAATGGGACCAGACCGGATTCTTCCCGCGAGTGACCATGTGCGACTTCACCGTCCGAGTCCTCGGAGCCTTGCACCGATGGACCGTCCAATGCGTTCTGATGATCAACATGTTCACTGAGAAGATCTACGTGTTCTTCTGGTTTGTTAATCAGGACATATGAAAGAATCGTTAAGGGTTGCTACAGTTTGAAAAATCATAGTCACTGCAACTGAGTTAATATGTTATATCCAATCGTGGTGAGAATAAAATTCTAAGATCTGGTCGTAGCGCAACAGGTTGTGAGCCTGTCTACAGTCCACAGGGTCTCAAGTTCGGTCCACGCCTTGACACAACCATAGGTTTAAGAAATGTTGGTAGTGGGAAACCACGGCTTCATAATCCCCAGCCGTCACACACAAGGGCTGATAAGTCACTAGAGAAAATCCACTGATAATCACCTATCAGGATAGGACCACGGCTAATCCACTTGGGGCACTGACTTGCAAACAAGCATCCGATGAACTGCTATAGCTGATTCACGGTTGACTTGAGCCATCTAAAAAGGGTCCTGGCACGATAAGAAAAGAGACAGTGTCTGGTTCGTAGAGAGAGCAGACCAGCCACGCCCCTTAGCGTCCCAAGCTCACCGATTATATCGTGAAATTCGAATCGAAAAGCCACAGGAATAGTCTAAAAGAAAAATATTTATCTTGATCTGAAGTGTAAATATTCCAGGTTCTGGTTCCTGCTCGTTGGCGTGATCACGACCTTGTCTCTCGTGTACTGGATCTTTGCTCTGGCATCGAAATCCTCGCGCAGACAGTTCGTCTCGAAGTACTTGCGCTGCATGAATTTGGTTTCTCTGCACCCGAACAAGGAGGAAAATCGCTACATCGACAGCTTCGTCAACAACTTTGTCACCGGCGATGGAGTCTTTCTTCTTCGTCTGATCCAGGTTTTTCTAAATTCGCTCATGAAACGTGCTTAGTATTTTATTTCCGCGATAACTATTGAAAAAGTTTTGAAAAATGCCCATTCGATTTACAGACGAACGGAGGAGACCTTCTTGTTAGCGAAATCGTCGCTTCCCTCTTCCGCGAGTACATGAAGCGCCACGACCGCGAGGTTTTCGGCGACAGCCCCGACACGACGGCGACGATGCCCCGTTAGGCTAATTTTGGGATTCTCCTTTTCAGCTTCCTTCCTGCCATTCCTAATAACTTTGTAATTCTTAAAAAAATAATTGAAAAATTTCCGAGTCTCTCATTTTTTTATATTTGAGCTGTTCCGAATTTTTTTAGGAGGGAAAAATGTTTTACTTTGCAGTTTATTTTTTTCAGTATAACCAAAAAAATCCAAATGGAAGTACCTAATGAGGACCTCAAAAACTCTGAAACTACACATATTTCTAATTTTTTTCCAAAAATCCTAAAATTAACAAACTTTACTAATTTTTTTAAGCAGCCAAAAAAATCAATTTTTTTCAAAAAAAGGAAAAATCCTTTTCAGATCCTCAGAACATTTTTCAAAAAAATTTCTTGGTCTATTTCAGACAGTTTCTGTTTGCAAAGTAGAATGTTCATTCTCGTGGGTAAAACATATCCTTGTGCTACTTCAGAATTTGCTTATTGTAACTGTTTCAAATACTTTCGAAAGACAAGACTATAAGCAATTTCGCTTGCCTTAATTTCTCTTATAGCTTTGAATGACTTCTTTTCTTTCAAAATTTGAGATTTTGTTTACTTGTTTTTTTTCTATTGTTCCCTCTGTCTTTTTCTATAAAGGTTTTTTTCGAGAGATGTTCATCAATTTGTTTTTGGAGATATATGAATAAAACAACGACGATAGACTTTGATAGATGAAATTTAAGCTTCAATTGAACTGGCACAAAATGGAATTTTTCAAAAACACAAATAAAAATTTAACTTTCAGCCAACTGTTTCAGGGTTCCGATTATCGACAAAAATTTACTTGAAATGAATTATTAGCTGATAACATGGGAAAAGCTTGATTTCATGAGTTTTCCCTAGAAAGCATCTCAGAAAAAATTTCCATCAACGTTCGGGGTTTGCAAAAGTGAGTGCCTTTGAAAAATTGCAATAAAATTTGAATTTCAAAAAGTCCTACCATTCTGAAGGTTTTCATTTCCAGCCCTTTTTTTCCATCTGCATTTAATTTTTCAAGCGATGGCAAGAACCTAAGGAGACAATATTACATGAATAATTTCGTGATGAATTGTTAAAATCAAGCGTTCTCAAAATGGGAAAAACATTTTTGTCTTGTAGATTGACAGAAAAAAGCTTTATGCATAATTTTCATTTGATGAATTCAAACATGAAGACCTTTGAAGAATGAAAAATTGAAAGATTGACATAAAACGTATCACATATTTTTTTATTAGTTATTAATTACAATTGAATTAGCTAAAAAAATAAAATTAGAAAGATATACATGAAAACATAACGAAAAAATAAACGATACAACCGTTGGTTTTGGAAGTTGAATGAAAATGAGATCGGTGAATAAATTTGGAATAACAACAACCAATCGTGAAACTACATCTTTTTGAAGTCAGTTCCCTTTTAACGACGCAAAAGCTTATTTACAAAACTCGTGGAGGGCCGTTTCTTTAGGATGTCGGATATCGAAACACAGAGGTGGCAGGAAATCCTTCATTACTTTCCTGAAAATCGGTAAAATTTCCGCAAGTTTGAGGTGGTTTTACCTGCAGTTTTTACATTTCGCATCGAAGAGCTCTCGCATTTTACCAAAATATTGAACAAGCGTGACCAGTGTGCCGGAGGACCTGAATTATCATTAAAAGACAAGAAAAAAAAAGAAAAGTCACCATCGAATAGAAGAGAAACTCATTTGCAGATGATAATTAGCTTGAGCCGTCATTTTTCTGAAAAACGGCGTGTCTCGAAGGATAGGTGACGTCGAGCTGAAAGTTTGAGAAATTTTGATGATTAATTCTATAAAAATAGGTATCTTTATTTGTTTATGAATACTGATCACGCTAAATTTTAAAATTTGCATCTGAATGTATAAGTTGAAAGTGAAAAGTTGATGCGGTGATCAAATAATTTAGATATTTTTGAATGGATTTTTTGCCAACTACCAAAAATAAGAAAGAATAAATAAACTGATTTTCTCAGCGAAAATAACGACAAAACTATCATTAAAAAAATGATAATCACAGAATTTTGAGAGACTTTTTTGAGATTGCATATGAAAAAAACAAACCTTCCTGAAGCCGTAAATAGTTTCAATGTACCATTCTTCATTGGGAGCTACGACGTTTATATAATCCAGACAACCGTTTATTTCTGATAACAAAAACTTCATCGTGTACGCCACTGTTTTATCTGCCTTATCCGGACCGGTCACACCGAATTTGATCTGAAAAGTCGCTTTTTTCGTTTTGAATTTCAGAGCTTCAAACTTCTATAGCCATTGATTGCGGACTATTGAGAAGAATTTTCGGATAGATTCCCAGTTGCTTACTCGCAATTTCTTTCTTGAGCTGGAACATCTCGATTAAAAAATTTAAAAACTTCTGACAAACCCCGCGAAATGCGTATTCGAAATAAGTATGTGCTTGAGCGGCGAGCGCTGCGTTCGTGAAAATTCTCGGTTTCCTTATGAATATCGAATGTTTTCTTTTTGGAGCACGTAGAAATTCATTGAGGTAGAAGAATACTTGCTGAAAACGACCAATTACATCACCACCTTCCAATAATAACTCACATATTGTCCTTCGTTCCAGTTGCCGGAGTCCACCATCGTTTCAATGAGGTTGGAGAAGTTTTCGTAATCAGTAGTGTATTCTTCCTATAGTACACAGTCTATGGAAAACAAATGAAAAAAAACGTACCGAATATAATTTTCTCAAATTGTTCACTGAATCTGTTTGTGGAACTGCTCCCGGAACTCTTTTCGATTGAGCTTCCAATTTGCTGAAAAAGTTTCATTATATTTTAGATTGACAAAAAATGTTCCGGTATATAGTGAATCTACACGAACTCGTAATATCCTCTGATTTCTGCTGACATCCTCTCTACCCGCATCGCTATGTCTCTCCGTCTATACATCGGTTCTCTAGGCGTTGATAGCACCATCGCGTGCATTTTCACCATCCGCAGTTTCAGCTGTCGCATAAGAAACAAACCTTGAAACCGAATCATCACAAAAAGCAAAAAAGACCAACTCACAATTGTTGCATTTCGTTATCGCGTCGTTGAACTGTGAGGTGTGTGAGCTCATCAAACGTCTGCAAACAATTTTAAAATACAAATTTACTTTTTTTTTCTGAGGTAATCAATCGATATCCCACGTTTTCTTCACACAAATAATTCAACTTTCAAAAGTTTATTTAACCAAAAATATTACAGAGAGCCAAAGAATCGACTTTAACCTGGCTATCACAACTCAAATTCGACTATTCTACAAATATCCAACAATATTATCGATCACAATATCCCACAGAAAGGAAAAACCTCGAAACCTGCATAGTGTTTTGAATAATGGTAGTAATAGCAAAGTGCCCATGAATGATTTCTGTACAGAGTGAGCTGAGGAGGGTACGGAAGGCCGGAAATAGCACAAACTTATTAAAGACCCTTAGGAAAAGTTTCAACAGAGAGGAAATGTGGACTAAACTAGAAAGAGAAAAAGTGTTAGTGGGGTTAGTATGATAAAGAGTTAGGACAAAGTTTTTATCGGGGTTCATTGGGAGTAGAATCCAATGGAATGGAAGGATTGGCTTCGCCACTGAACGGATCAACGTACTCGGAATCGTCTGAAAAGTATAATTTGCGTTGGTAGGGAAAAAAATAAAGAACCTGAAGGAGCAGGCATGAAGCCAAAAGACGTCGGCAATGGCATGGGAGGCGCCATGGCGGCCGGCGCTTTAGCGGCAGCATCGTTTGACTGACCGGCTTGGAAGTATCGCGACGCTGGAATTTAAATTTAGTACATTACTACCTCAAGGTATGAACTGCGCTCCACAAAACTTCTATTAAAAATTTTTTTTTCATTAATTCCAGAAACTAAATTTTTTTGAAAAAGCCATCAAGTCATGAATTGTCTGAGATTAATGTATGTTGAAAACCGGCACCATCAACATAATTGGTGCTTTATAAATTTTATTGGTTCAAATCAAATCACCTCCAGTAGTTCTGGCTGATCTCAGTCCTCCAGAACTAGCGGGCGGTCCGCTCGGTAGTGTTTGCATTGTCGGTGGAGGCGGAGCCGCGACTTCTTCTTCAACACCTTCCCCGATGTAGCGCTTTTGAACTGGGTCCCAAATGATCTGAAATCGAAGACATCGAAAAAAAGTTTTAGTGGTTCATTTTGGGACTTTTTCAAGCTGTTAAAAAGTATCATTAAAAAAAATCTCAATTTTTTTTACCTGTGGTTTATTGTCATCAGGCAGGTACATACTGTTGGGCTTGGGTATGGCTTTTGTCACTTTTTCTCGTATCGATCCAAGCCATCCTCTTGAAGGACTGTTCTGAAAGCGTGTGGCTGCTTTAATAGTAATTGGAAAACAATCCTGGCTAGTCATAGTAATGAAGAAAAATGACTGACCTTGAGCTCAGGATTGTTGTCTGCCGGTTTTTTCTGATTGGAGCTACTTTGTGCTTGAGGTTGAGACTGAGCTGGTAATTGCTGTTGAGCCTGAAATAAAATTATTCAAAAACTGGCAAAAAATAATTTGAACCTGGGAAGCTGGAGCTGGTGGAGCATGAGCTATGGGAGAGAACTGTTGAGCTTGAACTGGAGGGACTGTCATGGTGGGCACATCGTGATGCTGTTGCTGAGGATGATGCAAGTCAAACTGTGAAATTTGTGCATTTTGAGTATTCACAGGATCAGGAGCCTGAAAAAAAAAACGTGGTTGGGGTTGGAATAAGTTGCGCCTATCGCACCCATGCAGCGACTGGTTCTTCAAAATGAGGCTGTGCGGGAGTTTCTAAAGCCTGCTCAGGTTGACTGAAAGGATCTACTGAAGACTGAAGACTTTCTCCAGTAGCGAAATTCTCCATCGGATGATTTACTGATTCGCTTGTTTGCTAAAAATTGGATAGTTTCAGGTTTAACTATTATTAAAAAACCAATGAATCTCTTTTGAAAGAACTGTAGAGACCCTCTACAACAGGAGCTGGAGCAGTTTCAAACTCTTGTAAGTTTTGTTGAACCAATCCTTGCTGCTGAACCTAAAAAATGATAAAATGATAAAATAATTAAAATAACTAATTACAATCACCTCGGCGTGATATTGATCATTAGAAGCGGTCGGAGCAGTTTGGACACTTTCTTCGGTTTTTGTTTGAGCAACGGGAGCTTGAAAAATCATTGTCCGCAAGCTTTCAATCCAATTCGTTTCAGATTGATCAGCAGAGGCAACATATTGCAATCTATAAGAAAGAAAAAAATTGAGAAAAAAACTTCGTTTTCACCTCTCAGCCACATTGCACAAATCAAGAAGATCAGCCTTCTCGAAGCTCTGATAAAATGGCCAGATAGCGCGCGCGATTTCAAGACAGTATCTGAGAAGAAATTCATTTTTTATGACGGGAATGATCGTCAAACCGGAAAGCGTCGGTTGCAAAACCGCCATAGCCCGCCAGAAGTTTTGCGTATTTGATACGAGAAGTTTGATACTCGACAGAGCGAGAAAGGGGCGAATCTGTCTGAGCCAACCGCAAAGCGTAGTCGAAAATTTCCGTTGCGTGCAAGTCTGGGATCGCAAATCTACAAAAAAGTTTAATGATAGCAGCCTTTTCTACTTGAGAGACTAACCCGTAAGGACAGATCACGTCTACGCAATCATCTGGGATGCCGGAGTGCAACAATGAGATATGCCTGCGGACATCTTCCTCGCCTTCTCTGAAAACTCCTCATAAGTGGCTGAAGAATGCAGTAAAACACTCACACTCCTTTTACTGGCTGGAAAGGATCGTAGCCGGCCAAAACACAAACTGCCAGCAAGCAAAAGTCCGCTGCGCAGTGATAGTCCCTCTTTGCCAGAGCTCTTCCAAGGTGATAAACCTAGATGAGAACTGTATTTGATGGAAATTATTCATTTTTTACAGTGTTCATGGCAGTCGGTGTGTTCAGATTTGCTAAAACAATAGCGGCGTGCATTCTCCAGCTCATGTGGTCGTCAAGAGGAGGATTTGTCTAGAAGGCAAAATAAGTTAATTAAAGCTCCATCAGAACTGATCAGACCAAAATTGGTGGGGGTAGTTCGCTTGCCACAGAGACTAAGGTTGTGACAGGGTTATCCATAGAACGAGTCAGTAAGAATCGTTCTTCAATTGCAGCAATCTTTTTCTGGTTGTTAGGAAATAGCCTTCGAACGAGAACCATGGCATCGGAGTAAAGTCCATCACGGACAGCGCTTTCAATCGCTTCCTACAGATACTTTGATAGTTGGGTAGAATGAAGAATCTCACATCAATATGACCACCAAGAAGGAATTCCGTGAAACGCTCCAGCGATCTTTTCAGGTTCTCCGGCTGGATTGGAGGAGGTGCGTTCTCTTGGACAACACTGAGGGAGGTCGAAATGGCGTTGGACAGAAGACGTGCTACATCAGGACCAGTAACACGCTGCAACTCATCACGGATTAATTTTTTTTTTTTGTCTAATGTTCCTTTTTTGATCAATTGATTGATTAAGCTTCGAAGCTCACAAAATGTATCTTGTGCTACTGGAACCGCAATAAAAAAGAAAAAACTAACCCCATGCTGCTGGACCATCATTTCAAGAAGCTGCCAGACCAACAAGGAATCGACCACGTCGTTGTCCAAAGGATTTTCTCGAGCAACATCGGTAGATCGAATGAATTCGATCTGCCTCTGAATGTATAGCCGAACCGAGTGAGTTGGAGTCTGTCCAGGGATCAAAGGCCCTTAATGATTAATTGTTCCATAAATATTTAAGTTTTCCGACTACCTTTGAAGTGCTGCGCAGTGTCCACAATTCGCAAGCTGGAGATGTCGCCTAGCATGTTTCTCAGATCGTCGAGGAAAACGACGGAAACTGATTGATCTGGACAAACTGTCACAGTTTTGCCACCGACACCAAATGACATCAAGGTGTGCGGACACGAGAACTTCATGGGACCTAAAATCAAGACCATAATAAACAAAATTTTGAAAAAATTGGTAAAGCTGCTCAAAATCACTTCGAAAATTTGTTTGAAAAAGTTATCGACTGAACTACAATTTTATCTCTTTACCTTTATTCTGAGTTTCGAAGCTCTGTATGGAGGTATCATCTTTGTCATAGTTGCTCGCGGCATCGCTTTGCCTGGAAATCAAATTTATTTTCAAGAAACAATGCCACTGGAAACGAAGATAGACTGTACGAAAACAGAAACAAGCACAACAGAGAAGTGTGAAAGCCGTAGGGGACTTTTTCAGTGTCAAACCAAAACATCCCATCAAAAAATGCCCGAAAAAGGTGAAAAGACCACAGTTATTAAAATCACGCGCCCTGTCATTCGTCGACTAAAAATCGTGCGGCCGAGCTGCGCCTCCGCTCTAATTTCACTTTGGCCGTCGCTGAATGTTGTTTATTTACTTTTAAAATTACTTTTTGTCTGGAAAAAAACTTCTTCCGTAAACTTGAAAAACTTTTTCATGACACAAAAAGGACTTTATATTTTGACATGAATCTGAAGAAATCAGTATTTATTGTGTTATAAAAAGAACATCAAGGAGTAGCAATTTCGGCAAAAATCTAACTAAATTTGTAGACACACACAGAAAATTATTCTGAACTTACGCGTCGATGCTTTCGTGATCGTCACTGAACAAATGTTTTTGCGAGGCTTCGTAAGCCTTCTGAGACTTTTCCAACTGACGAGAATGATACTGGTCTTGCATCGATTTGCAGATCTTAAAGGCCATTTTTTTCTCAACCTCCAGACTTTTCAAACCTTCCAAAGAGCGGTGTCGTTGCTGTCTCCAGCGCACACATATTTATAAAATTCCCGATTGAATCGTTTGTGGAATTCGTCAACATTGCGGTACTGGTTTTTGTAAACAGCAGCGTAGAACAAAAAAGCGGCCTTTTCAATCGCTGGCAGGAGGAAATAACCTTGAGGAGGCGGGATGTTCTTCATTATACGGCTCACGATCTCCTGAAAATAATGGAGAATTCAAAGCATTAATTATGAACGAACCATATCCAAATGAACAACGCCAAAGTAATACATTTCTCCGCCATCTCCTGGTTGAGGTGCCTGTGGATATCCTGGAGGCAGCATCTGACTTCGGTTCTAAATATATTCATTCAAAAAGGAGAGTAGGGAAATTGCAAAAAAAATAACTTCATTTTATTCGTTAATTTAAAATAAGCTGGATACTTATCATTTTCCTAAAAACTTGCTTTAAGAAGTTTTTTCAGATTATTTAAGCCGTAAAACTAAATTTTCACGTGTTTCAAGATTAAAAAAAAACTACAAATGATGTTTCTAGTTCGGTGGTAGTTTCATATCTAACCTGGCTGTTGTAACGCCGGAGCTCGTCTTCGCTTTCGCCCTGCTCGTCCTCGACTTCTTCGTCCGACGCCGACATGCTACTGGAACCGTCGTTAGGCTCCTGAGGATAGCCCCCGAATTCTGTGCCTTGCATCATCGCATAAGTTGACTGAGGCCTCCTTTGGTCGTAGTACTCCGTTCTATATGGAGCTCCAATGGCGCTGTAGCGTCCTTGATGGTATCTGCAGATTTTTGTTTGATGATGAAACTTCTTTCTAAACTACCTTTGAGGCGGATATTGACCATACTGTAGCCTTGGGTCAACAGGAGCAGAAGGATATTCTTCCGACACCGCTGTGTAGGCGGATATTTGCGTGCGCGACGAAGGTCTTTGAGAGTCCAATCTGCTTTGACGCTGTCTGTAAAGTTGAGATTACAACTCAAGACGATATAAGAGCCGAAACCTTCGGTTCATGTTCATCAAGTCTTCGGAGTAACGGTTGGGTGGCAACGGAACCGAACGACGTCCCATCGAGTCACTCATATTAGCTGTAGTATTTAATAATGAGAAAAGATTCTAGGATTAATTCAATTTACAAGGAATCGACAAGTTGTGAGCCGTTTCACTTCTAACCGGTCCTTGAGACATACTGAAAATAGAAAGATTCTAGTAAAATAGCTTTTATTCTCCTACCCTAGGTGTGCAGCAGCAACCAACGGATTAGCCAGTTTTGAAGACGGACGAAATTCTTGTCGGTTGACATCAACACGATAGCCATTCAAGCGATTTACAATATCCTTGTACCTGATAACAGAGAAAAATAAAGATAAGTTGTCTGGTAACCCACTGTTGCTTGTAGTTCCTATAACTGGCCCGGATGCTGCCTCTTTCTACCTGCGGAACGCGAGAAGAACTGTCACTGTTGTCTTCAGAGTTATCTTCTTGTTGAACCGAAGACGATATAGAACTCTGTCTGAATTGAATGAAAGAGCGGTTGTTTCAGTTCATGTGATTCACACCTGTTTTTATTTGGTGACAGCTTTGGGTTTTCAGCGACTTTCTCAACACCCGCTACAGCTGCAATCATTTGCGAATCCCTTATCGGGGTACTCGTAGCTTGCGCCTCGCCAGGATTGATTATGTCAAAGTTCTCAAAGATGTTCTTTTCCGGCGTCGCTTCTAGTTTCTCTTGGGTTTTATGGAAATCTCCAGCCTTTTTCTCCAGATTCGTTCCCATTTCGAGCTGTAAAGAAATTGTTGGAAAGCCTGATATAAAGATTCGAAGCAAGTTGAAAATAAAACTGACTCTGTCAAAGGTTTCTGTCGAGACTACACGTTTTATCCCAGGAGACGCGGTGTTTTCTGCAGCAGAGACCTAGAAATAACTTGGCGTCTGAAACACGGCAGGAATCAACAGTACCGTTAAATTTTCAAAATCAATGTGAACGATTGGAGCTTGTGAAGGTTCAGAAGAAGCAGCAGTCGTTGGTTGAGCTTTCACAATATTTGTTGCTTTCTTAAGCACGATTTTTGTGATGAAAATTTTCATTTGCCGTCAGCTTACTTTAAGCTGCATTGGTTTCGAAGTTTTTGCAACAGGTACGACGCCTTGATTTTGCTCCCAACCAGAACGATTATCTTAATTTTATGAAAAGTGTGAAGAACCAAATAAGCGAAAAGAAACCGTTTTGATACTGTTCTTCATTTTGTTCGAGCGGGTTGCGTTCTTCGGATCCTTCATTTTGAGACCAAGATCCTCCGAGGGACGATTCTCGCGATTCTTGGCTTGCTGAATAGAAATTATAATTTTCGAAGATTTAGAGCAGAAAAACCTTTGTCATCCGGCATCACAAAACTATTCGGTTCCTCTTTCATTTCAACCTGTAAATAAACTTGAAATATGCAAAAAAAGAAATTTTTTTCAAGAGTCGTTAATCAAGTATTTCAGTTTCACTTTTCTGATCGGGTCGGCTTGTTTGCTTCACGAAACAACACAAAAAAAAAAACTGATCACGCCTTCGTGCATGAAAAAAAAGTTATCTTGGAGTTGGAAAATAATACCTTCACAAAATCGGAAGGCTTTTCCCAGTCGTCTTCGGAAGAATCCGATTTTGAGACAGAAACAGATTGCGGTTCGACCTGAGAATGAACAAAAGTAGATGTCTGTTCTTGCGTCGCAACAGCGGTTGTCGTTTCAAACGTCTGGCTCTACAAAGGGGATAAAAGTGAAATCACAAATTAAACTTTTTAAGGAAATAAAAAAAATCATGCAGTTTTTTTTTTTAAAGAAAATGCGGTCTTTAAAAAGGTTGCAAATGGAATTGCAATTTTTGAAAGAATTAAAAAACCGCAGATTGAAAAAGCGTTAGAAATGCGGAATTGATAGAAATTAAGAGTCCTTACGGTATTCTAAACTAAGCATCCACACCGACCCGTTCAATTGTTTTATAAGTTCCAATTCAAATTTTGGCTAAAGTTCGAAAGGAGAATATAGTAAAACTTGCCGTTTCATTTTGAGCTTTGGGGGCGTTTAAAATTGGCGTGTGTTGCACATGAACTTGTCCATGAGCGATGTTAGTATGAGGCTGAATGAAAATTTTTTACAAGGTTTCTAAAATTTTTAAAACGTTAACATATTGGTGTTGAGGCTGTTGTTGATTGTGACATGCGTTTGCGTCGTAATGCTGAGGATGTGCATATCCTGAAAAGTTAAAAGATGAATTCGAGTTGGAAAAAAAAAAGTTTACCGTGACTGGTATTCTGGCCTTGGTACTGCTGATATCCAAACTGTTGACTTTGAGCAGGGTTTTGTTGATAAGGAGCGGATAGCTGAAGAATGCGCAATTTGAACATCGAATAAAAAAAGCCAAACCTGGTATTGATGCTGCTGAGGCTGTTGATTCCATTGATATTGCGGATTGTTGTGGCTGCCGAGATGGATGTAATCCCACTGGCTCTGTTGGTTCTGAGCGGCGCCGTTAGGCTGCTCCGCTGCCGACTGCTGTTGCTCCCAGTACAGCGACATCGGCCCCCAACTGAAGTTGGACGGTTTTTTAAATAGAACAAAAGCGAACGGATTAGCACAAAATCGAAAGAAAAGAAATTTTTGACAAAATATCGAGAACATAACTGATTAATCATCAATTCGGAAAAACCATTAAAAACTCCGCTGAGGTATGCTTAAAAATTTAAAGCTTCTTTCAAAGTTCGGTCAGTCTTTTTCAAAGAAAGAGAAAAAATACAAGTAGACGCTATTTTTGGACTTCATTGTTGTAATCGATATAAAAAAAGGACATTTTTTTCAGTTTCTACTTAGAATTAACTGGGTTGTGAAGCTTTTTAAGCAATATTTATTCAGAGCTAAAATAATATTCAATTAACTGCTTAATAAAGTTTGAACTTGGCCTAATATTCATGAAAACCTGTGGAAAAAAATATTTCTGTTCAATAAAAACTTCCTCAAGGTGAATTTTTTTCTATTTTGACAAAAACTTTGTTCTTAAAAAGTAATTTTTACAAAAAAACCACTTTTCTTTAGAAAAATTGCGTTGATAAATTCACTTCGTAATTAAAAAAATTGAAATCGCTCAATATTTTTGGTATTTACCAAGCAATCAATGAAACTCTAATAAAACTACAAAAAAATAAAAAAATAGTTCATTTAAGGTTCAAAAAAATGAATCTTTTTTTCCAAAAAAATAAATGATAAAGAGAGGAGATAAAATGGCGTCAATGTAACGTTTCTATAAGGTCTTTTACGGTTAGTATCGGCGGTCAGTGAGAATACGTGCTGGAACACGCGACGCAAGCCGCGCCGCGTGCTCTCTCTCTCATACAGGAAATGGATCATTATGAACTCCATCTTTGAGATTCAAAAAAAAGCGCAATTGTCTTTGAAAAATTACGAAATCGTATTTTTTGATATAAAAATAATTGTTAAAAAGCTTCTAGTGTGTTCAGTAGATAATATCAACTTTTTAGTTTTTTCTTTAAAAAAAAAACATGTCTGCGTGATGTTTTTATGATACTTTCCGCAATCTATACAAAACCGGATTTTTCCAAAAAGTCATATCCATACTTATTTCACAGTTTTGTCCACCGATCGTCTTAATAGAATTCATAAACTAAGTTTCAGAGCATGTAATTTAAAAGGAAAAAATGGGTCTCGAAGAGACGCACGCGTCTTTAATAAGAAGCAGTACGGTAATTGCCTCTGTTCTTTTTTTCACGTTTGAAACTTGTTTCATTTTTTCTTTTAATCTGTGTTCCGGTTTTTACGAAAATATGTTTATCCAAATATGTGCTTTAAGAGAAGGTGTAAAAAAAATTCATTGAAACACGTTAAAATCATAAATCTTTTGAAGCATTCAAAAGCCCGTTTGAACTGCAATATTCGATCAAAGTATTGATCTGGTTGCAAGAAACGTCCGGATAATAGATCCTGATCAAGAAACAGTTGTTTTTGGCGAAGCTGTCGATGTCGTGGATTCCGAAAGTCGTGCTCATCTGCTTCGTCTGCAGGCAGATCTTGTCCAGTTGCTCTCTGGAGTACGAGATTCCAGTCTCTTCATCGTATATTGGCTAAAATTACATGTTGAAAAAAATAGAGAATTCCCTTTCAACAGTAACATTTTGATTTTCATTTTGAAAATTGCCATTTCTGAGGCTGAATTCAAAGGAGATTTCTATCATATTTTGCAAAAAGTGAAAAAGTGCAAAATTGTAAAAATAAAGTGTTCAAAAATGCCATAAAAATGAAATCATTCACTCACAGGTAACGTTATAGTGCTTTCCGGAGCGGTATTCGAGGAGATCGAAGTCATGAAGATTGGACTTTCCGTAATTACTTCCACTGGAACTGAAAGGATTGATATGAATGCAAAAAAATGACCACGCAAAAATTGTTCCAGGCCTTTGGAGACATGATTCGGAAACTTTTTTGAGACAATGTTTAACAAAAAAATTTTTGAGCTCTACTATAGGACTTGAATTTGAATATTCATTGGAAAATCTTTTGAATGTGAAAAAATAATTGGGCTTTTTAAATATTCCTGTAATACCTCGATTAGGTATGATTCTTTTCTTGTACTTTCGACGTAGTTTTTTCTTGCGCTTCGGTTTTTGCGTTGTTGTCGTTTCTATAAGAGTTTCCGGCGGAGTGATCGTTTCAAAATTCTGCAAAAGATAAACGCTTTTCTACAGGAAAATCAAAAGAAACCTCATATTCTTGTATCGGAGATGTTCGAAAATTCTCAACAGAGTTTTCGAAGTTCGAGGGGTAAGCGGAATATGAATTCAACTAAAAAATTGCGTATTGATCAGAAAGTTTGGAAAGTTACTGTACGGTTTATAGAGATTTTAAACCGTAATCGCCTTTTTTTGAGGAAAAAATAATTATCTTCAAAAAATTACTCACATATTCTTTGTGTCGTGTAGGGAACACGATTTGAACGCGAGATAAAGCCTGTAAAATAAATTTCTTGACCTCTGGTGTTTTCAGACTTTTCAAAAGTTCAGAATATTTGCTTGCTTAAAATTCAAATAGAAAGGGTTTTTGCCTTGTTTTTTCCTGATTTTGGCTTGGCTTCTTCATGGCTTCAATTTTGAACTACAGCGAACCTGACTGTCACTATGTTGCCAAGAACAAAAAAGAAAGGAAAATTAATTTGTTTTCTGTAGGATTGTTGTAAATCATAACCCTTATCGGTCCGGAAATCAAATCAACTTTTCTTCTCTGCCCGCCAATTTTTTTTCGGATAATGTGTTTTGAGTCAAAGAAACCCTACAGATGCCCTAAAGTCTCATAATTATCGCCAAACCTCAGCAAATGAAAAAGTATGAGAGGCCGCAAAAACGACCGCTGCGAGAAGCATCAAAACGGCGGCATACTCCAAAAAGGTTGATCAAATTAAGGAAAATGGCTTTTGAAAAAAGCGGAAAAAGTGAAGGCGTTTGCGGATGTTCTGAAACCGAAGGGTCCGTCGACAAAAAATGTATGTCATGACGGGGGGCTGGGTCAGCCGAGACGTGCGCCACGCGTCGTTGCCTTCATGCGATTACAGATCAGCGAGTTTCTTGCTATACATTTCTTTGTTCTACAGTTCAAAAAAAAACATGTCTGGATTGGAAAGGAAATTGTGGGCCTTGATGGAAGAAAAAAGAGGGTTGCAAATCCAGGAGGTCTGCCTTTTTGAAAAAGAGGGTTGTCATAAAATCTTCTTTGCCCTCTCACCACTTGAGAGTAAATATCGCACAATAGGAAAAAACTGAATACAGTAGATTGTGTGAAAAAACTATTTTGACGTTTTTGAGTCGCTTGAGTTGAAATTCTCAGACTCCACGGTGATCTCGCAGAAGTTTTCTGAAAGGTGTGAAAGGTCCTACTTCTTTTGATTTTTGCCTGAATTCTTTTTGTCTTATTTTTCGATGCAAAAAATGTATTTCAAACTTTGGTGATCTGCACTTGTTTTGGGAAAAAAAGAATTATGTTAAATATATTAAGAAGAGGGAGAAAAACTTACCGCACATCTCAACACGGAAAACTTTCTTCAACAGAGGTATATCAAAGTGGACAAAACTGAAACTAGAGAAAACACTACGACAGTGAAATAATAAACAGAAAGCGTTGAGCATGAAGTTTCTCGGTGAAGCCCAGGTGTTTTTTCAGTTCAGAGAATTTATAAATGATTTTCAGTCGTGACTTCGCAGCCTGTCCTTTCTTTCGATAGATTTTTGGAAAATCTCTCCCTGTCTAAAACTTCAAGCTACTTTTTTAAATCTTTCAACTCCGACACCTTGCTCCATTTTTTCAAAACGGGGCGATCGAAAATATTGAGTTTATTCTTTTTGACTAAATTTTTTTTTAAAGCAAAAGCGTGGTCAAGTTGAAACCCGGTTATACGGCGTAAATAGGGGCAACATATACCGGCTCCGGACCACGCGACAATCTCGCCTCTCTGAGGGTTAATATACCCCCCGATTTTCCTGCACCCGACCTGAACCGACTTGACAGAAGACGGATGGGAGCTCGGTACTCGATTACTTGTTCGTGTTTTCTTAATATGTTATTTGACTTGATTTTGCAGTAATAAACAATCGTTCTTTAATATTTTTGAAGTCCGCAGGTTTTACTTCCCCTGAAAACAGGAGTTTGAAGAAAATTTGACTTTGAAAGCGTCCTTTTTTCTCATAAGCGTGGTTAAGCATTTTTTTCGTATTAACAGAAACTAGAAATATCCAAGAATTCAGGCGAAATATTATTTTTTTAACAACCTATTTTCCACACTTTCTTCATGAAATATTTCAAATAGACGTCAAATATGAAAGTTTGAAATGGTGTCCAACTTTATTGAAATAAAAAAATTTTCAGAATGGCGCTATGATAAAAAAATTAAAATTTTTCGTAAACTTCTATCATCTTCTTGCAAAAAGCGTGGTCAAGTTGAAACCCGGATATAAGGCGAAAGTAGGGGCAACATATACCGGCTCCGGACCACGCGACGATCTCGCCGCGCTGAGGGTTAATATACCCCCCGATTTTCCTGCACCCGACCTGAACCAACTTGAGAAAATACGAATGGGACTCGAATACTTAGGCATGTCGCCTCAATATGTTATTTGACTTAATTTTGCAGTAATAAACGTCGTCACTTTCTTTAATATTTTTGAAGTCAGCATGTTTTTTTTTTTCCTGAAAACAAAAGTTTGAAAAAAATTTGACTTTGAAAGCGTCCTTTTTTTCATAAGCGTGGTTAAGCATTTTTTCGTATTAAGAGGAACTAGAAATATCCAAAAAATTTATATCAACTCCAGATAGAGTATTAAAAAAAGCTCTTAGACGGACAGAATTACTTGCTACACTTTGACAAATATTTTAATTTATTGAAACAATCGACCAAATGAAAGCAAAAATTCGATTGCCCAGGTAACTAATTCCAGTTCATTTGTCGATTTTTATTATTTATAAGAAATAAGTTCCATATTGTAACTTGGCTGACTTTTTCGCGAAAAATTATTTTTAACAAATCATTTTTTAGACTAAAAAATTCCATTGCCCTGATTCCAGTTTGTTTGTCGGTTTTATTTTTCAAATGAAGATGGTTTCAAACGGTAACTTGGCTTAATTCAGCGAGAAAATGTTTTCGAACAACCGACTGAAGTTTCCAATCCTTTAGTGAAGTACAAAAGGTCGTATATGATTCTTAAAATATCTACTAATTTTTAAACGGTTTGTTGCTGTTTTCAATGTTTAAATTTCCCTTTTTGAAAATTGGTTCTGTTAGAGGTCTTTTCGGCCCTTGAACTGTATTATTATTCGTATTGAATAAATGATGATGATGATGATGATGGTATATGAGAGTTGAAAGTGAAATTCAATTTTATAAGAAAAAAATTTTTAAAATTCGAAAAAAATCCCTGCTTATTTGAGTGCATCCAATTTTCATGAAACATGGTTTTTGAAATTTTTTTTCTCAACTTGCAAAAGCGTGGTCAAGGGGAAACCCGGTTATAAGGCGGAATTAGGGGCAACATATACCGGCTCCGGACCACGCGACGGTCTTACCTCTCTGAGGGTTAATATACTCCCCGATTTTCCTGCACCCGACCTGAACCGACTTGACAAAATGGGGGGAGTTCCATTGTCTACTTCTGATTCAAGTTATCTTTATATGTTATTTGGCTGAATTTTGCAGTAAAAAAAGTCGTTTTCTCCCAAATTTTTTTGAAGTCATCAGCTTTAATCTGAAAACAGATGTTTGAAAGAACTTGGACTTTGAAAAACGTTCTTTCTATTCTCATAAGCGTGGTCAAAAAGTTTTTTTCGTGATTAAAAAGAAATCATAATAGAAGCAAAACCTCGACGGCCTAAGCAAATGATTCCAGTTCGTTTGTCGGTTGTTATATCTCAAGAAAAAGTTGGCTTAATATCGAAACTTGGCTTACTGTTGCGCGAAAAAAATTATTTTGCACAGCCGAATTTCATATAAAAATACCATAAATAGCCGCCAAATATGAGAGTTTGGAGTTGAATCCAATTTGATCAAAAACAAAAAGTTCAAAAAAACGCGCCATGACAAAACGAGGATTCTTCAAAAAGTATTTGAATTTTATAAAAAAACTAAACTTATTGAAATTTTTTTTCTTTCTTGTTTTTGCAAAAGCGTGGTCAAGTGAAACCCGGTTATAAGGCGGAAGTAGGGGCAACATATACCGGCTCCGGACCACGCGACGGTCTTACCTCTCTGAGGGTTAATATACCCCCCGATTTTCTTGCACCCGACCTGAACCGACTTAGCAAAAGACGAGGAGGTGCTCCACATTTGACTTCTTGCTCAGTGTCTTAATACTTTATTTGTCAAGTCTGCAGTAAAATAGTCATTCTCTCCCAAATTTTTGGTCGACATTTTTTTTAGAAACAGGAGTTTGAAGAATTTTTGAGTTGAAATTCTCACTTCAACTCCAAATATGAAAAATTTAAAAAAACTTCCGACAAATAGAAATACTTTTTTTCTCTTTCGCAAATATTTTTGACAAATTGCAACCACCGACCAAATATATGCGAAAAATAAAATTGCCCAGGCAACTGATTTCAAATGGTTTTTTTGGTTTTTTTATTTCTCAAGAAAAGTTGGTTTCATAGTTTAACTTGGCTGACTTTTGCCCAAAAAGTTATTTTGAACAGCTGAATTCCCTGTCTTTTTATAAAATACCTCTGATTGCCGTCAATCATTAGAGTTTGAAATGGGATCCAACTTCATTGAAATAAAAAATTTTCAAAAATGCGCTATGACAAAACATTCATTATTATAAAGTATTTGAATTATAAAAAAACAGAAATTTTTCATTATTTTCTTGCAAAAAGCGTGGTCAAGGGGAAACCCGGTTATAAGGCGAGAGTAGGGGCAACATATACCGGCTCCGGACCACGCGACGATCTCGCCGCGCTGACGGTTAATATACCCTCCGATTTTCCTGCACCCGACCTGAACTGACTTGACAGAATACGAATGGGAGCTCGGTACTCGATTACTTGTTTGTGTTTTCCCAATATGTTATTTAACACAATTTCGCATGTTTTTTTTTCCTTGAAACAGGAGTTTGAAGAAAATTTGATTTTTTAAATGCTCTTACTCTTTCCATTAGAGAGGTCAAGCATTTTATCTTTATTACAAAAACTGAAAGTTTCCAAAATACATTTCAACCCCAGATTAAAAAATTAAAAAAGCTTTACTACGGACAAAAAAATACTTTCTACACTTTTTGCAAATATTTTAAATAATTGAAACAATTGACCAAATGAAAGCAGAAATTCGATTGCCAATGCAACTGATTCCAGTTCGTTTGTCGGCTTTTTTTATTTCTTAAATAAAAAAAGGTTTCATACGGTAACTTGGCTTACTTTTGCGAGAAAATGTTTTCGAACAACCGACTGAAGTTTCCAATCTTGTAGTGAAGTACACCAGGTCGTCTCAAAATATGAGAATTGAAAGTGGAATTCAAGTTGAAGAGAAAAATTTTTGAACGAAAAATTCCCTGCTTATTTGAATTTATCCGATTTCCATGAAACATGTTTTTGAAAAAATTTTTCTTATCTTGCAAAAGCGTGGTCAAGTTGAAACCCGGATATAAGGCGAAAGTAGGGGCAACATATACCGGCTCCGGACCACGCGACGGTCTTACCTCTCTGAGGGTTAATATACCCCCCGATTTTCTTGCACCCGACCTGAACCGACTTGACAGAAGACGAGGGGAGCCCTATACTTCACTTCTTGCTCAGTGTCTTAATACTTTATTTGTCAAGTCTGCAGTAAAATAGTCATTCTCTCCCAAATTTTTGGTCGACATTTTTTTTAGAAACAGGAATTTGAAGAAATTTTGAGTTGAAATTCTCACTTCAACTCCAAATATGAAAATTTAAAAAAAACTTCCGACAAATAGAAATACTTTTTTCTCTTTCGCAAATGTTTTGACAAATTGCAACCACCGACCAAATATATGCGAAAATTAAATTGCCCAGGCAACTGATTTCAAATGGTTTTTTGGGTTTTTTTATTTCTCAAGAAAAGTTGGTTTCATAGTTTAACTTGGCTGACTTTTTGCCCAAAAAAGTTATTTTGAACAGCTGAATTCCCTGTCTTTTTTTATAAAAATACCTCTGATTGCCGTCAATCATTAGAGTTTGAAATGGGATCCAACTTCATTGAAAAATTTTTCAAAAAGGCGCTATAACAAAAACATTGATTATTATAAAGTATTAGAATTATAAAAAAACAGAAATTTTCATAAACTTTCATTATCTTCTTGCAAAAAGCGTGGTCAAGTTGAAACCCGGTTATAAGGCGAGAGTAGGGGCAACATATACCGGCTCCGGACCACGCGACGATCTTGCCACGCTGAGGGTTAATATACCCCCTGATTCTCCTGCACCCGACCTGAACCGACTTGACAGAATACGAATGGGAGCTCGGTACTCGATTACTTGTTCTTGTTTTCTCAAAATGTTAATTAACACAATTTAACATGTTTTTTCAGGAGTTTGAAAAAAATTTGATTTCTAAACGCTCTTTTTTCCATTAGAGAGGTCAAGCATTTTTTCTTCATTACGAAAGCTGGATGAAAAAAATAGTGAGAGCTCCATACTCTATTCTTGTGTAATTTTGCTTAATTTTGCAGTGGAAAAAATTCATTGTTTTCTATTTTTCCTTTTCTTACAAAACAGTTTTTCATTTCAGCTGCGGAAGTTATCATCATATTTCGAAAAAAATCTGAGTGAAGTTTTTTTACTACGGACTTTCTTCGAAAATTGTAGCGAAATTTTCGGAATTTAAGATTTTAGTTGAAATCAAGTCTTTATAATTTGGCGAGTGAATTTCTTTAGGCAGAATATAAAAATTGATGAGAACAAGATTTATATCAAACTAGCGTTAATTTTTCTGCGCGTGTGAAAGTAACTGTAATTGTCTAGTCCGAGCTTGCGCGTGCGTGAGATATCCCAATTGCGGCCCTTGCGAAACGAGCCTCTCGTCATTTTGTTCCAGCTCATTCTTTTGCTTTAGTTTCTCAATCTTTTTGTTTCAAAATGTGTTCTGATTTTTTATTTCTCATCAATTTCATAAACTGGACGATCTGAAGCTATTTAAATAGACTGAAATTTTTTTTTTGCATTGGAATAGTAATAATCTAATGAGAAATTTTTTTTTTTCGTGTGTTTGGTTTTTGTGCGTTTTCATTTTCTCTTCACGGAATGGGTTTCAATGATTAAATTGTTTTATTGCAGAGTATATCTACAGCCAAAATGGACTACGTAAATATTTTGGACGAGCGAATCGATCCTATTGATATTCATGTGAGTTTTTTTATAGCTTCAACGAAATACAGTGAGAAATTTGAAAACCACCGATTTTCCAGAAAAATTGATTTTATGATTTTTTTTTCCATTATGCTTTATTTTGCATGGTAGTTGAAGAATGAAAAAAATGCTATTTCGAAACAAAAAAAAAATTAATTTCAGAACGCTCGTGAAGCCTACGCAAAACAAGCTGCCCGTGGAGAGCCCAGCATCGCCGCCAAGTTTTCTTTCGCCCACGCACTCATCGGATCCAAGATCAAGCGTGAGGTCCACGACGGAATCCAGATGCTCGAATGTAAATTTTTCATACACCATTATATTCTCCACAATAAGAAAAGAACATTTTTTTCAAATCTCATTTTGCAGGCTTGCTCAAAGAAGATTCGAATGACGGCAGCAACCGCGACTACGTGTATTACCTGGCTGTGGCCAACGCCCGTCTCAAGGTTTTTTCCGAGGTAAAGTTAGAAAAAATATCAGTTTTTACAGAATTTTGACCGAGCTCTGAGCTACATCGAGGTACTTGTCAACGCTGAGTCTCACAACCGACAGGCCATGAGTTTGAAGAAGGCGATTGAAACAAAGATGCGTAATGGTTAGTTTTCATTTTTTCTTTTTTTCGATTGCAGTATTTCAAATTTAATTGTTCGCATAGTAACAGTATTATTTCCGTACTTTCTGAACGGAATTTTCGGGTTTATATTTTTTTCATGAAAAACAGTTATATTTTTTTGGAATGAAAGCGTTTCCATAAATCTACTGCTTGAGGTGTCCCAGCCTATCAACCTTCTGCTGAGTTCAAAAAAATACGTTTACCGTTTTTTTGGTAGAGTACAAATACCTGGCATCTAACATGAAAAAAATTAACAAAAAAACCTAAAAAAACTATAAAGTTCTGCATTAAAAACCTAACGAAAAGATCTTCTCACTTCTCGGTTGGAAATTTTCTGATAATCGGCAGGAAAAACTCCTTTGATAAGAATCTTGAAAGTCCCCAATCTGTTCAATTTGCTATTTTTTTGAGGTAAGAGTTCTAAAAAAATTAATGAGATATAGAAAAAAAGCTAGGAAATTAGGATATTAAAAAAACTAGAACAACTTTCAGGATCTTTACCTAGTACATCATAAAAATATTCTGGCCGATTTCTTGATTTTTCCAGAACTCAAATAAGAGTGACCCTCCCTTTTAAGCAATATCTGATAAAGGGTTTTTTTCTTTCTCCAGTTCAAGAATATTTTTTTCAAGTACATAATATAATTTTGAGTTATTTTTTTTTTAGATGGTCTTCTTGGTGCTGCAATCATCGGCGGTGGCGCAGTGATCGTCGGCGGAATTGTTGCTGCTCTCCTTGCCGGTCGCAAATAGCTGAAGAACATCCTTATGAAAGTCTCACCTTCATTATTTATTTCATCCTTGCACTTGTACACTTATTTTTTCAAAAATGTATCTTGTCGTTTACTCGGGTAGCTTTCCCCTTCCGAACCAGTGTATTTGATTTCAAGCGAACTTATCTGTCTGTTTCTGGAAAATCGTCTGAGCGGGTGCTCAGACATTATGCACTTTATTTATTTTTCAATCATTTTTTGTATGAAGTTTTTGTTTAAAAAAGTTTTATGATTTCACATTAAACTAAAATATACTGACTTTCGCATCACCCAAAAGTGTTCAAGGTGTAAAACGGTATTCTGTTCTCACTCTTTAGTGGCTCTTCTACTGAGCTCCAAAGAGTAAAAGAATCAAATTTGATCAGAATTGCAATTATTTTTTTTATCTGAATCTATGGAAACCTGTATTAAAGTGAGGACCTGATTACTCAAAAAGAACTTATCACCGGTCAAATATTGACCAACGAGTTAGGAGCCTAAGTTGAGGTAACAATCCCTCGGAAAGTAAAAATAAAAGCCAATCCTCAAAAATTGTATTTTCAAACAATAAAAAGCCCAAAAATAACACACCTCTTCTTAGAGAAACACTTTTGAGACCATACACAAAATTTCCTTCAAAAACTTTATTCGATTCGGGTTTTGGAGCAAGTTGAGAGCAGAAAATGTACAGCGCGTATTATTCTTGATTTTCACCCGTCTGTAATCGTAAGAACAGTAAAAAAAAAAATGGAATGGGTAAGCCTATACTATTAAAAACACAAAAAAATTTTGATTATTCGAAATGACGCGTATTTCAGAGGTTCTTCGTCGGGATAACAAAAAATACAAGAAATAAAAAATGTGTGAGGGTAGTTGTGTCAGTTGCAGCAGTGTTTTTCTAGATGAACGGATTCCAAGATGTCGAGTTTGGAATGTTGTTGGTGTGCTGGAAAATTTAAATATTGCTCAAAATATAACCAAAAATAATAAAAACTCACATTGAGCTGATAATTATTCGATGAGAATTGTTGTCCATTGACTGGTTTGCTATTTAAGAATCCTGGAAATTTATTTTTCTTTCTAATCATATTCTCCGCAAACCTGAGGATTGAAAAGCTGTGATGTTTTGGAGCGTGGCGCTGTGAGGGAAACCTTGGTCGAATGTTTTGCTGTTTCGCATGTCGCTCACTTCAGAATGAGCTGAAATAATGCAATATTTTATAACTAAATCTCCATCCTTTTTTATATTCAATCTCTCTAAAACACCACTGAAGCCCAAAAACTGAAAAAGGAGAGTCTTACCTGCGGTCATCCAAGCATTATTCGTGTCTGTAGTGGGTTTTGGATCTGTGTGGAAAATCTGAAAGCCACGTGTTCAAAGAGAAGTGTGAGATCCCACTAGCCTTGTCCAACTCGGCGAGAGCACTGTATTTGTCTGTTTCGCTTCGGGAAGACGTTGCTTGCGTTGACGCCATTGGAGCCGGTGTGTTGAACGGCTAAAAAATATTATTGATCCAGAAAGTCAAGAGTGATTATTACGTTGATTTGTTCGTTGATGGTGGGTTGCGCCTGAGAGAAAGAACTCTGAAAATGACGAAAATTTGAGAAGAAGATTATAAAAAATTACCGGCGCTCCAAAGCCCTGAGAGCTGAGTCCCGTTAAGCCGTTTCCTAATGACTGAAATGAGCCATTTTTAATTATTTTTTGGATGGAAAGTGGGACTAACTAATGAACCAGGAATTCTATTTCCGTATTGCTGCTGTTGGAAAAGTTGTTGTTGCTGAAGTAATTGCTGTGGGTGCTAAAATAAGAGCTTTGAAATATTATCAGAATGTATAAACTTACAGGTCGCGCTGGCTGTGGAGGAGGGCCTCTAGATGCCTGAAATTTTTTTTTGTCAAAATCAACAAAAAGAAAAGAAACTAACCATTTGAGGCAACACCGGTGGCGGCAGTGCTGGCATAGTCGTTGATCGAGGGATTTTATCTCCTAAAAATTTATCAGAATGAAAAAAAAATAAAGAATCTCACCAAACGCATTGCTTCCCCCATTAACATTGAACTGAGAGAATTTCTCATCAAAATCATCGAATAAGTTGGAGGAAAAGTCGGTCGTCTTGGCATGTTGAGGGAAGTCTTGAGATCGAGCAGAGAGAGTAAGATAATTAGGAGGAGCCATAGGTGGAGGAGGAGCTGGAGCACTGAAGTTTGGTGGGGAAAATGCTCGGTCATCACTCTAAAAACAGAAGAATGGGTGATAAAAACATGAAAACTAACCCTCGAAGTGAAGGCATCCGATGGGTAGGGCTCGCTGATTGTAGAAAACCCCGAGAGAAGGTCGAAGTGGGACTAAAAAAAAATAGTTCAAAGAGGGACGTTTTGAAAAAACTTACATTGACAGCTGCTTTGCCGTCGGTTTTCAGAATTGTACGAGGAGTGCTTGCAGCTGTGGCAGATGGGGAAGCGTACCAGCTCTTTTTCTCGTATTTCTGAAGTTACCGTATGCGAAATCCCCAAAAAAGTTTCTCCGTAATATCACAGCTGTGGAAGAAGATCGTTCACATTCTCAAAATTTTTCGGCCGCCTGAGTGAAATTTTTCTATGTACAAAATTTGGCTGATTATAGGGTAAAATTAAAAAATCAGGATTGTTGCTGGGTTGGCGTAAGTTGCCGTTTTGAATTACGATCTATCCACCTTTTCAAAATTGTTCGAGTGAAATAAAGCCAAATCTACAAAAAAAAAACTATGAAAAAATTGAAAAAAAAGCTTCAAACCTTAATCAGATAATCCTGCACATCGGACTTTTTGAGGGAGCTCATTTTCGGCCCGGTGTAGCTCTTCATCCAAGTTTTATGATTTTCCTCGTTGCCCCCGGATCGGAGCTTCTCAACCTCTTCATTGGAGAAAGTGGACATGTTGATAGATTTCACTCTGTGCGGTGGATTCAATCCTCTTCTGAACCGAAATTTTCGTCCAAATAAAATTGGAAAAGAGAGATTTACAGTAGTCCGGAGCAGGATGTGCAGCAAAAAGAAAGAACGGTGAGATCGACGTAGGTTGGACCGATTTGACCGCATTCGCAGCATTTTTTGTTTTCTGGGAGGTGAGCGAGCTCTCTGAAAATTGACAATTACTTTTTTTCTACCGCTTTCGAAAACAGTTTAGGAAAAACCTAAATAGGATGCCTTTTTTGTTCCTTTCAAAAAAAAAAACTAACTTTATTGTGTTGATGTTCTTCTCTTCTGCTTTTCGTTTCTGTGCCATCTCCATGATCTGAAAAACTGTTGCTTATTTGATTATAGAAAGAAAGAAAGAAAGAAAAGAAACGTGTGACATGGATAAAAAAAGGAGTAAAGACTATAAATTTGACCTCGATATTGAAAAAAATCTTTTTCGATGTCAAATACGCGACAATTCTACTCATTGAATCTGAAAGTGAAAAATACTTTGTCAGAGATAGGTTGAAAAAAAGGTCTTCAAAAAGAGAAAGGAATAAAAAAAAGCTGGAATTTTTCTGCATCTTTTCCAAAAAATCTGAATCTACATTACTACTTTTTTTTGAATTTTAAAAAATGATGATCTACTTGAAAATCTCTGTTGAACACAGTTTATCGTTTTATACTCACCATACTCACGCGGAACGTTAATTTATCAGCAAATGATTTTCACCTTTCAGTACGATAAAAATGAGACCAAGAGAGGAAACTCATTGGGAAAACGAACAAACAATGAAGACAGTTGATAAGAGGATATGGAGTGGAGTTGAGAGACAAAAAGCAAAAAAAAAATCGGAAAAAGCTCGCTAGAATGAGAGTCGTTGGCAAAAACGAAGAGAAGTACATGGAGCAATTTGCGACTCTCCAAATGCTGTCGTTCGTTCTCCCAAGGGGCGGCGCGAGGGTCGACAAAGAGGCTGTACAGTGGAGCGCAATACGCGCCATTTCCTTCAATTCTTCCAGAAACAAAACAAATATTTCGGAGCGTCATTCACAAAAGTTTTTATTTTATGATTCTGGAAAATCTAGAAGAACACGAAACTACGAAAAAAATCACTAATATTCTCAAAAAAATTTTTTTCAACAGTTTCGGCAAAAAAATTCGAGGTTTTTTTATATTTTTTTTATAACTTTTTGAAGGGGTTGAAATTGACTTTTTTTATAAAGAGCAGATAAAAATCAACAAATTATGAAAACTATCGAAATTTGAGTATCTCTGAAGTAAAAAGTTCATTTATGTCGAGACTTGAAAAATTTGAATATTTTAGATATTTTTTTGCAAAAAAATTCTCAAATTCAGCATTTAGGTAACTTTTTCCGAGAAAAAAAGCGATATATTTTTTTAAAAAAATTGTGTATTTCAGTTTCTTCATTTTATTATAGATTTCTTTTTCAATCTTCAAGTTTTTTTCGTCAAAAATTTCAGGCCGCTAATTCTTAAAACAAAAAAAGCTGCAAACGGCTATTCAATATGATTATAAAGAGGGCAACTTAAATTTTATTTGTAATCCAGCTCAATTAAAAAGTTTTCCGGACACCTTGAACTCAAATAGCTCCATTCAAATTGTTGAGTTACTTCTCTCACCAATTGTACTGCATTTGCACTGTTTGGATTTATATCTCCAGCTTCTTGTGAATTAAAAAAGTAATCGAAATCTAAAATCAATTTTCAATTTTTGAAAATATCAGAAATTTAGGTATATTTTACCCCTAGAATAAAACACATCGCGTAACTGAATGGAAAACTGGTACTCATGTCACATTATTGAGCTCCAAAAAAACGTCGTAAATAGTGGTAATTATATAGCGTGATAACTTGTACCCAGGAGGAAGGTTTTCTAGCACGTGAACGGAATCAAAAAACAAGCGGAATGTTCTGAGAGAGACACGCCCACAAGAAGTTCGCGTGAACAAATCGGAAATTTCTCAGAAATGGAGTCCAACTTTTGTTATGAATGTTTTGTTGTTGAGAGCTCTTAAGAAAAAATTATTTCAAGAGATTGCTACGATGAATCTTCGTACCATAAAAAAACAAGTTGATTGAAAAATATTCACTTATGTGTGAGAAAAATCAGATTTCGATGTGTAAAATAAAGTTTTGAAGACGGATAAAATTTGTTGAGAAAAAAAGCTCTGTATTCAGAGACATCCTACATTTAAAAATGCAAAGATTTTTTTCCAAATTATAAGTCTTAAAACCACGATTCAAAAATTTTTTTCTCTCATCAAAGCATTTTAAGAACCTAGAAAATCATACTACTTTTTTGAAAATCTTCATATAGTTGAACAAAAATTCAAAGTGGATTACTTCCACATGCGGTCTTTTGCTCTCGACGGGAAGAAATTCTCCGAATAATAACTCTAGGAGAGCCGAGTTTTGAAGCTATGGGGAACAATAGATTAAGAGACGAACGTGGAAGACCCAAGGCAAAACAGCGGAATGCAAAAACTGGCGGCCGGCGATGCAACTCAACATACGGAATTGCGGCCCATATCTTTCAGCCGCATAATTCGCCGCCCCTCGGCCATTCATATCATTTTACAACTCGACCTTTCGATTTGTTTGGTTGAAAAGCTCAAGAGAAGTCTCAGGACTTTTTTAAAATACTGAAACAATTGGAAATGACCAACTGAAGGAAAAAAAGGTTCAATATAGTTTTTATTATTATTTTCGTAATTTTTTTGAACAACGACGTCTCAGATCAATACTTCACGAAGGCTTGTAGCTCATCCACCTGGAAATTTCTAAATGATTAAAAAAGAAATGGTCTTGTCTTATCCATTATATCTGGGAAACTTGGCCAGAAAACTTATCAAACTGCATTATGATGAAAAATTTTTCAAGATCTGCAAAAAAATCCTAAACTTTTTAAAAAGAAGACTAAAGAAAGTTTTTTTGATAAAAGTCTGAAAATTTCCGTCTTTCAACGAAAAATTTCGGAAAAATTTAATGTCGAGAGTTTGAATTTGACAACTTATTTCAACGGAAAACAATTTGAAACACCATCTGAAAAATTAAGACTGGACAGAGAGTGGAAGAAAAGATTGTTTTTGAAATTTGTACTTCATCGACAATAGACAAAGGAAAGGTCGTTAATAATTTGTGCACTTTGTAATTATCCAGATTTTCCGCAGACTACAAACCCGCGTTTATAATGAGTTCTCAATTAGTGAAGGATAGGATGTTTTGGCAAAGTAAAGCAAAAAGGAAGGAGAATTTTGAAGAAATCGTAATATTGAATCACCTTCCCATGCAGAAAAGTCTTCATGTTGCTGTTTCCAGCATGACTTTTTTGAAGTTCAATTCTCGAATTGCATTGAAAGTTTCTCAATTTTTTTGAATTCTATAAAAAAAGAAACATACGCTACGAAATTCTATAAAAAAAGATTAGACTTTGTAAGTCAAGGATTTTCAGTTTTTTTTATACATGAAATATTTTTGAGTCTGATATTTCCTTTCAAGTTATGATAAAATGCTATCAAAGTGACTTCTTGATTTTTCCACTCGAAAAAAACTGAAATTTTCTATCACTGCGGTCAGAAATGAGATGATACTATTTCGAGGAGCTCCTCAACGGCGGACGTTTCGACCTGCTTTCCTCCTTCTTCGCATCGTCACTTGCCTTTTTCATCGCCCACAGACTAACTCATTCTTTGCTTCTTCGACGATTCAGCCTAACCTCTTTCATCGCCGCAAGCCGTATCCGTTCACTTCTTGTTCGTACGCTGTCAACCAGAAAGAAATTATCGGCTCTTCATTTCCGACAATTTCTTGAAACGACGGCGGCTTTTTCAGCTTTTCAGAGTGCGTGCCACTTCAACACGCCCTTTTCTCCCAATCTTTAAATCACGAAGTCTTTCTTTCCCATTATTAATTCAGAGATGGTTCGTTTGCAGGGCGGTAAAGTGTGACGACGAGCGGAATTTTATAGAAGAAGACGGCGTTCGATGCGATCCGCCCGTTGACGTAATGCCGCAATATCTTTTTGTCTTTGCCGGCTGCCTTCAAACGTGAAAGTGGTCCGTTTGGTCTTGCAGTGATGGCGCCAATTAGCGAGAGGATGAGGTGCGTTCTCATTTATCACTTCGGGTGGAGACTCCTCAAAATTCGAAAATTTCGATTCTGATTAAAATGAAAACCGAACAGCGTTCGTGTGAAATCACCCGGGCATCGAAAAGCGCTCTAAGTGAAATTTTCTCAATTTATCGTCACTGGGAAAAAGGCTTTTCTGCTGCCTGGTGACCGAAACAATGACATTTGCGGCTTCCAAAAACCTTCAGAGAGGTCTTCTGAGCACTTTTTTCGTTTTTCGCTTTTGTTTTATTTTTAGAATCCGTTCAAAATAGTATATTCGAATGAAGTCATTTCACTGAATATTTAAATTTTAATAATCGGATTAGCTAATTTTAATCAATTTATTTTTTGAATTTTCGCGACCATTTTCGTTTGTTTTTCATGGGCGTTTTTTTAAACAATTTCTCATATTCCAAACTACGCATGAGGTATCAAATACAAATTAAACTGAGCTCATCCTTTCCAGAAGCTCATCTTTCACACTTCACAAGAAAAAAGTCATTATCGTAGGGAATTAGTGACTGGAAAACAGAGCCGGGAGATGAGTTTGACTTTCGGAGCATCTTTAAGCCGTTCTCCGGCGACGACGAGAAGTTTGTGCAAAATACCCAAAACGGAAGAAGTTGGGGAGACTTTGCGCGTCGAATCGATTTTCGCATTCGAGTGAGGGAGCGGCATTCTCCTGAATCTCCTCTGCATATCTCGCACTCCAAATTCCGTTGAATCGTGGAACGGGGACAAAAGGAAGAAAGGCAGTCGACGTGCTCTTCTGCAGAGTTCAGCTATTCGAAGACCAGCAAATCTACACCTCGTCCTTCTTTTTTTTTTTGCTTTTTCTAGTGTTTCAATTGTTTTATTGAATTATATTAAGTAAAATACTGCCTGATCTCTAAACTTAAGCGATTGATAACTGCCCAGTGACCTGGTTTTAAGTCTGTTATAACCGTGAATAATTCGCATTTCCCATCGCGTTGCCCTTTTTATCGTCATTTAAGAAGATTAGTTCCCATAATCGTCCCACAGTTCATATATAACTTTTTTTGACCGCAACCTTTTCAATAGTACGAAAGATCTTTTTGACGAGTAACCTAGGTTATTTACTCCAGCTGTTAGGGGTTATTTTGGTCTCAAAACACGGCAATTGACCCGATCCGGCCGCCCGTCCACTAGCGAGCAATCCGCGTCAACACACTCCAGTCCCTCGTTTTTTTCCCACGCCAACAACTGAATGCTTGTTTCAATCAACCCAACCTACTGAACTGCCAAAATTGTAATTCCTAATTTTTCTATCGACTGAACAATCGAAATGTGTCCCACTGCCTCCACTGCGCCTTTATCAGCACTCAGGTAAATTTTTTTACCTAACATGGGGGTTTTTATCAATTTTAATATTTTTCCACTATTTTTTCGCGTTTCACCTGCATTCAGAAGTGGGAAAAAAAGTCATATTTATTACGATAGACGAAACTTTTGTATTTTTGGATTAATACATAGTTTGCAAGCTTCTTGTAGTTGTCTAGAAAAACACTAACCGAGAAGTTTGAGCTCGCAATATAAACTGAAAAGCTCGGAAAAGAAGAAGTTCTAATAACTTTTTTCCTAGCTGAAAACCACGGCTCTGTTCAAAACGTATGAGAATTCAGCGAGTTTTTTTTTAATTCAATAATAATTATCCGAATAAAATAATTAATATAACTACCATTAAAATAAATTTACTTATTTCAAACTTTTATTGAGAGGAACTGAGCAAAAGTTTCGAAAGAGTGAACTCGAAACGAGAAAAAAACATTTGAACACAGCAAATAGTGCTCGTCGGCGATCTAATGGACGGGCCGAATTTTGTTTGCATTGTGGTGCTACCTCATGCGTTGTTTGGGAAAGAGCCGAGAGCTCCGCCCTCGCATCAGTCTTTCTTTTCGAAATTCTGTCTGTTCGCTTCTCCTACCGTTGAAAATGCCTATCGAGTGTTGGTTGTCTCAAATGTGAGCTAGTTCTATTTTTCCTCTTTTCCTTATCCCAGAAGAAGCCAGCAAGTATGATCCTTGAACAGTTTCAAAAAGTCCTTTTTTTTGTTCTTATTTTATAATCGTGTTTTTTTCAGATTGCAGCTGAATTATTTGAAAGGCGCAAGGTTATCAGAAACGAGTGCAGTCAAGATGCTGTCTATATTGAAAGTAAGCTTTTTCCTGGATTTTTGGTGTACAACGAAAGTTTTTAGTGTTTCGCAAACGTCCACGTTTTACTAGGAACTGTGATGCTTGTTTTGTCAAGTTTGGCCGACTACATCAGCTCCAGAATCAACACAGTCCGGTTAAACGGCTTGATAGAATGCTGTTCATTTTATTTTCTTGTTATGGGGTAAAACTTTTTTTCTTACTAAATGCTGTTTATACTGTTCTTTTGGAGAACAGCACATTTGAAGAGAAATTTGAGCCCTGTGTTTGAGAATAAAAATTCAGCGTCATTGGTTTATGCGGTTCCGCCTCGTATCGACGAGGCCTTGTTATAACGTACTTGGTGATGTCCGTTCACGCGATTTTCATTCTTGTTCCGGCTATCATCATTGTTTCAAGCTTCGATATTCATTTCTATCAGGTGCGTAATTTTTTCATGGAGAGATGCAAATTCTTCATGAGAAATTAACTGCCTTGCTATTGAAATTTTGCAGCACGAGTGCTGGGGAGAATGCGATTGGCATCTTCTAGCGACGTCGTTCCCGAACAATAGTCGATGTCAGATTTTGTGTGGACAACACGTTGATGAAACTATGCGCAGGTGAGCGGAAAGTTCTGAAATCTAAGAAGAATAGAATGAACCGAAGTTTTTTCACTGATTATTCAGCTTTTCCTTTGTTTATAAATTAATGGATGAAATATCTCTGCAAAGGTGCTTTTACCACTAGTTAGAAAAAAAAACAGTGGCTTCAAATTTTTGAAAATCAAGCTTCGTTTTTTTTATCCTTCTTGTTTTTAAAAATCACGAAACAACGAATGTGGCTTAAACCAATTAAGAATGAGGAACAGTTTGATCAAAACATTTTTCTCACGCTGTTATGGCGAAATTTTATTTTCGAACATTTAAAAAAAAACCTTGTTATTTCGCGTTCCTTGATCTCCAGCAAAATAATTTTGAACCGAATTGCTTTATGCCGTGTTCAAAGAGATTACGCGAAATTAAAAATAGCCGTCAGAGAAAGAAAAAGATTACTAAATTTTAGAGAGTCAGACCATTTCGAATTTTGCGGAAATCATTTTGAACACGGAATCAAGTTTCTCTCATTTTCAAACGACTGCCAATTTCAGAAGAATGACACGATTGGGAACGGATTATCGATTAGACGCCGGAATTATTGCCGCAGCCATTCTGGAATTTTTCTTAGCAATTGCAACGACAGTTATTGCTTCAAGGACATTATTTATCCCCACTAAGGTTAGTTATTTTTTTCAAATATTTTACTTAACCAAATTATTTCCAGGAATCTTCAATGGAACTTGTTCCTCTCAACGCAGGGAATGTGGAAGCTTCTGAAAATCATCGGCAATGATCAAGTTTTTTTTGACATTCCTCTTTTTTTGAGATCTTTTCTTTCTTTCATAAAACCTGAAACCTTAACTACCTGTGATACGCTAAAAACCTCCTTTCACTTCATCTCAGTTTCTAGTTATGAAGACCCTAATAAAAACCTCTTGCCCTGGAGATTGATCACATATTTTCTCAATTCGAAACCGGTGAAGCATTTATCGATCTATCAGTTTTCAGAAGTTCTTGATGAGAACCACGTACAAAGTTTTGGAATATTCAATTTTATTTTCGCTTTGCCTTGTCTCGATTCTTTGAACGAAATAAAGCGGTGTAGTTTTTTTGTTTTGTTTCTCTTTTTTTTTGGAATTTGCATCTTTTCCGTTTTTTGTGCTTGCGTCATTTTATGAACGATTCTTTTTTTGAATGAATTTTTTTAAAAATTTATAAAAAAATTTTTACAGAATGAACAAATGAAACATTTACGATTCATCACTTGGATACGCGGTAGAGAGACACGTTCCTGCAACAAAAAATTCATTAAAGATTAGGTTTCTAATTTTTTACCGTCGGCGCAGTCTTGAGTATAAGAAGTGATGTAGATCGGGTAGTTTCCAATGTTGAATTTGCAAGCATCGGAGCCAGAGTGGGCCAGAGCACAAACAGTCAGAATTGAGAAATCAAAGGCTGAAAAAATTTCATTTGCTTGGAATGAAAAAAGAAAAAAATCTAAAAACTCACCAGGAGAAGTTCCTGTGAAGAATCCACCTTTAGGCTTCAGCTCATTGTGCCAAGTGTATTGGAAAGTTCCGATCAAGTTCTAAATTCGAGTAATGAATATTAACAGCTCTTTTTCTAAGTTCTGACCTCGTCATGACTGTAATATCCATGGTAGTTCATTTGTCCGTCTTTTTGCAGAAGGTAGTAGCGGACCCAGTTGTGTTGACCGTCCACGTCAGATCCTTTCCACTCTCCAGAGAAAACGTGCTCCCAGCCTGAAAAAAAAATCCTTTGAAACTATATGCTCCATCACGATAGCCCACCAGAGCTTCCTAGCGTTCCTTTGCATCGACTGTAAGTTCCAAACCAAAGAGTCCACAAGAAAGGCTTGAAGGTTGTGAGGTCGTTGGTGTTTTTTATCTCTGGAAAATAAAAAATTGAACATAAGTAGATTGACAATCTTACTCTTGTCTTGGAGGTATTTGAATGCAGATTGGAACATTGGAGTGGCAGTGAATGTATCAAAAACGGTTTGAAGATACTGCTTTCGGAAGCCAGTCATGGGTGGTTCAGCAACGCAAACCTAGTTTCAGGTTAGTAAAGGTTTTTGGTTATATTTCATACTCCAGGAGTGAAAAGGTCTTTGTTGTAGGTGGTTATCAGATCAGCGTACACTGGACGGGTGAAGAGGCCTTCGTTGACCGTTGTGAAAAGACTGCAAAATTGTTTTGCAATAATTAACTGTTTCAAAATAATCTCTGAAGACAAACTTGTTTGGACTGTTGTCATTGTTTCCTGTCTGTTTGCTGCCCCAATCCATCTTGATATCTGAGCTGCTTGGCTTATCGTTATCAGCTGCCCACATCTGATCAACAAGAGCCTGGAGTTTGAAAAACTGCTATCGAATTCAACGTTCTTTCAACCTGAAGATCAGCGTCGTTGTTTTTTGGTTTTTTGGTGGTACCAGAGGCGGCATGGCCAGGCGTTGGATAGCATTCGCTAATCTGGAATTTCCGGTCATTGATAATAAAGATCTGAATTTGATTACCACAACAACTCCATTCGCAGTGGTAGTAGTTGCCTTCAAGTCGATGAGCGCTTTATCGATCACGACATTGCACTGAAGAACTGATTTAGGTAAGTTTTTCTTACTTTGAAACCGTCGTCTGGCCGGATAGAGCACAGACTGTGTACGCAGCCAGTTCGAACTCGGGGGAGCTGTCGAGCAAGAACGACTTCTGGACGGCGATCACATTGTTCAGTGTGAATTGCAAGGAAACATCGACCTTCTGCAAGGAAAAAGCCATTTGGAAGCACCCGTAAAGTTATTTTTAGATTTGATTGTGCCATTTTACTGATAGGATAGGAAAAATGAGTTTACCGTTATCGCCAATGAAATTTCAATTTTCTTCTCAGGCATTATCAAAAATCGTGAATTTGAAATTTCTCCATGTCTATCATTTTTTTCCTTCTCGAAATTGAATAACATTCTAAGAAAAATATGTTCTTAATTTTTTTAACCTTCGAAATATTAAATTATCTGGGTGTCTTCCAAACTTGAAAAAAGCGAAAGGACCGCTTGGTCCACTAGAACGTCAATAGAGCCCAAAGTCGGTAATTGAACGCAATCGATTTAGGTCCTTATCAGTCGTCTATTGCATCTGCCAGACGTTTCAATTTCCTTTCTTGTCTCCATGGTTGAGCTTCAACGGCTCAACGACCCTTTCTTGGAAGATGACGAGACGATTGCTCGGAGAAGCACAATCCATTTGAACACAACATCCCGAACTATTCGCAGAATCCGCTTGAAAGTTTACAATTACCTTGAAAAGCCTCTTAATGCAGCTTCAGCTCCTTATCATTTCTGTAAGTATTCGGTTTGAAGTTGAAATATCAAAAAAGTCTACATTTTAGTTGTTTTTACATTGGTATTGGTGACTGTTGTTTTTGGAGCAGCAACTCCTACAGGTGGAGATCCTTACCTATCCGGTATAATTTTTCCATTTCTTTCCGTATTATTAATATTATTCCAGATGTCCATTTTGGACTTGAAATTTTTCTGGCCGTATTTTTCATACTGGAATTTGCTGTTAGAATGTGGTCAGTCACTGCCGATGCCAAATATCGACGTCCTTGGGGTGAGAAAGCTCTTTTCTACTCATTAATCTTGTGCAACTTTTCAGGAAGGCTCTATTACTTGACACGAACCGTGACATTTGTAGACGTTTTTGTGGTTATGGCCACGTTTTTGATGCTCATTATGCAAGGCAACTTTGTCGATCAGAAGACGCTAGATTATTTGCGTTTCATCCAAGTGAGCCTTGTAAAGAACAGAAGTTCCGCGTGTCAGGCGCACGTTAATGATTTTCCGAGTGTTCACATGGCAAAAAAAAAACTTATAAGACATAAAACCATAAAAAGTGTGAGAAATGGCCGACTCGACTTTCAGATTCTTCGTTTGCTGCACGTCGATCGACAAATGGCCACTTGGAAACTCTTTCGCAGGATGATTATGCTCAGCAAGTGAGTTTTTTTTATCAGTTAGGACTCTCCGTTTTTATTTCATCTTCTTATCAGCTTGTGTTCAGAAATAGACAGAACTTTGATGTCACTTATGAAACTGTTTCAAAGAACATTTTTGAAATAGGTTTTGTACAGATGGCAAATTCTTGCCGCTTACTACATCACATTTATCTTTGGCGTCACACTCGCCACGTTAATCTACACGACAGAAGCTTATTCTCAAGGAATCACGGATATTGGGTACAAACTCAATGTTCCCAATGGAACAAGTGCGTCACTAAGCTGGATCAAAAAAGATAATAACTTTTTCAAGTTCCGACTTTTCCAACTTTGGCTCATTCATGGTGGTTCACTGTAGTTACAGTATTAACAATTGGGTAGGAAATTTCAGAATTAAGAATTTTTTTTCGAAAATTTAGATACGGCGACATTGTTCCAAGTGGCACACTGACTAAAGTCTTAGTATGTTCTTTGGGATTTGTAGCCTTTTGCACGTTCGTTGCGGCGTCTACCCAAATATCTGTTGGTTAGTTTCCAAACAGTTTTCTCGAAAAAAAGAAGAGATAGGATTGACTTTGATGATGGAAGAAGACAACAAAACAGAGTGCAAATCGAGGTTGAGAAATACTGCAGCGTCGACGATTCAGTGCTGGTCGGTGAAGTCAAGTAGCCCTTCACAGAGTCATACTTGAAGGTATCGCTACCATCTTGCTACCAAGTGGAAGCCACACCGCAAGTACACCTACTTCAAGCACATCTGTTACAAGCTGTACATAACAGAAGAACGGATGAACAAAAATCGCGAGCTGGAGAAAAAACTCAAAGAAAAGCTGGAGAAGTTTTTCTCACGTAGTTTGGATAATGAACTTGATTTTTTGCTCAGCCGTGGAAAAAGAAAGAAGAGTCTTCATCACCAGAGTTCCATTACGGCGGAGATGCTGCGAGCCAGTATGAGAGGAGCTGTCATGATCCAACCTCGAGTCGAAGAGGTAATTTAGGAAATAAAAATAAACACACGAAAATTTTTTGAGACCGGAAAAGCAGAAGAAGCCGACTACGCTAAGCATGTTGGTTTCACAATTTTGACATTTAAGAAATTATTTTGAGGACAATAATGAACGGCGAAGCAGTCTACCAGACAATATTCCGCTAGAAGACGGCGCAAAAACGGCAAAGGTGAGAAGAAAACAAATTTCCTATTAATTTCTTTCCAGAAGAAAAGAATAAGCTTTGCCGAAAGTCAAATTTACTCCAATGATGCCTCGATTTCTTCCTCCTGTGACATTTCGGACGTTGAGAACCATATCGACTTTAAAAACGCTCTAGAAGAAGATCTAGATGAGCTCAGTCCTCGAGGTCCGAAAAATCCTTATCCGAAAAGATTTCATATTTTGCAGAAGTCGACGAAAAATTATTGATGAAATACAGACCTTTGCTGAGATTTTTCAACTACATTTTATTCCGTATATTGATGAAGAAATTTCAAGTTTGAGAAGAAGATTTGAAATGTTTGATTATGTAAGAATCAACAGAACCTACGCAAAGCGGATCAACTGCTCACCATTGAAGCCGAAATTTCAGAATGCGAGAACATTCGAAATCAGAAAATGAAGCAGGTTATTAATGAAATGATGCTTTAGATGAGAATGAGTTGGGTTTTCAGCTTGAAGCCGTGATAGCATCATTAGTTGGGAAACCGTCGATTTCTCCATTTGACATGACCGGCGAGAAACTTCCTGCTTTGCGACGCGTCGAGCTTTGTGAACAAAAAGCAACAGAAATCGAGCACAAAATTGAGGCCATCAACCAATTGGCCCTTCAAATGCTGAATCTACTCGAGTAGGCTTTCTCAATATTCCAAAAAAACAATGGATCGTTTGTCAGCTCTGATCCGAATTTGGGAAAGCAAGGAGCCCTTCCACCCGCTCCTCCGGGAAAGAAAAAACGCGGAATCAAACGGCAAGTGACTATCAGTCAGTACAATGAAGGATTCGACAACGAAGACGAGGAAGAATCAAAATGAACTTCTCTGTGAAAATAAAACTCGATAAATTCTTACATCTGTCCTCGAGAACCATCCATGGTAGTTGATTTTGCCAGCAGCTTCGAGAATGTAGAAAGCGAGCCAGTTATTGAACTTCGTTACTTTGGTGTCAACTATTTCTCCAGCAAAAACGGACTTGAAACCTGAGCTAGCAGTCTTTATCAAATGAGAAAGGATCTGAAGAACCTGAGCTGCTTGCAATGTCACCAGTAGCGTAAGGGGTAAACCACAAGCTCTGAAGCTGCTGCTTGAAAGTTGCCGAGTCAGAAGAAGAAAGTCCTGAAAAAGGTCCACAACTGAGGTCTGTAGAGGAGTAAATCTTGACATGGGAACTTTTTAAGATGAACACAGCAGATCAGGTCCGAACTTTTGTTGGAGCTAGTCCTAGGTATACAGAAAATCATCTGCTTAGCGTCATAGGAAAAAGCCTGTTATTTCACGGCTTATTTCTCAGTACTCTATCGCCCTTAGCAGAATTCTTTTTTCGGATTTTCACAATTAAGAACACCTACCAAAGTACTTTGAACCATATTTTCGATTTTCAATTCAAACACTTCCCTGAAGAGGAAATTTAAATAAGAAATTGCCGTCAAATTTTCTTGTTTTTTGTTTCCTAACCTTGGCTGACCAAAAACTGCCAAGCGCTGTTCATAACAGGCGTTGCGAGGACACTGCTCAAAAACGTGTCAATTGCGCTGTTCCATTCTGGAGTAATGGTTTGAGCCGTGTTACTGTCGGGGTTGTAGTAGACCTCAAAAGATATAAAATAATATGTTCCTCTTCAAAATGCAGTTTTTCCACAAGTGATTTCTTGATACCTACCAGAAGGTCGGCGAAAGAAGTATAAGTAGGCTGCTCGAGAACTGATTGCTCCACGGAAGTGAAGAACGGCTTTGGCGCGTTGTCGTGAGTTGGATCTTTATTGGAAGCCTGGTTCTGAAATTTATAAAACTGTAACACAGCGAAAAATGTATTGACCTGGTAATCTAAGACAATTTTAGATTCAGGCCTGACATCCAGTGCAACTAATGCGTTGAGGGCAGAGGTCAAGGTTGATCCATCGATGGTTCTCGTAGGAAAAGCTGGAAACATTTTGAAGATAGGAAATGCTTTTTAAGTGGTGCAGAAAGAACGTTACTTTTTTTTAAGATTAAACATAGGTTTTTTATCAGAAAAGATTTCATGCTTTTTCGATTCAACTCTTATTCTGGAAAAATTCAAAATTTGAGTTTCAAGCTACGTTCAAAAATAGGTTCAATCTCGCCTTTCGAAAATTTCACAAGATTGTCCTTGAGAGGGTGATCATTTTCCAAGCCTTCGCAAACTTTTTAGGTATTCTCGATCAGGTTGACAGCTTCTTTGCTTAATTCAGGCTCGTCCTATATTTAATTCTTCATTTTCGAAGCTGATTCGTATCTTAAAATCGAGGTTTTTCATTTTGAATTACTCGTGAGGGTAGGTTGAACCGGTATATGTTATTCATTTTTTGGATGAGTAAATGTTATGAAATTCAATAAAGAGATTGATTGACAGCTTTTCGAGAGGAATCTCTAAAATTGAATGTACGCCTGAATTTCAACAAATCTGGTACAAAAAGAAACTGAAATACAGTAGAGGCTACCTCACCTTCTGACAGAACGAAGCAGACCGCAAGAAGAGCCCAAAAACGCATCTCGACCCGCCGTTTGAATTACTGAAACAACCATGTGAGTTGGAACATTGCAACCTAAAGCGTCGCAGAAAGTGTGACTGAGCTTATCGTTCCAAGCTTTTTATCGATGATTGTTACGTAAATGATAAGCGTTGCTACCGGCCACGTTGTCCAGGACAATAAGAATTCCCTGCTTCTCAGACAAGGTTGAAGAGGATTCTAATCAGTTTTTGGGTCGAATGACGTCATTGATCTTTTCATCACAGGTTACATCGTATTTATCACCTAACAACGTCACAGCTCATTAGATAAGCCGTCTCAGATAACATCGATTTTGAGAGCTCGCAATGAAAACCGTTGAAAATTCGCAGCAAGTTGGAAACAGTACCTTTCATTGTCCTGTAGATTGAGAGAGTGTAGAGCGAGCATTATATTTCTGTGAAAATTTCATAAATTACAATAAGAAAATACCCAACTTCGGAATGAAAATCTTTCTCGGATATTGGTAACGCAAAACGGACGTGCTCCTGACTTTTTGGGCAGTTCTACCACTTTAGTAGCGTCAGCACTCTTACGCAATCCTTGGAAGTGGCCAGAAACGTTTGAAAAACGTCTATTTCGGGTTACAAATGTCCAAGTTGTTTCATCGACATGCAACAACTTTCAAAAAATCTTACTTTTTTCATGAGTTCATACAAAAATGCCCTCCTGAACATCGAAGGGCAAAAAATGTTTGTGCCCTTTCATCGTGGTATAAAGAGAAAAAGCGGTTGATCGGTCGGCTCTGAAAAGATACTTTCTGTCTTTCATAACTTAATTATGAGGGCATTATATACAATGTTGTTTGCATGAAAAAATGTTGGATCGTTGAGATACGAAATACTCATTCTTAAACACGGATAAGAAGAGAGGAAATTATTGTTCTTGTAAAAATTTGTAAAGCTCGTCTGAAAGTTGTTACAAATAAAAATAATCTAGGAGTCGATCTCAAAGCCAGGCGCTCCTTTTTTTGACATTTTCCTTGTTTTTTTTTAATATTGTATATCCGATCTCACAGCAATAATCCTTGAAACCATATTAAAAACAGTTATGGACACATTTACTATCCGTCTTTTTCAAAAATTTTTTTCATTCTTCCTGAATTTTTTTTCATTTTTCCACTTTTAGCTTCCTTTCCCTGAGATTTCTTTTTAAATTTCGAAATTAATTGAAAATATTCGGAAAAAGAGCAGCCCGTAAACATTACACAAGTATAATGCTTTCCACACTCTTTCTTTCATTTGCGCTGTAACCCATCTGCAGCCGTGAAGACCGAACAACAATGCCAGAAAACAAATACTTTTTCGCAGAGCACCAAATTTCTTCTCTGTATTCGTGGAACGAGCGAAAGTGGGCTTTGGTGCAAAAGACAATGGCTCAGGTGGTAACAAAAGTTTTTAAAGAATCTGCTGTTTGGCGAAAAAAAAGTTCGTTTTTTGCAACTACAGTGTAAATGGGTAAGTGCATCAAGAAATTGTGAAAACTGTGGCTGGGACACAGAAGTTGGAAGATTTGCTTCTATAAAGATGAAAAAAAGTTATTACGAAAAAGATGTATATATTTTTTTCCTAAAGGCTGATGGCGGAAACTTGATTTCTTCCACTGAGTAAGCTCCATTTTGCTTTGAAGCATGAAGATCCAGAGTAACCTTTGATGAAAAAGTTCACACAAAATCATAATTTTATAATTTTCATAATTTTCAATTTGTGAAAAGTTTAAAATTTGAGAAAAGAAAAAAACCTTAATTAAAAAAAGTTCAGGTGCTAGAAAGTTCCATAGCTTCAGGTCCTTTTCATAGAAACGTAATTTTTCAGACCTGAACTTTCACGCCTCCAATATTATACATCAATAAGGTTCTATGCTTGATATTTTCAATTTCGTGTGAAGTTTTCACTCGATTTTGTTGCTCTCATTGTGAGGCTATCACCTAGAGCACGGTTTCGGGGCTCTAGCTCAAGATCCACTACATTTTGAGCTCGTCAAGACGCGCCTGGATAAACTACGCGCAGAAGAACGAGGCGAAGGACCGTAAGACCATGCTTTCAAGTTGCTTTGCTTTCAAGTTGATCAACTACAAACAAGGTCTTCTAGTTCGCCAAAGGCAGTTGTTCGTTATAGCTTTTAGAGTTCTTGTTGACCGCATAGTCATTATATCAGACTACAACAACAAAATAAATTATATGAATTGATTTATTTGATGATATGTAAAAGCGGCCTATTTGATCAGTTGCCCTTGCTGTGGGATAACTCGAAAATTCGGAAAGCTGCCCATCGGACCAGGAACAATTATCTGCGATCGACTTTTCAAAACGCGAGAGAAAATTTCTGTTCGGCATTTACTCTCTCCATAACCATACCCCATATGCTTCCAGTGCAAATAAAAAGCCATTAAGACATGAGTCATTTGGCGGAAAAGACTTGCCGGCCTACGCCTTTGACTATCTGAAAACGAAGTTCGTTTAAAGTGTAAAACAGAAAGCACCGCCCGAGGATTCTCTCGCCAACGATTCAGGACGCTGTAACGTGTGTCCGTTTTTTGGCCTTTTCCCTTATTGCACCATGCATCTTTCCAGCGCCATCTGTTTGCCAGACGTGTATTCCTCTCCTGGCTCATTCTTTTGCACTAAATGGAAAATACCTCACCACAATGAAAAACAACACTCAAGTGTTGAAGAAAACGGATCTTCTTGTTTGAAAGCAGCACTTTTTTTGTTTTGTGAACTTGTGTTGTTCAGGGTTGCGCTCTTTCTCTGATTTCAAACCCTCTTTGATCGATACGTTTACCTTCGGTTTTCATGTTCGCACTTCAGAGTTGTTTCCCCGAGAAGAATTTTCTCCCATTTTCCCAAGGCGCTCTGACATTTTTTTAAATTTTTTTTTCACGCCCAAATTTTTAATTTGGTGATGACTCATTATGGAATGCAGTTAACCAGGTATGATTTTTGTTGAGGAGTGGGCAGCAGGTCGTATGTTTACTTCGCGTAAATGTTTCTTCAAACGCGTGCCACTCTGATCACTGAAAAAAACAACCAGAAGATCAAAGCGCGTTGTAATTCTGAACTGAATATATCGATTTTCAAGAATACGGAAATCTACAGAATCCCCAAAGTGCTACAAGTATCTGCGTGTTTTTTTTGGGAAAAAAAACTAAAAGAGAAAACATTTCGCAAGCTTTTTTTGGAAATGACTCACCCCGGCCCAACATTCCCTATTCATTTCTTTTCTTTTCCCTTTTCTTTGTTGGTAGGAAAAAAATTGAGAACGTAATACTCCAAGTTGTTTAGTTAACCAGCCTCGAATGAATACACTCACAAACTAATTTAAATCTGTATCGGTGATCAAACTTTTTTCGTTTAACGATTTTATTTTACATCTTCTTTAAGAAAGAAAAGAAAATGAGTTTTTCAGCTTTTGAATCTTCTGATTTTCAAGGAAAGATGCCGATCGTAACGACGACGACGACGCGCACTACGCGGACCTACCACACCACGAACGGAGGAGTAAGGTGCGTGCTCTTCCGAATTTTTGAGGAATTTTCAAACTCTGAAAACACACAATGCTTTTTTATCCAACTCTCAAAACTACCTGCCAGGTTTACTCGGAGGCTGATCAGGTAGCTGATAAATTTTGACAAATTCTATATTCAAACATGTGTTATAAAACCAAAACATAGGCCAAATAAAAAAAACCCCAAGCTTCAGGCTTTCTTTGTTCCGCCCGTTTCTCACAAAAAGATAGTTCCAGACGTCATTTTTAATTAACTCAAATTCTCATAGAAAGTGTCTTTGCCAGATTTTTTTATTGGTCGGTGCTGACTTGAAACGAATGTAAAACTCGGTCCCCTCATGCCGAAGAACTTTTGTTTATTACACTGGATTTGTTTCCGATCGAAACACGTGCCAGTGCTCGATGAGCTGAAAAAATTCTCGACTCTCAAGTTCATACTATACCTGTCTAAAAACTTTCATCAACATTTTCCGATAAGCAGTTGAAGTTTCATAACTTCCAAAAACCAAAGTGAAGTTCAAAACAAGTATGAAAAATTGTTATTTCCGACGCTCGCGTCATTTTGCTCTTTCAAACCCCCAGAGCCTTCGGATGAGTGGTGCTGACTCAGAAAGCGGCTGCCAACCAAACCGTTTGTTCCGTTTGAGAGAGAAAACTCTTTTGAACAAGTTGTGAAACCGCAATGTGGTTGAGTAACTTTTCCCTAGGCATAGACGAGTTCCAAACGACCGCACCTTCGCGGTCGACCGTCACCGCCAAACGACGGAAAATGTTGAAATGTACTGTTGATCGCTGCCGTTTTGTGCATGTGATGCACGCGACTGGTTTTCCTTCGGCCTGCCGGCGCTATTTCGACGCCAAGTGTCTTGGCACAAAAACAACACATTTCTCAGCTGTCTCCGTATCAACAATCGCACGGTATCAGCCGCTATCACAACGAGTTGCGATCACTAATGAAAATGATTGAAATGTCCGAACTAACAAAAATCAATTGAACAATTTGCTGATTTTTCTCTTCAAATGATTTAATCTAGTCATCGTTAGAAACTTCTTTCAGAAATTTTTTTTCTCCTTGAAACATTTTACCGAAATGTTGAACAAGGTGAATCACAAGCATTATGTAGAAATGACATTCAGGAAGAAAACTGATACATTATATTTCGATATGAATGACCAAAATTTTTAGTAAAGCACAATTTTGTGCACAAAAAAAGTTAAGAATTTTCTATTAGAGAAATCACGGCTTTTTATTTGACTTTGGTTTGAAGAAATTAAGTTATAGCTTTTTTTCTAAAAATTTTTTTCAAATCAAGCTTAGGCTCGGAAAGTTTTTTTTATACCTCTCGTTTGATTATTCTAGTAACTAAAAAAAGGACGACAGGTTTTTTTGACCTTCCCAGATGTCTTCCAGACAGTAGTTTGGACATAAAAACAGAACAAGCTCCTTTTAACGATTTGCCTCTTTGAAAAAAGTCAAGAAAAGTTCGAAGCAATGTTTTTTTTACCGCAGTTCGGGGCAAATACTTTTATTTTCTAAATTGAAAAGTTTAACATTATTTAGGTCACTCTCCAGAAATCGAGCAAAATCAAACTTTTTTTTTAGCGTAATAACTAACAAAAGAAGAACGTACTTGTAGTTTTTCTCTCTAAAAAACGGCGAGAAGATGTACTCAAATCCGTGACGATTTCAAATAGGTAAGGACTCTCTGTGAATACTCATATTTTTCATACTGAATTCGTGAAAACGGGAGTTTATGTACCAGAAAATCATCCATTTGTGGCACAACAAAGCCAAGGACACTTGAAATCCGCCTGTCCTTGCGTTATTTCCTCGAAAATTTCGTGAGGCGAAAAACACGCAAGCAAATAGGCCTACCTTCAATTCTCCTGCACCTTTCGTCTACCCAATTTTCCATTTCGGAGGGACATGTTGGCAATGCCAAGGAAAAGTTTTTGTTAGTCGTCATATAAAAACAGAGCAAACTGATAATCGAAGATAACAGAAAATCACTACTTTTTCTGACTTTTTGCACACTCTCGACTATCTTGCTTGAAAACTCCTATTCTCGATTTTTCTCAATTGCTTGGTTTAAAAAAAATGACTAGAAGTATTTTCCACGGCTTGAAAATTTTCATTTCATTCGAGTTTGATTCGAGCAAAAATAAGAAAGTCTTTAAGTTCTTGGAAAAATAAATAGGAGGAAATTAAACAAGCCCTTCTTCCAAATTAAAACTTCAGCAAACCCGTAGATCTTTGGCTGTTCGCTAGAGATTGTTTTTCTATCCCGAGAAATTTCAGACGCTTTTTTTTGAATAAGAAACGCGATCGTCAAATTCAGTTCCGAGGCACATTAGCTGTAGTGATGTATCAGATTTCAGATGGGGGAAATCATTTATTGAAGGCCGATGTAAACAAAATTTGAAATGAGAAGAATTTTTGAATTTTCTAACTTGTCACGAACACTTAAAGATACAATTCTGTTTACTCGCATCTGGTTCTTGTGTGCACTCATACTCTGGTCAAGAACTGTTCTTGGTAGTCGTTTCAAATTCCTAGTGAATAAACAGAGTGAGAGTTCTGACCTCTTAGAAGGACTGTGCGTCGGTCAGTTTGCCATGGTTTTGCTGAACTCACAAATTTTTACAATGGCGTATCTTGTATGAGAAAAACTCCAAAAATTGGCCAAAAAAGAATAAACTCGGAAATCTGTTTTGTATTCTTTCTCAAAATTTTTTGAATATTGAACAGCTCCTCAAGTTATGCAAATGCCACAGAACCGACAGCTCATGCTACAGTCCTCGCGCCGAAAGGAAGGTCAAAAAAAGAGAGAAAAGAAGGGGCTGTGGGAGCGTCGACACCACAACAACACGTCATGTGTCGACCGCGTGGCGCGCGATCCACCGACCAATGATCACCCTTACGATTTTTCAAACCGACCTAGTCCTTTGCTTGCTTCGATGGTCTAATCACTCATTCTTGCGTGACGTAAACAAAGGACTCTAAATTTTCTAGTAGCCTCTTTGTAGAGGCTTGAACCTGAAAAAAAAAAATTCCAAATAAGTCCTTATTGATAAGAGATTTATATCGAAAACCATTGCGAGAGTTTGAAAATTTTTTTTAATTGATAACAGCAGTTTCTGAATTCCAAAGCCGAATTCGATGCTCGAAGCGACTTGAACATGAACATAACGAAGCCAGGGATTTTTCCTCCTGATAGTTTGATACCACGAAACTAAATCGAACGGCCGATGAGAAGTTCAATAGAAAGCAAAAAAAAAGGCCAACTTTGGAATTTATCGAATATTAGGTAGCCTCCCCAATGAAATAATTCTTGTAGTGCGGAGCGACTTTGACTGAATAGGTCTCATTGTTATTATTTTTCCGGCCACTATAAATGTTGACAGAAGTAGCTCTTCCGTTGATTGAAGTCGATATCCGGCTTTTCCGTTGATGGAAGTCAATATCCGGCTTTCCCATCAACTCCTGTTTCGTTACTTCTTGCACTTGATAGTCTCCTATGCGTGGGGATAATGTGGGCGATAAAACATTGGTCTTCTCGAAAGTCAGCTGAGAAGCGATATTTGATGTTTCTGGAAGATTTGCCATCATTCCGCTTCAGATATTCACAAAACGCAAAAGTCCACGGAAACATGCAAAATTGTTTATCATTTCTGAGAGTGATCGTGAACTGATTTGCATTTGCAGCAGCGGGAATGCGAATAAAACGGCGTTCAAAAAAATATTATTGTTCCCATCGGGAGCCGGATTTTTGAACTTTCACATGACGTACTCTTATTGAATACGGTATGAAACAGGAGCAATTTTTCAAGAAAATGCCAGCTACACACGCTTTGGAAAATGAAATATGAATAAGTGGAGCTATTTTTCACAGCCCACACCCGCAATTTGGCCTTGCCGAGAGTGGTAGAAAAAATTTTGCAATTCGTCAGAACCTTGTCAAAATGGAATCTTTGGTGCATTCTGAGTCACACATAACCTATCTTTTTTGTCCTAGCCATAAATCGCCTCCGGATGCAATCGGCGTGCTGCTGAAAATCGTTTCCCAGAGCTGGCAATTATGCACCGAGATAGAACATAAATAAAAAGTAATGCGAAAAAGACAGTAGCCTTGGTGGGTTCGGGTTTGTTTTGACGGTATCTGCTTTCGTGTTTTTTGGTCCACGCCTTGTTGTTGTGTGCTATATTGCTTCTAAACGAAATAGTAAGCAATTTGATGAGCCTGTGTGAGATTTTCGACTGGAAGAAACAAACAACAAGCGAAGGTCGTGAGCGTGGCCCCGCCTTCGGAGCGATTGCGTCCGATGCTACGGTGGGCGTAACCATCACACTGCTCACCCCTTCTTATGTATCCGCTCCGGCCGACGGCGCACTCAGCCTCACAGTTGGCCTCGCCGGCCGGTCCGGCTTTCCTTAGGTGTCTTAGTCTCTGCATCCAACTAGGGTAACTTGTAGAGCCTTTCCTTCAACACCTCTTATCTCTTTCTAAGAATCAACAATGTTCATATAGCTTCTACTGCTAGAAATATCTTAATTCATAAAAAAGTTTAGCGATTCAAAATTGCTTTGTTCAGATGTTAAGATTTCAGAATTTGATATCAAGCTTTTACAACCTTAAAAGGGTGCAGGGCCGTTTTTTTGAAGCATCAACATTCATGAGATGAAATATGAACACATTTTTTTCATCCATTCAAAATTATCCAAATCGAAACAAAAAACCTCCAAGTTGCAATTTCGAAACCTAGTAAAACTCTTCTCAGTGAGGATTCTAGTCATGAAATGTTAGGCCTATCTCACGCAATTTGGCTAGGAGCCAAGGGATCAGAGACCAAGTCCGACCCATTTCATCCAAATGTCCTCTGCCACTCCAGCAAGATCGTTTATAGCGCTTTCATTTCCTTCTTTTTTCGATTCGCGACCTCAGCAACGCTTCAAAGAACACTTTCCCTCCGAAAAAATTGTTGTTTACGACCGAACGATTTTGTTTATGCGAGGGGCGGAGCGTTGACAGAGGCCGTGCCGCAATTCACTGTTTCGTTCCTCGCGCCTCGTGAATGGTCTCATCATTTCTAACGTCTTTAAAGATTACAGAATGGGCGAGATCTCTCTTAACACCCGCTACCTCTCCACCAACCGAGGAATCATCAAGATCCTCCAGATCGTCGTTGGATTCATCGTCTGCTCCCTTCTCTGCTCCCAATGGTGAGTATGAGTATCATAAGTTTCAAATGAAGTCTTTGAAAACTTTGAACTTTCCTGAAAAAGCTAAAGAACTTTCAGCATCTCAAAAAATTGCTCTTAAAAAACTGAGAAGGTTGACTTGAATGAGTTTGTCTTTCGAAATTCATTTGTTGGGGGATAGCTGGAAGGGGGCCAAAAGTCTGCACATGATGTTTTCGGCCTTTGTTATGTGGCCTTTCTTTCTTCTCAATGACTTCGGCCTCTCTCAAGAAAACGTTGTCTTCCCTGGTAATCAAACGTCGGAGTCGGAGCCACATGTTGTGCCGAAATGTGTGCAAAATAGTCTTGAGTCAATGTCAGAAACACTACAGAAAACAAAAGGGCTAAAAGATAAACTATGACTCCAGGTACGGCGGTCGTTCGTGCTTCGGAGAAGGACGTCTTGGATTTGCCTCGGGTCTGAACTTCGTTTGCGTCGTCATCAACATCGTGCTCTTCGTCCTTAACTTCCTCAACATCGGAGCCTGGGGACTGGTCAGCTCAACCGATGAATTCGGAAGCATACTTTTCTGGTTTAGGAGCGCATCTACTCGGTGATCTGCTGCGTGCTCTTCCTGATCGCCTCGATTCTCCTCGTCTGGTTCATCATCGAGGTCAACACCTCGCACGGATGGCTCATTGCCAGCGCGGTTAGTGATAGAAAAAAGAAACCCGATATCGAAAATGTTCTTTACAGGTACTGATCGTGGTGGAGTTCCTCCTGTTCCTCTGGGACGTCAAGATCCTCCAAGGAGAGTCGCCCAACTAAACACCACGAAAAATGGACCCTCAGACCTTTCTTCTGTACTTATGTTCAGCTTTTTTGTACTATACGAACTGTATATGTTAACCCCGACTCCTTGCCTTTTCTATATATATCCTCTATCGAATTTACCTTTGCTTTTTGAAATTTTCGGAGCGAAAGCTACCAACGTGCTTCGCTCACCTATCGCATAATTTTCTTTTATTTCCTGTTTTCTTTGGTTTCGAATAAACTTTCTCAAAAAGTCGTTTTGAACAAGAAAAGAAAAGAATATTGAAAGTTGGGAAAGAACGTGTTTACAAGAAAATTTGAAAAATGATGGGAGCGGCGGGAAAAAAAAATCTATGGTCTGTAAAAAACAGGGAAACTTGTTTACGATGATTGCAGTCAAAAGACAAAAATCAATGCAACAGGGCATCAGAGATCTGTCTTGCATTGCAAAATAATGACGAGAAGTTTTTAACATGGCAATTTCCTGTAACAATGAAATAACGTCCATTGCTAGAACAGCGAAAAAAAGGAATGAAAATAAAAACTTCTTTCTAAAAACAAGAAAAAAGACTAATTGCGAGAGATTTTTTTGTTGAATCAGCAGAAGGTCATAAGATGAACTGTACTTACAAGTTGGACACAAAGATGAAGAACTTCTAGCCAAAAAAATAACTTGAAAAAATTTTTAATTTTCGAAAGCGACACCAAATTCTATAGATTTTTTTCTGTTTGGAAGTCCTAAAGAACACTTTAGCCTAGCTTTATTGAACTTTCAATAGGAAACTAAAATAAGACTCTTGTGAAACTATTTTAATTAGTCTATAAGAACGCTATTTCCTGTGCCGAAAAATTTCCGTTTCAAAGAACAAAAAACTGTTTTTCAAGCAAGAGGAAGCGGTCGGATTGAGTGTAACTATCGATTATCTTGAGTATTTGTCCGTTTGCCTGCGAAATCTCCGCGCTGCTCAGTTTTCACAGCGGCTTTCGAAATGTCAGAACTGTCCGGATGGCAATGTGCGCCGACCAACGTCCTAGAAGAAATATTTGCCCTACTTCCATTGAAAAACCTCGGCCGCTGTTCTCAGGTCCGTTGTTATTATTATAATTATCTTGTTCTTCCTCTTCCTACGCCTTCGTACCGCTTGAGAGGCGGCAGCACCTCAAGTCAATCAGCCAAGGTCCTATCCTGATATCAGTGAACTGGCTTCAGTGACATATCCGTCCTTGTGTGTGACGGCTGCGGATTTTGAAGCCGTGGTTTCTCACTACCAACATTTCTTAAACCCCTTAGTTGGGTCGAGACGGGGATAGAACTTGTGGCCCTGTGGACCGTAGACAGGCACGAAACCCGTTACGCTACGGCGCGCCCTTGTTATTATTATAATTATGTCGTCAAAAACTAGCGCAATGTTTGAAGGTTCTTCCATGTTTGAATCCTTTAATCTCCTGGAACATAATAAAACGTAACTAAATGGATAAATGATATCATGCTTATTTGTTACCGACTTGAAAAAGCCAGATGGGTAGATTGCTAAAAAGGAAGCTTTGCGTACGCGACGCAGTTTTCTGGCGAGAAACTCGAGATCAGAACCAATTAGGAAAAAAATGTAGAAAAAAAAAATTTAAAAATTTATTTTTTTTATCCTCTTTTTTATTCCATAACTTCTTTCAGAGCCATAACTTATTAAAATTTATCAAAAATCTGTTAGAAAACGAGAAAAACCTAACAACTTGGTGGCTCGCGTTGGACTTCAAATTTCCCACCCAAAAAGCAGCATCGCACACGCAACGCTTCACTCTTGCCAATCTACCCATCACGCTTTTCAAGTCGGGAAGGAATGACTCTACAGATTTTTCTGTACCGAATCGTTCATTCGCCTAAAAACAAGAAGAATAACCGGAAAGATACATAATAGTAGCTACTGGAAAATAAATAGGTGGCACTTACATCAGTGCAATATTTTTCTCTAAAGAACATGAGATTTTCGATTTTTTTGAAAAGAAAAAATGTCCAAACTTGACTCCAATTTCCGATTTTCAAACTCTTGTTAAACACCACGGTCCCCAACCAAATGCCACTTCAAAAGCCAAAGATAATTCGATTTCAAACAGGTTTGCTACCAATGGTTCATCGCCTCGAGTACAGACTATCCGTGGAGAAAATTCGTTTTCAAAGATGGAGTTTTTGTGCGTAGAAAATACACACAGCATTCCGGGTGGCAGTATCACATCGACCATTGGCGTTTGAGGTAGTGCTCATTCATGAAGAACTTCTTCGGAAAACGAAAATATTTCTCAGGTTTTTGATATCCAATGCGTCGCGCAAGTGGAGAGTCCTTGTGATTGAGCCTGTCACTAATTTATTCAACCTCTATGAATTTTTCCGAGTGCTCACCAACTTTTCAGAATACTACGAAAGGTTAGTGAAATTTTACGTTTTCCTGGGACTACGGAGGTTTTGTGAAACAGGAACACAGAAGAGGACAGACCGTTGGGGAAAATCCGGCAGTTTCATTTTCAGTGGAGACTTCAAGTGGACGACGAAATCGCTGGAGTACACAGAGATAAGGTATCGGAAATCTTGATCGAGGAATCTTATTAGGTTGGTAAAAAATAATGAGCCATTTATTAATTCGTTAGTAATTTTCTGATAAGAATAAATTTTTGGAAGATTTTTTTTATTAGATAGAAGTGTCCGTACGCATCGTTTGATATAAAATTCGGCTATATTAACTATGTATTAACTATGTATTTGTGTACAGAATAAGTACCATAGTAGGCATTAAAAGCAAAACGGGGTACCACCCTGGTTACATTACGGGAGGCACCGAGAGTTTGACGCGGGGGGTTTTGCAATTTTTGTTAGAGGGGTTCATGGAAGTTTCTTCCGTACATTTTTCATGAACTCAGGAATTCAGGATATCGGTACCGGAGGTGAAATGTTGCACACCCTTTCGAACCTCTTAACACACCTCCATGGTCTCAAAGTATTGTCTTTGATCGACCTGCAGTTGACTTTTTGGGAAGGCGATCAGTTTTTGAACGATGTGAGCTAACCATTATTGGAAAAAGAAACTTGTGAAAACTTTCAGCTTCTCGCCAAATTTTCAACTCAACTTGAATACCTTTCTCTTTTGAACGTCTCACTGCGACCTCGAGCTTTTCTGCAACCAGCTCTTTTTTTGAACCTCAGACAACTCGTGGTCTCCCCACAGATGATCGGAGATGATAACTTATCACTCATCGCCTGCCTTCGCAGACTACAAACTCTAACTATTGTTCAGGTCTTCATTTTTTGATTTATTTTTCAGGTTGCAATCATGCGACTCTTAACAGGGTCAAAAAAGAGAACACAAGCGTGATTCAGACTTTTTAGATTGGAAAAAGGGAAACAAATGTCTCGTATTGGAGCTTGCAAGAATAAAGCCTGCGGGAGCATATATTTTTTTAGATTTTTTTATTTTACTTGAATTTTTGAAAACCAGTGACATATTTAAATTAGCTGAAAAAAACTCTGTGGTCTCACGAACAATTGAATAAAGGAATGTTTCTGTAAAATTATGACTTTTTATTGTGTTAATAAAACTTTGTTTGAAAAACCTATTTTTTTATTTCCATGGGGTCATCTGAAAGAATTCTTAAAAAAGAACAGGCCAGAATTAGTACCAAAAAGAAGTCTTTTTTGAATTTGTTGAGAGGGCTTGGAACTTCTAGAATGGTGTTTTTAACTTTAATCTTGTTCAAAAAGATTGCGTTTTAAATTATCTGACTTTTGCTGGAAATTCCTCTCAAGTTTTTTTGTATCAGAGTAAAATCCTATAAATTTCCCAAGCTTCAAAAACTTTTTTTGGCTGCCAGAATCTATTCGGCAAATCTAAAACTGTTTAGATCATTTTTTTATAACGAAATATTGACTTCTAATGAGTTTCATCCACTGAACTCATTAAGAGAATTAAAATTTGCTTTTCCAGGATGAAAAATGTGATTTGGTGGTACCTTGTTCGAGCAAAGCCTGGCAGGTTTTTACGGAGCAAAACTGCTCCCGTACTCGTCTGTGGCTCATTTTGAAAGGTATGTTTCCATTTTCTCGTATCGGCTGTATTGTTTCTTATTCAGGCAAACCAAAATGCGCCCTGATCATCCAGCCTTGCGCTCCTGTTTTCGGAATAAAAATGGAGGAATCGTCGGGACAACTCACAAATGGAATTGCGGACCAGGTGAGTTCAGAGAAATTTTCAGAAAGCGTTTTTTCGAATTTCAGATTTCTCTCTATTACTCTGAAACTCTGGAGGTGTTCGAACAATGCGGTCTTGAAAGAATGAAAAGAGGCAAGAAAATGAAAGAACGTGCAGATTTGGCTCTCGTACTACTTGCTTCTAAGTAAGCTTTGAGATTTTACTCCAAAAAGCCTCTTTTACCACACACGTTTCTTTTTGAGTGTTTTTTGAAGATCCTCGTTTTATAAGACCTGTCAAGGTTCTCTGATCATAAAGGAAAGTTATAAATACGCCGTCTTCATTTTAGAGCTTCTCTTGCCAGAAAATCGGAAAAAATTGACTTTATAGGAGTTCATGGCTCCTTTTTCTCCCACTCAGGCCCAAAAATTTAATTTCGAGAAACGTCAACGGCTCGAAATCCTCCGCTTTCTTGTTGCAATAGACGAAATATTCAATGATTCAGTTAATCTGCAAAGTGTACTCTGAATTTGTTCCTACGTTCACTCGTGATTGTCGGGAAATATAGATCTATGCATTTATTTTTATTTGGAAGTATTTCCAATTGAATTTGGTTCAGAGAACAAAATGCTGTTATGACGCTAGTGACGCAAAATTCATAGATTATTGAAACAAAACGGGCTCAAAGGACTTCTTTGTTTGGACTAAACTGGAACAAGCAATCAAAAGCTTCCGTTTTTCGTTTTCTGAATGACTAAGTGTTATTAAAATGTCAATCAGAAAAAGTTTCCAAAAAGGTTGCTCCTAAGCCGTTTGTTTGTTTCGAAAATGAGAATATACTATTAAACCAGCAAAAGAAACCGAAAGAAAGTCAAAAAAAGCTCGAATTGCTGAACATTTTCTAGATGCCAGAGTCTGAAGATGTTGGCTTGCCGAGAAAGAATCGCACATGGAACGGCTCTCATTCTAGCTACTTTTGCTCGGAAGAAAAGTTTCCAGTTAACTTTGCGGAAGAACGGTCTGCTGAAACGAGTAAGAACACTTCTTTTATTTGGTTTTTTGATGTAAATTTAAAGTTAGACTTGGCCTTCCCTGTTGAAATGTTGAACATTGAACCAGTCTGGATCCGTCATTTCTTAATTAATTATCTAATTGTTGTTTCAGGTTTGTTGGTCGAGGAGGGAAGTTTCAGAGATGGATATTTCTTTCGATTGGTTGAAACGTCATTCGAAGAATCTAATCTTAGTCATGGAAGAAATCCGTCGGCTGACATCTCAGACGCGTGTTATTATCGACGATAAATGCTACAAAACTACACTGTGAATATTTGTAAATAAAGTTCCTGTTTTATACCAGATCCGCTTATTTTGAATAAAGTATCTCATAACATGAATTTAGCGGCATATTTTCCCAGAAAATGCTGTCCTCATGCTGTTTCTTCGAAAATTCAGGAAATTCCGGGAGTTTTTCCGAAAGTTCTTCACTCACATCGACCTCGTGACCTCTTTGGACATCAAAGTTCCGAGAAATGCAAACTTCGGTCAATGGGCAAGACGAGCTCAGGAAGCGGAAACTACGAAATCTGAAACGTAGCGTTGAAAACCTTCTGGAAGAATTTGTTCTAGAGTAGAAAACTAGTTCGAATATCAGCATCTTTTTCAACCCGCTTAATAACGAAGATAAGAACACTGATCTTCAACCCCGCGTGTGATAGCTATTCTCAGCACTTGTCACTAGACTTTGAAAGAGCTTTTTCCACAAAGCCGCTTCGGTATACAGATATAGAGATACTGGGCTCAGAAGTCTTGATTTCTAGATTCCCCCTCACAATGATTTCTCTCTGATGGCATCATTCTGGCATGATTACAAATGCCAGTTGACCAAACAAATACTTCTATAGAAAAATTTAGCGAAAGGTGCTGAAAATAACCAGGAAGGCTTATCCGTCCAAAAACCAAAATAATGTCTCAGATCTTTGAGCAGCGCCAAACATGATTAACACGTAGGAGCATTCAAAAAGGTAGATAAGAACTATGTGAAAAAAGTTTCAGTCGAGAAAAAAGACGACAGGAAAGTCGAAAGAACCTTCCAAGATATTGAAACTAAATTTTTTTGGTTTGGATATCTAGAATTTAGTTGGAACATTTTGGGTTTTCTCATTCTGCTGAAATGAAATCTTAACTGTCTTTTTAAGGTCTTTCCAATGTTTTCTCATAAAAGGATATTGATCAGCTTCGATCTTGAATAAGAAATAAGAAATTGGAAAATTTAAAGTTCACCCATTTCGTTGAATTGAGATAAAAGCTAGCTTTTTAAGGTCTCTTCGATTTTTCTTTTGGAATGAGATTCATCAATCTTTAACTTTTCTGAGACCAAAGATTTTCTTATTTTGCAAGCTTTTCATATGCAAATATTGTTTATTGGTGTCCACTTCCAGAGCTTGCTCATTCACCTCTCCATAGTAATTTTTTTGACATGACTAAAGGAAATCTTTACAAATATATTACTTCTGATCAGAGTGTTGAAAGAAGCAAATTCAAATTCAGATTCTTTCGAAAACGAAACCAACTACATCCTGTCCCTATCGCCAAACCACCCAGGAAGTGTTACCCGGAAACATGGACGAAAATTGAGGATACTCGAGAAAAACGAAGTTTGTTCATCCGGCGCTAAGGTGTTGCGGTGGGCGGATTCAGTTCGAGGTGACGCGGCTGAGCCAGCATTTCGGCGACAAAGCGCCTCCTCTCGCCGTGGTGACCATCCCCCAGAAGCTTATCTTCCGTGCCTTTATAAGGAAAGCCCGGCCTCGAGAGTACACTTCTCCGGCTCGTTAACCCACTGAGGATTCCGACCGCTATCCCTCTACAGATGCTTATCATCTACTTCATGTTTTTACTCCCGGCTATTGTATTCGCTCGTTTTTTACCTTATAACGAAATGCAGTGAGTTTTTTCTTTTTTGTTTGTAGTTTTTAAGTACGCTGTTTTATTTATTTTAACATGTAACTAAGATGAAATGAATATGTACAGTTTGAAGGGAACAGGAATTATAATTCTGTTGATTTCTAGGTTTGCCTCTCTTAAAAAAATATAAGAACTTTCAATTTCTACAGAAAAATGTTTCGAATCTTCATATTTCTTCATTTTGCTTTTAGATTGTCCACTGAATAGAGCTTTTCATTTTTTTAACCTAATCATCATTTTTCTCAGCATTCAGAACTTCTCCCAAAGAACGCATTTTTCAGAGGCCACGCAAGAAATTGCTTTTTCACTCCAGTACAATGCATGCTGCCGACGGAATCGCAGTCTGGAGTCCTTCACAACGACGAACTTTCGCGACTCTACAATCTGCGACAGACGGAGAACTGGCCCAAACGCAGCTATCCACACCGACAAAGCAACTTTGTCTTCTGATTCTGACTGCCCTTTCCTTCCTTCCTGAATGTCCCCCTACACGCAATCGCTAACATTGTATACGGGTGGTTACATGGTTCAACAATGATCGACGAATAAAGCAATTGCGACTGTTTTCCCCTACTTGAGCATGTTGGAAAAAGGTCATGGCTGACGTAATCTATTATCTCTTTATTCAGAACCTCTGAAAAGGAAGGTGAAACGAGAAAAACGTTTTGAATTCCCTGAAGCTTGTTTTTATTTTACAAGGGAGGTCATTTTACTTTGTAGTTAAGATTTTCTTGAAATTTGGCCAGAACACTCCTTAGTGTACCTTATGATTTTTCCGAAAGCTGCAACCTGCAAAACTTTTCAGTTTTTGAGAATTGGGGCTCCGTACCTCAAAATAACCTACTTTGATGGATCTTGGAGGTTTTCTTCGACTTTCAAGCTTCCTTACTCAAAAAAAAGAAAGTTTTAATTTTGAGACTTTCATAATTTTCATCCGGTACATTGATAAGTGTTTTGACCAGTTTTCATACATGGCTGAATTTTTGTCTACTATGCTGCAGTGGTAGCAGGCGAACTAGGGAACGTCAGAAGTCGAAACTTTTGCTTCGTTATTGGAGTACTTCAGAGTGAGTCTCTGAATACTTGCAGTAATTTGGAAATCCGCGAGTACACTCTAAAATTTTTCTTTCCAGCCGAATTAGGTAGAAATTTTTGGCCCCAACTTGCACTGAATCATTGAAAGAGTTTTTATGAAAAGTTAGAATAGTCGGAAGTTTCTCGAGCGCCTCAAAAATTGAAGAAATTTTGGATAAGCCCTAAGCTTGTAGGGTAGGAATTTTTTCCAGTTTCTCGTGCCTTTCTTAATGTCATCGCGTAGGTTGAGCATTCTTTCAAGTTGTGATGTTTGAGAACAGAATGGCATTTTTTCTAATTCTCCAACTTCTGGAAAAAAGACGTTTTGATGAAATTCTTTGTGTAAATCGCCAAATAGAAGTCAGAGTGGGCAGGGAGAAAATCTGAAACAGTTTTAAGGATTTTTCGTTTAATTTATTTTTAATTAAGTTCATTCAAATTGCTTTAGCGTAGTCGAACTTCAAATATATTGGAGTGTAGTTTACAAAAACGTGATGTTCGAATATATACTTGTATCAAATTGCAAGTTTCAAATATTAGAATGCCCTTTTCTTCGCGCCCTGACATTTCAAAAAGTTCGTTTTCTCAGTTGCTGGAAAACCGAGAGGTTTTCCACGCGAGTAGTTTCGTTTGTTTCAGTCATTTTAGCTTAATTTACGACTGCGTGCCAGTCCATTCCAGAAAATTGAAAAATAGCTAAGCTGAAACTATGGAGAACAAGAAGCTGAGGATTCTCAGATGGATGTTTGTTGGTCTGATGTTTAGCCGAGATTTCCGAAGCTGGGAGGGCCTTCCAGAGCACTTCTCTGATTTTCACGTGAGATTGGAACAGTGGATGTTCTAGTCACCACTCGGCACGAGAGTTGAATCGAGTTTGCATTTTCGAAACTCAGAGATAAAAAAAAGGAAATTAGGGCTTCAGTTGGCCAATCAAAAATAGGTTTGGACCACAATTCCGCCTACATGAATAGCACTCGCCTGATTTCTTCGAACTCTCATCAAAGAAAGTGATACGAAATAGCTCGAAGATTTGGTAGGAGGAGGCTTTCTTGTCTGAACGAAGCTTAAAGGGCGTTTTCGTGATTTTTCTTCTTTTTAACATGAATGAAAAGTGAGGATCATCCAGTCTGCGTCTTAAAAGTACGATGTGCTTCCATGAAGCGTTATTTGATGACAAACTAATGATAAAGTTCCGAGTGCTTTCGGAAAAAGAAAATCATCATCATTCAAAAAATGATATTTTTGAGTAGTCTTCTGAAGAAAAGCGAAATACTTAGAAAATGCAGAGATAAGAAGCTTTTTCATGTGATTCCAAGCATGGAAAATGCTTATGTTTCTCATGGAAGTTTCCCAAGGCCTCCAAGGGAGGTCATTTAAAGGAAACTTTGAGTTTTTTTCAAGCTACTCAATCGAAATTTCTAGAGTATTCAATCCAACTTTTTCTGAAGTCTGAATTTCACAATTGAACTCTTAATAAAAAAATGATAACAGAAACTTTCGACAAATTTTCAATAAAATTTCCTTTTTGAACGAAAAAAATTCCAATCGGCTGACGTTTTTTTCTAACGTTTCGTAACATAATGATTTCGAAGAAATCTCCTCCAATGTTTTTTTGGGAACGACTGGTGAGCTCACAAGTATTGCGTCGTCGTGAGCTCATCTATGATTATTCGCACTTCGAATTCCTAAATTACAACTGTCGGTGTACGGCTGTAGTAGGAACACGTTGAAAGTGTTAAACACGACATTATTTATTTCATAAAGCCCGTGAGTCAGTCTACATGTTCCTTCTCTTCCGCGTGGAACCAAACATAAGAAGATGAACGATACGTCGAGAGACTTTGACGAGATTTTGAAGATTATCTAATTTTTTTCATTGATATGACTTACTTTGAAGATTTCAGGAGTGAAAATGAATTCACTTCCAAATCTCATGTAGAGGGTTTTTTTGAAATCATTTCCAAGCTTTTTCATTATTTTTTTCAATGAAATTCAACGTATTTCACAAGTTTCTCTAAGTTTCTTGACACCCTTAGACAGTTTGAAAAAAACCTGTAAGAGTGCAATGAAAAACATGAACCAGAAGGAACTTTCTTGAAAAGCTTTCAAAAAAATAAATAAATTCATAGTTTAGAAGTTGTAAGCGAATTTCAATTTTTTTCAGGACTTTCAACAGTTTCATGAAACAAAAAAAGGATAACAAAAACTCTCTAACCTGCAAAAATTAAAAAAACCGTTGACTTTTTACAAATTTCCATCATCATACTGTTTTCAGTCTTTGTGAGCAATTTTTTTATAGAAATTCTTCGTTTTTCAGTCTTTTTATCTGTAGAAAAACACCGGATAGTTTTATTAGTAGCCCAGAAAAAGAAAATCGACATGGAGTTACTGGAATTTCGAAGCCATCGGGAGCATGCACTGCACCGGCGACAGGTAGCAGTTGCGATGGTAGGTCGCTTGTCTTTTCTCGTACAGCGGGGACCTGAAGCTCTTCATCAGAAGAAGTTCATGAGTTGATCTTCACCTGTCATAAGGATGACCACCTTCGAGACTGACGAAACGCATCGGGAGCGATTCCATGTCGTTGAGGTTCCTCTCGAAGCGCAGCTGCAGAAAATCCTTTTCAGATCATTTTCACCGATTTTCAAGCACCTGTTGCAAGTTGTAGGCATTGGCGAACAGAACGTTGATTGTGACGAAAATCGCCGCGAATTTAAGAACCGTTGTCATCCTAGCCTGCAATTTGTGCAAAGAACTTCGAATCTGAGCCAAAAAGGGACAAAGACTGATGTGTTTCAGATCAGCAACTTCAATTCACAACTGAACATACTAGAAAGAAACTGAGCTTACGAATGTTTTTCTAGAGCAAAAATAAATGAAATTAGGTAGTGGAGACCCTACAACATCACCCATCACACTTTTCGCAGGTTTCCAGTTTTTATAACGAAAGGGTGCAATTATTTTCTGACTTCTTGATATTTCAGAAATAAAGAGAGCTTAGTGGACTGCTGGTTTGCACTAGACAGCCCACTTTGCAATGGTTTGAGGACTGAAAAGCGCAGAAGCCAGGGAGGAAGTGAGTTCCTGTTGATGAGTAAAGGCTTGAAATGTGGCCGGTTTGGATGAAGACTGCTCGGCGACGCAGGTAACCTAACCAACTGAAGACGGACAGACGGCTCACCGGAGCTCGTTAATTATTCCGCTCCGTTGGTCAGCCTAGCTACCATCCGACGTAGGTAGTTCATCTCCGCCTTAGCGACGCCTTCTCGACAACATCGACGGTGTTTTTCCTCAAAAATAAGATGGTTTTTCAGCTACTTTACACTTTTTCTGGGTAACGAGGCCGTAGTGCAAACCGAAAATTTCCGCTGGTGAGCAGCACTTGGCTAATTATCGTCATTGCTTCTCCTAAGAAGTACACATTTTGTGGTATCGTCTGAGTATTATAAACGCCTGAAGAAATATAAGAGTCATCGGAAAAGGTTCAACGAAACAATGAAAAACATCAGAATGAAAAATTCCGCTTCCTTGACAGATGTAAAGGACACTTTTTAGAAGTTAAAAGTTACTGACGTCTTAGTCAACCTTGTTTTTGGACACATCCAAAAAAAAGTTGATGAGACTTTTAAAAATGAAAAAAAAAGTTTGCCCGAAACACTATGCTTCCCATTGAGGGAAAGAAAAACCGACCTTTCAATTTGTTGAACGGTTCCTATTTATTATTTCTTGGAAATAGTCCTATCAACTTCGTGAAAGCTAACTGTCTTTATCACAGCTCGACAGACTTTTTCTCAGAAGACTGGAAACGTTCTGGTGAAATGAATCGGTGGAAAAGTGCATCTTGAACACTACTGGAAGGACAATTTATACATTACAATTAATCATAAATCCCCTTCAAATTTGACGTTTTTTTTTATTGCCCTTAGATAAATTTCATGCAATACAATATTGCAAGACTGTCCTTGACTTTTTCAAATGAAAAAAGAATTTATGAAACTAAGAATAAGTTGAAAAACTATTTTTTTGTGAGATATTACCTTCTCCAAGACAAGGAATCACTGGTAAAAATCAAACTTCTTTGGAATTTTTTTACCTATTCGAAAAAAATCGATTTTTCATTTTTTGATGGTACATTCGACTAACACGGATAGACTAAATCATGAATTTACTTGCTGATTTTTCTGAAAAAAATTCGAAAAACCTGGTTTTTTTCTCGAGTTTTCTGATATACCGACTTTATCCACAGTTTTTTATGGCTTCTAACAAATAACATTTTGAGATATGAGCATAATTTTATGTTATCTTGTTTAGACTAGAAAAAATAGAACATTTCTCGTCACTTGAATTTTTTTTTCCAATGAAAAAGAATCATTAAAACAGCGTTGCCGCTGGTAACCCTTAATTACTCTCAGAAATTTTTGAGAGTGTGATTCTTATCGAAAACTTGAGATGAGTTTAGGTAGGCTTGCTTAAAGTTCATATGGACTATTCGGTTTATTTCATAAATATGCAAATTGCAACGGAACACTTTTTGGCCTCCGATTGAACTTTTGATGAAAATTTGCTGGAGTGTACTTAAGGACCTCCTGATTGCACAACTAGGAAAATTTCTTACACATTTTAGTGTCGAGACGCTTCAAAACTTGAAAAAGCTCATTTTGTAGTAAGCTGCGCATTTACCACCGTTGAAGCTTAATACATTGAAAACAAAGTCTATTGCGAGTTTTCTCACGTTTTTTTCTCCCGTTTTGGAATTTTCTCCCGTTTTGGAATTTTCTCTTGTTTTCGAATGAGGAGGTCCTGAAGAACAGTTCAGCATCGTCTCGTCAAAAATTCAGCCAGGAGCCGAAAAAACGTTTCTTTGTCAGAACAGAAGCTTTGGATCTCAGCTGACATTATGCCGCTTCTCAATTTTGAAAACCGTGGAATCTATTCTTACATATTGTTACTTCCTGTGCGAAAGGTGAGTTAAACGGTTTTTGTATTTATTTCCTTTCATCCAGAGCTTTATTCCACATTTGAGTCTTTGTAGATTTTTTTCTATCACAATACGTTGAATTCAAAAACGATTCACAATTTCTGAGCAATTAGGAAAATGTAGGAATTTAACCTTTTTGCGCTTCATGAGTTGTTTTTAATTAAACTGCAAAGCAATCAATATCTATTTATAGATATTACTTCATTATCGAAAAATAATTTCCCTATATTTTTTTGAAAAGTATTTAAAACGGAAATTTTTTTAATTTTGAGCGAATTCAACTCAGATTCTTCTTTATAACCCAATTTTCACACGTTTTCAATGCACCTGAGTTATTATGAACACATTTAAAAAAGAAGAATTCAGTGAAAATACGGTTTGTCAATCTTTTTTTCCCCATTCATCACTTTTAGAACAACTATCCAACGCATTTTCTTTTCTGCGTTGCAAAAAGTTTTAAAAAAAAGCATATGAATCATTAATTTACAGAAATTCGATCGGAATGTCATTTCAACGAGTCGTGAGCGTGAAAAGGGGTCTGTGTGGAGGTCAGCTGATCAGGCGTACGATGCTCCGCGAGAACGCAGCCGCGACCCAGCTCCTCTGTGAATTCATACATCAATGCACGTGAATCAATACTACCCGCGTAAATCGTTACTTTTTTTATGTTTTTTTATGTTATTCCGCTTTTTTTCACCTATTTGGTAGCATTGGTTTGATTTTAAGAACGAAAATATTTGTATAATATTTTTATTTTTCGTTGAAGTTTTTTTTCAAGTAATAAAGTTGTTTTTTCTATTTATAATAATATATCTTCTCAACTTAAAAAGAATATTTCTTAAAAAAACTTACGAAGATTGAACTTTAAGAAGAAAAAAGGCGTACCGACAATATTGCGTATTTCTATAAGTTCCATCTCTTACATTATTTGTATTTTATTCACTTGTTAGCCGTTAATTAAAAGTTTTGAGGAAAAAAATGAGATGAAATCTAGCAAAAAAATAATAATTTCGGTCACAAAGAAAAATATAAAAAAAGAATAAAAAAATGAAATCTTCGCTTCACAAGATCAAGAAATTGTACTTTCACAGAATTCACTATCCTTGTCATTTTTATCACCTTTGTTCTCAATTTTCCGATTATTCGAAAGATTTATAGTCAGTCTTTTGTTTCTTGAAGGATTTATAGTTGGAAAATAACGAGAAAGAGGGCTGAAATTCAGGAAAAAGGTTGCGTGACAACGTTTTGTACTCTCAATCACGCCAAATTCCCTCGGGTATTTAATAAACCCGAGGTGGCAATTATCTTAATATTGTTCTTCTCGATCGCCCCGATTATTTCCTTAATCTCTTGACTGCGGTATTACAGTAATGAGCTCCGGAAAACCATCAGTCGGGCTCGGGCCGCTAGTGGAATGTTCAGAAGGAGTCGATCCTGAAGATCTAAACGACACAAGAGGTTTGTTTTCAATCTGAAAAATAAAGTTACTTCTTTCCAAAAAAATTTTAGGTAAAAAAATACCGAAATTTCAGTTCTGTTATAAATTTTTTTCTGAGCTTTTTATTTAGAAAAATTAACAAAAAAATCGCCCAAACTTTTTCAAAGTTCATAAGCAAGATCAAGTTCCAAATAAAAATTTATTGAATTTCGAAACTTTCAAAAAAATTCAACCACGGGGAAAGGGCACAAAATGATCTTTCTCTGTTCGAAAAACAAAATTTCCATTCGTTTTTGCAACTGGGATGAACGTGTTTTCCGACATAAGTTCATTGGTTATTAATAATAGGTTTACAAGCTCCCTCAGAAGCAAAGAGAAATCCGCGAAAAAAGAGGCGGAGCCCCCGAAATGAGTGCTTGGAAACGAAAAAGCTATTGTCTATGAAACGCACCTGCCAATTTTGCTCCTTGGTGAAAATCTGAAAATCCGTGTATAGCAAGAAGGAGCGCTTTAATTGGCGCTCTTTTCAAGCTGGAGTCCATATTTTGGCTTATCTGCTTTATTTTTGGCGTGATTTCTCTGTATTTTCTGGTGGTTGGAGTGGTTAGGACTATCGATGGAGTGTTGGGTGAGCCGTTGAACTTTTTAGAAGTCTGGAATTCTTTATTTTTTGATCAACCAGGTGAAAATGAGAAAGTTATCAATGAAAAAATCAATAAATCCCTGGGTATCGTAGAATTTTCTAACTACTTCAATCTGAAATCGCTAATTGGAACTTCCCTATTTTTCCTATTTTTTTTTTTTGAAGATTTATTGTAAAACAATGAACTTTTTCAAATTTTATTGCCGAGGCAACTGGTGTAAGAATAAAAATTAGACTTTACGCTGCGAGTTTTTCACACTTGTCGGGAGTTTTTTCCGCGGGAATCGTTTCTGTACATTATCCTTTTTTTACTGTAATTTTTCAGTTCAGAGCAATTAGTATTGAAAGTAAATGAAAGTGGAGATTGGTTCAATGAATATAATTTTTCAGCAGAACATGTCATGGCGGAACGGAGCAGAGCCATCGAAGACTTCCGAATGAGGGTTCGCGAAACCCCGTCGAAGTCGGGCGAAGGAGCGACTTCAAGAAGGAAAAAGACGGGTTCGAGGCTGAGTCTAGTCAGTCTCTTCAGTTTCACTTCGTCTGGAGGAGCAGCAGCCCGTGAGAGGTATTTTCGATTTTTTCATATGCATTGACTTCAAAACTTTTTGAGGAAATTTTCGTTTTCTCCCATCACTTTTTGAATATCTGTTTAAAACTTATTTCCGTTCTCTGGACTGTCCACTTTCATTTGAAAAGAGACATTTATTTCAGTTTATCCTGAAGTATTCCGAATCTTAAATATTTCATGTAGATTTTTTTCAGCTCAAAGAATTACACGATTGTCAAAAATTTCAGAGCTGAAAAATAAACGTAGTGACAATTATAATGTTCAAAATTGTGGATTTCATTAGAATTTCAAAAAAATCGTTTCTATACAAATAAAAATACTAAACCAAACAAAAAATTGTTACGCTCACCCAGTTTTCATTCGATTTCCAAATCAAATTTTAATGTAATAGCAAAAATTCAATTTATTATAAAAACATGACTCGATTTTGCGATTGAAAAATTATGACAAATGGTTATTTCTGATGCAAAAATGACTAAACCTTTTTTGGTTCCTCATTTTTGTCTACGGAAAAGTTTTCAATTACGTAAAAGGACAGCATGAACCTAATATTCTTTCGAGTTCTTTGAAATCGCTATTTTAATCCCGAGGAAGTAGCCGAAGTTTAAGTGAAAGGTAATAGTTTACTTAGTTTCATTGCAGGTGGTTTGAAATCTTGAATTTTTATTCATCAGAGTTTTTTATTCATAGAAGTAAGTCAAAGAAAAAAACTCGATAGTTCCATCATTTCACGGTTCATTCTTTTCTTTAAAACTGAACTCCTTCAAAAAGAACGAAAATTGTAAAGTAATCGAATTATCGCCAAACTCGTTGTCAGCGATTAGTTTTTCGTGAAAAAATCACTTGCGACACATGTTCCACTTTCTTTAACATTTTAGTTAGCCTCAAGGTTTTTTTTCTGAAAAGCAGTCGACAAATCGATTAAGAACTCTATAACTACCGGGTCGGGCGAAAAGTCAAAAAAAGATGGAAAAACTCAGGAAGAGCTTTTTTTCGGCGATTGTGCGAGTCTATGTGTTTGCCTATGTCGTTTCTTTTCATTCGTTGCGTAAATAGAACGTCGTCACTTGTATTTTATCACCAGTACCTCTCGATCGTTCTAAACTTTCTCCGGTCACGCGTTCCAAGGCTTTTATCAGCTTTGCAGAAAGGTAACTCTATTTGAAGAGTTTTTGACTGCTCGGCTTTTACAGATTTTTCATGAAACATCATTTTTTGACGTGGCAAAAATTGTCTGTTGTTTTTCGAGAGAGAAAACTATTATACATCTTTCAGTAGTGGGCTCGTTTCTTTTTAGCTTGGTCTGATATTTTTTCTGCTTTCTCTCTTAACTTTTATTTTTTTTTGTCTTGGGGTTTGCGACTTATTTCGAAAACGATCAGTGAAACAGAAATTTGGTCTTACCCTTATCAAAAACTGAAAAATGTTTTATTCAGTTTTTTAAAAACTTTTTTATGTTATGAATGGAGAGTTTTTTTTACAGACGGTCTTAACAGCCTAGTAACAAATCTTGGATCACAGAATTTTTTTTATGAAAAAAAAGTCTGGATAGTTTTTGGAAAAAAGGTTGAAAGGATCTGAAGGCCAAACGTGTACACCTGGATGTATGCAAGTGAGTGCGGGAGTGTAATAGACCTGCGACCTCCCTTGTGTGCACTCTGTACTTTTTTTCAACCTTCCGGCGACCCAAACAGGCTTCGCTGAAAAATCTCTACTCGAGTTGTTCTCGGATTTACCCCTTCTGACGTAACCGTTCTTCTTTCAAGCCTGACGAAATGAATTCAGAGCTCCTATTTGAACTAGTAAAGGTGTGAGGAATCATACCTTTCCAGAATCTTTTCCCTTTTTCAAAATCTCATCTGAAAGGAAAATTGAGATTGCTGTGTTCATTGGAAAGTCTACGAATGTTTTTCCATTGAACTGAATTCAACTTTCTTGCTTCTCCTTGTATTTTCAAAACGAAAACGGACCAGTAGGCAAACAATTCAGTTTTGAATACACATGACACGTTTGTGTTGTGATTTCTTCCTTGTCAAGTTTTCGTTAGCACATAGGAACTCAATGAGCAAGTTTAAGTAGGAATCAGCTTACAAGAAGGTCATTTTTCTTTTAGCTCAAGTATACGAAGAAGCTTGTCAAAAACAGTATTTGTTGCGTTAGATGGATATTCTAAGTTATACCTATTGAAATGTTCAACTTTCAAAAGAGAAAAAGAAGTTCAGACTGGTAGACAAACAGTTTGTAGTTTGATGAGTAATTTTAAACATTCAAAAAACTGCTAACTATTTCGAAACATTTTTGGCCAATAATCGAACCTTACTTGACACGAAGTAAAGCATTATGTTAGTATCAAATCTGGTAGCCCAAGGAAAATTAGAAATTTTGTCAATTAAGCTCGAAAAAGGAAGTATCAGACATTCAAAAAGGGTTTTCCAGATTCGGATATTTTGCTGAGTGAACTGCCAGAACCTCATTAATATTCATTTCGCGTCGCCTTTTTTTCCGGTCGCTTTTCACCCACGCGCGAAGAAATGACGCGCACGATCCCTTGTCTGTCTTCGAATTTTCATGAACGCATCGTTGACCACGCAATCCGTGCTTATTTCCTCTACACGTGCCATTCCGACCGTTTCCATGACATTCTTGGAATGCTCATTGGACCTCGTTGTTCTCTTTATCCACGAGTTTTCTTGTGTGACCTCTAGAAAATTATTCTGGCAAACTTGAAATTAGCGGAATTAAAAAAAGGGCGAAAAAATCCAAACGTGTTCTCGTGAGCAATAAAATTACCCAGAAAAATTAAATTCCATTAAAAATTCTTCCTGGAACTTCCTGCTCTTTCCTCGCTCTTTCTATTGGCTTAAACAAATTTCAAAGGTTTTTTTTTTCGTTAAAAAAGCTATTATTTTTCACCAATGCAGTTTTATTATTTTGGCGGTCTTTCGTCGATCTCACCAGCGGATGACACAACGAACGGTGATTCAATATGGCGCCACGTCGAAATTTGCGTCCTGGGGTCCTTCCTGCATTGTGAAGCGCTCTTTATCTACGACGCTTCTATTTTGCAATTGGTTTATGACCTCGCTGATAGTGATTGATAGAAAGCTGTTATTCGTCTCAAGCACTGTGGTTTTGGATCCCAAAGGCTGGTTTGTCACGAGTTTCCCAGCAAGTACTGTCTTTTTTCATTCTTCTCTATGCTTTTTACATATTCAAAAGTTTCAGATGAAAAAACTTTGAACATTGAACCCGTGAGACTAACCTTTTGATTTGCAAAACCTAGTTCTTATGAAAACAAATGAGCAGTTTCTCATCTGATTATTTTCCCGCAAATGGCAGGTAAATAGCTAGTAGGGTGGTCGAATTGCGAAAAACTGAAAAATGGACGACAGCGTGGAATCGAATGAAGAGCGGTGAAAGAACTGGTTACGCGAAATAAAAAGATCCAAAAAGTGACGGTCTGTCTCACTTGGCTTGGTCTAACGGTAGCTCTTTTGTTAATATACTTGGTTTTCATGTCATTTACTCTTCATTTTTAAAGTTTTAATTTTTCTTCAAATAGTTTATGTTTTCCGGATTCTATCACCACTAATTGATACTTTCAAAACAAAATGGTTAATTATCTTATAATTTTCTGGAAATCTCAAATGATTTTTGATCACGAAAAGTCTTCGAAAAAGAAAACTTTGAGGATCTTTCTTGCTAACATTTGCAAGATGCATCAAAAAGAAAAAAAAATACTGCGAGACTGTCGAATTTTGTGATCGAACTGATCTTTTCTCCGAGAAAAATCCTTGCTGACACGAGCTAATATCAACAGAAAATAAACCACTCTTTCCGAAACTTTATTTAAGATTTTCATACCTTTTTGTTCTCAGCTTCCCTCAATCCTAACGGAGCCTGCGTATCGTTCTCAAGCTTTTAAAAAGATTTTTGTTTCTTTAACGTAAGTTTTTCAAATTTCTTGTTACTCACTTTGAATTCCATAAGTTTTTGCTGACTCGAATGAACTCTGAACTCATTGGAACTTTTAGAAATGATAGGAAAGAATATTTTAAACTAACCTCAATTCGTTTCTGGAAATTTCTAGATTTACTTCGTTTCGCACCAGTGTGTCTACAAGATAATTTTTTTCCCAGAGGCGATTTTGTATCTTATACGTGTTATTCTTTTTTTAGACTAAAATCGTACTTTTCTGCAGGTTCTTTGTACTTTCCTTGCGTCTTTCTTTTATTTCCCTTTCCCAGACTTCCCAACACTTTTTGCGTGAGAAAGCGATATTAATAGTTCATTGTGTGCCTAGAAAATTAAATTGAAGTTGCTGTTGGCAGAGGGTTAGCTGACATGCAAATAAAAGACAACTCTGAAATGTCACTCCGAGAGGAGTTGAAATTATTTTGCCCTTTGAAAAGTACACAACTACTAATCATTTAACATTTCGAGTTCGCTGAATGGGGCGTTACGAGAAGAGATTTCAATTATCGCCAATTAATTATGGTCTGGAACAAAGCCTTTCACGACTCAAATAGCTCACAAGGGTGAACTATGGACACGTTTTTCTCCGAGCTCATTTCTCTTTCTTTTTGAAAAACTTGCCAGCGGAGGTTTTTTGAGAAAAGTTAGCGCACTTTTTTGTTTTGGCTTTTCGGATTCATATTTTCCTTTATAGTAACACAAAAAAAGCGAGTTTGAAAAGCTTGTACAACGGTTTCACAAAGGTATTATCTATTGTGTCCGGTCGGCTTTTTTGACGCGAGGTAGATCATCCCGATTGGGCAAATTTGCATGAGGATAGAATCATATGTGGCATATCGCCTCGGTCTCCTGTTTGTTCAGTTTTGTCGTTTTCAATTAATCTTCTCTCTCTATACAATTTTGCATCCATCATCCGTTCAATCCCTTTTTTTCCCATAAAATTTGATGAAATGCGCATATTTCTTTTCAAATCATCTAATTAAAAAAAACGTGATTCAAAATTAATATCTTCTTCTGATTTAATTTAAGCTGAAAAATGCGTTATTCAATTGAAATAATTATATGGCAATATGATTTGCGAGAATCTTGGAATTTAATTTTTTTCCTTGTGAATGATTTATATTTTGTTTCTATTCTTTGCAACTAGTGCGGTTAAGCAAAAAAATTCAAAGGCTCTTGGGGATGAATTCTAGGAAAGTTTTACAGGTCTCGCTCGGGTTGGTCTTACGGGGAAGAAGGTGCGGGTACTGTAACCATGTCAAGCGTCTCTGCCAGTGACATCCGAGTAGCAGTGGCCGGCTCAATGAACTCCAATAAAAGGTGGGAGAATTCCGTTGATCTATTCAGTTCAATCGGCAGAAGCAGATAAAAATTATAGATAAGGGGAGAAAAAAGTTTGGCACGTCATATACATTTCAAACTATTGTAACGCAAAATGGCTCCACGAAAAACTTTTGAAGCCAGGATTACCAAAGTTTTAAGGTATCGTGGGAGCGACGCAGGGTCTTGCGCAGACGGAGGCAGTGACCACGTAGCCGAATCGCTTCTTGCCGGAGAAGAAGAAACTGCTGACGAGCCGCTCAGTGAAGGACAGACGGTGCCTAAGAAGGTGATTTTTCGTCATCCCTTACGATCAAAAACAGAATCTCTTCCAATTAATATCGGAAAGTTGCAAAATAACATCCTGAAAAAGTCTTTTTCAGATCAAATTTCATGCATGCTTGGAATCTAAACTGATACGTAATTTTTCAGAAAAGCACAAAAGCAGGAAAAACGCGAGAATGCCCACTTTGCTGCATGACACAGTCGTACGCCAACTTTCCCCGATTACTTGGCTGCCAACATCGAAGTTGTCGGTTATGCCTGATGCAGGTTTCGCCTATTCCTTTTCATTTCATTTCATTTTTTTTAAATTCAGTATGTCGAGCTGGAAATCATGGAGAACCGTGTCGAGATATCCTGCCCAGAATGTCCAGCCTTCCTTCACCCACAAGATATCAAGTAAGTTAGAGTTCTTCGTCCATCTAAAGAGTATGTTTCATCACAGGAAGCTAGTCGGCTACCGCAACGGCCTAATCGATAAGTACGAGCAGTTCAGCATCCGGCGGTACCTGCTCTCGGAGCCTGAGGCCAGGTGGTGTCCGGCACCAGATTGCGGGTAACTCCGAAGCTTTCGAGTTTTCTTCTAATTGGCTCTAATTGCAGTTACGCCGTGATTGCGTCATCATGTGCCGCGTGCCCACAACTGAAGTGTGAACGTGATGGCTGCGGAATGCTCTTCTGCTACCACTGCAAGGTTTATAATTGCCCTCCCACTTTCCACCTAGTTGGAGGGTTCCTAAATCAAATTTGCGGACGATGTAAGAAAAATCGGAAAGCAATTATTGCTGACCTTTTCGATGGCTATAAGAGTGAAGGTCAAACAAGACTTGAAGTAAAAAAAGGCTGATTTACAGGAACCAATAAAGTGCATAAAAAAGATGGAAAATTGCTTTTTCTCAGAAAGAAATCTTTTATCGAACTCTTTTGTAAATCATACCAAAAACTTTTGTTCAAACCTGATCCGATCGCATGAGAGGAATCTCCAAATGTCTGCAGTTATCTAATTTGAAATAAGATAAAGCTTCCTTTTTTGAAAAGGGACTAGACAAAACCAAAAAGTATAGAAGTACTGCTTTTGGATATGAATCGTTTTCAGAGGGAATGGCATGCAAACCAAACATGCGATGAGGCCAGAAGAACTCGCGGGGGAGCCGGAATTTCCTCTCTTCGGTCTGGCCGACGAATTACGTCTTCAAGTATCGACGCACAGCTCAAACGTTAGTTCAAACCCTGGGAACTGTTCAAAAAGAAGTTTTCCAGCTGGAGATGTGAAAGCGTGTCCGAGGTGTCGCACATTCATCGTCAAAATGGACGACGGCTCCTGTAACCATATGGTGTGCGCCATGTGCTCTGCCGAGTTCTGCTGGCTGTGTCTCAAAGAAATCAGCGACTTGCACTACTTGAGGTAGGGAGTTTGTTTCTCGGGGCAGTTTTCAATGTCTCTCGGCTTTTCCTAGCTTTTACAGATTTTCTGAAATTTCAAAATTTAAAATTTATCAAAATCATGTCTATTGTCAAATAAAAACCTTTAAAAAAAGCCGAAAAATTCAGCCAAAAAATCTCAAACAATGAAAATTTCAGCCCGACCGGTTGCACGTTCTGGGGGAAGAAACCGTGGACAAGAAAGAAGAAGCTTTTATGGCAGTTGGGAACTCTGATAGGCGCTCCAGCCGGTATCGCTTTCATTGCTGCTCTGTCGGTTCCTGGAATCATATTTGGAGTTCCAGTTTTTGTTGGCAGAAAGGTTGGGCATAAAAACTCATAGTAGAAAAAAACTACTTTTTTCAGGTCCATCAGCGGTTCATTCATCAATCCAAGTGGCGGCGAAGGATCCTGACAGCAGCTTGCTTTGCTGGAGCTCTTTTTGTTAGTCCCGTCCTGGCTATAATGGCTGTCGGTTAGTTAATCCTTCCCAAAAGATGACAGACTCAGAAACCAACTCAAAAAGTAACGCGTTTCCTAATACAAAGAGATTCAGGAGTTGGAGTTCCGATAATGTTGGCGTACGTCTACGGCGTCGTGCCTCTTTCGTTGTGCAGAAACGGAGGCTGCGGTCTGTCCAGAAGTAACTCTCAAGCGCAGTTCGACTCCTTGGATGAGGAACAGCTTTGGAGTGGTTCTCCTGGTGAGGAATACAATTAGAACTCGATCTGAATAAACTTTAAGTTTCTTCTTAAATTTTCAAAAAAATCAAACTTTTCTGCGCTTGCCTCTCAATTTTCATCAGTCATTATATTCTAGGAACCGATCTCTCGCAACTTCTGCACGAAGAACGGCAAGCGATGGAAGTCGTGTCCCTCGATCCCACCAACTCTATGCACAGCGGCTTTTCTTCGGCAGAAGCTCGAGGCCAGGGATCTCTCCTTGTCGTAACCGCCGACGTCAACCGACGTCGACCCAGTCTCGAGTCAGGTGAGGTTTCCATCTGAAAGACTCTTTATCCGTTTCTCTTTTTAGCTGTTAACAGCATCGAAGAAAAAGTGAATTACGAAGAGGCGAGCGTGAAGGCCATGGCGGGCTCACACTATTACGATGATAAGGTTGCATTCACAAAGTTCCGATTTGTTACCAAAAACTTACAGAGCATCCACACACTCTATTCTGGCCATGAAGCTGTTTCCTACACGGATGAGATCGCCAGCACGAAGGCCCTGGCTGGTTCAGTGATAGAAACAAAAAGCCTGAGTGAAAGTGTCGGACGGCATATTTTGGCTCGTCATGCTGATAAATCGGAAGGTTTGTCCAAAAAGTCATATTGGCATTCTTATGTTATTTTTTTTAGAAGAGCACGTTTTTCTCTGCGTTTCTCCGTCTTCGACCGGAGATAAAAAAGGCGACGAGCAGACGCCGTGCTCATCGTCTTCTGGAGGATCTGCCACGAGAAACAAACATTATGGAGTGAATCGGTGCCAGAGTGAGTCCCTCAACTGAATTTCAAGAGGGAAAAAGGAAAGTTTTCAGACGCAGATGATTTCCTTCTTGCGTCAGAAGAAGGCCTCCTGGAAATTTCTGGTGCCTCTCGGGGAACCAATCACAGCGCCTTTGGCGGACCTGGTCATGGCAACGAAATCGAACCAGATCCGTTCAAGATCCATGCTCTTTTGGACAGCATGAAACAGATGGTAGCGGCGGACGTTCCTCTGGAAAAATCTTACGAGTGAGTTTGAAATTTATGAAAACTAGGGCTAAGCATTTTGTAACAGCTGTAGGGAATAAAATATGGTATTTACAATGAGGCGAAAAAATATTGGTTCAACTCTGAAATATTTTGCTGAGGTACTCTTTTCAGGCGACCTATAATTCGTTTTGAGACCAACAAGAAGTTCAAGCAAAAATTGATTTCTAAGAAAAAATAATTCACTGATGTTTCGGCGAATGGCTATTTTTGTGGCATAAGAAGGAAACTGTTTGATCAAATAATAATTGAATAGTGCGCAGGAAAAACAATCATCCAATTCAAAACTAGTAATCATGCTGAAAATTGCAGACCGACTCCTCTACGACCCACGGGAAAACTGCGTCGTTCGGGAAGCGGGAAGAGTATGCTGGCCATAGGTTCTCCTGGAATCCTTCCAAGTCCCGTGGGCATGTCTCACGCCTCGATGCCGCCGCCGAGCAACTCGGACAACATTTCGACGGCCGGATCTTCCTCCAGCAAACGACGTCGCCACCTCGGCTTCTTCACCTCTCTCTTCTCCAGGAAAAAATGATTCCAACGTTTTATGTACCATTCACTTACCCACTCACATCTTTAGACATGAATCAGAACAGATCTCGCTGAACGAAGTCGAGAAATGCGTGTACAGTAGAAGAGGAACACCGTTGTCCTCAGAAAATCTTTTTGGTCACTTTTCTGTTTATTTTCATTTTTTATTCTCATGTCAAGTAACCTGTATCATATGAATGATCTGAGCTTATCCTATAAGCATTTTCAAACTTTATGAACCTTGTGATAACTTTGCAAATAGTCTTTTCCAATCAAATCCCCGGCAATTCAACTACGAGTCTCCTTTACATATGGATCACTCTCTAACTTTCCTTGTATTTATTTATTCTCGATTTCAGACTTTCTGAAACAAAATTGAAAGCCTTATTACTTTCATATCTCCGATTGAATAGGTGTGATTTTCATGTCTGTCTCGTTCTCTTGTATTAATCACTGTTATTCTACTTACACTGTCAATAGGAAAAAAATTTGTTTTCAAACAAGTTCTGTGAAAATTTGTTATTTGCTTCTTCTGTATATTCGCTGTTTTTTTTTGGGTAGCTCAGGTGTAAAACTGTAACTCTTTCATTTATTTTCACCAAAGTGAGAGCTGAATTTTCCAACCGTTACTGAATAAATAGTAGTTTTTGTATTTATCAAAGTGAAAAGGCAATTTTTAAATCTGTGTTCCTAGAAAAACGGTTGGAAACTTTGAAACCTTCGAGCAAAGAAATGTTTACGTGTATTTTTCTTGAAACAAAGTCCTCTGAACCAATCAATGCTTTTACATATGCCAAAATTTTCATTGACCTCTATCGTTTATTTTTTTTTGTTCTTTCTCTACTACACTGCAAAAATTCCTCTTTCACTGTTATATGAATATGAACTTCTGTGATTAATTGTGTTTTTTTCAATAAATAGTTGTTTTTTTCTTTTTTTTCTATGAATAGTAGGAATCCAATGGGGCAAACTTTCGTCATGGTTATAAAGTGCATAATTATCAAGAAGCCTCATTCTCAATCGTCATCATTTTTATTTTTACCCCTAGATAACACTTTCAACGAACCGTGTGCAGATTGAACGATCATTTTCAATTGACAGGCCGACGAAGCCGACTGACACACTAAAAATGAAGAAAGAAAGAGTAGGGAATTTTCAAACACTTCAAGTTTTTTTTTCTGAAAGTCCAGGACTTTTTTTATATTTTTTGAAAACCTGTTTATTGTATAAGCTGACAGGGAAAGTGATTCAAATTCTGGCTGAAAGATTTCGGAGATCGCACAAAATACTCTATTAGTTACGAGTTTGGAACCCTCATCATTCCTATCCAATTGTCCCTGACTCACTGATAACTTTCTCGATTGAAATAAAACTTTATCTCAACATTTTTACAGAGAAATCCCCTTCGAACACGTACAGCTGACCATTTTTTGACGATTTTTTTCTAAAATGTTCCCCTTTGGAATGAACTAACTTCATATTCAGATCTCAAAGTTTTCAAAGAAACCTTCCAGTGAAAACTGAATAAATTTTCAAAGAAACCTTCCAGTGAAAACTGAATAATCTCTCGTTTCAAGATTTCCATGAAAAAGTTTTTCTAGTCTAGTATGCAAGTCTCGTAGTGTTCGGGTACCTGTTAACTCGGTGGGATTGACCCTTCCGCGATCGTTTCTATTTTTCTGCAAATCATTCATAAGATTATCTATTTTCCGCATTCCAGTGTTAGAAAAGCATATAATAAACTTTTATTATCATTTATCAGGAATCAGATATTCGAGCAAGTTTTGATATTCAAGATTTTCCTTTGATTCATCAAGGGACATTCTACCCAAAGTTTTCCGAGAATACCCTATCGAACCCATTGTGATGTGTTTCTTTTCCAATTTCCTTTTTTTGCTTCTATTTTTTGATGTTGTGAAGCAATTTCCATGGATGTTTATGCTACATAGTTCTAATGTAAATTAGAATTGGTACAGGTAACGGTTGCCTAGAAAGCAATAACAGAATACAGAAACACATACAGTGTGAGAAGATTGGGACAGAGATCGAATGAAAATGGGTTTTGGGTCAGATAAGTACAAATAGAAGACTGAAATGAACATTTTTCCCGCTAATCTCATTGGATAAGATGTTTGGGGAGCGCGAATCGTGAATAAAAAGAATTAGTAGACGATATAAAGGTCATCATTCACATACACAAAAAACTAATCATCTTAGAGACTTTGATACTTTTGATATAAAAAAGAGAACTTCTGGGGCTTCAATAGGAAATAGTTAAATGACACGAGATAGTATAGAGAAGAAGTTATGGAAAGTAAAGCGTTCAACTTCGTAGGAGAAAGAGTCTGCTGCAAATTCTATCAGAGTGTTCAGTGAAAACTTTGAGAAGCAAAACTTTTGCGATACCTTATTTTTGATCATAAAACACTAAATAGACCTTTTGAAGCGGAAACATAGGTTAGTGGATTATCACTGCACTACCCGCTTACGCCGATCGACGACGTAACCATAAAAGGAAACCATAGTTTAGGGGATTAGAAGTTTTTGAATTGATTTGAGTTTGATTAGAAATCATCCGGAGAGCGTTGAGACATTTTATGCGAATTGGCGCACAGCTGCAGCTGCTGTCTTCACTTTTCTTTGGTTTCTTTGGTTTCTTTGGCTTCGCGGTCGAAGGCTTCCACGAGATCCAGGTAGAGGCGATCCTTCAGGAAGCTGAAATGAAAACAATATTTCTCTGAATCTTTGAGATAAAAGATGATTTTCAGAATAAAATAAAATGCAGTCGTCGTGATGAAATAAGTAATGGCAAGATATCAAATAAGACTACAAAGTTCAAAGTTCCCTTTTCGTTTCAAACCGAATAGTGAAAATTTCTTCGACAAAGAGTCTTATTCTTATCACAATTTCATTTTGTAGAGATCTTCTAACCATATTTCAACTATGTCCTACGTTGTTTGAAACAGTCACCATAACTAACCGTCTGTAAGAGTCTTTGGCCATCAACTGCTCAATTCGAGACTGAGCCAAGGTGAAGGTATCAGCTCTGCAGCCATTCTCCAATGCAGCTTTCGTAGCGGCCCGAGTGTCGGAATCCAGGTTGACCTGCAAAAGGAGCAAATAAAATGCTGCAAATTTCCAGAATTCCTCAAATTCCAAGTAGCAAAATAGTTGTGACGCCTCGCGGTCGAGTCTCATTAACTTTCTGATAAGAGTTGATAAGCGAGCGAAACACAGTGGTTTCCGTTTTATTATTTTTAGTTTTGATCAACCCGTGATTTTCATGAGGAGAACTAACAAGCTGGGAATGAGGCGATTGAAAAATGAGGAAAAAACCAACTTCTTTGCGAGACTGTTCGGCAACGTAGAGATTGTAGATGTCCATTCCTTTCTGAATGGACTTCTTGCCTTCTTTCATCTTCTTGAATTCTTCGCATTCGGACCAGAAGTCGACGTTTTCATCCGAGAACTCCTTCGTCAGAAACTGGCGGAACAGCGTGCAGCCGACTGAATTATTTGACTTTATGCTAGAAATAATGGATAAATGAACTAACACTTGTGGTTGAGAAGTGAATCGAAGCAAGTTTCCCACTGACGGACTTCCTCGCGAGTTGGATAGAGCGCCGATGTGGATAGCGCCGTGTCCATCTTGCTGCGGATGTAGGACAGCGTCTTCGAGATCGGACCACTGAAACTGTAGGACAGGTTAACAACGGAAAGAAAGCAAAAAAACACTTCATAGTTTAAATGGATATTTTTGGACCTGTGGTGGTAGGTTTCAGAATGTTCCTGGCTGGACTGATCGCGATGAGTTTCTAGATGAACGCAGTTTTCATCGCATTCGTGGAAGTGAGAAGTATGGGCAAAGTCAGACATGACATGAAGAGTAACGTGGAACATTGCGGAGCCGAAAATAAACCTTCAGGTCCAAAATGCCTCGTTCCACTATCTGCCCATCTTGCACCAAGACACCCTTATCACTACTGGAGTGATGATATTTCACGTCACTAGGAGCAATCTTTTTAGTCTGTTTCTTTTTTGGACCGGGAGAGGTCGTAGTATTCTAAAATTCCGAAGCTTTTCAAGAGGAGAACTGGACGAAATAATCTCTTTAATAGATTGTGAATAGGAAAAAAAACAGACAAGAAAAAGGAGTACAGAGGAGAAAAACATAAACTGACCGCCTAGGAGCTACTACAGAATCAGAATTACAGTAGTAAGGAGAGTAATAAACGACGGCTTTTCGGGAACGGATGCTGGCGCGGAAATTATTGACGACCTTCATTTGGAACGAACAGGACCGAATGAATGGGATTGGTCGTTTTGGTTGGGTCAACTTCTGGTCCAACCTCCAAAGTGTTGATTTATGCCATGACAGCTTGATTAGATACAAATAGTGTTGCTGGCATAAATGCGCGCGGCCGAATTTGCCGCTGGCTTTCTCCACCGAGGTGTTAGGAAAATATTCAAATTCGAGGTCTTTTTTTTTTCTTTTTGCACAAGAAAGTGTTGCAGAACAGCTTGGAGAACTGTGAAGAAGTGCGATGTTAGGCAAATGCCCTTTTAATTAGGGTATTCAAAAAGGTCAATAGTGTTTTAATCTATTTATCGCCCTGTTCGGGTTATAACTACTTCCCGAATATACTTGTCCATAGACTTCAAGAAAAAGTAGCTTCTTGTGTTATAAATTTTTCAGTGTGCTCCACCAAAAGTTCGGTTTAATGACTATTCCAGACGGAGACCTCCTCTCAACCTACACATATTTTTTAAATTACTTCTTTGCAATTAGTTTGCTTCCGCTTTTCATCAAATTTACCTACTGCATAATTGATCAAAAAAGCTGTGTGTGTGGCAAAGCTTATGTTGAGTCGAAGAGGAAACCAACTAGATCAAATTTCTACGAATGGACACGGCAAAGATTATTAGGAAAAGTTCTTGCCTCAAACCTTTTTACAACCTCAGAGCTCTGCAAAACAAGAGCACAATAAATCATTCTTACGTTGAACATTTTTCGAATTTCTCCTGTTCTTTGAGAGGAGAAAACAGAGATTGAGAAGCTCACGGTGTGGTATTTTGATCTCGACACATTACATTAATTGGATATCATCTAGGGTTTCTCTTTCCTTACTTGCACTCTCTTTCTCAAAGTTCAACATTCGATCCCAAAAAAATAAGTTTTTTTTCGGTCAGAGTTTTTTGAGGATCAAGTAGACGATTTTGATACAAGCGAAGTGAGATTTACTCAAATTAACATTTTTCCTAAAAACAAAGCTTTCGAACTTATTTCAAACTTACAAGCTAGCTTCAGTTTTTTTTTCGAACTAACTCTGGTGTGACGAATTTTGCAAGTTTGCCTGTCATTTGCATATTTTTGCTCACAGACATGCGCACTTGGTTGCGGTCGGTGAAGAAGAAGAAGGAGGAAAAGTTCTTGGAGCGAGTCTTGTTCTTGGACTCACATCCCATTAACGCTTTCGGAATGAAGTTTTCTGTTCGTCGTACGCATATGCGTGAAATGCACGCAATGGTAATGGGTTGTAAAATGCGAAAAATACCCGGAGACGACTGCAAAGTTTGCAAAAAAAAAAAAGCCATTTCTGCTTTCTTTGATTATATTGAAACACGCAAAGTACCGTACTTCCAATGACGTTAATGAGTTCTAAAAAGTGGACTCGTGTTTTCCGTGTGAATAGGTCACAAAAAAATAAGAAAATGTGAAAAACTAACAATGTCGGCTCACACAATCTACTCATTAGAGTGTTATGAGAACTGCTCTCATAAGACTACAGTAAGAAGTCAGATGATTTTTTTCTGAGTCGGAAAAGTCAGTCTAGAAATTTTCGGTTTCGAAAAACATCCTAGAGAAAAGCTATGACAACTCTTGCCTGGATGAAGCAGGAGGCGTCGGAGAGACGGAACCACCGCCTAGGGACTCCATTTCACGTACAGAAGACCACTTGTGGACGACGCGCCGCGACGTCGGCGGTGGCAACGGCACGCTGATCTTCCGGCGGACATCCATCGCATCCGGAGACCCAACACAACTCGAGAACGTCTCAAGAAAGCTCGACGCGCGGCAACTGAGAAGGCGTGGCCGCCCCGAAGAAGACGTGCAACAAAAGCAAGTTCGCTCTCCTCTTTTCTTCCGAGGAAGCCCTCAAGCGGCCGACAGACTCATTTCCTTCCCCTTTTCCGGAGGGTGGTCCGATTGGACGCGTTCAAAAACATTTACCAAGTACAGAATTTGGATGTGTACTTTACTTAGTGTACTGATGTTTGCAATAAAACTCTGTGAGGTATTTTGCAGAAACTGAATTCAGCAAAAAATAATAATCAGGATCCTCGTTTTCTATGGGGAAAAAGCCGTTACAAATATTCAAACACTTTCCTTCCGAATGAAATGAAAAAAGCAAAGATTTTTTTGTCAGATACTTCATTTTGAAAATTTCGTAAGTCCTTCCTCCTCTCTACAAAAATGAAAGAAATATTGACATTTACTCTGAAGGAGTCATATCACAGATAAACTCGACGAGCGAGATTCAAGAAGAAATAACTCAGAACTTGCAAAAAATGTGTTTTTTTGTGAAGAGTTTTCGGAGGAACGCCAAAATTTTTCTTGCAAAACTTCCAAAATTTTGCGAGCATAACCGGCCTGTCAGACACGTGCCATGCCGTACTCAATAGCTGCCGCAGCGGAAGCAAAAGTGGTGGCTCTTCGAGATTAAGGGCTTTTCAAAGTGATGAACAAAGCTTGTCAATTTTGTCTTTTCTTTTGCTCAAAAATTATTTTTCCCCACTTTAGTCGCATTTGGGAACCAATTACTTTTTCACTACTACACTTTTTTCAAGATGATCTCAGGTAGGTGTTCTTGAAAGTTTGCATAGGTATATCAAAAAAAAAGTAGACGAACGCGCAAGTTTTTTCTAGTACTGCAAATTTAATTGAAATTGATATCATGTGACGTTTTTTCCTTTGGCGTTCCAAAAAAACGTGGGTGAGTGAATTTTTTTTTATCAACGAAAGGAAATTTTGCATCGCTTTTCCACTTTTGATTCAATTGCTCCCACTTAAATCATTTCACAATATCACCTTCACCATATCCAGAAGCCGTAATGCAAAATAGAGAGAGAGCAAAACAGGAACCTCGAAAGGAGTGAAAATTGCTGAAAGCGCACAGAAACGATAATTAGTGAAAGTAGATGTCAATCCACGTCAGCTCCAAAAAAAACTTTGATTCTTTCATCCTTTTTCCCTTTCAACTTAATAGTTTTAATGATAGATCAGATTGAATTGAGATTCTCTCAGCCATTCAGGACAGACCAGAACTCTACCACAGTCTCTAAAACTCATATCGAAATACTTACAGGAATCTCCTTTTGCCCTTCTCCTCTCCAGTCATCACTTGAGCTGGTCTTTGGTTGTTCTTGGCCACAGAGTTCTTAGGAGAGAACGTAAAAGAAGCTGCTCTCCGGACCGCAGCTCCAGACCCCTGGAAATAAAAAAGAAGTTCTAAAGAAAATTTCATTTCTTTCTTACCTTCGGACTGTCATGATAGGCGGCGCCATGAATGCCGGAAACGTCATCCGGGCACAAGTACTGCTGATCAGGACTGTAAAGCAATAGTTATTAAAACTCAATTTTATCATATAAAAAAAGGAAAAGAGAAACTAACCGTCTGAATTGAATCGGACTCATACTACTGGCGTTGTCGGCATCGGAGGTATTCTCACCTGAAACAAAAAATCATTTTCTCATAAATTTTTTGTAGGATGGGAATATGATTCAACCAAAAGCACACTGGCCTAGACATTAGAAAAAACGCTCAAAACTCTTGAACGGACAAACATGCCTCTTCTGCATCACACACAAAACTACTAAAGGAAAAACAAGCAAAGTGTTGATCAGCAGCCACCTTTTGCCAATCCACCGGGACCACCCTGAGCGGCTTCGTCGGACTCGAGAAGACTGGTCAAAGACCTGCCGCGTGGTTCGGAACCACAGCTGCCAGGTCTGCGCCCGACTACACGCGGCTTGTGAAGCTTTTCAGTCTTTTTTGGTTTTTCTGGCGTTTTTTCTTCCTCCGGTGGCGGAGTTGGAGTATTCGGAGCCATTTCTGACAAAATAGTTTGATGGGACGAAAGTACGTACAAGTAGCGATCGAAATTATGAGGATAGAGTTATGAGGAATACTTTTGCACTTCAATAATGTTAAGATAAAAAATTAGTTGTTTTCGTGATTTTATTGTAGGTTAAAGCAAGACTGAAAGAAAAACCATCTCAAAGATTATGTCCGAACTTTTCTTAAGTAAAACCAAAATAAATAGAAGTTTCGATAAATTCAATGCTCCAATTAGTAGATAACTTCAGATAGGAAATTGCTCTCAAATAAACTCTAGTATATCATATGTTATCTTTGCTCGCGCCATAAAATGAGAAAACCTGAACCGGTCTTTTGATGGCTATTTATGGAAGAAAAAAAAAAGATGATTTCTTCATGTTCTCATGCCTGATCGAATGGAAAAAAAAAGAGGAAAAAATGTTCCTTTCACTCTAAAAGTTGTGCTTTTTTCAACAGAAAAAGAGTCTCAAGATCCAAGTCGAGTTTAGGAGTCTGAACTTCTGGACATAATTAAAAACATGAGCAGAAAAAGATTTCTGAGAAAGTTCAAAAGTTAGGAAAAAAAACAAAAAGCTTGGGTTTTGAACGGCTTCCTGGAAGTGAATTTACTCGCACGCAGGTGATGAACTGAGGAAAAGTCTGGGAAAAGGTACAAATTAGTCAGGAGTGTTTGACTTGCAACTGCAGCGGCCGGTAATCCAAGGAGAGGTTGAACAACAGCAAAAAAACCGGAAATGATTCTGGGCATGATGCCATGTTAGTTTTATATGGCTCGAGGAAGGAAATAGGAAAAACTAATGTTTTCGATTTTTCTAATGGTTCGAATCGTTGTTTAATTCGATAAAGAAAAAGCTTTGAAAGTCAAGAAAGGGAATGGCCTTTTCGAAAAATAGGACAAGTTTCTCAGTGTTTCGCACAAAGAACACGCCGTGGGCCAAAGTCTTTCGCATGGCGTGCGTGTGGTTGTTTTAGCATTCGGTTTGGTGGCGGGTGATAAGCAATAATACGATAATGAACGCGGTTTAGAAACGGCGGGCGGAGCCTATACAAAACAAAAAAAACACCATCGATTCGTTTTTCATGGTCGTTCTCGTGATGTGATGTGTTTTGAGTATGAAAAGATAGTGGTCAAGTAAATCTCTTTCTTTGGAGATGGATATTACAAAAAATTGTTCGAGAGGATGATTAAGTTTGGATTTTGGAATGACCTCTCTTTTGGCTCAAAGGTTTTCTGTGAGTCTTAAAAAATCTAGTAGGGGCAACTTCAGGAAGTTGTAGTTTCTAAGTTAGAGGTTTTCTCGAATTTTCTCACCGACATAAGAAAATCACGGTGGTCAAAAAAGGGATTTTGAAAATAATATCTTTTAAGCACAAGCTTATACAGGTGAGAAGAAAAAACCAGGGGTCAGGATCTTTTTTTCAAATTGGGTTTCTAATGCGAAGTTTCCATGAAATTAAAAAAACAGCAGAAAAAAATGAAGTAAAAAGTGGTAGCGTTAAATGACTCCGAAACTCCTGGACGACTTGTACTGACGCTTTTGCCAGTTGACTGTCAACAAATGATGCGCAATGAAAGAAAACAAAAAAACGTAGTGCTTGCACTCAACCAACACGGGATGAACAATCGTTTGACTCGAAAATTAGGAGTATTTTCGGAACAATAATCAAGGGACTTCGACCGATGAATCAGAGTTGGAGAGACTCATTCAAAAAATAAATTTGTGAGTCCACATGTTTCATCAGGGAAAACAAAGCCGAAAATGCAGCATGCAATATCACATGTTGAGTCGTAGAAATTAATATTCTCAAGTCAGACTCTTTTTTATACCGTATTCCGAAGTTTCCCAATAATTTTTCAGTGAGAGCGGCAAACATTCACAGAGTTCCCCGATTGAAATCTGGGAATATGATGGAAATAAAATGAGAACTCACTGGTAGTGGTGGTGATGCTCGGCAACGTGGCACGGTGGTAGAGGTGCTGAGGTCTCTTGCGGAAGTCGCTCGAGGCGTTGGTACTGCTGGAGGCACTCGTGTAGTCCAGATGATGGGGATTGTTGTGCAGACGGATGTCTCCAGTCGACGAGTAGTAGCTGTCGCATCCGCCCATCCCGTTCAACTCCAGAGGTCCCGAAATCGAATGTCGGCTTGAACTTTCCGAGTTCATCTGTAATTTGGTACATGTTTGAGGAATTCCTGGAGAACATATTGACTTAAAGAAAAATTGTTTTTGAAGGAGTACCGTCTTTAGTTTCTTTTCTGACGGTACTGTGACTATTTATGGCATTTACGATTTTTTTGAAATTTTCTGAATATTTTTTTTATATGAAAAATAATCATTTTTTTGAGAACTTCAAAAACTATTCAGTTCAAAAAAACCGCGAAAATGAGCAAGTTTTGAAAAAAATCGAGCGACAAAAAAATGATTTCCCCCAAAATCGAAATTGACTCGAGAACTTTTTTTCTTTATCATGAATCGAATCATAGGGTTAATTGAACTATCAAATCATATCAATTTTTTTGATTAGGAGCTAAAAAAAGAGAATGTCAATGACGGAAAAGGAGCGAGAACCAGTGTTTATCTGTGCGACGAGCACCGAAACGTTCGCAAAATACAAGAGTTGGGGAACTTTTGTGTGTGTGTGTGTGTCAAGTAGAGGTCCTTGTTCAAGTTTTACTTTCACCCCTAGCGTCAATAGAAACGCTTCTCGGTGGTCTCTAATTTGACGATGAAGACGCAGAGCGAACACAAACAGTACAAGAATAAAACACACGAGGTTTTCAAAAAAAGAAGCTTTGGCCGGCGAAAAAAACGTTGCGCAAGTCAAGTGGCAACACTGTTGATTGGTTTGAATAGTGTCAAAAATTGGCATCGCAACATTTTTTGACTCGAAAAAATTAAATGTATTCATAATGGGAGAAAACTTTGAATGAATCACCAAAAAACTTTTAAACAATTCTGATCTTTTCGCTACTTTTTTTAAATCATTATGGTATATTTTTTTTGGAGGTGAGCTTTTTAAAAAACTTTCCGTGTGATATATCAGAATCTGAAAAAGTTCATTAATGTATATTTCGGCATAATTCTAAAATCAATTTATCGACTTTTTTTAATTTTCAAAAATTTTCAAAATGGGACAAGAGCAAATAATTTAATTTTTTATATCGTGATTTATGATTCAATTGAGTGATGATTCAAAAATTACCCTTTCAAGGATCTACGATAAAGTCCTGAAATGACTCATAATTCTTTTTTTTAAAAATATTGCTTGGGAAAAAAATCTCCTTTATCAATCAAGTTGAAGGAATAAATCTGAACTTTTATGAGGAACTAAAAAGAACAATTTAGCTTTTTCCTACCGTAAGAATTGATTTAGATAAGTGTAATTGGACGAGGAAAAACTAGAAAACGTGAACATTAAGTCTTCGAGAGGTATGATTCGATACGCCGAATTCAATTCGGTTGCAATGAGCTTTCCCCGTAGTTGCAGAAGGCGGAAAAAAAGAAGATGGAATTTTCAAGTTACGCTAGAAAAGTAATATCAGATAATTACATAAGCGGGCGGCGAAATGCGAAACTATTGGTGTGCGGCAGAAAGAAAAACGGCGGTTTCGTGTGGGGAAGTGATGGGCACGGACAAATCCGTGATGAGCTGACATCCGATCTGCCGCTTTCTCTGCAGTTTCTGTACCAACTGTGATCTCGTCCCTTTTCTTTTGATTTACGTCTTATTTTTGAGGACCAAAAGCAAATCAGTAGCATTTTGCGGTGAAATTGAAGCGAAAGAAAAAAAATTGAGGTTTTTTTTTCTGAAGAGAGATCATTTTTGACAAAAAAAACTTTTCGCTTCAAAATATTTTTCTTATTGAGGGAAATCCCAAACTTTTAATACTTCCGACTACGTGAATTCAAGTTCTCTATAGATTTTTGAAAGCACAGAAAAATACGTTACAGCGCCTGGATGAACCAAAAAGTTAAGTTTACATTATAAATTGGAAAGCTACAAATCAAAAGAAACGCTTGAAAAAATGGCATTAAAATTGACTGTTCGAAGCTGTGAATTTCGATAAAAGCCTATCGACAACACAATCGATAGAAACGACCCGGTGATAATAATTATTAAGTCCCTGGATTGCTTTGAACACTTTGGTGAAAAAAAGATAATGCCCTGTTCTTATAGACCACTCCTTTGAAAAACTTTTCATAATTTTTCAGTCGGTACTAACCTTGGAAGAAGATCCGTACGAGAGAACTTGCGATGATCCCGACAGAGCAGGGTCATTGTAAAAAGTCTGGATTTTGATCTGAAACTTGAGATTGCAAGTCTGTAGGTTCAAGGTTTTCTGCAACCTTGCTCTGTGGCAAATTACGCTTCTCGCCGTACTTCGGACTCAACAGGAAAAACCCGCCATTGTTGATTTCGACTTCCTCGCCAATTTCCGTCTCGCCGTGGTAGTAAAAGTACTCGCCATTCTGCAAAAACACTCTCGTGAGTTTATTGCGATGAGAAAATGAGAAGTTTGCCTTGAGTTCGATTCCCGATACAAAATAAATTACGAAATTCAAGTTTACGGCCCATTTAAAAACGGTTTTTTCGGATTTGAGAAATATCGAACTCAAAAAATCAAAGCCTGTTTCAAAAAATTGAAAACCAACCGTTTCGCGGGCTTTTTTGAGCAGCCGACGGAGTGGGAACGCCATGCAGCCCATCATCTTCTTCGTTCTGCAACTCATTTCTGGTTATCGTCCACTGCTAATGCCAATTCAATTAGGATGAATAAACGAAACCGGGCGTCTAATAATGAGAAACCCAAAAACGGACATCTTGCACGCTTTTACGGTCGCAGTTTTTGTTTGCAGTTCATTTTCACTTTTTGATAAGCTATAAATAGATTTTCCTACTGACATCAAGCTTAAAATGGCCGTGTGTGTCATGCGTTCCAACTGTGCAGAAAACTCAAGATTGAATAAACAATTATGTTTTTTTTTGATTCATTAAAGGATCATTTTCATTGAAAACTCACTGTGTATCGTCCGCATTCATCGCGTAGACGCTGAGCATAAGAAAGTCTCGCGAAGTGTCCTCCGGAACAGTGCTGAAAAAAGCAACGTTGAGAAAATATTCCCAGCTACAGTACTCCTGGCATGTTAAAAAGGTTGAGAGGATACGGTAAAACCAGTATATTTGCCTTGAAAGCAAACATAACGCAGAAAATGGTAGGATTTTTCAAATAGAAGCAAAAAATTCAAATAAACTGCGGCGAAAGTTTGAACTTTATGGCAACATTGGAATTTGTGTGTTTTTCGCGCCAGGCCAAGCCTCCGAAAAACCATTACTCAATGGGCCGCCGCAACGGGAAATGATCAATGAGCCGATAAGACTGTACATGTCGGTTCGGCTAACATTTCTCTGTTTTCGAGTTTGAAAAGTCCCACGCGACATTCGGAAACTAAGTCGGAGTTTTTTCGGAACGAAAAATGATAAAAATTGTTTTAAAGGCTCAATAGTCCTTTGTCTAATTTTGTCGGGGAGATAAAAGACTTTCCAGCAGGCAGGAGATTGAGCGAGTGAATATGGGCTGGTCTTAAGCTCAGACTGGGAAATCTCTTTCTTTTCAACTAATCTTAAGCCTTGACTCAGAGCTAACAATGGGTTTGATAAATTACCGTATGATTAAGTGACACTCAAACGGGAAGTTTGAAAAGGAGGAACTGCTGCGTGAGCAAATTGAATCACAATAGTTAGAGACGCGATATCTAATTGGCTAGTGCGAATAAAGTGCAACTAACAATTGGAAAGTTTCTTGGAAGACTGGTCGATTGGTAGTTGGGATGAGGCGAGTACGGTAGGTTTCCTCGTAGCGAAGGTGTCTGGCAAGACTCGAGGCGCACCTTCGCTTCGGATTGCGGGCTTGCACAGGTCGATGACGTAACTCGGCCTGCAAAATCCATCCGAATGAAGTCTGGTGAGCCAACCAAGACTGAGAAAAGTTTTTTTCAATGAGGTCAAGACAAAAGTTGGAATTCTTTCTTTAGCTTCTCGGCCAAGAATTTTCCTGAAAGTCGAGAAACAAAACCTTTTTTAATTTTCCAGTTAAAATTTACCGTTTTTCAAACTGCCTAATTATTTTAGGAACAAAAAAAATTTCACATTTTCTTCAAGGAGGAACTTGGTTCATTAACTTACTCGAAGATATGAGCAGACTTGAATTTGACTGGCATCTCGGAAGTAAACCCCTCGTTGGACGTGAACCTTCAAACTGCGGCCCCGAAGCGACATCGTCAAGAAAACAATGCCTGAAAGTGACCATGCGCATCGAAACTCTATTTGAAATACCATTGATTCCCATATTCCGAGCTACAGGAGCTGGCAAACCAAAGTGCTCAGGTCGATAATAGGCGGGTTTGGGGGGAGCTGGTTCTTTCATCGTCCACGGGCAGTTTTCCCATTCCAAGTCCTGATAACAAAACATCTTTCATCCAGTTGAAATTGGAAGTATCTAACCGTCGCACTCGAACTTCCTTCCAAATTACTTTTCTGATCACTCAAGTCGTACATGGACCGAAATTGTTTGCCTTCCAGCCGTCTGTGCAAGGAAGTTCGCGGGGTCCGTGGAGTTGAGGCTATGAATTTTGGGCCGTGATGAGGGTTCGTTTTCGGCAACAGCGGCGCGGAGCCTTGGAACTGCTGAAAAGAAATTGTTTTCTCGGTTGAACTTGGAAGATTGATTTACACAGAGTGATGTCGTGGTGGATGTGATTTGGGGGTTCCAGGTGGAAGTGAGCCGAAGAGAAGGGACCGGTGGTATATCTTGGCCTGACACCACTGAGTCCGACCGAATAGGCGAGATTTCCTGCAAAGGCACTGTAATAAGTGTCCCTTTTCCGGTGGGAGCAATTATATACTCCATGCATCTGTCTCGATTATGGTCCTTGTGTAGTTTATGACCACTGTTTTGTACACTTCTCTCATTTTACGATACCTTACTAAGAAAGAAACTATACTAACAACTTGGGGAAAATTCCAGAATCGCCCCCCACACTGTTTTTGCCCCCCGCGTTCCAACAAGCCCCCCACCAAGCCAAGTTCCGATCTGTGGGGGGTAAAATAGGAGGACTTCATGTGGGGGGAAGAATCGAACGCGGGGGGTGAATATGTATTCTAGAATGGCCCCCCACAGTACAAAACGGGGGGCGATTCTGAAATGCCTAGGCAATCTTTCATATTTGCCCCCCGCACGGCTTTGAAATAGTCCCCCAGAGCTCATTCGAACAAGCCCCCCCTCCCATTTCAGAATGACCCCCTCTCATTTCAGAATGGCCCCCTCCATTTCAGAATGGCCCCCTCCCATTTCAGAATGGCCCCCCTCCATGTCAAGTATTTTATTTATTTGACGAATTGTTCACTGTGGCTCAGTTTTTTCGAAGCGAGCCACAGTCGGCTTCGCGCTATGCGCGCTCCGCCTCCGTGTGAAGCCTTAAAACTAAGCCTATTTTCCTAAGTAATTTATTAATTAATGTGCATGAAAAGAAAAAGCAAAAAATTCTATTCCTCAGAACAATTACTTGATTGAAAACTAATAAAGTTCATCTTAAATTTTTCTAAGTGGTCAGCGCCCCATAATTTTATGATATTCGTACGTATCTCGGCGAGACGTACCCGTAAACTTCTTTGTCTGACTTGAACTTCTCATGAAACTCGGTCAGCGACCTAATTTCTTCCATGATCTACAAATCAAATCACAAAAAAATTATTAAATTCACAAAAAGAACACGAATTTACATGCGAAAAATACAAAAAAACCATTTGAAACAACCAAGAACGACGAATGATACGAAAAAAATTAGAAAATAAATTTAAAAAAATGGAAGCTCTGACACGTGTCCTGCGTGATCGTTGCGTGACTTTTTTTCGGTGTGGGGGGTTATACTGGATAGTTGCGGGGGGCTATATTGGATAAGTGTGGGGGGCTTGTTCGAACGTGTCGCGGGGGGTGATATCCAACATATGCGGGGGGCTATACTGTAATATGCCCACAACTTGAAAGATAGAAATTTTCGAGGTACTTTCTTTAGATCGACAGGCGTTCGTTTTCGAATGAGCTCTACCTATTATTCGGCCCTGTCGGTGCTCTTATTCGATTTTCCTACAGATATGGTTTCCAAAAGAAATCTTCGAGATGCATAACTAGTGTGGTAGATAAGTTATTCTCTTTTGGTAAATTATAATATTTCAAAATCGCTTGCCAAGATTCTTAAAAGAAGCTGTTTCTTAAGCCTCAGAGTCGTTTTCGATGTTCTCGGGCCGTTTCTGACATAAAGAGAACAAGATAATCAGAAACAAGTAATTAACAGATGCAAACAAGGTCATCGACCTATCACCCTTGCGTAACCAAGTATCATCCTGAGAACGGACCTCGATCATGGTGAGGCCAGGAATGGGATACTGCTGATAAGGCTTGTTTTGTCGGCTTTGGTGGCGGCTCCGAGTGCGGTCGATCTTCGTGTAGAGGTGTGGAGACGGCGCTCCTCTCGGCGGCTCGTTGTTTGTCCCGAAAGATCTCATTGGCTGGATCATGCTGGGATCCAAAGACATCCTCCGATTCTTCACGTGCATTCCCAAAGCTGGTCTACGCATCCTGAATAAAACAATTTAATAAAGTACAAAAATGCGATCAAGTCAGAAGTAAAACTCAAAAATGTTTCAAAAAAACTCTCCTTTGCTGAATGATAACTTCAGGAAAGAACTCGTTAAATAGAGACGACCGAGAATTGTTTAAAACCATTTTTGATTTGAGAACAGCTTTTGGAAGTTTGAAAAAGAAAGCAGATATTCGTTTTTATTTCCGAGTACTATGCTTTTTTCTCAAAGATTGAATTGGATCCGCAAACCTGCCTCCCCGTGATTACCCAGTGAGGTCTACTATGCATGACACCGAAGATTTATTGCAAAATAATAAACGTGCGCCTTTTGCGGGACTCAATTTAACTATGAACCAAGAGTGAGGCATAATTATAGGGTATGAAACTTTAGTACGATTTATATTCAAGAACGTTTTTTTGTTTTTTTCTCTATTTACTAACTCGATATCTCTATGGAGATACATCTTGATAAGCATATATATATATATATATAGTTTCAAGAGATATCTATAGCGAAAACGGAATGAGAAACAAAGTACAGGAAACAGCAAGAGGATAGAAGTTCTCAGAAAAGGTCTGATGATTTTCTGGTACACTCTCCGACGTCGTTCGATGTCATAAAATGGACAAGCGGCGGTGCAATACGAGGATTCCACGGTAAATGAGAGACATCAAACTTGCGTTCAGCGCTGTCGTAAACGTGAGAACAACGAGCATCACAAATAGAAGCTCTTGCATTTCAATCGCTGGCAAAACAGTCATATCAAACATTTCTGAGAACTTCTGCGCTAGATCAAAAAGGTTTCGCTTAGTTGAAGTATCACTTAGAAAACTGAAATCACTTGGGAGAAAGGCGGCGTTAGAAGGTGGCATAGACAGCATAAAAAGAACACATTTGAAACGTTTTGTGGTCATTTTTTTTCAAAAAGCTAGCCGATCGATATAATTTTTTTCAAACTCTGTGTTCAAAATATTGAAGAGAACTCCGATTCCGTGTTGATAATATTCAAGAGTATATGCGGTGGCGAAAAAACTTTTTTTCAAAACTTTTTCAATTAAAAAAGTAAACTTTCATATCCAGGAAGTGAGAAAACGAAAAAAAAACAAGTGGAAAATAAAAATTGAACCAATTTTTTTCAATCCAAACCTCAGGATACTTCTGTGGAGAGAAATCAAAATTTTTTTATCCGATGAAGTTTTTTTAATTTGGTAGTGAATTTTCTTTCGATAAAATTCAAAAAAACAAAATTCTTAACGCCCACTGATACCACAGATGAAGACTATAGATGAAAAAACGTTTTTTCAAACGTAAACTATCGAAAGTAAGTAAAGAAACCTTTCATACTGCCTGCAGACCATAGCTGATAGCAATCAATAACAGACGGAACTAGCGGCAAGCGAAGAGCCAAAAAAGTATGAAGAATAGATGCGCGCCACCTGACAATGGTATCTGCCGAGAGTGAGGACTCCTCGCGCCAACGACCTCCCCCTCCCTTTTGCAACTCGCGGTTTCTCAGCCGCTTGACCCTTTTTCTACCTACCAGTGGTGATCTCCTTCTGTCGGTTCCGTAGGTCCACTTGACTCGGTTTCCTGGGAACTCAGCGAGTCCGTCGAATCAAAGTCAACCGCTGAAAATTTGGTAAGATAAATCTCGGAAACTTTATAATTTCATCTTGATCAGTTTTTTACGTCTTGATAAAAGTTTATCCAAAAAAGGCACTCGGTATAACGAATATTATCGTACAAAGAAGCCAAAAAAATGTCTTTTTGTAATATTCTTCCTTTTGATGAATCTAGAAAAGAGCGAAATATTTCAAAGAATCTCGTGAAATTTTTTTAAAAATAATAACTTCAAGAGTTTTTTTCTTGGCATAGATTTTATTTTTTTGGCTGATTCTTTCTACTTTAAAAAGTCTTAGGAGGCTCTGAAAAAGTTTTGAAAAAAAAATTTTGTAACTTCTGATCTCGTGCTGGTTTTTGCCAAGTCCATCCTCCTTGTGAAAAAATTGTTTTCAAGTACTTTTTGAAGTTTTCGATCTGCTTTTTCCGAAAAAGTCTGTGGAATAGTCGTTCTCATACTATTTCACTTGATTTCCCTCAAGGACCCAATCAGCCGCTAAAAATTACCGGAAGATTCATCATCACTCGACTGGTCAATTCTGTACTCGTTTCCTTCCATCTGACTGTATCGAAAAAGATTTAGCCGTTGCGACATCGGCTTCCGACTCATTCTGAAAGAAAAATCTTGCAAATGAACTTTATCAGATACTAGAAGAAATCGTAGAAGAGGGGAGAATGATGGAAATTGAATGAGAATATGAAACTTTAATTGAACGTTCTGTTTACCTCCAAGAGCAAAGAAACAAAATTAATGAAGGATTTGAGGTCAAGTTAGGAAGTGTGGATCTGGCCACGACAAGGAGCAGATCAAGGCTCGGCGGGTGGCGGCCGCACCAGAAAAGCAAACGCAACGGTGACCTCTAATGTGCATGGCTCGCTCCCGAGTACTGAGCAACCGAGCCAAGAAATCCATCGATCGATGGGCCTTCTGGACATTGCGCAACTAACATCCTGACTAAAAAGAACTTTTCGCGACGCTTAACTTTTGCAAAGCGGATAAATTTTTTTTGCTTCCCAAACTGATTGACTACGTTTGAAAAAAAAATAAACCCTGAATTTTTTTGGGTTCTGGAAAAAAAAACTTCAAAAAGGAATTTTTTCTGTTGGCTGAAACTTCAAGCTGAAACAAAGCCGTACGTTCTTAGATATCGATTTTGAGACAATTTTATTTTTTGAAATTTTAAACGATTTCACAATAAGCCATCAGACCGAATCTCAGAAAGTTCGAGAAAATTTCCAATCAAATTCACTCTTTCTGAGTTTTAGCTGTTCAAAAAAAGCTTGTAAGTATACAAATAACATGATTTTTTTCGATGTAAAGATTGCATCGCTTTGTTTCTTTTTTTGATTCCCTTGATTAATAGAAGGTAAAAAAATTTGCTCCGCTACCTGGAAAAAAATTATTACTAACTGTTGAAATGGCGCACCAATGCGCTCTTTGGGGCTGAACTGTGTATTAAGAACGATAAAAAAATAATACATTTCTAAATTCTCTCAAGATAATTATTCGCCACACGATGCACTTTTTCATAAACATTTTTTCAGTGCATCTTGAAAAAAGCTTTAATTTTTTCAGCTTTGTATATTTCTGCCCCTGTATTTCTGTATTTCTAACTAACTTAACAAAAGTTGATTAGTGAATTTAGTGCTGAATCTAAAAATTCTTTTTTATGTGAAATTCAAAAGTTGGGGATTGTTAAAACTAGGAATAATAAAAAAAATCATCTTTTATTGAGCAAATGGTATTTTTTCGTTTGTCGTCAAGTTGTAAATAATTTTTTCAAGTGTGAAATTTTTGATTCAAGACCCTAAATTCTCAAAAAAGTTAAAATTTAAAAAAATTCAGTTTTTTCTCTTCGATAGTTTTGAAGAAATGTTTGTAAGTGTTTCTGAAGATTTCAAGCTGAAAAAAAATGTACTGAAAAGTGTGAGCAAAGATAGAACTCGGAGAGAATCAAGACTACAAACTCAATTCAGCAATCAAAAGGCTAAAATTTGAAGATAATATTGTAGCAAAGTCAGAATAAGAAAATGAAAGCAGAGAAGTTGTTTTGAAAATAGATCAGAGGAAAAATGAACCATAAAGAAACGGAAGGAAAGTGAGATATTCAGCAATAATAACTATTAGAGAGAGTGATGTTACAAATTTTACAGAATAAAAATTGGGATAAATAACTGTAAAAAAAGCAAGATTGAATTGAGATGTCTGGAGGTGAAGAAGGAGAAATGAAAAAGTGAGAAAGAAGGCAGCCATAATGACCGGAGGTAGATGTAATCGAGACTAACAGTTTTTGGGAACGCCTAAAATGTGTTAACAAGCTGAATGATGAGGAGACACCCGTGGGAGCCGGTAGGCGAGAAATGTGTTACCTTGAGCCCGCGACCCGGCTCAGAACCCAATTCTATATTTCCTGATGTCTTTAGATTCAAAGAGAATCTTCAATCGATCACCAAAAAAGTTTTTGGAAAAAGATTTTTGACTTGATTTTGTCTTTTGTGATGATTCTTATACAGACTTACCAAAAATAACACAGTTTGACAATGTCACAAAATTTTTCTTCCAAATCTCCCAGCAGAGATTTCAGACCAGATTATAAAAACTTTCAAAAAGTTCTACCCATTGGCGGCAAGAAAATAAGATGAGTAATGTTCGGCCGCCGCAAACCTTACCACATGTCGATTCATTTTGAACTTTGACCAGTTCTGCGGCGTTGAATAGACTGGCTCAAATTTCAAATAATGATATTCTATTCATTGTTAGCTTATGACAGTTCAAATTAATCTAAAGCCCTTATGTAGCATTTTGCTATCATGAAAAGAATATTCGCAACACGTCAGTGGTGAACGAACTATCAAAGAAACTCCAACAAAAATCAGAAAACATAATATCAGCGTTTCAGATAAAATATTTTTTGGAAAAGGTCATGAGCTTCATCGTCAAAAAAACCAAATTTAGAGTTGAGGAAAAGAAGAAACAAAGGCGATCAAAAAGGCGATCTGGCGATTCGCGCCAATCGCGGGATTCAAAATGAATGAGAAGAGACGCAGATCCCGTGTATAGGGATACGCACCCCGGCCTGTCTGCCTCACCCACGCCTGTCGCCGCAATAGGTCGTTTATCACGGAGAGATCGCGCTACTGGGAGGTTCTATTACACACATTCTCAAAACAAGAACATATCCATCAGCTTTTTTTCTGTAGTCAGTTTAAGATGCTGAGTGAGAGGCGTAGTTTATATAGATAATTTATTTTTTTTCGAATACCTTGAAAAGTCAAGATTCTTGTGGAAATTGTATCTTGAAATTCATCGCCCACACCCCTGCTGGAAAAATCGAAAAAAAAATGAATTTTTTTCGTGCAGAACAAATTTTTTTTGTAATTCAATTTTTGATGGCAGCTGGCTCGTTCTAATATTGAAAAAATGTTTTTGATGTTTTTCCCGCTTATTTCATACTGTCATTCTCTCTATGGAATATATTATAGCCTAATTTTGGAGATAACCATCTCAAACGACTTTTTATTAAACATTCTTTTACAGGACACAAAAAATACAAACTTGAAATAAAGCCGACAGGTTTTATAATCTATTCCAGCAATAACGTGAAATTTAGTTGGATCGACACCTTTTCCGCACATTTTTTTTACCTTCCACGTGAACTTCATATGAGTTGAGTTCCTCAAAGAATTTCTGATTTTGACCTTCTTATCGGAATAAATCATGAACTCTCGCAAAGTTCTTTCCGTGCCTTGAAGCCTTGAACTTCAACCATCAAACTCTTTGTATTTTTTTCCCAGCTGTTGTTTAAAAAATTCAGTTTTTGGGTAGACATGACAGCCAACAGACTACTCAAGAAAACATATAAGTAACATTGTTTCCTTTTCAATCTGGATGCTGCATTTCTCAAACTCTTTCTTCATTCACAGTTTTTTTAAACCCTCGACAAGGAGCTAGAAATGAGCTTGTCCTCATCTTGGTAATATGAAGCTGAAAGTATCAGGAAAAATAGTCAGCCATTGTCTCCAATTACGCAGACGGCTGCTACTGTTGCCCCTCGCGGTTGAGTCATTAAGATATATCCGAACCGGCGGCTCAGTCGTTTTAACCAGCCAGACAGATGGCCTGCGTATTTTGCTCAGACCGGCTTTGTTGTTTGAATTCAAACGGACTGACTTCACGAAAAGCAGTATTTTTTCTTTTTTTCAATTAATTGGAGTTTGTGAGGAACGCAAAGCTCTGCAGTCTATCAATTCATCCAAATGAAAGTTTTCAAAAAAGAGATTGAAAATTTTCGTGCACATCCGTTTTTCAAATAAAGAGATTTTGAGAAATTTTTCTCTGAAAGATCATATCCGGATGAAAAAAATCTCCTTAGTTTCTGTTTTTTTATTTTCTCTGAATTTTTTTATACTTCTTGATATCTTTATCCAGCAAGTGTTTTGTACTATCAAAAAAATCATTTTACTTTTTGCTCCCTTTTTAGCGAAGAAAAATGTTTAGGCCAAGATTTTTTTCTCAGAAATATCAGAAAAACTTAGCATTACAAACCCAAATAACTGTTTATCTTATACATAAACTTCATAAATGAACAAACACACAACATAAGTATATAATCTCAACATGATAAAACAATCTCTCTCATGACGCTTCATGAAAGACGCTTGAGCAACTAAGGCTACTGAGCAACCGATATGGGGCAATCGTTTTTTGCGAAAGAAGAATGTCGTAAATGCAAGAAATTATAGGAATTGAAAATAGGCTACAGAAGATGGTGTAAGTCAGAACTCCGACAAGTAGGTCAGTAGATTGTAAACAGAAAATGAAGACGGAAACAAAGTTACTGACGCAGAGCTTCATCGAGAGCGGCCTTGATGTTTTTGAAGGCGTCGCGGCCCAAATAATCGGGATTTCCAGACTCCCAGGCCTCACGCCGTTCGTCGATTGAAGGAGCCGCGTCCTGCATGTTTTAGTTTCAAGTTGATAGAACTGAATGGGAAATCAACCTGTTCTTTTTGAGAGTCGGACACGGGACTGGGACTATCGTAGACGTGGCATGCTCCACTTTTACTCTGTAAGTTACAGTTCACAGCAAGTTGTTAGTTTAACAAAGAGTTAGTTGAAGTTCAAAGAAGAATTTGTGAGTGCATGCATTTTTGGGAAAAAGTCATGAAATGAATGATAGTCTTTGTGAAGTTATGAACGCAAAAAAGAAATTAAATTTCGTCGATTCAGGAAAGTTAGAATTCAAGAACTGTTATTCGTTTTTAAGAACCCTTCCTATCGAATCTATCCGTTTTTGACTCTATCTAATATATTATCTTTCAATTTGAAGATTGAAGCCACTACGCAATCTACACCATTCTACTACAAAATCCTACCGAATCGCTATCCTCTTCGGCAGAATTAGTCTGATCATGCACGTCAAGTTCTTCCGAGTCTTCTTCATCGTCGAATTGAGGGTGAGGCTCTTGTTGAGAAGTGTTTGGGTCTTCGTTTGACACGGCTTTGAGAACGGCGGCGTCGAGAGGATTTGGCAAAAAAGTGGCATGCACAGCGTCTACCACTACAGACAGCAATCCTCCAGAAGAAGAGTCTTTCCGAAGAGGAAGACGGCTCTTTTTTGCTTTTTCCCCGTGAGGTTTCGCACTTTTCTTTGCTGATTTTGCCTTAAAAAGGTTGGTGAGTTCTAGAACAATGTCAGTGGGGAGGTTGGAAGCCTCAAAACTATCTAGTGATTTCACAAAGCCATGCATTTCAATTCGTTCATGCAACATAAAACGTATAGCTCATGCAAAATGCTCTCCATCAAGTTTTATTCACGCCAGGAGTTTCGGAATTTCAAAAACAAACCGTATTGGCTACGTGAGTACTGTAAAGATTTGACCACAGCCTGTAATGTTCGCCCGTATGAAGAGCAGCTGATCCGTGCCATGGCTTTTGTGCTCCAATGAAATGGACAATCTTTGTGCCGCTACCGTAGCTGAAACTTTTAACCCAATTTCCTGAATATTTTTCTCCGCAAATTGAACCTCACTTTTGTTGTGAGATCGGAAATAAAAGTCATTCTTGAAATCATCAAAAGAACGGACCGTTTGTAAGCAGAAGCATAAGTGTAGAAAGCGCCGGCAGTCATGTTGTAGATGAACGGCAAGCGGTGAACGGACGGAAGGTCACGCCAGTTGGAGAAAAACTCGTTGAGAATACCTTGATCACCTCCATCGAAAGATCCGTGAGTCGTAGCGAATGCAACCAACTTTCCTAAAAAAATCGTTTTTCATCTAATTCCGAAGACTGTTCTTAAAAACTTACGGTAGGTGTCGCGGTTTGGAGTAAAAACGAAAACGCCAGAGTTAAAGCAATCGGGCCATCCAATGTCAGCAGCTGCAGAGAAATCGGGTCTTTCGAACAGCTCATCGCAGTTTTGAATCACCTGGAAAAATGGAAACTTCGACCATGAAACCAAATGGGAAAATTACCAAGGTGTCAGCATCAAGAAAAACGGCCTTGGTGTATTGAGCAAGTCGCCAGCAGTGCAGTTTTGTGAAGGTGACGCCGAGGTCGGGACGTCCGAGCAAGGCCAGGTTTTCCTACAAAAAAAAATTTCCGATTCCCGAGTACATCTAAGCGCTACTGTTTGGCGGTACTTTTTCAATTCTTTATCCTTCATACTCTGTAAATATTTTTTACTAGGGAGATTGCGACTTTACAAGTTTTTAAATGTTGGTTGAACAGTTTTTGGAAGTATGGATAGAATCCAGGAAGTAGGAACCTTCCTAAATTTCTAATTACCCGTGAAAGTTCTTAAGAAATCCTTTTCTTTTTGAAAATTTGAAGAGGAATCTTCAAGAAACATCAAATATTTAGGTTATTTGATCTGACAAATGCGTTTTTTTCCAATATCTTCAAAAAAAAAACGAACGGCGTCACGGCTGTTGAAGACGTCAACGATAGTGACATCATCGAAGTGATTTTCGAGCTCTTTGCGAACCGGCTCAGAGACCTGAAGTCGAAATGAGCTGGAAAAACGAGACAGCTGGCAACCTGGTTGGTGATGAGACAGTGAGTCTTGCGGGTCGTGCCGACGGTTCGCAGAGAATGCGCAACCACCAGAGCACCTTGTGCGTAGTCGTCGTTGGTTGCAAGTGTCACCCACGCTTCGCTCATTTTTGATCGATCTGAAATGTTCCATCTGTTTAGCGGGACTTCTTGAAGGGTGGATCAAAAAGCGCGACAAAAGTAAACAGTTGAGAAAACAAGATTGTGCACTGATATCATAGGATGAGAAGATAGAGGGGTCTTGAACAGAAAATTTTTTGGAGACTGGATTGACGGGTAGAAAAAAAGCTTTTTAAAAAAGGATCAACAAATTCTGCGGTTTTTAAACTTCCAAAAATCAAAAAAAATTTTTTTTGCCTTCTAATCTTTAGAAATGAGGTAAGACGGTCAAGTTTAATTCATCGAACTTGGGACTTTTCGTGATTTTCAAAAATTTTGAACACTTTTTACTATAAAAAAAAGACATATGAAACCGCAACATTAACCGTCTTCAATCAAAAAATGAACCGATGAGAAAAAAGAGGTCTGAATTTTTTTCATTTTCTCATGATAATTGGCATTCACAAAATTCACAGAACCCATATCTTTCCTGCACTATTTTTGGACGTCACTATCTCAAAATAGTTGAAATTCTCAAGAAGTAACTCGGAAACTGATAGAGAAACGTGACTTTTGTCAGTAAACTTGTTGTAATGTTTGAAGACGAGTTGAACAATGACGAATTAAAAAAACACGTGCCTAATGGGTCAGTGAAGTGTGATACAAATGATCGGAAATATTTGTAAAACTTGGAAGAAATTATAAAAAGAAATCAAAAAACGACTTCGAAATTTAAAAACCATAGCTTTAATAGGTGGAAGCAAATTTCACAAAAGAGAGTTTTTTTTTTGAAACCACTGTCTATCAAGGAAGGGGATAAAAATCGTTTTGATCGAGATGAATGAAAAATTTGGTTCCATGCCTTTCTGGAAGCTCGATGAATTTACTTATCTGAAAATTTAAAAGTTCAAAAAATTACTGTGGATAAAAATTCACGATGGAAATTTTATAGATTCTCATTCTTATATAATAGTGACATTAGAACAAATGAAGCTAGCTGAAAATGCCTGAAACATAATTTCAAGCTTAAAACACTGAGATTCATAATTTTCTATAAAAAAAATAACGCCTTGAAAGTAAGTTTCTGAAAGGTGAATCAAATGTTTTGAGAGATAAAGTGGCAACTTCTGGAAAGTGCTGGATTGAAGAAGAGAGGATGGCGTAAAGCGTTGAAAAGAGCATAGTGCGTGGGGTGGAACGCAGCTGTCCTGGTCTTGTTCTTCCAGTCGCCAGATAGCAAGAAAGCAGCCTCTGAAATTACGACGCACTGTGTGCCAACTTCGCCACTGGCCGAATTCCAATCTCTCCCACCCAAAAAAAAAAATCTTGCAAAAAAAGCTTGCCGAACATCACGTTTATCGCTGGAACTTTTAATTTTCGCTTTAAGTGAGACCGACGCGCCGATAAAGTCCAAACGGGAAACGTTGCTTATCATTCTTCGTATTTGTTTGCGACTCAAACAGTCACGGCAGCTGCAGTCCCTTCAAACAACCTGAACGGAAGCGATTAAAACAAATACAACAAGCCTATTATTAGAGTGTTTTTTTGTTTTTTAAGTTTTAAAAAAGATGAATTCGAAAGTAAGAAGGAAATTTCGAGGAAACTCGCTAAGAGAAAAAACATAAAAAATCAAACGACCAAGATGCTTTCCACATGAAAATCGAAATAAAAATCGGGAAAAGACAGCAGTGAAAAGTTTGCAATCGATAGGAAAGGGGCGTTTCTCAAGCACTTTTCTGCTTTTTTTTTCCTTCCGAAAACGTTGGAAAAGCATCACACCGACCATGCTTCGTAGAACGAGACGCAAAAACATTTTTTCCAAGCTACTAGGCCTAGGGCGCATCGATCTTTCTCTCGGCCTATACAACATGGGAAAAAAGGTCTATAAAAAGGCAGTTCACTACGAAAAAGTTCCCACGGTTTCTTAAACTGATAACGAAAAGTGTGAAAAGAGTCGGGCAGTAAACTTTATATCGACGTTACGTCTTTGTACTAAACATCAAAAAAACAGAAATTCCACTCCTAAGTTAAAAAGTGAAAAACTCAATCGGAGAATAGTTTAGGGAAAAGATATTGGATATTAGAAAGATTCAAGTTTATCTGAAATGAGTTTTTTTTCCCTCGGTTGCAATTTTCAGTTTGAATTTACCTTTTTAAGTTCAATTGACTTATTCTAAAACTTTTCAAACTCTCTAAAATCCAAACAAAATTCACCTAAAATCTACAAACTGTTATTGTGAGCGAAAAAAGACAACACATGACGGTAAAAAATAATACCTTTGTTTTCGAGTTTGAAAAAAAAACCACTTGAAAAACGGCTGAGGAAGTGTGGGAACGAAGCTGAGCTGCAGAAAATTCCGACGGCTGGAACGCTCAAAATTGAAAAAGAGCGAATAATGAATGAAAAAACTGACGGAGGACTCGACGACCAGTAGATGCGTTCGCATTGCCACGCACATCTAAACAATTCTTCGCTCGTTTTCGCGAGGGGCGCCCTTTGACCTCAGGTCACCTCACGTCTCTAAACATTTTTCTGTAAAGTGGCTAGTCTATTTTTTTCATTAATTTTTTTCTTTGAGTGGAAAAATTCGATCTCATTTTTTTCCAAATGTTTATCAAACAATTTCGAACCGAAAAGTTAAAACCTTTGAAAAATTTATTTAAAATCGGCTTTTTAATGATGATAATTCAACTACAGACCAGTTTAGACCTTACCGAGTTTCCTTCGATCTAAAATTCAAACAAGGGAAAGAAAGAAGTAAAAAATGGTACAAATTAAAATCAGTCAAGTCTTGGAGTAGTAGAGGTGAAAACTTCGTTAACAAGGAAGGTCATTTAACTTTTGCGAGGAATTTTCTGAAAAACGATCAAAATATATGCGAGTAGAAGATCCTAAAAATGTCAACCTGCATAACTTTCCTAGTTTTTGAGAAAGGGAACCTCGAAGTCAAAGAAAACGCTAAAATTCCGTTCAAGAAGGTTATTTTGAGTCTTAAAGCTTTTATTTTTTAAAAACTGGGGAGTTTTGCAAGTTGGGACGTTCAGATTCTTTTCTGGTACATCAAAAAGTGTTCTGACCAAATTTCAGAATATTCCCAACCACAAAACGACCTCCCGTGTAAGAGGTGTATTGACTGATAACTCCTTTAGAGACTTCGGGTGAGAGCTGAACAGATATTTGAAATTGTTTTAAGAAAAAAATCATTAGAAAACTGACCTTGAGAACGCAGCCAAAGTAAATTTTGCCTTGCATTGGATCTAACTAGTTTTGATGGAAAATTTTGAAAAAAATATCCCAGAAATGAGAAATGAATAAAGTTATGAGCCAGCAAAAACGATTTCCGCCAAAAGGATTCGAACCATGGTCCCGATATTGACAGTGCACAAGACCACAACCCACTACACCACGCCGCCAGTTGCTAGCCAAAGGCTCCGAGCGCGGCCATATCCGCGCTGCAAAAATTTCGACGAGCTTTTCCTCAGCCGCCTGTGGGGTTTAGCAGAATTTCATTTTTGATTCCGAGTACTCTCACGTAGGCCTATCCACCCACAAAGTCTCAATTCTCAACTCGTTGTCGAGCGGAGACCATGCCCTAGTAAGAGCAACATTTTCAAATTAAAGTTTTTTTTTCTTAATTTTGTAGAAGCATAATAATCGATGGTATTTGCGCCTGAATTCCGCGGCTTTTCAAAATTCCTTGTGTCAAATTGCAAAGTTCCATCATTTTAATTCATTATCAGATGAATATCATCAATTATAACAAAAAAAATCCCGAAAGCAAACATTTTGAATTTTTAAAGAAGCAGAATCTTTTTTTCTATATGTTGTACTGTTTCTAAATGAAAATAAAATTTTTACAATCCTTTCATTGGCACAAAACACTTTTCAGAGTACAACTAAAAATCCAAGTCTCATTAAACACGGCATTTGGAACAGAAGAGAAGCAACTGGGGAGTTCAAGAACGTAAAAGTGCTGAATAATATATGACAGTCAAACCATTTAAAGACAAACGGAGGTAGCAAACTCGTAAAATTCACCAAAAAGCGATGAAACGGGAAATTTCCAATCAGATTGTTATGATTATCATTGAAAGGTTCTGGGATTGAATTCGAGACAATACTCGTCAAATATTGGGATCCTACTGCTAGCATTGTATACTATTGTCAATCGATAAGATTAAATTGCAAAATAAGTTCCGACAAGTGGAAAATTTGTACTAGACACTTTTAAAAGCATCAAGGAAGTGAGAAAACTACTAGGATTTGAATCTAATTCGGCAAAAATAAGTCTCACAACATTTAGCCTCTGCTTAAAAGAAGAGATTGGTTAGGCATAAAAAAAGCAAATAGCTTTGAAAAATGTACAAAACTCTGGGAAAAAAGACAATCTTCAGAGGAAAACTGGAAAATTTCAACAAAAATACATGTTCAGAAAATGCGGAAAAAACAGAGTATTATCATGAGAGTTGGGCCTCTGAGCACACCATCGGGATCAGAAATGTTCGAAGAATATTTTGTTGGTTTTCAAACAGTGTCTCGCCCTTCTTGAATAAATGTGACCGTTTTTGCATCGAAGTTGCTGAAAATCAACCTTTAAATATAATTTTTTTGTGAAAAAAATAAAGCTAGAACTGATATATAAAAATGAGATTTTTTTTACTTTTTAACTTAGTTGGGTAATAGGTTCATAAGAAATTTGGAACAAAAACTGGATTTCTTTTATTTCAATTTATATATGACCTTTTCAAAAAAGAAGTACTTTTGGGCAAAAATACGAATTTAGAATTGATTAAACTTTTTCGATTATTTGCAACATTATTTTTTTTATATCACAGTTCTACTGAAAGAAACAGTTTTCAAAAATAAAACTCACCGAAAGGTCGTTCTTTTCATATGTAATGATGCATTCCGTCATGCAAATAAGGCACGCCGGCTTGGTCGGATGCTGCGTGATTTCAGGCACCGTTGAACCCGGAAAATGCGATTTCTCCACAGAGGCAGGATTTGGTAAGTATTCCGGCACGGATTCCAATTCTTCTGTCTTGAGTTCGGTCTTGGGCTCAGCTTCGAAGGTAGCAGGAGGGTAGGTGTTTACGTCTGCTGACGTTGAAGGCTGTTGATCCATTGGCACCTCGGATGGTCCTGGATCCGCTTCGACTTCTTGTTTGACGACTTTTTCTGCAAATGTAAAGATAGAAAGTTTCATTTCACTTTGATATCTTAAAACTTAGAAAAAAAAGTTTGGAAAATTAGGAAAAAAAATAGGAAAATAAGAATCCTTACCATCGACAGTGTCGTATTCCATGACCTGATCGTAAGAATAATCTTCGATCTCTTCTTTAACCACGACTTCTTCGACTTTTATCGGAGGAGTCATGACCCGAGGCTCTTGCGGAACTTGAGGAGGTGGATTCGAAGGAGTTACTTGTCTTCCTTGAGACTGTTTTGCCAGCTTCTCCTGCTCTGAAATTTTCGCGGTTTATTTTTGTTTTCATAATCTTTGTTATATTTCACTAACCCAAATGCAAAGTCCGCGCAGTTGTTGGCTTCGGCTTTTGATATTTGGCGACGTTGGAATAGACGTCACGATCGTTGAGATCGTCGTTCTTCTTTGGGCGTCCGCGCTTCTTGCTCTTCTTCGGGCGGCCTGGAAATGAAAACTTTCTGTTGAACCTTTCCAACTAATACACATTTGCCGTCCTTCTAAAATAAATAACTGCTGCTAGAAATTTCAAAAATACCTCGTTTGGGTGCCTTGGCGGCCACACAAGCAGCGCAGTCAGCATGTTCTTGTGCGGAAGCTGGACTGCAGAGCTGCTTGATAGGAAGACCTTTGAGTTTCTTCATCGGCGGCGGCGGCGGTAAAACTTCTTCTTCCTCGGGCATCGAATCAGGACATTCTTCCTTGACTTCTGAGAGAGGCTCAGGAGATGGTCTTTTCCGGCCAAGAATCGCTCCTGAAATGGAAATAGCAACAATTCTTGTGGTATGGGATTACCATGGAAGGGACTTCGTCCCGGTTTGTTGACAGGGAACGTTTTGACGGTGGAAACGTCGCGAAGAGCTTCTCTCCTTCTGAGTTCTTCATAGGGATCTTCTTCTTTGACATCGTCGGTGTAGCATTCGCCGGACAGCAAAAGGTCCTTCTGAAAGCCGACGCTTGGAACAAAAAGAGTTATTGAATTTACCGATCTTGTGAAGAGGTAGTCGTGCTCGTTTCTGATAGGCTCTGGGAGCATTCCTTCTTCCTAAAAAAAAATATAACCCTTTCACCGTTTTTTCATTGCGTTTAGTTTACATCTGTTCCTTCCAGGATGATTGGAATATCTGGAGATCTCAATCTCACGAAATTCTCAGTGAAAGGAAAGTGCGACCGACAGATCCTCTGGTGGTTCATCTTAGTTCTTTCTAACTTTCTGCGGAATGGCTGTCCTCCTGAAAATGTTTTTTTATTACATTTAGAGATCGTTTACTTTCTCACCAAGCAAATGAATCCACTTTTCGCATACTTTCGAGTGCGCCAAGAAAACAATCATTTTGGCTTTGTGGCGGCGTTGATTGCAGATCAGGCAGCGGAACGTCTCCAATTCGTATTCCTTCAGTGGGACCAAGTCCTGAAAAACTCATAGATAAAAAAAGAAATCAATTTTGGAAGAAAGTTTTGTTTAATAACATTTTTTTAGCTTTATTCAGTCAATACCTAACTTTATGTAAGGTATTGATTTTTTTTTTTGGTTTTTTTCGATAGTAAAAAAATTTTTTTTTGGATGAATTGATTCATTTTCACTTTGAAAAAGGCGGAAAAAAAGTTCACTGCTCAAAATAAATTCGTTGTTCTTTGGTTTTCAAAAAGATAAAACTCAAAAGCTGCCTACTTGACTTTTTTCACGCTGATGTCTTTGGAAAATAACATAAAAAAACAAAAAAATCCGCTTTATTGTGCATTTTGGGGATTATTCCTGCACAAAAAAACTACACTTTTTCAATCATTTCAGGTTCTTAATAATTGCCTCCTTTGTATGAAAAGAGCAGCAAAGAGCGTTTTCCAACATGTTTTAATTGTAATCCATTTTTTTCATTTCTGGAAAACTCTCTTTTAAAAATTCTCCAAATTGAATCAGTTTAGAACTTTCCATTTTTGCTCTTTGTTCATGAAAATAAAGCATTCAAAAATCGAATTTTCCCATTGGCAAAAAACGCCGAAATCATATTTCATGCCATTCGGTTCCCCCAAGCAACGGCAGAAAGAAGTTGGATGTAAACATGCGCCGCCGCATTTGCCTCCCCCTTTTTTGTCTGCTTCTCTGCCGTCTCCGCTGCAACCGCACGCGGCGCGTCCGCTACGCGTGTTATCGACTGTTTGCGGCGCGGCAAACCGCCAGCGTCTGTTTGAATGGCAGACACGCAGAGGAATCGAAGCGACGATACAATCGGTCGCTATTTGCAAGCCGTCAAGAGATAGTCGACATGAGAATCGAAAACTATTGGAGGCTATTATGAAATGAACATTGCACAGAAGTACACAATTTGAAACAGAGGAAATAGGAGTAAAAGAATAATTTTTCCAAAATATTTTTACTTTTCCGTCGTTCACCTGGAAGCAATCCGTCACTGGGAATCCGCTCACAATCGCTGTGTACTTGACAGTTTTTTTATGGGCGGTCTGAAAGAAGAGCTTTGTGACTGATTTGGAAAAAGTTAGCGTACTTCTTTTTTTCGAGTGATCAATGGTGGGAACAACATCTGCCGTTTTTAATCTCTGAAAATTGATAATGAAAAGGAAGAAAAAAAAGAGATAAAGAGAAACATTTTTTGAGCATTCTGAAACCTCAAAAACAAGAAAACTGTAAAAAACTTGATTTCCTTTTTTTGACCATTGAATAACTTTCCGATGCTCCTCTAAATTTTTCATTAATAGTTTTTCAAATATCAAGAAAACTTTGAATATTTGCAAAATGAAGTATATTTCTGATAAACTTCATGAAAAACAGAAAAATCGCATCATGAAATAAACTTTTTGACACTTTCCTGATTTTCATATTCTACTAGAACTTATCTTCCTAATCCGAATTGCGACTCTACATCCTCAAAGTTTATTTTTCGGAGTATTTTGACCTTTTAAAACACCTTCTTCTGTTTGAAATCTGAAAAACTGACTTTGAGGTAGTGTTCGGTACTCGGCCATCCACAAATGTGAACTCCTCCATCTGGCTCAGTTTCCCAAAATCCGCTGCATTCCTTGGCTGTATGGCCGTTGATCGGCCAGACTGGGTAATTTCCTGTCCTTCCGGATAGATCAGTTCTGTCGTACAGGACACAGTGGGAGCATCTGAACAAAATTTGAAAAAAATGATGAGAGCAAATTTTTATGGGTTTCATTGTTATAATCGGACTTTTCATCCAATTTACATTTTGTTTTCTCAAGTATACGAGAATTATTGAGAGAATATCTCATAACGTCTACGTATCATAGTTATTTGAAGCCCAAAAAAATATACTTAAAGTTTCTGTTAATGGCTCGAAACTTGAAAAAAACTGTTGATGGTACACTAAAAAAACTTTCACAAACTATTTTTTTTTTTTTTGAAAATGTAGATCTTTCTCAGTTTTTTTTATTATGGTTTTTTTGCGCTTGGAAGATGTTTTAAAACAGTTTTGTCATTTCAGTGAAGAAATTTGGTTTCGTTGAAAAAAATGTTCATCTTACGAAGAAAAGTTTTTTTCTGCAATTTCTGCTTCACAAAATTTAAGACGTTCATTATAAACGGAGCTTCTCATCATTGTTACTCTCAAAAATAATAATGAAACTAACCGCCATATTCGGGTTTGTCCGGTGCGGTGGTGAACGCGGAATTTGATTCCATAGTCTGGAATTATTCTGCTTGGCAGTACATATTCCGCGTAGCCGTTCACATTGCGTACAAAATTCTCTGGAAGCAACCGGTCGTTGTTTGCCATTCCCTGGAAACGGCATATCAAATTAAAATTCAACCAATGACGAAAAACGAGAAAAAATTTGAATAACAAAAGTCTCGAAATAACCACGATAATTCACCTATCAAAGAGGTATAGACAGAGAAAAATCGCTTTCAAAAGACTTTTCTCAAGTTGTTTCAACTTTTCGACAACTAAAAATTTTTTCAGGGAAGTGAGCTGATTTTTAAGCAACAAGACACTTTTTTGTGACAAAACATTGAAGAGTGAAGAAAAAAATACTTTAAGTATCAGAAAAGAACAAAAAAGAGAAATGAAAGAATGTATGGGGAATGTGAACAAAAAGGTTCTAGAATATATTCAAGAGAGGAGGTGATAATTTGTGGCGTCTTTTCGCGCCTCTCTGTGTTTTTAGTGCCGGTGTGTGCGCGTCTTTTTGAAATACCGTAGACCCACGCATTTGAAATTAATAATGTGCACTCACAAACAGATCACGAACAACGTGTTTCGTGACATTGCCAATAGGAAAAAAAGTCGATTATTGTTGTTTTGAAAAGAAATTTTACAGATTATTTATTTCATGAAAGAAGTTTCACTGTCTCAAAAATCGAAATTACACTTATTTTTCGCCTCTTTTTTGATTACATTAAACTAAAGTTTAAAAAAATGAAACCTAAGAATGAAACCTTCTTTTTAAAAAAATAAAAATTTTCTCACTGAGCCATTTTTTTCATATTGATTTCACTATTTTTTTGGGTTAAAATTATTTATTTGAACTCGAAACAATTTAAAAATTAACTCACCGAGAAGGTTCCCAAAAAGTTGGTGCTTCATCATATTTTACCTGGAAAAAAGGGCTTAAATAAGTTGATGTCCACAGAAATGTTTCATGTTTTCAACTTCGTGACTTTCTGAAACTTCAAACATTCCTCTTTTGAAATTTTGCAAAAAAGAATTGAGGTTAACTAATTTCCGTTTATTCCCATTTTTCAAACGAATGTCTTCAACTATCAACATTATAATGGATATCTTCCAAGTTCAATTTTCAAGATAATTTTTCGAACCACGAGAAATTCAAAAATTTATCCATTTTCATTTACTTTCATGCGAAATTCAACGGGAAAGATTATCGAGCTCTTTTTGATTTATGAAGAAGCACAAAAGATTGCCCAAAAGGAACACAGATTGATTTTACGTCACAATAGCATTGCTTCACTTTGATTGAACATCTGTTCTTTCATTTTTTTCAATGCTCAAGTTTTTCTCAAAAAAAAAAAAACAACGAAAAACCCATTGTAGTTTGATTTTTAAAAATCCAGATATAATTTCAAAAATTTTTCAAAGTTCAAAACTGGCTTTTATCAGAGATCATGTGGGAGTAAACGGATTGATGAATGAGTTTTAATTTTTTTTGGTTCAACTCAAAATAACTAATGAATAGGGAGAATTTTCTATATACATGTTTATAAAAATTTATTTTAAAAAGATGCATTAATTCATGAAATTTTACCTTTTCCAAAGTTTTTAGTTGAAGTTATTTTTAAAGTTTGTATTCTGTAGGAGGAAGTGTTCATGCTTCGAAAACCCACGCATCATGAAAAATTCTGCAAACTTGAAGAGGATCAGAATCTTTGGTTTTTTGGACGTTGTGGAATCTTATAAAACTTGATCCCTTATGCTTGAATTCAGAGCGAAAAAATAATTTTTTGGTTGCATCTTTGAATAAAAAAATTTTCCAGTTGCAGTGGATAGTTTCAGACGATGTAAAGCTGATGGTTTGAGTTATTTCTGAAATGTCCTACCTAGATGAGAAACTAGGAACAGCAAAAAAAAAAACTGAAACGAAAAGCAGTGAAAACATGTCTATCTTTTCCTAAAAAGTCTAAAGGATCCATTTTTTCTGATTCCAAAGAGTCTTCCCAATAGATGTTGTTATTTTTCTTTTTTTTTGATGCTATGTTCAGCCGTTAACCTCGTTGCCCACGATGTCTAAAAAGTTGCAAGCAAACATACGTGTTTCAAAAAAACCCAAAATGTCCAGGTAAACACGACGACAAAGAAGGGGCCATGTTCAACAAAATCTGAGACCACGGCATGCTCAAAATCTGCCAGCTGTTTTTGTGTAAATAAACGAACTATAAAAGGAATTTTGGTATCTTCCTGAACATATTTCTCGTCCGCCAGCTCTGCTGCCAGTCGCAATGAGACAGTTCCTTGTTCTTGTTCTCTTTATTAGCACATCGAGAGCTGGTTTGTTTATTTTTCACCAAAAAAATGACTCGATGTGTTACAAAATGTGGAAAAAGTCCTGAAAATGATAAAAGCCTTTCAGCTTTGGAGTGCTACTTTCCTTTTTTGGAAGCTGGCAGCACGTGCGGGGCGGATTCAGACTGTGCTTCTGCAGGATATTGTATTCAAAGCGTTTTGAGTAATCAAAGAATCTGCTGCAATCCGAAAGCCGGTACCACTTCTCCGCGTAAGATTTTCTTCGTTTCAAAGAAAATCTTCGAATCAGAATGTCCGCCGGGGATGACGACGGGAGGTCTTCCGATTCTTTGTGATGGGAGCAGTTCGGACGCGTGTCCTTCCTCGCATCAGTGTGTCCCAAGCCAAGTTGCTTTTACTAAGGTTCTTATTCAGTGTTTTCTGAAACATTAGTTCATTTTTGAGGAAGCAAAACTTTACTGAAAAGTTTTGTAATCAAGATTGACCAGAGTCAGAATATTCAAAGAAAAAACTCTGAATATCATCTTCGAAATCACTTGGGTCCCTTCGACTAACAATTTGCTGTCGGGAATATAGTCTGTGCGCCAAGACTTGGAATTTCAACGAACGACATTCCGCTGTTCCGGTGCGTCGCGAAGCGTCTTTGCGAACCTCGGCCTCACTTTGAATTGGTTCTTATTTCTGATAGATGGACTGTTCCACTAGGATCACGTTTTGGTCCAGTTCTTAAATAAAATGAAAAATTAAAGACGCGCAAAGACACGCAGCGGAACAGCGGAATATCGTTCGGTGAAATTCAAAGTCGTGGTACACAGACTGTGATGAAAATAATTCCTTCTAAGAAGATATTAATTTCGGCTTTCGCCACTTTTTTTTCAATAAAACCTAAATTTTTTCAACTTCATAATTTTTAATATCAATAACATTTTTTTTCCAAAACGAGTTGAACATTAACACCGTTTATTTTATCAAATTCATGTCCTTCATTTTTTTTTTCCAATTCGCTTTTCAGATTTCCCAATCACCCTCCTTCGTTTGCTGCAAATAATTGCAGATCAACTTCCTCGACGTCTTTCAAATTTTTCTCCTCTTTCTTCTCACTGCTCAGTACAAGTTCGCGTGTCGTAAAAATTTTCAAATAATCTTTTATCAACAAAAAAATGCATAGCAAAAAGTGCGGAAAAATGTGACACAACCGCAAAGACACATTTGATTCATAATCTACGCGCTTTGAGAACAGTTTGTACGAGGAAGCAGGCTAAATTCTCCTCGATATCCATTCAAACTTTGACCCGTTCCAATCTACAGTCATCTAATGAGATAAATTGGCCCTTCAAAAGAAAAATGCGCGAAAAAAGCCCGGAAAAAAAAAATGTGAAATAGTATTAAAATTGCATGTATCAGAGATGTGTTCCGTCATGAACAGTTATTGCCGGAAGCAAAATACTTCGCGCCGAACTTTTGTGGGTGTCGAACTGCACTTCGAGAACGTCCGAGTTGGTCCCGTCGTATGGTCTCCACGCGGATAATTCTGCTTTTTTTCTGCAATTCAAGGGATATTCATCAAAGCTTTCAACAGTGTTTTCGTACTAATTATCAAAAAAATGTCATTTCTTTTTGGATTGGACGTCATTTTTTTATGGACTGGACTAATGCTTTGAAATAATTGACAACGAGTTTTTTTTCGCTAGAAATTTTTTTATCTTCTGAAAGCTCAAAGAAAAGTTTTTTTGGAAAAAAATTAAAATTTAATATTTTCGCTTAGTTTTCAAACTAATTATATTAAAGGCGGTAATTTTAGAAGCTTAAGAAATTTTCAGTACAGGCCAAAAATTCAAAAATTTTTTTGAAAGATGAACGCTGAAGAATTTTTTTCTTGGAAAAATTTCAACATCCGTACAGAACCTTTTTCAATTTACCCTCTCAAATCAGCTAAGAAGCAATTATCTCAGTCTTTTCAGTTTTTTTTTCTTTGATCTTTTTGGTCTCTGAAAAAGTGATTCTGAGACTTTTCAAGATTTTTCCGTTGATTAACGCACTTGTCAAGGTCGACGATCCCTGAGTGAATGCTCGGTGAATCTTCTTCTTCTGGAACATAGATCGAAGGCATTTCTTTGGAGTTCTTTGCTGCTATTTGCGTCTTCAACGTAGACAAGCTGAAAAGAGTCAGAATTTTTCAGCCCCACTTTCTTGAAAATAGGATTAGGAAGTAATAACGTACTTGCTGCTGTTTCTGAAGTAGGTGCTATGAGTTGCACTGCGAACGTCTTCCGGCATGGGAAGCTGTCGATTTCTGAACTTTCTCATTGAGGAATTGCAAACGCATGAAATTTTGGATAATCCGGAAAACTTGAAAATAAAAATTGGATAGAAAAACTGACCTCCTGCTGAAGAAAAGAAGAGATTTGAAAGCTGTTCGGAAGTTTTCGGCTCTGTAGGCATACAAAACAGGATTTAAAGCACAGTTGACATATGGGAATAGATGAATAATGTTCACGACGATTCTCAACAACTGAGTTGTTATCCGAACTCGGAAAATTGAAGAGAATAGGTTGAAAAGCCAGAAAGGCGACCTGCAAAAATTTCAATCATTGAGTTTTACCATTGCATCTGAGCCATTTGCTCATAGTAAAAAAAAACATGTATTTGATTGATTCAAAGAGCAAGAAACCAAATTTCATCAAGTCTCTCCAAAAAAAAGCTCTGGAACATGCACAGAATTAGGTAATTCAAGTGAGGATTTGAAAATTTTCAAAGATTCGAAAAAAATTTTCAAGGTAGCTTCTGGCCATGGTTCAACTTAAAAATTCTCAAATGAACCGCAAGTTTCATTATTTATTCACCAAGAGGAATTCATTAACGGGTCACGATCTTACTTCCTTCTTTAAAATAATTTCCCTAAGGAAAACTTATAAGTAGCTTTAAATTTAGTTTGCTTTTCATGGAAAAAAATGAACTTACCAGCAAAGGAGATGAAACAAGACGACTCGTTGAACACTTCTCGTTACTCTCTGATAGGAAGATCTGGAGGTCTTATTTCTGTGAAGTCTCCGAGAGCCCTGAAATATTTTTTTCAAGTTTTCAAAGAAATTCGAATCGATTTCTACATGTTAGCACGGCTAAAGGTGTTTGACAGGACTTCAAAGCATTTGAAATTGTGATTTCATCTGTTTTTTTGTCATATATGTCACTTCCCTGTTTGCTATTTTATATATTATGCCAATAGATACATGACGTCATGATGAGTGGGAATTGCTTTCGAACACGTGAATAAACGAAAAATCATTCCAAGAGAAAAAAAAGTTCACCTTCGCAGCTTCTCTCAATTTGCAAAAAACGTGATAATAACAATAGAAAATAACGAGGCCCGGCAATATGAAAATCATAACGGAGCATATTGAGATGTACCTGAAAAAAATTATTTTATAAATGAAACATAAAAAAATGATCATATCACTTCCTTGGGTTTTTAAACATTGTGAAACAGTAAACTGATGATTTTGAACGCCGAAACTTTCGATAATCTTGATTTTTTGAAAAACAAATTTTATCATATTTTTTGTATTTTTCTTGGCTCTTTTTCTCGAGGAACATGAAAGAAGCAACAAAAAGTCTTCAAACGAATTTTTCTTCTATATTTTTTTTCCTCACCATTGGGCATGAGGTGGACTTGGCCAATGGGCAATACACAAGGTGTGATTGTTCTCGTCTAGCTCGCTTCCGTTCTTAGGTCGGATCCGCACTTTGATCTGAATTGGCGGTTTTTCATCAGATTCCTCGCACCAGAATCTCACTTCATCAGCATAAATGTACAGTGGCAGGCTACAAACGAGAGCTGCCAGCCAGGCGAGAACGCTCAGCAAAATTGCAGTTCGGTATGTCCTAAAAACATTTTTTTCGTTTCGAGGGACTTTTCCAACTTCTTCACCTATATCTCCCACACAAATCGCTTTTGCACATGGCAATGTATCGGTCTGCAGCGAGAAGGACGACAAACAACACAGACGCGTATTTCCCTTCAAATAGACCTAATTAATTTTCCTTATGAGATCCCAAGAAATCCTAAAACCCAAGAAAAAATTAAAACTAAGATGCTCGAAATTGGTGAATCATTGGCTAGACATAATATATTATGGAGTCTTATTGGAAAAAAAAAATTAATGAGATGCCATGATCAATGGACTAAGAAGCTATGAAGGAGAGGAGTAGGCACTTCTTGTGAAATCCATGGAAAAGCTCAAACCTGTGGCCTCAGTGCCGTGGAATAAATGGCAAACGGTTGCTCCGAATGGCCAACTCTTCCCATTTAGAGAAGTCGCCGCGACTAAAATTAAATCCGCCAGGTAGATGAAATCTGCCAGGCACAGTCCTATCATGTAGACGTTGGTTATGGATCGAAGATATCTGAAAATAATCCATTCAGCTATAAAAAAAATCATCAAAAGATCCATAAGCAAGTAATAATTTTGTATTTTTCGATCTATAAGTTTGCAAAGAAAAAACACAAAATAAAAAAACCCAGTGACTTTACACTCACATTTTTAAGGTTTTCCGAAAAAATGACATGGATAAAAAAAACTGAACCCTCCCTCTAAAAAAGTAGAGTCCCTTGATATTGTTGATCTCTGAGATTTTTTTTTCCATTTTTTGTTTTGCAACTTTTTTGTGAACTTTCTGCTCTTGATTATACTGACGAAAATTGTTTTATTAATGCGTAACACTAGAAAATGCAAAGATCGCTCGCACGAGAAATCCTGAGAATTATTCTCTTCTAAGATGCTGAGCCCCATTATCCATTCATTGATAGTCCAAGGCCTCCTCTCCTCGTGAAAACATGAAAAAGCGGAAAAAGGCAACGAACGGGCGTGAGATGATGAGGAGAATAACGACGAGGTTGACGGAGCCCAGGGCGACTAGCAGCAGATGAGTGACTGTGAGGGCCAACCTCAGATGCTGCGAGGAGTCGCTCATCGCATGCTGAAACATGACTTATGAACTGGCTGCCGCCGGCTGGACGTAAGGTCGCGGTGGGCGGAATCTCTTTGCATAGTACAATAGGCGCTGAGTAGTTTTTGGTCTTCTTGGATGTTTTTTGATTCCGATAATACAGCAAATTGAGCTGACTAAATATATGAAATAGCAACAAAAAAACTCGTCGTTTTCTACAAAAAAATTTTTCTTATCTATCAAGTTTCAACATTTTTCTGTCATCAATTTTTTTCATGACCATGAAAAAAATAAATATGATTGTTTTGTAAGAAGATTAAGAGTCAAAAAAAGAAATTGACGGATCAGTCATGAACTTGAAGACCGTAGAAAGGTCACATATCAGATGACGTATAGAAACAAGAATTGACGTAAATTTGGGGTCCCTTTCCTGTTTTAAACCAGAAATAAAGCTTAAAATTAGAACGAAAGGAAAATAAGGGTTTCTGGTTTTTTGGTTTGCATTTCGTGTTTTCACAAAAAAGTCAAAAAATCCTAATTTCACGGTTTTACAATAGAAATCAAGCGGAAATTGCTTTTTACTTTTTCAGATGTACAAATTGCGGAAATGTCTGAAAGGATGGACCTAGAAGGTTTTGTGAATTACCATAAGCCGTCTGGTCCTCCCATTTCGTAAGATTCCATGGAGAAGGCCTTTAGTGAAATCTAGAGGATCCGCCCTATTTTCAAAAAATTATCGACAATTCAAATGAAAACATCTCTCACTAAGTGTTGTATTCAAAGATTATGGTTGAAGAAATAAGGTTTCGAGAAAAGCGATTGTGAAAAAAATAAACCTGTTTCCGGTTTCACGTCGGAAGTGAAAAAGTCCTAGAACAGTTCGAAAGACCAAAAATCAAACTTTATGCTTAATTTGCACTTTCTTTCTATTCCTTCATTTTTACTATCGTCCAAGCATAACGAGTTTTGAAAGATCATACTAAAAAAGAAAGGAGATTTCTCTCCTGAACTCTGTTTGGAGTCCTCGAGAGAACTTATTTAGGAAGGAAAGACATCTCTCTCGGCGACCAAATAAGGTTTCATCCTCGACTTGCTGAGGCTTGTTTGAGCTTGATCTACCAACGTCCTTAGAAAAAAAAAGCCTTTCATTCTTCTATGAATGTTCCGAGATGCGAAAATTCGGAGCCACGCTTATAAATGTCTGATGAATTTAGAATTTGAAAAAAAGAGTAATTTGTCTTGTTGTTCTGCGACCGGCTCAGTTTGGTTTCTGGTGGGAGGAATGAAAAGAAAAGAATCAACATCAATATTGTAGATCGAGTAGAACACAGATCTTTGGCAAAGAAGTTCGCGTGAGATAAGAGGCAATAAAGTTTTTATTATTTCGGAAGACGTTTTTTTCTCAATTTCATCCATAGAGAAGCAATAACTCAGTGTTCTGAGCAACCAAAACTTGGAAAAATGATTACCGAGACTGGATGCAATAGGAAAGCAGATATTCGCGTAAATTTTTTGGGGATCCTCTTACATAACCCATGAATATTTCTATGCATGAGCTTTCTATAATTGCTTGCGTCTTTGTTTTGTCCTACAGTAAGAACAGCACATAAAACAAAATTGAAGGAAGTTTTCCATGTTTTCATGAGGTACCAAAAAAATTCAAGCCTGAATGCGAATTTTTTTAGAACGATTGGAATACAAACTGATAATCTTCACAACTTGATAATGCAAGAAAAAAATGAATTATATATAGAAAAATTCGAATTATTCATCAAATTCATCACCAAAAAATGACGAGAAAACAAGTATAAGTGATGGCATGAAAAACACGGAAAAAAAACGTTGCTTCCTCATAAGAAAAAATGAAGCAGTCAGAGCGTTCGAAAGATGCAAACGAAACTGTGAATATTACCTAGGCTGAATATCCGCATAAAAAAACAAATCAAATTGAAAATCAAAGATAATTGATTATTAGGAATGGATGACGCGAGGTTCAAATGTCCTTCGGTCCCTGGGCACGATGTTTTCCGTTTCTTCATTCACCTTTAATGGGATGAAGCCGCGGCTCCGCGAGCCAAGATCCCACGTCACGTTTCGCTTTGTTATTAGGCCCCGAGGCGTCTGAGCTTGCTCCTGATTTATGCAGATATAGAGCTAGGTTGGAGCGTTGCCGATGCGCAAACTCCAGTTTCTGTTTTTTTTTTCGCAAACCTCAAACTGTCTTGAATTTTTGTCGAACAGAAAATTGTGTTGAAATGCACAGATCAAGTGAAAATTAATGAATTTCCCTTTTTTTAGATGAAGTTTCTCTAGCAAGCCGCTAACAGTCATCATAAAAAATCACGCTTCCAATTGATTTTTTTTTTGCTGTTAAAGCACATGAAAGTAAAGTACCTTGTTAAAATAATAAAAATTAAAAGCGCGATCAAAGCTCGCAAAGGCGCGCAGCGGCACAGCGGAATGTCGTTCCATGAAATTTCAAGTCGTGGTACATAGGCTATAAAATAAAGTACTTCCGTCAAGAAGACGGAAAAATTTCGTGAATGAGACTACTTTACCTTTCGAAGTAAAAATCTGAGATCCAAAAAAGGTAGACAATATTTTTTCTGAGAAAATTGAATGCGAAAAACAATGAACGCGGAACAGGAAACTTTAGTGAGAGAGCTTGCAATATCAAATAACGTGTATGTACAAAACTTTCACTCAAAAAATGAAGGAAAAGAAATCTGAAATTAGGTAATATTCGGCTTGGAGGAAAGTTTGAGAACAACTTGAGGAATAATCCAAAAGAAATATTTTCAAAATGATGTTCTTTTTACTGATCGAGAAATCTGACAATCGAAGGTGGGCAACCGATGTTACGGACTCGCCGAGCTCTGGAATTGGTTCAACAAGCTATCCGCCCAAATGCCGGCCGCCGTGATTACCTTCGTTGGCGGTCTGCCGTCTCCAGGCAATATTAGCCACATTATGAGGCTGCTCTGATTTTTTGTATGTTTCGTTGAAAAGCGTCGAGGTTAGCCGACACGCCCGCACATCTTTCGAATTTTTTGTCTTTTTGTTCTGTATGACGGAAGTCGGATTCTTCTTAAGGTCAAGTTTCTTACTAATTCAATTTTTAACTGTCCTAATTTTTCAAAACAGTTTCTGAAGGAGTGATGTTTTTTTGTGGAAAAATCAAGGTTTTTTTCGACAGCTTTTGGAATGGAGCTGAAAGCTTTGCAGGTAGGGCTTATGATTCCAGTTTCCACCTAAACGATTAATTTAACTCTGCTTAAATGTGAGTAACATATGCTGTGAATAATTAAAATCGTCAGAATTTTATTTGGAAGGCTTCAGAAAAAGATGTACTTACGAAAAAGTCAAAAATTCGCAAAGCAATGAGAAAGCGCGTTTCATATTTTTCTCTCCGTCCTTCACTATCTTTCAACTGAATCATGTTTGAAAAACAAGAACCCACCGGAAAGTGAGAAGAAAGCCGAAAACTTTGCGTTGCTGGGAGGTTTTGAAACATTACCAGAGAGTATGGCAAGTCAAAAAATGATTTGCAGCCTGACACGAAGATTTTCTCGAAAATCGCGCCTTTCGTTTCCCCACAATTGGTAGCAAAATGACTTTCATCAAACTCCGAACAAAATGCCGCAAATTGTTTTCGCTTTTTGATATTTTCGCAGCTCGCCGGTTAACTCAGAACGAGAAGCGGAATTAGAGGATCAAAGCATTTTCGAATGAGCTCGTTGTGTAGGACTGAAATAGTGGAGAAGCCGATTAAAAACATTTTTGATGCATTTTTTAACGAATGATTGATAGATTCGATAAAAATAATAATTTAGTGGAATCGATTTCATTCCATACATTCTTTAAGAAAACACTTAAGTTTGAAGATATGTTCCTCTGAGTGTAATCCTATTTTTATTTTCTTCAACCAACGTTCATATTGCAAAGAAGATTACCAGTTCTTTAAGAGAAAAAAAATCAGCTTTTTCGTTGATACTCTTGGTTATTTTATTAAACTTGCCAATTATGTGAGAATTCGCCTACGCATTAGAAAATTGCGCGATAGCGTGATTCTCAACACTGAGGACCCTGTGAAAAATTGCTCGCAATTAAAAGCGTCGAATCAGAAAGGAAGCTTGAGAAACGTTGCATCGAGAACTCTCAAATACGACTGAAAAAGAACAAAGCCACTAGACAGCTTTAAATAAGATTGTTTTGACCTCAATCTCAAAAATTCGATTTTGCGTCGCCAAAGTACCGAAATATTTGAGAAAAATGAGAGCATATTTTGAAATGAATTTCTGGTAGCTGACTTGGCATAATTCAATTAACTTAGATAAGAAAAACAGTTCCTCAAAAAAAAAGCGAAAATTTCATAGTTGATTGAAATAAATACTCCGATAATGAAAAAAGGACATTAATCGTTTTTTATCATAAAAAAATAATAATACTGAATTCAAAAATTTTGTGAGAAATATAAATTTTGCGTAGTGAAGCTGAAAAAAAAATACGAATGAGAAGATGTATAATTGAGTTTTTCCGTAGTAATTGTCCGAAAATAATTAGAAAAATGTGAAGCTTATTTTTCAGACAGATCATAGTGGGAAATGTTGAGCAAAGTATCAAAATGACTTGACCTTCGTTAGTCTAACCTTTCGTTTCAAGAAAAGTTAGTGCGGAAGTTGTGAAAATGAAGAACACAACTAATGAGAAAATGCAATGAATAAGAGAATAGAAGGAAGTAAAGTCGAAGAACCTTACCTCGTAGATTTCTCGCGGCAAGACAATAACAGAGGCCATGACCGTTTGGATGGTAAGGCTGGAGAAGTTGCCGCAGGCGATCCTAATTGCAGGCTCAAAAGCCAATTACTCGGGAAGGAAAGGCAGTCGTTGGATAGGCGTGAAGTTCGGAGACAACTGCGCAACTCGTGAAGGGCTCCGTGAAGAGCTGGTAGGCAGAGCAGCGCGACACTCTTATGAATATTCAAGGATCACCTGCTCCACGTCGACAGCAACAGGAAAAGTGCCGAAAAGTGAGAATGAAATGTGTGGGGCGCGTGTTTCGCTGTCTGATGAATTCCCGAGCCAGTTAAGTTCTGCCGGGTGCAGATGAAGGTTTCCGCGAGAAACGCAACTTTTTTTTTGTTTCGTAGATCTGAGCAACTTTCCCGAATTATGACTAATTCCCGAGAAACGACGTGGCTGCCGTGAATTACTCAAATTACTTTTTTTTCTTGAGGAAGAGCCGTTCATTTTTCAAGAAACGTCAAAACGTCTTTACACGTTATAGTTTGAAGTTTGAGCTAGGAGCAAAAAGCTTGACTTTGAGCAAAAAGTTGCGTTCACCGTCTTAAAGAGGAAAGAAAAATCTCTTTGAAGAAGAGAAAACCTCGTTACCTTTGTTCCATTGACAGCGAAGGTCTACTGCCTGTGAAAACAAAATAGCCAGACTTACTTTTTTGCTTAACATTTCGATTGTCTAAAACATTAATTTGGATTAATTGCGTAGGCCGATTGCTCAACTTTTCATTTTTTTTTTTTTCAAAGATTCAGCTCCTGAACTTTTCTTTCTGACATTTGACAGAAATTGGAAAAAGTTGTTTCCGGCAGAAAAAAGTTATGGCAGCTGAAAATAAAGAGTGGGTTGATGAGTTATCATTCAAATTCTCAGAAACGCAAAAGTTAAAATGTTGGCCTTCAGGAGCGTTAATGGAAATATATGCACTTAAAGGCTTTATTTCAAAACCCGGGTGAAGGAAAGAAATACTTCAAAGAAAAAAGTGCAGAAATGGATATATGAAATATTCTGGACGTTTGTGGGATGGACCCAGATACTTCGCGAGGCAAATTGATGATTCTGAAGCGTGAAATTGGTTGCCGCAGCTTCCTCAAGTGTATTTGCAATGATCTCATGCCGGATAAGACGTGACTATCTAATTACTTTTGATCACATCTTTCTAAATTTAGGTTGCAGAACAGGTAGATTGTTCATTTCTTACTGTAGTTCATTTATTGAAGTTTTAGGTCTGAGAACAATAAAATGGAAGACATCGATTGTTTTTCCTCAAAGGAACGAAGTTTATGAGAAAGTTTATAGAAATGTGAGCCTTGAATTCTGCAAAACTCAGTGGAACAACTTGTGTAATTTGTACATTAAAATTATTTCATTTGAACTTTTTACGTTTTTTTAGGTTTATTTCAAGTTTTTTTCTTCAATTGGAAAGGATCGTTCTTTGTAAGAAAGACACATCTTCAATTTAGAACCATTATTAAAATTAATGTAATTCGATGAACAAATAAAGTTCAAAAAAAATATAGGTAAAGCTGAAAAAATTGTAACATCACCGGAAGTTTCGTTTGTTATTTTTTTGGGGGCAGTGCATAAAATGAGGAATCTTTAAACAAACTTCTTATCTCCTTCCAGAAAATCATCTTTTTTAAATGGGACTTGAGCGATATATCAGAAAGATTTAGGGATCAACTTTTACACGCAAAATATAAAAATAGTGACCAACATGAAGTCAGAACAGTTTCAAAAAAATCTGCGGCACATGTTCTCTCAAAAGTCGGCAAAAAGAATGTTCTAGGGAAGAGCACCCGGAATGTAAATCGCGTTTCCCGAAAAGTTCAACTCTGAAAGACTTCGGAAAGGACGACTCTGGCCATGTGAAATTTAGAAACCTGTGACTAGAAAAGCAAGAAAGTAAAGCCAAAACTGGAAATCAGGGAAAGCCGCGTTTTTTTCCATTACAGTAGGCAAACTTTCGCAAAAGTAGTTAGAAATCAAAAGTTTTTAGCTCTCCCAAGACTCAAAAGATTATTGCATAATTAGGTTAAATTTTTTTAATTGAATCAATTATTTTTTTAAGACCTACATGCAACTCGCAAAAAAGTGAGAAGAAGGAATTTGATTCGATTGTAAAAACAAAACATCAGAAGCCTATTTGGATGATTTATAACATTTACAAAATTAGACTGACAAAAAACTCGAAGTAACGACAACAAGGAAGTCGAAAATCGCAGTGTAGTTGAAACTGGGGCAAAGAGCAAGGAAGAAACGATGAAACAAATCCAGTTTTCCAAATCAAGTTAGAATGAAGCTATAGTATTCTTTCCCAACAGGCTCGAAGTTATCCGGGAAATCGAACAAAAAGTGAACGAAAAAACTTCTTTTCAAACAGAAGCATTCACAATTAACTATCGTATTGATGCAAAGCGGTACACATTGCTCAGTTGTTAAGAATGCAAATGGGAGGAACACAAACTGCTTTCCTAGGTTTCTAAAGAATCAGAAATGTTCATTTGTAAAGAGATCTAGACGTTGTGCATTCCTCGTCGAGAGCACTTTTAGCAAGTTCTTTTTTGTTATTCATCGATCTTTGAACTCTAAAACTCTATTTTTTCTTAACAAAATAAAAAATTGAACAATTTTGCCCTACCTGGGTTTCAATCACGCAGTGAGGAATAGAAAAATGTACCTCGGGTTTTAAAACTTGAGTTATATCAATAATGAGCAGCCATGGCGAAAAGGAACAGTTTTCTTTATATTAGATGTATCCCGTTCATTATTTACCCGAGGTTCAAAATATTCATTAGAAAAAGTGCCCGAGGGTTTTCAAATAAGTGAAATGCAATAAATTCCAACCGCATTCTAAGTATTATTCTCAAGAATCCGTCATCAAAAAAATAAATGAGAGGATTTCTTATTTCCTTTGAAAGAAGAGGATTTGACAGCTAAGTGGCAAATAAATAGGAAAGTTTGATCAAATGAAAGAATGGGTAACTTTCATTGAAGAAGGAGAACACAGAGAGTCGTCGACCCTCTTTAAATGATCACTTGAAAGGCGAAAATGGCAACTGCTATAAAACTTACTACCTTTCCCATCGTATAGCTTTTAAGAAAGAGCGTTTAAAATTGAACTCTTTATATTAACAAGGAAAGTAACTCAACTTTTCGGTTTCAAGCTTTTTCAAAATAAGTCAGCTCACTTTTTGATGTACTAAAAGTTGATTTTGAGAGTCTCCATCTCCACAATTTTCAAGTTTTTGAGAAATGAGGGCGCGAAGTTCCAAAATAACCTTTTTCAACGAGTTTCGAAATTTTATTCTTTGAAGTGTCAATGTCGCTCAAAAACTAGAAAGTTGTGCAGGCTAAGGCTTTGAGTCTGTTTCTGCCATATCAAGGACTGTTGTGACGATTTTCAGGGGATTCTGAACTGCGAAGTAAAAAGATTTCTTGTGAAATAAATGCGACGCTAAACTTTTTGAATATTTAAAAAAAGGTCTTTTTCGCTTTTCATCAAGTCTGCTACAAACTTTTTCTGGCCAGTTCCATGAAATTCTACAAATCTTTTATCATTAACTTCCCTGAGAGCTTTTACTTCTTTTTTTACTCATCTTGTTACTCATCACATGAACTTCCCTTGAAAAACATGTTATTTTTTTCAAAAAAATAGAAATCGGTTGCGATGTGTACAATATTTCACGCTTGACAAAATTTTGTTGATTTAACACTCAAAATAGTGTGTCATTAGAGCGTGAGTGATGGGAGACTGACGTGATTGTATGGGAATATGAAGTGCCAAGCCCGGTGTGTCGGCTCATTAGAACTTTGGAGCCCGTTTCCGCCGAAAGGACCGAGGTGTGAATCTTCCTTTTGCCAATCTTCTCATCAAAATAAAGCGACGGTGCCGGCGTGTGAACCGGAGATCGCGCTTGTGGCAAACTTCTTTCCGCCGGAGAGCTCCGCCTTGGCGTTAACTAAGGTTAATTCATAACATCCTCCGTTCGGAATACGTTTTGTATTTTTTTTACCCTCTTTTCTGTTGCAGCTTGATTGTGGGTTTTCTTTTATTGGCACTCTTCGAAATATTGCCATTTATTTCCCTTTATGTCAAAAATTTCTAGGACTCATCCTTTTTTGCTTCCAATGCTTATGATTTCATCCGACCATTTTTAAGTTTTGTATCAAAACTTGAAACAGTTATAATTGTTCGAAAAAATCAATCGACTTTTTTTGAATCTTCTGTATTTTATTTTTGTCACACTTTCACTTGTCAAGTCGAGTCGTTCATCTTTCAAGATTTTTTTCCTGATCGAATGCAATTTTTCAACAGATAATTTTGTCGCACAGTTTTCACGACTACCTTTTCTTTTACAGATTCTCGTCGCCTCGATGTTTCCGCCATACTTCACCTACAGCATGCCTCAATTCCCGACGGTGAGTTCAATGATTATAAGAAAATAGCGTCCAACTTCACCTTGTTGACCACTAATACATGTCGAGCATGAGAAAATTCTGAGGTTACAATATTCTCTTTCCCATAAAATAGTTTACTAGAAAATATTGAAGTTCCAAGAACCGCAGTGAACTTGAATGATAATTCCAATTAACTCTCGAAGTCCTTTCATCTTTCTTAGTTGGCGTTTCGCTTCTCTCAAAAAAAAAAGATATCAGGATGTTTCCTTTTTTTCTTCAAATTTTTTTCAAATGATGAAAAATTTCCTTAATCAGTTTTTTATGCTGTACAGTACCACAAAAAGAAAATCTTTCCTCAAGTTCTTCTCATGACGAAGTTTGTAAAACTCCATGATTCAGTAGAAATCCACTGACTGGAGCGTCATTATGTTTGATGAAAATCCTCAAAGTTTCAAGCCTCTAATTTTTGAGATAACAGGTTTCAGAGTTAGGTTCAACTAGCTATCCTATTTGGAAAATTTCTTCTGCGGATACTTTGAAAATCTGTATATTTGTTATTTCGAACTTTTTAGTTGCGAAACTATTCAATTTTTGAGCTGAGCCATCTCCGCTCTTTCTGAATACTTTGAAGAAGATATGGTGTTGATCAGTGAGAAATCCATATTGCAACGAGTAGAACAACTCAGTGTTGATAATTGTATGTAATCTTCTATTCTTCTTCTTGATACCTGCGGACAATGAAGCTTTTCAAGCGTGCTTATTGTCAGCCTATCGGGGCGGCTCAACGAGCTACTCTCCTTTCACATTTCTCTTCTTTCACGTTATTGTGTGGTTCATGAATATTTCCTTTGTAACTTTCCTCTGTGCTGATTATTTGAAGTATATCAAAATCAGTCTTGATATTTTTGACAGACTTTTGGAGCCTATAGAATGGTTGAGATCCTATCTTCTGATCGGACAAAGATAGTTTATCAGCTCTAGAAAGCCATGTTATAATTGGCAGCAGATTGAACAAAACTAATTAAGAGCTCAGAGTATATCGATTTTGCGCGTTTTGATAGTCAGCGAGAAATTAGGGTTCGAAACTGTGATTTTGAGATTTTTCGAGAGTCCAAACCAGAAACTATTTTCTGTCGGAAGCTTTTCCAAGACACCTCGGATCTCGACTTTTTCGAAGCAAGGGACAGCTGCAAAAGAGTCTAGAACAAGTGTTACGTCACAAATTACATGGCTTGAACAATGTTTCCCCGTCGCCGAACAAAGTCAAGCGAACACAATTGGGTTCTATCTGAATTGTCATAACAACGTAGAATATGCCGCTAATCAGCAACAAAAAGGTGCTGAGAGGCGGTAAAAGGAGGCTTGGAAAACGTCTTGTTTGGTCTGCGATAACCTCAAGTCCTCAGTGAAGACCTCATCAGCTCATCTTCTCAGTCACATCGCTCTTTGATGACATTTTCCTTTCGATTCTGTTCGAAATCATTCTCTCTTTTTTTCTGATCGCTACAAGGGTTTGATTTCAGACTTCAGAAGTAATTTTCAAGTTGATTAGTCGAAGCGACTATCAAAGCGTCCATTTGGAAAATTTTAAAAGTTCAAACTTAGGGAGCCCTTGCTTGCATTGCAAATGTTTGAGCGGAGCTGTTTTCAAATTTTTCTCAACTTACAACAATTGAAATCTTTGGCTAGTTTTTTTTACAACCTGGTTTTTTTTTTCAAATGTAAATACTATTGATTGGTACTCTTTCCATCTTTTTCTCTTAGAATACCTTACTGTTTTAGTATATTATATCAATAAGACTTTTTCATTTCAGCCGATGACTTCACTTTCCCCTACTCAGTTTCTCCTCGACCAGGCGAAGAACTTGGACTCGCCTTTCTTCGCCAGTCTCAACAATTCTCGAGTGCCGCCGCCTCTGGACTTGCTCCCAAAACCGAAGTCCAACCGCTCGAAACCGGAGACCAAGACGTCTTCTGAGACGAGGATCAAACGCCCGATGAATGCTTTCATGGTGAAACTACGCCGGTCGATTTATTTATATCCATTTTGCAGGTCTGGTCACAAATGCGTCGTGCTGAAATCACCTCAGCTGGCGGGAAAGTGCACAATTCGGACATATCTAAAATGCTCGGCAAGGAGTGGAAATCGATGAAAGAAGACGAAAAAACACCTTTCGTCATCAAAGTTAGTTACGCAGAAATGAACAGCTTACTCATCAATTTTTGTTGAGGAAGACTGGTGTTTACCTTTAAGATGACTTCATCCTCTTTGAGATGATCGAATAATAGTTGAAAAAAATTTCAAAAAAAAAAGAAGAGGAAAAGTACAGTCAATACTTCGATTTGAAAGCGTATGAGTTTTTCTTAAAAACTCTTTTCAAAGGAGGTTCCCGTTTTTTTATACTTCAGAAAAAAATGAATTTTCATTCCATTCATAAACGCACCACTCAAAGTTTCAAGTTTTTATGAAGAGTTCTTTTTAATAATTTCGATACTCAAATAATCTTTTCACAGGCCCGAGAGATCAGGGAAGAGCATTTCCGCGAGCATCCAGACTACGTCTACAGACCGCGAAGGCGCAAGACTCTCAGGAAACCGTCGAAGCCAGCCGAAGAAAGTGCTCCCGCGAACGTCGCCGACACTCCTCCGACCACTCCGAACTTGCTTCCGGCGCTGCTCCTCAACCAGATGATTTGCAATCACTTCATCGCTATGCTCAGCCAGAACCAGCCTCTTCTTCCTTCTCCGCCTTAGTGAAAGAACGGAAAAGAAGTCTTTTCTTTGTTATATAATATAGACCACTGTTTTAATAATAAGTCTTGTTGTTCGGTTTTTGATTCTTTACTTCTGGTGAAAACTTGAATGTTGCACCTGCTCATACGTGAGAAAATGCCTGTTTCTCCTCCAAATTATCTTGCAACTTTTTCTCGATAACCTGAAATTATTCTAATTTTAACCTGCTCCGTATTCTTGTTGAACATTTCATTGAGAGCAAATAATATTTTAGAGAAATTTTGTTGCATTCAAATCTGTTGAAGGCATTAATTTTTTTCTAATGTATCTAAACAAAATTGATGAAAAAAAGGATCCGAAAGAGTTTTTTTCTTCTCACAACATTTTTCACAGTTATCGTAAAAATGAAAGAAAGATAATCCTGTGTACATTGTATACCCTTTTTGATTAACCGATCCATTATATTAATATGGCAATCCGACTGCTTCGCACTGTTTACATATCACAAATCCCGCAAAAGCTTTTCAAAAGCAAACTTTCCCCAATTGTTATCAATTTTATTCGCATTGTGATAAAGATATTCACATAAAACAGAGGATTAAAGCAAAAGAGCTGCAAAAGAAAGAGCAAACGTTAAAACAGACAAAGACGTTGCTGAAAATTGGGTGGTCGTTTGCACGACAGTTGTAGGTGGTGGTGGAGGTTTCTTCGTAGTCGTGGTTTTGACAGTTGTCTTTTTCGTAGACTTCGTTGTCAAATGAGGCACAGTCGTTGTGTCCCCAGGCTGAAAGGAGATAGTACTGAGTACTGGCTGGGAAGTTGGGCCCATCGTGCTGCTGGCTTTGGTCCCTGGATTGGTGACATTTGTGGAAGCAGAGGTCACAGGTTTGGCTGTTGGAGGAGGAGTCGTCACCGGGGCTGCTGATGAAGAAAGTGGGCTTTTGGAAGCTGTTGTGGCTGGGGCTGCTGTGGTTCGAGGTGCAGCCGTGGTAACTGGACCAGCCGTAGTGACAGGTCCTCCAGTAGTGACAGGAGCAGTAGTGGCAGGACCTCCAGTAGTGACCGGAGCAGTAGTGGCAGGACCTTTAGTAGTGACAGGACCTCCAGTAGTGACCGGAGCAGTAGTGGCAGGACCTTTAGTAGTGACAGGACCTCCAGTAGTGACCGGAGCAGTAGTGGCAGGACCTTTAGTAGTGACAGGACCTCCAGTAGTGACCGGAGCAGTAGTGGCAGGACCTTTAGTAGTGATAGGGCCGCCCGTGGTGACAGGACCTCCAGTAGTGGCCGGAGCAGTAGTAACCGGACCTTTAGTAGTGATAGGGCCGGCCGTGGTTACAGGACCTCCAGTAGTGACTGGAGCAGTAGTGACAGGACCTCCAGTAGTTCTGGGACCAGCCGTGGTGACAGGGGCAGAAGTGATCGAACCTCTTGTAGTGACGGGCCCAACAGGAGACGTGGTGACGATAGTTGAAGCCTTCTGGGTGGTGACAGTTGCTGGAGCACCCGAAGCTGTCGTTGCCGCCGTGATCGGTTTTGTCGTTTGTTTGGTTTGCATGGAAACAGTACTTCCTGCGGCCGTTGTAGGAGGGGCTGCCGTCGACGGAGCGTACACTACCGAAGGTTCTGAAGTTTTAAATTGAAGTCTTAATGTCGAAAACTTTTGAAATTTTTAATGAACATAGAACTTTCATTATAATCGAAAAAACCACTAGAAAATTCATTTTTTTTTGATTTTTTTGTGCAAATTATCCGACGATGAAGCTTTATCGTAAGAAAGTAGGCAAATCTCAAAAAATTAATTCCTTACATCTGCTTTGGAAAACTCTCCAGAACTTTAGAAATGCAGCTAGAACAAATCAAAGCTTCTTCATTTGGAAATTTTCAAATTAGCGCCGCATCAAAAGGTTTAGGAAAGGAGGGCTTTTTTTTCGAAAAAAAACGACTAAGGTCATAATTTTAATTGAAGTTGCGTACGCGAGGCGGCTTTTTGACCGAGCCCAAACATATTTATGCAAAAACTTCAGAAAAAATGGGTTTTTATTTTACTGCCTCTGAGCCGCGTCGTGCACGCAACGCTTCATCCTTGCCAATCTAACCATTTTTTTCATTTCGGGAAGTATGGCTGTAGGATTTTTCAAAAACAAACGAAAACAAATTGTGCTTAAGAATTTCTTTTCGAATAAAAATAACTTACTATTCACTCCGCCTTCGTATCCATAAGAATAGTCGCCGTTCTTCCCGTAAACGAAGAATCCATAGGTACCCTTTTTTGAAGGGTCGAGATCGAGACGGTGGAAACCAGCATTGGCGACGGCGATGTTGAAGACGAAGTAGTTGATGCCATCAACGCTTTGAATGGTTCTGTCCGGAGTCGCCGCAATAGGTACGCTGTCGAGCGTCAGTGATGCGCACGTTAAGACTGTACAGTAGATCTGAACATTTCCTCTTTTTACTGTAATATAGTATCAAATCTTACTTGAAGCATTTTTTGAAATTATAAAATATAAAAAGATTGTGACATATTTAGCCTTTTCTCAATTTCTCAGCATAATTCGAAGATTTTCTGAACCACACCTCAACGGTGTCGTTGGGGTTTCTTGTGTAGAAAGAAGAATAATCCTTGTGGAACTGAGTGACCGACGGGACGGTTGCCAAAATAGCGCCTTTTGTGTCGGTTTTGGAGCCGTCGCGGTAACGAGCCACGTGAATATTAGATCCGCTAAAATGAAAATTTTTCTTTGAAAACAAAAAGCTTTTAAGAAACAGTTCATTCCTCACCCTCCGTGAAAAGCGACTGTCTTCTGTTTAGTTGGATCGGTCGGGGTGATAACAACCAATGGCGAAAGAAGTTGTGGGCTAACGAACAAAGTTGATTGCAAATTGTCAGGAAAAGAAAGAGTTTCCGTCAACTGAAATGAACTATTGATATAGTCTGTGTGCCACGAGTTGAAATTTCACCGAACGACACTCCGCTGTTCCGCTGCGAACGTTCGCAAAGCGTCTTTCGAGTCTAGGTAACGCTTTCAATTGATTGTTATTGCTGTGGAAGCACATGAAAGTAGAGTAACTTAATAAAGAAAAAAAAGTTAAAAGCGTGACCAAGGATCGAAAAGGCGCGCAGCGGAACAGCGGAATGTCGTTCGGTGAAATTCCAAGTCGTGGCACACAGATAATAGAATAAAAAATTATGTGAACTTTTTGTTTGGTTGTGCAGGTTCCAGGAACGTCGAGGAAGAAGCTGTCTGTTGTAGGAATGAAAGAAATGTGATCGTCATCGTAGACTTCGTAATCGTAGCAATCTGAAAAGTAACATCTGAATAGTCAGCTCTAGGGAGGAGATAAGTCCGATGATTATTTTTACTGATCATCATTAGTCTCATTTTGTAGTTGAGTCGGTGATTCCCCCAAACAGAAAAACTTTGAAAGGTGAAATTTCCCCGATATGATACTTCAAATTCAGAATTGCTAGTCTGAAAATCTGTGATAAAGTCGTAAATTCTCTAACAATGAAGAATATTAACACGAACGGTAGGAATAGGATCAATAAGAATATTGAAAATTTTGATGGCTTCGGGAAACAAAAATGGAAACGTTTTGCAATGGCATGACTCAAAAATGTCATGGGCGAAACCCAAGTTTTCAAAGGCAGTCTAAGTATAAAAAAAAAGAAAATTACAATAACAGCGAACTTACCTTGTGCGGGGGTTGCTTGAGGCATGTAAACGACATGATCGCAGTTGTAAGCCTGCGAAGAACCAGCGCAAGTAACACCAGCGACTATCTAGAATCGGGAATATTTCAAAAAATCATGATCCTTCTTACCATGACAGGAGAACTGGACGTAATATGAAATGTACGTGAAGTTTTCAGAGGAGTCCGTTCTGCGATGTAAGCTGCAGGAGAGTTACCATAAGTCACCTGAACCTTCCATTTTTCAAAATTTTATAAAAAAGATTTACCGTAAACTTGTGTACTGTAGCTGACTGCCCAAATTCTTGGATCGTGACACTTGAAGTTCCCTAAAAACTCTTTGAGCTTGCTAAAAGATCACAACTTACAGAAATAGGAAGGACGAAAACTTGTTCGTAATGGTAATCATAACCAGCTTGAGCAGGGGGCAAAGAGAATGTATACCAACTAGACGCCCAACTCACTGGGAGAACTAAAAAAAAATCATCGAGATATTTAAAAGTGAAGTTTTCAAAGTATGAACCTAGGAAAGAATCTCCTTGTTTTGTAACACTGTCGAAATTGTTGCCTACTACAGTGACCGGACAAGTGGAAGTGGCTTCCAGGGACAGAAAAACGTCGTCTTGAACTCCTATTCCAGTGTAGTTGAAGCCGTACCAGTTGGGCACTGAGACCTGAAGGAAGTCGATCATCAAGTTTTTCTGTGAACCAACTTCAGCTAAGGACAGTTTTGGCACTTTTGTCGTGGAGTTCTGAGGCTTGGTCGTTTTTTGATAATCGGCACGGTAAGTTAAAGTAAAATCACAGTCTTGATCGACGTTTCCATTGATGACTGAAATCGTTTTTGAATTAAACTCAGATTGAAGTTGTAATCAATTCAAAAAACTATTCGCGCCTCGACGCATTACTCTCGAAGACATCATTAAAAGATATGCAACCACTATCTGATAACCGATAAAATTTGCTCAAACAATATAAGATGATGTCATTTTTTTCCATTTTGAAGGCGTTAAAAAAATGAATTCAAGCTAAGTTAAACAGGTTTTAAGCTTCCAGTAAAAATTTGGAAAAAAATTATTGATACAGAAAAAAACTTTTTTTCTTACCTGTAACTGATAAAACTTGGTTGTCAATGCTAGGGTTAGCATTTCTGATGAAAGCAAAAAAACAAATCTCGTTCCTTCGGTGTCCAAAGCAGAGCATACTGTCGTCAGAAAGACTACTCCTGAACATAGAGATCAGTAGTCGACCTTTTGCAGAGAAATAGCTGTTTTGCGGATTTTCCAGTCTTCTTAATATTTTTTTATACGAAAAAAATTTTTTTCCTCTGTAAAACTGCCAAAATTCTTAATTTTCTCTAGAGAAGGAAGAGGATTTTTGAAAGTTCCTGTTCCTCTTACTTTATCAAAAAGAATTCAGAGGCACGAAACTTGTGAGTCATTTGTGAACTCCTTTCTTATCCGTGCAATTTGCCAACGTTTAACAAGTTGTGTAAACAAAACCAATCGCAGTAATAATGACAAATATTCATTAATTGTTACCGAAATTGAAAAATTCAGCGTTTTGAAGGTTTTGTGATTGGTTTATCTCGATATATATTTGATAGCCCGACGCTTTGAATCAAAGTAGCGGTACTAGAAAGCTTAAGATAAGGTCAAATGCGATCAGTCAGTTGTACACAGATAAGCCGGTAATCTAAAGAACCCGTCATCGAGCAAATTTGGGGTAAACCTGATTTAAAACTTCCTGACCCTGACAAAGGATAAACATTCTTTTAAAGGAAAAGAGGAAAAGCTTACCTACAAGCGTCAATGAACGCATTCCGGGACAGTGATAAGACACTGCGCTTTTTACGACTTCGAGCTGCCACGCCGGCGGGCGTGCCCTTCGCCACGGTTAGGCTTTTGCGCGACAGATCGTACACCTCAAGTGCTCACTCAGTTTGGCTCGAGCTGGTCCGTTAATTCTCTTCAAGGGCTGCTAAAAGTACTTGTTGAACTCGGTTCAGGAAATTGAGTTTAATTTGCAAAGAGGTCGTTTTCCTTTGTGACCGGGAATTTTATGCAACCTAGTTCTTAGTTTTCAACAAAGTGCTCAAAGTCAAAAAAATGGATTATTCTAACGGGTTTTGGAAACTTTTTCCATGGTTGAGGTTTCCTTACTGAAAAACCAGACAGGTTCCGACTTCCAGGCTTTTATCTCGTTTATCGAGGAGAGTTCCGGTCAGTTTTTAGAGAATCCCCTAAAACAAAGTAGAATGTTTTTCCAGGTTAGATGTCAAATTTTCTCGGATTCGAACTATAATACCTCAAGTAAATTATGAAAAAGAAAACTAGATTGTCACTGGCCGATAAAAAATTCACAACGGCTCAACGAATCTCTATTTGCTGTTTCCATAAAAATCAAAAACAGTTTCATTGTTTTTTTTTCTCGGAAGCTGAGAAATTGGAACCCGAACGATTTCTGTTTCTACCCGTTGATTCACAATTTTGTAATGTTTCAAGCAAACAAATTGTCTTTCCAAAATGAGAGATAGATCTTTATAAACAAGCAAACGTAGAAGATAACCGCAGTGATATCATAATGGAACACCGTATTATTCGAAATGGTAAAGTGGACCCGGAAAATAGAAGTTTAATCAAAAGCGATGTCGAAGTTGTCGTCGTCTTCATAGGTGAGATCAATTACTATGCGTCTGAAATTTTCCAGAATTCATGTCAAGTCTTTTTAAGCTAAGAAATTACTTGGCGAGGACGATTACTCTGCCGTCGTCTGGTGTAACCGGCTCAGGCCCTTCGAGGAGGTTCTCTCGTTGAGCAGGTTTGATGTGAGAAGGGACGTTTTCTTTGTCTTCTTGGATGTTCCAGTACACCTTCCCGAACTCCTGAATTCAATCGATGAACAACGGAAAGAAATGATAACGATTAACCGTTTCTCTCCATAACTTGTAACCGGCCAGTTCCTCGTCGTCCATCAAGCCTCGTCTTTTTAGCTCTTTAAAATTAGACCTTTTTTTTTGAGTTGAGTTGCTCTAGAGCTAAAATTCCTTGGAAAATGTTTAGATACCTTGGTCTTCTTTGGATAGGACGACAGGAACTGGCGGCTGCGCAACTTCAGTGGTGGATTCGTTTGAGGAGTGCGACACGGGATTCATCTTGAAGTCGGAAGGATATCTAAAAAATTAAAAAAATCCAACAAAAAGACATTCAAAGTTCAAACAAATTTATGTAATGTTGGTTGGACGAGAAAAACTTGACAGATATTGAAATGTTGGAATGGGAGAAGAGATCGAATCGGGAAGAAAATTGCTGTGAGACGTATGGCCAAAACGTGCCGTCCACAGAGATTCTCTCTTTTTGCGAGTCTCCCGATGGCGTCTGCACACCACCTGCGAAATCGAAAACTGTCACACGTTCTGTTCATAAAACTACGTTCCGCCAGCAGTGCAATTATCAACTTGAAAAATGACAGTGATAATGTCATCACCTGCTTACTTTCTTCGCAAAAACACGAAAATTGAATTAAAAGAGTTTTTTTGAAAAATTTCTAGTGAGAAAATGTTTTGAAGTTGTTTGCACGGAGTAAGTTGATAAATAGACGTCATGTGTTTAAAAAAAAACAAAAAGTCTTTACTACCCTGTTTTCTCGGAAAAATCACGCTAGTTTAAAAATGTTTGCATACGTGGCAAAATTTATCAAATTGTCTTTAACCACAATCAATTATCATCCTGAAAGAATAGAACGAAATAAATTTCAAATTTATTGCGAAACGTGGCTGAAAAGAACTGAAAATGTCCCAAAGTAATGGAGCGTAGTATCGGAAGAGAGATGAAGGGAATATCGATGGAACCGAAGCAATGCTGGCTCATAACAAAAAACGCGCGAAAAAAGATACCTATTTGCGTTAGTTTTGACCTATGACATCTTTGCTCTACAATACTGCAAAAAAGACCTGGAAAAACACAAGTCTTAAAACGAAGTTTGATTAAATTTGTTTTTAACTAGTGTACGATTTTTTTGCAAAAAAAAGGAAAGCTGGTATCAAAAGATAAATCTTGAAGAAATAACAAAACGATTTCAAATCGGCGTCTTTTTTCTACAATCTTTGCTGAACCAGCGTGGAATCGGCTGAAGAGGTGAAAAGTGATTTCGATCTAATATAGGTGAGAAAAATCCAATAAAGTGTGAGGAACGTTGGGAAAGAACAATTTTTCTGTTCTCGATTATTGCGCGGCCCGAAGAATCGATAATCAAACTGACAAAATCGTTAAGCGAACGGCGGAACACATGCAAATGTCCGTCACGCTCTTCATATGAAAGTGCAAAACGGGTCCGAGAAATGAGCGAGAGAAGAAAAATGCAATAAAAGATTATAGGGATAACATAAACATTCTAGAAGCGATTAAAAGGGATCCAGTGCGAAGCGTCGTCATCGGGAAATTTTTCAAGTCGGGCTGCAGGATTGTTAACATTGATTTATCGTGCTATATTTTGTTATGAGGAAGTCGAAAAACAGGCAAATTGCATTCAATTGAGATTTTTCTCGTCGGTGGGCAGACTGCTGTAGACGGCTAGCGGCCGTTTCTCGTCGAGCACCGCTGAATCGATTATTAATTATGACGAACGCCCTTTGTTTTTTATCACATCCGTAAAAGATTTTTCCCTATATGCTCTCGAATTTCTCAATATACGTTTATGAAAGCTTTGGACGATACAGCCAGATTTCAATTTTACTTTTTTTTTCAACAAGAAAAGCTTTCTTACTGATGGAAGTCGTCCTAACGGTGGCAGCGACGCGGTCATGAGCTGCTAGATCGTCTTTCACATAATGGTACACGATTCCGGCTCCAAAAGCGTCTCCGAGAACGTTGATCGAAGTACGGATTCGATCCCTATGATAACACAATTATTTTTTTTTGAAGTGGAGATTTAAATATCATCATGTTTACCATTTCAAGACGGACAAAATCTTCAAAAAAAGCATCTTTGCTTTTTTTTAGATTTGTAGTTTGATCAATTCTTGCCGGCCGAAAAACTATGCTGAATGTAAAATTTCTAAAAAAATAATAGAACTTTCCGAGAAACTTTCAAGGTCGATATTAAATACTATATTATGGTACTCAAGGTTTGTGGGAAAATTTGTTTTCAATTGATATTTCTCAAATTTAGAATGAAATTACTTCTTTTTCAAATTCATCCCATGCAAAAAAAGTTAAGTGGGATTAGAAAATTAATAGACAAACTAAAAAAAATTGTTTCGTTGAAAATAATGAAATGTGCTCCAAATATTTTGTTCTCTCGAGTTTTTAAATTTCTTGTAAATCCAAATCTTACAGCAGCCAATCGACAGCCACGATGAGAGAGACGTCCTTCACAGGAAGCCCGACGGCAGTCAGAACCAAAAGCATGGTGACGAGTCCAGCTGAAGGAACAGAAGCCGCTCCGATTGACGCCAAAGTTGCGGTCAGACTACAAAGTGAATGAATACTAACGGAAGCTAACTACCGAAGTCCCACCTGACAGTGACGACTTGACCAAAGGAAAGATGGACGCCATTCATTTGAGCAATGAAAATAGCTGCAACAGCTTCATAAAGGGCCGTTCCGTCCTGGAAAAAAATTTAGTCTTCGTCAGCTCTTGAAGGTATACCATGTTGATAGTTGCTCCTACGGGCAGGACGAATCGAGTGACTCTTCTATCCACTCCAAGATTCTCCTCCAGACAGTTGAAAGTGATGGGCAAAGTAGCCGAGCTTGACAAAAGAGGTTTGAATCTTTAGAAAAAAGTGAAAAAACCTAGACGCCGTTCCCAGGGCCGTGATCCAGGCTTGAACCATTCCCCGCATGAATTTGTACGGGTTCTTCTTTGTGCACAAGAAGTAAATCAAAGGAAGCGAGATTAGGGAATGGACAGCGAGACCAGTGAGAACCTGAAACAGGGACAATGTGGCAGAATAACTCATATTCCAATAAGTAAAGCAAAGGCCGAAGTGATGTATAATAATCTATTTGAAATCGGTAAATCGCGTTTTCAACCTTTTTTACTTATCTTTGCACGATTTTTTTTGGAACCAGAAAGATGTACAATATATCCATTTCAAAAAGAGAAAAAGCCGAATAAGTTTTTCTGAGAGCTCACCGTGACCATGTACATTGCCAGCATACGAGCTGTGTCTGCCAAGTCGTGAATTTCAAGGATCTTTCCCATGATGAGGCACAAGATTCCGAATGGAGAGTACCACATGACCGTCATGACTAGTTTCATAATCACTTTGTCCATGATAACAAAGAACTGGACCATGACTGAGGCTTCGGCTCCGAGTTGCGACAAGCTGATGCCCACTCCGATACAGAACACAATAATTCCTTAAACGCGAAATTGAATATAGTTTGATTTTCCAAAAATACCAAGAACGTTCATTCCACTCGTGTACTCAACACTGGCTTTCACATAATCCAGAGTTCCATTGTTGAGAGCCGCAAGAGTCGCCGTGTCATTATTCTTGACTATTTTCGGCCGTACTGTGATGTATTTGGTTTGAACTTGCTGGAACGTCGCTTGGACAATGTTTTCTGGGAACATGTTTCTGCAAATATTTATTGACAAGTTTGAACATTTTCTTGAGAAGAAAACCTCAGGAGGTCGAGAAGAGTGTCTACGGTACTGACAGTTTTGCCTTCGGTACCAGTTCCGAGATCTTCCTTGATGGTCGGATCTCCAGGGTGAATAACCAGAACCAAGAAGATACCGGTCTGAAAAAAAATGAGCCATTTTTTCTTAGTAGGTATCTCACAATGACAGCCACAACGGTGGTGAAAACATAGTAAGTGACAGCAAGAGATCCAAGTTTTCCTGATTGGCGAGCATCCAATTGCGAAAGTCCTAAAAAGAAAAAATTAAAGATCTTTTTCTGGCTCATCATTTTTATCAATTTTCTTACTGACCAGAGATCAAAGAGCTCATAATAAGGGGTAAGATCATCATTTTGAGCATGTGCATGAGAAGTTCTCCAGGAAAAGCGATGTACATGACACTCTGAAACCAATTCCAATTTTTGCATTCTCTTTTTTTCCCATTTTAAAAATAAATCTGTCTGTTTAAGCTTTGAATAATTCAATTTAGTTTTCCAAACAACTTTCTCATATTTCCAAAAATGAGCCTTAGGACAAACAGACAAAATAAATATTTTCTCCAAGGAGTGGATAAGTGAAACTCACTACAAACTGAAAAATCATATGTCAAAAGTTGAATACCTGCGGGGTGAGGTTCAAGGGTCGGAAAGCAAAGCCAAGGATGGCTCCTAAGACGACTGAGCCTATCGTCAGCACAAGCAGCAGGTTTTTCCGGAGCCAACCCATGACCTGAGAATCCACAAACTTTTCAAACTTCTAGAAGATTCTAAGCTATAAACGAATGGATGCCAGCTATTAACAGAAGGTGAGTGAAACGTGAAGTGCAGAACATTTTCGGTGATGGGCGGAAAGATCATGGATCTTCAGAGTGAAAGTCTGATTCCAAGACTGAATATAAAAGTGATGCCTACAACAACAAAATAACTATTTCTATTGGTACGGGTGAACAAAATGTACATCCAACTGAAAACGAATGCGGCAAAACACAGCTTACAATTTCTCTTTGCCTTTCCCCGACGTCTGGAGGCATGTCTCTCTGTAGTGTTTATATTTATATTCAACCATTTTTTTTCTGTTTTCTGCCACCGGCGACTTAGACAGACCGACCCCTTTCTTATGTGAAAAAAAGTCGGCACGAACATTGATTTAACAGCAAAGCACAAAACAAACACAAGTGAAGTCAATTTAGTGAAAATGAGTCAAGATATGAAGGAGGCGGAAAGAAGACACTCGACAAAGTATTTGTAACAGGACACCCGAAGGCAAAAAAAAAAACAGCAGGTATCAGAAAAAGAAAATCTGAAGTTCTATTCATTGATGAAGAATAGAGAAAGTCTACTTTGAAGCGAAATTATGTTTTTTTCTCAAAACGAAAAAGTTGGACAAAATAAATCGATTCAAAGAGGCGTTTCTCCATTTTGAAGATTTAAAAAAATTTTAAAACTTGGAAAAAAAAGCTGTTTGACTGAAAGAAAGCCCCAGGATTTTTTCACCAGCAGGTTTATCAATAAATCGTCTCAATGGAAAAAGTCAGTTTCTTTGACATAGACGGCGAAAAAAATATCAAAGAAAAACAGAAACTGACAGTTAGGGCGTGGACGGACGCGCAATCATCGCATCCCTCAAAAATGGGGGCCTATGAGTTGACAATGCGGAAAAAAAAGCGGCAATGATCCATTCAGAACTCTGAATTGAAAAATCGCTGCGAGGTCTCACGTTGAAAGTCTGCGGCGGGTTGTTTATATTGCCGCTTTGCGTTTTGAAAATCTTCTCGTGAAATGCGGGATCCTGAAGGACTTAGGACAATGGAGAATGAACTTGGAGTTTTTCTTTTCCAGAGGGACGTAGGTGTAAAAATGAATAACGGCGCGAAGCTTCACACTCTGCAGTTGAACCTTTCCAATGGGTAGATCTTCACATTTACCTGTTAAAAAAATGCTCTGGACTATTTGTTTTCGAACGCATGTTCATACGGAGCTCATCATTCTCTCCATAAAATAATTAGGGGAAAATATGTTCAGCTGTGTTCCTGAGAACCTTTCAACTAATCTAATCAACCCTAGTCGAGAAAGAAAAAAAGTCTTTGAGAAGACTATATATATTTTTCTCTCATTAGGTGCGCATATAAATGGACACCACGGAAGTAGAAATTGTCATAAAGTTTTTGAAATTTATCGCGAAAAAAACTCGGCATGAATCACAAAAAAATTATAGAAAAAGATAAAATTTTATTGGAGTGCAATTATTAAGGAAACCGCGGACAAATTCGAAAAATAGTGATAGACTGGGACCCGCAAATCCGCTCTGACAGCTAATCGTTCAAAATGTTTTGAGATTGCCGATGATTTGCCAGAAAATTTTGTTCATGCAAAGCAGCTGCCCTCAGGGCATGAATTTCCGTGTTTTACGCGTATTACACTTCTGAAACTAATTTGAGATCGTTTTTAGAGCATTTTCAACTTTTCCGAGGGCTTGATCTTTCTGAAAAAGCTCAATTCTATTTCAGTCATCAGTCGTGTAAATTTATGCGTATTACAGAAAAATCATTCTGCAAACAGCATTTTTCCCAAAGGATGACTTTGTATTTTGTATCTTTGTGTTGAAGTGAGATACATAAGGAAATAAATAAATGGCGAAAAGCAAAAAAGCATAGGACATAAAAGTTTTCGCAGGTGTACAGCTGTGTGAAACGAGAACACTAAATATCGGTGTTATGAGTCCGGAAAGAACTTCAAAGATTATCAAAATCGATGAAAAGTTTGAGCCGCCATATCGATTTGGAGCTGAGAAAAAACCAACGAAAACTAAAAAATAACAAAAACTCTTATCTCTAATCTTTCCTGTCTATCGCAAACGTCAAATTGCTTTGAACAGAACCTCAATAACCGAAAATAGGGATACCCTTACAGAAGCAAGAAAGGAAAGAAAGGAAAGCTTCAGAAATGTAATTTTCAAGTCCTTTGTATTCAAGGCTTTAGTCAAAACAGCCTCTGGAGAAAATAATCTTTCTGTTAAATGTTATTTTCCTGTCAAAATATTCCTGAGTTGAATATGCAAGTTTGCTATTTTAAAACCGCCTGCAAATTATTATTTTTGAAACTGAAGCAGCTGCTCGAATCGATTACTGTAGTAGAGAAATATTTTTGGAACTTTCAAGAGAACCAACAGCCAGATACAAGGCATTTTGAAAATTTTGAAATCGTTCTATGAGACTTATCATGAAAACAGAAGTTTGAATAAAATTGTTCCCAAGTTTTTTGGGTTTTTCCAAAAAGCTTCTGTGTATGCCGAAGGGATAAATTATGTAAATATGGCGGTGGAGAAAAAATTTGACGTGGCAATTCCATATACACACACGCATGTCAGGAAATTACCCCTGAGTTCGGAAGGCAGCTTTAGGCAGTTGGTAGCTAGCAAAACAGAGACAAAGACTTGAAGCTTAGAATACTTCAGAAGAAACAAATGACAAATTCGGATGGAAGAGGACAAAAAGTGGGAGGTATCGTTTAATTGCGTTATCCAATGAAAATGACGCTTCAGGGCGAGACTAATTCCCAAAACGAATAGCTTTCTTTAATTTCATTTTTTGATACGCGGCCTCAAGAACAGGGCAAAAAATAAAAAAAAAAAGGAAATTTCACTTTACTTGCCATCACAGAAAAAGAGCTCGAAATTGACAACTTGAAAAAGTTTATAATTTCAGGAAAAAAAACTTGGTGAGCTTCTAAAACAAGATTTCTTTTCATCAATTTTTTCTGCAGATTGAAATAATCGAAAGCGCAAAGAAGGAAATACGTAGTATTTTTCTTCAATGACTATTTCCCTTGCCATCAATCTTCATTGCTGAAAGATAGCGGAACACCTTTGAACAGTCGCAAAATGTTTCTAATTAGCGACCACGCCTTACCATTATTACACAGAAAGTTAGAAAGACAGTCAAGTTAAACTTAGAAAATTTTCGAAATGAAAACAACGCCAATTTCGATTATTCATTATCGTTTTTTGAGCGCGTTGAGAAACTTTTAAATTATTTCGCAGTAAACATTTTCAACAGCTGGACTGCAATTTTTGAAGCAGTGAACTTCTCTAACTTGAGAACAGTGACACGACCGCTTTGCGCCATAATCGCTGTCCTTCAAAATACGGCTCTATTTCTGTCAGAAAAAAAGACGTGAAAAAAGAGGGTTCATCGAAAAAAAGTGTCCATATTAATCTGTCAAGGTCGAATGCGGTAAAACCCAATTTTCTAGTTTTTCACGCTCAAAACTGTCTTTTGAGAGAAATATTTCAAAGTATTTGATTGTTTGTGACAGGAGGAGATTCACCTCGGTAGACAGGCGCATTCGTTTCGGTCGCATCAACTTTTTTCGACTGAGAATTTTCCCCTTCATCTTTACGCGGTGGTTACAAGGTTCTTAAAGAAAAAAATATTTGGATAAAAAAAGTGAGCATAATGAAAAAAATGTTTTTTTGCACATTAGTGAAAGCTGTAGTTAAGTGGTTTTCGTGCCAATTAGCTCTGTGATTAGTAAGTCTGATTATTTTTTTCTATTATTACATCAATGACAGAAATGGTCATTTTTTTGAAATAAAATCCAATTGAAATCAACTAAGGGTGTCTTCAACGAAAGATTTTCAATAAAGATCTTTGAAAAAAATAAATTTACTCTCTTTCCGAAGGCGAATTCAAGACAATACAAATAAATATGGCTCAGTCCTTCCAACTTTAAAAAAAGATTATTGTCTAAAACTAATATGAATCATTCAAAATTGTATATCGACATAGAAATCCACATCGTGAACTGGCGAACTCTCTCAGAAACAGCTTGAGCTTCTTTTTGAGCCTTCATATTAACATTAAGGTTTGTGGCCTCAGGTGACTTTACTCGTATTTCCCATAAGGTTTTTTTGACATCAGTGCCTTTTTTAGAACAAATATCGAATTCTTCATACCTTCTTTGAACATCTGATTTACACTAATTTATTTTTTCGCGAAGAGAATAGACAATGAATCGCTCCTATGAATCACATCCGCAATATCACAACAATTATGAGAAGCCCGACAAGAAAAAAAAAACAAAAGAAGATCACTTGCATATCAGAAGCAAAAAGGAGTTCTTGTCAGTACCCGACGGAATTTCCTTTTTCGTGTCATGGATCTTTTTGGGGAAGCAAGACAAAAACCGAATTGTTTTGAGGGAGAGGCGAATAATGTAAAGCTTGTTTTCCAACGTGCACAACATTTTTCATTTTGCCAATTTTTTCTGTTTCTAATTAGTTCTGTTTGCCTGCTCTACAAATATGAACGAGCACATATGAAATTCCACTCTTTCCAATAAAATGCAGTTTTTTGAGAAGAAAAAATCAGAAAAAACCGTTGAACGGTCACCAGATTGATTTCAAACCATAACACGTACTCGTCGGACTATTTGAAAACATGATGATGGAAAGGTTGACCGAAAGAATGAACTCATTAGGGATTCAAAAAAAGTACTGATATGCTTGATTTCTTTCTTGTGTGAAGAGAAAACGCGATCTGTGACTGAAATACTCGTAGACGTCGTAAATTGTTTGCAGTGCGATGGTATTGTAGACCATTTGGAGAAGGAAAAAAAGAAGGAGCCCAACAATGTGCGCGCCTTGATTGGAGTCTGAAAATCTTGAGCTTTTTCTCGTTAACAAATTTTTTCGCTGTTAACAACGAAAATAGGTAGAATTCGTTATCCATAACTTTTACCGGTTTTAAAAGTTTTCAGCCAGTTTTTCTGAAAGATATTTTTCTGCTTCTGGGCATCTGACAAAAAACTACGCTCTAATTTAATCATGTCGCAATCCTGAAACTTTCATTCATGACAACGACAATGACAGTAATTTTAGCTGTTCGAAACGATTTTATTACCAAATAAAGCATTTCGATTATATTGGCAAGAGTTCGAAAATTCTTCTTTACTTTGAAAATTCTGTATGCACCCGAAATTTAAAACTATTTCCAGTACTTCTAATGTGCAACTATTTTCTTCGTGATACTTTGGCAACAAATACGAGTGTAACGATTGAACTAACGATCGATAGTGGTGATCCTCCATTGCATTAACTGAAGTAACGTCGATTTTCGTATGACTGCGAGCACGGCCGCCACAACCAGGAACATCGCATACATGATAATTTCACAAGCCTGCAAAAATTAGAATCCTTCCAAAAAATTGTAAAGTAAGTACTTTTTGAACAAAATGTTTCTCACAAGGAAGGTATTTCATTTTTACGGCGTAGAATTCTTTGAGATTTGGCCAAAGGTTGCCTCCACTACAGGAAAAAGGATTTTAATGTCTCAAACTGCCAACTCATTCGTTTAGAGAGAAACGAGCTCAAATACCAAAAAAAAAGCTATTTTTACAAAATTGAATGGTTATGAAAGGTTATTGAAGGGTTAACTTGATATGTTTTTTCTTCAAAACTATGAAATTGTGTAAGTCGAGATTTCCAAGGATTTTATCCACTTAAGTGAGTATACTGGCCAATTTTTAGAAACTCCCAACTGCAGAGTAAAACTACTCTCTTATTCAGATAAGAAAAACACTCTCTGATTTTCAGCTTTCTAACTGACCTTCAATACCATGAAAGGCATCAGAAGCTGATGTTTATGTCTTGAAATAGCAAAAGCCGTGACGCCCCATATTGTTCCGACTACGACAACTTGAAAAAAAGAAACTGTGTCGAAAAAGCCGACGGTTAGTGGCACCACAACGACATATAGAAACAGTAATGATATTTCGATAAGTAGGATCACTTGACCGGCAACCTGAAAAAAGATTATATTTTTAGAGTTAATGGTAATTTTTTTAAAAAAATAGTTCCTAGGGGCTAAATAGGAAAGAATTTTGGATGGAAATCCAATTTTCTGCTGTAAGTTCTTACTGCTTGTTTTGAAAAATTTAAAAAAATGAGGAATTTTTTTCATACATTCATGACGCGTTCATTAAAAATATGAAAAAAATAGGAGTCCCGCTTTTTTTCATATTTTTTTGAACCAAAAAAATCTCATTTTCACAACTTCATTCATCCCTTTGAAATAAATAAGAAGAAAAATAAGCAGCAAAATGAATTATTTACTGACTTGCCATGGCATTATTTGGAAAAATTTAGAATTCAACTTATTCTAACTGAAAACTCCATAGTTAGACTTTGAGTTTATGACTCGAAAAAAAAACTTTTTTGTGAGCGATGAATCAAAAGTAACTTACAACAACATGTGCCGAGTTGTAGAACGTCGTGTAAGCTTCACCGAAGAAATATGCGCCGTCGTTGCTGCATTGTGCAGCTGTTCCCATGCTGCGAAACGATTCTGATTAATTTGCTACTTGTTAACTGTCGTCGGTTTTGTTGAAATTTGCGAACTGGGACAGGAAAAATAGCGCGAATAAAAAAAGAAAAAGTTCCGAAGAATGGATGAACCAGAAAACTGTTTGGAAGCCCTAAAAGGACTTGCTTAGACTAGTCAGCTCTTTTGGCTACGGCACGTGTGAACCTGGCTCACAGGTTCGAGTTGGTTCATAATGAGTGGCGAGATGTCTCGTCTTCGTCACATATTTTCTTTGGGCGGCCTGCCGGGTTGTCAGTTGGCGTGTTCAGGTCGTCATTACTGCGCACACGACGCGTATTGGCCAACATTCTTGGATAATTTGCATATTATCAACAAAGCTTCGAGCTTGAAAATTGCAACTCTATAAAGATGTGTTTCCAAGGTTTTTTATTGCTATGTCAATCAAAAAAGTTATTTTTTTTTTGCATTAGCAACAACTCTTACTTCGATTTCTTGATGGCCTTGTAGGCTCAAAATCCATTATCTCCTTTACACGATGGAAAGCTCGGAACATGAACTAATTTTTTCCTACATGCCAGAAAAGATGACCTCTAGTTAGGACCGTCATAAAAATCAAATGTCTATGAAAAGGTAATTTTTGGTATAGTACCTATTAAATTCAACTCTATTCGCTTTTTATATGATATACTAGATCAAGAGAAATTTTTTTTTATTCTTCTACTTTTCTCTAGACGAGACCTTCTTTCTTTCATTGAATATATACTTTAAAAGAGGATCAATTTCATCGATACTCTTCGATTCCAAACCAAAAATAAGAATGGAGTTATCTTCTGACGATGCTGAATTGTTTTCTGAGAACTACTATGTGAGTTCTTTGTCTCGAAATTTCGATTGCGAAATAACCGATTAGAGCTCCGACAAAAAGTATATTAAGAACCAGAGATAAATTTCAAGTGAAAACTATCTTCAGGATAACTTCTTTTTCAAATGTCTTTCGATTATGTTTGTAAGTTGACACGCCTTACCATTTTCTATGCCGTCCATCAATTGAAGATATTTAAGCGTTTAAGTGCACGGAAAAACTTGAATAGAAAAACTGAGGAAGAAAAAAATCCGAAAAAAACCGACTGCAGTTCTATACTAAGAAGTCGGATGAAAAGAACAAGGAGATAAAATATCGACCAAGAAAGCCAGACCTGCCGTGGCATTTAGCAACACGGAAGAAGTGTACAGCATCAATCACTATAGTTTAACATAAAAAAGCGACGAGCCGAGGAAAAAGCAGCAAGGGACCACTGGAACCAAGAAAAGAGATGCACCTGCGCCGGAAGGTGCCAATAACTGGCGGCGTTTATGGCGGTCCAGAACCTGCTGTTCGCGGCAATCACACAACCTCGTCGAAGCTCTCGTCGCTCGACAATAAGCAAATCAACGAGATAAGCAGGTACAGATACAATGAGTGATGAGTGTAATGTACGTGTGTTGCGAGAGCGGCGGCTCAATCGTCGACAGCTTTCGGGCGTGAGAAAAAACGCGGCCCGCTGCACGTTGTTCAGCTCCAGTATCTATCCATGTACTGTAGTATCGCATTTCGTGCTTCACTCAGTTCTAGCGCTTGGTTACGGAAGTGTGGCGCTGAGACGACTTTGAACCTTCATGGAACCGAGTGAAATGAGTTAACGCAAATGTTTAAGATTTTTTTAGGTGTATACAAAAAAAATTTTTGAGTGAATGTGATTGTATTCTACTGACAAGGGAAGTCACTTTGCTTTGCGCTTGGGATTTTCCTGCAAGTTGGCTAAACACTTTTTAATTTACCAAAAGAAGGTTCTTAAAGTCTCGATCTCTACAATTTCCTCGCTTTTGATAAAAACGTACATCGAGAAATTTTCTGGCCGATTTTCAGGGAATTCCCAACCGCAAAGTAAAGTGACCTCCACTGTGAAAAATTCTATGATTTTGCAATGAGTCGTACCAATATTTTTTCAATAAAATTATAGATTTCTCGAAAACTTCACTGACTGAACCTCAACTTTTTTTAGATTGTTATATCAAATAAAAACCAAACAGTTTATTGAAATCTCTGTGAAAATAGGCATACTTTATAGTTGATTTTTCACAGCTTTAAAGACGAAAGAGGCAGAGAGAAATGCGGGACGCGTAGCGTGTGCGTATGCGGTTTTTACCACAAGTTCAATTCAACCGTCATCGATTGTTTGAAAAGCTCAATCACCGCTCTTTCCGTTTCTTTTTGAACTCTTCATTGATTTTTTCATTTTATCGAAAAATAGTAGTATAGATACAATAAAAGCGTTGACCGAGTTTCCCAAAAGGTCGGTGGCGCTTGAATTGAATGTATATCAAAAACCGCGTACGCACACGCTACGCGTCACTCCTCTGACTTCCTTGTCTTTCAAGTCGGTAAGAACGAACTATAACAAGTATAAAATTTTTCGCATTTTGAATCTCACAAAAAGTTTATAAACTTGGGCTTCCACACGGCTAAGTCAAAAAATGCACGAATATTATTTTTAACATGTGTGTAAAGAACTTTATTCAAAATTGTCTCAAGCCAGAGGTGCAAGAAGTTTTGCTCAAAAAGGCTGAAAACTCGTAGTTTGGATCAAAAATGTCCTTTCTTCATTCGCAATTTTTTTTTCTTTTCATTGGATAACTAATCTGTTATCAAAAAGAAAAGCTAGAAGTTCAAAGTAAGAAATTGAAAAAACCTTAGAACCTAAAAGCATTTCAAAAAATTGCGCCATAAGGTGAATGCCATTTTAAAAAACAATTGCTCCACAAGCCGATTTCTATGAATTTCGAATCGCCGTTTTGGCGCCAAAGAGCCATCGCCGTTTTTTTGTTTGCATTGCCACGACAGCAACTTTGTTCGGCCACACCACGTTCTATATCCTGCACGACGCATTCATTTTTGATTAAACTATTAGAAAAAAAGCGTTAGAAAGAACTTTCAATGTTTTGTTTTTTTTTACCCAGAACTTCCTGTTGATTTTTCTTTTTTTGGTTTCAGTTCCATGAGCTTTTTTTGGTTCAGGTTTTTTTGGAGTAGCAAAAAAAGCAAAGAAGGAAAATTCAAGGAGGGGATTTCCGTTATTCTCCTCATGTATAATATATAGCTTCTTTCTAGCTCGAAAAAAATTTGAAAAAAAGCTTTCTGCTTCTCGCAACTTTTTAGAATATATTTAATTCAAATATACTCAAAGAAATCTTAACAAAAAAATTTATCAATCAAAAAAATTTTAGTTTTTGTCGGAAATCACGTACAGTTTTTCGTTTATTGAAAAGTCGAGTAATCCTTTGAAATCGAATACTTTCATTTGTTTTCCTAAGTTAACTTGGGTTACTCCATAAAACTTCTCACAGATTCCCAAACTTTTTTCAAATTCATTGTGCTCTCTTATTTGTTTTCATGCACTGAACACATTTTATTTCACGCATTTTCTCTCTTGCCGCCATTTTATTTTTTAAAATTTCGTTCTTATATGTGCATTTCCAAAACAACACATTTGAATGGCAGATAATTTGAGCCAATTCAGGTGATTGGCCAAAATGGAACAACTTCTAAAGCATCTTCCTCACTGGTCGACTGAGAAAAAAGAAGTTGCGTTGAGGTAAAAGTTTTGAAAAATTATAATCAATGCGTTATTTCTGAATTCAATAAACTTTTTTCAAATTCTATTGCAGGCTGATCATTTTGTTGGTGGCCAGTTTGACTGCCTTCACTGTGAGACTTTTTGCTGTGGTTCGATACGAATCCGTGATCCATGAGTATGACCCTTATTTCAACTACAGGTGACTCGTTTTGTCTTTATTTTGTACTATACCGTCATGTTTTCAGAACAACGCAGTACTTGACCGCTAATGGGTATTACAACTTTCATAATTGGTTCGATGATCGATCATGGTATCCTCTGGGGAGGATCATCGGCGGCACAATTTATCCAGGTTTGCAAAATCCTTATCCTTTTTATTGCATATCCATTAGGATAACACATGTGATGGAATATTTTGCTCATTAAAAAGAGCAGGATGAAACGAATAACTTTTGATAATAGTCTGTGGAAAATTCGATTTGAGAGTAACTGCATCTTTCAGTATAGTTTTTTTTCGTCAGGTCTAATGGTTACGTCAGCGTTCATTTTTAACGTCATGAACTCGATGAACCTCTCGATCCACATCCGGGAAGTATGCGTCTTCCTGGCTCCATTGTTTTCTGCTTTTTACTGTCCTGGCGACTTTTCTTCTCACAAAAGAACTCAGGGTCAGTTTTGAAATTTGATAATTATGCTTTTTTTAAAGAAATGAGAAATCTAAAGAAGTAAGAAAAAAATCAGAAAAAAAGATTTGGTCGAACATTGTATCAAAAATTTTTCTAATTTGATGAGACATTTTTTTAGATGAATTGGAATAAAAAAGGTTTGTATCACGATAAAAAAACTAAAAGCAGGTTATACAAAAAAATCAAATAATTTTCAAAAAAATTTCCAAAAAAACTGAGAAAAGAAGCTTTTTTCAAGTCTTCCATATTTTTCAAACTTCTCTTATTCAGAATACCGGCGCCGGTTTATTGGCTGCTTGTCTCGTGTCCGTCGTCCCAGGTTACACATCAAGATCGGTCGCCGGATCTTATGACAACGAAGCCATTGCTATTTTTGCCATGCTTTTCACGTTTTATTTGTGGATCAAAGCTGTCAAAACTGGATCGATCTCCTATTCAGTTCTGTGCTCTTTCGGTGAACTTCTCATCAGGAAAAATATAATCAAAGTCAATTTTCAGCCTACTTCTACATGGTTTCATCTTGGGGCGGATACGTCTTTCTTATAAACATCATGCCGCTTCACATTTTGGCTCTTTTGATTACCGGAAGGTTCAACAGAAAGCACTACATTGCTTGGAGCACAGTGAGAAAAGTGTAGAAAAAATGAAGAAAATTTTGAATCTGCCAGGTTTATTCGATTGGAACCATTCTTTCGATGCAGATTCCTTTTGTTGGATTTCAACCGATTCTCACTTCTGAGCACATGGGCGTCAGTTTTTCTTTTTTAATTTCTTTAAAAAATGTTTCATGTTTCAGGCTCTTGGAGTCTTTGGAATCTGCCAACTCGTTGTGTTTTCGCAGTACTTGCAATCGAAAATGTCCAAAGCTTCTTACGATCTTCTTTTCCGTTCGGTTCTCTACGGCCTGGGATTTGCTATGTTGGCAACAATAGTTTTGCTGTCTATCTTCGGAAGTAAAAAATCGGAGATTTATCACTCAATTTTATTTTTATCTGATTCAGAAATCGCCCCTTGGACAGGAAGATTCTATTCTTTATTGGATCCTTCCTACGCCAAAAATTACATTCCTATCATCGCTTCGGGTATTTTTAAATTGATGTCTGTTGGAGCCTTGAATGAAATACTTCAGTATCGGAGCATCAGCCGACAGCTTGGTCTTCGTTTTATTTCGACCTTCACATTCTTGTCTTCACGTTTCCAGTCGGGCTTTACTACTGTTTCAGAAACCTCTCTGATCACAACATTTTCATAATTCTTTACGCTGTCACCAGCATGTACTTCTCGGTTTGTCATAGATTTTTCAATGTTTTTGATAAAGAATTTAGGGTGTTATGGTACGTTTAATGCTTGTTTTGGCACCTGTCATGTGTATCATGGGAGGAATCGCGCTAAATGGAGTTCTATCTGGATTCGCTAAAAACTTCGAAGACCAACCGGTAAGAAAAAAACCAACTTAAATATTAATGAAGTAGGTTTCAGATCGCAAAGTCTAAGAAAGATATACAAAAAGCACAGAACTACCCGTACAAAAAAGAGGTCAGTTTCTGGGATTTTATAGGGAATCTCTTTTTTCAGGTTGCCACTGGAGTCTACGCAATGATCCTATTTCTCGGCGTATCTTACATTTTCCACAGTGTCTGGGTGACGAAAGAATCGTACAGTAGCCCATCGATTGTATTGAGTGCAAGGTTAAAGAACCCGTGATGTTATCTTTCAACGCTGAACATTGCAGAGGAGCTAGGGGTCAGGAGATTATTTTTGACGATTTTCGAGAAGCGTATTATTGGCTGAGACAGAACACTCCTGAGGTTCGTTCTTTTTGAAATAATCGATACACAAGGGCGAGTTCAGGATGCTAAGATAATGTCGTGGTGGGATTACGGATACCAGATAACGGCAATTGCTAATCGAACTGTTATCGTTGATAACAATACTTGGAACAATACGCACATCAGCAGGGTAAGTTTTTTTATATTCTTGATCAAACCTAAAAAAAATCACTCAAGCTCATTGATATTGCGTTGTGTTTTGAAATTTTGAGCATTTGGTCAAGGTTCAAATTTTGAGCATATCCTACGATTGGGCCGGGTGTTAAAAGGGTACTCTACTGACAAGGAAGGTTATTCTACTCCGCGGTAGAGAATTACTTGAAATTTGGCCAGAGAACTTCTTGATTTGCCTGAAAGTCTCAACTTGTCCAACTTTCTAGTTTTTGTGAAACGACACCCATAGTCGTAGAAAACTTTCAAAGACCTTGAAAATCGGCCTTTTACTATTTTAAGCCCTTATTTTTTGAGAATTAAAAATTTACAACTGTTGAAGCTTCTAAAACTTCCATTTAGTACATCAAGTAAGACTACATTTTTGCCAATTTCCGAAAAATTGCCAACCACCTAGTAAAATTACCTCACTTGTGAGCTATAATGTGTCGCTGTGCGCAAGTAGTTTTTCGTCAGGCGCATTATAAAAGCAGATGTTTGGAAAAGCTGCAAAGACTTTTTTTTAAAAAAATTTCAAGATTTCAGTACATAAAATACAATTTTGAGGTTGGCCAAGCGATGGCTTCGAGTGAAAAAGATGCCTATGAAATAATGAGAGAACTCGATGTTGACTACGTTCTTGTCATTTTTGGTGGCGTTATCGGATACAGCAGTGATGGTTTGAGAAATTTGATTATCTTTGAAGGAAAAGCATGTTTTTAAGATATCAACAAGTTTTTGTGGATGATCAGAATTGGAGGCTCCACTCCCGAAGGCAAACATATCAAGGTAAAAATAATCAATTGATCCCTAAAAACATTTTTTTTTTCATTACTTTGATCCATGAATCTAGAGATTACAAGAAAGTGCTGAAAAAAGTTGTCCGATTTTGAAAAAGACTTGGTGCAGTTTTAATGGCCTTTTCCGATGAATGTGGCTCGAAAATTTTCGATAAAATAAATAAGATTTTTTAAGTTTTGTGACGCCTTCAAAAAACGACCGTGAATTTTTCCCCCTATTTTTGACATTCAGGAAACCGACTTTTATACTCGCGACGGAGAATATCGCATTGACAAAAGTGCTTCAAGTACAATGCTAAATTCTTTGCTCTACAAGTTGTCTTATTATCGATTCGGTTACACTTTCATAGCTCAGGTTTTTTTTTCGTTAAATTTTTCATTTCATAAAACATTATTCAATTTAGGGATATCCAACCGGTTTCGATCGCGTGAGAAACGCGGAAATCGGCAACAAAGACTTCGAACTGGAATATCTGGAAGAAGCCTACACGACAGAACGCTGGCTCGTCCGCATTTATCGCGTCAAAAAACCTAAAAATCGTTTTTGATATTTTAGTTCAGTTATTTAACTAGTATACTTCGTTGTTACTGTTTCAGGGGTATCGTGCTTTTAATTCTTTGAAGCCAAATATTCGTTTTTTATTTCGCAACTTTGCGGGAAACTTTATAAATAAATACGCGTATCATTTTGAAATTATGAACTGACTTGAAAAAAAGAATGATTTTCCGAACTTCTCAAAAATTGGAGTTTGGGTAAACTTAACGATACTGCAGAAAAGATTGCAAAGAACAAAATATTTGAAATGCAAAAAGAAGAAAAGATGTGGATGAGTGGGAAACCCTTCATTCAGAACAGCCGCAATCTTAAAAATATCAGTTAATGCTGTTAAAGGGAAACTTTTCGACGGTTTTTGTTCGCGTACGATAATCGAAAGATAGTGAGCGTGCAAATTGTCGTGAAGTCTTTCGCACTACAATTCCTACAAAAAAAGACTGTCTTTGTTCCCTATCTTTTGAGGGGGCTTTTTTTTCTTAATATTTCTCTTCGTCTCGGCAGTGGCGCTCGCATGTGGCATATTGATCAGACCATATCGTTTCCTTTTCTCATTTCATTCTGTGTCCCTGCCTTTGTAGAAATATCCTTCTCAGTCTATTAAATTGAGATTCCGCGACAGTTTTCTGAACGTTTTCTGGAACTGTTTTCATTTCTCAATGTTCAGGTAATGTGTTGAATTTGGCTGCATGTGAGACAGAAGTTACCATGAATTGCTGTCCTAATCAGCTGAATTCACTTGTCTGGCGACATTTACGCGACTCTGGTAAACTCTAGTCATCTTCACTTCTCAAGACGTTTCTAGGATATCATCGGTCGGCATATCTCTTCTACACTGAATGTGGTCTCGCTGAAGCCGGTCTGGCTGATAAAATAGAGTCGCTTCCTAGGGGAAGTCTACTTAATGTCGTTCAGGTATTGAAGGCCCATGATCAAAAAACTCTTCAACTTCAGAAGGGAGTACTATACACTGAAGCAGTTCAACCAAAGGAGATCCGCGACGTGAGGACCGACCAAGTCACTGTTTTTGAAGCAGGTATTACTCAGCTAACCAAGAATGTGGACTTTGTTCCTACAGGGTTGAAGGGACTTTGATCTCATTTATGGTTTTTAGACATGTTCTAAATTTCAGCTGGACTTGTCGTGGAACCAGAAAGAAGGGAAACCAGTCGACAAGATAATCTCGAAGATATAATTGACGTTGTCGGAACAAGCGGACCGTCTTCAGATGTTCCAAGAGAAACGAACGCGGCTGTTGAATCCAACGGTTCTGCACAGAAAAAGAAAAAAAAAGCAACGAAGAAAAATGAAAGAAAAAGTCAGTTAGAAACGGATAATGAGAAAGCGCCGCTCAGCGGATCTCCGTTGTTCGTTTCGCAACACAACGAAACTGTCTCAAGTGAGACTGTTCCTAGTGGCCCGACCTTAGGAAACCAGGAAATGGTGAGCTGGGCTTTTCTTAGAGAATGTTCAAAATCAGACTTCAGGTATCCCACAGCAGCGATTTCTCCACGTCTCTCACCGCTTTGAAACCAGAACTTCCTGCACCAACCTTTCAACCTTGTGAACTTGGAGGGCCAAAAGAGTTGACTCCGAACACGTTGGTGAAAGAAGAAGGAACTAACAATTTTCTCAATTCAACATTGGCGAATCTCACGAAGAACATTGTTCCTGCGTCATACGGAGAACACCTTCCACAGTCTTTCCGCGCAATACTACGAGATGCTCCTTCTTCTTCGTCGTCAATATCTCTATCACCGGAGCTTCTTGCAATTCTCACATCAACAGATCCTTCATTCCTGAACGCCCAATTCACACTTTTACCCCCAGTTCTTGCCTCTTCGACAACATTTTCTGTACCTTCCTTGACTTTTTGTCCTCCCGTGGTTTCTTCAGTTGCACCGACGCTCCCTCCTCAGAGAATTCTGAGATTCAATCCGCCGCCAATAATGCCGGCATTGCCGACAATGGTATCGCCGAAAGTCCCTGTGAAAACAGAAACGTCATCAAACGAAAAATCCGTTACCGAAGCTCCTCCAATAGAAAAAATGATGACTCGATCAAGAACTAGACCACTTGTGTCTGATCCACCTACTCTCCCTCCCGTTGTTGCTCCCAAAAAAGAGCGACGACACAAATTGGCTTCACTTCGGGAGCATTTTTGTTCGCTTGCACGTGCCAAACAGATAACAAGACATCCTCAGTTCGTGATTCGAACACATTTGAAATTAGTACCAAATTGTTTTTCAGAGTTACAACAGGCCTACATTTTGAGCCTTGCAGTTATCAATTATTCCATAGACATCGTGGTGAAATTTTCAACAGTGCTTGGAATCCACTCATTGACTATTTAGTAACAGGGTTTTTTCGACATTTTGAAACTTCTAAAACAAAATTTCCAGTTCGGCAGACTCAGATGCAAGAATTTGGGATTTGACGGAGGTCAACAGCCGAAAATATGAGGGGAGCAACGTCGACACGATAACTAGACGTCTTCCACATCATACTGAGGCTCCTGATACTCCTGAGGCCATTTCTAGAAAAGTTAGGAATCATGATTTGATGAAAAAATGCTTCGAAATTCTGTGATTTCCGCAAATGATTTCGAAAAAAGAAAAGCTAAATTGTGCGTTTGAAAGTAAAGCTGCTCCACAATTCACGCAAAAAAAACACTTGTTGAAATACTTTTGAAGTCTTAATGATAAACTTATCATGATATTTCCGGCGGTCACTTCTTTGGATTGGAACCGCACTGGATCAGTTTTGGCGACTGGTTGTTTTGACGGCGCAGTTAGGCTCTGGACGCAGACAGGTTTTTCATTCAGTCTTTGAACTGGAAGCAAAATAAGCGAAATATGCTATTAAGGACATCTTCGCAACACTTTGGAAGCGCAGAAGGGACCAATTTCGGCGCTTCGATGGAATTATAATGGAGATTATCTCATATCTTCAAGTGTGGACAAGTCTGTTGTTGCTTGGGATTTGAGAAACACCACGGGTGAGAAATTCCCTTCAGTCTTCAATAAGAAAAATTGTCCTGCACTTGCAACTGACCTGCTTCAGTCGGACCAAAAAGCAACGATTCAGTTTTAGCAAGCAAGGCGGCGATCGCTCAGCAGTTCTCGGTTCATAATACTTCTGTGGTGGACATCTCTTGGGTTTCCTACGACTCTTTCATTTCATGCTCAACCGACAAAACTATCAAACTTTGTGAAATCGGAATGGAAGGCTCGCGGAAGACCTTCTTAGGACATACAGACGATATCAACGCCGTCTCTTACAATCATAACTGCAATCGTTTTGCTTCTTGTTCGGATGACCGAACGGTCAAGGTAGGAGAGTTGATCAGATGAAATTTCGAACTTGCTCTTTCAACTTTGGGGCACGGGGCTATTTTTTTAATGTTCTCAGAAGTTGAAATTGCGGAGAAGCTCAACCTGAATCGCCGTCAGTGTATTTTTGAGTTAGTGGCTCAAAACGGAAAATAGAAGCTTCAAAAAACCGATAAACTTTTTTTTCGCATTGATAACGCATGAAAAGTTCTCTCAGGCTGTGCTGATAAGAAAGGTCGTCTTACAATTACCTTCAAAGTTCTTGAGTCACATAAAACCTATCTCCATATTTTGATCCAACTGAACATTCCAGATTTGGTCTGTGAATGAATCTTTTCCTGTAGCTGACTTAACGGATCATACGCTAGAGATCTATTCGATGCGTTGGAACCCGCAAGGAACTAACATTGCCAGGTATTCTCAATTCAGAAGGGTTTTACAAAGATCAAAGCTTTGAAGTGCTTCTTTTGATACCACAGTCAAGCTGTGGGACGTTCAAAGACAGAACTGTCTGCACACGTGGGAGAATATCGGGAAGCCGTCGCAGTGCGTCGCTTTCTCGCCTGATGGAAAGTACATGTGTATCGGAGGCAGCTGCCGCTCGCTTTTTATTTACGATCTGAGGGTTTTCAATGCAAAAAGTAAAATTAACATCAGAAGTTTCCAGAGCTATACCTTGGTCAAAACTTTTATAACTGAAAACGCATTGACCGGATTCAGCGAAGTTTGCTGGAACGTGAGTGGAGAAAAATTGACGGGAATTTGCAGTGATGGATCGGTTTGCCCTTCTCGAGGATTGAAGATTGATTTTTATGTTTCAGATCATGCTTTTCGACACGCGGTTTCTGGGACTTATCCGCTAGATGAAACAATTTCAGCTTTGGAGCAAATCTTTAAAAGCTCCGAAAACCCATAAAAAATGAGAAAAATGTAGTTTTCGGAAAGAAAAAACTCAAAGTTGCAGGAGATTATCTAATTTGTATCAGAATGTACTTTGTATAACAAAGCATTGCTTGAGATTGAAAGATTAGAAATCATATCATGTTTTATCCATTCCCCGGCTGTGCCAGCAAATCATATTTCTACTCTAGGACCGTATACTCAGTTTCTAATTTTTCAATTCCATTGAAATTTTCCCTTTATCAACTTTCTTTTTAATGATTGCCTCCAAGAGCTGTAAGTCTTCTTTTTTTTTGAGTTGAAAAATGTTATTCATTCCAAGTATTATAATCCTCATTCCACATCTTCAGCATTCATTAATAACCATTCCATTTACGTTAGTTTTTAGTGAATAAATTTTTTTAGATAGAATATTGAAACTTATGAATTTGTACGATCTCACACAGAAAGTATTTTTTTAAATCTAACCTTTTTCGGCAAGGTTAACTGAAAAAGAGATCTAGAAATAATTTTTTTCATAAATCAAATCATAAGAACTCTCTGTAATATGGTTCACAATCAGTTCTCTCTTCAAAAATCGATAACTCCATACCTTCAAGAGGCAAGTTCGTCCTTCTCTTCTCAAGTTTTGCAATCATTCGATCAAAAGTTAGCAAATTCGGGCGCCAAACCGTAACCCGTGTTCTTCGAAGAATCTTTTTTTTTTTCGAATTCCTAAGAAGCAAATGATCGAAAAACCACGTGGATCACTGTTGTTCACTTTGAGTTACCGAAATGGGTTGTTTTTCATCGAAACAATGTAACGATGACTATTCAGTTAACCCTACCTGACAGAACGAATTCAGGAAGGACGTTGAAAAAAAGTCAAAAAACCAGTTGATGTCGGTCCCTTTGATTCAATTACACGAACCGACTCTGTCCGGGAAACATGACCCACCACCGGCACGCCTTTTCACGTCTCGAAATATAGCCTGAAATCTGGTGGTTCTCTCTTTTCAATAGAAGTTGATCAGTGGCAAAGATCAGCGGCAGGTCACTTTGTCTTGATTTTCCGTTTGGATTGAAGTCGCCATAAATTGTTTCCTTTCTTTCGCCGTTGAAAACTTCGTTTGAGGATGGACGGAATGATTCCCAATAGCATAGGCTTCTCTGAACGCTCGTTCTAACATTTTCTTTTGAATTAATCTGGTGGATTTGAAGTGAAAAAAATTTTTTTTTTTGAAACTTAAAAATCTTTTCATAGAAAACTTCAAGTAATAAAGGAAAAAGATTTTTGAAATCTGCAATCAAAAAGAAAACTTTGTCTTCCGTTACCTATTTTTCATGAAGGGCATGCCCATAAACAACTCGGAGTTTTTGGCCGATTACTCGGTATTTCTTCTTTTTTTCGACTTTTCTGGACGTGAAGAATTCTCGTAAATATTTACACTGTTCGAAGACTTCATTTCTGTTGTATAAAAGCCTTACTAACTGAAAAACCCTGTGAGGAAGTCGTTAACGTCATTTTTTTGATTTTTTCGTTCGACAAATCGTCTGTTTTAACGTCCTACAGATGAAAGTTTCTGTAATCAAAAGTAACAAAGACTTTTTTTTATTCAATTCAGCAAGCGTCAGAAGTTTGTTTGTGACGTCACTGGTAAGATAATCAACTAACCAGTGAGTCAGAAGAAAATAAATAAAATTAAAGGAGCTCATAAGAAAAACTCTTTTAGCGACCATCTTTGAAGTTAACTCAAAATATAACTGGGGAAAGTTTTTTGTTTCTACCAATGATGATAACTCTATTGTTGTTTGCTTTTTCATTTCTGTTCCTGTATTTCGAATATAGTCTGTTCAGATTTTGAATGTCAAGTCGTCGCTCAAGCTCCGCTCCTAATGGCGCGATAAACCAATCAGAGAGCGAGTCATCCACAGAGTTTTTTTGAATGACGTCATTGCACTTGACATTAAAAATATGAAAAATCTATAGAGAAGAATCGAAACTATTCGGCAGGGCTTTCAAAATCCAGTCTCCAAAAAGGCTAGAGTACAGTAACCGCTATGAAAAATTCTCGCCCTTTTCGTCGAACCAACTTTGCTTAAATCCGCTAACAAGCTCGTCTAGTTGAGATAAGTCGGAAACCCGACGCTGATAATCGCCCAAGATAATGACGTAATCGCCAAGCGGTCACCCACTTTCCCGCCCTCGTGACGTTAATTTGTTCGATTTCAGTTTTTAAAGTTTGCCTAGTCTCTGTCACTTCGCCACTGTGTTTTTCAATGTTGTTAGTTATGGGCGTTGTGTCCCTGTTCGTGTTTCGCGAACACTTCAAAGTAGGAATAAACAAATACTTGCGTAATGACTGTTTATGATTCGCGTCGAGTTTCTGATAAAATCACGTAATTTCCTTCAGGAATGCAAAATGGTGGAACACAGAATCATCTTGATCGGTGCTCTGATTCCCGCCTGCTCTGCTGCCAACGAGCTGATTGCCGAGCAATTTGAAAGTTGGGACTTCGGACATGACAACAGTCACTCTTTCGAACTTCTCCTTGTCGTCCTCTGCTCCATAATTTTCATCACTTCGCTTTTGGTGAGCACATCAAAGAAACATTTTTCGTATTATTCAACTTTCAGTTCATCGTTTTTGCACTTTTCCGAGAGCTTTTTGAATACATCTCCAAAGCACGAGAAAATAGAAGGTTTGTCCTTTTTTGTAGAAAGAGAAATTTGGTATGACTCATGGGAAGTTGTCGTATCCGGTTTGAAAAGACGCAACATTTGGGAAGTGGCATTGATACCGATCCCTTTGATTTATGACAGGGTAGAAGTATTGGAAAGGAATTTCCATAAGGAATTCAATTTGTGAATACTTCAACCTTGAATAGTAATTCCCATAACAATCATGTGACAGAATACTTTGTAGGATCAACTATGCAGCAAGACGATTCGTGCGTATGAACACGGAAGACTACGTGAAAAGCACCGAGAGTGTGGCTTCCGTTCTGATCCAATCCGAACTCATCAAACTGCAGGGAGAAAAAGTCGGAGCGCGCAAGGCTAACATTGAATCTCTTGATCTTCTTGTCTAATTTCTGACCTTCTTTCTCCGCGTCGAATGTTTTTGTACATAGTTCAGTAACAAACGTCAATTCATACGAATAGGTACTTTCCTGCTTTACATATTACTCGGTTGAGCGAAAAAACAAACTTCATTTATTACGTAGTTTCTCAATTTGAAAAGCGTGAAGCTTCCATCAAATGGCTTTGAGATGTATTTATATTTGTGTAAGGTTTATTGGATTTTTCAGTGTTTCATCTGAAAAAGGAACTTTGAAGTAGACTGGAACCTGGTTTGGGTAGTTCATTTATTGTTGATATTGGTGAAGTTCACTCTCTCATTTCTCCAATCAGGCAGTGGAATTGTGATTATATGTAGATGATTTTTGCTCTTCTAAAAAGTCATCATACAACCATAATTAATGATAAATCATCCCGCTAACTAAAAACCTTCTGGATTGCTTTTTGGTGCTTTGTTTTTTAAATTTGCAGACCCATTTAGAATTATTCCAATTGTTGTTTTCTGAAATTTCAATGTCGTCGGGTGCAATATTCATTATTGACAACAGTAGCGTTCCATCTTCTTTTTTGTTTGTTTTTTCCGGTTTGTATAAAGTTCTTCTTAATTTTTTTTTTAGTGTTGGAGACATATGACACGCACTTCTGTCTGTCGTTGTGGAAAACAAGACAAGAGACCGCAAGGTAGAACTGGTTGTGAAACAGCAAAATGCACTCAAAAACAAAAAGTTGAAGTGCGGCTCTTATTTTGACCGGTAACGAGAAGGGAAGTAAAATCAATGGTCGACAGAGTGGAGCAAACAAAAGATACTGCACACCTATTGTATTTTGTTGAAAAATTCTGTCTGTGGCTGAAAATTTCGATAGAAACTTTTCAAGGTTTTCTGCGGACTTTTTTCAGTTGCATTTCTCAAGTTTAATTTTTACTCAAAATTCTAGTTTTATTTCACCTTAAAGCTTAGTTTTCACTTTAAGTTAGAGAAGAGCATAATAATTGATCATCTTCAGAACAGAAGTTAATATTTTTTTGTAATTAGAAGTAAGTTTGGTTCAGATAATTTTTCAACCATATCAAAATTATAAAGGAACTTCTACCACTTCTCAGTTTCAAACCGTCAAAAGCTGATAGTCCAAAAAAATAAGGTACTTAAACAAGATTTGACTATTTTTTTCTGGGTTCAAAAAGCGTTCCTTAATGGAAAAAGTTTTTGCAAAGTGCAGTATTCAAAAATATTAAATTTGTATAATAATTTTTTTGGTGATCCTCATACCATCCTAAACGGCAAAGAAAGATCACATTTTAATCAATTTTTTAGACGTATCTGAACAGAAAAAGGTATAAATGACTAAACCATCGTCGAAGAGTTCATTTTGTTTTATTCGTCATAGTGCTCTTGCACTTCGAGAATTCATACCGTTGTTCAAAAAAGTTTAATTTGCTGTAATCGACAATGCTTTATGTTGAAATCAAAATGAGTGAAATCATGTCTTTTTCCACATTTCTTGTGACTAGAAAGTCTTACAGCTGTTTAGAAAAATGTTTAATCATTTACATCTTTCTGCGTGTCCAAGTTTTTTCTAAAATAAACGCCTGATTGCGAATTATTCGTTTCTATGAGAGATATTGTTCCGTCCAATCTACCCAACACGGCAAGCTCTATCTTTTCATCAATTATCTTTTACTTCCAAAGACTGAAAGTTTTTTGCCATCTTCTCTTCAATGTGCACGAAAAAGTCAAAATCTTATTCTCCTTCCTGGTTCATTGTGATGATTGATAGATATAGAAAGTTTATCATTGCACGCTTGTTTTGATGCATCCAATGCGATCCGCAAGAAACTGGAAATCTTGTACAAAAAAAGTGAGGGTTTCAGAGGTTTAACCGACTTTGAGAAAAAAATGTTTTTGAAAAAAATAAGACTTTCGAAAAAAATTTTTCAAGCTCCTATTTTATTAAAGTTCCTCAATTCAAATTGAATAAGTGCGAAAAATTTTTTTTTTCAAAATTCTTGGAATGAGAGAAAATTTTTATCCTAATTATTGACTGCTGGAATCAGAAACATTCCTCGGAGGATGAAAAAGAAGATCCTGAGAGTTTACATCTTTCTAGTTTTTGAGAAAGGAGATTTTTAAGTCGAAGAAAATCTTCGAAATGCGTTAAAATGAGCTTTCTTGGGACTTTGAGCCCATTTCTTGAAAAAAGTTGAATATTTTTTTGAAATTTTACGTTAAACGCAATGAGAAAACATTGGTAATTTTGTGTAATCGAGCCATTCTAGTGATTTTTTTTTTTTGAAAAAAATATTTTCTTTATTTCGTACGTCATTATTTAAAGCAGTGAGAAACACTGAAATGATAACAAGAGGGTGACTAAGAAAGTGAAATTTTGAAAAAAAGCGTATCAGTGCTATACATTTCAAAATTGAAGTTTCAATGCTGCATTCTACCTTTTTTCAAAGGAGTGCTACAAGTTATGTTTTCGAATCGATCTGTAAATAATATTTGAAGTCTACTTGTTACTGAGATGTTTTTGAATATTCTCAAGACTTTTTTGATACGGTAGTGAATAGGGGAACTTACTGTTAACAAGCAAATAAAAATCTTCAGAGAACCAAAGTCATAGAAAAAAATTGAATCTTCTGATATTGAAATTTTAAGATTTGAGATCTTCCAACTGTTCTATTAAATCAGGTTCTGCATTAACCACCGGACAAAAATTTAAAAAGATATAATCTTCACTTTGTTTTTTTAGAAAGACATTTGGAGAACTTTGAAACCAAACTCAAATATAAGACAAATTCCGGCCGACTACTGAGTTGATTCAATCTTTGAGAAAACGAAGAAAGACTATCTTTTTCGTTGCTGAGATGGAATGAATTTTTCAGTTCAAAGACGCGCTCAAAAAAACCCCTGAAAAAAATTGCTCAATTTTACTTTTTTTATTTCATAAAAAAACCTTTTTTTTCTGCATTTTTTTAAAAAAACGAGCTTAGTAGTTGCAAATTTCTTCGGAGTTCTAAGATGCCCAAAATGTACTAAAAAAAACTGAGAAGATTACTTTCTTGAAAAATTCGAAACCTCTAAAACTTCCGGAAGTAAAATTCGTAGTTATTATGATTCTACTTTAAGAGCAAAAAACGGATTTTCGAGAAAAAAAAACGTCAAAAATTTTTGATCAGTTCTTTTTTTTCAAGAAATAAGCGTTCAATGGAGCACGTTTACTACTTCTCGGTAGAGTGTTAGTTTTTCGAAAAAAGTTTTGAGATCGGCGATACCAAAGTAACAAGTTCCGCAGTTCAAGAACATTCTCAGAAACCGGCAAGTCTTGTAAAGACTCAGAAGTCGGCCGCATTGAAGCGCCGGAGTGTTTGCGCTTGACCTCCTCCGTTTTGGCCCTCCGCGCGGAAGAGAGACTCGCATTTCTGGCGGCTTGGTCCACATGTGACGACCAGGGTCCGCGCGTTGCGGTCGCGCGCCTACGCGTCATTCGTAGCGAGATGCCAAAAACTTACCACGATGAACTCCTTCGCCCCCCCCCCATATGACATTTTTTTTTTCTCTGTGCTCTTTGCTTTTTTCTTTTCAAGCTGCGCGATGGTATCTCTCATCTGCTTTTTTTCCCCGCAACAAACGTTCGCATGCGATTGTAATTAAAAGAACCGGTTTTTTGTTTCTCTATGCATTTTTATGGCTTCATTATATTACCTCATTTGGATTCGTCATGAACCTAATTGTTCCGTCGCCTTTTCAATATCGTTTTTCAAAATGAACTTATTTTTGAGCAAACTGGAAATGAATTGGATCGAAAAATTTAAATTCTTGCTTTTCTTTTCATACAATAGATGTATTCTTATACCCCAAGACATTTCTCTTTTTACTGTTTTTTGGTTTTCTGCATTGAATGGAAAATAGAAACAGTTTTCAAAGTTTTTTTTGATGAAATGTTGAAGAAAATTCCCAAATTTCTTGACGTCAAATATTTTTCTTATTTTCTCATATTCCTTTCATTCTTTTCAGTTTAAATTTTGTTGAAGATTCTTTGACAAAGCGTAGGACCTTTTTTTCGTATACTTCCTGAGTTAAGATACTTTTTCTGTTTTTTTACGTCATCTGAGATGAAAAACTTCTCTAATAGAAAAGTCTTTCTAAATTATTTTAAAACGACTCTTATAAACTTGCTAAATAATTTGGGATATTTGTTTTCTTTTTGGGCTCCATTCCACTTCATTGACCTGATTGTTCTGAAATTTGTTTGAATCCGACCATAACTTTTCATTTATCTCAAACTTGCATTTTGAATTTTGCTTCTCCTGACCATCTTCAAGTTTTCTATTTATGATTCTTGAAACACTACTTTGAGATGTGCATCTTTTCAAAAAGTCGGGCTTTTCTTCGAACTTCAAACAGGATCCTCTAAAATCCCGTAAGATTCAAAGTTTTGAGAGTTTTAGCTTTTCCACTTAGAATTTAGATTATTGAAAGCCCAGAAATCCTAAATTTCCTACCAGGAAGGTTTTTGACGCTCTCAATTTGACGTATTTGCTTAGCTATAGCATGATTTTTTTTTTCTTATTTTTTTCAAAAAAAATTTTAACTGTATTTATTACCTGAAAATCTCAAAGCTGCTTGATGTATCACATCGGAGTAAAAAATTATTATTAATGTTTATTGGACTTTTCCACGGTTTTTTTTTCATGGGATACAGCTTTCACCAGGGAACGTTTTTTACCCCTCGGTTGAACTTTTGCTGAAACTTTGCTGAAGTGTACTTTAGTACCCCCTTATTGCACAACAAAAAAAAATTTCTCTTAGTTATTTTTTGTCATCCTCTGATTTCCTGGAAGAATCTAAAAATAAACGATTGTTCCCAAAACTTTTCAACATGAGGTGCTACAAAGTGTGTAACATAGCTCATTAGTTTAGTTTACTCATTTTTTTCTTTTTTTCTGAATTCTCAGAAATAACTTAATAGAGAAAAAAACTCTAATATTTACGCAGAAATTTTACTTCATTTCTTCATTTCCTGACCTTCTAACATCGGAAAAAAATGTATCCTCTGAATAGCGAAAAACACTTTCAAGATTGTTTTGAACTGAAAATTTCAAAGTTTCTTTTTTAATGCGTTGAACCCTTTTCAAAGCTCAAAAATTCAAAAAAAGCCTAAAAAAACTGGAAAAAAACTGAAAGTTTCAAGAATGAAAGAATGACAAAAAAATGGAGGCTGAGAAAATCTAGAGAAAAATATGATGTCGCATGATTTTGGTAGAAATGTTTTTGCGCCGTGATTTTCCGTTGAAAGCTTTGTGGGAACGCGCGCGATACTCTTTTCTTCCCAACGACACAATAATTCTTTTTCATTTCACTTTGGGTTGAAGGAAGAATTTTATTATTCGTGCTATAACCTGATCATTCATTTAATTGAGCTTCAAAATACACTGTATCTATCTGATTAACAAGAAAAGTAATATGATATTTTTCAAAATTGAAGCTCATTTATGTCTAGCTTGGGTCAAAAAAAAAGGTGGTTTAATTTTCGCGGCGATGGTAGATCACGACGCCTCCCACTGCGCCTTTAATAAGAATTCATTTCATGACGTATCTACCTTTTTTTGCATTTTGTCTAGCCACAGGTGCTCTTAAAACTCATTGAAGAAGTTCGAAAGGGACTGAAGGCAAAACAACGAAAAAAAAAAAGATTTTTAGGCTTTTTTCGCTGTCTTAAGTTTTCAAAAACAGTACAGAAAGTACGAAAGATTTTTCAGCTAATCACATATTCATCGAAACTTTGGTAACAAGTTAACTGTGATAGGCAACCTGAAGAACTGAAAAATGTAAAAAATGAAATACGAAGCTTGGCTCTGCTGTAGAGATAAGTTAAGAGTGAATAACGGTAATCAGAAAAAAACTTTGGGTACAATTTTAAATTTTCATTGCCCACGGCAAGATTTTTAAACAGAAACTCATAAATCATTTGTCTATATTTCTGAGCCAGATGCCACCTGATCCCATTTAAATAATTCCTTTTTTTTATTTTGTGTTTTTCATAGTCCCCGTCGAAAAATGCATGGTTTACTCTACATAATATATTTCAAATTTTCCGAGAATCTGGAACTTCTTTTCACTTATTTATGAACATCCTCAAAACTAGCAACAGCAAGATTTCCCGATTCACGCTTCCAAAAAAATTTCCTTGCAAATGTGTGCAAAAATATCTTTTTTATCATTTTCGGAAATTCTAATAATTCATAGTGATTTTTTCGTTTCATAATTTTGTGAGCCCTGGTCGACTTTTTTGTACCATGAAAAAAATCTTCCACCATTTGTCATTTTTCATTTTCATTCGTATAGTTGAGGTGTACGATTTGGGACGCGCGATGTTCCCATCGAATAATTTCAGAATAATGGTTGTTCTTTTCAGCTTGCCACCGAAGATCGTTTGAGAAGTCGTTCCGTGCTAATGTTTTGCCAATGAGTCTACCGCAGAATCTCACTTTTGCACGCAATGATTCACGTAAGTCGTATTTCTCAACAAAAGAAAAAGAAACAGTCGCTGTTGATCCAATATATCAAAAGGGAGAAAATGTTACCAAAGTGCTGCTGAATGTTTTCTATAACTTGAAAAGTTTTGCTCCATTTTATTCTTCATTCAGGCTTTTAACTTTTTCCCTTTCCCTGTAACTTTTTCCCCTGTGCTTTCAGAGGCAATTTTAGAACAATCATTGGGAATATTGAGGATGTTGAAAACTGCCTTGATACGTGTTTAATGAAAAATTTGGTGTCCCCACATTTTTTCAATAGGAAAGAATAACTCTCAGAAAATTTTCAATAAGGCGCACGGAAGACAAATTTCCATCCGTCTGGGATACGATAGGGCCAATTTCAACGATTAAATTTGAGAACACCTCAGTTAGAACATTTTTCATACGTTCTTTTCGTACCCAGTCATTTCTTTTTTCGTCATGCGCTTACTCTATAGTTACATGACAAATTCTACCTTCTGAACCGAGGAAAGCTGTGTTTTCAGTCAGATTCGACTAACCATTTTCTTTCCGGCTTTTGTTTCACTGAAACATTTTGTGAGAGTATTTCTTTGAACTTTTTCTTTTGAAAAGTTTTTTTGTCAAGCCTGGTAAAATAAGCTTGGCGATAGCTATGACACATTAATTTTTAAAACTTTCTTGAATTATTAAAAGTTCTCTGTCAATTATTAAAGGTTTGACTATAAAGAGCCTTCAAAATTTTGTTTTGAAACTATCCGCAAAGCATGCGTCATAATTTCTGATGAGATCGTAGAAATGTGAAAGAAACGTTTTTAATATGGAAAACAGATTTCGATTTCGAATCGTCATACCATCGCTTATTTTCCTGGGAGCGCGGCCGCCGAGCTGTGTCTTATTTCTTGCCAATTGCCTTTCCACCGTCAGTCCTATTTCTTTTTCGATTTTTTTACTCTACAAAGAAGCTTCAATCTTCTAGTTCTCTTGTCATTTTTTTTGTGGTCATTATATAGAAAAAAGCATGTTTCTCGAATCTGAGTAGTCGCCTTAGTTTTTCAGGTTTTAGTTATTTCAATATAGTTGATTTTTTTTTCACTGTTAGCATACAAGTTCATCCTGCCACTTGGTTCATAAAAATTTTGAGCACCACTGACTAAAAAGATCTTCACCCTCATTCTTGTCGACCGTTCGTTTTACCACGCCACAAAACATTTCAGTTAACACAAGCTTGCAAAGAAAATCTTCCAATCCACCAAAATGGCTCCGAAACGACGCAAAACCACGCTCAATGTCTGCGAAGACAGTGGCCAGCCAGGAAGGCAGTTTAAGATCAGCCGTTTGGAAAATCCTGGCTACGAAAATTCGGAAACGAAGAACCGCTACAATCCCAACTGCGGCTGTTCGGCTTGCGATGACTTCCGCGACTTTGAACTCATCGCGGATCTTATCCAAAACGTTCCCCACGCCTACAACTTTGTTTACGTTCGTGATATGCGCTTTAGCACGAGCAAAAACAAGAACAAAACGTAGAAAACAAAAATTTTCGGTGACTCACAGCTTTCATAAAAATACAATTTTTTCATTTTGAAAAATTTGCAGCACTTTGGTAACACAAAATAAAAGCTGTTTCCATTGGTCATTTGACTGAAATAGGATTTCATCGGGAAGGTTGCCGGAGAGATTGACGGTTTCAATTTTGCAGGACACTTGGGGGTCTAATGTGTTTCCCACCGTCGAACCGCCGGCGCTCGGCTATTCTGTACCAAACCAAGTGAGTCGGAAAAAATTCAGATTGAATTCAATGAAGAATATGACTACCTAAAAACTAGGCAATGAACAAAATAAATGAATTATAACAAACAACCGCCTTGAGTTAGAGCTCCAAACGTGTAATTGATCAAGTTGAAAAAATGGTCTTACGGTCCTGCGCCTTGTTATTACCGTGATCTAGGTGGTAGCCCCAAAATAAGAGCAGCTACTTTTTGGGAATACATCACAAGAAAGTCTCAAAGAAAAATCAACTCATTTCAGTTATAAAAGATACCTAAAAACCTTCCAAATGAGCGCTCTTCAGCAATATGGTCGCGGAAACAGACACGAGCACCACAGTCAGCAGGCTCCAGCCAACTACATCTACGGCACGACCTACCTGGTGGACCCGCGGACATCGTCCAACTTCACCGTGCCTACCGTCAACCCGCCCATGCAGCCGTCGCAGATCACGCACCGACAAACGTCTCCAGTTCCCGGCTGCAGTTCGGACTATGACGTGAGTGTCTCTCGCATGTCTTCTGAGTCCTGGAGTGAAGACCTTGAACCTGATTGTGTCTGTGTTCGCGAAATTTAGATCGGACAACGTTTGCCTGCAAGATACGATACAGTCGAAACGTTTAAAAGTTTCAGTTCTAAGCTCCTCCCTTTTTGGAAAAAGATACGTTTTCAGGAAAGGCTATAGTAGTCGGGAAAACATAAAGACGAAAAGAAGATTTTTCGAGCTTACTCAATACAATTATTTCGAATGATATCGCAAAAACGTAAGAATCATCGGAAATTAATGAACTATAGATACAAAAGATGACATCAAAATTCGATAAAAGTTGAATTTTTTTTGCGATTTCTTTTTCGAAATTTATTTGTTCAAATAACTCAGAGATTCAATTGAGTTTCATGTACAAATATATTTTTAAGGATAGAAAATTCTTTTTTGACGTTTTTCATGTAGAAATAAAACATTCATCTCTGACTTCCTTTTTGTGTAGGAAAACAGGAATTTTTTGAGCTCGCAGACTTATACGGCGCCGGCCGAAACAAAGGAAGAGAGTGGCGTCAGCCAAGTAATATGACCGGCATGCCGAATGAGAAAAGATTGCGGTGCCAGTTCGCTGGACTTTCCTCTTTTCTCCAGGCGTCTGAAATCTCTTCGACTCATTTTTCATCCAAAAATGGCTTTTTCGGTTGAAAATTTTTCGAGTTGGTCTTCTACAGCTTCTTTATAAGTAATTCAAGTCATTTGTGTCAAGTCAGGAAAACTATCTTCGATAGTTTTTTTGAAATTATTTTGAAAAAGAAACCTAAGAAACCAGAAGTGCTAAAATATTCATTATTTTGTTTCTTTGATCTCGAAAAAAATTGATAAGTATATGAAATTATTTTTGTCCCTCTTACTCCTGCTGCTCAATCACGTGAACGCACTGAGCCAAAAAAGCCGAAAAAAATTGGAGTTTTTTTCTGAGCTTCTGAAAAAAATAACCTCAGATAGGAATAAAGTTCTGTTTTATTTTTTTCTGTTATCTTTTAATTAAAAAGTTTATGGTTTTTTTGAAATCTCTCTATCAAAATTACTGAATAATTTCTTGTTTTTTTTATTCAGTAGATGATCAGCACATAAACAAGTAAATTTGGAATCAGCACCGAGAAGTTGAAAAAAAGTTAATCCACTGAAAAAAGAGCATTTTGCAGTAGAACGTTGTTTCTTTGGCCATTAGGTAGAGGCACGCTCAACTCGCGTTCTTTTTACACTTTCTCGTTCGGATCGCCGCAAATCTTTGCCTCGCCGGCCATCGACACCTCTGTCTTCCTCCAGAATTTCCTGAAACTTTGCTGTGATCATATCCTTCCGCTTTTTGCCTGGTTTCGAAAGATAGTTGACAGTCAAACATGACTTGATTTATGATTCAAATCTGAAAAAACATCGAGGATAATTTTTCGCCCAGAATATTGTGAATACCAGTGTAAAAGCGGTTTTTATTGAGTAATCTTTTTGATCTGGTATTGCATTTCAAGAAAAGGAAGGACATTAGGAACTTTCGAACTTTCTGGTAATCTTTTTCAAACAACTCTGGAGAATCTACAACCAGCCTCTTTATAACTCTTATTTCGGCAATCGTTTTTTCGTAAATCGTATGGAAATCGATGCGTTGGTAGTAGGATCTGAACTGGAGCGAATGAAATTTCGGACAATTGATGCTTCAAAAATTGAAAGTTTGCACAAGTTGAATATTTCGAGCGATTTTTTGACGGAAAAGAAATAATGTAAAATCCATACCTTATACGGAAGTATCTTTAAAGCGATAGACTGTAGAATTCAATCAGGTTCGATGAATTTTGTGAGGCTTCGAAAAGCGCTTTGAAATTTTCAAAATGGGTCTTAAGTTATGAGCAGAAGTACCTTTTTTCAAATTTATAAAGAATATATTCTGAGCTTCCAGAAGCTCGGGTTAAATATTTTCAAGCAGACCTCTTTAATTATTTTTTTGACCTTGTCCATGTCGTTAAAAAGCCTCCCAGGCTTTCTAGTCTCTCCAGACTTTGAATATAGCTTGAATGAACTTTCGGAACACTTTGAGAGGTCTAAAGCCACAGAAACAAACAATCTCGCCGCACATTTTCGAACAGAGAAAGACATGCAACAAGAAGGGAAGCACAGTAGTTGGCGTGGACTCGAAACTACGGTCGCATCCGGTTAGAGCTTTAAGCGGGCGAATTTGCGCAGATAGTCTTATTGTTTGCACTGCTGGGCGTTCTTGCGAGTGGCGCCGACCCCTGATGCATAGAGCCATGTCGTCTTTTTCCGCCTTGCTTCTATAATCTTTTTAATTAATTTTTTTCGGTTTCAATTTACATCAAATATCATATTTCTAAGCTAAAAAAATTGATCGCACTGACAGGAAAAATTTATTTTTTTTGGCCCTTAGTAATTTTCTGAAATCTGACCAGAACATTTCTTGATCCACCAAAAAGAAGATATCAAAATTCTTGATGTTTAAAACTTCTAGTTTTTGAGAAATGAAACCTTGAAGCCCCAAAAATAGCTTATTTTTAATGGATTCTGAGTGTTTCTGCGAAATTGAGGTGTTTTTTTCAAGGCTTTATTGAGGCTCTAAATAAGAGACTCTTTGGTCAAAATTTGAGTTTTTGGATCATTTTGAATTTAAAAAAATCCAGGCAACATGTAGTGATATAATCCTTCTGAACTTCCTATTTCACAAACTTTTTTTCTTTCTGAATTAATAGCAGCTGCATGTTTAAAAATAGATCTTTAATTTCTGGATGTGAAAAAATCTGAGAAAATAATTGTTTCTGCTGTTTGCAGACTTTTCCCTAGAAGCGATCGGATTTTTTTAATCATTTTGTTCCATAGAATTATTAATTTTTCCATAATTGGACTGCTGTCAACTTTTCTGAAAACATCTCATTAACTAATTGAAACTTTCAACAATTACCGTTGTGTGTCAGACCTCATATTAGTAAAGCTTTATCATTTCGAAAGCTCAATAAAAGTTATTAAATTTTTCTCTTTATTAACCACTGACAACTGCTGGTCTATCGATAGATAATCGTTTTCGTTCCCGTGCTTTTTTTCTGAAACGTAGTGGGAACGAGGGAATCCCAAGATTAAACACGCGCCTTGGATCCCTGGAACTCGCACCTGTCGGTGTGCTAGAGCGAATGTCGCGGTTGCCCGAGTACTCGGAAAAGTGATCTCAGGCCACTTTTTGTTCGTTTCTATTGCCTGAGCGGCTGTCTTACTCATCCCGAACAGCAAAAACACGAGAAAAAACTAGCTAGAAAACTTGGAGACTTGTCGTTAACGTAGGATGTTTAAAATAGCGATATCCGATGATTCATGGGTTCTGTCCCTTCTTACTTCCGAAGAAGCTAAAAAAAAATGAGAAAAGTTTCAGCCGCGTCCGCGTCGCACACGCGGCATGACGATGCCCGAGTTGCAGTCGGCTCTTGCCGTCGGTGTTCGTCCTGAGAGAATCAGGTCCAAGGTTGGTTATTTATATTTGTGTGAGCAAGACCCTGAACAAAATAACCATATAGGAGTTTTTTTTTCCAGAAATTTTGGCTGAAAACTTTTTGCGTGCTATTTTGAGTTTTTTGAAGATCTGACCGCACCATTTTCCAATTTTTGCAGAAATCCGTTTAAATTTTTAATCAATGACATATTCATCGCGCTTTGAAGCATTTTCTAAATAAACTAGATGTTGCAGAGGTTTTTATTTTTTCACGTCGTCTTAGCCAAAAGTCAGAAAAACATAAAAATAATGCAGGAAATAATTTCTTTTGGAAAAAAAGATTTTGAGGTTATTAGATTTCAGATAATGCAATAATAGTTTCGAATTAAATAATCTCAGATTTTAATGAAGCCTTTGAAGGTTAACACGCTGTCTCTGTAACTGTCAAAAACAACGGGTACAATAAAAAATTTTATTTTTTGATTCTGATGAAACTTCATCCAGTGTGATAACCCATCATCAGAAATGCGGACACAACTTTTTGAGCCATTTCCTCCTACGGTAGCCGGGTTACGGTAGGCAGGTGGGCACCTGCGTATCTAAGTATTGAAGAGTTTTTACTAGGCAAGGGATATATCAATCGATAGGTAATCCAATTTTAGGAACTTTTACAGTACATACCATCTTAGGTTACTGTAGGAATTTTCGAGTTACGGTAATTTTTGTGTTTGGAAAGTCGGTTTTTCGGTCACCCTGGCCGTCGGCATAGAATCGCATCGTGATTACTTTCATGGAATATGTCCTTCAGTATGCTCTACACGATGCCACAAAAAGAAGTTAGAATTTCTAAACCTAACATCTCGAGATTTCACTCCGAACGCGCGCAACTTGGCGCTTGGCGGCCAGGGTTGGTCGTGGTTGACGATTTTTCACATTTTTCTTTTGTTAGATATTGGTGTGAAAACTTTTTGGAATGTTACTACAGTGTATTGTGTAATATTTAAAAGGATTTGGAGAGACTTTTATGCTACATGTTCAGCCGAAATTTCGCTTTGAACTCAATTTTTGCTTGGAAAAGCGCGATTCCCTTCGGAAAGTCGAATTTTTTTCTCTTTCCAACTGTGTCGCTGTTTTTGAAGCTTTCAAATATGAAACTAGCATCTTCAAGGTATCAATTCATGAGACTTTTCTTGACTTCCACCGAACCCGTCCTGCCGAAACTCCGTTTTGAACTTACTATTGGCTTGAAAGAGTAATTTTTGCCCTGAAAAAACAGATTTTTGAAAATTTCCAACTGTACCGCAGTTTCCAAAGCTATCAAATGTGTGACTGACATCTTCAAAGTAAACATTCATAAGACTTTGCTCAACTTTCACCGAACCTGTCTAGCCAAAAACTCCTTTTGAACCCTTTTTGGCTTCGTTGGTGAGTTTGAAGTTTGACTTTTGTTCCTCATAGCACAAGTTTTTTGAAAATATTTTACTTCTTTCTCTCAACTTGAACGATTGCGAAGATAGTTGTTTCAATTAGAGATCAAATTTTTTTCGAAAAAAATTGTACAATAATTTGAGGTTTTTATTTCAGAAAGCTAAGAAAAAAATCGTAATGTGAAGCTTTTACTGGACCTTTTTCTGAAATTTCTTCTTTAATCCTTTGATTATGATTCTTTCGGGCTATTTAACAAATGAAAAAGTTTTTTTTCATGAATTTTTTTCATTGTTCCGGTAAAAAAATGCTCAAATCATTTAAAAATGCTCAAATCACTCAAAAAAAAAGTCTGCAGTCGTCAGAAACAGCAAGCTACAAAAACAGAATTAGAATTGGAAACAACAGTAGAACAAATAATAAGTATTGAATATAGTCAAAAAGAATTCAAATTCGGCCTCTCGGGAGTGTTATCGGTGGAGCGCAACAGTGCCTTAATATTCTGCCAACAATTGCGAAATTTTCGTAGCTCGTTGTTCTGCACCGTTTTTTTTCTCATAAAAACGTTACTTCTTACGATTTTGGGATAAAAACGAAGCAACAAGGCTCAAAAGTCAAAGTTCAAACTCACCAACGAAGTCAAAAAGGGTTCAAAAGTAGTTTTTGGTTAGACAGGTTCGGGGAAAATTGAGCAAAGTCTTATGAATGTTAACTTGGAAGATGTCAGTCACACATTTGATAGCTTTGGAAACTGCGGTACAGTTGGAAATTTTTAAAAGTCTGTTTTTCAGAGCAAAAATTGCTTTTTCAAGCCATTTGTAAGTTCAAAACAGAGTTTCGGCAGGACAGGTTCGGTGGAAGTCAAGAGAAGTCTCATGAATTGTTACCTTGAAGATGCTAGTTTTATATTTGATAGCTTTGAAAACAGCGGGATAGTTGAAGAGAGAAAAAAATTCGACTTTTCGAAGGGAATCGCGCTTTTCCAAGCAAAAATTGAGTTCAAAGCGAAATTTCGGCTGAAAATGTAGCATAAAAGTCTCTCCAAATCCTTTTGAATAATACACAACACACTGTAGTAACATTCTAAAAAGTTTTCACACCAACATCTAACAATAGAAAAATGTGAAAAATCGTCAACCCCGACCAACCCTAGCCGCCAAGTGCCAAGTTGCGCGCGTTCGGAGTGAAATCTCGAGATGTTAGGTTTAGAAATCCTAATTTTTTTCTGTGGCATCGTTTATAGCATACTGAAGGACATATTCCATGAAAGTAATCACGATGCGATTCTATGCCGACGACCAGGGTGACCGAAAAACCGACTTTCCAAACACAATAACTACCATAACTCGAAAATTCCTACAGTAACCCAAGTTGGTATGTACTGTAAAAGTTTCTAAAATTGGATTACGTATCGATTGATATATCACTTGCCTAGTAAAAACTTTTCAATACTTAGATACGCAGGTGCCCACCTGCCTACCGTAACCCGGCTACAGTAAGAGGAAATGGCTCAAAAAGTTGCGACCGCATTTCTGATGATGGGTTATCACACTGGATGAAGTTTTGTCAAAATCAAAAAATAAAATTTTTTTTATTGTACCCGTTGCTTTTTTTGAAACTTTTTGAAAATTACAGAGACAGCGTGTTAAATAGTGAACGAAGAACCCAATAATTCCCTGAAAAAAGCTCTCTATTGAAAGAAATGAATGAAAAATCTCTCACCCATACAATTATTGGTGATAAAAATCCTCAGAAAAAGTCCTTTTCTGTGTGTCAAAAAAAAATCAAATTTTTCCTTGCTCATCTTCCTTTTTGTGACCCCTTTTCGCTTTTGAGAACGATTTGATTTTAGTCATCTGGTTCAGAAAAAATTTAGATTCATCAAAAATTGGAAGAGACAATAAAAACATGTAAACAGGAAGGTCATGATGTTGTTGATTTACCTGGCAGCAGGAGACCAATCACTGACCTCATGACTTGTGTTCAGACTTTGGACTTCTTATTTATCGCCTTTTCACTAGGATTCTTAATGTTTTCCTAAATTCATGTTTGGAATTTGTGAAAATGGTAATTTTTATCGTTTTAATTTTTTAATATATTCAATTTTCAGCACGACGGCCCAAATTCTTACGTCAACCCTCCTGCAGACCATCGAAACTTACAAGTAGTCTTTGATTGTATGTTTTTTTGTGACTGTTTATTGAAAGAACGATTATAAGCTTACTTCAGCTCTACTTCTGGCATACTAAGTTGTGAAATTTGAAAACCTATTTTTTCAGTGGCGCAGCCCAAACGCTACCGGAACAACGCAGAAGCGCCAGTGAGGAAACTGACAACGGATCTCATCAAGACTTACAAGCAAATCAATGAGGTACTTTTTGATCACCAATGAAAATGAATTTGATACTGTACACTTGGGAAACGTTTGAAAAAAAAGTGTTTTAAATTGACTGAAAATATTTGTGGTTTTACGGAATGTGGAAAGGCTTCACTCAGAAAAAAAGAAGAGCCATAAAAAAGTACAGCGCGCCGAAAAAGAATCGAAACATTTCACATTTTTTTATGCAGCAACGTTTTTGGTTGCCTGGATCTACATTTCTCCCATCTTTGCATGATTTTGAATCTTTTTCTTCATTATTTCGGCTACAATTTAAAAAGAAGCTCCTGAAAAAAAGATTTCTGTTTTTTTGCGTTTTTATATAAAAATTTTTCTTGATAATACTTCATAAGCTGAAAATGGGATCCATATTATTACTGCTCCTGTAATCTTTAATGGTCTGTAAACAAATCGGAAAATCTTCTAGACTTGGTGTTTCTAGTAATTGCTCGCAAAAAAAAGAAGAATAAAAACAGGAAACAGGAATATATAGAGAATTCTTTGACCTAGGATATTGGATGTGCAAAATCATGAAAAGCACAAAATCTTTCACTGCCACAAAACTTGCTCCAAGTCTTTTTTTAGACACCGTTGAACACCTTTCTTTAGGAAAGTTTGCAAATTTGACAACCTTTATGTTGGTACGGTACAGCATTTTCCCACCAGAAAAAGTTCATTCGGAAAGTTGGCGTCCGGCAAGAAGCGATGGCCTTTGATAAGACGTCGCAAAAGACGACGTTCCAAAACAAAAGCCGAGAAGGCTCGACGCCTCACTCTCGCAAATTGCATCGTAGCGGCCGGCTCTGCAGATCCTCCGTTCACTGTTTCACTTTTTCGTTATAACCGTTGCTCTACGTTGCATGCCAACATAGTTCGACCACGCATTGTTTATATCTCCCAGTCATAACTCCTGCCAACACCCTTTCCCAGGACCCTCATTGCATTTTCTGGCCGCCTCCATGCCGATTTTGCGCTCGGTTTCAAACGGTTTGCGGAAGACGAGGAACACCCTTGCAAGAACTGCAAGAGGCGTGAGAACCGTGGTTCGAAATGTCGTGAGTGATCTCAACACATCGTCTGGCTTGTATTCGGTTCTAAAAACACACATTTTCAGACCTACAGACACTAATCACAAAGCGCACTTCTCACAAACTTCAAAATAAAAACTGACGTCAACTTCCCATCTTTAAAAAATTTGGGGCGCCATTAACCTTGTAGGAGCGGTCGACTCAAACTATTCACGAGCGTTTAAAAATTAAGCGCTACGAAATAGTGTAAAAATGCTATTTAGGCATAATAAAAAGGAGCGTGTAGTTTAATGACTGTTTTTTGTTGTTTAGGAATACAGTGGAGTCAGTAAAAGACAGCAGAAATGTTCATGAAGCGGCCAAAAATAATTCAATTTTCTGTTTCAAATTAAATTGGAATTTATAAGCTTCAATGCGCAGCAATTTTGCTCATGCAAGTTTTTTTTTCAGCAAAATTATTTTGATCAGCGAGATCTTAATTCCAATGGGAATTTCGATCGATTATCCGTATAGCCGTTCATTTTGAATTAGTTGCAGTCGTTCTATCTGCGCAAGCAAATCCGTCGGCAAGAGCAACCGCAGCATCATCAAAACGCTGCGAACGCTATTCAGGCGTCGTCCCATATGCCCAATGACCAGACCGCTCAAGGATCCGGAGACTACGGTCTTCAGAATGCTGTAAGATTCAAATTTTTTTGTCATTAACCTCTGCAATCATTTTTCAGTATAACTACCAAGTCGGGCCTTCCTCGTACCAAGGGATGATGGGCGGCATCGACCTCGACAGCCAGAGAGCGTGAGTTTCTCTCTGGAAAAATTGCCTCTACCGTGGGTCAAAGTCTGCGTTTTTTCTCCGACTTAAAAAGGACGCAAACAGCTGCGCTGGTAGACTGTCCAGATGGCAGTTGAGATTGTCAACGCGTTCCCTCACTCTCGTCGAAACTTCAAATGATGTTCACTACTTTCCTTCGCATTTCCCTTTCCCGAGTTGCAAGAATTTTATTTGCGAGGAACAGCTACCAACCTTGTAGATGAAATCTCAGGAAAATAAATCTCATTTTTTTTCAGAATAGACTTAGAAAAAAAAATCCCCACTACCTGATCAGTTTTTCTATTCCATCCAAACATGCGTCCTGATATCTCAGATTTACGAAAAATGAGTTTCAGCCCGCCCATTTTCGACATGAATGCTCCGCCAGCGTCTCAGATGGTTGTTCCAGCACCTGCCGCAGGTCAACTTGCTCAGATGCGCCCTATTGGCAGCCGGTTTGACATCTTTCACGCGTATTATGATCAAAGCGCGACAATTTAGTGGCGGCACTCGAAACGACGGCTACGACGACCACAATTGCGATTACATTCTCAAGAACGGGGAAACTTTTGACAAAAGGTTTGAGGCTTCGGTGCGAGAAAACTCTAAGTTTAAAGTTTAATTCAGTAATCAAATTCTTAGAAGATTTTCATTTCGAAACTAAATAGCAGTAAATAAATTTCCGAGTAAGACTTTCAGTTTTCATCCGTTGGATGGAATGAATTAAGAGATAGTTTGACTGACTGCAACTTGAAAATGAAGCATTGCATTGAAAAAATCTTCCAGCCCAAAAATAATAATCTCAGCTCAAAAAAAGATAGTTGCACTGATTACAGTTTCAAAACATAAATTTTAACTTTTTTCTTGATGAAAATTTTTATTGACTACTTCTGTCTTCTCCAAATAAAATAATTTCTTCCAGATACGTCATTCTGAGCGACAAACCTATTGGAAAAGGCTCATTTGGTCAGGTGACACGGGCTTTTGATACGGTCACGAAACAAGAAGTCGCCATCAAGATTATAAAGAACAAGAAAACCTTTTTCGACCAAGCCCAAATTGAAATTAGGCTGTTGGAACTGATGAATGCACACGATAAAGAAAACAAGTACAACATAGGTAACATAAAATTTTCTTTTTCTTATCGAAGATTTTATTCCAGTTCTGCTCAAGGGCCACTTTGTCCATCGCAGTCATCTCTGCTTGGTGTTTGAACTGTTATCTTACAATCTCTACGATCTTCTCAAAAATACGAGTTTCCAAGGAGTGTCTCTTAATTTGACGAGGAAGTTTGCTCAACAGGTCAGTATAATACCGTGTCATGGTCTTTATCTTGATCTACAAAAACGAAACATGCGATAGCAGATTTTTTTTCAGTTGGGTAAAACTTTGTTATTCCTTTCCTCGCCGGAACTCTCAATCATCCACTGCGACTTGAAGCCGGAAAACATTCTTTTGGTCAACGCCAAGAGGTCTCAAATCCGAATAATCGACTTTGGATCTTCCTGCCAAACGGGTCATCGCATCTACCAGTACATCCAGTCGCGATTCTACCGTTCACCCGAAGTTTTGCTCGGCGTCGCTTATGATACTAAAATTGACATGTGGTCGCTCGGTCAGTTTACATCAAATCAGAACAATTCGTAAACTATTTGCAGGCTGCATTTTGGTGGAAATGCACACCGGAGAGCCACTATTTGCGGGATCGTCCGAACTGGACCAGATGATGAAGATCGTCGAGGTCTTGGGAATGCCGCCGAAAGAAATGCTCGATGCTGGTCCGAAGACTCATAAGTATTTCGACCAAACCGCAGGTTAATTTTCTCAATCTGAACCACCTTTTGAATGCCTTATTTTCAGATGGCGTGTACTACTGCAAGAAAACCCGCGACAGCTACAAGTACAACTACAGAGCTCCGGGAACGAGAAAATTGCATGACATTTTGGGAGTGACGTCAGGAGGGCCAGGTGGTCGTCGCATCGGAGAATCCGGTCACGCCGTCGAAGACTACAGCAAGTTCAAGGTGAGACATTCTTCAAGTATGCCTCAAATACCGTTGTTCCAGGATCTCATCAAGCGCATGCTCACCTACGATCCCAAGAAAAGAATTTCTCCTTACTACGTGGTTCGGCATCCGTTCTTGAAGGGAAAGAGCAGCGAGTCGAACACTCCACAAACGGTTAGTTTTTCACCTTTCAGAGAAATAGAGAAACAAGTCAATTGTTTAGCAGCAGCCCAGTCACGTTGCTCCCTCCTCGGCAGTGATGGCCTCATCGCAGCAAAAAAGTATCGATTCTTGGAACGGACAGATGGACGCCGCAGATGACGTCAATTATCAGTATGGGTATGTAAATCGACAAGAAACTTCCTTTTAATAATGAACTTCAGTGAATCAAGCAAGATGCCTGCGATGCCGCAAAGGCGCAAGGATGAGCTGATGCCGACGTTCAACGAACACTCGCACTCAGCCAGCGACATCTACAAGCAAACTGCTCCTCAAACGGATCAGTATAAACATTCACAGGTTAGTCTTTGAAACCAAGAGGATTGAAACTGTTTTTTTGTGATGGAATCTTGAAAGAAAAGTAAATTTTCGGTGAAGAACAAAAGGTGTTTTCCAAATTTCAGCACCGTCAGAAAAGATACAAAAAAGGCAATTTTGGTCACAAATTTCGTGTGAGGATTTCAATCTTCCTGATGGTTTCTGAAGCTGCTTCTTTGTTTTTGTGAACTTAAAGTTTATCAGAGCGTTAAAAGAACATTCATCGAAATTCCAGAAAGTTTCAGAACGGTTGAATCCCTCACAATGAAATTGTGACCGAAACCCCGGTTTTTCATAACTTTTCTGACGGTACTGTATCTATCGATATTTTCCATGAAAGTAGACAACATGATTGAAAACCGAATAGTTTGAAATCTTCATATTTTTTTCATTTTAAACTGAAGTTTCAGGCGCAACAAGCGGCACCAGTGCGTAATCAGAGTTTTGAAACGACGCGTGTTCCTCAAAGCGCCGCGCCGACCTCAAACATGACTTCGGCCGATGCTCGAACTTCTCGACCTCGCGTCGCACCTCGTGTGAACTCGGGCAACCAGTGGTTCTGAATTCAAACACCTCAACCCCTTCATTCCCCAAAACTCTAATTTGGATTGAATTTTTCCATTCGCTTGTTCATCAACTGCACATCACTTCGCCAAAAAATAACTTCTTTTTGTTTGGATTTCTTTAAGCTTTTTTATTTTTAAATTGCTCATTCATGACGTTGCGGACCGGGTAGAAGCTTGAGGGTTCGCTAAAGGCCCAGCCTTCGAATTGTAACTCGTCCAAGTTTTCCAAGACTCCGCGGTGAGATTCCTCATAACATTTCTGCAATTTTTTTTTCCATTTTAATATTTTTCGTGAAACGAAAATTTGTTTTGTATGAACTGTTTCAACTTTTTTTTTTCATCTTACTCTCCGAATAATATAAATCTCTGTAATTGAATGTTGATCAATAAAATCAGTTTAAATGATGATGTCCCGACTTTTTGTGTTAACATTTTTTATTGCTAATTTCCAAAATGCGCCTTGCACAATGTGTTTTCGTAGTGTCAATGCAATTAACCGATACGGATCCTCGTTTTTAGATTCTTCAAGCTTCTTTTTGATGAAATGTTTATTTGCTCCCTGATGCTCTTGATCTAGGGTCTTTCATCTTTGTAAATGAATTCCTGTTTCTTGTCTCTGTACCTTTTTTTGGTGTTCTTTTTATGCGCTTTGCTCTTCGAACTGTCCTTCTTTCTGCAGGTGTCTACGATCAAAATTTTCAGCAGCTATTTTGTGAAAATTGGTGCAGCTTCTTCATTCTTCCTATCTAACTTATTGTTGAGTTTTTAATAAATGTAAATAAAAAACAGCAGTGAAATGTTTCGCATTTTTTTTTCTAGTGGGAACAAAAGAAGCTAGCATAAGTTATGAAGAAAAGAAATTATCATCCGAAACAGCTTTTTTTGAGAAATCGCTTTTGTAACTTTTCAAGTACCTGAAACTCGTGCTGGAAATGATACAGCCAAGAATATTCTTGGTGGAAAATCTTTCAAAATCAGTCACAGATGGAACTTCTGGTGGAGGAGAATTTCTTCGAAAATCTGGTTCTAATCGAGCTCAATATTTCACAAGTAACGTTTATTGCTGCCTAAAGGCCACATGTTTCGGCAGGGATTCAGCAACAACAAGTTTTTCATGGCTGAGAAAGTTTTTCATTATGAGTAAAAAATGCAAAAATTTCATTGATTCAGCTCGAAACTTCAAAAATTGATGGACTAATTCAATGAAAAAAAGCATTCATTTTAGTACAATTTTGCATGAAAGAATTGGTAAACGCTAAATGGATATTTCTTTTGAGCATTGATTTGTTCCCGAAAGTAATCATTTTTGTAGAGATCCTGGAATGAACGAAAAATAAGCTGAAACCGCTCAGATATTCAATGTTCCATAATTTCTGATAGTTACCTCCACAATTTTTAATAACTTTTTCGAAGAAAGGACACAGTTTTTGCAAGCTTGAAGTTTTCATTTAGTACATGCAGAAATAGTCTAATAGTCGAATCTAGTCATTTTTCAGAGTGTTTCAAAACTACCAGGAAAAATCATCTTGTTCAGTAATCTATTTAATTCAAATGCAAAATTTTTTTATAATATCTTTATGGAATACGATTTCGATCGGATAAGTTCAACTGTTCCTTAAGCCGAGCCATCTACTTTTTCCAGTATGAAGCTTAACAATCATTCTCTCATGATTTATGAATAATCAGTGAAATATCTCTAGCCACTATCGGAACCAATAGTATCCGAATTGTTCCCTCTTGGATATCTTTTTGTAAAGTTAGCCGCCGGAGATTCACGAAAAGATGATACTCGAGTCTATCACTTTACAGCGTTGAGAGATTGATGAGTCGTTCATCAGGTTGGCCTATCGGAGAGCCCCAAGACAAATGAGCCTCAATAATGGCCCAACCACTTCTTACCAACATCTATCGATTGTTGTGTAGCTGCGGCTCGCATAGTTCCACCAAATCAACTGAGCTCTCCAACTGCTTTTATTTTCCTTTTTCCAGCTTCAACTAATAATCAATGAACATTCTCAAAAAATAGGTTATTCTACTCAGAGCTGAGAAAAGTTAAAAAAAAAAGTCCCTCGAAACACTTTTCAAAGTTTTGGACAAGCACCACTGCTAGTTTTGAAGAAAAGACAATGCTAGGTCAAAGGAAACTTTTGTTTCTTGTGGAATAGGTTATGCGGGGAAGTTGAGGTGCTCTTCCTTATTTTTCAAAAACTTCTCAAGTTTCGACTATCAGGATTTCAGGGAATTTAAGAAGGTTACATCAAATTTAGGAAATAACCTTGGAGAAATTTTTTGTTAAGTTCTTCGAAAAACTCTCTGAATTTAATGAAAAACAAGAACCGCCAACCCAGTTCTTCGATTTTTTTGAATACCAAAAAGTAGCAGTTTGAGCTTTTTCTTTGTATTATAAAAATCTCTGATTTTATCCACCGTACCATGCAAACTCCGCCCTTTTATCTGTGTCTCTTCGATTTGCAAGCTGAGTGGTAGGCTCTCCCAACCTCAACGTTTTTCAAAGACTCTGGGAGTAAGGCCACGCCCCAAACGTATAAAGATCGGATTGTTGGAGCCCTACTCAGCTCTTTTAAACTTCCCGGTACCAGCTGTCCTCTAGTTCAGGGATGTTGCGTTCCGCTTGTTTGGTGGTTCTCCTGGCCGTCTGTGCCTCGGCTGCTATTGAAAGCATCAACGACATCCCCGCCGAGTACCGAGGTATTTGAAAAGTTTTCTACCTTCCATTAAAGAAAAATTCAATAGAACTGATTCCCGAGGAGGCCAGAGAATTCCTCACTTCCCTTACTGATGCCGACAAGGTTGTCATCAAGGACATCGCGAAAAACTTCGCTTCTTACAAGAATGAGGAAGAGGTACTGAATTTTCTTCTTATTTTCAAAAAATTGACCCTTATTTCCGTATTTGCAGTAAAATTCATTGAAGTGTGCCCGAGTTTTAGGCTCTGAACGCTCTCAAGGCCAAATCGCCATCTCTCGGAGCTAAAGCCGAAAAGCTGCACCAAATGGTCAAGCAGAAGGTCGAAGCTCTTTCCCCTGAAGCCAAAGCTTTCGCTAAAGAGGTACAAGAAAACCTTTTCGTCCTTAGGAGAAAATGACACTTTCCAGATCATTGCTGGAGCCCGCAAACTTGAAGCTCAGATCGTCGCCGGCAAGAAGCCAAATCTCGAGGAGCTTAAGGCTAAAGCTAACACCGCCATCGCCAAGTACAAGGATCTTTCTGAGGATGCCAAGGCTGATTTGCAGAATCATTTCCCCATTCTCACCAAGCTCATGAAAAGTAGTTTCCCTAGCTCCTTCAAAAATTTATTTTTGGCATTTTTCAGACCAAGCGTTCCAGAAGCTGGCTGAAGGATTCCTCGGAAAGTCAAACTAATTTATCAATTCTTGTTGAGTGTTCTTTCAACTAAATAAATGTTTTCAACTGCATTTCCTTTCGTTTTGTGTACGCCTTTTAAAGAAAAAAATAAACTTGCAGAACGATTCTATTGGTGAATTGGAAAGACTCATCTGCCGTAGTCGTTCAGAAGCAAAAAAATATCATTTTTTAATTTTGAGGGTTTTAAGAATTTCGAATAATCGAAACTCCTTGAATGTGAGGATCAAAATTGATGACGTCTCACCAAAAAAGAAAAAAACTTCTTCGGAGTGCTCTTGAAGCCCAAATTTGAGATGACAGTCATCCTCAATGGAGCTTCTGAAACTGGAGCTTTTTATTGAGTCCTCGTGGTGAAAACTGTCGTCAACAAATTCAAAGAGTCAAAAAGCTTGCCGAAAGGGGAAATTGATTAAATGATGCAAACGCGCTCTGATCAGTTCAGTTCAAACTTTTCATCCTTATCAAATAATCGAGTAGAACAGTTTTCATATGTAAAAAAAGATTTTTTTCATTGATAAAAAGCGTCTGCTTAATCAGAAGAAATGTTATTCAAGTTCGGCCAGTTTCAAATTTGCAGAACATCTGGTAAAACTTTTCACTAAATTTTACGTGGTAAACCGGTGCAATTCCTTTTTTATTGTCGTTTTTGATTCACGCCAGTCTTCTGGAATTCTTGAGAAACATGGTTCTTGAAGATTTTGGGAAACAATAATCTTCAACACTGAACTCTTAGTTTTTCCTGACTGTCAAGCATTTTCATGAACAAACGTAGAAGTTTTTTTCTCTGAAAAATTTTGAATTTTTTTATAATGACTCCAGTTTAAAAAAAAGTTCATCGCGTTACGAGTTACCATGAAACTGAAGAACGAATAAAAATTGAGTCGTTCTTTCTGAAGCGGATTCAAACTTTGCATCGAGTAAAGAACTTTTTTTGAACATAAAAGAACACGAAAACTCTTGTAAAAGGCTGAATTTTTGGATACCAAGTTGAAAAAAAGCTAACCATGGTATTACCAAAAATCATCCTTTCTGAAAACTTTATTGAAACCAGTGTGCAGGAATTCAATTTTGGTGAGGAGTTCAAAATCTTAACATTGATTCAATAATCAGTAATCCAGGCTTGTTTAAAACAAATTTGTTGCTTTTTCTAGTTTATTAGACAAAGTAGCATGCTCGAGGAACAATTGCGGTTCGTTAGTATGACAGAGAGATAATTAAACGGAATGAGTCTTATTGAAAAAGAAACAATCTGATTGCTTTATTTTTCTTTTCATCTTTCGATTGAATAAAGTTTTTTTCGAAGTTGCAATTTTGATGAAAAGTTAGAGCTCCAGAGTTTTCCGCCGGGTGATCGACGCTATCTGACCTGTAAGTTTCCGTTAGTTATTTTTCTGAGAAAAATTTAAACTTGGTGTGTTGCTGTGGATCGGTTTAATTTTTTTGCCCGTGAATTTCTGCAAACAAAAAGATCGATAATTTGCAGTCATCAGAAGAAGAATGATGGTGGCCATAATTCCATGAAGACTGAAAGAAAAAGAACCCAAAGTAGCCAAAGCTGAAAATTGAAATATTGATTTTCGAATCAGTTTTTGATTGCACTTACGTTGAGTAGAGAGCCCCAAGCTGATTAAAATTGGCGTGCAAAAAATTGGTGCTGCTATAAAAATGACCGGAATGAAAAGCTGAAATTCTCCAGCACTGAATTAAACTGCCAGAACAGAAAAACTAACTTGACAACATAAAGCATAAAAGAAAGTTTTCTGTTGGGCCCTCGTTTTTGCAGATATGTGAGCTTGCTGCTTCAGAAGATAGAAGGCTATTCGGAGGCCGAAAAAAAAGCCCACAGCGATAATGTGAATACCAACAATGTAAACGAGGCCCATTATTTCGTTTGTAATGTCGATTATCATAGCTGCAGATGTAAAAATACCATCTGGAATACACCGAAGGACCTACAAACAAAGGACGTTATTTTTATTGAAGAAATTGTTAACCTCTATCGTCATTCTTTTCGCCGTGTCTTGGTCTTGTGGAGCTTTCAAAAACATCAAAATGTACATAACTTGTACGAATAAATAGTTTAGAACAATAAAAGCATATCGTCCTTTTGTTTTAAAACTAAACCAGCTGTTTTTAGGAGTGACACAATAATGTCTGTGTTCGAATAAGGAAATGATGGAAACCATAACGCCTGTGAAAGTGACAGATTTAACATAGCGAGAAATTACGGCTTACATGGAGCAACCACAAAACAAGTGCCAAGTTGAATTTCAATAGGAACGCCAATACTTTGGAGTAGTCCAGTCGCGTAGCCTCCGCAAGTTGGGACGTAAAACACAGGAACGACAAGGACAGTTGTGAGTAGATCCATCGCGAAAAACCTGAGATTTCGGGTAGAAAATGATTCTTCTTGGATGAGACTGTATAAGTTTTTTTGGATAAAGTATTACTTTTTGAATAATCCTAAGCTTCTGTTAGTCGATTGATTACAAGGATTTAAAGTAAAACTTACCAGATTTGACAATTGAAAAGAAGCCATTTATACTGTCGCAGCATATTACGAGGTGATTTGTAAGCGATGCAGTAAAAGGCAAGAATATTGAGGGGCACGGTAAAGACGAAATTCACGTATTCAATTTTTCGAAGAACATCTGGGTTGAGAAAGGAATGTGTGTCACAATGAGGAAATGTCATTGGACTGACCATCAATGAAGCTGCAAATGAATTTCTATTATGAAGACGGTCTCAGCAGCGTGAGAAACCGAGCAAAACTGACTCGAAAAGCGGGAAAAGCTTTATAGAACAAAAATGAGAATTCTGCTATGAACAATTTTTTTGGTTTATGCAATTTACGGGGCCTGCTTGAATATCGGGAAAAAAGTCGGAAACCAATAATTTTAGTCAAAAATAAAATTTTTCAGTGATGATTTTAGGGAAAAACTGTGGTGAAAACATTTCTTTAAAGATTCTCAATAGAATTTTCACCTCAGAAAAACTTTTCTCACTGCTAGAAGAATTCCAGACCGCCCACCTGAAAATAATGAATACCTTCAAAGAAGCTTGAAGATACGTTTTATCAGTGAATTAGTATATTTTTTGAATTTTCCAGGAAGGTAGGTGTTTTTGACATGCAAAAAAGTTCTTCGAGATTATTTCCAGTATTATAAATACTTTTTCGAAATGTCATTATTCAACTGAAAAAATTTGCGAAGAGTACAAGCGAGAAAGTTTGAACCTTCATCTGAACATAAATAATCAAGAACGATTTTAAAATTTCTTTTGTGGTTTCATTTTTAAGGACATAAATCCTCATCTCACGCTCTAAAGACCATGAAACAAACAAATTTTCCAAAGGAAATAAACTTACTCTGATCAATGGTTGGTTTAGAAAAAGCTGGCTTGGGTGCCGGCGCCACTTTTTTTTTGAAATAATAGGCATTTATTAGATTTATCATTTCATTTTTCTATCAAGTCTGAGCTTTGCAGTTTTCTTTGAAGTTTGAAAGAGGTCCTTGAGAACCGAGGGCTACGAGAAATATGCGAATGGCATTGGAAATTAAATCAAAAGTCGTGGTTTTTGCACATGTAAAGTGTTTGACGATGAAGAAAAAGTTCCGTTATGTCCATGTCGGAATTAAATTAGCAGTTCCAAAGAGCGTGAAGCAAAAATCAAACTCGGTTTTCAAGATCTTTGAAAGGACAAGAAGAAAAAAAAAGTTCACAGGGTCTGATGCAATGAGAAAACCCATATTTAGTAAGATTTGTGAGTTTCAATGAGAGCACTGAAGAAGAAAACAAGATTTTCGAAAGTTTTAAGTAGACGTTTGGCGGAGTGTCTACAGAATGAAACCGCACATTAGACTACTTTGCCAAGTTTTGCACTGATAATCAGAAGGTTGCAAAATTTTGAAAAACATTGAACGATAATTGGAATCGAATTTATTTATTCTCATCTGTTACCACAAACTAAAGTCATATAAAAAAATCACTAGGATGCTTTGGGATTTATCGTTTCACAAAAAAATAAAAAAACCTTTTTTTAATCTGAGATTTTTTTCATAAACGAAGATTTATTGATAAGGATTTTGAAAAAAATCGATATAATTTTTGGTGACCAAAGATTTTCGAGAAAAATTGGGCCTTACAGTCCTCTTTTAAAGAGTTTGCAACCTTCAAATTTATCTCTTTGAAAAAATTTTTTTATACATTTTCTTTCTTGTTTTTTTCCATTTTTTTACAAATAATATATTCCTTATTCTAAAAAATCCATGAATGATAATTAAATTTTTTTTGTTTTTTTGCTCTCTTTTCTCATTCATTCAAAAAAACAGAAATTATGATTCAATAGTATTCGAAAGCGCGAGCTTTGGTGGCACGCCGGCTAAACTCAATAAAATACGAAAATTCAATAGGTATTCAAAAAAATTTTTTTTTGAACGTTTTGCGTGTACTTTAAAAAAATTGGAAAAAGCTTTGCGAAATTCATAAATGATCCATTTCTGCAATCGGATTTCAAAAGGAAAAAACAGGGCAGGTTTTCAGCAATAATCTGTCCATTGAATGTATTCGAACTTTTTTGGATTCCGATATTTGAGAAATGTGCGTTTATCTGTTTCTGAAGCTCTTCATTTATTTTTCAAGAGCTTTTAGACATTTAGGATTTTTTTCACCAGGAGGGAGGAACGATAATCTGCGAGTCTGCACTCACAGAGGCGCTTGAATACGGAATACCGCCCGCGCGAGTCCTGCCATCTGAGTGAAAATAACTTCATTATACTTTTTTTGAATCATTTCGTTGTGAATTTATCATTTTGTAAGAAAACCCTTGACTTCAAGTACTTCGTACCATTCAAGAAGCTTTATTTCCAGGTAAAAACAGCTACACGAAATGCTGTCTCGTCAATATGGAGGAGTTGCGGTTCGTAATTTTTTCAAGAAATTTTTTTCAAAAATTTGTCTATTCAGAAACGATTCGCCTCGGCTTCAGCCGCCCAGGCCAGATCATCTGCTCAAGACAAAACTTCCGTTTTGAACAACGGCCTGACTGTCTCTAGCATTGAACTCAATGGTCAGTTTATCAAAATTTGAGATTACTTTTGATTATTTAAAAAAAGTTTTCAATTTATTTACTTTTTTTCAAATAATGTTTAAAAAAAGTGTTTTTGAACAAAATTAGAGATTAACTGGAGAAATTTCGAATCATTTACTGGGTTACGGGTTTTTAGACTCTCGCAGTTTTTTTATTTAATGTTATTTCACGTATTGAATTTGTGCAACGAAATTTGAATTCTTTTAAAGTTTTCATTAAAAAAACTAAACATTAATACCTATTTGAAATAACTTGAAAAAAATTCTTTTTCACCTTTTCCGGTATAGATTAAATTTTTTTGGGTATTTTTTTCTTTTTGGATGCAATTTTAAAGACTTTATCAAAGATTTACTTCAAATTAACTAAGCGATTTTAAAAAAACTGAACGCAATATGAAGAAAAAAAGATGGAAAGTTTTGCTTTTCACTTTTTGCTGAATTGTCACAGAAGTATTTCTATTGTTAGACTGTTGAAGAAGAAGATTAACATTATTATTGAAAAAAAACCTTCAAAAATAGCTTTCAGATTCAAAAAAATCGCCCTTTTCCAGGAGCAACCTCCCAGTTGGTTCTCGCTTTCCGCGCTGGAAGTCGTTACCAGCCCGCGAACAAGCAAGGACTCGTCCACTTGGTCCGCAACAGCATCGGACGGGATTCTCAGGAGTTTCCGGGCCTGTCACTCGTCTGGAACACTGCCGCTAATGGAGGACAGCTGGTAATCATTCTGTTCAAAAATAACTGATCGAAACTTTTTGTAGATTTCTTCGGTTTTCTAGGGAATCTGGATAGTTTTCAAGGATTTTTAGACAGTATCACCTAAAATTTTTGTGACAAAAGAAGGAGAAAACATAAATTTCAACATTCAAAAGTTTCGAGCCGATTTGAGCTCAAAAACAGCCACAATCCATCATTTTTTTGAAGGAACTTTTTATTAATTTTTTTCTCATCGTTCAGTTTCCTTACCAAAACTTTCAGACGGCTTCGTCGAACAAGGATTTGCTCGCGATCCAGATTGGTGTTGTTCGCAACAACGCCCCAGTTGCCCTTTCCATTCTCGGACAACTTGGAAACAACGCCTTCAAGCCTTGGGACGTTGAAGAGGTGTGTTTGATTCATATTTATGAAAAAAATGTCTGATATTCATATCAGAATAGTTTTTTTGACGTTAATTTCTCATGATTTCTGTAAGAATTTTTGGTTTTTCAAAAACTGAAGCCTTCATTTTGACACAAAAACTTTACTGTGACAGTTCCAAGGCTTTGATCTTCACAAAATAAGAAATGGTACTTTTTTTCTTGAAATTTGTTCTCACAAATTAAACATTTTTTTCTCAAGCCTTCTCAGACTTTTAAGGCACAAAAAAGTTAGGTAAACTACACGAGTTTTGATAGATTTATTTTCTTCTTTGAGCTCAATACTCTTCAGGTCGCTGCGGAGACGATCAAGCGCGACCAAGCCAAACGATGTGGCAACAACATCGTTCTGGAGCAGCTCCACGAAGCGGCTTTCCGCAACGGACCGCTGTCCCGCAGCAGCTACATCCAAGAACACTCCATCTCCGCAAAAGACCTTTCCGCGTTTGCTGTGAGTTTTTATTTGGAAAATGCTGAATATTATCTAGAAGTTTTGCTCCAATCACAACAAATTTGTGAACCCCTCTATATCATTATCAATATTTATTGGTTGTTTAAAGGCATAGGGGCAGTAAAAAATGGGGTTTCAGGTGAAAGCAGTATCTTATACAGTTTTTCTTTGCGAATCGAATGGTGTACTCAAAAAAATTACAGATGTGACAACTTTAGAAGAAAAACGCGATTTTACTTTCCCGCCTTTTATTTTGAAAAAAGCTTTGGATCGGTATGCAGACAAATGTTTACAGTAGCTGTGCACGCAATGTTGCGGACGTCTCATTAGACTCGCATTTTGTGAGAGATATCCGAATATCTGCTTCAAATTAAGGGCTTCTTCTCTGAAAAATCGATTAAGAAAACAGAAAACACACATTAATAATATAGAAAACACAAATAATCGCTTTCCCAATCGAAACCTGTGTAAAATCATCATTTTTCACCAGAAAAGCATTTTTGCGATTAAAGTGTGCAAATTATACATTAATAGAAAGCTTTTGTGACGAAAAGAACTTTGGTGACAACAGAAAAAATTAAAAACCGAAAGAAACGAAGAAAAAAGCGAAAATCCGGAAGATGACGAAGCCTGTTGTCCATAGAGCAACTTTACTGCAAAGTGCCCTTTTCGCGGGAACTCAAACTTTCCTTCCTCCGTCTTTGAATTATTTTTTCTCCGAAACTAGGAACTTCTGTACATTTCCAAGTTCACCGTTCGATTCGCAATGAAAAACTCTACAAAATACTGCTTTGAACTGAAACCCCGTTTTTTACTGCCCCTATGCCTTTAAGTCAGGTGGAATCGACTAGGCGGTGAGAAAATTGCTTTTTTGAGCGGCACTAACACCGCCTTTGGCGAAAAAGAAGTCAAAACGTGTAGTCGATTGAATTGAAAGCATGGTCTTACGGTCCTTCTCCTCGCTCTTCCACAAGTAGAGACCTCAGTTTTGCGGGTACGGGCACGGCGGTGATAGTGGGGCTCGGTCACGGACGCCGTGTACACTCTAGGGTAGCCTCGGCCAATTGAGAGAGCTACCACTTCGAGTGAAGAAAATACACGGAATAGTCCGCTTTTTCGAAAAATTTCATGCTGAACTTGAGTGAATACTCATAGAATCGCGTGAGTAGTCCCTAGAGCGGTTAGGAAAAAAAACCGTCTTTGTAGGATAAAGAATGTTGCTTCCTGGAAAGGTCAATTGTTTCAAAAAACTACTGTGTACTATGCAAAAACAGTTTTTTTTTTTTCGAAAACAGTTTCAAAACAGCAAAATAAAACGGTTAAGCAAAAAAAGTTGATTATTTTTTTTGAGCTTTTGTGCCTCTCACTTTTAGAATGCCATAATTTTGATACTTTCATTTCTCAGAAAGAACGCCTTATCAGCGGCGAAGCGGTCCTTGTTGGTGTCAATGTTGACCACGACGAACTCGTTCATGTCGCCTCTCAACAGGTTTTTCTTTTTTCCGTTTCACAGTTTTCTGACTCTCTTCTTCAGTTCCCTCTCCGTGAAGGATCTGCCAGCCAAACTGCCGGAAGCACTTACTTTGGGGGTGATGTTCGACGGTTAGTATGATCAGCGCTAAAAAGATTTTTTTTTTTGATTTTAGAGATGGCAAGGGAGCTGAGACTTATGTCGCGATTGCTGGAGAAGGAGCTTCCTTGAAAAATACCAAGGATGTTGCTGTTCAGGCTGTTATTGCTCAGGTTTGCAAAGAAAATATTAAATTTTGCCAAAAATCATTAGAAAGTTTACACACAAAATTAATGAGTAGTTTGATTATTTCAGATCTTCGCTCGTGCTGCTGAAAAAGCTGGAGTTGAAGCTCGCGTTGTCAACCTCAACTACCAAGATGGAGGCCTTGTCGGTCTTCAGTTCGTGAGTAACCTCATAAATTTTCTCCACGAGATTAACGGTTTTCAGTCCGCCTCAAACAAGAATGTGAACAGTCATACCAAATCTCTCATCAACGCCATCCGATCAGCTAAAGTTGCTGATTTGGAAAACGCCAAGAAAGCCGCAGTCAACGAGGTTAGCTGAGATAATTATGGTTCAATCATTTAATTTCTGGATACTTTTGAAAAAATCAAAAAATCATGATATTCACTTTTTTGGGAACCTGTGACCTTTTTTTGGGATAACTATTCGAGCTGACCCGAAAACAGCTGTTTTTTGCGTCTTCGGTTTTAACCTGGAGAAAAGATCTCGGATAAACTATTTCAAATTTGTTCCCGGACAAAAACCTGGATCACCTAATTCTCACTAACTTCTCAGTAACCTGGAATAATATTGAACTTTCAGGTTCTTTCAAACGCGCAGACCGCTTCTTCTGTGGCTCTTGACCGCGCTTCTCAAATCCTCGCTGGTGCCGAAGTGGTCACTCCTTCCGAATTCGCCGAACAAATCAAGTCCGTCTCCTCCGACGATGTTTCCAAGGTGAAATCATTTTTGAGAACTTCATGGAAATAAGTTTTTGCAGGCTCTCAAGAAAGTTTCTTCAAAATTGTCGCTCGCCGCTTACGGTACTCCTTCCCTTGTTCCATATGCCGATGAACTTTAAATTAAATTCATTTATTCTTTGATTTATTTTTTTCATTTTTGAAAAATCGTTTTAGTTTAGAATAAAGTTTATCAAAAAAAGTTTTGAGAAAGAAAAAAATTATATAGAGAACAAAAAAACGTAAGTAATCGAGTCGATAATCATAATTTGACAAAGAATTCGACTGATTAACGGATAGGATAAAGCTTCTAAGTGATCAGGAAGAAGTGAAAAACATAATTTAATACATCAAAAAGGGCTTCAGATGGTGGTCAAGAGATGGTGAGAAGTTAGGAAGAAAAAACTTTTGTAAGCGATCGAGAACTGAAAAAATTGAACGTGAAATACAGATGGAACCAGCGAGAAATCTCACTTTGAGGAGATGGATATACATAAAACTTCATGAGCGCCATGGCAAACAGACTGGAGATTCGTGTAGAGCAAGTTCGTCGATTGAAATGTTGCAAAGAGCAGAGCGGACGCAAATGGAAGCGGCCAAAAGTGACGTGACCTCCTCTAAACGGCTGGCCCACGGCAACTCTATTGTGATGTACACACGCACACGCGCACATCCTGTTGCTTGGCGGCGCTGTTAAAAAGCCGCTTAGTTGTTTTCGAGCTCCCACTTTATTTGGCCATCTTTTCAAAAGCTCAATTTGTGAATTTTGCTCTCGTCGTCGTTATTTTTCATTCGGGGACAGCCAGCGGCGGTATATACCCGTTTTTTCTCATTATTTGACCTGTGAGAGGTTAACTTTGTTCGATGAAAAGTTTAACTTAACAGAAATACTAAAAATTACTCTTCTTTCATCTCAGTTAGAAAAAAAAAAGAATTATTCAAGGTGATTCTCGTTTTTTTTTTCTTCTTCAACATTTTATTCTGTAGGTTTTATTTTAACTATATCTTCAACTTTCAAGAAAAAAAAGGCTCGAATGTTTTACTCTAATCTTATTCTTTCACTTAAGGACTGGTCTCTTTCTCAAAAACACAATTCATATCGTAAATTCCCTGTCTGAAATTTGAAAATTATCTTGATTCATCTTTTGAGCCCTGAGCTTTTTTCGAAATAGAAAAAACTCTTGTTTTACTCAACGAGCTTCTTCCCAATGGCTTTTTTTTCAGTGAGTATCAAGTTGCAGACATAATTGGGGTTTGCGGATTGCAAGGAAAAAAAAAATTGGCGCCAAAGAGAACTGAGATCTTGAAGCACCAAATTAACATCATGGCAATCTCACCAAACTGAAAAACAAAAACAATTAAAGCTCTTTTGATGTGCTTTTGAATCTTCGCACCCTCTGAACCCAGAAGTAGGATGAAGAACTCAAAATGGCAGTTCAACCTCGGACAAAAGGCTTGAGCAGGAGACAGGACATATTTTGCAGCCGTTAAGTGAATTTGTTCATATTCACAGGTCTTTTCTCGCTTTCAATCGGCTTTCTCCAGAACTTTTGACGGAACCTTCTTGTGCACGTCGTCGTTCAAGTTTTCACAAACGCTTCCGGAAATCTAATAGCGGCCTCGGTCTCCCTGCGCTCATCCATCGCGTTGAAAAAGCGCCTCTCCAACTTCATTTTCTCACTGAAGACGTTACTAATTTCTTTCACTTTCTGTTTTCGAAAACCCTCACTTTTGTTCACGTCATCTCAGTGGTTCCATTTGCAGCTCTTCTAGGTCAGAAAGGCTGAATTATAACTTTTTCGCTGAGAACACTTTTTTTGACTCTAACAGAAACCCGATATTCTGATTGATCATCAGCTGAAAAATCAATAAATGCTTGAGATTTCAATACATCAACGAAAATATTGAAAAAGAAGAGGTTTTCTCATCAGTTTTGGATATAGTATATTCCAAACTTTTTCTTTACAGACTGTGTTTCCTTCCAACGTTTCATTAGGATAACTTTTTCACAGAATTTTCACTGAATGTGAATGTAAAATCACATCTTTTTAGCAGCCTCCTAAATACACAACCGAATAAAAATCAATCTGTTTTTCAAGCAAGCAGTACCAAGTTTCAAGCAACTCGGAAACCCAATGCAAAGCTCGGGAGTTTTCCAGAAAACCAGTTTTCTCACCTCTTGTGTAAGATTACTGAGTAACTTGGAAAAAAACCCGTGGGATTCTCACATTTAGTTGGTTCCACTTGCGTCAAAATATGCTTTTCTGCCATTTTCGGTGTATTTCATCGACAAAGGTACTCGAGAGTACGCACTTCAGAAAGAAGTCTAGCAGTCTTTTCCACGAAGCCGCGCTCATCGAGCTCTCACCTTTTTGTTGATTCCAGGAGTGGCGGGCCTTTGTTTTGAGTCTATCGAAGTGACGCGAGTTTTTACCTGAATGAGCTATTTACTTTGTTCATTTCAAACGGAAAGAAGGAAGTGTAAAGATGAAAACTTATATTTTTCGAAGTGTCGGAAGATATTGGTTTTTTCGGGTTTATGAAAAAAAAGTCATTTCCTTCATTTTGCATCCGCAATTTTACTCATAATGAATTGGCAAATATTTCAGAGGCTCTAGTATCGGTACAATTTGTCGTTTCAAAGCCAAATAACTTTTCAAACCAAGTCGTAAAAACAAAGGTCAGCAGGTGCTAAGATTCGCCTCTTTCAGATAGGTGAATAGACTCCAGCTTTTCCCAAAATTCCTGCTTCTCTCAGATTGAAAATTTTTGGCTGATCCGACGTCCCATATTTCACTCAACCTTAAAGCCTCTTTCGGAAGATGAAGCGCCAGTATAAACTTCCATCTTTTAAGTCTCCTTAGCTTCTTTATTGTATAGAAGCGTCGATTTTGGCGGTGGCAGCAACAAAAGCTGTTGCTCTCAACCACCGCTTGCTCCTTTCTCCTTCTCTACGGTCGTGTTTCGAATTCTACACGCCGCTGTCTTTTCCGTTCGCGTTTCACTTCACCTACCACTTCGTCATTCATGTATGACTTCTGCAAATAATTCAACTCCTTTGTTATTTTTCGCTTTTCTTAGACGCAAAATATTTTTTCTTCCAGACTTTTTTCTGAAAAAAACGCAGTAATAAAGTGTGGAAGTCTAATATTTCTAAAACTTTTTTTTGTTCTGGAAACGTTTTGCCAGTGTGCCGAAATGAGTTTTCGATTTTTATTAAGTTTTCACCTGCCATCTTGTCAAATCTCAGCTTAGAATTTTTTTTCCAGCCCCATATATATATTATCTGGCTCTTACAATATTTTTGTTTAGCTTTTGATAATGTCAAACTTTGCATTAAAAACAACTACTCGTTGAGAGCTTGTTGCAAATATCTACTAAAAAGTGAAACTTCCGGAAACCCAAAAAAATTTCATTTTGCAACCTGAAGCCAACCGATTTCTGACTTCTTCCCTAGTCCGAAGTCCGATGACGTCTTCGATTCGCAGATTCACTCGAGTAGTAGCATCGAATTCCGGACAACTTCTTCCAGAGATACAAGAACTGGCTCACATTTCCAGTTCCACGTGTAACTCGAGTCCGCCACACACCGAACTAGTTCCTTTCCTTTATCTCGTTTTTGCATTCAGTAAAACGTGAATGGAAGCTTCGTAGTGCACTTTTCAATGGCTCGCTTTCTGAAAACACCTATTCAAAGCCTTTATTATATCAGCGCTATGCCGGGAAAAATTTGTTATGCTAGCGTCAAAATAAAATCTTCTCTAATTACTTCAGAAGACCTGTTCGAAAAAAAAACAGCAGAACTTATTAATCTGTATAACTGTATAAAAATTGATAAGAAAAAACTTTTCCAAAAGTAAAAGTGCTTAGTGGTTATCGTGATCCTCCATTTCTTTTTTTTCATCCTTTGAAGTGCTCAAATAGCTAAATAGCCTTGTAACGTCTGCGCGTCTGATAATGAGTCTACTCAGATCTCTCAGTGATGCCGAACGCGTTGCACTTTCTTTCTTAATTTCGTAAACCTTCGATCAAATCAAAACTTTTCACTTCTTTCCATGTTTTACTCCTACATATTGGCTTCGACAAAGCCGGAAGGAATAATGTTGGTTTTTTAAAATTGCTGGACTATGCAATGAAATCTCCCAAGAATTTTTGCTTGCCACCAGAATCTTACATGCGTTCCAATTTTTTGCATTGCGTGAAATGCTTCAAATTTCCCGAAAATTCCGTTTCAGTTAACATTCGACGCTCATAGAGTCATTCTTTCACTCTCACATCTTCTTGTGAGCAGAATCAAGAGCGTTTTTTTTCAAATATATTTTTTCTGGACGGTGAAGAAAAGAGTTATTAAAGAGATAGAAGCCATCTTGGTATCCTTCCGAAAGATTTCATATCGAGGAGACAGTTTTCATCTTTTTTTTTTCAACTTTTTCCAATCAAATTTAACTTTCCTACTCTCCAAAAAGCGTTATTTAGTTCTTACAAAGCTTTTGCCAATGTGAAAGAAATTTACTTTTTCAAGGTGAGAAAGTTCTATATTTTGTGGGAACCTTGTTACTCCGAAAACAAGGTAAATGAACTCAGCTCCCTAAAAAAGTGTTTGGAAAAATTATAGTCAAGAGAAACAAAAAGTTTCTAGAGTCTCTTCTTCTTTCGATTGCACTTATAATGAAGTTCTCCACGGAAACACAATGTCTGCGTTTTGCTGAAGTTTCAATTCTGAAGGAATCTTCATTTTTTTTAGTGAGATGAGCATTTGTTTTAGTGTTGAATGAGCTATTCGTTCGGAAGATTCAGTTATACGAATTTTAATGAGTGGTTGTCCCGGCTTACCTGACAAATTTTTTTGAACACTCATCTAATTTCCGCTGTGCTAACCGAGTGAATTATAATCCCACCACTTGTTTTTCATATTTCTATTGGACATTTATGACAATATCATCTTTTAGAGATTTACGGCAAGCGAAATAGTGAATTGCGGGTTGCTGGCGGATCGTAGGACGTAGATGTGCGCATTTTGGGAACGGATACCCGGCTGAGCCGCGACTCGTTCAATGTGTTGCTGCTTACGTCTTCACAGGCATCAGATTCATCTTATCAGGTATTTCTGCTCAGAAAATGTTTCCATTCAAACACTAAAGCCTGAAAAAGGCAGGTGAATCAGTAAAGTGGGATAATTTCAAGTGCTTCTGTTTCCGCATACCAGAGCTCTTACTTGTGCGAGAAATGATCTTTTTTCTTCTCGAACGGATTGGAAGAACGCCGAGTTAATAGTTCTGCGAAGCAAACTGGTGCGAGAATTTCATAAATTTCAAGCCCAGCGCTAAAGCTTACTTAGAAACTGTTTCAGAAAAGTCCACGCGGTTCTCAGAAATTCAAAAATTATTTGGCCATGATTTTTTGTCTCAATATAAAATATTGCAGCTATGGCATCGTTTCATGTGGTCTCATCACGACGGGTTTAGTATTCACTGTTTTTGCAATTTTCTACAAAGACTCTCAAATAGGAAAGGTTGTTTTTTATCCCAAAATATTCAGTTGAACGAGAATAATTGCTAAGGTGTGGTTAGCGGGTCCAACAACAATGGTGGTAGGTCTGGTGCTTGCTGGAAAAGTGGTTATCGACTGGGGTCCGGCGATGCTTCATGCGAGGGAAGGATCCTTTGACTCACGGCTCATGGATCAGGTAACTCGGAAAAAAGCATTTGTTTTGAGAAAGGGTTTTTTGCCATGAACAAATTTTCCGAGACCGAATATTCTTCAATCCTCAGCTGATAAAAATGTTTTGAGTATTCTCACATAATAATACCTACTTCTAAAGTTTTCACCCATTGGCAATGGTGACACCAAAGAACAGATTGAAACTGTCCAGCTTTCGATAAACCGCCTTTTCAGTTCCAACTGAACGCTCCAGCATCGCGGTATCCAGAGCCGCTGCGTAATCAACACGTCCGTGTGGAGCATGAGCCTAAATGCGACGGAAAGAACACTCGTGGCCGGGTGATCCTGCAGCAGCCGATGAACTATCCGTCGATGAGTCCCTACGGCACTCCGATGCCTGCCGGCATGCCTCACATGATGCAGCGCAGCTCCATCGGATCTCCTTCTGTGTCTCAGCTTCGGGGATCTGTCCCTTACGTTCCCGAGCACTGCCTTATCTATTCTCAGTACAACTCTTCACTTAATAGCATTCCTTCCAATCATGTCAGTGGAATAAAGTCTTTTCATATCGAAAGGACGTTTTCAGGGACACGACAGACGGAGCTCCTCAATGCCACGGCATCTGAACCAGTCGAAGCAACATTCACCACGGAATTCGCTCTACACGACCCATTCAAACCATTCCAATCATTCTGGAGAGCAGTCTCTAGCGTTGAGCGATGTTGGTTCCATTCGAGTTACAGCTCTTTAGTCAGTCTTTGTTATCGTAAGCTTTCTCTATCTTTCACATAGCCATCAATCTGATGGGATTCGGAACCAAGTTGAAAATAATGATCAAAATAATAATTTTCATCACAATGAGGTCTTTCGGGAGTTCGAAGCTGGGAAGCTTATAAGCCTATCCTACCCATTTTTAAAGGGCCCTTCCCATTTTGACACTTCACATTTTTTTTTGGACTCAAGTTATCCTAACCAAGACCAAATAAATTTAGATATGAAAGCCTCAGAATATGATCCAATGCAGTTTCATGCTTCTCAATCAAACATTTCAGGTCTGTGAATGCTCACAATACGGAACGATGAGAAGAAATGACCCTCCATTCCAAGGAGAGTCTTTCATTCTGAACGAAAGGAGCTATCTCATTTGATTCATTCCTATCAACACTGATAAACCAAAACGATCTCACTTCTTTTTAGTTGTGCTTAGAATTATATTTTTATCTCAATCGTTCTTGGAAAGTTTTATTTTTTGCATTACTCACCTTTTTTATCATTCAACTCTTGATCAAACTCTCCCATAACTCACCTTAACAATGGTTCTCCACTTTATTGATGAAAAAAAAAGTTTTACTTTCGCTATACTGATATGAAATGAAAGTTCAAACATACATTTGCAATAAATTAACACGCGGATTGGAAAGAAGGCACCAAGTGAAAGAGAGGAATTTTGAATTATGCGAAAGAAGCTAAACATATAAGAGATCAGCTATGGAATCGTTTGATTTTAACTGAGAAAGATAGATGGCCAGAGAAGCAGAGGTCATGGGAAAAATCTCAAAAATATATGAGCTAATCGTAGAGATTTCAGAAAGTTACCAGTGAGCTAAGAACAGAAAAGAAATGAACATCAAATGAACAAAAAAATGAAAAATAAACTGTTAACAGTTCCAGAACAAGAAAAACAAGAAAAAAAAATGAGAAATGTAGAAACCGGGACGTATGAACTTAAGGAAGCCGAATTCTACCCAAAAAGGTACAACTCTTGATCGTGATATTTCGAAGGAGGAGTTTCGTTTTTCCGCGGAAGACCGCAGACGACAAAGCAGCAGATGATGGTGATGATGGCCAGGATAATGGAAGTCACGGCGCAGATCGTGATGAAGTGCATGCATTCGCGAACGTGAAGAAGCAGATAGTCCTGGCAGCCCTGTCAAATTATAGAAAAATTACCTTTTTGAAGTGTCCTTTGGGAACTCCTGATTTTATGAAAGTAAAAAAAAATTCTCCTGATTGACCTTTTTAAAGAAAAAGTCACTGCGCTCTTACTATCGGGTTGGTAGGAAGCTGATTAGGTTTTTTAGAAAGGCGAAGACTTGTTTTATAGGGAAAAATAGTTTTTGATTAAAATCAACGCTTCTTTGAAAATAGGTTTTTTCGCATCTCAAAAGATACATTTTCTTTGTCACCATTTTCGGTTTTCGCTCATAAACAAGGTCTTACTCGAGCAAACCGATTTTAGTTTTGGAATTAAGTTCTTTCATAGCTGTTTGAAATCTGTGCAAAGCTTCAAGTCATTTGAGCCACTTTCAGAGAAGTTATGCTCGAAAAACCACTTTGAAATACCTTTATGGCCAGTACTGTATTTGCGCGTTTTACAAAAAATTGAAGCTTCATAACTCGAAAACCATATCTATTTTAGAAAATTTCATTTCTGCTCTGGGATCAAGAGGTCCGAGAGTTCAGCAAACTTTCAATAAAAGGTAACTCGGTGACTAAAAATCTATTTCTTGTATTCAGAAGTTCAGAAAAACTCCTGATTTGTCCCATAAAAATGTGAAGAATGAATTTTTTTGAAATCAAATTTATATTTCTTTGCAAGCAAATTATTTCTCAGTATAGCTTTAAAAGCAATAAAGCACCAAAATTTTAAATTTTCGAGTTTGGAGCGACGAAAATTCAACATTTTTCATTTAAACCAACCTGGTATCGAATGTTGCTTGGTCCGTCACTCAAGGCACATCCTTTGGCGTAAGTGTAGCAACAAGAGTCCGGCACGTACTGGACCTTCTTGAGCCGCATTTCTTGGTAGTAATAACCACGGCCCTCATATTCTTCTGTATTGTTCTTTGGGTAATCGTTAAAGGCGTGGGCTCCACAGCATTTTCCCTGCAAAGAAATTATTGGAAGGTGCTCTTTCTTGCTCTTATTATGCGTGTTGGAGCTGGACTTTTATGTTAAGCTTATTCTGAATATGTTTAGTCTCTGAGTTTCATAGGGATCATGGGTGAAGGTTTCCCTTCTAGAAAGTTCCACAATCTTCTTAATTGTTTTATACCTTTCTAGAAGGTTCCAAATGATTCTATTGCTTTTGGGACGGGCCTTCAAACTGGGGAATGTTCCATCAAAACTCAAAACTCCACCTCAGAAACCATTTTTTGTTATTGTAGATAGTCTAGTTTCTTGTTACTATTTCACTACAACGTCTCCACGGGCCGCCTTCGAATATAAGTTTCAAAATTACTCACCGCCTGTTGCATTCGATCGATGGTATGCTTGATGATCGGATCGCGTTTGTAGTTGACTTGAATATCGTACAAGAGTGTTTTGTTCACTTCTTCCTTTGATGCAGCGACATACCCCAAAGCAGAGAAGCACAGAAAAATCTCGGCAACTATGGACAGTGTCAGTAGAAATACGTACTGGAATAAAAATTGCGTTTTGAAAAAAACTTCATTCTTTGAAAGATTATAACAGCAGTAAAGCAGAGTAAAAATTAGGAAAAATTTTTGTTTCAAATTTTTTGTTCGCCGTCCATTTGAACGGCATAGAGGTAAAATTGGAAAGGGTGAAAAAAAATTACACAGAAATGTTCTTTTTTTTAGTGACAAATCCTTTTTGCTGTCTTTTTGAGCCATTTCATCACCTCTTATGCCCCATTTTTGCTTCCTCTCCCTTTGTCCACCGTTTTTTGGGACTTCAAAGCTTATGATGACTCATATAATGATATAAGTGATGGTTGTATGTGATTCGTCCGCAACTGATACTTATTATCTTTATTTTACCAAAACTTAATTCGTACGCAGTTCGTTTAAAAAATTCTATGATACTAAGAAAGAAAAATGGTCTGAATCCAGTGCAAACATTTCTTGCGAGCGCTCCAAAAAAAAGAAAAAAAAACTCACGAAGCTCATAACGCAACGGTTGTGGATGGCGCAACAGGGCAGAAAACCGCCCATGAGAACGAGGGCGCCACAACCTCCGGCCATGTAAACGCAGTAGAGGAACTGTTGACTGTGGAGCAACGGCATGAACTTTGTCTTCTCCAGGAAGAGAAAAATACTCAGAAGGACCAGAAGCACTCCGCTTATCTGCAAAGTGACAATGAAGGGGCTTCGTATCTTTAGACTGAAATATCAAGAATATGATTCCAAGGAATATTTTTATGGAAAGTGTAGCGAAAATCTGTTTCTAAATAAAACTCCCTATCAGCTGTGAAATGTTGTAAGTTTTATCTTTGGCTAAACAAATTTTGAATTTTAAGTTCTAACTGAAACAATCTGACTTAGCCTTCACTATTCCTTTAAACATTTTTCAAAGCGAAGAAAAATGAAAATAAAATAGGGCCTGATCACAATAATTTCTTTCACAGATAAAATAGAAAGTTTGAGTCTTAGAAAAGTTTCTCGAAAAATGATTCAAACAGCGTCCAAATGTAAAAATCTGTTTAAAAAAAACCGAATTAAAAAAATAAGAAGAGACTCACAAGTGTCATAGAAGCGAAGCAAATGGTGATGCACTTCATCCAGCCCGGAGAGCATTCAGAGCTAGGAGAAACACGACGTTTTGGAGTCATCGTTGTGTCCAGGAAGTCGGCCACCTCAGAGTTCTGAACTTCTCAAGAATGAACGTGCAAAGAAAGGAGTCGGGCCAAACAATACGCACAGAAACGAGCTCAAAAGGCGTCGGAAATGCGATCCGCCTACTTCTGCGGCGCCGTGTAAACCATATGCACATTAGGAACTTCGAAATTCTCCCTCTTAACGTTTTCAAAAGTTTTTTCGAGACTGAATATCGATTTTATGACGCATAGGCCATGAATAATAAATAAACATCTGCACGTGCAAACTTTTTTGGCGAGGGGAGAAATCTCTTTTTTTCTCGGATTTTCGAAGATTTTTATTAAAAGACCTCAGTATTCTCCGCAAAACCTAGCATTACATCCCTTGAACAACTTGAAAATATTTTGACTCTTGAGTGGCGATCGTGTTGCTCAGATTACGTCGAGAGGTCTTAAGGAAATACATGAGGCCAATCGAGGCAGCCTGAGGGTGAATGTTTGTATTTGCCGGCGGAACAAAAAGGTTTGGCGTGGGTTTCTCCGCGATTGTAGGCAAAAAAGGTAGTATAACCGGCGAAGAACAAAAGGCGGAAAGGCGTTTTTTTTCAGAGCAATCGGCGTTGATAATGCGACGTGTGAACGGCAAACAGTTTCGATTGTGTTCGATTTTGGAACAGAAACTGCCAGAAAACACTATATCAGTTTTCCATCCTTTTTTCGTCGTTATCTTGAAATTTAAATTTTCAGCGGAATCCTGACTCGCTGGTCTCAAAAAGATTATATTGTACAAATCAGCGATGTAATTATGTCATCAAAATAAGTTTTCTTATTGTGAACTTGAGCTGCTAGAGGCTGTAGCAACCTTTTTGGATACATTTTATGATGTGGTTCGTTTTGATCTCACAGTTGTTATCCTAGTTACTGATTAAGTACGTGGCTCACTTTTTTTCTAAAATTAAGTTTTAGTCAATTTGGCTTACGGATATCATAAAATCCTTGTTCAAAGACGAATGAACTAAAAACTGCATACCTGGTGATCTCTGATTATTAGATGAAAATGATATAATTATTGGAAAAAGGTAAATCACACCTGCGTGGGGAACATGACGGTAGAGTTAAAGAAAGACGAGGACCGGACGGAATGCACGATGCTCATTTACATAACATGATAACTCGCAGAGCCACTCTGGCCCACTTTGATTGCTCCATTCATCGACGGAGCACTCTTCTTCCCACAATTACCGCCACGCCCTTCCGCTGGGACATAAGTATCTTGAGCAGCAACTCAAAAATTTCAGCTCCAATAAAAGAAAAGAAGAGAAGGTGTTTTTAGGAATACAAAAAGCCTGTTCTTCTATTTTTTTTTTACTGACCATGAAGTTATGAAATAGGCCTGGTGGGAAACACAAAAAGATATAGTTCTTGAACACAATATAAAAGAAATAAGGTAAAAAGCAATTTTTATGGAAGTGATTCATCGCAAAAAAACCGAAAAAAAAAGAAATTTTGAAACTACAAGAAAAAAGAAAGCGCAACAGAAGCTGTGAAAGACCGGAAATCTGGAGACCAACAGCCAAATATGGCTATAAACGTTTGCTGGTTTTTCGCGAAGAGATTGAATAGAGCATGAAAAAATAATGTTCATGTCGGACGTTCGTAAAACCAGACAGCCCCGTTTGTTTTTTATGTCCATATGAAACCAAAACATAAAAAGACACGGCAGGCTATTGATTATGGATACTGTCGGAAATGCGGAGGTTAATCACTACTTTTGTCGCTGATCAGTGGGGAAGCTGAGCTGAAAGATGAATGCAGGGCCTTATTTTCGTAAAAAAAAAAGAAGCGTGAAACGTAAAAACGCAAGGAATGAAAAATTACAAGCTTCGACTCGACCCATAAATTATATCCAAGCAGAGGAGGTCGAAAATCAGAGCACAAAAATCAAAATCTTATTTTTCATTCAAAATATAAATTGCCACGTTTTGCAGAGAAAAGCCGAACGAAAATTGGATATGTCAGTCACATGAAAAAAATTTGATTTCGACCAAAATAAAAAAAAACAGTGGTCGAAAAAAAAACAATAGCCTTGCGAAAAAAAAAAACAGGCAAACTGCTTTGCTGCAGGCCTCTTTCTTGTAGAAGAATGATGGTTTCTGATTTTTTTAATCTCTTGCAAGTAGTATTCGATTGAAGTTTTCAAGGATGGTGAGCTTAGAAATGAGAAAGAAATTGAAGACTTTGAAGCAATCGTGCGAGAATAGAGCTTCAAAAATAATGGAGTCGCCTTCGGCTTTTGGCGAGAATCTGCACACCCTGGGATTAATCCTTGAGCCGCAGCGGACCATAATGGAGTGTTTGTCGCGCCGCGAGGCAAAGTACAATAGTCCGCTTCTCAAAATTTGGTTATGGATGGCAGAGAAGTGGATTATCAGCCAAAAATAAACTCACTTAATAATTCTATTCTTATCTCAGAAACTAATTTTTGATTGTTTCAATAAATATACACAATTTTAGCATTAGTAAGAATTTCAGTACAAGTTATAACAAAAAAAAACTCTCAAAGCGTGTAAAATTAGAATGAATTTTCTTCGTTTCCAATATTTTACGAGAAATCGATAAGATTTTTAAATTTTTCTGTTGATAATTATTGAATTCAACCAACAAGCACTTTAAGAATATACGACCTCAAAGGCTTAAAAAATCATGAAAGGACTCAGAACCTCAGAAAAACGGGAGAAACAGCGTTTTCCGCTTCACGGGAGCGTTGCGGGGTGTGTTTTCTAGAAACTTCATATATAATTGAGCATTTTTGTTATGAAGTCCTCTAAGGCAAAAGAAAAAGAATGATTTGTTGTGAGCAAGAAATTCATAAAAAAAAAGCACCCGCCGACGAAAATTGCCTTCATTGTCGTACAAGAAAAGTGAACGAGCTATTCGAAAAAATCTGGAAAAAGGAGAAAAAAAGGAATGAGCCAGTAGGACGAGTGACAGGGCCGTTTTATGACACCCGAAAAGTTGCGGTGTCACCAGATGGACGGCAGAGGGCAAAAAGTAACAGAAAAAAAGTTTTTACACCTTTCAAAAATGGCAACATATTTTTTTCGAAAAAAATGTTTAAAAAAATAGTCTCAGTTCCTAACTTTTTATTAGCCAAAATTTCAAAAATAATTTTGAGATTAGAAATTGCGTGATCACTTTAATAAATTCCTGAAATCGAAGAAATTATTTCTTTCATAGCCCAATTTTCGCAGATTTGTAATAAAAAAAAAATGCTTTCTTAACCTCCCAAAATGGAAAAGACTCCGGTCGAACAGAAAAAATCCCAAAGAAGGACAATGGTTTGAATCGAAAGACGAACAGGACGCTTGAATTGAAAAAATAATGGAAAGTCGTACGGCGTAATGTTTATATTACGGCAGCAGTTAAGGTCAGAGTGACTTTTTCTCAAAAGTAAATATTGCCAAACGGGGAAGCAGCCGTTCGAAATGGGCTAATTTCATGGGAGAAAAATCAAAAGGGTCAGAAAAACGCTCGTTTGTTTGAAAAATGTCATAAACTTCAAATATTTTCATTTTTTCGAGTTTTTTTAAAGGATTAACAAGATCTGTGGCATAATTCACTCAGTTTTTTTGCAACTTTCTGCAACAATTATTCATCAGCGAAGACACGAAATTTGAGTGAAAAATAAAAATCAATCGAAAAATTCCTCTGAAAGCATAAATTATTTGTACCTTCTAATTTTATTTTTAAATTACAGTTTGCTTGTTTTTTTGAGTTCAAAAATTTGAATTTATGGCGGAAATGTATCAAATTTCTGAAAAAAAGAAGCTTATTCGGTTTTTTTCTTATTGAAGTTCCATGAAGTTCAAGTGATTTTTTTCTCGAGAATTGAACAAAAAAATTAGAACATCATGAAAATAAAGAAGCAAAGTAATTTTTTAAGTCCCAAGAGAAGAGAAAAGGATATTTTTGAAAAATTACGGAAAGATTGAGTATCGAGGTCATGAAGCCATGTAAAGCATAAGAGGAACCGTATGCTCTCGAACGGGACGAGTCGGTGTTTATTGACAGATGATGAGGATGCGAGGCAAATGAGTGCGGAGCTCCATTGCATTGCTCTACGTGGAATCAAATTCGACACCCGCGCACACCCGCACTTCTCTGATATTATTATCAGCCTCTTATTTCACTGAAATACAATCAAGAAGGCTGAAACAGAATATCCACAATCGAAATGAACAGATCTGAACGGAAAAGGCAAGGTTGACTTTGTAGTGTTCGAAGGAAGTGAGATCTCCGTCACCACAGTCATGATGGATGTATCCCGTCGGTGTTATAAGAGAAGATACTCATGATAAGGTTTCACGCAGCCGTTCGACTTCTTCCATTCTTGGTAGGTACGATTGACCTATTGTTTGACTCGATTCAGAGTCCGAAATGGGGAGATGATAATTCTACTTTTTTCTTCACTATCACAAAAAGGTCATTCCAAAATTTTCCGAAGTATAACTGCATATCTTTTGAAAAAAAGCTTTAAAATGATCGACACCATCTCAACCTACAAAATTCGCTTTTTTCAGAAAAAAAAACGTGTTACAAGCAAGAAAACCCATTGGAGCAGATTCTTAAAAGCCTTACACAGAACTCTTGGGACCTTCTGCTCAAGTAGCTAAGGTTTTATCCGGACAAAGAATTTTATATTACTTCTATTTCACATCAACAAAGACCCAGACGATTTTTTTAAATCCCTAATCAAAAATAAATAATTTTTTTTTCAATGGTGACTTTTTTTTCAATGTTTTTCAAATGACCTGAACATCATCTAGAGCAGTACAAAAAAAGCTGAAATTTTACTCCAAGGAAAAAAATCCCTCACAACCTTTCTTGCAAAAATAGTGTAAGTACACGTTTTTTTCTACGAACAGAATAAAATTGTTAATAAAAAAAATCATATGGTCAGTAAGAAAAAATTAAAATAATTTTCGTGGTCGTTTCCAGCTAAAAGCGAAAAATCACCCTCATAGAAGTCTTTTTGAGACCATTTTCGTTTTATTTGTCATAGAGAAATATTCTCAAAAGCTTGATGATGATAATCTAAATTCATTCTTTAAATTTCCGCCGGAAGCATTGCTATCAAGTTGACGATGGGTGATTGGTTATCTTGCGCCGAGAAATGTCCACCGATTCTGTAGATCAATCGGTTCAAACAGGTTTCTCTGTTCTTAACCTTGAATAAAAATAAACTTAAAGAGAAGGAACAGGCTTTTTTTCTAAATAGCTATCCTGCTGAAGTTTTCTGAAGTTTCCTGAAATTTTTTTAAATTACTCTTTAGCTGCCAGGTGAAAAAGAATCACCTGGATTTCGAGAATCATTGCATATGTTCAATATTCGCTCCATGGCTGGCAGCAAAAAAATTTTTGCTGTTTCAAAAACTTCTAAAAAGATTAAGGGAGTTTCATAGACTCCAGAGAAAGTTAGGAAAATTTCTGAAGCTATTTTTCTCGCCATTCTAAACCTATGCGATCAGAAAGTTTTTCAGGCAAAGCAAAAATAATCGAATATTTTGAAGAGAAGTAATTTGTATCGACATTTTCCCGGTTTCCAATTGCTAGTTCCTTATTTTCAATTACCCTAACTCATAGAACAAAATAAATAAAACAGCGGACTTTAGACGTCGCCGTAATAAACGAAACCACGGATCTCTGGCATTTCTAACCGCTATTTTCTTGTTGACAAAAAATGCTTATATCATGGTAATTGCACTGAAATCACCTCATTGAATTCGCCTTTTCCGTTCCTCAAAACCTTTTGCAACAAACATCTGAGAAAGAGCGTCCGAAGCCTCGTGACGTCGTATCAGCCAACGGGTTCTCCGTGACTTCTCCTTAAACGCTGACGTCGATGATCTTCGTTTTCCGTCCATTCTTCTCCATTCATTACTGCACTTCAGATTAAATCATTCACCTTTCTTCAACTGATCGAGATGTTTAGAATGAACAAAAGTAACGCATTGATGTTTGTGGCATTATAAATAGTGGTTCGAACTTGGCGTTCGCTAAATTGTTGTCAATATTATAAGTGTTCTGATTGGTTCTAAAAAGGAAGTTTCACTTTTGAAAATCAACATCCTTGTTCAAAATGAACTTGTCATTTTTGAAGAGAACCTATTTGAAAAAAAGTATTGAGAAATAAGACTTCGTAGATTAAAATTTTCAGCTGCACTTTAAAAAAATTTGGTTTTTTTCATTCTTCGTTGGCTAGAGATAATAGCTGCTGAAAAAAATTCCTACAATCAATGTTATATAGAAAAAAAGTTGGAAATTCATGGAACCATTTTACCAGCTATCGATAGAATTATGCGGGGAGAATTTTATTAAATAAATCCGTGATCACGAATTAAAAAATTTTTTCTGAAACAGTGATGCTCGCTAATTTTCTGACAAACCTGCTCAAAAAAAGAGTCGAATTACAATCTCAGAGTGGACAGCCGTTCGAGCATTTCTTTGCGTTTTTATCCCATCGATCAGTTTTTGGTCACTTTCGATACTTTGAGCAGAATTCTTCAGTCGGGCGGGTTTTTAATCCGCTTTTTTTGTTTTCTACATCAAAATTACTTGTTTTGTTGGTGATAAAATCTGATATCATTACTATTAAGGGCACAAAAAACTTTGAATTGTCAATTTGATCAGCCATTTTTTTCTTGAAAAAGACCCAAAAATTTGAGAATAGTTTTCTATCAAACAACATCTAGAGCCTCAAAATTTTCCCTAAAAACAAAAAATGTGTTTAAATTGATTCAAAATGCTCTCGATATAGAATAGGTATTCGCCATTTTTTTTCAAAGTTTTTCAGTCGGCTATGTTTCAATATCTTTTCTGAACTATTACTTTTCATGGGTACAATTTGATCAAAAAGTAGGGCTACAATTTGATCGTAGGACCTTATCACATGAAGTCCACACCCACTCTTTTTATCAGTGTTGTTGGTTCCTTAAATGTCTGCCTCTGAGTTTTTTTTTTACTGACAAGATGATGGTACTTATTTTTGGTTGATGTCACAGGGTATTTACCGTTGCTCTTGCAGTCAGTATATAAAGTGGTTAGGATAGGAAGGCGCGTTTCTTTTGGTATTTTATTGCGAGCTTATTGGACTTCCAGAAATACAAATTTTTCAACAATTTTTATCGAAAACCTCAGTGTGGGTAGTATAAACTGAAATATTTCTTTAAAACTCCAGAGCAAAAAGCCGTTTACTCTCATGTTAAAATTATTAGAAATAATAATTTCTTGACATCCACGATAATTACTTTCAAGCAAAATTTCCATTTCGATTGGTAATCTTTTTTTTTAATCTCCCTATTCCCTTTAATGAAAATTCTCTATCACCTTGTTTTTCTCGTCCTAATATTTGTATCATCAAGTAACACAGTTTTCATCAAAATGTGAACTATGGCCAGAAAAACATAATTTTGAATGGAAAGGACCTTTCAGGAAAACAAGTTGATGCCCTTTTTAATCGCATCATGGCCCTATTTTTCATACTCGTTTTTTTCTCTTCGTTCGTCGAAGGAAATGTTACACTTTTCTTTCATTTCCGTAGGTGTTGAATTGAAGTCGATTTCTCATTTATGTTCAGTTTTGGTCTGTTTGATCAATAACTGGAGCTGATTTGGATCCTGAGAGCACAGTAACTTTTTTTTGCTCATTATGTTTTCGATTTCTCATTTATGTTCAGTTTTGGTCTGTTTGATCAATAACTGGAGCTGATTTGGATCCTGAGAGCACAGTAACTTTTTTTTGCTCATTATGTTTTTAGTTTTCTGATTGAATCTCATTTCGTCTCTGAACAGTTTGAAAAAAATCACTGTGTACTCACCTCCTTCTCACACCGATGATAATACTTTTTTCTTTTACATTTTGAATAGTACTTTGGTGCTATAAATTTGGAAATAACAAATATTATGTAAACAATAAATTCAAGAGTTCAAATTCATTCGTATATAACATTTTTCTGCTGCTCGTTATAACAAATTGTTCAATTATTGGCGCTTTTTACCTTCTTTTTTACAGTTTACAAATATCGAAAAAAAAAGTTCCTGCAATGGAAAGAGTTGGAATTCTGTCGGGAGGCTTTTTCCACCACAATCATCACAATGACGTTCACGCCCATGACTCTGGAGATCACTTGAAACCTCCGGTATGTTATAAGAAAAAGCTTCATATTTGGTTTTTTTGTGTAGAGTAAAAAAACATTGTATAGTGAAAAAAAGACCTCTTAAAGAATGACAGACCCGATTTTTGCTCTTCAATTTCTTGAATTTCTCACAAACAATTCAATCCAAGAGTCCAGCATTAAGTGTTTGAAGAGAAAGAGAACGGAATCCATCGCCATGTGACGTTCCCAGGGTTTTTAGGATACTTTAAAAGCGACGATTTCGATACTTTTGAACAGTTTAACAATTTTTTTGCCTCTTTCTTTTCTTTTCGTAATCGTGCTGGCGATGCCACGTCTTTTGTTTCTTTTTTTGCGTTTGAAAACTTTTCTTTCGGGAAAAAAAAAAATCAAAACCATAGACGAGGTAAACGCTGACTTTCCGGCGGGTACCAGTTTAATAAGGAAAAAAAGATAGCAGGATTTTTTACCTTTTGTCGTTTTTTTCCTTTTTCAGATATGATTATTTACTTTTTTTCTTTGATTTTGAACACATGGTCTGTGTACCACGACTTGGAATTTCAACGAACAACATTCCGCTGTTCCGCCGAGCGCCTTTGCGAATCTCGGTTGCGCTTTCAATTTTTTTCATTCAAATACTCGCAGTGGAACAATCCATCTATCAGCAATAAAAATAGTCTGGAAGGGTGACCTAGTTCCGCAAAAGCAAAGACGCTTCGCGACCGTACGCAGCGGAACGTCGATCGGTGAAGTTCAAGTCGTGGCACACAGACTATAACTCTGAAGTAACTCTGGAAAATGTAGAGCTTCAATTTTTTAAAAATCAGTTGAATGAAGGTTTTTGATGACCAACTGCTGGATACTGCCAATTTGAAGCCACTAATTGAGCCTATCCTTCAAAAAACGTTGTTTACACAGACAAAAATCGATGACGCGAGAGAAACATGCCCAACAGCGTCCTTTTTGCAGGTCACCTTACGAACAATGAGCAAAAGCGATCCACACCTCGAGATTCCTCATCTCATCTTCAGCCAAGACGAAGGTAACCCTTTTCGAATTCTTTTTAAACTTTGCCCTGCCTTGTTATTTTGTTTTTTGCCATTCGAAGCGGAAATTTCAACGGGAACTGGGCCTTTTTGTTATTCTGACAAGGCTTGTTTACCACAGCCTTGAGATTTTTTCGCGTGCTCGTCCCTCTCACACCACAAATTTTTTTGATTTCCCTCTATCTTTTGTCCAGTCCTAAATCCTCTGATTCACACTTCTTTCAACACGCTTATTCTATTCCTACAAAGATATGGAAAATCGGAAATGTACGTTTGGATTATATACGATGAAGTTTGAATCATGAGAAAATTTGTTTGAGAGTATGACCTCTGGGATCAATTTCAGAGCGAAATTGGGTTCCGGAAGCTCAAATTTTAGCTATTTCAATGCAAAAATGAGACAAGAGGTTTCACCCAGTTTGCCTTAAAATTGAAATTTTTTTGAAAAAGTCGTAAAAAAAGTCTTTTAATAAAGTAAAAATTTCAAACTTTTTGATTTCTCGTCGGAGTTTTTTAGCATTGAATTTTTGGAACTCAGGTGCCTTGAACTCAAAAATTTGGGAGAAAGAGACTTGGTTAAGTCCAACTTTCCGAACATAAAATTTTTTGAGCAGTATCATGAAAGTTTTCGGAACCAGAAAAGTCTTAAAACTTTTCAAAATACAGCTATAAAAATTTCATTCCTTTTCAGATCATCCTTCTCTCAACAAGATCATGTCGAGCCTCATGCATGTGCACGAAGGATTGCGCACTCCTGTTGCTTCTCAACCAAACCTTCAGGTAACGCTTTTTATCAAAAAAATTTGAATTTATAGTTGATTCATATCGATCAGAAATAATAATCCTCTCTGAGGAAATTGAAAAGATTCAGATTCAAGACTTGCTGAAATATTGCAGAAAAACGTTCTTTGAATGCCCTGAATTCAGTTGCAAACAACTTTTTTTGCATTTTGTTTTTTTACTCAAATTATGGTGTCTGAAGGACGCTGAAAAACTTTCTTTCTTGGCTGCAATGATAGAGTTTGGTCTTTGAGGCGTTATAGTTCAACTGAAAAAAACAGAAGAAAAAAATGATCAGCGACAAAAAAATTTGAAATTTTTTTCTTTAGTAAATATTCAGAAACTTCCAAAAAAAGTGAAAAAGTTAGTCATTAATTGTGATTAAAAAGATCTGGTGCACATTTGCTCACTTTATTTTTTTTTGTTGCAATATTTTTCTGTGTCGTATTTGATGCTTGGAATTTTTAGATCGATGAAAAAAAGTTACCGTAACTTGGAAAAAGTTTGAAAAACGACGTAGCTATCGATAAATGTTCCTAAAGGCACAATATACCTCGATTTAATCTTCTTAGAGACTGTTCGTCTGTTCTTCTCACAATTGAACGCTAGACAAAGAGGAGCCTAACGTCTCAGACTTGTTCCAATGAAATGACTCTTGCGATTACAGGCCCTTCACCAGCAACATGAACTGAAAGACACCGTTTCTCGTAACGCAAGGTGCGATATTTTTCCACTATTTTCCTTCTTTCTACCGTTTCTGAACTATGACTCAATCTCAAAATTTGATATTCAACTCACAAGCTTCGGTGGACTTGAATTTGTCACAGGAAAACTGCTGAGGATAAAAAAACTGAAGTATAGAATTGAAAAATTGAAGAAATTACTGTCTTTTTTCAATTCATCACGTTCAAACTTGCGGTCATTAACTGTTGCAAGAAATTCAAAAAAGAAAGAAACCGGAATATACTTTCGAACTGCGTGACTTTCTCTTGGAATCTTGAAGAATTATTTTTTTGCACTTTGGGCCGCTTTCGCTATCCCTAGCCGATATTTCAAGAAGCCTCATTTGTCAAAAACTTCTGCCAGCTGTTCGGTTTTCCTAGCTTCTCATCCAGCACGTAAACCTTTTTTATGGTTTCTGACATTCTCAGAAAACGTTTGGTGACTTGAGAAAAGCTTAATATTTCATCAGCTTTCTGCGGAGTTTTCGCAATGTCTTTTTTCCATGCTGTTAAAAAAATCAACCTAAAAAAACTTTTTCTCAAAAAAAAGAAAAAAATGCTACCTTTTCGGATTCTTCAAAATTTACTTTTGTAATCGTTTGAGTTTTAATTTACCTCCTTTCTGTAGATAGCAGCTGGAACAATGTAATCTCACCATTCTATTTAATAAAACCTGACGCTGGTATTTCACAAAAATCCTAGATGACTCATCCTATTTATTTTTTTCCTCTCAGAGTTTGAAAAAAGATTTCAAAAAAAATGACTCAGCAGAAAAAAAAGAACCAAAATTTTTCGGACCCAAACTTCAGAAGGTTTATCACTGGAAGTAAGATTTATGAGAAATTGAAAATGAGCCATTGACTTGATCAATTACTTTCTACCTGGAGAAAAGTGAATAACTTATTTTCTGACAACTTTGTTGGAGAATACCTTTATGGCCTGATTCGCTGTTATTTGATGTCTCAGTGCGTCACAACTTTTGCACAATATCGAAACGCACATGTTTGGCGGAAACGTGGCGATTTTGGCAATTTGTTGTTTTGGAACTCCAGAGTGACCCACCTGAGATCACAAGAACACGGCGACGAAATGAAAGAACCACCGTGCAGGTGACAGGAACCTCAACATCCGGGTACCTATAAATATGCCCTTGGGGTCTGTTTGGCGTTTCCAAACTGAAACTAAATACCATGGTCTCCTGTTCTCGTCCCCCGGTCTTCTCCCCTATATCGGAAGTATTTTGTGTCAACTACAACTCGGCTTCTCACTCCGAATCAACTTCCACGTGGTAGGAGTTTTTGATAAGCTGCCAGAAGTGTCATAGAAACTATAATAGTTCCTCAAACGATTTTGGATGGAATTCTCGAAAAAATCCTTCATTGCTTAGGAATCGCTCAAAAAGGGCGTAACATCATAACAATCAGATTATTTCAATCAAAAAATTCCCTGGAGTTTATTCATGAGCTCTTCTTCTTTAGGACTGTTGAAAAAGTTGGATTGAAAATACATCTTCCAAATTAATTTTTATTAACCCAAACAGACTTTTTCGACTTAATCAAGTAAAAAAATTTTTGGAGTCCTAATTTCCAAAAAAAAAAAGACTTGCGAGTTGAGAATTTCAAGATCTCCTCAGCTCTCTCCAATTTTCTCATTAGAACTTTTTTTAAAAGATCGCCAACACGAACCCAGATTTATTCATTGATTGAGAACTCAAAGGGAACTTTTCCAATCACTCCAGTGTCATTATGGTCTACATTAGTCGCTTGGAACAAAGTACAAAAGCGCAAATGTCTTCACGTCATTAGTTACAATGCGCAGCGTAATTTCTCATGCCTTGTCTCGGTGGGTTATATAAGGCGTATTAGTCTACGGCTGATATGCGAGAGGATTTTCACGTGAATTTTCTGAATTTTTCTTTTTCAGCTTTTCATTGGAACAAGCTCATGTTTTCCCGAAATTCGTGAGAAAAGGAGTTTTCTCAGAACCAATTACATTTTTTTTTTATTTTCATCAATCCCATGTTAGGTCCAATTTTTTTTTTCTAAGAGTTTACCTTTTTTTATTGATATAAAATCTGCCTTTATGTTAGAGAAAAGCTTAAGAAGTATATAAAGGCTTTTTTTTCGAAAATTTAGTATGACTGCTCTCGTGATGATAAAACTTTCATTACTAGAGTTTTGCCATCAGAATTTCAAACGAACACTTTTTCGCAGGAATTTTCGAGTAGTTCTTGAAAATTTAGCTTTGATTGGAGAGTTATTCAAGAAGGTTTTTTTGCTTTAAGAAAGAAATTTTGTGTTACATCTTGAAAGTTCTGATTTTCTCAGTATAAACTAACTTCCGGTCTCATTTTTCGAACTAAAAGGATATTTTCCATTGTGATTGTTTGGTACTTCATCAGTTTTTTTGAAATTTAAAACTAAGTTTTTCAGCTTTTCGTTTATGTATCGTTCTCTTAGTTCATTCACACTGGTTGAGACATTTAAATATAGGAATTTTCCGTAAGCTAACAGATATGGAAATTAAAGGCGTCTTTATATTATTTTTGCCTATTTGATGGTAGTATTTCCTACTATGGAATTCACGCCAAAAGAATTATTGGCATTTCATTCGCTTTTCTCTGAATAGTGCTGTGCCATAAACAGTAACAGCCTTGGGCTGCTTCGGGTAACTCGCTGAGTAATGGGTCTCAAACGGAAGACATGAGGCGCAACGCGTTGGCGGGACCGGTCGCCCAAAAGAGCGTCCGTTCTCGCTACGTCATTGGCCTCAAACAACCGCATATTCTATCGCAAATTAACATCATATCCGTCGATCGCTACCTGATTTGGCCGGCTACTGTACAGAGACCTATGATCTCTTCCTTCTTTTCCGAACAAGCTTTTCAGTTTGACTCTTGGTCTTGAGCGGTCTCGATTCTCAAGGAACGAAGAGCCTTTATCAAGTCATAAAAATCGCACTCACTGGCGTGATTATCTGTTTATTTGAAGTTTTACCTCGAAAAAAAAACGGAAAAGGATTATTTCACCTAGACTCGCTCTGATTCTATGAGCTTCAATAGATTGAAACTACTGTAAAAAAAGTTATTGATTAGTTAAATACAGAATACAAACAGAGATCATTGCTGTTGATATTTTCGTTCGACGCACTCATTCGACATTTGAGTGGCCTGTTCCATTGACTTGACCGACGTCGGAGAGAAAACAAGCATGTTTGAACTCGACAATAGTCTGGGCAAGCACGTAGGCTCTTTCGCAATCCCGGAACTCTCTAAGATTTCCAGACCACGTGGTTAACGGAGCCGTGTGGTCTAAAAGTCACACTGACGTCTCACACACTTTTTTTGCGTCTACCGTTCCGATGAACAGGTACTCAACCCACGTGGTGAGGACGGGGAATCCTTTTCGTATCGGTTTTCTGACTTTTGGCCTTTCATCTCAGCCCACAAGTCTTGTTTTGGGCAAGCCGACGGGTTTTTTTCTGTTTCCGAGCGCTCGAACATCTCAAACCTTGCAAACGTTCAAGCGCCACTTCCGCACGATTCTGCAACATGCCAAGGATCTTTCATCATTCTCACTCGTTTTTCTTGAAATCTTTTTTGTCACGCTGCTGTTTTGGATTGATCGTATCAGTCTGTGGCGAGGTTGCACAGCGCTCGTCGATCTATCAACGATCGTAACTTCAAACGCAGTTTTCATCAGAATGATGAGATAAGAGAGTAGGAGTAATTTCCTGCAGCAATTTGAGGCAAGTAACAGCGCAAAAGTTCAAAAAGCAGGGTTGCAATCTGTGTTTTTCTGTTGCATGCGTAGTCGTACAGCTGAATCTTTTTTGTTCTCGGCTAACCAATGATCTTCTCGATAGGACACCACTAGTCGTTTTATTTCGATTTCAACGCCATCGAACACATCAACAGGCGCCACGTGCTGATTGTTCTAACTCTCAAAATATATCGCTATACAGATTGTTTTGAAGGGAGGCGCAATAAAACTGCCGAGCGTCACGTAGTCTCTGTTTACTGGCTCAAGCTCAGAGGTCAAAATAGAGACTTTTTTTCGAATATTTTTTGAGTTTTGCCTCAAAGTTTATCATCCTCGTCGTGACGCACATTCGAGTTTGCGAGGTTCCTTAAGAGAGAGCTAAAAAATATTTGTTCAAGAATTTATAGCTCATTGAGCCGTTCCTTGTTTATAAAGTCCGCAATTTAGTTGATTGCATGTAAAGCCGGATAACGTGGGAAGTCTTAGAATTGTATTTGTCGCTAGTTGTGCGATATGTCCTCCCGACAGCACCTCCCTTGCTATCAGCGTCTCCACCGTGTCATCTCAATATTTCAAAGCAAGTCATACCTGGAGACTTTCGAAAATTTTGGCATATTTGAAAAAATAGATGAAAAATGATTTTGAAGTCAGCCAGTCCAAGTTTATTCTTCCTTTTTTATGCGTTCCACAGTCTGTTTGAGGTTTGGTAGGCAAAGTCAAACACAAGTCCGGTCGGACGAATCAAAAATAAGCTTCGAAAAAAAGGTTGGCTGTACGGGCGGCGCAAACTCTTTGTTCGAATCCTGCTGTTCCAGTGGCGCCACAGACTTCGTGGTGTAATTGATGCTCTTTTTTTTCGCAATGTCATCCTCCTCCTCCATGAGCTTTCATCGGCAAAAACTTTCTCACTTTTCTCCTTGTTTCTCCTGAGTTCTAGCTTTGAAAAAAGCTCTCCGATAGAAAAATAACTTCTCTTTTTAGTTTACTCACTTCAAAACTTTTTGAAAATAGGATAGATAAGATGTTCGATCTCAAATTATTAAAAAAAATACCATTGAACTAAAACAATTTTCCAAAAAATAATCCTCGAAAGTCTCTCGCTTGTTCATCAAACCAGAGCTTTGAAAGTCTTTTTCCGAGAGATTAGTGCAGTTAAACCCTTTTGAGATTTTCATATGGTGCATAAGCTCGTTCTTTCATTTTTTCAGGAATGGTTGAAAATATTGCACAGAAACTCTTTTATCTTAGACTTTTACTTTGCTATGAGAATTTTCTTCGAAATCAAACTTCTGAGGCTCATTAGGAATTCGAGAACAAAGCGGCGGTTTGCGCAGGCATAAAAATCGCTTCGGTGGTTCCTTTTCAGATTTTATGGGTCATAAAATTGTGGGTGTCTGACAGAACGTTTTGCCGCTGTTGGATTTTTTTAGATTCAATGGGAAGGTTGTTCTGGGCAGTTTAAACACAGGAAGTTGGAGAGAGATAGCTCCAGTCGCTCTAAAGACCAAAGTGTCTAGGTTTCTATGGAGGTTGAGAGAGTGTGTTCTTAGAACAGCGCCGCGTGGGGATGGTCCTCCTCGACGCTTTTCATTTTTTCGACGAAACACTCTTTCGTTGACGGCGGTTTTATCGCTCTCTCTCCAATCAACCGCCCCAACGTCGAGTCATATAAAACCGTCTTGACGCCTTATTTCCTAATCGACCTCCTCACTCAATTTCTCAACTCCAAGTCTACTTGTCACAACTCTCAAAGACGTAGACATGAACTTCAACGGCGGTTATCAGCTTGATACCAGTCTCCATCACTTTCCATGCAGGTTTGTGATGGTTCTCTCCTTCGAGGCGCAAAACAGCGGAACGTTCGAATGTTGAATCGGTTGTTGAATGACATTCTTTGTTTTTTCTTTCTTTTTTATGAGACTGTAAAAACTTGCTGACGACATAAAAGGTCTGTGGCAGAATATTGCCTATAAAAAGTTATTTCAGCAATAGAAAACGGGATTTTTGCTTTCACTCCTTCTGGTCGTATTCAGTTTTTTTTTTGCTGAAGCCCTCGAAAAAGTCGTTTATGAAAGGATAAAAAGTATTTTTTCTAATAATGAGGTGTGAGAATGAGACATTTTCGATGCGACCAATATCCCAGGAAGGCAAAGCCCACGAGAGATCAATTATGGCGTCCTGTTTCTGAGAACGCGGCAAAGAGAAGAAAGAGGGTAGACGGAGTGTAAAGGCCTCCCATTCTCCTAGGCTCCGATGCAATGAAAAAAATCGATGAGCGTGTCTCTCGCCTCATGCGTCCGAGCTTTTTTTTTTTCGAATGTGAGCTCTTTGTGATTTCTCGTCGGCGTTCTTTCCTCTTCTTTTACTTTGTCTTTCCGACTTTTGTTGTTATCTGAAGATAGTTTTGATTTCATGAATGAGACAGAAACGAACTATCTTATCAATTTGGCGTCCTGTTTCAAATCTCTTTGTCTTTTTCTTCTTCTAGCAACAAAGAAAGCTTTAGAGAAACAAGTAATGAACAATTATTTGGTAAAGAAAAATTACAACCTATTTATCAAAGTAAAAAAACATTTATGTTATAATAATAAAAAAATCGCTGCAATATATTTTGTTTAAAAAAGGCAAATTGGATTTTTTTTTTTGGATTATTATTCAAAAAGTACCGGACGTGCCTGTTGATTCCCATTTGAGTAATTTTTTGAGAAAGTTGGGAGTATCACCGCGAAAAGTTTTGTTTGACCCGTCGCGACGGTATCGGTGTCTGCGCGCCAAAACGCATAGTTCCTTTGCAGAGTTTTGTGCCTGATTGGAGTTAGTGATAAGCGGCGGCGTCTCGATGAATTGTAATTTTCTGTTCTCAGCACCACGTCAATCTATCTTTTATGAGTTTCCCAAAAAGGAATTCTGCAATCATTGTTCGACTTTTGGCCTTATTGTCTACAGTATCCCAAAAAAAAAAATGAAGATAAGAGAATTTTATAGGTTTTTCGCCTGTAGTTTTGAATCTCATGTTTGTTTTGATGTGCGACTTTTGTTTATATTTCATTCGCTTTCCGAAACTGTTTATCAAATGAAGTATTTTCAGCTCGGCAGCTCTGCTGTCTTCGGACACCACTGTCCAACAGCCCGTCCTGCGCAAATCGTCTTCTGCCATCGACTGGAACGGTGCAGTTGTTGAAGCAACTCGCAAGGCCTCTCAAGTGAGTCATTTTACCTTCCTCTATGGTGACTCATTGCTCTGAGAACTTCAATATTCACCTATTTCGTTGCAGCAACTCGATTGGCACGGAGCTCTTTTCAACAACAACAGGAAAACCAGCTTCGCTCAGTTCGGCAATCAACTACCAACCGTTGAAGACCATCAGCAGGTGAATGATGTCAACGTTTTCGAAAGGCCTTTCGATCAACTTTTATGTATGCTGTGGGAATCTACAATACAGAAAATCAAATTTAAATGTCGGTTTGGGGAAATGTTTCAATTTATCTCACGTTTTATATTCAAGACAGAACGATAAAAAACGTCTGGTCTGTACAAAAGGCTTCTATATCATGGCACCTAAACATTTCTGACGCTTGTCGTTTCAGGGTGGTTTGGTTATGAGCAGCAGCCCCGCCGACAACAACAAAGGAATGTCCGTTGTTACCGCTCAAATGCCGGCTCAGAAGACGCACCTCGCCCAGAACATCGCCACGACGGCTGCCACTTCTCTCGAAGCGAGACCTGCTGAAACTCATCAGGAACCTCACCGGGAACGCGTTAGTTTTCTTGAAATGATTTTTCCTACGAGAAAAAAAAACGGAAGAATGCATTCATCAATGAAAAGTCTATTTTGTAGGGAGGAATGCTCGGCGTGTTCCAACGTGGATTCTTCTCAAGACCCATTGTTCGTTCCGAAGAAGAGAACTACCGCTACATCATGGCTCTCGACCGCTGAAGCTCTAGTCACAAAAAACTACCTTCACTACTCCTCCGTTCCTGTAACTATGACCCGGACTTCATGTTTTATATCCCTTCCAATATTTCTTTTAGTAAACGTGTCATTCCATCTTAAGACACACAAATTCGAAAATTAGTCGATTCATGTTTAACCGTCACCATCTGAAAGGTTATAGGAACGTATACCTTGGTTTTTTTCTTTCTTGAACTACTCTTTGGGATCATCTTCTTTCTGTATCTGCTTCTAAGTCTGTAATGTATTTTGATTTTCGCCGTTAGAATTACGAACGGGTTGAGCTTGGAGCTCTTAGCAATCGGAAAAGCGGCAAAAATGAAAATTGGTTTTTTTCGGCTTCTTCTTTCATTTCCACTTCAACCTCAATCTTTGCACATTGGTCAATGATTTCCTGTCTTCCTCCTAGATTATTCAATTTTGGTATCAGGCTTCTGTTAATAAAGTCTTTGTTGGCTAGGCGGGAAACGGCAGGACCCGGTCATGTTTGTCCAAACACATGGTTTTGTACTCGATTTTGCAAAAAATAAATTATTGTTGGATTGAAAGTTATTCCTAACACAAAAAAAAGAGAAGAGAATGACGCGAAAGTACTTGGAATGATGCAATTCATACAAAACTGGAATTTCTGTAGGCAATTTATAGCGGTCCACCTACTAAACCATGCAAAAAAGTTTGAGGAAGTTTGACGGTTTAAGATTTTCCGATCCTTTTAATGACATCAACTATTGTAAATTTATTAAAGTTCATCAGAATCATCGAAAGATGGAAACTATTTTTATCGAAGTTTTGATAAGAACTACTTACAAGAACTGGGAACAACGAAAAAAGTCTTGAAAAAAACGATTTTCGTAGTTAGTTGTTCGTAGCTTGTAGTTAGTAACAAACCAGGAGTTGTTTTTAAACAATCTTCGAATGACTCAGAAACGGAAGAACTGTGAAATCAGGCAAACATGATGATATTTCTCCGTTTCACAGGGTCCCAGGATCTTCATCGACGCTTCCAGAGCCGACTCACATATTGAAAGAAATCGTTATAATTGTTTTTTTTTTCTCTAGTCAGAACAATTTTGTGTATTCCCTCGACTAGGGAATCAACTCGAAACTACGGTGGCTTATAGACTTGGGTAAGAACCCTTAGAAACAAGAGATATTATCCCCTAAACCACAGGGACTTCTGAGAAAAAGCTTTTCGAAGAAACCCAAGAGTAGTGCTGTACGCGCATGAACCTCACTCGTTCAATTTTTTGAGATGTATCTGAACCAAAAAAAAAAAATGCTTTTTCACCTACTTCGTAACTTCTAGAAGGTTGAGTGTTCTTAAGAAAAATGCAAAAAAAATTTGCCCTCGGCAGGAATCGAACCTACTAAGAAAAGTCAATCATATGAATAGCCCTATAACCATTGCGCCAGCACACCTCGGTGAAAGAAAAAGGTTTCGGTGTGTAAATGACTCTTCCTCAAATTTTTCAAGAAGCTTTTTCTCAAAAGCTTATGTGGTTTCGCAGATAATCTCTCTTTTTTCTAAGAGCTCTTACTCAGGTCTATAAGCCACCGTAATTTCAACATGATACGCGTATACGACCCCGAGTAGTTCCCCAGGGAGAAGAGAATACCAAAGAGCTGTTCGGGATTGGTATAACTCGCGAAGCGGCAAAGAAAGAAGGAAAGACAGCTGCCAGCCCAAAGTACAAAAAACTGATATACGACGGCTCATTTACTTTCTTTTTGTCAAAGTAAACTTTTTTCAATCTTCGCAGCTGTTGAGCGATTTCCGAGATACTTCATTGGACGAAAGATGTAATATTACAGTATCCCGATCAGATGAGCCTTGGAAGCAAGCAAAAAATTTGCAGGATTCGGAAAGATTCAAGTTGATTCCAGAAACCACACTCAAAAAGCATTGAAGCATAATTCTTACAAGGAAACTACGCGAGCTCGATCGAATTCAAACTTCGAGCCTAATTCAGGATATTTGAAAAAATGGAGATGATCTGATGAACCCGATAAGGTACCGATAAAAAAGTTGTTGAAAATAGACAGATTGATTTTTGCTTCATTTTTTCTGTCATTACGGTTACCATAAATGAAAATCTTGTTTTTAGGTATCCGGACCTAGGTCTATAAACCATCAAAGTTTAAACTTGATCCTCGAACACGAGTTCGCGTTCCTCCCTAGTTAGACTTTTGGAAGAACATTCAGAAATCAAACATTCATAAGATAAAGTTTTTTTCGGGAGAATCAGAAAAAAATTAAACGGATTTAGTAAAAAAACCCAAAAAGAAATTTATTAGCAACCGAAAAAAAGTAAAAAAAGCGTTGAAAACAAAGGTTTTTGACGATTTTTTTACATTTTTTTGCCGTTTACATGAAAACGTATGGATAAAAAAATGAAAAACAAGAGTAAAAAAATTATTTTTTTAAAAAGAGTGAAAAAGCATGAAATTGAATAATTTATTTTTTTAATCGATGAAAAAAACTCATGATTTTTTTCAAAAAAATTTTTTTTTGAAGACCAAGTTTTGGAAAAAAATTTTTTTAATTAGTTTTTACATCTTATTCAGCTGGAATAATTTTGTAAAATGAAAAACACAAAAAACAAGACTTTTGAAAAGTTAAAGCGGAAGCAAGATATTTCTACATCTGAAGTTCAACCTTCATAAATTGAAAGAAAACCTGAAAGTGAGATTCGAAAAACTCAGTTGTTTTTTGCAATGAACGCAGAAAAGGAACACGCATTCGGCCAATGCATTCGACGCGTTGTGTAGGAGTGTCTCTTGGCTGGCTACTCGCTTGTTCGTCGGGGGTATAGCTCAGGGGTAGAGCGCTCGCTTTGCATGCGAGAAGTCTGGGGTTCGATTCCCCATACCTCCATTACATTTTTGCAATTTTTTGAAATCATTAGAAAATTTGAGGGGAAATGAAAGTCTTATAATTCATCAAAATTGAATAATAATAATTCATCCACAACTGGAAAAAATAATAGAATAAAATTTTCTTCAAAAAGGGGAGCATTTTACTTTGCGGTTGGTAGTTTCAGGAAAGTTGGTCAGGACACTTATTGATGTACCAGAAAAAAAGATTCCAAAATTCTCCATGTGCAAAAGTTCTCAGTTTTTGAGAAATGAAGACTCGAAGCCCAAAAAGGCTTTATTTCAACGATTTTAAGGTTTTTTATTAATTTTGAGATGTTTTTTTTAAAACAAAGTTGAGACTTTCAGGGTTTTTTTCTGGTACATCAGCGATTGATATAGTAGATTTTCCAAGTAATTATCATCCTCTCAATGGCTTATGAATTCGTAGAAATTTATTAAAAGTTTCAGATGATCTCCGTTGAACGAAAGTTTTTTGTTCTCAAAGATTTAGAAAGCTTTTTTTTCTTAAAGATTCCCGCCTACGCTAAGAGCCAATATCATAAAAAAGGGTTTGCTTCAAAGACCAATTGATTACACTTTTTCGAAACAAAAATTATGTTCTAGAAAAGGCGCGATAAACAATTATTTGGACTGTTTCGTATTCTCAAGCCGCCTCCGCTCTATTTTCTCGGGAACTAGAAGCTTCTTTATCTTGAAGATTCCGACCTTTCTGCCATATTGCCGAGTTTTTAAGCAAATCAAATCATGGAGTTTGAGATTCTGGATTGACACGCTCCCAGTAAAGGTTCTTTCATTTTTTTTTTCATCCAGAAAGTTAGACTATTTTTCAATTTTGTAACAAATTACTAGAAGTTGAGTTTGTCAGATGTTATTTGAATAAGCCACAGTTTTGGAACAAATAATTTGGAAAGATACTCATACTCTGCTTGCGAGGCCGTTTGTTGAAAGAGCGGGATTCCCAAAACTGTTTCAGGAATCGAAAATTGTTCCTATCGTGACTCAGGGCATCTGACAAGGAAAGTGTGTGAGGTGAGCATCGCAGATCTGTTCCAAACTTATGTGATGGATAATTCTAAATATGAGTACTCAAAAAAAAAAGGAATATCTGCTAAGCGCTAGAACACTGAAAAAAAGCGTGGCGAGAATGTACAGGAGAAGCTCAAAAAAACAAAATCGGGCTCTTTGTATAAATTTTTTTTTGTGTTTCTTATGATATACTTGTATAACAGAACGTATTTAGGAATCGAAAAAAACCGGAAAAAACCAGTTTTTAAAGATTTTTTTCAGATTTTCGATAGTCTGCTTTTCAGTACCTTATGGTGCTTAACAGAAAATAATTTTTAGGTGGTATGAAAAAAAGACCAGCAAACTTTCGAACGGCGACTTTTCCGTTTTTTTCATATCGCTAGGGAACTTTCCGACGGCCACTTTTCCGCCGAATCTTTTTCCGACTTTTTTTCTCGATGAACTTTTTGTTTGGAATCTTCCTATACAAAGTAGATAGTTTATTAATGATGAAAACACAAAGAAATAGAAAAAAATGTTAATAGATGTTTTATAAACCGAAAAAAATATAAGGGAAAAAAAGTCGGAAAAAGATTCGTTGGAAAGGTGGCTGTCGGAAAGTTCCCCTAGCGATACGAAAAAAATTGGAAAAATCGCCGCTCGAACTTTTCGTTGGTCTTTTTTTATAATAACACTTTTTATTCTAAAATACTCTTACCTTGGACTATCTACCACAAAAGTTTGGACCAGATCTGTGATTTTCACCTCACACACTTTTTAGAAAAATATTAAAATAATTTTCAACTTAGATTGAATTTTTTGTCAGGGATGCTAAATGAGCTCATCTCTTCATATTTAAAAATACGCGACGTCTTCATGATTTCAAATCGATAGGCTTGTATTTCAATGACAACGTGAATATTTTCAAATTTCGTCTATCGCAAAGTTGCCATGGAATGGAAAACAAATGAGGAGTTTTACGAATGTTTCCCAGGCCATTTGAATTTTTTTTCGGCAGATCAGAGAACATTCCCACAGCTCCGCAGATCGTAAGCGCTCACCCAAAGAAAAATTTGATGGCCATGCACTTTCCGCCCCACACATCTCCATATTCTCTCATTTCGTCGCTCGCTTACACGGCGGACGGTCGCTTCCTTCGGCAGTGCCGCAACCTTTTTCCTTTTCGAACACATCCTGAAAACTGCAAAGTTTCAGGAATGACCGCCTTCCAACTCCTCTACACTGGCTACACGTTGATGTGCAGCATCTTCTCGCTGTTCTTCTGCGGCATCAAAATCGCTTTGACCGGTTGCTTTAGTAGATATTTCTGAAAAAGCTCACCATCTCTTTTTTTTAAAATAAAAACGGCTTTTCCTTCTAAAACCGAAACAATTTCGAAGCAAACCGTTTTCCAAATAAATATGCAAATTTTTTTTTCAGTGCTGATGTTCGTCAAACTCGATGGGATGGATGAGAACGGAGTTCCTCTCATGAAGAACCTGGTCTTAACACAACGAGAAAAAACAATATTTTGATTATTTCAGGACGTTCACGGCTTCTATGCCTCTCTCGTTCTTCTGGAGACCGTCGGCATCGTCATTGCAGCAGTCTTGATCTTCCTCGGTGTTAAGCAAGGACTGTGAGTGATCGTGAAGTCTTCTGGAATGAAATGATGTTACTGCAGGAGTCTCATCGCCGACGATCCCGCGAAACCCATCGACTACTACCTCTACTGCGCCAATGGATTCACTCTCACCTTCATCATCTACTGCATGACCTTCTGCATCCTCGAAATGGCACATCGTAGCCACTGTGAGTTCATTCAATAATCATATATAATATCCTGAAATCTTATTGTTACAGTGCCGGAAGACGCCCGGAACACATGGCTTCTCTGCGTAAGTTTTTTGTATATTTCTAAAAAGAAGCTTTCCAGAGACTGGTCTGAAAAATAGTTGCAACAGAGTTCCCTAAATCTTCTGTTTCGAGTTACTCTACCATACCGATTTCTATTATCATAATTTCAGCGTAGTGTCAACATAACTGCCCTCATGCAAACCAGCGTCTCCTGCATGCTCCAAGCCGTCTTCCTCCTTCTGTTCCGCGCCTCCTGCTTGTCTCGCTTCGACAAGGAGACTCTTGACGCCAACTACGAAGAAATCGCTCTTCAGTAAAGCAAAAACTTCATTCCGTTACTTCATACCCAAAAAAACCAAAAAAAAAAAATTTCCATTGTCTGTAATTTTATGAATCTCTTCAGTTGTTCTATTAATTTATCGCCAATAAAATCTGAATCCCGGAGGAAACCTTAAATCAACATGGGAAAGTGAAAGCGTTTATGTTAGATCGCTACAGATATGAGTCTTCCAAGAAAAAAAGGAAGATCTTGAAGAAATGCAATTTTATAAAATAGTTTCAAACGCTCCTCCAAAGTTTTTATTTTCCATTTCGAGTCTATTTCATTCTTGTAAAAGGAGCGGACTGCCAGTTTTTTCATTATTTTTTTTTGATCGCTTCAATCTCAATTGTTGGTAGACGTCTCCGTAATAAAAATAAAAAACGTCAAAATGATTGAATGAGATCTCAGAAGTGATGATTGCACGAAAAGCCCTCTTTCTCTGAAAAAAAGTTTCATTTGTGCTCATTATGAAGAATGGGAAATAAGGCACTAAGACATTTTCAAGATTTTTAACATTAGTTATTTTTTTAAGACGAGCTGTTCCGAAATCCATGAAAAATATTTCACTGCTTTTCTTTGATTCAAGGAAAAAAATTGAAAAATTATACAATCTTCGATCTTCGATTCAACTTGAAGAATCTCCTTTCGAGTTCAATGAATATTGTTTCAGCCGTATCAATTCTTTATTGCAACAACTTACTTTTTGAACGAAATTCTCAGTGTGTGTACAGCACATTAAAGTGAAAGCTTTTTTTCAAAAATACATTTAAAGTGGAAAATTTGCTTGATCCGTTTGTCTTGATCTAACAAGTATCGATCGCACAACCAGGAGACAACAAAAAAGATCAATGACATGAGAGAGAGAGAGCATAAATAATTTGACAGAAATATTGATTTGGAATGTAAGGGAGCTATATCACAACTATACCTCTAGCTAAATAATGTACACCAGGGGTGACCCTCAAGAAGGTCACAAGGCGAATTACAGGAGAATTCTGGTAAAACAAGAAGAGGAAAGAGGTTGGTCGGTATTGATTACATCCTAGCGACATATAATCTATTCTTTGCCGTCCTCCTTGGCTCCGCCACGTGGGTAGTACTTGTCGAGGGTGCTCTTCGGGATACGCTTGAGCATTTCACGAGGGAAGATTCGGAGCAACTGCCATCCGATGTCAAGAGACTCGAAGACGGTTCGGTTCTCGTAGTGACCTGAAACTTGTGGCTCAAGCTATGATGAAGAATCTTCAGCTACCTTGGGTGATGAAGTTCTTTTCGAACTTGATGAGGAACTCAAGGTACAACAAGTCGTCAGCCGCCAAGGCTTCTTCTCCAACGACGGCCTTCATGGCTTGCACGTCTTTTCCGATGGCGTAACAAGCGTAAAGCTGAAACATCGACATCATGATTTTCGCAATTTCTATTCTTCTTCTTTCATTATGAAAAAGTTCAGTGAGCATACCTGATTGGACACATCAGAATGGTCTTCACGCGTCATTCCCTCTCCGATAGCGGACTTCATGAGTCGGGAAAGCGAAGGGAGCACGTTGATTGGAGGGTAGATGAGACGATTGTGAAGCTGACGGTCGACGTAGATCTGTCCTTCGGTAATGTATCCAGTCAAATCAGGGATAGGGTGAGTAATATCTGGAATTGAAGGATAAGAACAGTTTTTTGCAATTGAGATATACCGTCGTTAGGCATGGTAAGGATGGGGATCTGAGTGATGGATCCGTCACGGCCTTCGACACGACCGGCACGTTCGTAGATGGTGGCCAAATCAGTGTACATGTAACCTGGGAAACCACGTCGACCGGGAACTTCTTCACGAGCGGCGGAGACCTTGAAAAGAAACCATTTCATAATCATATCTGAAAACTGAGTCTTACCTCACGAAGAGCTTCGGCGTAGGAGGACATGTCAGTGAGCACGACCAACACGTGCTTCAGGCACTGGTAGGCCAAAAACTCGGCAGCAGTCAAGGCGATACGCGGAGTGATGATACGTTCGATGGTCGGGTCGTTGGCCAAGTTGAGGAAGAGGCACACATTTTCCATGGAGCCTGAAAGGTGGTTATTAGAAGAGTTAAGACATACTTATACAGCGCTTTAAAAAAATTGAAGAAATTTTTTTCGCTCCTGTAGTGACTACAGTCTTTTTGGAAAACTGCAGATTGATGTTTAATATTCCTTCTAAATTTTCGTTTAACAGTAAATATATTCATGCCTCCAGCTTATGATCATTTTTTGATTCCCCCGAAAGTTTGAGCCCGAGCTTGAATTTTAGATTCCTGGAGCAAAAATCACAACAGAGAAAAACCACAAAATCCGTCACTTGATAAAAAAAATTCCTTGCGAATGGAACTTTTTCATGATGAACCTTCCAAGATTTTCGTCTAATAACATACAGAGTTTTCTACTGGATTTCAAGCGATCCGCATCCAAAAAAACGTATCAATCTTTTGAATATAGTTTGAAAAGGGTTTACCATTCTCTTCGAAATCTTGTTTGAAGAATCGAGCAGTTTCCATGTTGACTCCCATAGCAGCAAAGACGATGGCGAAGTTGGTGACCTCGAACTTCTTGTCGGGTAGCTGGACGAGACCTCCTTGTCGCACAATCTGGGCGGCGATTTCGTTGTGAGGCAGACCGGCGGCGGAGAAAATTGGGATTTTCTGAAATTAGAAAGGAAAATTTGTAAACATCAAATAGTTGAATATAACCTGTCCACGGGCGATGGAGTTCATCACATCGATGGCGGAGATTCCGGTTTGGATCATTTCCTCAGGATAAATACGCGACCATGGGTTGATTGGCTGACCGTTGATGTCGAGGAAGTCTTCAGCCAAAACTGGTGGTCCCTGAAAGTAAATTGGTTCGATAAAATCAAAACTAGAAAAAAGAAAACCTTATCGATGGGTTTGCCGGATCCGTTGAAAATACGGCCGAGCATGTCTTCAGATACTGGCGATCGGAGAATATCGCCAGTGAACTCGCAAATCGTGTTCTTCGCATCAATACCCGAGGTACCTTCGAACACCTTGAAAAGAAAACAATTTGAAAAAAGAAAAACGAAGAAATTGAACCTGGACGACAGCCTTATTGCGGGTGATCTCAAGAACTTGACCGGAGCGCTTGGTGCCGTCAGGAAGCGTGATCTTGACGATCTCGTTGTACTGAGGGAACTTGACGTCACTGAGGATGACCAGAGGTCCGTTTACTCCGGACACGGTTTGGTAGACTGTAATATATTCAAATTATTCATCTTTGTGGTTCATAATAAGGTAATGAAAAAAATTATTTGAATTATCTCGCCATTTTCCCTGATTTTTTTGAAACGGTAAAGTATTTCCAATCTTTGGAGATGTCGTTAGTTTTTTTGAATTTAAACTATAAATCATATTTTTAATACTTACTCAGACGCGGCTTTGTGGTGTAATTGCGGATGGTCGCCGTTTTGTGGCTTGTGATACCTTTGTTGACATCAACGGAAGCCATTTTACCAAGCTGAAATTATAAAATGATCCCTTTCACGTTTACAAACACAAAAATATAACATAAATAACGATAAATATGAAAAATATGACAATATCGGAGGCCGCCACAACGTGTGAGTGAAGATCAGCTCGTCGATGAACATTAGTCTCTCACCCTGCAAAGTTTCGCGACAAGACCCAATATTTATCGGCGGGGCGCATTTGGTTCCCGCGCGTTGCGTACGCCGCTTATGAGGTCAAACTGCGTTTTGGTGAATCTAAGAACAGTTTTTATAAGGTAATGGAATGAGAAAAGCATTTTTTTTGTATTTTTGATGTAAAGAGTATACACCAAAAAGTTCGAAACATTTGAAATTTTTTCAAAAAAGGTGAAATTTAGGTTTTTTTTTTCTAGATTTTTCTTTTTGAACTTGAAATTAAATCTAAATCATTTTGCAAAAAATGAAAAAAAGTTATATTTTGAAAAAAGGGTCATCCAACGAGATTTAGCGATTTTTAAAAAAGGAGCTTCTTTTGACCGTTGTTTTTATCATTTTTATAAAAGCTACATAGCAAAAAAATTTGAAAGGAATGGAACGAGTAAGTATTTGAGAAAGCTGAAAAGAAAAAAAAAGATGCTACAAATTGCAGGGACAAAGAACCCTAACAAAATTACTGTATTTACCCAGAGGGAGAAAACCTACTTCAAAAAAAAAAATGCTGGTTCATTTTCAGATCTCAACGTTTTGTGCATGTCCAAAAAGTTTCATGTTCCTTCAAGTTTACAGAAATCAACTGTCCCTCTCGAACGGTGGTGATCAACCGGACAAACAGACATGAGTGGATCTCAATCGCGGCTTCAAATTTCTTCGAAGCTACATGCGTCTCTATTTTTCTCTCTTTTTTCTTATACTTGTTATATCGAATACTGGAGATGCCAGTAAGGCCGAAAACAGACTTTATAGGTTCATTAGAAAAATTCATACTTGGTTCCAAAGAAGCTTTCAGAGATATTCTAAACTCTTATGTCAAGTTGGTTCGTCCCGTTAGAAATCCGAAAGATGCTCTCCGGGTCAGCATGAAAGTCTTTCTTCAACAAATTCTCAGTCTAGTGAGATAGATTAAAGTTCTTAGTAAAGTTTTTGATGACTGTTGCAGGATGGCAAAAACCAGATAATGGAAGTTAACGCATGGCTCAAATATGTGAGTTTACCTTTTGTATTATAAAAAAGCTCCGAGGAAAGTGAAAACCATTGCGGAAAAATTTTGAAGCGAAAAAATGTGTTTGACAAAAAAATCGTTATCGAAACAATTTTATCTATCGTTTTGATCAACAATTGAATTTTTTTGAGCTCGAAAAAGAGGCTCTGAGATTTCCAGTCCCTAAAATATCAGTAGAAGTACTTTTTACGAAAAATCATAATTTTTCTTAATTTTAGGTTTGGATAGATTATCGATTATCCTGGGACCCAAGAAAATACGATAATATAACCAGTATCCGTTTTGCTGGAGGAGAAAATCAAATTTGGAGACCTGACGTTTTGCTGTATAACAGGTTTTGTCTTCCCACATTCTGCTGATTTCAGTAATCCCTTCAGTGCCAACGAAGATTTCGATTCAACTTTCAAGTCGAATGAAGTCGTTTACAACACAGGAGAAGTGAACTGGGTTCCTCCTGGTATGAGAAAAAAGCTGAAAAATAAAGTTCTGTTCAGGAATTTTCAAAGCCAGCTGCAAAATGGACATCACTTATTTTCCGTTTGATGATCAAATTTGCTATTTGAAGGTCACCTCTGATTATAAATAATGTAACATAAATCTTTTTTTTTAGTTCGGGTCCTGGACTTACCATGGAATGGCTCTCGATCTTCATATTTTCACAGAAGACGAAGATGAACGTGAATAACCGAAATTACTGTTTCATGAAAAATATGAGAATGTTGATATTCAGCGCGGACAATGGATTTATCAACTTATACTCCAAGCGGCGAATGGAATTTGATAAAAGCTCCAGCCATAAGAGAGTTGAAATACACAACTTGCTGTCCTGAGCCTTATTCAACTGTGACATTTTACATGTTTTTGAGGTCATCTTAGTTCCTATCCCCGGATAATTATTTCTTTTTAGAAGACGTACACTTTTCTATCTTTTTAACATTGTTTTCCCTTCTCTACTGATTTCAGTTATGACTTTGATGGGCTTTTGTCTGCCAGCCCACGACATGAGCGAAAAAATTGGATATCGTGGGTTTTTTAATCTTTTTATATATTAATATCTAGAACGAACTGCACGTAAGATGTATAAAAATTTTGGTATGCCAACATGACTCTTTTCGCTTTTTTTGAATTGAGCCGTTGATCGTTTTGAAATGAGCTTCAATAGCGAGATACAAATAGTAAAAATAAATTTAAGAAACTACAATCCTTTTTGTCAATCTGCTTCTTCGTCACCATTGTCAGCGAAATGACTCCCCCAACATCCGAAGCTGTGCCACTTTTTGGGTATGTTAAGAAAAATAAACAAATTAAATTAATTAAATTCCAGGCGTGTTTTTTTCAACTCTGACTTTGATAAGTGCCGTTTCCACAGCCTTCTCTATCACAGTCCTCAACTTTCGCTATCGACAAGTACGAAACACGGCAATGCACCCTCTGGTTGTCCTTTTTTCACTTTATATGCAAATCTGAGTTGGTTTTAGTTCCACAAAGTGTTCCTGGTTTGGATTCCATGGTTGCTTTTGATGAAAAGACCAGGAATGAAATACCGTAAAAGAGATGCAACTTCATTGGAACGGGACGATGAATCTTTCATTGAAAACTGTGAAGATGATGTAAACAGCAGGTCTACTGGAGAAAAAATGCAGACATGTTTGAGTGCTGTCCGCCTTCTCGAGACTTCTACTTTCAGTCGATCGACAGCGCTGACACTCTTCCTCTGCCTACAAGGCCTAGACCTCTGCTGAAGAAAATGCACAGGTTCACAAGCTCTAATTTCCGAAAAAGCATGAAAAGTTCAGCGTCCCCGCAGAGCACCTCAACCTCGATAGAAAGGTCGGCGACGGGATACTGCGGAAGTCGATGGAGAAATCGTTTAAAAGAACGACTACTTTCCGTTTTCGGCGTATGGCTCAATTTGAGAAATACATCCGGAGGTGTATTGTGGAAGCCAACCTCAAAAGTAGGCTTTTATTGGAGTAATTTGTATTTGAGGATTGGAATCCGGAGTTACATCAGAAAAATGATTTTTCAGAAACAACCGCTTACTGTGATTACACATTGATGGTCATCACTTACTATCAACAAATTGATGCTATGATTAAGTATCTCCAAAAAGGATTCGAACGACAGCGTCATGTTCAAATCAAACAGGTGGGGTAGAATCTGAACTAGAAAGAGGATATCCAGGTTTAGCCTCATCAAGCTCATTTTTTGTAGAATTGCATACCGGCAAGGTTGAGCTTATTCTCTTTCAATCTCTCTCAGGATTTGATAACTTAAACTTCAGGATATTAAGTCTGGGTATTAGTATAATCCTTGATAATATCATGATTTTTAAGTAAAAAATCCCTCTGGGTTTTTAGATTCATATTAAGACTCATAGGACATTCACTATTCCCTTGGGCTTTGTGACAGATATATTCGCAATTGGGAAACAGCTTTTAGAATGTTTTTACTTCCAATTTTCAGTAGTGAATTGAATTTGAGCCATTAATCCTGACTGGCCAACCTAAAATTTCAGGAAGAATGGAAATTCGCAGCAATGGCGCTCGACCGACTCTGCCTCGTTCTGGTCAGCATTTTCATCATCGCCTGCTTGGTCGGATTTTCCTTGTCCACACCTCATTTTGATCCATAAATTTGTGATAAATTTCCTTTTTCTGTTTGCATTTTCAAATCGTTATTTCAAGGCAAAAGCTGTGAAAAAGAAACAAAAACCAGGCAAAGTCAAAGGCGTCATTGTTTGCACGAATGTTATAAAAAACGTTTAGTTGTGTTTCTTTTTAAAAAAAAGGTCAGTGAGCTGAAAATGCGATTTTTACAGCTTCTCAAATAAAGTGCAGTGTGTGGTTTTCAAAACTTTGAGGAACGGAAGCGTTTTTGGCTTTTCGGCTGCGAGTTCTTGCCTCTTTCACCCAAGCGGTGCAAAATTTTGTTTGTCTTTTGGGTTAGTATTCGGCTTTCGTATTTGCCAATCGCGCACTGCGCCAGCCGCCCATTACTATTGCGCAACCGTTTTTTCTTTGTTCTGCTTTCCCGACAGTTAATACTGTTATTTTTTGTTTGGCTCATCTTTTTCATCTAGAAATCTTTATGAAATTCGTTAATGAGTCTCAGGAAGGTCTTACACTTATGTATACTGTTTCAGGAACTTTTCTTTAAGAAAAGTATTTGTGGAAGTTCCTGAAAAAATGAAAGTGCTTGTGAAATCAGATACCAATGCGTCACCTTCCACTTGTGATAAGTAGCAAAACCACTGTCAACATAAAACCTCTCCAACCACGCAATCTGTAGAGCATTTATCCACGAATCAGTTCTCTTGTCCATCATTCTTGTTCCTCGGTATCATGTCTCACACGTCTCACGAGAAAGTTTACAGGTTTGTTTTTTTTTCTAGTCCCAAAAAGTAATACTTATAAAATTCATCAAATTAAGTCAGATAAAAAATGGATATATTTCGGGAGGCTCGAAATTTTTTCTTGCGTATTGCTCCTTTTGAAAAATGTTTGAGTATACTTACTTACTTAGATACTTAGATGGTCCATCTTCGTTTTCGACCTTTTATTGCCTTTTAGTGCCTTTTTATTGATCGAAGCGTGGACCACACGTTTTCCAGGAGATCTTATGCAATCGGTCATCCAGTGTTGTCGTCCTGGTTGACTGGTATTCTTGCGAAAAAGTTCCATCCGTGGTGTTGAACGTGTTATAGCATAATTGTGGTCTTATTATCCTTTTTGCCTTGCCAGGGCTAAAAAAGACCGCCCATTCTGTTAGCAGAAGCAAGCCGAATTGCGTGACCGGTGTACCGTTAGCCGCCATAAATGGCGTTGCCTCCCCATCACCGCGTAGAGGTGGTACTTGAAGGGGTTGAGTATATTCTGTCTATTTATGGGAAAAGATTTTCTTTATAATAAAACATTTTTTTCAATCTGAACTGTTTCCGCTATCCTCTACCAATCCAGAATGCGTAGTTCAAGAAAAAAAAATTTGAAAATTTCAAATAATATTTTTCATTAGCCGCAAATACTATGTGGGTGCACACGGAATGGTGGAAAAATGTATTGCTTGAAGCTTGGCGTTCATCTTACTACCCTACTTAAAGAAAAAACTTACTACCCTACTTAAAGAGACTTTTTCAACGCGCAACTCGTTTTCAGTCGGGCGCATTTTAAAATTCGCTTTGTTTTGCCTTACCATTTAAAGCTCTGTACAGTTGTTGCTCGTTCAGTATTCAGCAAAGTAAAAGTTTTAATTTTTTGCTCATGATAACGAAACTTGCTCCAAGGAGCTCAATCAAATATTTGATTGAGTTTGAATATATTTGATAGATTGGTGAGCTGGTGTTGAATGACTCATGTGAAAAAATGGGTTTCCGATATTTTCTTTCTACGCACCAATCCCTATAACTTCATTATGAGGATTATCAATCGGCAAGGCAAACCGTCTATTTTTTGCCCACCAAAAACTGCGATAACCGTTTGCGAACGCCGCTTTCACGTCGTTAAAAGTGAGGACCGCAAAGTGTGAGCTGATCAGCATTTACCTAGAGATTATTCCAGAAGTTGCGGCTTGCCGGAGCGTTTTGTTGTTTACTGACACGCGTAGGCGGTAGGTTAATGCGAGACAGCCGCCGCCGCTCGTTTCTATCACAGCGAAACGCTCTCCGCGCATACACAACACGCGCCGGCGCCTCAGGGCCCGGCCTGTCTCGCTGTTTTCCGCCATCAATCGAATATCTGGTCAAGACGTCTCTCTCCATGATTTTAGTGTTGTTTTCTCGTTTTTTGCATTTCTCTAACTGTAAACTTTCTAGCGAAATTCTGTTTTTTGCTTTGGTATAGCCTAATTACAGCTTGCTGGAGTCGACATTAAATTAAGATTTTCAGAAGATTTGATGAAAAGCAAAAATGGGCCCAGCATCTTTCAAAAATGCCGTGATTAAAATGGATCAAAAATTTTTAACAAAGTTTTGAAAAAAAAATCTTAAAAACCGGGAAATCATTATCTGGCAAAAATCACAGAATTTTCACTTTTTGCAACGCCAGATTTCAAAAAAACCGAGCGGAACAATCTCCAAATACGATACCTCAAACTGCAAAGCGAATTTTTGAGTAAATGACAAAATTTTTAGTCAATAAATTTCTTTTTGAACTTTAGGCCGTTTCTTTTTTTCTGGCATTTTCCAATCCCACAAAAACCTTTTCGATTATGTCATGAACTTCTTAATCAAATTATTTCGCAACAGGCCAAAAAGTTATTTTGAAAAAAGCGAGACCGAAACTGTTCTCCAAAAATAAAATTATATTCTAGCATCTGTAAAGTTGAGAAAAAAATTAACGCTCAAAATTTCACGGGGTTTGTTTGAGTGAATCTAGGACTCATTGTTTTTAGGTGTTTGAAATCTGATCAGTTCGAAATAGGGCAGTGAACTTCTCAAACTTCATTAATTTTTATTGTAAGCCTTTAACTTACTTCCTCGTTCAAGTACCAGTTCTTGACCTCAGACAGTGAATTTTTTTTTCAAAGGGCGTGGTTGAGATGAACGATTTCGGCGCAGATAACAAAATTTCCAATTTTTCGAACCATTCGTTTTGTACGTTCCAGAAATGTCCTCCTTACAGATAAGCGTTTTGTACCGCTAACTTTCGATAGGGCCATTCAAAGACCGATCGAAGGCGATCGGAACCGCCGGCGTGACCTCGAAACTTCGGCCTTTTCGCCGTCCCTTTCCTTGTTTGTTCGGTTATCCACGTACTTCTCGAATATTCCAAATTTTTTCAAAGGCCACATTCTATTAGTGCAAACAAATATTGCCTTTTCTTCTGGCTTTCCAAGTGACATCTGCGTCTTGCAGCATCCTCCTTCGATACATGTTTCTTTATTGAGATTCTAGGCCACATAAAACTATGTCGGTTTCGTCCAGTTTTTAATCTTTTTCATGTAAAAAACTCTTTTTGACAAATCATCGAACTTACTGTAACTTTTTCGCTTCCTCATTTGAGTAGAAAAGACTTGACAGAATGGTTCCGCTTAAATTCTTCTTTTGACTGGAACCAACCGAAATCTTTGACCCAGTAAAAAAAGAATGATTGATAAGACTTCTTTCTCCGGTTGAGAAATAATTGTAAACCTTTTACCATTCCTTATCACTCGGGAAAACACAACCTGGGCGTCAGAGTCGGGACGTCAGTCAACATTTGTCCAGAAAAGTTAGAACCTTCTGGAGAATTTTTTTTGGTTGAAAATAGTCGTATTTCTTTCATTCCTTAGTTTACCCTTTTTCAATTAAATCATAGCGATTCTGAAATATTCATCGTAGTCTTGAAAAATTCGCCAATTTGCACTAGCATCTTGCAAGAGTATAAAAATTTATGACACGAGGCGTAGTATGAACATCTGGTATCGCTTCATTTTTTCTCTTATTTCGAAAGAGAAGACTAGTCATGAAAATTTTCTTGTTAGTATGTGTTCGAGGGAAGTTCAAGCTGTAACAGTGTCTGATAGCAGCTGCTCTGTTGCTGCAACTTCTGTCGCTGAGTAATTGTTCAGTCTTTTCCTGGTTTACTGATTGTTGATCTCTTCTTTAACATTCTCCGGTATCTTCAAAGAAAAAAAATCGAAATTAAAGGAAAATTATTTTTGAAAAAAGGCTCCAACCTGAAAACGCTCTTATTTTCAAAAACATGTTTTTCGGGGTACCGCAACTTTTAATCTGGTTGCTTTCAAAAAATCCGAAATGTCGCGGTCTGGTAGCATATTTGCATAAAAAGCTCGTGGTGAGTCATCCGTCCCGCCTGCCGTTTTTTTCCGACCGTCAAGGTTGCCCTGTTTTTTTGCGCTCTAGTACAACCGGATTTTTTTTTTCAAAATTTTGAACTTTTGACTTCGCGCCATTTTGAAGTCGTCCTTGAACGAACATTGCCTTTTTTTTTGAAGTTGATTCGAACTTTTTTTGAAAGGGCTATGCTTTGCTGTTTCTCGAAAAAAATAGAGCCATTATTCTTGGCTTTTATGTCAAAGGAGATTTTTTCCTGCATTTAAAATTAACAGAACCAAATGTTTGTAAACAAACCGTTCTCGAAAAATATTTTCGCTTCTCTTTTTAATGCCGTGGAATAAAATTCGTCCATATTTCTGAAGGCGCCTATTTAATAGTTCCGAAATGTGTGGAAAACTCAAACGAAGACATTTCAGCAGCAAGATGTCTGAACGCCGTATCGACGTGAACCGCAGCAACTACTCGGTGATTGACAACGAGTTCGGCAACATGCGCGATCGTTTCGAGCAGGAAATGCACCGCGTCGAGGAGGAAATGCGTCGTCTTCGCTCCGAGTTCGAAGGTATTTTATTTTATATAAAAAACGGGGTCATTTTTTTCAATAATAATAATAAAAATCTTTATTGAATATATTAAAACATCGGAAAAATAGAATGATAAATAATTATACAACAAGAATAATAATTTAGATGGGTTTTAAGTTTCCTTACTGTAATAAATGGTGTTCATTTCTAAGGTAAAGGTATTGAGTAATAGTAAATGTTTCGACTGAGGTAATGTGGAAGGGATAAGTATATATGCAATGCAGGGATAAGTATATATGCAATGCAGGGATAAGTATATATGCAACTGATAAGGTTAATAACAACAATCTTTCTTGAATATATTAAAACATCGGAAAAATATAATGATAAATAATTATACAACAAGAACAATAATTTAAGTTTCCTTACAGCAAGAAATGGTATGAATTTCTGAGATAAAGGTATTAAGTAATAGTAAATGTTTCGACTGAGGTAATGCGGAAGAGATAGGTATATATGCAAATATAAATAAATATATTTGTACACGTTTCAAACACGCTGAGATCGATGAGGTTATTTTTTAACATATCGGAGCAATAAGAGAAGGATTCAGGAGAGACGCTCAATATCGAAAGAGAAAATGGCAAAGTCCGATTGGGAAAAGGAAAAGGATTATTTTTGAAGATCACGAAGACCAGCAACTGAAGGGATGTTGAAAATGGAGATTTCACAACCAAAACGGCCTTCTTTTCTGCGACACGGCATGGAAGAGTCGAGCATTCAGCAGGCATTATCTGGCATTGCTTACGTCTTTTTCTGAAAATGGATTGAGTTTAAAACAGTTATTTTAGTCGGGACTTCTCTACTCTAGTCTTGAAATCAAGAATGAAAAATGTCCGTAAAAAGTCCAAGTTCTAAGAAATGACGATTAAAAACTCACACCACGCTGAAAAGCGTCTCGCCTGAGATTCTTGATAGCTTCCTTGCTGCTCTGGCCACATTGAGACCGGACGAGGGTCTAGCTGTCGTTTGGTCAAAAGACAGTAGGAATGCGAGCATTCCGATCCGCCTCTCCTCGTCTTCCGTGACCATATCCCGGTGTTTGCGTACGAGGAAGAAGTCGGGAGTTACCTCTTCCTGGAAAAGTCATTGACATGACTATTTGAATCAGATGAACAAAAAAAAAACGAACCCCGTCTTTCATCTCTGTCGTTAGGAAGAAAGAGCCATGTGCGGCTCCAGGAAAGAACTCCCGAGCCCAGCCAAAAGTTCCGCTACGCAGTTTCTCGCGGTTGTGGTTTATCGTGAGCCTGCAAAATATAGATGAAAATTGGGAATTTTCAAAAACGCACATATCCGCATTTCTTGGCGCACAGGGAAAGCTCCTCGTCTTCCGTGACCATATCCCGGTGTTTGCGTACGAGGAAGAAGTCGGGAGTTACCTCTTCCTGGAAAAGTCATTGACATGACTATTTGAATCAGATGAACAAAAAAAAAACGAACCCCGTCTTTCATCTCTGTCGTTATGAAGAAGGAGCTGAACTCGGCTTCGGGAAAGAACTCCCGAGCCGAGCCAAAAGTTCCGCTACGCAGTTCCTCGCGGTTGTGGTTTATCGTGAGCCTGCAAAATATAGATGAAAATTGGGAATTTTCAAAAACGCACATATCCGCATTTCTTGGCGACCACGACAGGAAAAAAAACTCCGGGCAGTAATTCATTCGGTAGTTGTAAAACGTCATGTCGTTTTCGTTCTTGAGAGCTCTGGCGATCGCGGCCAGAAAAGACGCCTTAATATAAGATAGAAGACGATCCAGCAGCTTTTGTTTGGAGATAAAATAAAAACTCGTAAACTGATATCTGTAGGCCTAAGGAAAAACTGAGGAGACAAGGAAAGGAGATGTTTTGAGATACCTAGAGTACTTCAAATGTTCCTCTGTGTTTCATACTGAAGGACTCACTCTGTCCAATTACTCATCATCGTTGAATCCCGAACGATGGATGATCATTCGGACAGGCAATCGATGGGCTTACTCGAACGTTGACTGCTTTAACAAAGCCTTGTGCGATGAGACTTCAAAAAAAGGCATTTAAAATGTAGTTTTGAATCACTAGCATACATGTTCTTCTGATCCGGATCAGCGCTGTGCGGCAATCGAAATTTTCTGCAAGACCGGCAATCGGCACTTTGTTTCCACTCACAGTGTTGCCAAACGGGCGGCAGCTGTGGTCAGTAGGCGTGGCTGACTGCAACAGCGGCACGGTTTATTGCTATAGGGGCGCGGGGATGAGAGTCAAGTTTTGTGGATTTAGTGGTTGGAAAAAGACCATCAAATGATGTTTCTCCTAGGTTCTCGCAAGTTTTCAAAGGTTTTCAATGTGTACACTGCGCGTCATAGTTATAGACGCACCCCCATTTTTGCAGTTTTCAATAGATATGTTGAACTTCCTGCAATCAAACCTATTTTATGATGAACCTCTGCTGAAATGACTAACCTCGCAAAAAAAACTACAGAAGACTCAGTACAAAAATTTTTCGAAATCCGTCAAAAACAGTTTTTTGACCGGGTCATAATTATAGACGAACCCTGGGTCAGGGCTCATTTTTAACTTTTTGTTGGCACTTTCGCCTTTTTTTTCAATTTTGAATAAACACCTAAATTAGTAGGAGGCCACAGCATTTTAAGTAACTTTGAATCAAGCAATTTTATTTACAAACCATGCGAAAAGCGAAAAAAATCGAAAATTTCAGAAAAAAATGGTCTTTTTCTCGAAATATCAAAGAATTTATACCGGAGTTTGGGCATTAAATTTTCAAATGATGTTGTTTTGAACGATAACTGAAAAGTTAGAGAGGAAAAAATGCTTCTGCGGTACGAAAAATATCTTTGAATTAGGTGGATTCACTGTTCATAGGAAACCTGGCGTTTGTTGGACCGACCTCTTTCAAATACTTTTTGACCATCTGGAAAAAGCCTGTTTTCTTTTCCGGAACCGTTTTCCAAAACAGAAAAAAAAGCAAAACTTTGCTCGTTTGGAGGTCCATTAACTTTCATTAGTTTCATGTTTCCAATGTATGGTAAAACAGTCTATAACCAAGTTAACGCTAGTTTCGCGTGAGGTTAACATTGTGTTGACCGAGAAAAGAAATGGTGAGAGCAAAAAAGAATTTTCAAAAAAGTCTTCGATTTGCATGAACAAGAAGTTTCATTTTTTTTCTATTAGCACGGAATGAACCAATACCAGTAAGGACAATCAGCTTCAAACTTTCAAAGTAAAACTCAGGACATTGTTGCTATCAGAAAATCTTATGTAAAAATTTTTATTGGCGGAAGAGGTCGGTCCAACAAACGCCAGGTTTCCTATGAACGGTAAATCCACCTAACAAATTTCCTATACAATTGAAGCTGAAAAAAATGGACTTTTTCTAAAAAAATCGATATCATTTTAATTTTATTCTGACAATACGATTTTTTTGATCAATTTTTCCTTCCAAAGGAAAAAAATTCTCACAAAGTTATCACACGAATGACTTTAAAAAAACCGAAAAAAAGTTGAAAAAAATGATTTTTTTACCTTAAATCGATATTATTTGAGAGGCTTACCAGGTAACGTTTTTTTACGCCCCCCGTTGAATTTTTTTAAAAAAACATTCTCTAGCTAGAAATAAATCTCTTCTATTAAAGTCCTTTCTCAAAAAAATTTCTTATACGACTGAAGCTGAAAAATGAACTTTTTTTCTTAAAAATCGATACGAATTTTTCAAAAAAAGCTGAAAAAAATGAAAAATTTTTCCATGAGATCAATATTATTTAACCCCCCTAAATTCGATAATTTTTCATCTCAGAAATCTATATTTCAGTTTCAATTGATACTATTAGGGACTACAAATTCGACAAAAATCTACAAAAATTATGAAAATACCCTCAAAAAAATAAAAAAAAAAATAGCCTTTTTCCTACTTCATATTCAACGAAAAACCTTTGATAAAAAAAACTACCGATCCTCCTCAAAAATTCATTAAATTGGGGCCGTTTTTCAAAACTACAAAGCTGAAATTACACCTTACCCTTTGAAAAATCCTTAGAAAACAATAAAACTATAAAAATCCGACATTTTCCTCTTGGAATTTTATTCTAACAATGAATTCTAATCCATTGAAGTGATAAATTTCCAACTTTCACAAAAAAAATTATATTGTCACGAGGAATTTTCACGAAAATAATAGCCCAAAAACGTCGCATTTTCCAAAAAAAAAAACCAACTCAATCGAATGAGGAATTTCCCGTAGCCGACGTTCTGAAAGGGCGGGAAGACCATGATACAGGCCAAATTGTTGACCGAATCGATCTCTTTTGAGAAATATCCGACAATGTGCGCTCCAGCGTCGTTCACCTGTTGGGGGATTTATTTTATTATTTTTTTTCTCAAGTCAAAAACCTCGCAAAGGACGTAGAACATGAAATCGTCGACGTCGAAATACAAAGTTTTATGGTCCATGAAGAGTTTGGACAGGAGGCAGAGACATTGGCAGTAGAGCTGAGAAAATATTTTTCCTATTCCGTCAAAATTTCCAAATTTTCCAAGAGATTAACTACTCTCCTTCTGGAGAACAACGGGCATATGAAACGGGCGCAAGAAAGGGGAGAAAAGCGGGCGCAAAAAAAGAGAGAAGAAGAAGAGTAAAATGGGCACTGCCGTAAGAAACGGGAGAAAAAAGGGCGCGTTCCAAAAATCTAAGAATAATTCATGTGAAGCGGTTCCATCAAGTTTGCGCGAAAAAACGGGAGAAAAGCAGGAGAAAACCGGGCGCAAGAAGCGAGAGAAAAACGGGTGCATTCTACAAATCTAAGGACTAATTCATGTGAAGCGGTTTCATCAAGTTTGGGCGAAAAACGGGAGAAAAAGAGGAGAAAACCGGGCGCAAGAAGCGGGAGAAAAAAGGGCGCATTCCGATCAGCTGTTTTGATTTTAACGATCAAATTCAAATGGAAAAAAAAAGACGAAAAAGTTTTTTCAAAACAAAATATCTCCCAAAATGTCGTTTCAAGGAAAATTCGTCAAATCTAACTTCCGAAGAGAAAATTGAAAAAAAGCTCGAAGCACTTCTTTTAGGAAACTCCATTTGAACGTTTTAAAACAAAAAAATATACATAATAGCTTGTGCAAGAAAAAGTTGTCACCCAAAATGACATTTTCAAGAATAAATTCGTCGAATACTGCCTCGAAAAAAAATTTTGAGAAAAAAATCTCAAAGCGTTTCTCGTAAGAAAAATCTATTTGAAGATTCTAAAACAAAAAAACAAACGAAATATTTTATGCGCAATAAGTTTTCATCAAAAATGTCATTTTAATGGGAATTTCTGTGACGAAAACAGTCGAAAACCAGTTCAAATCTTTGGAAAACGCGATAAACACGTTTTAAGAACACATAAAATGTAAAAATACGAAAGAATGAAAAAAATACGCAGAAAAAAAAAAAAAAATGATTCAAAAGTGATTGAAACTTTGTGGGGTTGACACGCGCCGCACCGCGTTGCGTTAGAAAAAGCGTTTTCGCCCCATTGCGACGACCATTTTTTTCGCCCTCGCTCGCCCGTTTTGAAACACTGCCACTACTTTCTTGATGTGACATCAAAAACGAAAGCGTCTAAGATTTAGCTTTCTTTAAAATTTAGGCAAGAGACCTTTCACCCGTCGGTTCTCTGAAAATAGGAAGTCCTATAAAATGAGACTTTTCAATTATTAGTGGAGAAAAATTTACCTAAACATCAAAATCTATGAGAGGAGATTTGAACTATCCGCATTTTTTAAACTAAAGAAAAATTCAAGTTTTTTTCAGTATGAAAAATTTTAATTATAACTGTCAAAGGTTCACTTCCAAAAAATCATTCTCCCCACAAAAACGAAATATTTCTGTTTCGAACAAGACGGCAATTAGCGAAATCGCGGCCCATGCGTCGGATATTAATAAAACATGTAAAACGAAGCTCTTCAAGAGACTTTCAGTGTAACAAAAGAAAACAGCGCTTTCGCACATTGGTCGGCTCAAAAATTGCTTTTGCGACAGCCGTGTTGAAGTGCAAGAAGTATTTGAGAAAAGGAAGTAAACATACATAAATCACCACAATGACTATAAGGAAAAATAACGTACACTTTTCAAAGAGTTTTGTAAATTAAATATGACGAGAAATCCTTTTCAGAGAAGAAATTCTGTTTTCGTGAAAAAAAAAAAACAGTTTGATGGAAGCGATACGACTCACGACTACGTTTTGAAATGAATTGGGGTGGGAATAAACTAACGATAGGAATTTCTCGCTCCAGAAAAGTCAACTTGAATTTTTATGAATGCTTTTGATATTATGTGAACGCACAAAATTCAAACTTATCAGGTCTCGGAGCAATTATTTACAATAGCCAAATACATATATTTTCACAAAGACCTCATTGAACGTTTTTATTTATAGTATAGCAAACGAAACTCCCGGAAAAATCCACTAACTTCTTTCAAACTGTGGAGATCTGAAGTTTCAATTCTAATTTCGATGCGAAGCCAACCTGCTCAAATTTCAGTAGCAAAAGCGTAGCAGGAACTAGATCACTAGATAGTTTAAAATATTGCACTTGGAATCGCTCAGTTATCTTTGAAGGAGTAAGAGAAAAAGAAAGCAGCCCACAAGCCATCTTTATGAGCGGGCTTAATTTCGTAAAGCCATCGTAAATAAGGCTTTACAGGAAATATTTCTGTTTTGCTTCGAAATAAGTTGCAGAAATGTTATCTTGATGTTGACGCCGTGCACGAATATTGAGCGCCTGCTTGAAGAACTGCAAAAGGAGGAAGACGGAAGGAGAATGCGCATTCCACGAAAATGAGCATTCCCATCAGTCCCTCGGCGGTCCTCTTTTTGCAACTTTTCGGCGTTCCTCGACTGATCGAAGTCTAATAAGCTGCAATTTAAAAAACGCGCGGCTTTCAGAAAACTTGCTTCTCAACCTCTTATTTTGCGTCTGGGATATTTCGAGCAACTGAACTATCCATCAAAATTGCCACCTTTTTTCAAAATTCTCAGTTTTGTGAAAAGTTCTCGGAATTAAAAAAAATTTTTTTATGAAGATCCCACCTTAAAAACCTTTGGCAATGTTTTTTTGCCTCTTGTTTGAAGGGTTTTTGAGTTTTTCCTATTAAAATCGTTATACTTGTAAAGTTGACCTGGGCAATCTTTGAAAACCATGGTCTACTGTATTCAAAGTTTCGCACGCAATTTTTCATAAATGGTGGTTTCGAATAGAATCAAGTCTCCTGTCAGTTATTTCCCAAACATAATCCCTTTGAATTTTCTCCCGCCATTCACCAAACCGAGTAAAGAACCTACAAAAGTCAAGCACTGGGTAGTGAATGATAAAAACGAGTATTTTTAAGAGACAAATAGACGTTAATTTGTTAAACTTGGCGGAAAATTTGTGAGAGGGTGGTGGCTTTTTTCTGCAAAACTTGATGATTTGAGGTTACCGCCCGAACGGCGGTCCAGCTCCGGCCATTTCCAACCAGCCGTACAACGCCTACACCTCGTCGTCGTCCCACTCGGAATCTCGACGCAACGAGGCTTTTGGAGCTCCACCGACTTCTAACTTCCAAGGTTTTTCTTTTTTTAAGTAAAGTAAAAAGTGACAGTTTAAAAATTTCTTTGAGGTGAATTTCCTAATTTTTTTCAAACTGAAGCTTTTATAAATAAAAAAGAAACAAAAACAACTAAAAAAACAAAAAGTTGGTAGATCAAATTTTTTTGTTTTTTTCTTTACTGAATTATTCTCCTTGAATATAACTTTCAGAGTTTCCTGCTTCAATTAAGTTTGATTCCTTAAAATAAAAATGTGGAAGAAAACGGAAACTTACTTTTTGGAGAATTCGGATAAGATTTACTAAAAAAAAATCAAGCTTTTTTCACACTAGGATCACCAGCTTTTTATATTTTCACAAGCTTCCTGGCTATAATGTTTAGGAGCGGTTTTTCTTATTGAAAGAAACAATTAACTAGCCGTGAATAAAATCCATTCAGCCCAAAAAAGGAAAGAAATTGGTGGCGCGTATGTGCTCTTGTTCCTTTCTTGGCTCTTACGCTTTTGCTTCAAGCTCTCTGCTTTTCATTTTGTTTACCCCTGACGCAAAATTCTAGAATCACAAGATTAAAAAAGCAGCTTGCTTGAAATCAAGATGCCACTAGACTCCAAATTTGAAAAATCTCTTTTTCAATCTCTTAAACGATTTTTTTGTTATAAAACCATGGCGTCAAAAGTTTTCAAAAAGCATACAGAACTCCAGAAAGGTCTTACCAAATATCCTAATACTAGGACTTTTTTGTGGGGTTAATAATTGTACCGAAACAAAGTTGTAGATCGGTAAAGTTAATGATCTTTTGACCCAATTTCCTGTCGCAAGAAAAACTTTTTGTAAGTGTTTTCTCGCAGATTGAAGCTTTTCTCAGATTTCACAAAAAAAGCTTCTTCTTGCAGTTTTTCTCCATTTTTACCCATCAAAAACGTCGTGATCGTGGCTGAAAGGCCCATGGGATCGTATGGAAGATTACCCGGAAACTTGTCAGCGCAAACGTTAACCGATGTTGACGCTGTCGCCCCAGACACCTACTCCCCATAGGCACATCAATTGACACATCTTCCTAGGATTCCTCTTTTTTTGTGTTCCAGCAAACGTCATTAGAGCGGCTTTTGATTTTTATCCTTCCGTCTTTTTTTTTGCTTTCAAACGCTTCGAAATTTCATTTTGGTTCTGCGAGCATTGAACGTCCTTCATTAGATCAAGCATGTAGCAAACAAACTCTTTTTTGAAGAGAACGCCGAGAAAAGCGGATTTTTCAGAACTTGCGAAAAAAAAATGTTGAGCCTTGAAAATTGGGAGAATGGCTAAATTTTGATTGGGTTCAAAAAAGATTCAGATTTTGGAGCGGAGTCCTCGTTTTTACCAGCGGGAGGTTGAAGACATAGCTGTAAAGAATATTTAATTGAGTTCAAAAAAAAATAATTCTAGCTCTCTGACATCTGATTTCCTAGCATCGCATTTCTTTTTAGTTTTTCAGTTAATGATGTATTTATTTAGTGAAATTTTGTCCGTCGAGTTCATTTAATTGATGAAAAAGAAAGCCGGAAATGGAAAAGAAGAAGCTTTTTTGAGAGTGGAAGTTAGCGGAGCAACGGACTTGCTTGTGTTCCCATAGCTCCAAGTCTAATGTTACAACGTCGCGTGGCTGCGCATTTAGGCCAATCTGCATATTCCGCATCTCCCACCTATCCAACTTTCTCTTTGTTGCACCTGAAAAGGAATATTTTCATAAATAAAGAGTTGTTGCAGCTCCAAGCGACTTGATGGCTCACCGTCCAACCTACGACCCGTATCTCGACAACTTGAAGAGCCCACTCATCAAGGACGAGAGTGACGGAAAGACTTTGAGACTCAGGTGAAACTTAAAATTCAACTTATTTTCTGGTCAAAAATTTTTGAGAAAATAAAATGCCTAATGAAAGAAAGATGGAATTTAATGAGAAGGTCCATGATGAAAAGTTTCAGATTTGATGTGGCTCAGTACAAGCCAGAGGAGGTGACCGTCAAGACAATCGACAACAGACTTTTGGTTCACGCCAAGCACGAGGAGAAAACTCCTCAGCGTACGGTCTTCAGAGAGTACAACCAGGTTGGATTTTTGTACGTATAGAAAATTTTTTGAAAATGAAAGTTGCACAATTATTTATTTTTTCAGAAAAAGAAAGTTTTAGGTAGTTTTTCGATAACCAAAATGAACTTTGAGACAGATTAGAAAAAAAAATGAGCAGTTGAGATTTTCAGAATCGTTACTTAGTGCGTCGGAAACTGTTTAATCCAACTTTCAGAGTTTCACAAAGACTTAGATTGTTAAGCTTTCTTAATAGAGAGCCTCCTTGGGCTGATTTTGAGAAAGAAACTGCCTTTTCAGCTTTTTTTTCAGCAGCCAATTCAGTGAGAAGAAACTTCCTACCAAACGGAAGAAAATGATGCTAAATGACCCAGTAAATGAAAATAATTAAGGAGTTCCTTCTTCCACGTGGCACCAACCCAGAGCAGATTTCTTCGACTCTGTCCACCGACGGAGTTCTCACTGTCGAGGCTCCTCTTCCGCAACTCGCCATCCAACACTAAACGCACCGCTACCGAAAAACCCACGAAGATGCAATCCGGCTCCGTTTCTATCAGTTTCTTTTCTTCTTTTCTTTATTTTTTTCACGTACCCGTCTAGTGGTTTTGTACCTGCGCCTCCTAATTCTTTTTTCTCTATCTGCCTTGTTTTTTCGACTTGTAGCCTTCGCAGGATCAAATCCTTTTTCAGTTTGTAGTGGTTCAACCTGCAAAGTTCTATCTTTACTGGACGCTTAATAATATAAATTTTCTCATATCAGGCAGTCGAATACTTGTGACCATTTTGGGAATAAAGAACGCATAGCAATTTTTTTATTCAGTACATGAAAAAAATTATTAGCAAACATTTTTTTTATTACAGCTGGATAGGAAAAAAAGAATGTTCAAAAAGCAAACAAGTTTATTGAAAAAAACTGAAAAGTTAAGAAGCAACCGTTTCTCAAATCTCATCACATGGCGAAAACGAAAGGAAAACTCAGCATTCTGTCGAAATAGTCGAACTGAAAAAAAATACAGGAAATTTAGAAATTTGTGCTAATCATCAACCGTGATCTAATATCTCATTTTCAGAAAGAAAATGTTCAAGCCTGAAAAATAAACGCAGTTGGGAATGAAAGAAAAAAGACTCAAAAGCTTAAAAAAATTCAATTACCCGGTTACTTACATATAATGATAGCAAATGAGGGATATTTAATAAGTAATTAGCAAAAAGATAAGGAAGGAAAACTAAAAAAAAAAGAAGATCATGACGAATAAAAATGATCTGACACGCAGCGAAGCGACGAAAGGAGTGGTAAACTATGAAGCCGATATGTTGAACGCAAGTGACGTGAATAGGAAAACTTAGTCTACAACGGACGTCGAGTGGAGAAAGACAAGGCGACAGGCTGAAATATTAAAATATTGAAGAAGCTGAAATATTTTAAGCAGGGTTTTTTGCGAAAAAAAGTTGTTTTCGTTAAATTTGTGACTTTTATTTCGACTCACTGTTTGCTTTAGCCAAGTTTCAAAAACGTGAAAAGCTTCATATAAATGACTTTTTAGGATTTTTTATTCCAAAATGGTTCACAACTCACCTTATGATCTCCTGTGCAAGTTTCTCTGCCGAAAGATTCATAAGTGGGACCTCCGCCCCTTATGAACTCAAACGCCGCGTTGTTCATCAACACTCTGTCACACCAGGCAGGAGCTCTCGTCTTCATCAAAGCTTCAGAATCCTCAGGGTCCTCGCTCCACGGGTATCTGCAACCGAACATCTCACTCTCTATTTCAACTTGAGGCGTCCTACGTTGGAGGGAAGTTGATAGGAATTTCGTGCAATTGTTTGAAGTTAGTCGCCTCTTTGTCGTCTTCGAGGTAGGACTTCCAGTCATCGAGCAATTTGGCATGATTGAAATAGTCGAATCTCTTCTTTTCGATACGCAACACACATCTGAAAAAGAAATTTCTTTTCAGTTTTGAATTCGTTCTCACCCATCGATGGCTTCAGTGGCCGACGGACGGCGGAATTCAATGGCGGAAACAGTTCTTCGCAGGAGGTCAGGATGAGGCGACAAGTTGTTGTTGGGAGCCTCGAGGCCTTCGCCAATGGATCCCGTTTGCTCTTGATCGTTCAGGGAGTGAGCAGCTGCACGGACAGTCAGCTTCTGAAAAAAGGCGAAAAATCAAACTTTAAAAATCAAACTTTTGATTTATTTTCATAACTATTTATTCCTTTTTCTCCTTTCTAAGAGTTTTTTTTTAAAGTCAGAACTTCTCAATGAAATGTGTTAATTTCATATCAACATCATTGGAAGGGAAACACAAAAAGAAAAAGCTCAATGAGTTGATGGAACTTTCCTGAGATGTCTTCTAGATCACATTGTTTACAATCTGAAAATTCTCTGTTGGGCCAAATTTCGCTACCAAAAAGCTGCTCAACACAATAATTATATTTCCAGGAGCTTCCTAATATGTAATAAAAAATAAAAGGAGCATCCTAGGAGTTTTTGTATCGGATAGCTTTTTTTCTTTTTCTTTTTTTGATGTCAATAAGCCTTGTTTGACGTCTCATGAACCTGTGAAACGCGGTTCGGCGAATAATAAAACATTGAGAATTTTTTTTCTCAACGAAATTCGGCGAATTCCTTGATTGTGCGTTTTGCCAAATTTTTTTCGTCAAAATGCATTTTGCCCTCTGAAACAACTGGAGCTTATAACTTGTAGATATACACCACAAAACTTCATTTTTTTTGGTTATCATGTTATGGGAGTAGAAATGGTGATTTCCGACTTCAGCGTAATAATTGAAAATTTTAAAATCATCCACTCACGTTCAGAAAAGAGCTGGCATCAAGGCGGAAGTTCAAATCTCCGAAAATAAAATGCAACGGAGCCGACCCATTCTCGAGATTGGCCAGCTCCTCAAGGACGAAGTCAAGAGCTCTTTTGCGGTTTTGACTGTACAGCTGAGGGTTCTGAATACTTATTCATGAATCTTGGAAGTTTCATTTCCAATTAAACCTCATGGATAAGAGCCAAGTTCGATTCATCGTGGAAAAGATGCGCATTGACAAAATCGAAGACCCTGAAAATATTGTTCCATTTTTAGTATTGGTTCAAATTAAAATCAAAGATTATAGAAAGCTTACTTGTTCTTGATCTTCCAACGAGTTTGCATGTAGCCCTTGCGTCCCCATTTGATCGCAGGCCAGAAATGTTTGGGGAACTTTTGTTTGACGATGAATTTGTGTTTCTCCAGTCCCGACATGACCAGTTCGCCAGTTGCCTTCACTGGTTCGTAGTTGTGAGAGGCGAAGTTGAACTGGTACACATTTGGCAGCAACGACGAACGAATGAAAACGACCATTCCCAAAGCCTGAAAGCAATTTTTCCATTTTTCATCTGAAAATTTTTCTTAAAGGTAGCTTCTTTTAATAATGAGTTTTTTGTGAGTCAAACTTTGAGCTAAAAAAGGTATTTTTGAACAAGAAAATTTCGATGTTGGAGTTTGAAAAAGGCACCAATTCCACATATTTATTTTTTTTCTGAGCTCTGACCTGTGATCGAAACATTTTTTTTGAACGAATTTTTAAATTTCATTAAACGTCTTTTGATTCATAAGAAATCATCAGAGATGCGAAAAATGAAGACTTTTTTTCCTCGGCTGAATTTTCAACGGACCGTGTATTCAATCGACTCATATTCGAGGTCCGCGTAGGCTCGCATGGTCGAGAACTGCGGAAGAGACTCTCGAAGTCTTTCGATGAGGACTGGAACCTGTTTCGAACACTCGGCGAACCTGCAAAACTTCTTTTTTTCTCTCAAACTTTGAACGAAAAGGTTCCAAAAAAACAAGAAAAACGGACTTTTTACCGCCAGTCTCTTGCATATGGATTATCACAAAGTCTGAGTTCTCGGCATCGATCTTCTGGAATGAAAATGTTAGTATACATTTAGAAATGAAAAGTAAACTAACCGCTTTCATGGTATCGAGCCAAGATTGGTGAAGTCGAGCATCTGGCTCAAAAAAGTGAGCCAACATTGGCGGTGATTAATAGGAAGTTGGTCATTCCAGAATATTACCTGAATTATTTTTTTCTTTTTTTGAAAAAAAGTTTTTGAGAAAAACGTAACAAGATCGGAAAATCATAAAAAGAATTAAGATAGTAATTATGAAAAAATATACAAGCAAGCGATCAGCGAAAAAATAAATCTTCCGTATCAAAATTTTCAATAAATTGATAGAGTATCTGTTCAGTCATTCATCTCAGAGAGGAAGATCACAAAAAGAGAAGTTGGAAGAGAGTCCACCAACAAAAAAAAAAGGAAAAAAGCTCGGGAGCACTTTACATCGCTTCCGTTGGGCCTCAGGAGCTTTTATGCTTGTCTCACGTGTATCAAAAATTTAAACGCTGGACCCGAGACGTTTTGTCGAAGTGATTATGACAGAAGGTGAACGTGTCGAACAAGTGGTGGTGAAGGAATTGTTGTCAAAAAAAAAGAGAAGAAACTGGATTCCGATTGGCAAATACGAAAGTTCAGAGCGAGGCCTTTTATAGGAGTTTCTATTATTGCTTGACCCTACTTGTTCCTCTGAACTTCTTTCCAGAAACTTTGAAAACGCATTCCAAGAATGTAAATTGGAAAGAGAGAAAACTAGTTACTTTTCCTACAGAAATTTTTCTTAGTCTGAACCGAATGAACTTTCTGCCACTGATCTGTAGAACTGTTTCGGAAAAAAACTAGTAATAAGAAGAATATTTTTATAACAATAAAAATCAAGTGAAAGTTAATTAAACTTAGTTTCACTTAATATCTGATTTGAGACTTCTAGGCTCTTTTTATTTCCAGCTTTTCCTTTCAGAAGTTATTGATTGCGCAAATTGCTTGAGAGGTCGAGAGAAAAATAAAGCGATTAGCTACTTCTCCTAAGTCCAAATCCCCTCTTATGTCTAACTCTTCGTGAATCACCCGATTAGGCGGGTAGAAAGTCATGACGAAATCGAAACGGTGGAACAAAAATGCTGAAAACGGGACGGACAGCAGAAAATGAGCCTTGGGTCGTGGAGTGAAAACGGGCCATAAGATTGGACAGATAGCGGTTGGATGTCTGATAAGGACATCACAGCGCCAGACCACGCTACAAATTGCAACCAGCGCGCAATTTCAAAAAGCTCGGACGGAAAATTTCTTCCTTTCTCAAAAAATCGAAATGAATATTTCATCGATATCATATCTCTTTCTTGCCACAAGTCGAAAAATACTTACTTGTTTACTTTCTCAGTCTTTTATCTTTTATCTCTTTTCTATCACCTGGGCGAATATGCAGACAATATGAAAGAAAACGAGAAACCGTCTGGGAGAGAGGAGAAAGTGCAGAAAAGTCAGACATTTTCATGTTCTTCTGGATGAAATGAGTTTATGAAAAACTTTTGGCTTTTCTGAATGGTATGCAGAAAAATGATAAGGTGGACGACAGAGGCAACCTGGAACTTTATAAAAAAAGTTATCAAGCTTTCGACTTGATACGAAATTTATTTTTTTGAAATGACCCCACTTTTTTCAAAAGAAAAACGTCTTGAAAAGAAATAAGTAACTTATAAGCATACAGTTGCGTAGCCGATTTGCAATAATCGAAACAAAAAAATAATTTTTTTTGAAGCGTAAAAAGTTAAATTAAAAAGGACGGTTACTCAACCTCGTGTAGCAAAAGTGACAAACAAAACCTCTAATTGAAAGAACTTAATTATTGTTTCTCTCATCAAAAAGCACTAGTGAAAAGGAAAACCGCACGTCTCAGCGCAGAAAACTGGTGAAATGTGAGAAAATAATCAGAATGATCGAAAATGCCTCTTCGAGAATGGTCGAAATAACATTGCGGATCTTGTTATTGATCGCATAATCCTTCGCGAAAATTCTGAAAAGTGACTCAACAGTGAAAAAAAGATTATTATTAGAATAAAAATACGCTCATGTTCTGAGAATTGCGAAATGGGATGTTTTTAAAAATAGAAAAGAACGATATTATTCGTTTTTCGAGAATAATCCAAGGGATGACTCATTTTCAAGATAATTTTTAGATCATAAAAAAATTTTCTAATTTTTCTACTGACGCTAAAAAACCGCAAACTATGGGAAAAACCCATTTCCTCGGAGTTTCAAAACATACAATGTTTGGAAATTCTGAAAGGAATGCATAATCCCGTCGCATTTTATTCGATACAAAGTTGGAATGGTATTATATGCAGTCGTTTGACGCACGGCCTATCTACTTTGTTTGACGTTGTTGCCATCAAATTACGGGTTATGGGCCGTTTCCAAGTCATTGTACCTGCGAATCGGACACTTCACGCCTCTGATAAAGTCATAGGGTAAAGTATCATTTTTCTTGGTAGTTTGATCAGTTTTCTAGCTGGAAATTCTAGTAGATCGGACTGAAAATAAATTGCGAGTCATCAACTTATGGTCTGAGGCTAATAGAAAAATGCAGCAAAACGCGAAAAATTCCAAACGTTTCTTCAGTATTTTCTTAAAGACCAGAGGTGAATGGACTATGAATGGAAGAAAGATTCTCATTTACGATCATTTCGTTAAAGTTTCCTCAAAATCTCATTAAGAGTACAATTGCAACTTTCCATTTAATTAATGTTTGGTTAGTAGGAAGAAAATAAATTTGGCCGTTTTTTCCAGTTTTCAAATTGTGAATCATTTGCGAGGAAAAGGACGGCTGTTACGTCAAACTGTGCTCATCAATGCCCGCGGCGCGCTTCTATTCATTTTTCTGCTGCTATTTTTAATTATTTTTTTCTAATGTCGCGTCATTTTTTTTCACTTCCACATAAAAACACAGAAGTGACCTCTGCGGATTCATTAGATTATGTTAGGGTAGAATGAAGAAATTCGGGAACTATATTAAAAAAAAAAAAAGAAAAAGATTAAAAATTAAAATTAGGACTTGAATCATCGACACAAAAAAATGAATGGTGATTAAGATCAGGACGATTTTTTCTATGCCGCTGTCTCACACGTCGAATATAAACAAATCTCACGCTTTCTGAGATCGTATCTTGAAAAATCGTAATAAACAAATCAAAAACACGATCTATTAAAGTTTGATAAACATTTTTTTACGATGAAAGGAAATATTTCGCTGACCAACCAATAATTGAAGAAGTTCAAAAAAACTACTACGACGCCCTCCGGGAAAAAGAAAAAAAGCCTTGCGGAGGGCGGATGACAACATCGGAAAAAGACCGATTCGTTTTTTTCACGTGCCACGTTGTGGCGAACATCGATAAAAAGTATAAGTTATGCGAGGAAATTGGAAATTCTTTCATAAAAAAATGGAAACATAAAAATTCAATCTTCTTTGCACGGCCAAAATTGTTAAAATCCAACAAACCGGAAAGAAATGGCAAAAAAGGGCTTCAGTAATCGAAAATCCAGTAGAAGCTCTGGAGAGCAAACATCCCGTCACGGAAACACGAAGCCTTGTCTCATCACTCGTTGGCTTCATTTTCTCATGAGCAGAATTCGAATAATTGGAAAAGGAATCAATTGATTTTTGCGTGAATGATGAGAAAAAAAAATTGCCAGTTAAAATTTTGGAGATAATACACAGTTAAAAGTTTTATTACGGCAAAAATTTTTTTCAGAAAAAAAAACTAAGCTTGAAGCATTGTTGCATTTTGTTGAAATGCGTCCGCGAGTGTTAGTTTCAACGTCGCGCGTGCTCAACATGCTGTCGCTCTTCACTTTGGAGCAAAAACCACTTGATCCTATCTCTTTCTCTATCACTAAAAGTTTTAAAAAAAAACTTTTGAAGGAAAAATTGGTGATATTTATGAATTTTTTTTTCTTCCTCGTTAAGAAACTTAGAAAAAAAAACAGCTGCCTCAAACATTTCCACAAACTCGATGCCATATTTATTGATAGAAGAGAGGAGAAGGAATAGCGTTGCGAAAAAGCAGATTTAGGGATTTGTGCAAGGTTTTGAGTGTGTGGCAAATCGAGGACAAACACTGATTCTCCATGACATCTCTTGATTTTACTTTTAGGGAGTTTTTTCTCAAATATGTCTCTCCCTTAAAAAATTTTAAAAAACCATAAAAAGTAAGAAAAGCTGAGACGTTTTGAATTAAAAATGGCAAAATCCATCTATTTTTTTGCAAAAAATTCGTACTGCCTCAAAAAAGTTCATAGGAAAAAAGCGAAAAGATGTGAATAACTGCGCTTTCATGTATACATAAAAAAATCTCTATTGAGAAGAATTTCAGAGATTGAGAGAAAAATTGAGAAGCGAATTCTCCGACAAAAAAACAACTAAGCGTGGGATTTTATTATTTTTGAAAGGGCTTCGCGGTTTCGTGGATGTGAGAAATTTCACGCGGACGCGAATACGTCGCTATAATACAAACTCCACGTTTAAAAAAAAAGTGAAGTGGAACTAAAAAAGCTTGTTTCCCTAATTTGAAACAAATAATAGTTTATTCAACGCTGCCATAGTTTCAATAGTTTATTCAGTGACGGCGCAAAGGTCAGAAGAAAAGGAGAAGCTTGGATTTTCGCTTTTTTTGTTCAAGCTAAAGGTTTGAAGGGTGTAAAAAATTTTTGATTAAAAACTCATCCAAAAAAATAATTTTTTTATTCACAGAACATCTCTGTAAATTTAATTTTTTTGCTGTATAGAAACAGAAAAATTTAAAAAAACTTACTCTGAGTAAGATAATAATAAGTGATATGTGTAGATGATAACAACAAAGGCGATCAACCAGAACAATGGCCAGCGGCAGAAAAAAAGCAACGTGATGGCCGAGAACGAGGGCAAAACACTGGCGGAAGAGACACACTGACTTCTTTCTCTCGTGCTGGATACACTCCTGCAAGTGCTCGCCGTCGAGACATCGCGCGCAACACCGATCAGACACCGCAAAATACACAAAAAATGATGATGCACTGCTTGTCTCCAACAACTCATTTCAATTTATGACTTGCGAGAAGATGAACTTGCAATAATAATTGAAGCTTCAGAGAGATTATATTTACTTGACAATAAGAAAACTTTTTTATTTTGCGGCAACTGAAATAATTTCACTCGCAAGTGTGAAATTACTAAAATCAACCAAAATCTCTTGGGATGTCCACATCAAAATCTGTCGAAGTGGCTCTAGCCCGTTTTTCCCGTTTTGAGGGATTTCCCTGTGACTCTCTAATATTGACGTGCTATTTCCATGTTTCTTCGATCTCGCCAGTCATTGAAAAAAACAGATATTTGAAACGTCGAATTAATTAAATGTTAAAATGATAAGGTAGAGATTGAAAAACCAGTTTGAATTAAGGTAGCCTTCAAGATGAGATTATTCAATTAGGAATCAGAAGTAATCCTGTCCGTCCTAAAACCAAGAGTCTAGACTCTCGTGGGAAAAGGTTCACAGCTGACAGAAGTGCAAGGAGTCTCAGAAATTGGGTAGGTGGAAGATCGAGGAGACGCGAGAGGCGGGAGAAAAAATAGCAGTAAATATCTAATTGAATAATAGTTGAAAATTAATCAATCTACAAAAATAAAGCACCGATGACTGAATGACTAAATTTGAGAAGCGAAAAAATTCTGGTAAATCCTCCAAGAATCAAAATTTTAAAATAGAAAAAAAAGTTTGAAAAGTGCTATTTCTGAAACTGAACATTTGGGCTTAGGTAATCGAGGAAAGATTTTTTGCGACTTGTTGGATAGTTGGTAAAAGCTGTAGTAGAAATATTTGGAAAAGTGTCGGCTCAAAGAGCTTTTCAATTCCTGTTCAGGTCACGCCTACTTTTCGCGCGTTCAATCACTTTAGAAAGCTTTTGTAAATGGACCATACAAAAGGAAATACGTCGACCAAAAATTGTGAGGAAAAAGTCAAAGTCACGACAATGTGATGTGAGTGCGTAGTTTGAAAACCATTGCAAGTCGAAAAATTAAATTCCGGAAAACTTTCAAGTATGAAAAGAAGAGAGAAAAAGTTCAAGAATGAACATTGAAATCTTATAATTTCAATAATATTGAAATTAAAGTGGTTTTAGATTATCGATGGGAATATGAGAAGCTTGAAGAAAATTCATGATGAAAAACGGTTTTTTTATCTCAATAATTTTTTTCGGCAATCTTTTTGACTGCCAATCAATATCAGCAATGAACACCTCAAAAAAATCTATTGGAAAAATTTCATTGTTTGAGAAATTTTATCATCCGAACAGTGATTGTATTATCAATACTTCACTGAAAAGCAATTTTATAAATTTGACTTATTTCAAAATTTGAAAACCAAGTTTCATCGAAAAGGGTCAAATTTGAGAATTTGACAAGAAATGCAAACGCAACAGAAATTTTACAAACGCGAGAGAGCATTGGAGCAATGAGCATTCTTTGATCGGTGATGAGATTATCAGCGTTTGGTTTAGAAGGATCATGACAAAAACTAACTTATCTCTAGTTGTGATTTCACGCGTGATCGGTTCACACTCAAAAAGCGAATGTTGATAACGAGGTCGACCCGAAAGTCGTCTTAACAGGTTTTTCAGTTCAACTCGACATGTCCTCAACAAGTCATCTCGAAAGATAACAAAGTTTTCACGGTAAGCAATTACAAAAAACCAACGAAAAATTGAGAAGGTTCTTAAATATGTAGTTTGAACTATTCGGATTTTATTTACGATAAAAGTTGCTTACGAGTTTTACTTTCGTCGTTCTACCTACGCTCAAGCGTCACAACCCTACTCGAAGCTACAAAACTTTTTCTCGGTTGCGGCGAAAAAAACTGAAGAAACATTTTCGCGAGCAAATGGCAATCTTTAGCGTCTGCTTGACATTTTCTGTAGGACGATCTTTCTTTGCCTGCTACGAACAAAAATGTTGTTTTCTTCCATTTCTCTCTATTATTTTATTTCTGAATGACTCAATTAATCAAGTTTTTTTCAAGCCAAAAGGAGGCTTCTCGCAGCCTTAGTAGTAACTTTTTGAATGAATCCGCTATGAAAAATACGTCATAAGTTATAAAAAAATCGAGTAAATTAAACTTCATTTTGTTACAAGCTCAAACGCTGCTGTCTGACGTGGATGGATTCAAAGCTTCGTTTTGCTGTTAGCGCTTTTTACTGCATAGGAATTGACATAAAACAACTAGATTTAATTTTTTTTGGAGTGTCGTTTGCAATTCGTTTTTGGTTGCTTTTTCAGAGCCAGCGGTTTGATTCAACTCATTCTGTAAATTCCTATACCCGCGGGATTCTTAGAATAGTTAATGTTTTATAGAAAAAAATATTCTTTGCGATGAGGTTGAATTTACAAATAATGTCGTCATTTTGGTATCATCGCACCGTCCGGAAAAAAACCTTTTTGAAACCGTAAAAATAAAAAAAGACTCGTTTTTTTATTCTATTAAGACTGGAAAAACGGTTTTAAACATAAAAAAACTGAATATATCTTCAAATTTGAAAAAATTGATATCATTTTTTTAATTCGACTTTTCAGAATGAGGTTCCAGAAACATTTTTGGATTTTTTTCGTTTTAGTTTTAAGCTCCAAAGATTATCTGATCAAATTAATGAACGTAAAAAAAGTTATCTAAAAAGTGAGAATTAAAGAAAAAAATGAAACTGGAACCTTTGTTGTACATATATTGCCTAAGAGAACCCAAAAAAAAAATCACTTGTTCAGTAACAAGAAAAGTATTTTCATTAAAGTATATCGGTTACTTTTTGAAAACTTCCATTTGAAAAGGTATAATAGTTTTCCAGTTTCTACCCATTAGAGCAATAAACCTCAAAATGACCTCAAAAATTAGCGACAGTTGGCAGAAATGGAGACAGACCAACTGGTGTCGCTCTGAAATGCTCGGGAGTGTGTGTTGTATGGCTAATCGCCAATATTCAGGGAGATGTGCCACCGTCTTGAGGTCCATCTGTCCTCATCTTCTGCCGCTTTGACCCCTCTGCTTCCAAGGATCCAACCCCACCACTTCTCCCTTCCACTTCTGCGCCCTGCCGTTCGAAAACGCCATGCTCCGCCTCCCAAGCCGTAGCTCATGTCCTCAGTCTCATTACCATACCCGTCTGTCAGTCCGTGACCTGGCATAACCCCACATCTTCTCAATGAAATCATCTCATCGCGTGAATCACTCCTACGACTTTCAAAGTGAAGCCAAACTCAAAACTTTTTTTTTCCACATCCAGTTCCTGGTGCCAGATTAAATTTAGGAACAAAGCATCGAAGCTTTGCAGAACTTTGAAAAGCATAAAAAAGACCTCATTGGCTCATTATCTCTTGCGTGTTTACATTCGCTTCGAAGGAGTATAAAAGAAACAAACGGATAGGTGTGTTCTTAACAAAACCTTTGCTCATTTCTATTCAATACGACTAATCTTGTTTCATTTTTCTTGCTCTTGCCTTATACCTTCCCAGTGTTTTTCATTCTTGAGATATCTGACTTCCCACGTTATCTTTTTTTCAATTCTGCGTGCTTCTGCGGCCTGCGGCGATTCTCCCCACGCAGATGCACCAGAAACTGTCCCGTTTTGGCGATATGCGTGGGAAAACCGGGGATAAAGTGTAATTCAAGCAATTTTTGGATTACAATTTGATGGCCGATGGGATGCGCCCACCGCGCGACTTAATCAAATTTCTGTCATTTCATTTCATTTTTACGTTTTCACATCTCAATTTCTGATGGTCGTCTCATTGTGCTTCCAGCTGCGAATCTTCCTCTTTATGGGATTAGTTTTGCGCTTTTCATAATTTTCTTTGATTTCGTTCCAAAAATAAAAATGACAAAAATTTTTGAATCGGTCAAATAACGTTCATTGAGATAATTTCAAAACTTCTTCATTTTATTAATTAATTTCATTTTCTTTTCACAAGTAAAGAAAAAAATGTCTCGGCATGTTTCTGTTGAAAATCTTCACACTATATCAGTCCAAAAATTATTTCTTCAGTTCAGAAACGATGGACAAGTGGAGTGGGATTCTGAGGTTGACGTGCCAGCTGCTGGCGATCATCACGCTCGCTTCGAGCGCCGTCGCCTTCATCTTCATCATTCACTTCGACCACTGGGTACGCGTCGTCGTAACAGGTTGTTTCCCGCTGATCCATTCATTTTTTCTTCAACTTGTTATTTTGCAGTTTTTATTGTGCTTCTGGCAACCATTGCCATCGTGACAGTTCTCTACTACGCCTTCGACAAAAAACAACGGCCGCCAATGCCAACACTCAGCCAAGTGGACTTGCAGCGGATCTCGTATGACTTCACGCGTTTCCCGCCAGATCAGCGAAGACCTCCAGTCAGCTCATGTAAGTTTTTTTATACCAAGAAATTATCATTATACTCAAAAACTGAACATCTGAGTGGATAGTTGATCAAAGGAGGTTGGAGGATTTTTCTTGTAGATAAATTTCTGGATAGGAACCCACCAAAAATCCTGAAAAAAATATCAGTAGAAAAGCTACTAAGAAAGTTTAGCTATGCATATAACCGCATTAATCTTTTCGAAAATAAATTTTCTCTTAACCAATTTTCGGATTCAAAAGAATTCCACGATTATTATTCAATGAAATGCGAAAGCTGGTCAGAACACAGCCGCGCACAGTTAATTATGTGAGCATGTCATTGCACAAAGCGAAGCATTCAGAGTAAGTTATTTTAAAACCTACACTGCGCGTCATAGTTATAGACGCACCCCTATTTTTGCAGTTTTCGAAAGATAAGTTGAACTTGTTGCTATCAAACCTAATTTATGATGGGCCTTAGATCAAATGCCTAACATTGGAAAGAGAACTACAAAAGACTCGGATCAAAAAATTTTCGAAATCCGTCAAAAATAGTTTTTTGACCGGGTCATAATTATAGACGCACCCTGGATCAGGGCTCATTTTTTAATTTTCTTGGAGTTCTTCGAAACACTTAGACGAAGTATTACGGTGAACATATTTCCTGCTATTCCAAACCAATTTTCGAATGATTACTTGTAACGCAACCCTCCTATTAACGAATTATTGAAAAACTTTATGAGTACGTCTACTGAGAAGTGAGAAAGGGGCGACTGTCCCATGGCAACATCTTCGAAGCACGCAACACGACGCTCTGACGTGTCTTGATATATGACGTATATCGAGTACCAGATGCGAGAGCAGACAATGCACCAAGGAACGACCTCCACAAGGATTCCCGACGAGGATGCTCGGCAGCTGCCTTTGGCGCTTCCATTGTTCCAGGCGCCATGCCTTTTTGTTCCGATTCATTTTGACAGATGATTCCATAATGACCTTCAAAAATGGCATTCTGCGAGAAAGGAGTTTCAGATTTTGAAATTTCATCAAGTTTAGTTTTAAAATTTTTGAAGATTATCAAATTCTGATATTATTGAAACAGTAATCAATGAACAGAAAGAAAAAAAAAGTTCGAAAATTGCATTAATCAAAACTTTCTTTTAAAACCGCTATGATAGGTAATTACTATAGAAACTTACAAAGGAAAGTTTCAATTTTTTTGGATGGTGAGAATTTATAAACTGAGAAGGGCGTTTTTTTCGAATAAAACCCTGTAAATCTGCCAACCTGAGCAATTTTTAATTTTTCAATAAGGTCACTCAAATTAGGGAAAGTCGCAAACTTGCTATCGACCACGCAAATTTTCAAGCCGCTGAAAAATTCTCTCTCAATTTTTTCAGCGAGACTTCATTTTGTGAATTTTGACAACCTATTCTTATCGAAATAAATTTCTCATATTCATAATTTAAAGTCGAATGTCATGACCTCGGTCCGGCAGCTGCCATCAACCCTTCTATTGTTGGTTTTCCACACTTTTTCGTCGGACACTAACACGAATCCTTGACGAATCTGCCGCCTTTTTGTCACCCATCCTTGCAATTTTAGACCACGGAAGTGGTTTCGAGCGTGAGAAGATCTTGACAAGATCGCAGAAAAGCTCTAATTGGCGCCTTCTTCTGAGTCTTCAGTTGGAAACCTCCTGGAAGACTGGGAAAAAGCTCATTTTGATTCGGAATGGACTCTCATTGCAAATTCGAACGGGCTTTTTGTCAACTTTTTAGCCTGCTTCTTATAAGCTTTGAATGGAAAAATGTAACAAGATCAATTATTTCCGAAAAGAAGGATTGTTCCATTTTTGAACTTGTCACTTCTTGCAGGTAGGTTTTTGTACTCGATTATTTATTATATTACTACGTTTTCTTTAACTCATCGAAGGATTACCCACTTCTCACAAAGTGAATTTGGAAAAAAGAGGAGAGCAATAAAATTCACATTGGTTTTGACGTTGCGCATTCATTCGAAACTGTAGATAAACCGGTTAGAAGACTGCCAAAACATCTGTCTCTTTAGTCAGCGGCTCGCTTTTTGTTCAGCTCATGCGTCTGTAATTTTGTTACGTGTTCTTGCGGATTGGTCAATCACCCGACCGGCGGCTGACCTGCCTGACATACGGATGAGCGAGACTGCAAAAACACTTAAGGAGAGCTCCTCGGAGTAGGATCATCCGTGGGCTCCTGACACAGCTGTTGTACAGTAGCGACCTCGGGAGGATTTGGTCTGACCTTTCGAACCTCTTCAGAGGGATTGAAACTTTTTTATAAACATTATTTTAAAATTTTGGACCAAAGTAATGAAAAGATAATCCCTCCAAATCAAAGAAAAAACTTGCAAAAAACCGTTTTCTGCCTTTTTTTTGAAAAACTTAAAGAGTGAAAGATTTTTGTTAGTTTTAGCTATTTCTTCTTGACGAGAAAACTTGATTTTATTACCTTTAGACCGTTTTTTTTAAAGTTTGCTCAGAGTTTTTTGCATTTTTGCTCTTTAACCCAGCTGAAACAGAGAGAGAGGGTTGTTTTAAAGTGTCTCCAGTCTAGTTCACATAACTTATACCTTCAGAAAAAAGGAACTTCGATTGTTTCACCAAAAAGAAGTGATGAAGGTTCTGATTCCAGTATGAGAATTCTTCGCAAATTTTTGTAATTTTCGAGATAACGCTTTTTTCGTAAAATAGAAATTTCGAATTTCTTTCTCCTCGTATGAGTCTCAAATCTTTTCGACGGAAAAAAGAGACCAGAAAAACATCTCCAAAAAGTTTCTGTTACTGTCTTGACCTTGAGCTGGCGGGTCGCGTCTGGTGGCCCAACGGCTGCCATCTGGATACCACGGTGCCAAACATACTCCTCTCTCGAGATCCCACTTGTCTCTGTGTGTTTCTCCGATTATTCATGGGTTAGTCCAATTAGAGACACGCAAGGAATCATCTTTTGGTGTTAATTGTGCGCTCCGCTTGCAATTTGATGAGCCAGCATTATACATGCCAAATGGCCAAACCAGCCGTGAAAATCGCAAATAATAATAAGGGTCGCTCATAAATTTCTTCTTCCTTAATTGGCTTAGCTGAATTGGTGAGAATTGCAGATTCGCCGATTACGATTCCGAGGGCTCGTCTGGTGGATCCAAATGCTCCGCCGACCATCTTGGCTCCTCATCCCCCACCGCCGTCTTACGAACAAAGCGCTGTTATTGAGGAAACTAGAATTCGAAGGTGAAATCTTGATCGTGCTTGTTATACTTCGAAAAGGTCGAAAACCACTAAACAGAAAAAACAGAAGGTTTAGACGGAACTTTAGGAACTACAATGAGAATCAAACTCAATGGAAGAAAAAATTGAATTTCTTCTTTTTCACTTCAAAAATATTCTTCCAGCTGCAGCAACGCTCCACCAGCCTACAACGAAGTAGTCCGCGCAACGTGGATGGCGACTTTCTCCCCACCGCCTTTCTACCGACCTCCCAACGTCCACAGAGCCATCGAAGTTCCATTCTCTCCAACATCCCGTCGACTCGCTCGAGTGGCAACCACCAGACCGATATCAAGCGCTACAGTCTACACGACTCCGTCTACCGTCGCACCTCAACCGACGACGTCTCGCGAAGCTGAATCCGAACAACGACGGAGGCTTCGTTCCCGTTCTGCTGCCGGCTCTTCGCAATCTTCCATTACCATTTCTGCTCCACAAAGGTGAGCCGTAATTTATATATCCTTCAAAAATTCACAGGAAAATATTCAGTTCAAAATTTATGAGTCATGGTCCTGTCTTATTCATTCTTTCTAACCACATTGCCGAAGATGCAAAAGAAAAGATCAGGGTCAGAATTTGAATACAATCATAAGAAAAAGAAGAATCCAAGAAATTTCATATAATTGTAAATAGAAGGCAAAAGTTTACTAATATCACTTCCGAAAGTAGCGGTTTTGATTTGCGATCCCGAAAGAAATCACTATTCGGGGGTTCCTGTGAACGTTTTTTAACCAAATAAAGCCAAAAAAATTTTCAGATCTGCAAACACGTCACTAGCCCAAGTGATCATCGACTGTTCAAAGGCAGAGCCGAGCATGTTCCAGATCAGCACGGGAGAATCTGTTATATAGGGATCTGCCTTCCGATTGGGGCTTTCCTCCGGTGGACTGGCCATCTTCTTCTAATCATTCCTCAACCTAATCATCCGGTTTTTAAGCAGTACAGTGGTGGTTAATTTATGTGTGTTTTGTGATTTATAAGAACTCATATTGCCTGCCACTGTTGTCTACTCTTTAAACCTTAGTCCACTTCATGCAATGCCACTTCGGAAGGTGCTTTCTTCTCTGTTATCGACTTTTATTGTGAAACCCGGTACTGGTCTTTAAAACCGGTCTCATCTATTTATTGGGCTTGTCTAAGCTCTTTTACCCTTTTATGTTCTCAAAATTTTCCGCGAAGTATTTTGTCCACCATAAACATGTTCTAATCCTTAACTTATTTTTTCACGCCATCCCCGGTTATCACCATTATTTTTTTTTGCAAATGCATAGTAAAATTTGAACTTCATTGAGAAAGATGTCGTTACTTTTCCGCCAGTATTTACAATCAATCATAAGAAAAAAACAGTTTTTCAAAGACCACATGGGTCTTTAAACGCCAAGAATCTCAGCGAGGAGCCATCCGATTGAGCCGTCCGATTTTCTGCAGAGCACGTAACCTTGTTGCATTTCCAGTATCTGAACAACAGTTATTTAAATTGGGCTATTTGGTCACATGCTCTGATTTCGGATACCGATAAGTTCTTTCGACCCTCATGCTATGATACGACGAAATGATAAGAAAAATTACGAAAGACAAGTTACACGAGTTATGTTCTCAATAAGAAGCTTATTTCATCTCACATCGAACTTTAAAGATAGGAAGTTTACCTCGACGGGTTCCATTTGGACTACACTGATTTCGCCTTCTCGCTTTTTTTCGTAGTCGTACTTGACTCTTGCGGTCATGGGAGATGTCGTAGGAGCGGGCTCTGGTGGTTCTTCTGGAGCATTGAATAGGTTCCTTCTGAAAAAATAAAAACCTGGATATTTTCTCAGAGAAGTAATTTATCAAGTTTCATCATGAGAAAATTCACAGAGCTTATCAGTAGATTATCATTGATTCAAAAAGTTATTTGTTGATCAGTTGGAAGAACTTACACGTCTCCTCTCCTACGCGAACCATGAGGACCGGAAGACAGAGCAGGAGCTTCTTCTTCGTCAGGTCTATAAATTAGCTGTGATTGGAGTTTGGATAATGAAAAATCACATCGCATCCAAGCGTGGTCTTGAAGCATTTGGAAGTTCAAAGCCGAGCTGCTTGCTCATCATCTGACAGATAGGACAATCGGAAATGCCACGAAGACTTTTCATTGTGTCGAAATTTCGGTGATTCTCCAGATGTTTTTGGAAGGCCTTGTTTTGTTCAGCTGATATTGGCGCGGCTGTAAATGTTTGAGACGTCATTCTTTCGAACTTTATCATTTACGCCCTTTTTTTTTGTTTGTCCAAGCTTTTTCATAATGCATTCCATGATGACAGAAAAGATAATGAATGACCTTTTCATTGCGCAATAACTTTCTCCTAATGATGATCTGCCAGTCTATTTAAATTGAAGATTTGAAAACCCGTATTTTCTTTTGAAGATGAAGGGATCTCTCCACTAATTTTCATATTTCGGTACCACGAAGCCCTTTTCAAAATCGAAATCAGATACTTTGATCCAGAAACTTTGTTGATGGGTACACTGATCGAAATCGCCCACTTGTATCGGCAATTGCAACAAAGCGACGCCATGTTGTCGCCGCTCAACTCATTATCAATTGGAATTCGCCTTTACGACATTTCACTCACGAGCAAAAAGTCGGAATCATGTCACGGCGCGCTATGATCAAAGATTTTCGCCGAAATGACATTTCTTGGAGGAGATATGAATTAAACAATAAAATTTCCAAGTTGAGTGTGAAAAAAGATGATCATGCAAACAAAAGATCAAAAATGACAGAAAATCTTGCAAAGAGTTTTTAAAGAAGTAATCAATCGACTTTCTTATCGTCGACGACTATTCCAAGCAGTATTTACTAACTAGTTGATTTTTTTGTGGGAAAAAAATAGAAGTCACTGACTAAATTTTTTTGTTTATCATTTATTCTAATTATCATACGATCCTTTTTCACAGAGCCAAAGAAGGGTGGTTGTAAATTCAAAACTGTCAACGTGACAGCCTCAACTCGAAAAATGATTGACATTTTTGAACGGAAGTCAATAAAAAAATCATAATATTCAAGTGATAAAAAAAGATAAGGTCATATGAAATTTTAAGTTCTGAAAAAAACTTTGAAAGGCGGATTTTTGCCGAGTTTTCTTGGCAAAAGAACGATAATCAAAAAAACTTCAAAAATTAGTTTCTCATAGTCAAAAATTTAATCAGAACGGGTTGAAGAGACCTCAATGAAATTCCAAAACGTCCCAACAAAAAGGCAATATCTCTAACCTCCAGCGAAATCCGATTTGTAGACATTGCGTTCAATGCCCGGCAGGACAGCGACTCCGATGTTTCGGATGTGCGACCTTGTCGATCTTGCGTACATCGGCACGTCTTCTACGCGGTCTTCTTTGTATGAGTGTGTCTTGATCATGGGAGGCTGAAAACTGACAATGAATGATTGATATTTTTCAAATCTAAACCATTTCCTCAATCCTTGGTGATGAGATAAAGTTTTTCTTTGGAACCTGCGGAGGAGCTATCTCCCGTCTCTCTGGCTCGACGGGTTTGGGAATTACTTCTGGCTCTTCTCGAACTAATTTCGGCGTCTGGCGATTCAGCCTTGGTGGTAGTTTTGGAGGATACTTTTTCACCACGAACTCTTCAGGCTCTCTCTCAATAAAGTCTTGCTGATCGGAATACGCTTGTCTGCGGTATCCTTTGAGAGTTTGGTAGTAGTCTGGCGTAGGAACGAATGGATCTGGATTTGGAGCATTTGCGCCGTCATAGTCTGGCGGAGGAACGAAGTAAGGCGACGGCATGATCAGGGCGCTTTGGCGCGAGTAAATGTTTCGAGGGCGGACTGCGCCCCACCACTGTGATATCAAAACGATAAGCTGTGCGTATCACCTTTGCACCTTCCCTCAAGACAAAGGCTTGTTTTTTCCGGTTAAATTACATTTCAACACTGCGCAATAAAAGAAATCTTCGGAAACTGGCAGATGTAGCAATTACCACATTTATATTCTACATTTGGAGACTATAGAGCTTTACAGAAACGGTTCTATAAAAAGAATTCTACGAAGATACTAATGAGACCGGTACTTTTCTTGAAAATGCTATCCTTTGTCTTTATTTTAATTACGAAATATCAACTTTTTCATTTTGGTGAAAAAACGGCTAGTGAAATGGCTAGAATCAATCATACTTCTCCGTTCTTTTTCCCGAGTTTCCTATTTTTCATAAACCGGAAGATCTAATCAGAGCAATAATTTCAGATTGAGTCTTCTCACTTTTCTTAAGAACTATGGAGTATCGAACTTGAGCCATCTTCAACTACCAGAAAACTAAACTTAGTTGAAAATCGAGGCTTGGAGATTTGATGAAACTTCATTCCCATCAGAAAGCTCTCCCAGGCTCTAATCTTCGATTTTTTTTTTGAGTGAAAAGAATTGCGAACCTGAATTTTATAAATTGGAGTTTTATCATCCTTCGGGGCTCAAAAAAATAAACGAATCATTTCATGTTTCCAAATTTTTTTAGAATTTTGTATTTCCATGATAGGCATTCCCAGAAATTGTTGATTAAGAGTAACTTCGTTTCCGTTAAGATGAAATAACTTTTAGTCAACAATGAAAAATTTTGTTTCAAGTAAACATTATAATCTCATTTCTATTTCTCCATCGATCGGTTTTCATTTCCGCTCTCGTCTGAGACACTTGTGATTCATGTACAAGTTGTACGCTGTACTGTTCCTTTATGGAAAAGCAGTTATTCATGAAAACGATAAAATGTCGTCTAGTAGCATCTCAAGAAGGGCTGAATGATCTACGCGCCGTTCTTGATCAACGACGATTCCGAAAACTGACGATAATTTTTTTTTATGTCATGATTTGGCGGAGAAACTTCCTAAAGAATGAATGAATGTGTATAAATTTGTGTTTCTACGAAGAAAACATTTACAAGTCGCTTGTCTGCGCTCTTCATCATCCTGGAACTGTTTCTACTTTATCGTGTCAGGGCCCTTTTTTTGATGAATCAGCTGTATGAGAATGTCTTGAATCATTTTAATGTAATATTAATCTCCAGATTTTGTGCTCGGGAATGGTTCAAATGAATTTAATGAAAGTAAAAAAACACGGATTAATTTGACTTTCATTGGAAAAAAATCAACAATCATAAACTCCAAGAAAGTTAAAAAAAGTTTTCCAAGACTATAACTGCGCGCATAAAAAGGACAAGATGTGCGCGAATTAAACAATTGATGCAATTAAAATATATCACATTAATCCTTCTCCAAAAAAGCCACTTTTTTGAAATAAAAAAAAATAATTCTCAAAAAATAATTGCATTAAAATCAAACTTTAAACTATTATTGCCAAGGTGACTTTTTCCATGCATTGAAGGCAGTTTCTTTTTGATTTATAAATTATTGAAATATTCTGTGTGAAGTTGGAAAATTCCCTTGACAAAATTAAATAATTGCGCACTTTCTCAAGCTGAATCAGCTATGTCAGTATAACTTGAAACATCTTTGAAAAAACTTCTTGGGACTTTTTTCCATTGAAGTACATGTTTGAGACTAATTGAGAACGGAAGTTTTATTATTTGCAATGGCAATTACTGTTAGCGCCGCGGCTGGCGACCAATTTAGAGTGGAAAAAAGTGTGTCTCCGGGGCAACGCCGCCCTGCGAAGATATCCGCTGGACGCCCGCTGCCCTCAGTCTTAGCACTATTTTATTGCCTCATTTCGCCAACTTTTCCGTTTTAATTTAGAGAGGGATGAAATTTGACAGCTGCTCGTATTTTTTTCGTAATGAGAAAATAAAAATTAATTGTGCTTCCCTTCTCAATAAAACTATGAATAGTCAGTTTGCGTATTTTGAATATTTTTCGCAAAATCGAAATAGTTTTTGAGTTCTACACAACTCATTTGCTTTGTCATTTCATGAAAAATAGTCGTTGAACCTTATTTTATATATTCATCAAACTCCTTCAAGTTTCAAGCTTTAAAAGTAAAAAAAAATGTTTTAGTTTTTTTTACGGTATTCTCCGCGGTTGATATTTTTGACTCATTTGTTTTTCTCTTTTTAATAAAAATTTGCTGGAGCCTAAAAAATGCCGGAAAATCATACAAGGCAATATAAAACATATGTTTCATTGCTAACAGCAAAAATTGATCAACAGTTGCTTCAAACCGGTTTACTCGTAGTATTCAGGGAATTAATACGCTGGAAGCAGAATTGATTCACATTCAAATCCTGAGATTCCATTAATCTTCGTAAATTTGTTATTTTTCACAAAATCGAAAAAAACTCTCAAGGAAAGTTTACAGGGGTATGCCACGGTCTCGAACAAGATCTACAGATCGAGATGGTGAGTTTTTATTTCTCATTTATTTTTCTCGTATTTTCATTTTCCAAAAGACCTTTTTTCGACTTGAAAAATCGGCCTCCAAGTTTGGAAAGTTTAAAAAATTTTTTTTTTCCTAGAAAGTCACTCTTGCTTTTCAGGCATATTACCTCCAGCTATACCAGAAGCGACAAGAAATAGAGTAGAAGCCTTGAGACAGGTAACTTACCTATTCAATTTAGAGTTGTGAAAGTTTTGAATCTTTCAGGTCTATGGAAGGCCTACTACCGCACACAGAAATTCTCGTCCAACTACTTCTTCGTTCAGTGGTTTTCTGCTTTCTATTTTCCATGTTCATTTCCAAACTTCAAGATGACCAAATTCTGCCAGAATTCATAAGCAAAAGCTTGGCGCTCCTCAATCACCGAGCTGGCGATGGGCTGAAACGGGCAAAGTCGGCAACTCGTACAGTTACCAGAGCCTCGACGACTTATGGACGATCGGCTAGTCAAGAAAGAATGGAAGATCTTCGACAAGAACTGTTTGAAGCCAAAAAGGTGTTGTCTTCAGAAATTCAAAAAAAAGAAGAAATAGTTGCTACTTTTGATTTCGACAGCTGTGGGGGGACGTAGAATGGCAAGACACTTTGTGGTTCCTTTGGAATCAAAATACAGGGAATATAATGTTCTAAGAATTGCGTCGAGATTTTAGCCTATACTAATTTCAGCACAACTCCAAATTAGCGATCGATAAGAAGAAGTTGCAAACGCATTTGCAAAAGCTGACAAGAGAGTCCGAGCGGAGAGAGCAGCACCTGCAGCGCCTAATTAGTGGAAAGGTAATTTTCGCTCTGTTTTGGCTGATACTCACCTGATTGCAGTTTCAACCGGCAGAGGTTAACGACACTCAAATGGCGCATACTCTCACGATACTGAGAAGAAGCGAGATGGGAAAAGAACAAGTCATCAAACTACAGGCGCAAGAACTCGAGTACTTTTTTCAGCTCTTTTTTCACTAATTTATATAATTGCAGGTTTCTTAGAAAACAACTTGCAAAAGTTACCAATGGTGAATTTGACGGTTCTGCTCCGAGAAAATCTCAAAAAAAGAGTCACGAAAAACAAATATCCGAAACGGGAAGCGGCAGTACAACAGCAACAAGTGAACGAGGAAAACGGCCGACTACGTCGAAAAATCGAATCCATTTTGAAGACCAAAAAAATACAAAGAGTGAAACACAAGCCAGAAACAAACGCAGAATAGAGTAAGTTCAAAGTTCATTCACTTTGTTTCAGAAGAGCTTTTTTACTGAATCTTTTGTCAAGTAATCCTCTTTCCTATATTAAAATCGAGTTTTCAGACTGGCTAAAGCATACGCTGATCAAAACGCGAAATTGAAAGAACGACTCAAAGACTTGAAAAAAGCTTATGACGAAGCATCCAACATTAGCAAAGAGCGGCAGGATCAGCAATCAAAAGCTCACAGTTCACAAACTGCTCAGCAAGGTGACCAAACTATTGCGAAATCTATTTCATGTTAGAAATTGAAGAAGAAGATTTTCAAATGAAGCTGAAAAAAGCGATTGAAAAAATAAAAGCTGAAAGAGAAGAGACCGAGGGAGCTTTGAACGAAGAAATACGGGAAATGCATCAGCAGCTGGGTCTTGCCTACACGGAAATAGACAACTTACGGTGAGTTCCCATTCTCTACATCCTTCATCACGATTTTTTAGACTGGAAAATAATCATTTGCAAGAGATAATAAAAGAGTTGGAGAGCAGACTCAAACAATCTCAAACAGTTGCCGCTTCGTCACCCGCGCGTATTGAGTAAGCTTCTTATTTCACCCTTTTATCGTGAGAGATAAAACTGTCATTTCTCAGAATCCCCAAACTAGATATGACTCAAATGGACGCTCCCGAGTCTGTTAGAGTTTCAGTGAAGCCTGGAAGCCAAGAGAAGAAAAACGGAGAAGAAAAACTGGTATCTGCTGTTTAGAAATTTTCAAGTTTGGAATCTCTATTTCGCAGTTCGAGCCGGAGGTTCTTGCTATGGTCGTTGCGGAGATTGGAGGAGCTCATGTAGAACGGCTGATCTTGTTGGAGAAAGAAGGCCTGCGAAGTGTTTAATTGAGAAATATTCTATAATGGTTGTTTTTTTATGTAGGATGCGATTTATTTACAACTATTTCTTTCATTTCGAATTGTTATATTTTCTCTCATTTCACTTTATTTTTTTCATATGATTCTTCAAAGATTCGATCGAAAAGTTTTAGGAATTCTTCTGCATTCAATAAGTTGAAAAAAACACCGCACACTTTTTTTTTTATTCTCATTTGCTCACCGTAAATCACCCAAACGACCTGATTCTGAGTTCAGTTTAATATTTCTGATCTTTCATTTTTTGAAGCGTTTGCTTGCACTTTTCTTTCACTGCCCTTTGTGATATGTCAACTGCGGGAACACATTTTTGAAACATGCATATCTTGTGGAGACGCATACCAAATGGTCGAATAAACGTTATTTCCGTCCCAACCACGGCCACGCCGAAGTTGAACATTCCGAGAAGGCCGAAGCTGAAGAACAACATCACGAAGTTTCGGCTCAGCCAGTAGAAAGCTCCGAGCTGAACACTGGCTCTGCTGAACCTCATGAGGACCACGACCACGCCGAATTTTCAGATAAGATCATTAACAGCTAAAAAACGCTTCAGTTTTTTCTAAAAAGCACACTTTTTTCATTCAATTTCCATGAATTTTGTTTTTTATGTCCTCTTGCTGATTCTTCATAAAGAAAGGTACAGAGAAGACATTTATTTTTCAGAAAACAATGGTTCAAAAAAAGCCACAAATGAAAAATGAAGTACACAGATCTCTTCATTTCTTTGAATCATCACTCATGTCAAATTTTTTATCGAATTCGGTTCACCGCGCAGTTTTCAAAACTTTGAAAAGTTTGAATTTAAATTGGTGACCTTTATTCCCTCTTCTGAGAAAGTTCAGAAGAGTAAGTGCACATAACAACAAAGAAAAATCTTTTTTGAGTTCTAGGTCTTAAGAAATCTAGCACGTAATTTGAAGGTTATCTTATGGTAACAGTTTATTATGTCAAGTTTCTTTTCGGTTCGTTAATCGATTCTAACCTTTTAAAACTGCCTTAAAAAAACTCTGACTCTTTGGAAAAATTTTTCATTTTGATGATTTCGCAAAGGTTCTCTATTTTTTGCAAAGTAACCGGAAAATTTTTGAGTTGCCAATTGCATCGTTTTGTTTGCCATTGTTCAAAAAACGTAGAATTACTGATAATTAATCCGCTTGTCTTATCTAATAATTTCTCAAGTCATGAAGCAGTTTCTTAATTGTCTTGCAGCGGTTTTAGTTTGAAAAACCTCTTTCTATTTCATTTTCTTTACATTAATTTTCAAAAATAACTTTTTTTGCAGCCATGCTCAAATGGGCAGCGCTATTTTTTTGGCGAGCTCGGCGAAGTCTCTAGAGCTCGGAAACGCCCTTCAACAAAGTAAGTTGACTAAAATGAACTTGATTCCCAGCTGATCTACAAAGTCAAAAGAACTTTTTTCAGTTCGTGAAAAGCACATTTTCTATAGCGCGAGAGAATTAAAGCCAGTTTCCGAAAGGCACGTCCCGGATTTCCCGCCAAATTCCTACAATAATATGTATTTTGCCGTTCTAGCGCACCTCTTCGCCCATCCTCAATTTTCTACATTTTCAGCCATTTTAAGGCTTATTTTTAACATAAACAAGTCTTAACTCTTCGAAAAATATGTAATTTTAAACAATTTTCAAAAATGGGGAAATGGTCGAAATGATCGAGAAAAAAATGCGCTAGAACGGTGAATAAAAAAAGCTAAATAAATGATCTTTTCAGAAAAACCTCAAACCTCTGACAAATTATGATTCGATGAAGCCCTGAAGCCTTGACCAACTTTATTAGATATGTTTTTTTATTCACAAACTATTAGGGTGGCAGGAAAGAAATGCGTGTTTTTGATGTCATTTAATTTTATCATAAAAACAAGGTTATTACAAATCAATTCGAAATGTAATTTCTATCTGTATTAGCACCTTGTCAACAATGCTCACGCAGAGAATGGATACTCTCTCTGACAGACTAGACCGCCTACGAGTCAAAGAAGTTGCACCCCAAAATTTGGACTTCATCGGAGTTTTTCAATTTTTTTGGCTGTTTAGCGATCCAATGATTCGGACAGATGATAAATGCGAAGAGCCATGTCTGAGCAATGTAGCGGAAAAGGCAGAAATTTGCAGAACAATTTTTCTAATTTTGGGCAAACACATTTTCGCAAAAAAACAAAAAAGCGATATTGTGAAGCCATTTTTCATTTCTCATTTTTTGCACTCCGTTGCGTAAAAAAACTGTTTTCTTTTGCAGCTATGGGTGTGTAATAACTGATGAGCCAGTTTCACAGGCGTCTGTTGCGGATTCAGTCTAATGGCATTTTAAAATCGCCTTTATCGTCGATTTTTTCGTGTTTTTTGATTTCAAAGGTCTGTTCGCCTAGTGAATAGCGCTAAAGCAATTCAAAATGTTAACTATCAGAAAAAAACATCAATGGTGATCATAATATTGAAAGGTGCCAAACTTCTGAATTTGATTTGTACTTTTTGAAATAACGCGAAAACTAGGTCCGCAAATATAGTTTTTAAAAGAAAGTTTTCAGAGCTATTTTTCTTATAGAAAGGCGGAATGAAAGTCAGTAAACTATATATCCAATGACGCACAAGGACAAGCCTTTTTTGACAAAAAATACCGTTCTAAATAATATTGCTTCTTGGATGAATTAGAAGCCGACAAAAACGAGCCGCATTTCTTTCATGCCACCCTGATAATTCATCAATTTTTAGATAAAAAATGAATCGGAAAGAAATCCAGTCTTGGTCACAATGTGTCAATTGCTCTACGCTTCGCTTTCGGGCCTCCAGGTTCTTTTTCTCGATGGACCTTGATAATTCCCTGTTGTACTTGCCACATCTAAAAAATAATATATGTGAATTTTAACAATAATATTATTTATTTACAAGCAGAACAAAATAACATGTACAGAAAAAAAAGCGAAAAAATTGGCATTAAGCCTGAAATAAATAAATAAAAGGCACTTGAGGCCCTCACGAGCCTTTGAGCCAGTTATGAAAGAATAAGAGGTGAGGATCGCACAAAGTTAAAAAAAAAGTTAATAGAAAAGAATGCATTATAAGTTATGACACAGTGTAGCACAAGTAAAGGAGACTTAATTGATTGTAATGATATAATGATGTAGACAAGCTCTTAATGGTTCAGAGTGGGGATAAAACACGGGTACCTGGTTTAACGGAGTCTGTTGGGAATAGATCCAAAAGGAAATTATTATCGAGGGATCGTAAGAAAGACCTGAAACGATTTGGAGAAACATTCCTAGTGTAGCCAGTTTATTCCATAGAAGAATGAACGTCTCAACGGAATTTTTGAAACGTATCCCTACTCTGGTAAGACGTGATGGAGCACGTACTGAATTTGATCTCCTGAAAACACTGTGAGAAACTGGCGAATGGCTCTCCTTAATATATTTCAAACAATTTTCAAAATGGGGAAATGGTCGAAAAGTGCGTTATAAAAAAATATGGTCGAAATGGTCGAGAAAAATGCGCTAGAACGGTGAATAAAAAAAAGCTAAATAAATGACCTTTTCAGAAAACCTTAAACCTCTGACAAATTATGATTCGATGAAGCCCTAAAAACCTTGAACAACTTTAACAGATATGTTTTTTTAATCACAAACTAATTCCTCAATTTTCAGATAAAAAATGAATCGGAAAGAAATCCAGTCTTGGTCACAATGTGTCAATTGCTCTACGCTTCGCTTTCGGGCCTCCAGGTTCTCTTTCTCGCCGAACCTTGATAATTCCCTGTTGTACTTGCCACATCTAAAAAATAATATATGTGAATTTATACACTGCGCGTCATAGTTATAGACGCACCCCTATTTTTGCCGTTTTCGAAAGATACGTTGAACTTGTTGCAATCAAACCTAATTTATGATGGGCCTTAGATCAAATAACTAACCTTGAAGAGAGAACTACAAAAGAATCAGTACAAAAAATTTTCGAAATTCGTCAAAAATAGTTTTTTGACCGGGTCATAATTATTGACACACCCTGGGTCAGGGCTCATTTTTTAATTTTCTTGGAGTTTTCGCCTTTCTTTTTAATTTCAAATTAAAACTAAAATGTAGAAAGCCACAGCATTTTTAAGTAACTTTGAATCAAGCAATTTTATTTACAAACCATGCGAAAAAGCGAAAAAAATCGAAAAATTTCAGAAAAAAATGGTCTCTTCTGGAAATATCAGATAATTTATATCGGAGTTTGCGCTTTAAATTTTCAGATGATGATGTTTTGAACAATAACTGAAAAGTTCGAGAGGAAAAGAATGCTTCTGCGGTACGAAAAAAATATCTTTTAATTAGGTGGATTCACTGTTCATAGGAAACCTGGCGTTGAACCGACCTCTCCCGCCAATAAAAAAATTTTTACATAGGGTTTTTTTGATAGCAAAAGTGTTCAGAAAGGGTTTTAAATATTTCAAATACTTTTCGACCATCTGGAAAAAGTCTGTTTTCTTTTCCGGAACCGTTTTCCAAAACAGAAAAAAAAGCAAAACTTTGCTCGTTTGGAGATTCATCAACTCTCATTAGTTTTATGTTTCCAATGTATGGGAAAACAGTCTATAATCAAATTAACGCTAGCTTCGCGTGAGGTTAACATTGTGTTGACCGAGAAAAGAAATGGTCAGAGCAAAAAGGAATTTTTAAAAAAGTCTTCGATTTGCATGAACAAGAAGTTTCCTTTTTTTTTCTATTAGCACGGAATGAACCAATACCAGTAAGGACAATCAGCTTCAAACTTTCAAAGTGAAACTCAGGACGTTTCTGCTATCAGAAAATTTTATGTAAAAACTTTTATTGGCGGGAGAGGTCGGTTCAACAAACGCCAGGTTTCCTATGAACAGTGAATCCACCTAATTAAAAGATATTTTTCGTACCGCAGAAGCATTTTTTCCTCTCGAACTTTTCAGTTATCGTTCAAAACAACATCATTTGAAAATTTAATGCCCAAACTCCAATATAAATTATCTGATATTTCCAGAAGAGACCATTTTTTTCTGAAATTTTCGATTTTTTTCGCTTTTCGCATGGTTTGTAAATAAAATTGCTTGATTCAAAGTTACTTAAAATGCTGTGGCTTCCTACATTTTAGTTTTGATTTAAAATTAAAAAGAAAGGCGAGAACTCCAAGAAAATTAAAAAATGAGCCCTGATCCAGGGTGCGTCTATAATTATGACCCGGTCAAAAAACTATTTTTGACGGATTTCGAAAATTTTTTGATCCGAGTCTTTTGTAGTTCTCTTTCCAATGTTAGGCATTTGATCTAAGGCCCATCATAAATTAGGTTTGATAGCAACAAGTTCAACTTATCTTTCGAAAACTGCAAAAATAGGGGTGCGTCTATAACTATGACGCGCAGTGTAGGTTTTAAAATAACTTACTCTGAATGCTTCTATTATTATGTGTCCGGGTGTAATCCAGGTATCGGCCGGACTGCCAGATGCGTCACGAAGCTCCTTTTCTATAGTATCACAATCATATTCTTGTCCGAGCAAAGGATCAGTCGTTGTTGACGAGACCATGATCCCGATCAGAGATCGGTCTTCCGCGTAACACGGGCCGCCAGAATCTCCTCCGTCAATGGAAGCACTTGCCAGCATTCGTCCTCGATGGTCAGCTACAACCGAGCAGATTCGGCCGGAGCGATGCGTTACTTGTTGTCCTTCATGGTTTTTGTAACTCAAATCAAAGCCGAGAAACCTTTCAAAGTCTCGTGGGGGACGACTAGAAAAAGCATAGTCGTCGAAGATTTCGCAATCGATAATAGAATGCAAAATTACGAAGTCGTGGTGTGCATCAATAACAATCACCTACAAAATATTGGATCGATTATAAAATAAACTTCTTTTGAGAAACCTTCATGTTGTGTCGGTTGCTTGGATTGTCGCACTGACGAATTTCCACAATTGCATGTTCATTTTCTTGCAAATTCCCTCCTTCATTAAAAACTCGAAGCAGTCTGTGCGATCGGTGTGCGTATGTGACTGCCGCTCTTGGTGAGATTGGTGATACAACGCCGCCTTCGATCTCATTTTCATTTTCAGAAGGCTTTTCTGGATTATCAAAAGCCTTCTGTGCTTTAGGAATAAAGAACAGACGGTTTCGAAGCTCCATAGCCAATCTTTCTGAAAACCAGCAATAATTTGTTAAACTATTTGAAATATGATACCATCCAGGATCCGCGGAGATTCCGATCGGTTTTGGTGGTGCTCGTCAGAACTTCCTAAAATGCATATTAAGTAAAATCTCAATTGTTGTATGAAACATAGAAATTAAATATGGTTAATGAAAGAAATTGTTCAATCGTAAATTATAAAAACCTTTTAATGATGATGCTGGTCTCGATGGTATTCTGTTTGCCTCGAGGTAATAATCATCGTGATGATCGGTAGGGAGAAAAAACAAATTGCCTACAGTGTTCATCCTGAAACAATTGAAACAAATCAGAAACAATTCACATGTGACTTACTCGCAAAATATCAGTAAGCCATTAAGTTTATAAGACAACGAAACGATCGTTTCTGCAGAGAGCAAAAAAGCCGCAAGTATGGAAGACTTGGAAATCGAATTCTGAGCCAGCGCCATATTAACTTCTTTGTCCAGAAATCGAATGCGAATTAGTCTAGCCATAATCAGATATTGTCTGAAAACAAAGAATTAGTTATTCTTCAATATTTTTTGAAAGAAAGTGTTTTAAATGAGCTAGTTGAATATTAGGGAAGTAAGAAAAGCAGTTAACAAACTCAAAGTTAAGGAGAAAATAACAATGATAACCACGGATGGGAAATCACGAAATCAACGCGAACTATAAAAGAAAAAGAAGTCTCTTTTCTATTCACAAAAGTTAAAGGCATAGGGGCAGTAAAAAATGGGGTTTCAGGTGAAAGCACTATCTTATACAGTTTTTCTTTGCGAATCGAATGGTGTACTCAAAAAAATTACAGATATGAAAACTTTAAAAGAAAAACGCGATTTTACTTTCCCGCCTTTAATTTTGAAAAAAGCTTTGGATCGGTATGCAGGCAACTGATTACAGTAGCCGTGAACGCGATGTTGCGGACGTCTCATTAGACTCGCATTTTAGGAGAAATAACCGGATTTCTGCTTCAAATCAAGAGTTTCTACTCTAAAAAATCGATTAAGAAAACAAAAAACACACACCGATAATAAAGAAAACACAAAATATCGATATCCCAATCGAAACCTGTGTAAAATCATCATTTTTCACCAGAAAAGCATTTTTGCGATCAAAGTTTGCAATCTATACATGAATAGAAAGCTTTTGTGACGAAAAGAGCTTTGGTGACAACAGAAAAAATTGAAATTATAAAGAAATGAAAAAGCGAAAATCCGGAAGATGGCGAAGCCTGTTGTCCATAGAGCAACTTTACTGCAAAGCGCCCTTTTCGCGGGAACTCAAACTTTCCTCTCTCCGACTTTGAATTACTTTTTCTCCAAAACTAGGAATTTCGGTACGTTCTCAAGTTCACCGTTCGATTCGCAATGAGAAACTTTACAAATAACTGCTTTGAACTAAAACACCGGTTTTTACTGCCCCTATGCCTTTAATGGAGGGAAGAGTGCGATGTTGGCAGTTTCTCACCTTCCTCTGCGTCTCTGGTCACGCGTCTCTGCCTTCCACTCTAGCCCAACGTGTTTGCGTGTTGCGTCGCGTGCGTCTAGTTCAACTGGGGCAAATGTGTGATTGCGCTCGGTCACAGTGAGGAAGAGGAAGGAAGGTCACACAAAGAGAAAGAGAAATTGGCAGGGTGAAGTTGTCACAAATTTAAAGAACTGAAGGAGAAAGAGAGAGTGGTCAATCTGTAAGATCTAGAACTCGACGAGTTCGGTCACACTCTAAACTTCTCGAAGGTACTGGCAAACGAACGTACGACATTATCAGACCTGTCATTAGCCGGACTTTTCATCCGTTTCCGCTTTGCACGACGGGGACGTTACAGGTGGGGCAAAGCATTTTTTTGTTTTTTTTGTAAGTATTAATTAAATACTCTTTGAAATATCTATATACATTTTTGCTTATGCAAGTTATTATTTTTAAAAAGCCTAAAGAAGCGGCTCGGATTATGTATTAAGGTTAAATTTTTGATTTAATATCTTTATTTTTTTATAAAAAAATGAAGATGAAGAAAAAAACATTTTTTTCGTTTTTTTCAAATACTCATAGAAATATTTACATAAATGTTTGCTTATGCATTTTTTTATTGGAAAAATCATTATTTACAAAAAAAGCCTAAATAAGTGGCTAGGACTGTCATAAGCTACGGCAAGTCTTTGTCAATGTCATAAAGTTCGAGGGCCGCTTTTTTTTTCGTTTTCTAATGTATGCCATGTTACGCTCACCTTGCCCAGAGTTTTGGCTTGTTTCAAATCTATCAGATCCGCTTCGATTGATTGCAAGTAGGATTGCAACTTGTGGAGAAGAACAAAGAAGCCTGGCTTTTTCACGTTCAGGAACGACTTAAGACGATTGTAAGAGCCCTCAACGCTGTTGTTGGTTCGCGGATGGCCAAGAAGAGTTCTCTGGTTCAAGTTCCACACCTCCGGTCTGAACAAAGGACAACGACGACGTCCTCGAGTCGGTTCACCTATGTAGATATTCTCGAAGTACTCAAGAAGAGGTTGAAGCGCAGGCGCCCGATTTTCAAATTTGGCTTTCACGTCAGGTGACCAAACTATTGCGAAATCCATTTCATGTTAGAAATTGAAGAAGAAGATTTTCAAATGAAGCTGAAAAAAGCAGTTGAAAAAATAAAAGCTGAAAGAGAAGAGACCGAGGGAGCTTTGAACGAAGAAATACGGGAAATGCATCAGCAGCTGGGTCTTGCCTACACGGAAATAGACAACTTACGGTGAGTTCCCATTCTCTACATCCTTCATCACGATTTTTTAGACTGGAAAATAATCATTTGCAAGAGATAATAAAAGAGTTGGAGAGCAGACTCAAACAATCTCAAACAGTTGCCGCTTCGTCACCCGCGCGTATTGAGTAAGCTTCTTATTTCACCCTTTTATCGTGAGAGATAAAACTGTCATTTCTCAGAATCCCCAAACTAGATATGACTCAAATGGACGCTCCCGAGTCTGTTAGAGTTTCAGTGAAGCCTGGAAGCCAAGAGAAGAAAAACGGAGAAGAAAAACTGGTATCTGCTGTTTAGAAATTTTCAAGTTTGGAATCTCTATTTCGCAGTTCGAGCCGGAGGTTCTTGCTATGGTCGTTGCGGAGATTGGAGGAGCTCATGTAGAACGGCTGATCTTGTTGGAGAAAGAAGGCCTGCGAAGTGTTTAATTGAGAAATATTCTATACTGGTTGTTTCTATGTAGGATGCGATTTATTTACAACTGTTTCTTTCATTTCGAATTGTTATATTTTCTCTCATTTCACTTTATTATCTATATGATTTTTCAAAGATTCGATCGAAAAATTTAGGAATTCTTCGGCATTCAATAAGTTGAAAAAAACACCGCATACTTCTTTCTTATTCTCATTTACTCACCCTAAATCATTGAAACGACCTGATTCTGAGTTCAGTTTAATATTTCTGATCTTTCATTTTTTGAAGCGTTTGCTTGCACTTTTCTTTCACTGCCCTTTGTGATATGTCAACTGCGGGAACACATTTTTGAAACATGCATATCTTGTGGAGACGCATACCAAATGGTCGAATAAACGTTATTTCTGTCCCAATCTGTCATCGGTTAACGACTTGCACAGGGCAAAAAAATGCCAAAGTGGGAGGACGTAAGCAAAAAATCCATCGATAAGAGTTTCTTCGATAAAGAAAAGTTAGTCAGCTGCATTTGCATTCTTTTCGCACTTTTTTTTAGTTTACCAAAAAATCTTACTGTTACTTTTTCAGACACTGATTCAACTTATGCAATGAAAAAACCGTCAGAAGTGTCGCTCTCTTGGTGAGTTTACAGACTGACTTCTCCGGAAGAATTGAAAAAATAAAGTTTTGACGATCATGATGAAAAATACCTTGAACTTTTGATTAATGTTGAATTAGACTGTGACATAAAATAATGTACTTTTCAACTGGGATTTTGATTACTCCAAAATGTTTCAGCCGAGTGAAGACCACAGTGAGATTTGGGCCCAGCCATCGGTCAGCGGAAGATATCAAATCGAACGAAAAACAAGGTTTCTTTTCCAGCAGAATTAGAAAAAAAAATTTATCATACTAATCAGAGGGTTCGATGTTTTAATAAACTTCTCTGTATTTCTAAACATTTTTCAAAAAGCAGCCAGTAAGTTGTTGGAAGTTTTTTTATTTGATGAAAAAAATTCCGACTTTTTTTCAAAAAAATCTGCCAACTAGACAACTTATCGTTCTGACTAAGAAGCCTTTTGAGATGTTATAAGATTGAAAGAAACGTTATCAGTCATTAGCCCACGAGTGCCACGTGATGCGTGACAACGTAAAATAAATATTTCATGAACGTTATCACGATTATTTTAGATTCGAACGACGACCCGTCGGGAGAAAATGTGAGCTCACATCGCCGTTCGCATGCAAACAACAGAGACAAGAGCACTCAAGTTACACCTGAAGACTTACAGCCTTCTGACGAGGACTTCGGCCGCAAATCTTCTAATTTATATTTGAAATCAGTGTTCAGAAGTCTAAACTTCACATATACCACTAGACAAACGATCGAATATGAGAACTATTGGAAAGAAATGAACGACATAGCGATGGGCACGAAAAAACCCAATATTTCTACTCGCAATGAAATCAAAATTATAACTCCCAGAGATAAAACGACTGCTAAACACAGTAGCACATTTGATATCGCTCAGAAAACCTCGTCTGATCATCAACGAAAATCTGAAAACGTTGGAGCGAACCCGCATACACCATCAAAAAATGCGAACAAAGAACTTTTTCACGTTGAGCACGCAGGTCTTCACGAGCGCCCGGAACGGTACAAAACTTCGACTCAGTCAGAAGAAAGCTTCGTATTGACCACCGGTTCTGCTGAACATCATGAGGACCAAAATCACGCCGAAATTGACCATTCCGAGAAGGCCGAAGCTGAAGAAGAACATCATGAAGTTTCGGCTCAGCCAGCAGAAAGCTCTGTGCTGAACACTGGCTCTGATGAACCTCACGAGGACCACGACCACGCCGAAGTTGACCATTCCGAGAAGGCCGGAGCTGAAGAAGAACATCACGAAGTTTCGGCTCAGCCAGCAGAAAGCTCCGTGCTGAACACTGGCTCTGATGAACCTCATGCGGACCATGGACACGCCGAGAATGATCATTCCGAGAAGGCCGAAGCTGAAGAACAACATCACGGATTTTCGGCTCAGCCAGCAGAAAGCTCCGTGCTGAACACTGGCTCTGATGAACCTCATGAGGACCACGATCACGCCGAAGTTGACCATTCCGAGAAGGCCGGAGCTGAAGAAGAACATCATGAAGTTCCAGTTCAGCCAGCAGAAAGCTCTGTGCTGAACACTCGTTCTGCTGAACCCCATGAGGACCACGACCACGCCGAAGTGGACCATTCCGAGAAGGCCGAAGCTGAAAAAGAACATTATGAAGTTTCGGCTCAGCCAGCAGAAAGCTCCTTGCCGAACACTGGCTCTGATGAACCTCACGAGGACCACGACCACGCCGAAGTTGAACAATCCGAGAAGGCCGAAGCTGAAGAAGAACATCACGAAGTTTCGGCTCAGCCAGCAGAAAGCTCCGTGCTGAACACTGGCTCTGATGAACCTCATGAGGACCACGATCACGCCGAAGTTGACCATTCCGAGAAGGCCGGAGCTGAAGAACAACATCACGAAGTTTCGGCTCAGCCAGCAGAAAGCTCCGTGCTGAACACTGGCTCAGATGAACCTCATGCGGACCACGACCACGCCGAAGGTGACCATTCCATGAAGGCCGAAGCTGAAGAAGAACATCATGAAGTTTCGGCTCAGCCAGCAGAAAGCTCTATGCCGATCACTGGCTCTGATGAACCTCAGGAGGACCGCGACCACGCCGAAGTTGAACATTCTGAGAAGGTCGAAGCTGAGAAAGAACATCACGAAGTTTCGGCTGAGCCAGCAGAAACCTCCTTGCCGAACACTGGCTCTGATGAACCTCACGAGGACCGCGACCACGCCGAAGTTGAACATTCCGAGAAGGTCGAAGCTGAAAAAGAACATCACGAAGTTTCGGCTCAGCCAGCAGAAAGCTCCGTGCTGAACACTGGCTCAGATGAACCTCATGCGGACCATGGACACGCCGAGAATGATCATTCCGAGAAGGCCGGAGCTGAAGAACAACATCATGAAGTTTCGGTTCAGCCAGCAGAAAGCTCCGTGCTGAACACTGGCTCTGATGAACCTCACGAGGACCACGACCACGCCGAAGTTGAACATTCCGAGAAGGCCGAAGCTGAAGAAGAACATCACGAAGTTTCGGCTCAGCCAGCAGAAAGCTCTGTGCTGAACACAGGTTCTGATGAACCTCATGCGGACCATGAACACGCCGAGAATGATCATTCCGAGAAGGCCGGAGCTGAAGAAGAACATCACGAAGTTTCGGCTCAGCCAGCAGAAAGCTCCGTGCTGAACACTGGCTCTGATGAACCTCACGAGGACCACGACCACGCCGAAGTTGAACATTCCGAGAAGGCCGAAGCTGAAGAAGAACATCACGAAGTTTCGGCTCAGCCAGCAGAAAGCTCTGTGCTGAACACAGGTTCTGATGAACCTCATGCGGACCATGAACACGCCGAGAATGATCATTCCGAGAAGGCCGGAGCTGAAGAAGAACATCATGAAGTTTCGGCTCAGCCAGCAGAAAGCTCCTTGCCGATCACTGGCTCTGATGAACCTCAGGAGGACCGCGACCACGCCGAAGTTGAACATTCCGAGAAGGTCGAAGCTGAAAAAGAACATCACGAAGTTTCGGCTCAGCCAGCAGAAAGCTCCGTGCTGAACACTGGCTCTGATGAACCTCATGAGGACCATGATCACGCTGAAAATGACCATTCCGAGAAGGCCGAAGCTGAAGAAGAACATCATGAAGTTTCGGCTCAGCGAGCAGAAAGCTCCGTGCTGAACACTGGCTCTGATGAACCTCATGAGGACCATGATCACGCTGAAAATGACCATTCCGAGAAGGCCGAAGCTGAAGAAGAACATCATGAAGTTTCGGCTCAGCGAGCAGAAAGCTCCGTGCTGAACACTGGCTCTGATGAACCTCATGAGGACCATGACCACGCCGAGAATGTTCATTCCGAGAAGGCCGGAGCTGAAAAAGAACAACACGAAGTTTCGGCTCAGCCAGCAGAAAGCTCCGTGCTGAACACTGGCTCAGATGAACCTCATGCGGACCATGGACACGCCGAGAATGATCATTCCGAGAAGGCCGGAGCTGAAGAAGAACATCACGAAGTTTCGGCTCAGCCAGCAGAAAGCTCCGTGCTGAACACTGGCTCTGATGAACCTCATGAGGACCACGATCACGCCGAAGTTGACCATTCCGAGAAGGCCGGAGCTGAAGAAGAACATCACGAAGTTTCGGCTCAGCCAGCAGAAAGCTCCGTGCTGAACACTGGCTCTGATGAACCTCATGAGGACCACGATCACGCCGAAGTTGACCATTCCGAGAAGGCCGGAGCTGAAGAACAACATCATGAAGTTTCGGTTCAGCCAGCAGAAAAGCTCCGTGCTGAACACAGGTTCTGATGAACCTCATGCGGACCATGAACACGCCGAGAATGATCATTCCGAGAAGGCCGGAGCTGAAGAAGAACATCACGAAGTTTCGGCTCAGCCAGCAGAAAGCTCCGTGATGAACACTGGCTCTGATGAACCTCATGAGGACCACGATCACGCCGAAGTTGACCATTCCGAGAAGGCCGGAGCTGAAGAACAACATCATGAAGTTTCGGTTCAGCCAGCAGAAAGCTCCGTGCTGAACACTGGCTCTGATGATCCTCATGAGGACCACGATCACGCCGAAGTTGACCATTCCGAGAAGGTCGGAGCTGAAGAACAACATCACGAAGTTTCGGCTCAGCCAGCAGAAAGCTCCGTGCTGAACACTGGCTCAGATGAACCTCATGCGGACCACGACCACGCCGAAGTTGACCATTCCATGAAGGCCGAAGCTGAAGAAGAACATCATGAAGTTTCGGCTCAGCCAGCAGAAAGCTCCTTGCCGATCACTGGCTCTGATGAACCTCAGGAGGACCGCGACCACGCCGAAGTTGAACATTCCGAGAAGGTCGAAGCTGAGAAAGAACATCACGAAGTTTCGGCTGAGCCAGCAGAAAGCTCCTTGCCGAACACTGGCTCTGATGAACCTCACGAGGACCGCGACCACGCCGAAGTTGAACATTCCGAGAAGGTCGAAGCTGAAGAAGAACATCACGAAGTTTCGGCTCAGCCAGCAGAAAGCTCCGTGCTGAACACTGGCTCTGATGAACCTCATGAGGACCACGATCACGCCGAAGTTGACCATTCCGAGAAGGCCGAAGCTGTGGAAGAACATCACGAAGTTTCGGCTCAGCCAGCAGAAAGCTCCGTGCTGAACACTGGCTCTGATGAACCTCAAGCGGACCATGGACACGCCGCGAATGATCATTCCGAGAAGGCCGAAGCTGAAAAAGAACATCACGAAGTTTCGGCTCAGCCAGCAGAAAGCTCCGTGCTGAACACTGGCTCAGATGAACCTCATGCGGACCATGGACACGCCGAGAATGATCATTCCGAGAAGGCCGGAGCTGAAGAAGAACATCATGAAGTTTCAGTTCAGCCAGCAGAAAGCTCTGTGCTGAACACTCGTTCTGCTGAACCCCATGAGGACCACGACCACGCCGAAGTGGACCATTCCGAGAAGGCCGAAGCTGAAAAAGAACATTATGAAGTTTCGGCTCAGCCAGCAGAAAGCTCCTTGCCGAACACTGGCTCAGATGAACCTCATGCGGACCATGGACACGCCGAGAATGATCATTCCGAGAAGGCCGAAGCTGAAGAAGAACATCATGAAGTTTCGGCTCAGCCAGCAGAAAGCTCCGTGATGAACACTGGCTCTGATGAACCTCATGAGGACCACGATCACGCCGAAGTTGACCATTCCGAGAAGGCCGGAGCTGAAGAAGAACATCACGAAGTTTCGGCTCAGCCAGCAGAAAGCTCCGTGATGAACACTGGCTCTGATGAACCTCATGAGGACCACGATCACGCCGAAGTTGACCATTCCGAGAAGGCCGGAGCTGAAGAACAACATCATGAAGTTTCGGTTCAGCCAGCAGAAAGCTCCGTGCTGAACACAGGTTCTGATGAACCTCATGCGGACCATGAACACGCCGAGAATGATCATTCCGAGAAGGCCGGAGCTGAAGAAGAACATCACGAAGTTTCGGCTCAGCCAGCAGAAAGCTCCGTGATGAACACTGGCTCTGATGAACCTCATGAGGACCACGATCACGCCGAAGTTGACCATTCCGAGAAGGTCGGAGCTGAAGAACAACATCACGAAGTTTCGGCTCAGCCAGCAGAAAGCTCCGTGCTGAACACTGGCTCAGATGAACCTCATGCGGACCACGACCACGCCGAAGTTGACCATTCCATGAAGGCCGAAGCTGAAGAAGAACATCATGAAGTTTCGGCTCAGCCAGCAGAAAGCTCCTTGCCGATCACTGGCTCTGATGAACCTCAGGAGGACCGCGACCACGCCGAAGTTGAACATTCCGAGAAGGTCGAAGCTGAGAAAGAACATCACGAAGTTTCGGCTGAGCCAGCAGAAAGCTCCTTGCCGAACACTGGCTCTGATGAACCTCACGAGGACCGCGACCACGCCGAAGTTGAACATTCCGAGAAGGTCGAAGCTGAAGAAGAACATCACGAAGTTTCGGCTCAGCCAGCAGAAAGCTCCGTGCTGAACACTGGCTCTGATGAACCTCATGAGGACCACGATCACGCCGAAGTTGACCATTCCGAGAAGGCCGAAGCTGTGGAAGAACATCACGAAGTTTCGGCTCAGCCAGCAGAAAGCTCCGTGCTGAACACTGGCTCTGATGAACCTCAAGCGGACCATGGACACGCCGCGAATGATCATTCCGAGAAGGCCGAAGCTGAAAAAGAACATCACGAAGTTTCGGCTCAGCCAGCAGAAAGCTCCGTGCTGAACACTGGCTCAGATGAACCTCATGCGGACCATGGACACGCCGAGAATGATCATTCCGAGAAGGCCGGAGCTGAAAAAGAACATCACGGATTTTCGGCTCAGCCAGCAGAAAGCTCCGTGCTGAACACTGGCTCTGATAAACCTCATGAGGACCACGATCACGCCGAAGTTGACCATTCCGAGAAGGCCGGAGCTGAAGAAGAACATCATGAAGTTTCAGTTCAGCCAGCAGAAAGCTCTGTGCTGAACACTCGTTCTGCTGAACCCCATGAGGACCACGACCACGCCGAAGTGGACCATTCCGAGAAGGCCGAAGCTGAAAAAGAACATTATGAAGTTTCGGCTCAGCCAGCAGAAAGCTCCTTGCCGAACACTGGCTCAGATGAACCTCATGCGGACCATGGACACGCCGAGAATGATCATTCCGAGAAGGCCGGAGCTGAAAAAGAACATCACGGATTTTCGGCTCAGCCAGCAGAAAGCTCCGTGCTGAACACTGGCTCTGATGAACCTCATGAGGACCACGATCACGCCGAAGTTGACCATTCCGAGAAGGCCGGAGCTGAAGAAGAACATCATGAAGTTTCAGTTCAGCCAGCAGAAAGCTCTGTGCTGAATACTCGTTCTGCTGAACCCCATGAGGACCACGACCACGCCGAAGTTGAACATTCCGAGAAGGTCGAAGCTGAAAAAGAACATCACGAAGTTTCGGCTCAGCCAGCAGAAAGCTCCGTGCTGAACACAGGTTCTGATGAACCTGACGAGGACCACGACCACGCCGAAGTTGAACATTCCGAGAAGGCCGAAGCTGAGGAAGAACATCACGAAGTTTCGGCTCAGCCAGCAGAAAGCTCTGTGCTGAACACAGGTTCTGATGAACCTGACGAGGACCACGACCACGCCGAAGTTGAACATTCCGAGAAGGCCGGAGCTGAAGAAGAACATCACGAAGTTTCGGCTCAGCCAGCAGAAAGCTCCGTGATGAACACTGGCTCAGATGAACCTCATGCGGACCATGGACACGCCGAGAATGATCATTCCGAGAAGGCCGGAGCTGAAGAAGAACATCACGAAGTTTCGGCTCAGCCAGCAGAAAGCTCTGTGCTGAACACAGGTTCTGATGAACCTGACGAGGACCACGACCACGCCGAAGTTGAACATTCCGAGAAGGCCGAAGCTGAGGAAGAACATCACGAAGTTTCGGCTCAGCCAGCAGAAAGCTCTGTGCTGAACACAGGTTCTGATGAACCTCAAGCGGACCATGGACACGCCGCGAATGATCATTCCGAGAAGGCCGAAGCTGAAAAAAAGAACATCACGAAGTTTCGGCTCAGCCAGCAGAAAGCTCTGTGCTGAACACAGGTTCTGATGAACCTGACGAGGACCACGACCACGCCGAAGTTGAACATTCCGAGAAGGCCGAAGCTGAGGAAGAACATCACGAAGTTTCGGCTCAGCCAGCAGAAAGCTCTGTGCTGAACACAGGTTCTGATGAACCTGACGAGGACCACGACCACGCCGAAGTTGAACATTCCGAGAAGGCCGGAGCTGAAGAAGAACATCACGAAGTTTCGGCTCAGCCAGCAGAAAGCTCTGTGCTGAACACAGGTTCTGATGAACCTGACGAGGACCACGACCACGCCGAAGTTGAACATTCCGAGAAGGCCGAAGCTGAGGAAGAACATCACGAAGTTTCGGCTCAGCCAGCAGAAAGCTCTGTGCTGAACACAGGTTCTGATGAACCTCAAGCGGACCATGGACACGCCGCGAATGATCATTCCGAGAAGGCCGAAGCTGAAAAAAAGAACATCACGAAGTTTCGGCTCAGCCAGCAGAAAGCTCTGTGCTGAACACAGGTTCTGATGAACCTGACGAGGACCACGACCACGCCGAAGTTGAACATTCCGAGAAGGCCGAAGCTGAGGAAGAACATCACGAAGTTTCGGCTCAGCCAGCAGAAAGCTCTGTGCTGAACACAGGTTCTGATGAACCTGACGAGGACCACGACCACGCCGAAGTTGAACATTCCGAGAAGGCCGGAGCTGAAGAAGAACATCACGAAGTTTCGGCTCAGCCAGCAGAAAGCTCCGTGATGAACACTGGCTCAGATGAACCTCATGCGGACCATGGACACGCCGAGAATGATCATTCCGAGAAGGCCGAAGCTGAGGAAGAACATCACGAAGTTTCGGCTCAGCCAGCAGAAAGCTCTGTGCTGAACACAGGTTCTGATGAACCTGACGAGGACCACGACCACGCCGAAGTTGAACATTCCGAGAAGGCCGAAGCTGAGGAAGAACATCACGAAGTTTCGGCTCAGCCAGCAGAAAGCTCTGTGCTGAACACAGGTTCTGATGAACCTGACGAGGACCACGACCACGCCGAAGTTGAACATTCCGAGAAGGCCGGAGCTGAAGAAGAACATCACGAAGTTTCGGCTCAGCCAGCAGAAAGCTCTGTGCTGAACACAGGTTCTGATGAACCTGACGAGGACCACGACCACGCCGAAGTTGAACATTCCGAGAAGGCCGGAGCTGAAGAAGAACATCACGAAGTTTCGGCTCAGCCAGCAGAAAGCTCTGTGCTGAACACAGGTTCTGATGAACCTGACGAGGACCACGACCACGCCGAAGTTGAACATTCCGAGAAGGCCGAAGCTGAGGAAGAACATCACGGAGTTTCGGCTCAGCCAGCAGAAAGCTCTGTGCTGAACACAGGTTCTGATGAACCTGACGAGGACCACGACCACGCCGAAGTTGAACATTCCGAGAAGGCCGAAGCTGAGGAAGAACATCACGAAGTTTCGGCTCAGCCAGCAGAAAGCTCTGTGCTGAACACAGGTTCTGATGAACCTGACGAGGACCACGACCACGCCGAAGTTGAACATTCCGAGAAGGCCGGAGCTGAAGAAGAACATCACGAAGTTTCGGCTCAGCCAGCAGAAAGCTCTGTGCTGAACACAGGTTCTGATGAACCTGACGAGGACCACGACCACGCCGAAGTTGAACATTCCGAGAAGGTCGAAGCTGAAAAAAAGAACATCACGAAGTTTCGGCTCAGCCAGCAGAAAGCTCCGTGCTGAACACAGGTTCTGATGAACCTGACGAGGACCACGACCACGCCGAAGTTGAACATTCCGAGAAGGCCGAAGCTGAGGAAGAACATCACGAAGTTTCGGCTCAGCCAGCAGAAAGCTCTGTGCTGAACACAGGTTCTGATGAACCTGACGAGGACCACGACCACGCCGAAGTTGAACATTCCGAGAAGGCCGGAGCTGAAGAAGAACATCACGAAGTTTCGGCTCAGCCAGCAGAAAGCTCTGTGCTGAACACAGGTTCTGATGAACCTGACGAGGACCACGACCACGCCGAAGTTGAACATTCCGAGAAGGTCGAAGCTGAAAAAGAACATCACGAAGTTTCGGCTCAGCCAGCAGAAAGCTCCGTGCTGAACACAGGTTCTGATGAACCTGACGAGGACCACGACCACGCCGAAGTTGAACATTCCGAGAAGGCCGAAGCTGAGGAAGAACATCACGAAGTTTCGGCTCAGCCAGCAGAAAGCTCTGTGCTGAACACAGGTTCTGATGAACCTGACGAGGACCACGACCACGCCGAAGTTGAACATTCCGAGAAGGCCGGAGCTGAAGAAGAACATCACGAAGTTTCGGCTCAGCCAGCAGAAAGCTCCGTGATGAACACTGGCTCAGATGAACCTCATGCGGACCATGGACACGCCGAGAATGATCATTCCGAGAAGGCCGGAGCTGAAGAAGAACATCACGAAGTTTCGGCTCAGCCAGCAGAAAGCTCTGTGCTGAACACAGGTTCTGATGAACCTGACGAGGACCACGACCACGCCGAAGTTGAACATTCCGAGAAGGCCGAAGCTGAGGAAGAACATCACGAAGTTTCGGCTCAGCCAGCAGAAAGCTCTGTGCTGAACACAGGTTCTGATGAACCTCAAGCGGACCATGGACACGCCGCGAATGATCATTCCGAGAAGGCCGAAGCTGAAAAAGAACATCACGAAGTTTCGGCTCAGCCAGCAGAAAGCTCTGTGCTGAACACAGGTTCTGATGAACCTGACGAGGACCACGACCACGCCGAAGTTGAACATTCCGAGAAGGCCGAAGCTGAGGAAGAACATCACGAAGTTTCGGCTCAGCCAGCAGAAAGCTCTGTGCTGAACACAGGTTCTGATGAACCTGACGAGGACCACGACCACGCCGAAGTTGAACATTCCGAGAAGGCCGGAGCTGAAGAAGAACATCACGAAGTTTCGGCTCAGCCAGCAGAAAGCTCCGTGATGAACACTGGCTCAGATGAACCTCATGCGGACCATGGACACGCCGAGAATGATCATTCCGAGAAGGCCGAAGCTGAGGAAGAACATCACGAAGTTTCGGCTCAGCCAGCAGAAAGCTCTGTGCTGAACACAGGTTCTGATGAACCTGACGAGGACCACGACCACGCCGAAGTTGAACATTCCGAGAAGGCCGAAGCTGAGGAAGAACATCACGAAGTTTCGGCTCAGCCAGCAGAAAGCTCTGTGCTGAACACAGGTTCTGATGAACCTGACGAGGACCACGACCACGCCGAAGTTGAACATTCCGAGAAGGCCGGAGCTGAAGAAGAACATCACGAAGTTTCGGCTCAGCCAGCAGAAAGCTCTGTGCTGAACACAGGTTCTGATGAACCTGACGAGGACCACGACCACGCCGAAGTTGAACATTCCGAGAAGGCCGGAGCTGAAGAAGAACATCACGAAGTTTCGGCTCAGCCAGCAGAAAGCTCTGTGCTGAACACAGGTTCTGATGAACCTGACGAGGGACCACGACCACGCCGAAGTTGAACATTCCGAGAAGGCCGAAGCTGAGGAAGAACATCACGGAGTTTCGGCTCAGCCAGCAGAAAGCTCTGTGCTGAACACAGGTTCTGATGAACCTGACGAGGACCACGACCACGCCGAAGTTGAACATTCCGAGAAGGCCGAAGCTGAGGAAGAACATCACGAAGTTTCGGCTCAGCCAGCAGAAAGCTCTGTGCTGAACACAGGTTCTGATGAACCTGACGAGGACCACGACCACGCCGAAGTTGAACATTCCGAGAAGGCCGGAGCTGAAGAAGAACATCACGAAGTTTCGGCTCAGCCAGCAGAAAGCTCCGTGCTGAACACTGGCTCAGATGAACCTCATGCGGACCATGGACACGCCGAGAATGATCATTCCGAGAAGGCCGGAGCTGAAGAAGAACGTCACGAAGTTTCGGCTCAGCCAGCAGAAAGCTCCGTGATGAACACTGGCTCTGATGAACCTCATGAGGACCACGATCACGCCGAAGTTGACCATTCCGAGAAGGCCGGAGCTGAAGAAGAACATCACGAAGTTTCGGCTCAGCCAGCAGAAAGCTCCGTGATGAACACTGGCTCTGATGAACCTCATGAGGACCACGATCACGCCGAAGTTGACCATTCCGAGAAGGCCGGAGCTGAAGAACAACATCATGAAGTTTCGGTTCAGCCAGCAGAAAGCTCCGTGCTGAACACAGGTTCTGATGAACCTCATGCGGACCATGAACACGCCGAGAATGATCATTCCGAGAAGGCCAGAGCTGAAGAAGAACATCACGAAGTTTCGGCTCAGCCAGCAGAAAGCTCCGTGATGAACACTGGCTCTGATGAACCTCATGAGGACCACGATCACGCCGAAGTTGACCATTCCGAGAAGGCCGGAGCTGAAGAACAACATCATGAAGTTTCGGTTCAGCCAGCAGAAAGCTCCGTGCTGAACACTGGCTCTGATGATCCTCATGAGGACCACGATCACGCCGAAGTTGACCATTCCGAGAAGGTCGGAGCTGAAGATCAACATCACGAAGTTTCGGCTCAGCCAGCAGAAAGCTCCGTGCTGAACACTGGCTCAGATGAACCTCATGCGGACCACGACCACGCCGAAGTTGACCATTCCATGAAGGCCGAAGCTGAAGAAGAACATCATGAAGTTTCGGCTCAGCCAGCAGAAAGCTCCTTGCCGATCACTGGCTCTGATGAACCTCAGGAGGACCGCGACCACGCCGAAGTTGAACATTCCGAGAAGGTCGAAGCTGAGAAAAGAACATCACGAAGTTTCGGCTGAGCCAGCAGAAAGCTCCTTGCCGAACACTGGCTCTGATGAACCTCACGAGGACCGCGACCACGCCGAAGTTGAACATTCCGAGAAGGTCGAAGCTGAAGAAGAACATCACGAAGTTTCGGCTCAGCCAGCAGAAAGCTCCGTGCTGAACACTGGCTCTGATGAACCTCATGAGGACCACGATCACGCCGAAGTTGACCATTCCGAGAAGGCCGAAGCTGTGGAAGAACATCACGAAGTTTCGGCTCAGCCAGCAGAAAGCTCCGTGCTGAACACTGGCTCTGATGAACCTCAAGCGGACCATGGACACGCCGCGAATGATCATTCCGAGAAGGCCGAAGCTGAAAAAGAACATCACGAAGTTTCGGCTCAGCCAGCAGAAAGCTCCGTGCTGAACACTGGCTCTGATGAACCTCATGAGGACCACGATCACGCCGAAGTTGAACATTCCGAGAAGGTCGAAGCTGAAGAAGAACATCATGAAGTTTCAGTTCTGCCAGCAGAAAGCTCTGTGCTGAATACTCGTTCTGCTGAACCCCATGAGGACCACGACCACGCCGAAGTTGAACATTCCGAGAAGGTCGAAGCTGAAAAAGAACATCACGAAGTTTCGGCTCAGCCAGCAGAAAGCTCCGTGCTGAACACTGGCTCTGATGAACCTCATGAGGACCGCGATCACGCCGAAGTTGAACATTCCGAGAAGGCCGAAGCTGAGGAAGAACATCACGGAGTTTCGGCTCAGCCAGCAGAAAGCTCTGTGCTGAACACAGGTTCTGATGAACCTGACGAGGGACCACGACCACGCCGAAGTTGAACATTCCGAGAAGGCCGAAGCTGAGGAAGAACATCACGAAGTTTCGGCTCAGCCAGCAGAAAGCTCTGTGCTGAACACAGGTTCTGATGAACCTGACGAGGACCACGACCACGCCGAAGTTGAACATTCCGAGAAGGCCGGAGCTGAAGAAGAACATCACGAAGTTTCGGCTCAGCCAGCAGAAAGCTCCGTGATGAACACTGGCTCAGATGAACCTCATGCGGACCATGGACACGCCGAGAATGATCATTCCGAGAAGGCCGGAGCTGAAGAAGAACATCACGAAGTTTCGGCTCAGCCAGCAGAAAGCTCTGTGCTGAACACAGGTTCTGATGAACCTGACGAGGACCACGACCACGCCGAAGTTGAACATTCCGAGAAGGCCGAAGCTGAGGAAGAACATCACGAAGTTTCGGCTCAGCCAGCAGAAAGCTCTGTGCTGAACACAGGTTCTGATGAACCTCAAGCGGACCATGGACACGCCGCGAATGATCATTCCGAGAAGGCCGAAGCTGAAAAAGAACATCACGAAGTTTCGGCTCAGCCAGCAGAAAGCTCCGTGCTGAACACTGGCTCAGATGAACCTCATGCGGACCATGGACACGCCGAGAATGATCATTCCGAGAAGGCCGGAGCTGAAGAAGAACATCACGAAGTTTCGGCTCAGCCAGCAGAAAGCTCCGTGATGAACACTGGCTCTGATGAACCTCATGTGGACCATGAACACGCCGAGAATGATCATTCCGAGAAGGCCGGAGCTGAAGAAGAACATCACGAAGTTTCGGCTCAGCCAGCAGAAAGCTCCGTGATGAACACTGGCTCTGATGAACCTCATGAGGACCACGATCACGCCGAAGTTGACCATTCCGAGAAGGCCGGAGCTGAAGAAGAACATCACGAAGTTTCGGCTCAGCCAGCAGAAAGCTCCGTGCTGAACACTGGCTCTGATGAACCTCATGAGGACCACGATCACGCCGAAGTTGACCATTCCGAGAAGGCCGGAGCTGAAGAACAACATCATGAAGTTTCGGTTCAGCCAGCAGAAAGCTCCGTGCTGAACACTGGCTCTGATGATCCTCATGAGGACCACGATCACGCCGAAGTTGACCATTCCGAGAAGGTCGGAGCTGAAGATCAACATCACGAAGTTTCGGCTCAGCCAGCAGAAAGCTCCGTGCTGAACACTGGCTCAGATGAACCTCATGCGGACCACGACCACGCCGAAGTTGACCATTCCATGAAGGCCGAAGCTGAAGAACAACATCATGAAGTTTCGGTTCAGCCAGCAGAAAGCTCCGTGCTGAACACTGGCTCTGATGATCCTCATGAGGACCACGATCACGCCGAAGTTGACCATTCCGAGAAGGTCGGAGCTGAAGAACAACATCATGAAGTTTCGGTTCAGCCAGCAGAAAGCTCCGTGCTGAACACTGGCTCTGATGATCCTCATGAGGACCACGATCACGCCGAAGTTGACCATTCCGAGAAGGTCGGAGCTGAAGATCAACATCACGAAGTTTCGGCTCAGCCAGCAGAAAGCTCCGTGCTGAACACTGGCTCAGATGAACCTCATGCGGACCACGACCACGCCGAAGTTGACCATTCCATGAAGGCCGAAGCTGAAGAAGAACATCATGAAGTTTCGGCTCAGCCAGCAGAAAGCTCCTTGCCGATCACTGGCTCTGATGAACCTCATGAGGACCACGATCACGCCGAAGTTGAACATTCCGAGAAGGTCGAAGCTGAGAAAGAACATCACGAAGTTTCGGCTGAGCCAGCAGAAAGCTCCTTGCCGAACACTGGCTCTGATGAACCTCACGAGGACCGCGACCACGCCGAAGTTGAACATTCCGAGAAGGTCGAAGCTGAAGAAGAACATCACGATGTTTCGGCTCAGCCAGCAGAAAGCTCCGTGCTGAACACTGGCTCTGATGAACCTCATGAGGGACCACGATCACGCCGAAGTTGACCATTCCGAGAAGGCCGAAGCTGTGGAAGAACATCACGAAGTTTCGGCTCAGCCAGCAGAAAGCTCCGTGCTGAACACTGGCTCTGATGAACCTCAAGCGGACCATGGACACGCCGCGAATGATCATTCCGAGAAGGCCGAAGCTGAAAAAGAACATCACGAAGTTTCGGCTCAGCCAGCAGAAAGCTCCGTGCTGAACACTGGCTCTGATGAACCTCATGAGGACCACGATCACGCCGAAGTTGAACATTCCGAGAAGGTCGAAGCTGAAGAAGAACATCATGAAGTTTCAGTTCTGCCAGCAGAAAGCTCTGTGCTGAATACTCGTTCTGCTGAACCCCATGAGGACCACGACCACGCCGAAGTTGAACATTCCGAGAAGGTCGAAGCTGAAAAAGAACATCACGAAGTTTCGGCTCAGCCAGCAGAAAGCTCCGTGCTGAACACTGGCTCTGATGAACCTCATGAGGACCGCGATCACGCCGAAGTTGAACATTCCGAGAAGGCCGAAGCTGAGGAAGAACATCACGGAGTTTCGGCTCAGCCAGCAGAAAGCTCTGTGCTGAACACAGGTTCTGATGAACCTGACGAGGACCACGACCACGCCGAAGTTGAACATTCCGAGAAGGCCGAAGCTGAGGAAGAACATCACGAAGTTTCGGCTCAGCCAGCAGAAAGCTCTGTGCTGAACACAGGTTCTGATGAACCTGACGAGGACCACGACCACGCCGAAGTTGAACATTCCGAGAAGGCCGGAGCTGAAGAAGAACATCACGAAGTTTCGGCTCAGCCAGCAGAAAAGCTCCGTGATGAACACTGGCTCAGATGAACCTCATGCGGACCATGGACACGCCGAGAATGATCATTCCGAGAAGGCCGGAGCTGAAGAAGAACATCACGAAGTTTCGGCTCAGCCAGCAGAAAGCTCTGTGCTGAACACAGGTTCTGATGAACCTGACGAGGACCACGACCACGCCGAAGTTGAACATTCCGAGAAGGCCGAAGCTGAGGAAGAACATCACGAAGTTTCGGCTCAGCCAGCAGAAAGCTCTGTGCTGAACACAGGTTCTGATGAACCTCAAGCGGACCATGGACACGCCGCGAATGATCATTCCGAGAAGGCCGAAGCTGAAAAAGAACATCACGAAGTTTCGGCTCAGCCAGCAGAAAGCTCCGTGCTGAACACTGGCTCAGATGAACCTCATGCGGACCATGGACACGCCGAGAATGATCATTCCGAGAAGGCCGGAGCTGAAGAAGAACATCACGAAGTTTCGGCTCAGCCAGCAGAAAGCTCCGTGATGAACACTGGCTCTGATGAACCTCATGCGGACCATGAACACGCCGAGAATGATCATTCCGAGAAGGCCGGAGCTGAAGAAGAACATCACGAAGTTTCGGCTCAGCCAGCAGAAAGCTCCGTGATGAACACTGGCTCTGATGAACCTCATGAGGGACCACGATCACGCCGAAGTTGACCATTCCGAGAAGGCCGGAGCTGAAGAACAACATCATGAAGTTTCGGTTCAGCCAGCAGAAAAGCTCCGTGCTGAACACTGGCTCTGATGATCCTCATGAGGGACCACGATCACGCCGAAGTTGACCATTCCGAGAAGGTCGGAGCTGAAGAACAACATCACGAAGTTTCGGCTCAGCCAGCAGAAAGCTCCGTGCTGAACACTGGCTCAGATGAACCTCATGCGGACCACGACCACGCCGAAGTTGACCATTCCATGAAGGCCGAAGCTGAAGAAGAACATCATGAAGTTTCGGCTCAGCCAGCAGAAAGCTCCTTGCCGATCACTGGCTCTGATGAACCTCAGGAGGACCGCGACCACGCCGAAGTTGAACATTCCGAGAAGGTCGAAGCTGAGAAAAGAACATCACGAAGTTTCGGCTGAGCCAGCAGAAAGCTCCTTGCCGAACACTGGCTCTGATGAACCTCACGAGGACCGCGACCACGCCGAAGTTGAACATTCCGAGAAGGTCGAAGCTGAAGAAGAACATCACGAAGTTTCGGCTCAGCCAGCAGAAAGCTCCGTGCTGAACACTGGCTCTGATGAACCTCATGAGGGACCACGATCACGCCGAAGTTGACCATTCCGAGAAGGCCGAAGCTGTGGAAGAACATCACGAAGTTTCGGCTCAGCCAGCAGAAAGCTCCGTGCTGAACACTGGCTCTGATGAACCTCAAGCGGACCATGGACACGCCGCGAATGATCATTCCGAGAAGGCCGAAGCTGAAAAAAAGAACATCACGAAGTTTCGGCTCAGCCAGCAGAAAGCTCCGTGCTGAACACTGGCTCAGATGAACCTCATGCGGACCATGGACACGCCGAGAATGATCATTCCGAGAAGGCCGGAGCTGAAAAAAAGAACATCACGGATTTTCGGCTCAGCCAGCAGAAAGCTCCGTGCTGAACACTGGCTCTGATGAACCTCATGAGGGACCACGATCACGCCGAAGTTGACCATTCCGAGAAGGCCGGAGCTGAAGAAGAACATCATGAAGTTTCAGTTCAGCCAGCAGAAAGCTCTGTGCTGAACACTCGTTCTGCTGAACCCCATGAGGACCACGACCACGCCGAAGTGGACCATTCCGAGAAGGCCGGAGCTGAAGAAGAACATCATGAAGTTTCAGTTCAGCCAGCAGAAAGCTCTGTGCTGAACACAGGTTCTGATGAACCTGACGAGGACCACGACCACGCCGAAGTTGAACATTCCGAGAAGGCCGAAGCTGAGAAAGAACATCACGAAGTTTCGGCTGAGCCAGCAGAAAGCTCCTTGCCGAACACTGGCTCTGATGAACCTCACGAGGACCGCGACCACGCCGAAGTTGAACATTCCGAGAAGGTCGAAGCTGAAAAAGAACATCACGAAGTTTCGGCTCAGCCAGCAGAAAGCTCCGTGCTGAACACTGGCTCAGATGAACCTCATGCGGACCATGGACACGCCGAGAATGATCATTCCGAGAAGGCCGGAGCTGAAGAACAACATCATGAAGTTTCGGTTCAGCCAGCAGAAAGCTCCGTGCTGAACACTGGCTCTGATGAACCTCATGAGGACCACGATCACGCCGAAGTTGACCATTCCGAGAAGGCCGGAGCTGAAGAAGAACATCACGAAGTTTCGGCTCAGCCAGCAGAAAGCTCTGTGCTGAACACAGGTTCTGATGAACCTCATGCGGACCATGAACACGCCGAAAATGTTCATTCCGAGAAGGCCGGAGCTGAAAAAGAACATCACGAAGTTTCGGCTCAGCCAGCAGAAAGCTCCGTGCTGAACACTGGCTCTGATGAACCTCATGAGGACCACGATCAAGCCGAAGTTGACCATTCCGAGAAGGCCGGAGCTGAAGAAGAACATCACGAAGTTTCGGCTCAGCCAGCAGAAAGCTCCTTGCCGAACACTAGCTCTGATGAACCTCACGAGGACCACGACCACGCCGAAGTTCAACATTCCGAGAAGGCCGAAGCTGAAAAAGAACAACACGAAGTTTCGGCTCAGCCAGCAGAAAGCTCCGTGCTGAACACTGGCTCAGATGAACCTCATGCGGACCATGAACACGCCGAGAATGATCATTCCGAGAAGGCCGGAGCTGAAAAAGAACATCACGAAGTTTCGGCTCAGCCAGCAGAAAGCTCCTTGCCGAACACTAGCTCTGATGAACCTCACGAGGACCGCGACCACGCCGAAGTTGAACATTCCGAGAAGGTCGAAGCTGAAAAAGAACATCGCGAAGTTTCGGCTCAGCC